TCGATCTCCAGGATCTGAATCAATATGTTATATGAGATGCCAGTATGCCTCCCCATCCTCATGACTTTGCTGAATCTTGTGCAGGTTATGTGATATATGGCATCGCTGACCTCTTCTTCGGATATGATGCCGTCACTTTACACATTGATTCCAGGGACCTCACAACCTTTCAAACTATGGACGAAATTCTCAGGAACACAACATGTCCTCAAGGTCTTACAAATGCCCTTCAGTGGTTCCAACGGACTGTCAAACATGTTCTTGGCAATGACCGTCCTGCACTATGCAATCCTTTCATGGACGATGCAGTCATCAAGGGCCTGTGTTCGACCTACAACAATGAGAGCATCACCAAAAACCCCGAGATACATCGATTCGTGTATGAATATGCCACTGCTCTCGACCGGATCCTCCTCTGATTCTCCATTGCTGGTTTCACGGCTTCAGGGATGAAGCTTATTCTGGCCACCCCAAGCATTGGCGTCGTTGGCTCCATAGTCTCTGCAGAAGGATGGCATCTCGAACACGGAATAGCAACTAAGGTTCTTAATTGGCTGACACCTGAGACCTTAACTCAAGTATGAGGATTCCTCGGAGTAGCTGGAGTAGCTCGCCGATGGATAAAAGGATTCTCTCTGATCGCCAAACCTCTCACGGCCCTCTGTCGCACTTCAGATTTAGCTGACAACATATTCTTCTTTACACCAGAAGCTCAAGAGGCAATGGATGAACTAAAGAAACTAATATCATCCTCTCTGGTACTCCGACCTATAGACTATACAGCTGCCAAGGGTATCAACCAGTCGTCACTGCTCAAAACTCATGGATTGGTTACCCTAGCTGTCGACTCTTCGGTACACGGTTGTGGGTTTGTACTCTACCAGCAAAATGAAGTTGACAAACACCCTGCACTTTTCAGATCTTGCACCTTCAACAAAGTCAAATCGAGATATTCTCAACCCAAACTGGAACTATATGGAGTTTTTCAAGCAGTTCGACAGCTCCGCCAATGCATATGGGGTATATTCTTTTCCCTTGAAGTCGATGCTCAATTTTTGAAGCAGATGATCCATGAACCTGACCTACCCAATGCTCCCATGATGCATTGGGTCTCATATATCAATCTCTTCGAATTCTCTATTACTCATGTATCTGCCCTTAAAGGAATTGTGCAGGATGGGCTCTCTCACCGTGGATCCGCACTGGAAGACTCAGATGAATCTGATGCAGAAGAATTTCTTGATACCTTCTTCGAATGTTCTGCACCTCATAAACCTCCATCCTCCAGCTTTTCTCTTCTTGCTCTCGTCTTAGATGACGCCATGTCCCGTCCTTTCTCTGGCTTTATCGGTTATGACTCCAACATCTCCTCTCGCACGATAAACATCGATGACTTCCCCACCACAGTTACCACTTTTGGCAACTTTGACATGCCTACAACAAATGCCATTTCCATCTGGTACGACCGGTTTCAATGAGCATTGACCAAGCCCAATGGAATGCAATCACCCTTCGACTCCAACATCCATCTCGGGCATTCCTTATGGTTCCGGTTACCCAAGCACCCCGACTCTCACAACACCGAATTCTGGCCCAATGACACACCTGTCATGCCTTCCACTCTGCCTTTCCACGGATCCTTTCTTCGCAATGAGGATGATCAAACATACGTCAGAAATGGATTTATGGTGCATAACTATTGGGAAGATGATTCTGACCACATTTCTCTTGGTGGGGAGGTCGTGTCTCTTCCATTTGCAAAGTACCGACCAGCATACGTCGTGAAGCCTATGGCAGAGAACGGCCATCTCACCTCATTCCTTACTTCCGAATCTGTATCCCAAAAGTCTGACATCTCCGAGGGCGGCCTCTTAATAGGGGACACTAATCACCGCGTTCGCACAGGTCATCGAATGACATATCCAACCCTGTCAGCTCTCAAGGAGCGCAAGGACATTCCATGTATCGGTCACGTCTATGGTATTAAATTTGTCGAGACTCCTACATTGTGGAACGAAGTCATCTGATGGCTTCAGGATGGGAAATGCCCTGACCATTTCGATGGCGATTCGGACAATGCCTACAAATGTTTCAAAAATACTTTTCAGCATTTTTTTCTTCACATTTCGGAAGGCACATGTGTCATATTTTGCCAGAAGCATGCACACATCCTACAACGCATCATTACTGATGTCCCGAGAAGACAACATCTCATTACAGAAGCTCACAACATCTGTGGTCATCGAGGATGAGATCAAACCTTCAAATACCTCTGGAACTGCTATTGGTGGCCTGGAATCTATGACGACATTGCCTGGTTTGTACACTCTTGCAACTCCTGTCAACTGCATTCACACACGCATCCCATTGTACCTCTCAAAATCACCCTATCTCCAGCAATGTTCTGCTCTTTTGTCTGTGATACTATCATTATGCCTGACGGTTACAGAGGATTCAAACACCTAATGCATGCTTCTGAAGCCACTATCAAATGGGCTGAGGCCCGCACCTCAAGAAAGAATACTTCGCATGCTTGGGCTTCTTTTATTTATTAAGACATCATTGCATGATTCGGTTGTATCCCAATCCTCATCTGCAATGGCAGTTCTGAATTCAAGGGCACTGTTGCAGAGATACTCCACAGGTATGGCATTCAATGCATTATCAGTTCACCATATTACCCTCAGGGTAATGGCATTGCTGAACGCGACGGTCAAACACTCGCCAATGCTATACTCCATTCCTGTGGTGACTGAAAGTCCCAATGGCCTCTCTTCCTCCATTCCGCACTCTTCACACTTCAAACATCAACATCTCAGACTACCAGTTACACACTCTTCTTTCTACTGTACGGTCAACAAGCACTCCTTCCTTTCGACCTCACCGATTGTTCCTGGTTCGCGCTCGACTGGGACAAAATCATCACCACAGAAGATCTTATCGCAATTAGAACCCAACAAATAGCACGTCAAGAACATCTCGGGAAAGTGACTACCGGAACTCAGAAGACCCGTCAAGCATCTATCGATCACTATATGAAGAAGAATGCCAACCAAATTTCTTCCGGAAGCTTCGATCCCGGTACCTGGGTCTTAGTGCATGAGACATGGTTAGACCGCCAACTGGGCAACAAAGGTACTTTGCGCTGGTCAGGTCCATATGTTATTCACAGCAAACATATCAACGGTAACTACCATTTACGTGAACTTGACAGTTCCCTTCTTAAGGAAGCAGTGCCAGTTGCATGTCTCAAACTTTTTTTCTTCCGTGAAACTAATCAAAGTATGACCGGTACTTGGCTGTATCCCTCACTCCTACATCAGAAGTACATCCTTGGATGCCCCCCTCCTTCCTCTGCAGATATGACGTACAGTGACTGAAACCCTACCAATACCTTTCACGATGTACTCAATGTCTGGCGTGATCCCGTTCACCCTTACGATGAGCACTTCTGTCACTGAGAGATTGACAATAATGACGGTGAATTCTACGGTATCCCTGAGAATTGCCTCATTCTGCATACCGACATCGCTCGCCAGGTCATTCACTCCCTTCATGAGTACCGTCCATTTTGGTAATGTCCCCTCATTTTCCTTCATTTTTGTTTCATCTCTTCATCAGTCTTGGGATGAGACTTTAAACATGGACCACTGTGGTAGTAAAGAAAGAACCGCTGCTACTTATCATTTTTTACAGATTTTACCTTCACAGATAACAGACTCGCGCGTCGATGGGAGAGTTAAGGTAGACCATAGATAAATTTTTCTTTTCTCTCATATTTTCCATATCTGACAATCGAGTTCTCCAACCGTTTTATCTTCACTTTTTCCATATTCACTGCTACATTCTCCTCTTACCTTCGCGTTTTGAGCTTGCACGGAAGTCTTAGAGATTTCATCTATGATGGAAGGTCATTCATCCCTTCGCGACACTTGGGCAATGTCTGCATATGTAAATAAAGGGTGGGCTTCTCAGAAGTCTAGATATCTCTCGGGCGACCAATCAGGATTGCAGCGTTTAGGTTTTCCTCCACAAGACAAAATAGCCCTTTCATCTTTCCTTTTTTGTATAAAGACAATAGCTCTATTAGGCAACTCTCCCGATTGTAATGTTTCCCGCCATGTCATCATCTTCCTTTTCACTTGATGCCATTTCCTCTCTATTTTCTGGTACTCCCAGCCAATAGCACAGCTCGAGGGAAGGCCTCAATATGTATAAGTACAGCAGACTTTCAGAGAAACATCATCCTTTTCCCCCTTCTTCAGTCACCATCTTAAGCCAGTGTCGTCTCATTCATTTATAACCCTCTTCATATCTTCATGTCTTTGTTGATAAGTAACTGTCATCATTTGTCAATACTCGTGTCGTATCGAGTCTAGAAAGTCTATCGACCACTTCGGTCGGTCAGAATCTCCCGTTTGTTTACTATCAGCCCGATCCGCTCTTCCACAACGCGTTCCAGACGGCTACGGAAAGGCATCCAATCTCGAAGTTTACAATTACAGGTGTTCGCCCGCGCAAACCGCGCGCTATTGCGTCTACCATGAGGCAGGCAGGCATTGAAGCAGGAGGCAGTAGCATTTACATTAACTTTGGCCATTAATCAGAATTGTCCAGTGCGAGCATATAGAATACATTTACCAATCCCATGCCATACGGTCAACAAACTCCAGGGCTCCAGGGTACTGGGTAGGAGGTCGTCATGAATGGCGTACCGTTGAAAAGTAATACGATAGAGTTTGCATCCGCAGCACGTACTGCAGCAACGGAAGATACAACAGCAGATGGGATTACAAGCTCACGGAAAGGATACAAGAATAAGGTTGCGTACATGAGCAGAATAGCGCGCTGCATGAAACTCAAAAGTTGAGCGTTGTTCGGTGTTTACCGAACGAGTCGCGAAATTGCCACAAATTCACGGACTCTACCCACATGGACAAAACGTATGTATGTGAACTTTCAAACCCACGTGTTGCCGTCCTGAGTGAACGAAATAGTTAGACGGATGATTCGATCTATTGCAGACGGCCACCGTACATAACATTTAAGTTACTCTGAAAACGACTAGTGATGAGAGTACCAGATAACGAAGAGCAGCTCCACAGAGCGCGACAACGAACGAGAATAAAAAAGGAATGCAGAATGAGTGAGCGAATGATGTTGTGGGGTGCTATCGATACAAAAGTAGTCGTAATAGATCGTGACGTGAGCGAGATTAGTTTGCTCCAGTCAAACCTCCCTGAGCGCCGCTAGCAGCGATACGGGCTTCGGCGTCAGCCTGAGTGTCGCAAGTGAGTGAAGTGCCGGCCTTGTTCACCAACGGGAGAGCGAAGCATTGTAGTCCGCCAGCACATGGATTGATCACGAACTTGCCACCGACGCATTGAGCGAAACCACCCTCGACGCAGGCCGAGTCACCATCTGTAAACGAACTGGTCAATATCGAGTAAGAAAAGATAAAAAGTGAACCAACCTGTGCAGGTGCCATCCGTCGACAGAGTGGCGAACTTTGCGTTCAAAGCTTGTGCGTCTTGGCCGTTCTGCAAGAGAAAATCGCCGCTGCCGGTGTTGCCTGCGTTTCCAGACGCAGCAGAGGTAGACGCAGCAGGAGCAGCTGCAGTCGTTGCGGCGCCGGTGGGTGCTGCAGTAGCGGTGGCAGCAGGTGCAGCAGCGGATGACTCGTCGTTGCCGCCAACGTTACCAGTCGCTGTGGCAGTGACAGCAGGGGCAGAAAGGGTGGCGTCAGAGGTAGCGGTGGCGTTGGCTGGGTCGGTATCGGTATCATCGGAAGACCCAGACGCGTCAGACGTCGCAGAAGCTACGGCAGAGGATGTAGCAGAAGCCGCGGCAGTGGATGCGGCAGAGGACGAGACACCAGAATCACTCTGGCCATCTCCATTCCCATTCCCGTTGTTGTTGCCGTTTCCGCTACCATTCCCATTCCCATTACCGCTCCCCGTGCTGCCGACTCCCGGGTCCTGAGTAATGCTTACGAGTTGTTGACCATCAGGAATGGGTCCCTGAGGGTTGGCGGGGCAAGACCCGGCGGGATCGAGGGGTGCATTCTGACCGAAGGGAATCGTGCCAGTTTGGCCGGCTGCGATACCACCGGCAAACGTCTTCGGGTCGGCACCTTGGAACTGACACTGGAATAGGCCATTGAGTTCAGAGTTGTTCGGGGCCTGTTGGCAGTACGGAACAGACTGCGAAGTAGGCTAAAAACGGTATGAGTGTCACAGGACATGAGCTAATAATATCTCGCGTACCGTGTTCCTGGGCTGTTGAGCGAAAATCTGAGCCAACTTGATCATGTCGGGGTCGTTATTAAGTGTCTTGGCGAGGTCGATCATTGCATCTGCGCTATCCTGCTGTTCACAAGGACCTGCAGCAGCAAGAAGAGTGGAAAACGCCGTCACGGAGACTGGGTTGCACTTTTCACCACCGCCTGCGGCGAGCTAAGAGTAATGTGAATGAGGACACGGAATGGAACGCGGAGCAAAAGTGGCCACTTACGCAGGCCTTCTCCCATTGTGCAGTCGATTCTGCAATGGTTTGTGCAATGCGCTTGTAAAGGGGAGCACCCTGTGCTACGGCGATGAAAGCCAGGAGGAGCGAAGACTTGGCAGCAAGCTGGACCATCTTGAAAATTAGCGAAGGAAGTTGGAATTAGGACGCGAAGAGTGGCAGAGAAATGTGAGTAGAGAAAGTGGAGTCGAGCACGGCTCGAGTGGGGAAGAAGGGAAGGGACGTTGGTAAAGAAGCTCACCGGCAGGGAGTCTGTATTTATACTTAGTGGTGCGGGGCGGATCAAAGGAGGACCTTTGTTTGCCTTTTTTCAGGACACTGCAACCATATGCCGAGGAGAATGCATGACAACAATGGACCTCTGTCCTAGGACAAAGGACAATAGGCGGGTGGCTTCTGTGAAAGAGCATGTCAAAGTCTGCGTAAACTTGAGTCATACTTTAACACAAACCCAGGAAAGAGGCTTTCGAAATGCAATTCACAGTCCTCAGAGGACCTGGTGTTTGTCGAAGAACGGACGGTAAAACGATTGAGCGAAAGTGAAACACATCCGAAAGGGTAATTTCGTCCCCCAGATTTCTTCGCTCGGGATAGACCGGTCGTCACCCTTAATGGGCGCTTATAGCTTGTTTCTTGTACAGTTGCGGACAAGCCAAATCGACAAAGTCAGTCGACCGTTGATGTAGCGTTCAACACATGTCCGATAAGCTTTTAAACCAGTAGTACAATGATTCTGAACTGCAATGAGCAGAACTGCATGAGCCGATTCTTCAAAAAATAAGTTTTAACTTTTGGAACGTCAAAATTTTGGCCGACCCCCTAAAAAAATCCCTAAAATCATGAAAATATTGTATTCGACGCCATTCGATGAGTATAGAATGTTGACGACATCATTTGAGTGAAATGATAACGGATACACCTAACCTGGCGTGAAGTTCGTACGGGCGCGATGCACTCCCTTAGTGATTAGGATCAATTCCAATGGTCATATTATGAGAACGGCATGCCGGGAAGGTATTTTCTCTGTCACTATGGCCCCTAAATATCCAAAGAGAAGAGCTCGGAGAGACATCTCTGGCTTAAAGAATCAAGGCGGAAATGTAGCCAGTCTGACAGCTTTAGGGAGCACACTGAAGCATGCATCCAAAACTGTAGAGTTTGAAAGCCGTGCTTTAGATGCGACAAACTCAACAGATGGCTCGTTGCGCCGCTCTCGCGCACCAAGTCCAATGGAGGCCGTGCTTGACAGTGATGAAGGGGACGGCTTGGATATGGGGGTCTGTTTTGATAGTCTCCGGCCTACCTTTGTCCAAGATGAAGAGGATGAAGACTGGGAAGGTGACGTTGATGAGCTCGGGTGGAAGGACATTGAGTCTGAAACTCAATGCATGCCCGGTGGAAGTCATACGGCGGTTCATAAATCGGTCATATCGATTCATGAGTGCATATCGGAGAGGTCTTACTGGGATGGCTGCGGCATGGGCAGTACGAAAGCAAAAGCAACGTCGCCAGGTCTCAAATACAGCCATGATGTCAATTCTGGCTGTTGTAGGTGAGGACACACCAGTTGTCACTTCACGAAGCGCGGCGGAAGGGGTGTAGACAATTTTATTGTGGTTGTAGTGTAGCAAATCTTCAGATTTCTTGGCCGAAAAATTTGGCCACCCCAACTTCTCGCGGGAGAAACTTCGGAAGCATGTTTTCAGACGTTTTCGGCCTCCCTGAGTTCGAATCCGAAATCAGTTTCGCCCCAAAGTCTGCCGTTCTGGCGCTACCAGACTTGTCGACTTGGCTTGTCCGCAACTGTACTGGCGGTAAGATTTCAAAAAAAAACTCTGCATTGTTCATCTTGAACCAATTGCTCGTAACTACTCCCGGCTAATCTGCTGTCGCTTGGAGCCAATCAAGATGCCGATTCTTTCCTAGACAGACCTTGCGGTTGTGCTGCACCGAGTGTTTATTGTCATAGTCCCATGACGGTGGATCGTCTTGTAAGTACGTCGGTGGCATGCATTCATTCTCCTTGTTGTTATGTTGTCCATATGACAATGTCCTCTGCGCTCTATATCGCGGGACTGGATTCTTGTCGCTTCTGATGGCCATCATATGCATTTTCCCGTTTCGGTGCTACTCGTATTGCTGAGGGGATCCTGGGTTCGAGTTGAAGTGCGTGTTCGAAATTCTTCGCATCGTTATCTTTAGAGATCATCATCTGTTTTGATCGACAGGCTTCTCCAGCCTGTTCTCGATTCTTTGTGTACTCATGCTGCACTGATTGCTATCAGTTAGGTAGAGTCATTGTGACTATGCCGCTCGAAACCATCTGGAAACCCGCAGATGGAGGACAGACTGGACTCTGGCTGGATACCCTCGATATCATCGCTTCTGATATGTTGCTAAGGCTGTTGTTCTTCTATGACCGTTTCTCAAATCTTGAGGTGGCTGCATCGGCCCTCAGCATTTTCAATACAGGATACCAACAGCTTTCAAATCTGCGGTCATTCAGAGGCTCCTCTATTCATGTCTCATGCCTATCATAGTCTTTTTTGCTTCTGTCCAGTCCTCCAATTCATCTTATTTGACGTGCAAGGAGCACTTTTGGTCATCAGATCCGGCGAAATCAGATATTGCTAAGTACAGGAGACATTGGGCTACTGGTGGTTTTTACTTGACTCGCGATGCATTCTCTTCCGTCGAAAACTCTGTTCGGCAACCAACTGCCTTCTAGTCTAGTCTGCTGCTGTGTCAACGTTCCAATCATCAGTGATCGGGCATGGAACTTGGGACGACGCCTCTCTCGAGACCATCTGAAGGCATAGAGATCTGGAGACGGAATGCGGGTAAGACATCTTCGCACTGTCAACATCTTGTTCTGATGCATTGCTTGCACCGTCGTTTAGAGATGACTATGCAACAACGTCAGATTTTCCGCTAACCACTCAATCCCGTTCTTCTTTCATGATTCCACGGACTGTGATGGGTTTTGAATTTACTATCTCCTTGGGCCGGTCTCAAATTTAGCTCCAGTCGTAGGTCATCGGTCCTGAGAAACTTCACGATATCTTCAACAGACGTCGCCCCCCAACCCCTCCCGGGAGATTGCGGAAGTTTATACGTGCGAAGTCGTTGAAATCCAAGGAAATCACGGTACTTGTTCACACTCGTTGCATTGAAGAAGTTTTCAACACAGTGAAGGCATGCTCGCCGGCGACTCTATAACGATCTACTTTGCCACAATGATTTCGCCGACATGTCTGTATCACTTCCATAACAAGGACGCTCGTCATTGAGAATATCCACAAGACAGTCTCATCAATCCTCGCCCCACACGTGGAAGTGTGGATGAATAGCCGCGTCAAGGCGAGAAGGAGCTTGAGTGTGGCCCCGGAACAATGCCCCCTAAACATGCCCATATATATACATATCTTGCCGCCGAACTTCGTGGACACTCAACTTCTTACAACGAGCCACTATCGTTGTGCCTCTGCTGAAACGACCACTTCTCGAAGAACGTCTTGCCTCTTCTACAACTCTGATGGACCTCTTCCTTTCACCCGTTGGCTTGGATGTCGATGCCTCGCCCAAGTGTAATGCAAAACACGTCCTTTCTTTTACCACTTGGGACGATTCAGCAGTATCCCTTCACTCATATCGTTGCTCGAACTGTGATCATGTATCTTTGGCCTCGAAGGCATTTTCCCTCCAGCGATCCGATCTCTCAGGTCTGGAAAAGATCTCGAAGCTCCTCCAAACACCTATGCTGGCCATGACACGTATTACTCACTTTGAGATTTCACCTTGTTCGTTTGGCTGGCAGCCGAAACATTCTCTTGAAGTGTGGATCGACCTCTTTCAGAGTCTGCCGGAGATTGTCGAACTGGTACTTCGTGACATGGATGGATCGAACGTGGTTTGTGAGGAGATTCATCAAGCTCTTGGCCTTGTCAATCTCAACCGCACCCTCGCTCGTGGAAAGACTCGACCAGCTCCAAACTTGAGCCACCTGCACGTCCACTTCACTCGCGACAACTCTGGAGTGAATGGCCCACCGCTCTTCGATGCGTTCCGACTGGAATGGGTAATTTCTATTGTTGAGCATCGACGCGGAATTGAAAAGGTTGAGATCGATGTGCCAAAGAAAGTTCTTTTCCAGCTGAAGCGGGAGGATCGCTGGAAAACCTGCGTGAAGAAGCTGGAGAAGATCATGGCGCAACCTGAAAGAGTTGTCATAATAGCTGGAAAGAATGGTACAATCTTCGCCGATTAATCTAATAGTAACGCGTTTCCCTGCCTTCATCAACAGCTATCGTTTTTCATTCATATGTTCTACTCATGTCTGTGTTTAATTTACTATTTCCATGTTCTTACACACCTTCCCTTGTCGGAGGTTCCCGGGCGTTTGCCGTCGACGTGACGACAGCTTCCTATTGATCAGCCTCATTGCATGCTGTTTAGAAGGAATAACTTACTTTCCAATCCTTCATTACGACGCTGTTAAGTCTTGCCTTGAATGAACGATTTCCTCGGGAGTCCTCACACCTGCGATGTCGTCGAGTCCACCATGGAGTCAATTGCAGATTCTTTGTCTTCCTGGTGACCGTTTGGATTGATAATACATGCGGTATGCTGGATGTATACCACCCCCGTCTTTGTTGTCCGGGTCTACCTTGTCAGAGCCGCGTGGGGGACAAAAGCGTTAGTGAGTGTGGCCCGCAGTCTTTGGCCCTGGTGGTTGACATATATATCTGTGCGCGGCCTGCACATCCGTACGTGCCTGTATCCTCTTGTATTCACCTACCATCGATTTTAGATACCCAGGGCGCGAACCTACCTCTGTATACTTCTCTCGTAAGCTTTTCCCATTATTCCCTTACCTTCAGCAGAGTGCGCTCTAACTTCTAGCTATAGACATATCTATAGAATGGATCTTGGATTCTCTCAACGAATTCCTTCTATCTCGTCTCTCCCTGATGACGTTTTGGCCGAGGTCTTTATGCAGTTTGCTTCTGTATATCTCGTGTCACTAGACGCCAAGTCGTCTGAGGATATCGTCGAGCTCAGCCACGTCTGTCGACATTGGTACTATCTTATGCTGGATCTATCCCTCTTGTGGTCGAGGATTCAACTGGACGCTCCTGTCTATGCTCAACAGTTTCTCACGCGGTCTCGGAATGCTCCAATATCCCTTCACGCACGCTTTCTGACTTCTTCATGTGAGTTGAACATTCGACCACATCTATCTCGAGTGAAAAGCATTCGCGTATTTGGTACGGAAGATGGTCTGCGAGCGCTTTTTTGTGGTCTGGACGCCCAAATCCAATTGGACCAACTCACAGACATTGAGATCGGAGGCAGGCTTGGGGCTCCTGTTCGGATATCGATTGACGCACACCGTTTCGGCCACTCCTTGCGTTCCCTCATTCTCATGAATGTTTGTCTAAAGGCACCGGGCCTTCGTCAAGTTGATTCAGCGGAACTAGTGTTCTCATCTTTGGAGATGCACGCTTTCTCCCCGATGTTGGACACAATCAAAGCTATTCGCGATGTAAAGAAACTCCGCGTGACCCACAAGCTTCATGATGGCAGCCTATCCGACAGGTCCTCGTTACTGCCTCCTCCTATCCTTCCCCCTTCCATAGACAAAATAACCTTGCCTATCTTGGAGGAACTTTCGATCACGGATCTATATGGTGCGCATACCTTGACGCTTCTGGATCTTATCATGACTCCAAAAGTTTCGCCTCGGATTCATTTCCCTGAAGTGCAAGATTTAATTCACTTCTTCTCCGCTACTGAGCACCCAGTTGTTCGACGTATGCAATCTTGCTCATCTGGCCATTGCCTTGGCGGTGATAAGGATAGGCATTTGCACCTTGGTCCAATCAAATGCCCTTCTGGAGCCGCGTGCACTTGCCCTACCTTTGTTTTCCCCATGGGCGACGTGTTTACTGATGTTCAGGCTCTTGCTCAAGTCCTCGGATCGATACTGATTACCCACTTCTCCGTAACCATCCATTCTGGATCAGGCCTAACAACAAAGGGATGGGAAACTCTCGTGCACAGTCTCAATCAAGTTACGGATCTGGACATTGAGGGTGTGCATGGCACCAATGCAGCAAGCTTCGTCTTCGTCGAATCACTCGATACTCTTTTCGACACAGTCTGGTTTCCAAACTTGATGACTCTTCGTTTGCATTTCGTCAAGAATTCTAGCGATTGTCCATCATGGCATGATCATTTGCTGTCTTGCTACTGTCTCGACTGGCTCTTAGAACTCATGAAGAATCGAAACAGATTGGGAAACCCGTCATTGAATTCCGTCACTTTTGCGATCCCTAGTTGCGACGCGAAGCAGGTTGTGGAAGGTTCTGAATTCCGTGAGTCATTGACTATCCTTGGGCAATTCGCTGTAGAGATAATAGTGGAAACAATTGAGAGTGGTGATTTGGAAGGACAAGCAGGAATGCATTAGAACGAGTACTTCTATAATATTTATGGATATATATGTCTGGTATACAAAACCCAACAAAGAAGCATGCAGCGTTATCGAACCGAAGAAATCACAAAAGTAAGTCAACTACTGTCCACAGTAGCAACTCTAAGAACGACGTCGGAGATGGCAAGCGCCGTTTGAATTTAATCATCTGCTCAACGAAGTCTCCAAAGTCTGCTCGTAGCCTCGTGCAGTGCACCGTCGAGAGAAGGCCAGAGGAACAGCTATTTTGAAATATCTACAAACCTAAACCTCCACTATACTTACGTAGACCTTATTCCATCGCTCTGTCCCAACAGGTACCCAGCGACCGCTATCGGTCACACTGGATTCGCTACTCTATGCTTACGCTCCTTAGAGCGAGCGGTATACGTTCTTCATCATACCTATGTCGGTCAATACTGAAGGCGACCTTCTCCACGATACCGCAGCGACGATTTTACCCATCTCAACTTGATCACGTTGAGGATCTCGAGGAGTATCGGCCTGGTGGATTACATCCGGTTGCAGTTGGCGATACGTTTGCCAGCGGTCGCTACCAGGTTCTACACAAACTAGGTTTCGGAGGCACGTCTACCATATGGCTCACACGCGATCAACACCCGTCTGCCCGTGGCAAATTGATGACGTTGAAAGTCATGTCCGCAGAGCAATCGACTACACCAAACAATGTTTTAGAGATGACTATTCCACGAAGGCTGTGCGAAATCCTCCACGCCAATGGCACTTCAGTCCGGCCCAATATCCGGGTTATAGAGGATAGTTTTATGCAAGAGGGGCCCAACGGATCTCATCTTTGTCTTGTCTCTGAGTTCGCTGGACCTAGCGTTCATTCCATGTTGGACTGTCCGGGGAGGGTGACTGGAAGCAGACGACTTCGCAGCGATTTGGCCAGGAATGTGGCAAAACAAGTAGCTGCGGTGATACAGCTCATGCATTCTGAAGGATATGTGCATGGAGGTTCATTGAATTTGTGTTCGTTTCAAGTACCTTCAAGCTTACTTGTTTCCTAGATCTTACGACGTCGAACGTCCTCTTCCGGGTTGCCGACCATGTCCATCAATGGTCGGACGATTATATCTACGCCATTCTTGGTGAGCCCGATACGGAGAGAATGGCTACACTGGATGGTTCTCCGCTGGGACCACATGCACCTGTAGAGGTCGTCGCACCCATTGACAACGCTTCGCTTTCCTCATCCGCTTTCCTCAAAGAGGACGTCATCGTCAGCGACTTTGGACAATCCTTTGCCATGGACTGTCTGCCCGAGGACTATGAGCCAGCTACGGTAGTACATTATGCATCACCGGAAGCGCGGTTTGAGTCAAGGATAAGCCTCGCATCCGACATTTGGGCATTGGCGTGTACAATCTTCGAGATCCGCGCTGGATTCCCCCTTTTTGAATCATTTCTAGGCGATGAGGCTGAAGTTCTGAAGCAAATGGTTCAAATGCTTGGCAAGTTACCAGGGCCGTGGTGGACAGCCTTTGATGAACATCAGCTGTGGTTCGAGAGCAACGGCGAGCCGAAACCTCTTCATGTTCAGAAAGGCGCAGGAGTCTCGCTGCCCGCCATCAGAAGTTCTATTCGAGGGGTGTTGCAAAACATTGGCGAGCAAGACAAGCTTGGTGATGTTCGCCAGGGTGCGATGTTTGAGAGGGCCGGGACTCGACTGAAGGAGGATGAGATTCAGATGTTGGGTGATTTGTTGGAACGGATGCTCAGGTATCGCGCAGAAGATAGGGTTACCATACAAGATGTTGTGTGTCATCCATGGTTTTGTATGGCTGAATCTTGAGTTGTAAACAAGTATCTCTATTCATAAGGCGGCGTTTAAATTTCACTACTATCGTTGGAATAAGCTCATAGGGATATCCTGCCAATCATATGCCTTGTGTACCTGGAATTATTGTCGTTCGGACTGAGTCGCATTGACTCAATGCGCTTCGCCCCAGGAAGTGACTACCACATATGGCAATTTGGACGGAGCATTTGCCAAGCAAGGCCAAATACTAAGTCCCAAATTTGGAAGTGAATTATTTTGTTCTCTCAACCTGGTGTCTGCAACCGTTTTGCATTTCTCCATGGCTTCGTTCACTTCTTCTCAAAATAATGACCTTGATGATGTCCCGCTGCCTGTAGAACTCCAGTCACTGTCTATCAGACTAGAGGACAGCCCTGAAGCTCTTGCGACTGGAGACAAGGACCTTCAGGTCGCTGCTCTACAAGCAGCCAAATATGTATTCGACTTAGGTTCGTTGCACGTCTTTCTTACCCTCCAATAGACGTACCCATGTTGTTTCGTAGCACTGAAGACGGAATCTAAGTCCCGAGGGCAACTCGTGGAGTTCCTCACTTCCATCTCACCGTCAGAAGCACCCAAAACCCGCTCACAAACAGCCACCAAGGGAAAGCGCAAACGTAGTCCCACACCACCACCTCCAGCCCATTTAGACATTGTTCCCAAGGAGACACCACTTCCAGAGCTATGTGTCGACGGAATGGATGAAGACCAGCTATGGACGCAACTTGACTTGCGTGCAAAAGGCATCTGTGATTTTCTGGAGTATACCATGGAGGCTGCTGGAGAACAGGAGGAGAGCGACGAGGACGAAAATGAATTGAAAGCGTTGAAGAAGCGGAAGATGATGTCGGAAGAAGGTGAGGATATTGATGACATGAGTATGGATGGGTTAGACGACATAGAAGACTCGGAAGAGGAGAGTGAGGAGGAGGATGAAGACAAAAATGAGCTTTCAGACGAGGAAGACGAAGAAGTGGAGTCAGAAGACGACGGAGACGACGCTCACTTAGGCGAAAGCACGGTCGAGCTTCGAGACCCCTCCGACGAGGAAGACGAGGAAAGTGATCTAGACCTTGATCAGCAACCCTCCTTCCTGTCCGGTGGTCAACGAAAATCGAAATGGAAGAGGAAGGCTGCCAGTCATCCCGAGCTCGACGATGGTTTTTTCGACCTTGCTGCTTTCAATGCTGAGACTGAGGAGGCAGAAGCTCGAGCATCGTCCAGGGGGAAGCTCAGTAGGGACGATGATTCTGACGAGGAAGATGAGGAGGACGCGAGTATCGATTACTTCGCACAGGTTGACGATGACGTCGAGGAGGAGGATGCCGGTAAGTTGATAGCATTCATTCGCGTGTAATAAGTACTTATTCATCGCAGGAATTTTCTACCAAGACCTCTTCGAACCACCATCACGTTCTGTTAGCAAACCAAAGCCGAAGCCTAAACCAACAGGTCAGGTCCGCTTCCACGAAGAAGTACTTGTCAGGAAGATCAAGCCCAAGGGCAAAGGCTTACCCGTGAACACTCAATTTACAATCGAAGAAGAGGATGACGAAGAAGGTGAGGACGGTGAATGGGAAGAGGACGATGAGGGTATGTCCGATGGCATCAGTGAAGAGTTGGAAGAAGAGGAGGGGTCTGAGTTTGACGGCGAATCGGAAGATGACCAAGATGAAGGCTTCAAGAGCCGAGACACCATCGCTAGATTGAAGGGCGATTTATTCGCTGAAGAAGATGAGGAACCCGAATCAGGTGTGTATCGACATAATCTGCTTCCCACTTCATGTCAGTAAATCGTCTCTCTAGATTTGACGACGTATCAGAAGCGAATGGCATCCCTACAGGAGGAGATCGCCCAACTCGAAGCTGAGAACGTTGCCAAGAAACATTGGACGCTCATGGGTGAAGCAACTTCACGTTCACGACCTCAGAATGCACTTCTTGAGGAAGATCTCGAATTCGAACGCGTCATGAAGTCTGTTCCCGTCATTACCGAAGAGACCGTTCAAGGCCTCGAAGAGCGCATTAAGGCTCGTATACTGGAAAGTCGCTTTGACGATGTTGTTCGCAAGAGAGCTGTCGATGACAAGCCTTTCCTTCCCTCAAAGTTTTTCGAGTTGCAGGATACGAAGTCCAAGCAGTCTCTGGCCGAGATCTATGAAGGCGAGTATACTGCTGCTCAAACTGGTGGTGTCACTGGTGAAGACCGCGATGGTAAGCTGGCGAAGGAACACAAGGAAATTGAAAAGCTGTGGGAGAACATTTGTTCCAAGTTGGATGCCCTCTCCAATGCACATTTCACACCCAAAGCAGTACGTTTCTTCACTTATGCGGCACTATTTGCGTCCTGACGAGAACTCTTTCATAGCCTAAAGCAATTATCTCTACCGTATCCAACGTATCCGCTGCGACTATGGAGTCCGCCCTTCCTACCACTATGGCTACCAACACCATGCTGGCTCCTGAAGAAGTCTATGCCCCGTCGCCCAAGGATCTGGTGGCCCGCAGCGAGCTTACGCCAGCACAAAAGCGCGCACTGCATAATAAGCAGAAGAAGACCAAAAAGAAGGCTCGCCAGACTCTGGAGAACAGCGTTGACAAGTACTCGAAGGTCAAAGGCATTAAGGGCATTAAGATGCAGAAAAATGCTGCGTTAAAGAGCCTGGTCAAGACCGGCAAGGGTATCACTGTCGTTGGCAAAAAGGGCCAAGATTCGGGGTCCAAAGCGAAACGAAAAAGCACTTGATGAGTAACTGTCGAGTGTCTTTCCTTGCTCTATATCGTGTATATCACTCTTGGTTTTGGCCTACCTTCCCCGCCTTGTAAGGTTGGGGGTTTAATGCGGATGCCGCAAGCGAGGTCCGTCTCACCTTCTCAGCTACGCAAGTTTTGTCTTCCTCGCCCGAACTCCTCTTGATTTTCAATTCGTGTGGTAATGCTACCTTGAGGAAATAAGCAGGATGAATTCAGGATCGTTTGTTAGTCTCGCGATACGGCTTGTGGGCTCAAACATTGCCAAAGACCGATTCACATTCTCTATTGGAGTATTTGGTCGCATACTTAGATTATGCCAAAAGCGACTGTGTACATAGTGTGTACTGGTCGCGTCTTCTAACGTTTTAACGTTTTAACTTCATCGAGCCCGTACCTTGTCGGTAAATGCCGACGGTTGTCCTCATCGCCTCCAGTATCTTGTGATGCTCTCACTCTTTCGAACTTCAAGGATAACCAGACGCATATAGTTCCAGATGTAGCGAGAAGCACTGCACAGGTAAGTTCAGTTGTATCGGCGTTTGTCGTACTTAGATATGGACGTAGGTTGTCGAGGACCAGTTTCTGAATCTACCAGTAGATGTCAACCGATACCGAGGTTAAACTATTGGCTAAAGCCGTGAGCGACTCGGATAGGGAATCCAAAATCTCGCTTCCGGGTAGCGATAGCAGTGATCACGACGAACCCATTGACATGCGCCACAATGACCTTTGGTTTTCAGATGGTTCAGTCGTTCTTCGCGCAGAACAGACGCTCTTCCGGGTACACATGTCACAGTTGTCTCGTCATTCGCTGCTTTTTCGCGACATGTTCACCCTCCCTCAACCATCTACTGCATCCGAACCTTCCCCATCAGCAATTCATTCGCCGCAGACTGATCTCGGTTACATCGAAGGATGTCCTGTAATACACCTTCACGATAAGGCTGAGGACTTGGCCAATCTCTTGATCGCATTGTATGATGGACCTACCTTTGGAAATAATGACCGAAGCGACTTTCGAGTGGTGTCCGGGATTTTGCGTTTATCTGCCAAGTATATTATAGACTCCCTTCGTGCCAAAGCACTTGCTCATCTCAGCGAAGCTTGGCCGTCTACATTGAAAGCCTGGGATTTGCGGGAAGACTTAGCCCGTGTCTATGAGCTTGAAACTGGCACTCCTCGAGGATTCCGCTACCCATCTCCAATCGTGAGTGGTCACCCGAGTTGCTGCAGTCTCAATCGAGTCTTCTGACCCATGAGCTTTAGGTTGTCATCAATCTCGCGCGAGAAATCGATGCTCTATCCTTGTTGCCCTCTGCCTTTTATGATCTCTCGCGTTACAGCTACACTCAAATATTCGAACCAAGGGAAGAAAGTCCTCTCTGTGACGACTTATCAACGCCTCATGATTCGAGGTGCCATCTGTCACTATTAGACATACAAAAGCTTGGAATGGGTAAGGAGGCTTCCTCACACGCAATCACTTCCCTCATTCAGTCGATGACCTCACCCGCACACCCACATCCACATCATCCGACTTCGAATACTCACCGAAGAAACCTATCAGCCTCTGGTGGTCGTAACAGAACGAATGCCATTTGCACAACGGCTTCAGCTTGTCGTAGCGATTTCTTGGAACTTGCTCAACTTGCGACACAGCATTATATCTTCGATCGAGAAAAAGGCTGTGCTGATCCTTTGTATGTTGCAGAGGAGTTGGGTCAGTTGAAGAGTGCAGAGACAACGGACGGCGAAGACTGTGTAGCATGTGCACGGAGTCTAGAGGCCTGGGCGGTTAGGGAAAGAGAGCGGCTTTGGAAAACGATACCGACATGGTTTCGTTTGGATTCGTCTTGAGCCATCGCTTTGTCTGATTCGAGCTAGTCTCTTCCAAGTACCTTTAGTGCTGGTGTGCACTAGTATGACGTCGATGGTAGAATATGGCGGGGCAACTTGATAAGGTTAGATCAAGAATGGCTCTGACCCCTGTCTTCCTTGGCGACCGGTCTGCCTTCAGCTGCAACTCCGACCTCTCTAAACGAAGTCGGATCTTCGTCGGTGTGCGGACCATCACGCATCCGACTCTGTCGGAGTCATCACAAGTACACGCCCGAAACACATTAAATACAGGTGCATCTCACAGTTTCATTGTAAAATTCTAGCTCCTGCAGCTGACTCTGGTCACTATACATTCATCTACTTAGCCATGTTACCCGAATCGACACCAATCTTGATTGTAGGCGCTGGTCCTACCGGTCTTGCATGTGCTATATCGTTAGTCACCAATGGCGTTAGGCCTCAAGACATTACTATTGTGGATGCTCAGGCTCAAGGTCTGAATTGGTCGCGCGCTCTCGTTATTCATGCTAAAACCCTTGAGGTGCGACAACTCTACTTAAATGAAACGCGTTATGACACTCAAAAAGGGTCGATTAGGAACTTGATACCGTCGACTGCGCTGACATGCTGGCCGACCGCGGGACCCACTCTTCACATGTATCCATACGCTCGAAGAGCACCGTCCTACTTAAGGCCAACTTTGAAAGTTTAGCTTCGCGCACCCGCTTCCCTTTCGCTCTCCTAGTTTCCCAAGCAGACACAGAACACTACCTCGAGGAGCGGCTGAAGCATTTGGGGGTTATTGTTCGTCGTCCTCATCGACTTGTCAACATCGAAGGTGCTGATGAGGGAGTCCGAGCTACGTTTGAGGGAGGGGAAGTGGTCAAGGTTCGATATCTTGTTGGCGCTGACGGATCGCGGTCAACAGTAGGTTTACTCACTTCTGCTCCAAAGCTAGTTTTCCTTGATTGATGCATCATATCATAGGTCAGAAGGTTGGCAGGAATACCGTTTAAAGATCCTGTAACTGGTAAGGATCCTCATAGTGAAGAAACGAGAGGGGAAGTCAGCACCGAGAGACCCGTTAACGTTGCTGTTGCGGATGTTCACCTATCCGGGGACATTCCCGTTTCCACTGATGGCAACCTATTCTTTGGTCGACTCGGCATGCTTCTATTTGTTCAACTCCCTCCTCCTCTCAACGGAACTGATTTGCGATCGGTATATCGGCTGGCATTCCCAGTACAGCCAGGCACTAAGGATGTCACTAAAAAGGTACTTATGGAATATCTTCGAGTTGGCCTCGGTCGCCCAGAAGCCGAATTGCCGACTATTGATTCCATCATATTCTCTTCGACTTTCCGCATTCGCTTTGCCGTTGCAGACAGGTTCTCACAGAGCATTGGCGGAGGGGAAATAGCACTAGTTGGTGATGCTGCTCACATCCATGCTCCTATAGGAGGGCAAGGCATGAACCTTGGTATACGTGACGCTATTCAACTGGGGAGAGTCTTAACCAATATCTTGGTCGTGGATGCTTCTGATGATAAACCGTCAACGAAGAAAGCATACTCTGCCCACGCACTAGAACGTTACTCTGATGATAGGAGGCCTTTGGCACTGGAAGTTATTAGGATGACGAAACTGTTGACATGGATTGCGGCACTGGAAGGTGGTGTAGCTCAATTGGTGCGAAACACATTGTTGTGGGTACTGGGAAGCATGCCTTGGGTTCGTAATATGATGGCTCTGAGGCTTAGTGGGTTGTAACTCATGGTAGGATACTGTTTCCGGGGATGATTCACATTTTAAGATAACCTCGTTCGGCGTACAACAGGACTCTTTCATTAGGGCTGATACCTGTGTACAATCTTCCTTTTCATTATTGTATAATGCACATAATTCCAGAAGCCGGTGCTCTGTAAGGTTATATTTTATCGCTCTTAAACTCAACGCATTAGCGTTTTCTAGCGATCCCGACAATTCCGAGAATTTTTTGTACAGGATAATCAGGAAATGTTGAGTTGAAGGAGCAAGGTCATACCCTCATGGCAGAGCGGGTGAGCCATATAGGAGGTGGTCTCTAAATCAGGAGACAAAAACATCAATATGCAATCGATGGGAACAAAAAAGACGACATGAAAAGACTCCATGGCAGTTCAGATAGACTTCTGGAAGCTTTCGAGGATTCCAGAGCACCGCTCCAGCCATTCGAGAAGTGGCTCCCAATCTGGTTTGACATCCTAACAGAAATTGTTTATCAGTAACCAACCAATGATCCACATCAATAATGGACTCACCTCCAGTGTCCTGTCATTCTGCTGCTGCAAAACTGACTGAACAGATCTGATCTTGATAGCCAACTATGTGATGCGTTAGTCTTGAGTTACCAGGATGTCGACGAATGTAAATGCCTGATGATACAGTCCCGCGAGGACTTCCCACTGTGGCACAAGTTCTGCGACTTCTTGAGCAATAACATCAATGCGCAGATTGTCAACACGCCTGGAAAGTTCTTCAGCTTCGTCCCACTGCTCTTGCAGGTCTTGTATGTCACACTCGATAATACTCAATTGTTGTTGGAGATCTGGTAAAGAGTGTGAATGGTCATCCTATCGCGCCATTTTATGAGTGAACCAACCGGGCTGGTTTGCAGGCTTTCCGGAGACATTCCCGCCTGCCTTTTTGTGCCCCAAGCCGACATTGTGGACGTTCTTTGGCTTAACTTGAGACCAGTTTGGCTGCCAAACGTTTGAGTAATACAATCTCGGACCCATCGAAAACGTGTATACCTGGTACCAGTATGTCTGGGGCGCATTAGCCTCTTCCAACGTGTGTTTCCTAGAAGTGGCCTCCTCGTGTTGATGCTTCTTGCTGAGAATAACATTCTCAATGTCTTCGTCGAGATTAGAGCCCAACACCGAGATCTCTTCGGCTAGAAAAGTAGACGAATTGACTAGCTTCTGAACATCTTGGCTTTTCAAATCAACTGACTAAAGTCAACGGCCAACTATCACAACACTGGTATGAGGAACGTAGGCGCAACTGACCTCAAGCAGATCACCTAAGTCAGTGATGACAGCAGAAGAATCGTCCTTAGTTGAGATGGCAATGAGTTGACGGAGACCTTTTGAGGCAAAATAATTCAACTAGGAATGAGACGACGGCACGATCATGTGTTGACGTACTGTCTACTGCAACGCGAGCATTTCCGGCCACGTCTTTCGACGTCCATGCCAATTTTGTGTAAGCCTAAAGAGAGTGAGCACCCCAGACTCGGGACTTTCATTCAATTCAACGTACCTGACGCAGCTCGCATGCCTTCGAGGGAGCCTGAGGGCTTACTTTGGTGGCTATATTGTCCACTTTGCGAAGTTGCTCGCGAAGGCTAGTATCCATGCTCTTCACGCGCTCAAGACTACAATCGAGGGCATCTAAGGTATTGATTTTTAGGACACGACGATACCGATATCCATCCCTGAGCTATCTGTATTAGCCTCCGAGATTCTAAGCATTGCAGTGCTTACGAAGGGTATGTTGCATTGTACGAAGACATCACTACAAAATCAGCAAGGGCTATCGATGAGGGGAGATTTTGGGCCGTAGAATTCACTCTGACCAGTAGGCCGAACGTTATATCGAACGGCTTACAGGCACACTGCGGGACACGCCCTGGGTGAGCTTCCTGCACGAGGACACAGCCATGCAGCCTGCATGAGAAGGTCATCTTCAGAAGTTTGGCTTGGGTTCGCTCTTCCAACACAATGCGGCCGCACGCCTACCGCAAGGAAAAATGCATTGTCACGGCGCGTGTCTATAGACCAAAACTAAGTTAACAGTTGCCAGTGATCATATGGAAACTGAAGGAAACTGACCGAAACAAGTACAGGTTAGATCAATTGACTAATGGTAAAAGTCACGGTTATGCTTTGTATTATATCCGAAGGGAGAATCGTGAGGCATGACTTCCAGAACTTATGGTGGGCTCCCGGTGGAAGCAACAAAGATAGGCGCCCACCTCTACGTTACAGTCGACCACCATGATCATGGGATGACTCGTCGACAGCGTGCGCTTTCTCCTCATGAATATACTTCTATCTAATATGATTCCAGCTCTTTTTAGACGAAAGGGATTCCATGAACGGTCTCAACATTGCGTACAACATGGCTGTGGTACGCAGTCCCAAGGTTTAAATTTGGCTTGCTTAACGACAACATGTGTTTTGACAGGTCTGAACGCAAAACGGCTGGGGTTACATCTAGTTAATCTGTCTATCTTTACAGCGGGATCTATTGTACTACAACCTATACGCACGGAAGACGATACCCTGTGACCTACTTGAACCTTCGCAAGGTCGGCACGCCTTCGAAGTTAGGAACTGACCAAATAAGATGGGCGCGTAGGATTGCCTCATTTCCTCCTGCTGGCGGCATAAACTGGGATAACTATCTTCACCACATAGTCTAGATAGCTTCGAACCCCGTTTCCGTGTTTTTTTTCCCCCTTCCATCGTTCAGCTATCATGGCTTCTACACTCGAATCCCTCGAGAAAGATGCTGTATCCCAAGAGTTCGTTGATATACTGACCAAGGATCCGGGTTGCCTGAAGTTGTCGGAGGAAATGGAGGATATGCCCGAGAAAATTCTCGAGTCTCTCGACACCTACAAGCAGGATATCAGGATACTCAGCGTCAACGCCCTAGGTGTCGAGAAAGATTTCACCGACATTCTAGGTATCTTGAAAAGGGCTGCGACTACTCCGTCTACTATACGTCGTGACGTCTTGAAACTAATCTCGCGATGGGAAGATCTTCGACAGGTAAATCGTTGAAGCGTACCCCTGCTAATACTGATTTGTGTATCACAGACGTACGCACGTCTATTGTGGCGCTCTCGCGACACAGCTGGTGCAGCCCGTGTTGCGGCGGATGGTTTGTGTCGTGGTATCTTACAGAGTTGAGGGGATCTAATATACCGACAGACTTTTCCCGAGTCTTCATCAAACGTGTTCTGCTGAACCGGAAAGTATCCATGACAAGGATGAAGCTCGAGATAGAGGATTATACCTCGGTCCGTCATTCCTGATACAAACAGTATCGTCTTCTTGAGACGATGGGTTCGTATTTTAGAAATTAGAAAGAGACAAGAGGCGTGCACAAGAGCTGGTTGATAGTTTCAAGCATCTTCAAGACGATATTACGGCTTTCAGGGACGATTGGTCTGAAACTGTGATTCGTGCCAACGCTGGTCAAGACACGGCTATAATCAAGATCAACGAAGAGATAACAGAATTAGACTGGAAGATCAGCACGTAAGTTGCTGTCTTCATTGATTGCGTCGATGCGATTCTGATCGTGTTTGGTCTAGTTTGCAGGTCAAGGTAGAGTTATACTCTGTTAAATAAATCAGTTTGTTGCTTGAGAGATGTTGCGCTTAGATCAATGAGCTGCGGGAATCCTTGTCAAGTCGAGCGGCTGCCGTTGGAGGTAGTTGGGGCCTTCTTGCCTGTTTATGTCCAAGTTTCTGGTTACGATGCGGGGTATGTGATTTATCCTCCCATCTGCTGAGGCACCTTATGGATGTAGAATGTCTTTATCAGGTCCTTGTCGTCAGTGCTGGTGCCTTCTACTTCAAACGTCGTCAACTGAACTCAAAGATCACAGGTTTGTTGAAGCACTGATGTTTGACTTGACATATTTTCACATCGTTTTAGACATTGTGAAGGAACGAGAGGAGCTTCGTTCTCTACGCGAGCGGAAGCAGCGTGATTTGCAAGCCATTTCTGCCCTGAGCGTTGGATTAGTCATGTCCGACGATAAATTCAAGGACATGTTGAACAGACTAGGTGCCTTTGCTCGGATCTGGGGGGCGGTAGGTCATTTTGATACAGATGGGGTAGATAGATTGTTGACTGTCGCTCAGATTCAAGCTGACTTGCATGTAATCCGCGGGTATCTTGACGAGGCACTCCGGACTGCCGACCATGATGAGGTAGGTCTCAACATCCGCGAGGAATGTTGAATAGGGTCTGATTGATTTACAGACCTCTCGCCAAATCTTTGATGATCGCATCCAGATGGTCTTCGAGCAATATGTGGTCCTCGGAAAGGTCTTCCGGGAATATCAAATTGCTGTCGACCCAAACAGCCCCATTTTCAAAGACTTTGGCAGGGAGTTATGATCTCAGGGACTTTATATGGTTTCCGAGTAAAGGTAGACGCTAGCCTAGGCCAGAAGGTTCATCTGGAATGATCAGAGCTCTGCGGAGGCCGTGTATTTTCATTTGGGCCACAACTCCTCTGTTCACGTCTTGTTATATTGTTGCTTCGGGTCGAGGAGTCTCCGACTTCTGAAGTGTAATGGACAGAGCTTCCTCTATGCCGTGCATGCCGTTATTATACTCACCCATTCCGTTGGCCGATGCTTTCCGAATGTATGCTGAAGGCCATCTGCGATGCCTGCATGCCCCGTTACGTCAATCGCAGATCACCTCGATGCCTTCATTCGCATTCTAGGCGCTTAACACAAGAGTGGTCCAAGCTGTTGAACGGTTAACATGACATTTTCTCGTATGGACCTTGGGAACGCCAAATGGCCAAGGTTATGGCCCACGATTGCGCATTGGTCCCCGGAGGCATGCCTCGCTCCCCAGGCCGTTCGACATGTACTTCCTGAATGTCTTTTCAACTGCACTATATCAAATACGGCGTCTCGGCCAGCAAATCGACTGGAGACTTTGGACTGTTATGAACAAGCCAGTCAAGTCAGAAGTACGTTTATGCCCACGTTCCTTACAATTCATATCTGCGAGGTACTAACGCTGACAGCTGGCTGGATTGACGCACTAATATCGCTTTGTTTCCCGGCCAGTGGGTATTGAGCGTGTCTGGCCCAGCAGCCCTCAATATTGATCAACCTCCCACGATGGCCCGAATTATAATGGTTCCCCTACTGTAACATTCAGTCTAACCAAATACACACTACTATTTGCAACAATGTCCATCTAACATTGCTCGACCGTGGTGAAGTCCTATAACCATAGACGACTCAACTTAGTGTGCTTGCAACACAGCAGCGTTGTTAGAGAGGCTAGCGTTGTCGGTAAGAGGCGACCACCGGAACTGGTCTATGACAGTGAACATGATGCATGTGTGTATTTGGTTAACCTGGCCCAAGGTGCTGTGCGGCGAGAGTTCGACTACAGATGGTTCCCGTAGCAAGAATAGGACCGACCACAGCCAATTCTTTACACAATATATAAGCTAAAGCTTTCATCCGAATACGACTTCAGCATTCGCTACAGCGTTCCCATATCAACAACTCCCTGCCCAACCCTCCACAATGACTTTCGCTCCTCGCTCAGAACGATCAACGGTCCAGGAATCCACAAAGATAGACGCGACGATACGGTTATCAGAAGGCGAATCTTACGGATCGGAAATGAAGACACGTTTGCAGGTTGAGGTGCAGGATGTCCCCTGTCTATGTAAAGCTATCGAAAGGGATCTAGCTGTCGCCCAAGCTACAGCTTCAGACGGCCCGACTATCGACCTTCTGCAGGTACGCCCCTCGCAAACGCCAGTCTAACAATGATGACCTGAACTCATTCGGACTCTGAGTAGGAGTTTTCGCATGTGCAACAACGTATCAAACAGCTTCCTCATCAATTACGAGTAGTTTTCGACTGTGTGTGCCGAACGTACGGCGCTGATACTCAGATCTAACTGGATGTTTTATCCAGGTATTCATGAAGTGGGGCTGGGCTCCGTTCTCGACAAACATGCCGATGTGGTATTCAAGCAGAAGCAGATGGAGCTATTCAAGCGGGTGCGTATTGAGGTTCAGCTCATTTCTTTTTCAATACTGACGCAAATTATAGTTCATTGCCCGTCAGAACGATGATATTAATTTCATTGTCAACACCCTCGAAAGCCTGAGCGAAGACGCTTCAGAGTTAGTGATTGCTTCTCCAGTCTTGAAGGGCCACGCCGCTCCACCGAAAGAAAAGTCTTCGGGTTTGTTTGAGAAGTTTCACGTTCCTGTATATCAAAACTACGCACCTTCCATGACAGAAGAACCGACCATTTATTCTTTCAGGGTCGTACGTCGAAGACCGCTCATACGGACAATTACAACGCTGGGAAAATAGTCTCCGCAATCCACCAGAAGCCATACAATACCCTGAACCCAGAACCCCGTAAGCGATTTAATTTCCATAAGCAGCATCAAGAATCTGAACTTCGGATCGACAGAAGATGGCGACTCGCGTCATCACAACAACGATTTGGTAAAAAATTTGGATGCATTAATGGCAAGTCTTCGAATCTTCTCCGACATGTATGAGGATGTAAGTATCATAATCGTTGTTGAGCAACCACATAACGTACCTGCTACTTCTATAGGCATCGGAGGCACTCGGCAAGATGGAGTTGTTTATTCTGGATAGCGACGAGGTGAGCATGAGGGGCTGTTTGATAAGCTGCCCATCTGACTCTTTTCAGGAGGATATTGCACAAAGAGTTCAAGAATTTCGTCACTGGTTGAAGGATACGTCATCGCGCCTGTCGTTGGATTGTTCTAGCTAAACAGTGAGCGTTAGCCTATGCATATATATTATGACCTCTGCTTCATTCCGTGTCGGCTGGCTGGCTGAGCCTTTCGATGGACGGACTTCGTTTGTAGCAGTAGTACTATTATTACGATTCTTAAACTGCCTGCTGTTGTGAATAAGTACAGAACTGTCGACACAGTTCATCCTCGCTTGAAAACAGGACTTCGATTGTTCACAGAACGCTGATACGTGGAGAAAAGCTCCGCAAGAAATGCGTATGCGTCATGCATCCGATCCAAACGAGCTTGTAAAGCCGGCGCCATGTACTGAGGGGCAGCAATGGGAATGAGCGAACAATAGGGAATGGGTATTATGAACGCACTGGCTTATCGGGAGTGCCAACGTAAGTCCCTATGAGATTGTCAATGACATGAAGGTCAGCCGGAACCTATGTCAGAGATACACCATGAAGGCAGAAAGTGCAAAAAGGAATTCGGGAATACACACGGAAATCCAGACAGACGCAATGATCCCAAAATGCTTTGCCAGATTGGCAAAGGCAGTTGCCTGAGCATCGATGTGAACAAAAGGCTCATCTGGTTGAGGTTCCTATCCCGGTAGATTAGAAAATTCGAATCGCACAAACGGAAAAACTCACCTGTAACAAATTCGTAGAACTATCGTCTGAATAGGCATAAATTGTGCTATCACTGCCGCAAGCTGAGGCTGTAGTTATTCGGCCAATTGTATCGCGCACGCCTGAAAGCTACACGAACGAAGCCCTTCAGGCATCTATACACTGACCCTAATGTCGATGTACCTTCGTTCGAATGCTGAATCATAGTCAATTGGATGATTTTACTTCAATTCAAATGAATTACCTGGTCAACATGCGATCCAAGCGCTTCGATGTAGTGGTCCTTTCATATTCGGGATGACTGAAGACACTTTGCCAGCGACCGTAAAAAGTATCAACATCCCTTTGCAGAGCCAGTATGTCATCAACGAGGTCCCGCGAACGTGCATTATCTCTCGCGATGGTCTGAAATCAAGGGTCAGCTAGAGACACAACAAGAAGAGAGCATACGTACCTGTTTGTATCGATGAATTTCGTCGGCCGCCGATCTCGAGACGGCGCCCTGGTCTGTGAGTTGCAAGATGAAGGATATGAAGGCTAGCGTGGTGTCAAGTCTGTCCTGCGATTAAGAGCTCAAAGTAGTAATACCTTGAGCAGTTTGCCCGGCTCTCTCTGCAATACGCCGCGAGCGCCATATAATGCGAGTATACGACTGTGAATGGAAATGCTGTGGAGTGGTTATATATCAATTTCGACTTTCGATTCTTACCTGCGAGTATGTGGCCCAGGTATTCACGAGTCTATCCACTTGCTGAGCGGTGCCGGGCATGCAATACAGGCGTGCCTCTTTCGCGCATGTGCTCAACTCTTGTGAAAGAGAGGTGAATTCTGCGAATGTCGTTTCACGATCATGACGAAGTTGCTTCACACTCTGAAGCGTTGCGTGTCGAATGTCATTATCCATATAAATGTCTGGGGGAAAACGTCCTATATCTTGTGAGGAAGTGGAGAGGAAAGTGGCATGAAAAGGTTCAAGACCATGCCAATCTAATGGTAAGGTCATGACAGCGCCGTACTAATGGCATGCCACAAACGCGTGCAGAACACGGGGACATCCTGACCGGCGACAACATATTGAGATGTGCGCAGATCAGATGCTATCAAACGGATACATCCGGGGTTTAGGCAAGACGAAGAGGGGGAAGAATGGAATTCAGGTCTCGGAAGCCGACCGCCAGTCTTCAACTGGAATGGCATCCAACCTTCGGAAATGAAATCAGTGTTACGCATAAATTCGAGTTCCAAAGCGCGAGAGAACATATACATGTTCATTATGCTTTGCTACCTTTAAGATCACCTTGAGACTTCGAGTAGGCAACATGTCGTCAACGGAGTTCGCAAGAGACCGCCATCAATGTCCTTTTTAGTCGTATGTATAGGCGCCACGGCCTGGTTCGATACACGTGAGTAATCTGTGCCATTCTCGCTGTCTTCTTTCTCTATGATTGTGCGTGTCTGTGTGACATTGTGGTCTGTATGGACGTCGCGGGCATCCTAGATGTCTAAGTACTGTTAAACAGCAAAGTCAAACACGTTGACCGGGGTTGGCATCTAAACGCCTTTGTATAGTACCGACGGCCCGTGGCACACTAATGCCCATTTCACTGGACACACGGAATGCTTAATTAGGTGGTTCAAGCGAAATGACTTTGTCAGGCAAAGCTGCCCTTTGCCCTCTCGGATATTATGTGTCCGCCGCATCGTTGGATCAGCCCGCTGTACTAGTGCATGAGGATCTACTACTCGAGAAATGGCGGTGTAGTTACGAGCGTATAAAAGTTGAACTTATGATTTTCTAGGTCCCCACTAATATCTCTCACAGCAAAGGGGTTCAACATCGAACTGGTTACATGACTTCTCCAGTTAGAACACTTTTAGATCGTACAGATATCACGATCCAGAAGCTCCAGGCTCTTTCTGAAGAGAGTCAAGGAATATACAAACAACTGTTCACTTTACAGTCATCGACTGGTAATTTGGCGTTTCTAGATGACAATGTCGGAACCAGAATTCACGATGACTTTCGGGTTCGTCCATAAACTTCACTTGGCTTCAAATTTATATATCTGGACGCCTTCTACTAGGTATTCTCTGACCTTCTGTGGAAGGCTAGAGATATAGCTGGCGATATTCGAACTGCCGCTATAGGTATGGGCTGTCTTTATGTCCTTTTTTTTTGTCTTGACGATCACCATAGATTTTAGATATGCAATGATGGGTATCATTCGCGATCAACGGGTTCTCCCTGAACAGAAGATCGAGTCTATGGAACAATGGTCCCACGTGAGCACCTCATATATCTCGACGTATAAAATGCTGAATATTTCGATTTATTTTGGTTTATAGTCTATGCGACCCAAGCTGGATAGTGCAAGTAACTTACCGACAGAATTCTCGAAACTTGCTCTGGACATGCAGGCCGTAGCCAAGGAATTAGAAGGACATCTTGCTGAAAAGCATCAAAAACCGTCTAAAGAATCCCTCGATCGTACTAGAAAGCCGCTTTACTTTACGTACCTCGCGAAGAGACTTAGCAGGCTTTTGATCCTGACTGGAACTTTCCATCGAGTCACCTCATTGCTTCTTCGGCGTTCTCTCAAGCGTGAGTTGCGGATAGGAAGGATATTGTTTTGTGGAATACTGAGATGCCTCCATTTAGTCGTGACCGGTGGGCAAAAGCAAGATTCACGAGCTGTTGACCCACTACCAGCTGTGCATTCAAGAAAACGCAGTCGCCCATGTGGATCCGATGTGGTTTCCCTTACGAACCGAACGAGCGCAGATCTCACAAGTTTATCTTCAAAAATGGAAGTCTTTGGTGACATCTATGAAATTGTATTTCACGTTCTTTCACCTCATTCAATGCGAACTGACACTAGACATTTACTAGTTGTTCAAGGAAATCGACGAGCTCACTAATGAGCTTCGCTCAGAAGACTCGTTGGACACGTACGATGTAAGGGACTTGTCTGACCCTTCAATAAGGCATTCTAAGTTCCTTCCATTTTAGCCTCAGTCCCTAACGGAGACTATTTCGATCTGTAATTTGCTTGATGCATTTGCGAAGACTTTGGAAGCGTACCAGAAGAACGTGTAGATCACGATACGTGCTTGAACTTTCGTATCTGAACGTTGGCTAAACCGAAGGACTACTTCGTTATAACATTCAATGTATCGCATCGTAACTTATCTCTCATTACCTTTGGGCATTTTGAAAATCACATTTTTCACTGATTATTACATCATTGGTGTGGATGAAGCTGCTGTCAGATGTCTTCTATGCGGCAAGCTGAGCAGGAGGGGAGAATACAACGTAAAGGCATAAAGCATGGATTGTCTTAAATGCATAAAAATGACAATAGCGTACATAGCAAGCTGAGCTGACTCGCAGCTGGTACAATTCGACCTTAAAGCAGACCGGAAACTGGAAGTGACGTGCTATGAGGCCCTTCCGAGAGACGTTCTACGTCCTTCCGTCTTTTCTACAAGTTCGTTGACGGTATAGCGACTTGGTACTCATAGAAGACCTCGCTGAGTGTGATATACAAATTTCGAGTGACTTGTAAGCGGTTCTCGAGCACCTGCGGCATACACTACGATAATTATTGAGCAGATCTTCACACTTATCATAAAATGTTTTGCGTACCTTTTGCTCTGAGACACCATCCATAAGTTCCTGAACGGTCTTCAATTCTCCGGCGATCTGCAATAATATATAGACATCAGTCGCTGTAGACTGATGTGGTAGAAAGACGCACAGATGTCCAGATGGAGCAGATTGTGACAAGCCTGCTAACAATATTTTCTATATCACTGAGGCCAATCGTCTGAAGTTCCTCCAATTCCGTGCGAAGCTTTTTACGTTGTTTCCTATCAGCTATAAAGAGTATATTCAGGATGATGATAAAATGATGATATGACAATGTGGCACCTACCAATCATATCGGAGATTGCCTTTCGCAATCGCGTCAACGCCTTGGATGACGGGGCAAAGAGATCCTAGAGAGTTCATGATGAGTGTGGGATCCAGAAAACTAAACAGGCTAGAGGTACTGGGAGTATAGTCGGATCGAAGCATCCATGTAGAATAGACACTACAACAAAGGCAGTTCCAGCTGCCACTCCGCAAACTAAGGCGAAGCTCATAAGAATAATCTAAATGATATCATTAGTCGTCTCAGGAATTGCACAAGATATCGGAGTACCTTGGTTCTAAGTCTGGACAAGCATGTAAGTCCAGTTGAATTAGCGCATACGAAACTTAGACATACTGGCTAAGAGAATGATCGAGGGCCGCAATATCTTCGGCACACTTCACGAAGTGTAAGGTATATTGATATATTCCTTTCTTGTGTACCGTCTCCTTCCAATCTCTGGAAAAGGCCTCGATTTGAATGCTTAAGTTCTTCAACTCGTCGCTGATGTCTTGTGAGCGGTTCTTTTGGTTTGACGCATGCTAACAAAGAAACTCAACGCGTTGAGATGTTCCAAGTCCGACATCGCTTACGTTCCTGTAGGTCTCAATTGCCTCCCTTTTCTGCAAGTCAGTCAAATGGGGATTGCATAGTACGTGATCGATAAACAGGATGAAATCTAACCAATAGGTGCTCAGTAGACGTTCTATAAGCCAGGTAGATGCAGACGTACCGATGGCGGTACTCCGTGCATCACCCGAAAGGTCTCTCGATGACCAAAGGACATGTCGAAATGCCTTATAGCCCGGAGTTAGATGGCTAGCATTAGAAGCTTCTCGACAACTGACCTTCTGAATGCCATGCCACCTTTCATCAAGACGCTCCACTTCATTTCGAAATGCAGAAGGAAGGTGACGACTATCTAGAATATTGCCTAGAATTCGCGAAACCTGATGGAATGAAGCATAGAGAGACTGGACGTCCTTTCTGAGTCTCTGCACCTGCTCAATGAATGCTTCTCTTGTCTGGTCAGTTGAGAACGATGTAGTTTCCTGGAAAGACATGGTGCTATCGTTAACGATATTAAAAAAGACTAAGATAAGGCAATGTAAGAAAAGAGCGACGCGAAGGACGATTATCTTACCAGGGTGCGTGTCATGGTGCTTTTATTTATTGAATTCGAATCAACAGCCATAATCCACGCTGCTAAAGCCTCTAACCAACGTGGAAGGGAGGTGCATTGTTGCAGTGAGATACCACTACCCAATCTGCACACCCTTCTGGTATCATCCGTGTTTCATGGGCTGCACGAACACCAGCCTCCCGGATTAACATGCTCAGAGACAAACATTCTTGAAATTGTCCTTGCATACAGGACAGCGGAAGGGCGGCGAATCCGTATCAAAAGCAATGATGTGGGCGGAAACAAGGAGATACATGTGCATGACGGTCATCCGAACGTTTCTTCAAGGTCGTCCTCGTCGAATCCACGAGGATGAGACGTCGTGTATGGTAGAGTTCTCCCACAACTCTCATTGGGCTTTACATTTGTATATTCGTGGGAACCTAGCTATGCATTACTACGGTACATTGACTCAAATAAGCCGCCATATTTACAACGATAGGACCCTCATGTCTTCACTTACAGTAAGTTACACGTTTCGGCTGCGTGCCCCGCCAGCAGCAGAACAAGGTCTGATAATATCAAGAAACCTATCGGGCTGCGCACGACGATGCTGCAAACTAATTGCTGTCGTTGTGCAATTTTTAGGGGAGGCACCGAAAGAGGCCCCGAATAACAGAGTGCGCTGTGTTGCGCAGTGTACGGAGCCACTACGGAGCCATCCCTGTAAGCTATCCCTGTTAACTCTCCGTTACCTGGACGCTACTCAATAGATTGTCAGGTTATGAATTGATCCCGCTTCCCAAATTCTGGTATTTCGAGCTTTCTACAACATGTCATCTTGGCTAGAGACTCTTCCGATTTTCCGTTTGCAGGCTCGAATACCACCCATACAGAAAACTTCTTCGTCGCTTTCATTAAACGTGCGTGCTGGCAACGTGGACAGTTTGCGGTCCATGCGATTCACGGTTCGTCCGAAATGATATAACAGATAACTTATGGCGGGGTTTCCCCAAGTCCGCCGGACAATGGTTGCACGGTCAGGCATCATATCTATCGGAGCTAGCGATTTTCCCATATTCTCATACAGGATTTATTCAGTCGGGTACATATCTGTACGGAATGGAAGTTCGGCCGATATTCGATGACTGAGGCCGTGTGGTAGCCAGTGCTGCCCTTCTGAAATCCCGTCTAATTACTTTGTCATTTGTATAGGTTTCTGCCGAACTATCTTCGCGATGTTGCGGGTAACACGGTACTGAACCGCCTTGGATTTCGTCGCAATGGTACATTATTTCCTCATGTCAATCTACATGAAATCTTTGCGAATCGCAAAGCTCCAATCAAAACCACATGCTTTGTTGGGTTCTGTCATCTAGATAGAGGTATAGCGTTTATGGGGAGCGCTCGGAGCGGGTGCCCAGCCATCTTCTCTCTCATATTCAGATAATACCCGTTCATCTCGTATAGCTGCTCCATGAGAAGAGAGCGAACAAGAAACTATACCGTTCGACACATGCCTTGCACGGTGCCGAAAGTAAATGGGATAGAACGCCAGGAAGTGCTTCAAGGCACTGTGTCATGGCCCCGCCGAAGACCGTAAACGCGCTTCATTGAGTCATCGCATCATTGGTTCCAGGAGATTGCTGTGAAGGTCAGTGAACAGATGTTAGTAGGACTCCCACACGTTCCATTCTAACCGCATCTAATCCAGGTACCAAACATTGGTGTATTCGGCTCTGAGGAGAAATGAGACTAGCACTACCAAGACTGTAGAGAAAACACCCACTATTCATCAGTTTTTCGAAAGGCGCCACGCACACATGGTAAGTCCTCAGGCCTCATCTTCTCAGTGCTTCGAAGATATGTTGAAGTCTCAAAATAATTGTCCGATCTGCCTATCATTGTGGCGTTTTCTGAATAGCCCATTGGCAGTGCCGTAAAGCATCTGCGGAGAGAACCGAAGACTATTGACGATATCTCATTACCGCAGCTCGGACCGCGGATAGAAGGACCTCTACATCAGAGTTGCCAAAGAAGCTGTCTTTTCAATTTTTCTGTAAGCTGTATCCACTGACAAGGTGTCCTAGCCGTCATTCATCCAGCCGACGACGATGGCCCTCTATCGGGCAGAACAATTCAGAGTATATATACCCTGATGTTAGTTGCACTCTGGACGCGTCCCGGAACATCAGTAGAGACTGGACTGATCCTACAGCACAACCAACCTCGATATGCTTCCTCCAATCCCCAGCATCGTTCAAGGTGCCACCCATGTTTCTACGCCGCCTCATGCCCCAGACATGCTGAAAGCGGACACACGTCTGCAAATGGAACTTAAGGTTCTATCGGAAGTTTGTGAAGCCATTACGAAGAAGCTGACATCCACCTTGGGTGGTGCTTCAAATAGCGAGATCGATAGTATCGTGAGTTCATGTTACGTCGTTCTTACGAAGGAGACTTTCCGAGCATCCTTGACAGGCTTTTATGGATATCAAGAAGGCGATAAGCGACCTCACTCATGATACCTGCACTGCCTGGAATTGTGACTTCTCCCTTCGCTGATAATATATATTAGTCCTGACCATTCTTGCCGTCAGTTATCTGCCTGGTACTGCGCGACTGCGTTGGCGTAGCGAGCATTAATGGCGACTTGAAATTACGACAAATCCACGCACTGGAGCAGGTAGTACCCTCAGACACTCCTGTTCTCACTTGTACCGCCGGCTGATTCCATCGCATTGACAGTTCATTGACCTTAGAAGCAATGCTGTGAAGGCGGTCGAGGAATCTCTGGAGTCCCTGCTCAGAAGCAATAGTGCCTTACGAACCTTTGTTCAACAACTTATCGGAGGTCTTTATCTCTTCACGGACATGAACCAAAAGGTATGCGATAGCATTGAAGGTTAAGATCTATGACTGGATACTGAGGGATGACGTCCAGGTCCTAACTGCCCTAAAAGAGATTTCGGATTCCGTTCAGCAACAGCACGTTGTGAGTTGTGAATGATTAATCAGTCAGCGGCATTTTTACTATATCGCCAGGAACTTTCGGACGACGTTTTCGATCTCCGAATATTCTTGGATGAGTGTTCATCTGCGCTGGCTCAGTATCCTGTATCCGAATGTACGTCAGTGGAATTGAGCTTATTGTATTATCGTGCGGCTAAGAATCGATATCCTGGCAGGAATCATTCATGACCCTCCCTTCAACGCACAAGGACTCTTGACTCTGCGTTGTATTAGACCCTCACCTGATCGTTATAGATAAGTAACCCACTCGCAGAAGTCTTCTAAGGACTCTGATGTCATGTTCGAGTGATGCTGCCGTTTGAGGTATATAGACATGTACTTGATGATGTATCCCGTATGAATGTTACATGTGTCATGGAACTCGTCTCTTCAGGATAGGTGTGTCATCGCGAACTCCAGCTTCAAAGTCAAGAAACCTGATTGACAATGAAGAATACATGTTGCGGCACATGCGAATACGCTCCATGAATACGGGGTCCATATGCTATCATTTGGGAATGATTGAGTAAACAGGGCGAGCAAGAGAGACTTTGGGTACAGACTGGTTCTATTGTAGTACACATGGCATTCAAGTACGACTTGTTGACGAAATCAAGGTCAGCTTGAACCTGTTATAAATTTGATGAGAGTACGCGGAATGTTGAAAAGGCCACCTACCGCCGCCCATATTGACAGGACGATCGAGAGGTGAGAGGTGATTTCTGCAAATGCAGGGGACTGTGGTGCGACATAGAACCTTTCGCCTCCACCAACATTCTAACCCATGTTAGTATTCAACCAAATCACTGCAAGAGGAGGGCTTACTTCTGCTTGGGCATTGCGGAAACTAAAGTCCAGATCCAAAGATATCGCATTTGCTCCGCCTTCGACACAGATCATAGACACCCGGCGAATTCTATTTAACATAGACAACAGCTGTTAAACGAAGGAATACAGCCATTATCAAAATGCCGACGCTAGCTCAGCGCACCTGAAGGTGTAGCCTGTCCTAAAGTTAATGTTTTGATTGCTACATAAACATAGATACATACTCGCGGATAGACTTGCAAAGTCTCGTTACAGGAGACTTTCCCAGAAACGTTGAATATGTTTCATGCGGGGAATTGAGGTGCTCATCTGGCCAGATCTGACTGAAAGTGTTGTAGAAGTCATCGACATGCGTGCTCAACGCCGTAAGTTCGTCAATGATTTCCCTTGAAGATACTTGTAGGTCCGTCTGGAGCAAACCCTCAGAATATATCTAGTCCACTAATAGCTACTTACCATACTGTAATTACCAAGATCAGGGCGGAATGATGCTGGATTCATTGTTGAATCGATTGCATAGGTAGATGTAAGAAACTCTGAAAAAAGTCAAGTTAAGCGAAATGGGGAAAGGAACTATAGCGTTGACTACCTTCAGATGCCACTCTTGCACGGGAAGCAACATAACGAGCTTGCCATAACATTAGAGTGTATGTCTAGCAAGCCATTCATGAGACTATATGCATCCGACGTGGAGAAAAGTATACCTTAGAAATGCCTTTCCAATCAGATAGTAACCGGCCCAGTCGAGATGCGTACTCCGAGTCTGACTCAGCATTCATTTCGTCCTGCAGAGCTTGAAGGTCGTCCAGGATAGAGCGGAATATTTTGTACGTTTCACTTATACCGGCCTTTATCGTTAGTGCGCTGCTTCTTGAGTAGCCAGAGAATAAGCCTGTCGAGCTCGTCATGGAAAAGAGCGAAGTGCAAGGTTGGGAGTGGATGGCAAAGGAGAATGCTACTTATCTTTCCTGACGAACTTGAGACTTCCCCAAGGCGGCTTTGTGGTGGAATATATAAGCGCCCCGGAGCGCCTTGCATAACAGTCGTGAGAGTTCTAAAGGTCATGGGAGCATTAAGCTTCATGGGAGGATGTGACATGAAACATGAGCGAGGCAGAATGAGCGGCAGAACTGTTCGTGGAAATGCTACGCCGCGTGCCGGAAAGAGTCATATCGAGAGCATCCTTGCTCTGAGTTTCATCAAAGTTAGATTCCTACCAGCTGGGTTGACGAAACACTAGCGTCATCTAGTAACACAATGCCAAACACCCCGATTGTGGGGGATTATGGCTGCATTACTACGGGGACCATGGTCTGATGCTTCCGGGACAGGCCACTGATCATCAAGTAGAGTTTTCCTGAAACTTGAGTCGAATTCGAGAAGGTCACGAGTGTACACTGCCACAGATGTGTGTCAACAACCACACATCTAATTTAAAAAAGTACCAATACATGAGCATACCGTTGCATCGAGCAGCAGTTCACGAATTACAGATTTCATGCTTCCAAAGAATCTCCTGCTATACGCCACGGAATACTGCTTTGAGGAAGTTTAGCCTAACGAACAAGGCAAACTATACAACATTGACCTGTAGGTTGTTTGATCTCTCAGAATAAACACTGCACCTCAAGAGCATCATATTTGATGATAGATTCAGACCAAACTTACATGCTCTGTTGGCCATCTCATCTGAGTCCAATATCGATGAGGCCCTAGAGAACACACTGGCACTGATTAGTTTCTCCATATATGTCGGAAAAAAAATTAGCTAGTTATATCCCGTTGCAACTTGTTATACGGTCTAAATGCAGAATACAAGTCACAAGCAGTTACATTCAAGGAGACTTATTATAACCTGAGTCATAACCTAAATCATAACCGCAGTCATGACCATAGTCACGACCACGGTCACAATCATGTTACATTCACCTCATAACCTTACTTACAACCGTACAGAATAGGTTACAAGGAAAGAAAAGTATTGTAACCTTAGTAAGTAAAATACAACCGAGTCGAAGGGCATCGCATCCAGATTCATTAGGTCACTACTGCATTATCAGAATTTTATTCCTTCCTTAGGTTAATTTGCTAGGCTACTTACTTATCTTAATGCTATTTACTTCTCATAGAAGCTCGCTACTAATGAGGACTTACCAGAATTGATTGATTTTACGCTGAAATGATTTGCGGTGAGCAGGGGTCGAACACATTAACTTCAGAAATAGAGACTTACTTAGAATTCATTGTAACGTTCTTGACAGTTTTGGCATATTGATTTATAGATACTTGAAATGTATATCAGATTGTGCGATTCTTTGGACCCTCACTCCCAACAACTCAAAAGAAAGTAATTGTATCGAAGTCTCGAAGATGAACTACAAACTGTCTAAACATAGAGCCATCAGTATGAATCATAATCACTTTCCACTCCTGGATGGCTTCCTGCCGCCACCTCGACCTCGACCACGGGAGGTTTCTACATGAGGAACACCATCTCCAACAGCATTTGATTTAGAGCGAGCAGTTCGGCGCGGATGGGGTATGTTGATGTTCGATGCATTAGTGGAGACTTGTTGTACCATCATGTTAGGCGCGTCTTTGTGCAAATGGGATGAAGATGATGGAATTGCAGTATTGAAGCTTCCGTCAGTGATGGCAATGGCTTCAGAGTCAACTGCGTGAACTTCTTCCGCAGCAATATCTTGACAATATATGAGGTCAATGAATCTATCAGAAAAGGTGACACTACATACCAGTATTGGCAAGAGCATTTGCGCTGCCCGTGGAGATGATATCAACCTTAACAGATTGGTCGAAGTGATCAGTGACTATTGCAGCCACAGGCTCGGAGGGATTTGGTCCTTCCCTGAGTGCACGAAGAATATCATTGAATTCTTGGCGAGAAGCAGTGTCGTAACTAGCTCTTGCTGATGTATCTGTCGACGTGTCCCCGAAGATGCCCCTATTGAAAAATCTTATCATCTCGTGCATGTGACGATTATTGTCCTCCAGCAATGTACCAATTAATGCCCTATATTCATCAAAATCCTCACGCCAAGGAATGCGAGAAGTGCCGCCAACCTCTGACATCTCATGGTCAGGTGAAATTAAGAAACGAGCCTGAAAAGCATCATTATCATTGGAAACTTGAGAATAAACAGCCTGATATGACTGACCATTATTGCAGCAAATGCAATAGCCCCCGGCGTGACTGAATCAACTTCCCAGAGCTGACCATTTGTTTGGGGCTTTGCTGCTTTCAGGTTCGTGAGAGCGCTTGGCCCAAAGAGAACAACCTTCAGGATCTACGAAAAAGTCTTAATCAGCAAAATTGAAATCAAGCTAAGGTGAACACAAACCTTGACCAGAAACTCGCTACGAAAGAGTGTAGTGTTGTCGCCCAGAATTTCATAGAGAATGGGGGCAAAATGAACATATGTTGGATAAGGTGTACGGTTTGTCGGCAGTTTCATTCCAAGAAGCTCTTGAAATCGCGGGACAGTTGTGCAGTTTGTATTGCTCTTGAACAGAATAGCTGGCTCATTGAAGATTACAGAACATGCCTTGTCTCGCAGTGTATTAAGGTGCATGGCATGCCCATGGTTCAGCGCAGAAAGAAACTGAAATGCAATGAATCAGCTCAGAATGCATTGTAGAAGGAGAAAAGAGATATTACCTTTTGTCCGAAGTGTGGTTGCTTCTCAAGCAGCTCGAGAAATTCTTCAGGAAGAAACTCATATAGCTCGAGAGTGATGCCTCGATCTTTGGCATTTGAATTGGAATAGCATTCCAGTATGCTCTGCTGTGCCGGTCGTGGCTTGAGAAAGACAGATGGGTTGATCCAAAGCTCGTAGAATACACCAAATTGTTTTCCAAGTCGCGAGATGCGTTGATCAACACATTCGAGGACTGGTGCACCGTCAGTTTGATCTTGCCGACGACGCCAACAATGCTGATTCTGCCGAAGTACCGCAACTTCTGCATGGAGTGCATGCAGTGCGTCAACTGAATTTCTGAGGGTGATCTGAAGGTTCTTGATATACTAGATAGAAACATAGTATCAAGAGGCAAGAAGATTGACATGTATGAAAGGAACAGACATACCTCAGCTTGGGCTTCGACAGAGGTGCCATCAGGACCTTGCACGAGGATCCTCATGTTCTGCATTATATTGGCAAGCTCATCTTCAGAACCCAGCTCAGATTCATGGTCAGAAGGCTCGTCAATAGAAGCAGTTGCATCAGGAAGGTGGGAAGGGTCCACCGACATCCCGAAGAGGAGACAGTTCAGCTGTGAAGGAGAAGTGGATGGGAAAGTAAATTGTGTCCTGTGTTCGTATTATAATGATTCAGCATCAAGTTACGGTGCAGCATTAAGGCATTGACCTCATAATATCAGCATGGCGAAACACATTTATAACAATTTTTGATATTATACTCAGCAATGAGAAGATATTACGAGTCTTAATGCACCGGAGTTGACACCCAACCGTTGGAAGACAAACCGCTCCTGCCCATTTCTGTTACACGTGTGGATCCATGCTGCATTCATGCGGAACTGAGGTAATATGAATATCAAGGCATGGACTTTTTTTTGGAATCAACTTAGTCCTCCGCCTCAGAATTCTCCATTTCCGAGTTCTCCGTCTCTCACCATACAGTGACCATTTCAAACAATAACACATGTTCCGTCGAAAGAAGTGTTGTTGATAAGGACAAATGGGGACATGAGGTGACTCTAGAAATATTGGGGTAAGGAGGCATCTGGATGACGTGAAGAAAACACTGACTCATGTCTTTCGCATGAGTATCCTAATGCACATCTGAATGAGACGTAGCGACGAGAGTCTGCACGGGGTAGCCAGCATTACTATTCAAATCATTGTTGACAACCAACATGGTTCCGTCCGAAAGCACAATGAATTGAAATGTGAGATGGATCTTGAAGTTGACTGGTGAGTTATCCATGGTCTCAGGGGTGATATGGTGGCACTTCTCGATGCTAGATACTCCAAGGCATTGATGAATGGCTACGAGCAGTTACACCGGACACAGAGTCGATCGAAAGATCAGGTCAGTGAGGTGCCCATGATGCACGTCCCATACATCACATAAGATTGTGCAATGGAACTCGCACTTGTGCTTGAATCATTTCGACGATGGACGCCAAAGCTCTTGTTGTAGATGCTGATGGGTGGGACGTTGGAAACCATAGACATTGTAAAATCATTTTGACGATGACCGCGCCTGTATTGCTGGGAATCTTGAGACACCTCTGGAGTGCGGAAGTAGAAACCCGACGTATCACTATTGACATGTTGGCATTGGAGATCCTTGCACATGAACGAGAAGGTATTGTCGACTGACATCGACATTGACATTGACATGTCCTCTGAAGGCGGTCTGCTTAGGAAGTAGCTGAAAGGGTTGACGGAGCCGGAATTGATGGCGGTACGAAAGGAAGAGACTGACGCGACACCGTACATTGATTTGTGCTTGTTGTGGCATGTCCGTGAGCACAACTGGGTGGTGTTTGCTCTGGGCCTTATCACGATAGGATGAGCAGCAATGAGCCCAGCTTCAATACGTGGTGCAGGATCGCTCCGCATCATATGTTTGATCAACTCAACAAGCTTAGACTTCTTCACAGCAAATACCTTCTGCGAACCTTGCTTACACCTCACCTTCACCCGGCCGAATTTGCCCCTCCCTAGTTTATCAATCTCCATGAAGTCGCGCTCGAGTCTCCCCAATTGCTCTTCACCAAATGCCATAGAACAATGCATGCGCAGGAATGGGCTGAATGGATTAGATGATTGAGGTTGAGCGGGAATGGCAAAGGTGCCCTTCTTTGGTGGCACACCAGGAAGATGTCGTGTCATTGCATCTGCCGTAGGAGACTCTGTAGCCGAGGTCGAGGTTGAAGTGGAAGCACTTCCAGCTGATAGCATAGGCAACTTTGATGTCCAATCTATTGAAAAGAGAATCCATGAGTATATTATGCATATAGCCAGATGAGTTTACTCTTGCCTTTGTATGTCAACCTAGTCGGCGTGGCAGCTGTAGAAGTCTCGCTTCCGCTAGAGAAAGCGCCACTGCTGCTCCTACGCATGAGCCAGGACGTCCGGCCTTTCACATCCGTACCAGGATGTGCCATAGGATGGACTGCAGGTCTGCCTAAGCCCAAGCCTTCATATCTCGCATCCCGTCCCATAGTCAGACTCGCCTTCTCATCGTCTCCATCCGCATCCACTTCCATATTGAGACCAGTCGAACTGAAGTTCAATGCATCTCGCCGCTGATGCTCAGTCCTTGCGGGTTTCATCGTGACAGGGAAAGCCGCAGGAAGACTCTTTCTCAGCTTTTCTTTCTTTGCTGCCTTAACTCCAGCACCGTGCGGGTCGTCAAAGTCGGGAAACCTGATCTTGGAGGCGACCGCACTCTGCCACAGCCTGTCGATGATATGAGACATTTTGACCCTCTTGACAGGTGTACCCGGAGGTCGTTTGGCCGCCTCGCCCTTTGACAATTTTGCGCCAGCGGTAAGGGTACACATGATGAAAGCATCCACACTCCTCTCCCCTCCCAATGCTCCAAAATGACCATTCTCATCTTCATCTAGGTTGTAGATCCCAACATTGGGCCACCCAGACCCAGCGCTAGGACCAAAGCTAGGCGGGACCAATGCTTCTCCATCACTCTCCAAATTCATCGTACTCACAGAGGTGGAAGCCCTCGGCAACCCCTCATAACTGCCATCATCGCTCTCATCCAGAACAACTCCAGAATCTCTCAGTCAAAATTTCTTTGGCAGTAACTCCACTGACTCGGTTCGTTGCTTCTTCTTAGGGCTTGGTGTTTCCCCAGTCAGACTGAACGTAAATGAAGAATCGGTAGGGCCACTGCCGCTACTGAAGAAGAAGTCAGCTTCCTCATCGCTATCGACTTGTAACAACATGCGAGTTCGTGGCGACGCGGCAACCAGGGTGTTGCGCCACCAGACTTTTCATCACTATTTCTGTTGTTGTCCAGGCTACGTCAAACGGGGACATCAACATTCATAGGCACGTCCTTAGAAGTTGTGTTTGGTTTGTTCAGTTGGGGAATAGCAGGTCCGAAGAACAGCGTGGCTGAGCTAACACTGTCTAGTCAATTTAGCGCAGTGCGGGGTGGTGCAAAGGCAGTCTCTGTCTGTAATCGAGGTAATGTGGCTGTTGTTGGTCGAAAGCGCGGGGGTGAACTGACGTCAGAAGAAGTAATCGATGAGTACGATAGTTGATGGGAGTGCAATGCACTCCGCGGGGGAAATGCAATCGTACTCGGACTTTGTACCCTCGATTTTGCCTGGGATTCCATACCATAGAAATGTCAGTATGACACTTGTATGCACCAGTTCCGGATAATTATATGCATACCTTTTGCTCTTCCGGTGTTGTTTGAATGCTTGAGAGAAGTTCTGCAGACCTCGAGCGGGTGCGGCGTTAGGTTATGTGACCACCAGGAGACATCGCTTTGACAACCTCGCCTTGTTTCGACTGCCCCTCTTTCATCAGAAGTTGCACACGAGGTGACTGAAGTGGAGGTGGTCTCTGCTTTGCCCGTCCCTTAGCGGCACTGCTAGGAAACAACATCTTACCCACGTCAGGGAAGTCACCACCAGAGTCATACCCACTCTCATCTCCAGATTGTCCCATGTCATTAATTCACAATTTCGTCATGGAATTAGCCTGACATTTGAGACTAGTCTCAGTGTCTGTCTTGTTTTGAGGTGTACGTAAGTTGAATCGCGGTGCTGCTAGGGGCACAAGGATCAAATCCCAAGACAGATTCCCCATCATTCACTACTAGGCTTGAGGTGGTGTTTAGCGGAGTGAGGGTACGCCTATGAATGGGCATTGTGGATGCTGGCGTGGGCTTCCATTTGGTACCTTGGGTAGTCATCGATGGTGAGTTCAGATGTTTGACAGACAGCGCTAGATGCTCCGGCGACAGAACACAACCAGAATGCCTTACTGGAGTCCGCAACAGCACCGGAGAAGAGGAAGGAGGAAAGAGTGCATGGGACTGTGGTTTAGCAAACAACCTGTCATCATCATTGTCATCATCATCAGGAGGATAGAAGGCAGGTTGATTAGGTCCAAATTCGGAACCTCTACGAATCTCCTCGAATGATTCAAAGCCTGTGAAACTAGCTTCGGATGTGGTCCTCGAATGCGATGATCCATGACTGATTTGGGATGAATCGCAAGCAAGTCTCCTGGAGCTGGTGTCAGAATTTGCACGAGGTCTGATAGCAGGAGGCGGCATCTCAGAGACATGCACCAAGATGGACTTGAGTACAGAGTCGTCCTCCAATATGGATGAAGAGTGGGATCGATAGTGGGATGGCGGTGGAATGATATCTGAAAGTGTCAATGGTTTTTCCTCCTTCTCAGGTAGGGCAGGAGGAACTGCTTCAGGCTGTCATCGCTTTCGCCTTCAGAAGTTTCTCAGATGCCACAGCCTTCTTCTCTGGTTGCGAAGATGGAATATTCATCATCTCACCTAAAGCACCCCATTTTATCCCATCTAATCCCAGGCATGACTTCTTCGTCTCTACTATCAAAATCTCCCCAAGATCTGGGTCATCCGCTTGGTCAACATAGATCTCGAATCCACCCGAGCCATTTGTTGAGCCCCCTCCAATGCGCCGAACTTTGTCTTTTGCCTTGTTGTTGTTTCCACCAAGCAGTCCGAGCTTGGACCTTTTGGGAACAAGGCATCTCCGTGGTACTTCTGCATCTTCGCGTGGTGCAAGTGATGAAGACGCGAAGAATGCGACGGCATTGAATGACGTACTTGCATCAGCTGCCACGGATAGCGTAGCGGAGATAAAGCGAATAGCGAGGACAGCTTAGGGAGGGGTGGCAGTTGGGTTGCGAGAGCTGGCTGCCTATGCATGAGATAGACCTGTTATGTATGTCCCATCGTGCAGAGGAACGGAACTTGCAGATGAATGTACAGAGTGTCCAGATTATGTAGACACTTCTGGCAGACGCAATCGAGGATGAGCGTAGAGAAGAACCATTGGAAAGGGGGATGGAGGAATGAAGGTTGATGGGCATGGGAGTGATGCTGTTGAAAGTGATGCTCCCGGGATTTTTCCACTTCGAAGTAGTGGATGAAGGCACACTCTTCATACCGTCCGGTCTCTGGAAACTTTCAATGTAGTCAATTTACGTGCGGCAGAGTCGTTGAGAGCAGTCTATGCAGCTCACTATTTGACTTCATCCTATTCCTTTTAATAAACGAAAAAAATTCTCAGTTTGTAGATATATCTAGAAAATGGGAGACCAAATCAATGCTCACCGTTATCACGCATATCAAGATATTGCTTTCATGTTTGAAACAATATGTTTCGCTACAATCGAAAGCTACTGGTTACCAAATCATTTATGCCCCACCTATGATTAAGATTATTCAGGCTATGAAAGAGCAATAAGATGACAGAAATCCCTTTCAAAAGGGTAACTTACTGGCAGACAATGAAGGTTCGACAGAAGTGATCTGTTGGACATCTTACCATAATTCAGGCATGAAATTGGGGAAGGAATGTTGGTGTTTAGTGAATGGTCGTGCAATGTTGCACGTTGAGAATGTGGTGGTGAAAAGAGAAATGAAGGCGAGTCGAATATCAGTAAGAGAGTCAATAGTGATCGACACTTGATCTGATCGAGTTGTGCATGTGCAAGCTGACAGACTCAGAGGTCAAGTTGCATTCATGCATATTGAGTATTCTACATACAGAACTAAAGTCTAAATTGGGAGTCATGCATGCGCAAAAACATGTCCGTATCTACTGCATCCACTACAAAGTAGTCACCACTGGTCTCCATGTCTTCGACAAGTAAAGCACCTCTCACTACAGACTTCAGGGAGATAAATTCAGATGCAGAACGAGGGCGTGCTCTGATGCGTATCAATCCCAGGTCGTCATCCTTCTTCAAATGCCTTCCAGGAATTGGGGCATCATATGGCTGAATGAGAGCAATTGGGTATGGTTTACTGGCAACTGTGCATGTGAACATGCACACTAGCTTTGCAAATATAGGATGTTGTCCAGTATTCATAATGGCATAGTCATATTGTGGCAACTCATGAAAAGATGGGTTACACCGTAGATAGTCTGTCTTTAATTGCCAATTGACCATTGATTCATAGTTCACCTTGAGGAATTTGTATTCTGTGATCTGCCATAGTATTGAAGATGAAGTTAATGCTATATATGCTGAAAAATATCAGAGATATGAGACATACTGTATCCTCATTGGAGAATTGTAGACGTTGGCCACCTGGAAGCTCTATTCTAGAGGCAGGTAGCAAGGTATTCATATATGAGGCTAGTTGCTTTCGAAAATCTTTGAAGGCCTTATCTTGTGTATAAATCTCTTCAATATTCTGAAATGTGCATGACTCCAGTGGGGCACCTAAGGTAATGTGACCATCATCAATTCGAAGGGTACCAGAGAAATCTTCAGCATCTTCAATGCTAGCATTGCCAGGCTGTAGAAAATCATCAAGTTCATCCAATTGGTCTTGTATCAGAGCAGAAACCCAGAGCAAATGATCATAGTGTAGAATCTGCAATTTTATACTTAAAAAACTAGATAGTTGAAGATTAATCTGAGAACATACCTGCTCTGCAAAGTTCTTCTTATTTGTTCGTAACAGATAAGAATCCTTTAAAGGCCCATGCAACTTTTCATTTATTTTGGTATTGAAATTTTTTGTTGCACCTTTTGCTCGAATATCAGCAAAAGCATGTTTATTGGTATGGGCCTTGGGAAAATTCCAGTTCTTCTGAGTTTCTGAGGGACAGGTGTGAATGTAGGCCTAAGAGAATTCTTAGTATCAATATTGTAACTATTAGAATGTAGATTCATAGACATACCTGAAGAGAGTCACCAAATTCCAATAATGCATGCTCACCAGCATTTAAGGTATCTTCAGTGTGAACTTCAAGTGCCAGGTACATATCTAGTGTAAGATATGTATGAAGACATTGTAAGAGTTGATAACCTCGCTTGTGTTTTTTTGGATCAAATAGACCATGTGTAGCAAAAATTATGACCTAAAAATATTACTTAGTATTTATTCAAGTAGATATAAAGATATAATACTAACCTTAGAGATATCCTCATACTTGGTTCCATCTGAGAAGGAAATAGAGACAATGTGATTAAAATGATTGAGACCATGCCAGCGTGGAATAGAATTCATACTATTCTCTTTAGTAAAATTAAAGTAAAATTAATTAGAAGAGATTTTACATACTGATTATCAACTTTCTGAGCTGCAGATCTGCCAAGGTCTTCTATCAATGCCTGTAACTCCGGCCAGAGGTGTTTTCCAAATAAGCCTTCATGGTGAGCATGCAAGCGATTAAATGATAAAGCAGCATATGGATCAGAATTCTTGACACGCCAAAATGCATTCTAAAATTAAGTATTGCTTATAATTATATTATCTTGAAAGTGATTCAAAATCATACCTGAATATTGCGAATACTCTGTTCCTTGAGAACTTTATCTCGCTCTGTAGCTAGATGCTTTTGACTTGCTAGAACTAGTAGATCCTGTGTATCACCAGCTGTTCGTGATGGATAATTCACTCTCTGATTTGCAAGCTCATTTGCTTTTACAAGACAAATGGGACAAGGGCAATCAGAGTTGAATCCTCGAATAAGAGCCATAACACATCTAAAATTTCAATAAAATAAAATCAGTGCTAAGAGATGAGAAAGCATTAGCTTACTGTTCTTCATAGTCAGCTGAGAGAATAACCACAAAGGGAAAAAGATGGAAGAGCAAGTTCTCAGCAACTTTATGCCAATAACCATGCTCTGAGAGTGGAATAATACTCTCAATCATTTTGAGAAATGACTCATGCCAGACAATGCGCTTGAAATTCACAAAGCCAGTCTTGTTTTTTTTATTTGGCTCTTCATTAACCTTTGAGAGAATGAATTGATAAATTATATTTCACTAACAGTTTACACTCACGATAGGCAACCAGCCAACAACACGACCTCCACCAACACCCTCACCATTGCGTATCCATGATGGTAAGTTTGCTAATCGAGCCACAACAGGATATCCTTTGGCTGTCCCAAAAGTGGATAACTTGGTCTTATCAGCATAAAGGATGAAACCAAAAGGTTTGCCATCCTTTGGCAGGACAGACTAGCATGTGACCCATGAATAAGGATTAACTACACATTATAAAGCCAGTCACTTACCTGAACATCCCAAAATCAACTTGCTGTCCATGGCTCATCTATGAAGGATACAAATGACCTGCCATTGAACTTTGATAGATGCTGTGCATCCCAAACAATGTGGGGGAAGATGCGAGGATTCTTCACGAGATCCAGTGCCCAGTCCCAGAGTGGTTGACTGAAGACATCAAAGGTGCGATTCTGATTTTTGTATGGCACTGTGATTTGATGCTTGGTAAACTACGTGTACAATAGATTTGAGAATATTTATGATTAGCCTACAATTCTAGCTACCAAATTGGAGGCTAACTTACAGGTGTCAGTTTCGTCGAAGCCAATTCCCATGTAGCAAACATTTCTGCATGACCCTGCAATGTCAGCTCTCCCTCGCCCCTCACACAAGCATGGATTAGTTGTATTAAAGTATCTGTCTGCTCTTTAGTCAACGCTGCAGCTAGGACGAGCGCTGACAAGATGAAATCGATACGAGTCTTGAATGGCTCCCACGGTTTGTCAGAGAACGGCTCAGATGGTCCAGACATTCGATCTTGTCGGTACTTCTCAAACCGACAGAACTCCGTAGCGAGACCACTGTGTGGATGGAACTCCGTTCTGATATCGTCTTTCATGTGTTCATCCTCCTGTTGCATGTTTGGTGGCGCAGGTCCAAGTTCCGGCATGGCAGAGGTATCAGGGTCTGAAGACATATTTGTCTATACTATCAGCGATTGGCTGCAGATAAACTGAATCAACGCACCATGAGTTAATTCCGAAAGGGGATCAGAAAGAGATGGACCAGGATTTGGGCGCTCCTCGCCAATGCCAAAATAACGACGAGCGGCATCACCAGCATGTCGCTCTGTATCGATACGGTTATTTACACAAGCCAAAAATCATCATACACTCACTGTTTCATTGTCTGATTGTCCTTTGGTACTCCTGCTCTTGCTTGTTCGCCTCAGCAGCTCATCTGCAGGCCTTCTCATGCGCAACCAAACCCCGGGTGTTCATCATTTTATGGCAGATGCTACATTGTGCTTCAGCTCTTGAGTTCCGCGCCTTCATGTCAGAAGAAGACATAGTGGAGAGTCAAATCAATGATTGAGTGTGGAGAGTCAAATCAATGATTGAGTGTGGAGAGTCAAATCAATGATTGAGTGTGGAAAGAGGGTCGGTGAGGAAGGGATGGACGACGCAAGCTGAGTTATGCTTGCATCGTGGTCTCAATGCCGGGGTCAGCCGGCCGTCCCAAAGAATGACGTCGCCGGCCTGGACTTGTTTCGCTATTCAACGCTTCTGACACCTGTCAACGTCGACAGTGATTGGCAGCATCAGACTTCTCTTCTGTGTCGAACACGAAAATCCTCTCGTCGCCTTTCCTGGACAATAGGCATTTCCCTCTTTTACTTTTCATTGTTTCGCAATTAACTGATAACCTTTTTTTTTTTAACTATTGTTTCTTGCACCTCGAGGAGTTGCCTCGAGGCGAGGTCTTCTATCTTAGTCTCACTCCATGTCAACCCGTATTTAGCAACTGCTGTTCTTAAAGAAATCCTGTTGTCCTACAGGCAGATACTTGGCTGACTGCAAGTGCTGTGAATGTAGAGTACGAAGAGCATATAAATAAGGATGGGTTTTCTGGTACAAGTCTCATCTCACCGGTAGCATCCCCCCATACAGCAACATGAACTCCTCACCTCTCACTCCTCTCACATCTTCTTCATGGTCTTCAGTCGGCCATGCCTCCGCTCCGGCTCGCTCTGTCCAAAAGCGGTCACCTCTCTCTACCATCTCTCGCCGTGCTCGCTCTGCTCCCGACGGTAGTCCCACACCTGCTGGTGGTCCTGTCACCCCTGCTTGGGTTATTCACACACTGCGCGACCTCAAGATTGCCCTCAAGGCTGAGCATTCACTCGTTTCATATGAAGCCTATCCCATATCTAGGCTCATTCCTGTCCCTCTGTAAGTAATCTCTATTCAAAATTTCATGATGACAACTAATTCATCCGATAGCCCTTGTAATTCAAAACAGGTTCCCGTGCCGCTTGTGGACCTCCCGCAATATGCCGGGACTCATCATTTCCTCGAGGACCTTCACTGCTTCTGCAGCGTGAAGGATGGTGTCAACCACCCTGTCCGTATCTTTATTCCTGTAGGTGGAGAGCATGCCGGGGATGTTTGTATTGGATGCCGCCACTGGCGCCCTGCAGACAGGTGGAACGGCTGCTCATTCTTTGGTAAGTTTCAATATTCAGTTCCTGTATCAGTACACTAAACTCACATGCCTGCATTGCAGTTAACATTAGTCGCCTACCAAATGTGGTTCAAGGGTGCCATGACCATCAAGAGTTCCCTCGCAACTTACCACTGGAAAGCTACATGCAAGGTATGTGACATCTCAAGTCCATACTACTCCTTTGGGCTAATCATCTTAACATAGCCCCACCTTCAAATCAACAGATGTTGTATAATAACCCGCTGCGAGGTTTGTGTTATACATCAGGCTTTTGAATGATACTTCTCTAATTTCCCCAACGTTCTAGTCATGTCGCCACAACCCCCTATATCTCCTCTCAGACTTGGCGCTCCCACCCAAAAAGGATTATCATCTCGCATTCCTGCATCTGATATCTTCGGTCCCTTCATTCTCGAACCTCAAGTGCCTAAGTTTAAGCAGGCTGCTCCACCTGTATGTGGTATGTTGTATATTCATTTCCGGTTGTTGTCTGTTCACTGACATGTATGCTTTCAAGATATCCTAATGCCAGGGCTCGTTACAGATGCCGCACGGCTGTATACCCCGACACCTGTCGAATTTGTGACCAAGAACATCGAGGACCTTCCCCCCATGGACGTTCATGTCAATACCGATAACATACTTCAACTCTGGAATCCTCAAGGCCCCGGCCTTGGGTATTGGGAGTTGATGTGTAATTTGGGTCAATGCGTCGCCTGCGGTGGTTTATATGGAATATCGCTTCTTCGTGATGGTGGAGGTGGACCCTTGCACAATTGTACTGGTCGTCATCATTGCCCTGTCTCAGGCTCCTTGTCTCCGCCTTCATATACTCACTCTTCTCCTCCACCTCTCTTCACGGAGATTGATGGCATCTTGGTTGAGGATGGCCTGTCACCACCCGGACAGCCTCTTTCAGCTCAGGCTGGTCCATCTCGACTCCCCGCTACTCCAGGACCCGCTCGCCCTCGCCGTCGCTATCACCGTCATCCCATCTATCAAGATACCGCATTTCCACCTTCTCCTCGCCGCTCTCATCCCGCTCGTGTCCCGAATATGATGCGGCATTACAATGCACACACCTCATGCCAATCCAGCATCATTGATCTCACGAAGGATTAATAATCCCATCTGAAGTGAAGGTTTAGGACTCATTGACTCCGACTGCAGGTATCATTCATTTCTTGGACATTCTTGAGTCTCTTGATATCTCCACATTCCATACGTGTCGCTGATATATATATATAGGCCTGTTCCCATGCTCTTTGCAGATGTACTATTATGCTTTTGGCGTTGATGTTCTCACCACTGAATGTCTGATGTAGTCTTGTATTTAATTCCAAAAGTTAGCTGAGCGCACACATCTGTACTTAGTCTACCTCAAAATATGAAGGCATTTGCTTGCATTGCCTGTCTATGGATGTATATCATCGGAGGTTAGATGCTTTGAAGTGTGAATAACTTAGTAGACTTTCGTGAGGTTAAACACTTGGTATGTCTCGTTATATCTTGAATATAACTATTCAATTTCTGGCCTCATGTGAACTTCGAAAGGGTCTCTTTTGTCCCGTATTCACTTTGTTTGGCTTAGAATACAATCCCCCATTTTGATTCCCTGTGTTCGCTCAGGTGAATGTGGTGGGCCCCGCCCGCGACTTGCACAATGTACGTGCGCAAGACACTTTTCTTCAAACTTATCTTTCCGAGTCTTCATTGATTCATATCTTGACCACCGTTCACGTTCATCACAATGACGACCCATATCATTCTGCTACATCCAGATTCCGCGCTATCACATTTGTCCTCACACGACTTGACTTTGTGAAGAAACACAAGGACATCATAAAGATCGATGATGACGTGGAGTCTCCCATGTTCTCCAGTAAAGCTACCGCGTCTCAAGGAGCTTGTAAGTATGAGTATTATAGCAAGTTGATTAGGCAAGTAAGGTGTCTGAGTCCGCGCCTCTGCATTTTAACAGTGGCTCACCCCTCATCAGGGCAACCAGTCCTGTTGCAGGGGTAGGCAGCTGCGCGTCGAGTCACGGTGCCCAAGATGCGGGCGTTCCTGCAAAACTTAGTAATATGCGAAGGGCTACTAAGGGCTGTTCTTTTGAGTCAGCGTCCTCCCCATGCAACACGCAGTTCAACAAATCACACCGCACCATCCCTTATCCTCTCACCCTTCCTCGTCGCTCTTCTTCCTCTGATATGGATGATGCGCACCTCCACCCACACCCTCCCGCATCAACTTGGTCACCCTCATCGCCGCCTCAGAGACATCATCCACACCCTCGATCTTCAATGCTGAACACCCCTTGTACACCCTCACTCCAATCAGCTGCGCCACACATTCAGCCTGAGCACATGTGACAAATTGTCCCAGTTGGGAGGGGTCAGATGTCGACGGCGGAGAGTAATGAGGGGGTCGCAGGTCGCAGGTCGGATTTGCAGCCGATGAGGATGACGAGGATTTGTGGGCCACAGTTTGACCGCACTTCCTCTATGCACTGTGTATCAGCTGTCAGTTGTTGAGCGGTGCAAGGAGGGCATGCAGACGTACTTTGGCGGTGATGTGGTCCAGCGAGTCTGGTGTGTCAATGGTGAACGCGTTGAGGATGACGTGCGACTTGGAGTACGACATTGGCCGTAGACACTATCTAACCTGAGTTAGCTTCAGTTAACGGCGGTGCGACCGGTGAGTGCCTACCTCGTACTCTTCCTGCCCTCTGCAAACTGATGGTTAGCGAGGGTGGAGAATCGACACAATATAAATGTACGAGGTATCCCAGAGAGCCGAACGGTGCGAGCGTGAGCGAGAGATGGTGAATTGGACAGACATTGCAATTTGGGACCCTGGTAGGCATCAGTACCCAAGAGAGTTGTGTCGGACGGTGAAAAATGAGTCGACGAGCACGTCGTTCACTTCCCTGGAGATAAGAAGGGTGACTCGCAGCTGTAGGTTCGGAATGTGGGGTCTGTCAGTGGGCTACAACTAGTAATGGGTTTAAGGAAGATGGTCGTAAAGCGTAGAGATAGTAATGGAAGTCGAAGCACGGCCGTGATGGTTTGCACGGAATGCGACAGAGAAATGTTGACTCACAAGTTGCCAGCTTGTTGCAGTGGTCATCGTGAAGACCTGTATTTGTGTCAGTTGATGATGAATTTGTGAGGATGGTGAGCAGGAGAGAGGACATTTGAACACCGGCCTCTTACCGTAGGGCCTTTGTTAGACCCAGCGGTTCGAGGACGATGCCAGCGGGCTCAAGGGCAAGGCAAGGGCAAGGGCAAATTGAGTGCGAAACTGACACCTACACCGACGGGGGGCATGCACCCAGAGCCGACGTAGATTTGGCATAAAAAAGGTAGGGAGGCGGGAGAGCGGAGAAAAGAGCATCTGAAACGGGTTTTATATAGCCAGTCAATGCGACTACCTTCACGTGACTGAACGCGTCGCATGAAATTCGCTCAGTCTTGCCGCTCAATCACATTTCTTGCTCACATCAACCTCATCTTCGAATGAGGCTCTTTTTCTTGCTCTTGGGTACTCTTTGTATGTGATTCTGACCTCTTTCATGAAGAAATTTCTAACTCGTCTTTTGCAGATGATGTGAACTTTGAAATCGCCGAAGAAGTCGGGGAACAAGACATCTGTAAGTAAGATCAGCACGCCTTTCTGTCGCGTCCGTTGAGCACCTACGTTCAGGAGAAGTACAACGAAGGCCTCGAGTGCTTCGACCGTATCTTTAAGCGTCCTCCAAATCCATTCACGCATGCCGATATCTAGTTCGAAACTGGTCATGTCTATGAGCAGATGTGCTGAGCGATGCGCGATGTATTTGTAAGTGTATCTCTGCTGTTAAATGCTATTAACGCCTCTTCTAATTCATTCAATTATGCAGCTCGACGATGGGAGAGACGCCTACGAACGAGTCGTGAGCAATAACCCGAGACACACCAAGGTTCGCCAGCAACTGCGGGTTGGCTGTACCATGAAGACGTGTTCTCCTTCCAGAATCAAGACCTTGCTATTCAATATCTCATCAAGAGTCTAGGAGCAGGTATGTCACTTTCACATGCTTTCTCTATACGTAATCTGAACAAGTCCAAATTATCCGTTGATTCCGGAATAAGTCCCTCAGATGCACAGAGTTGGTACCTCCTTGGGTGCGGTTACATGGCTGGACAGAAATACAGCGAAGCATAGGAAGCTTACCAGCCAACTGTGTACCGCGATGGGCCGCAATCCTGCCTTCTACTGTTCTCCATTGGAACACTTTTTATTCAGATTAATCAGTATCGCGATGCACCCGACACTCACTCCCGCGCGATTCGCATCAACCCTTACATCTTTGAGGTTTGGTTCAACCTTGGCTCGTTATATGAGTCCTGCAACACCTACGACGGCTCAAGCAACTGGCAGCGCTCTGCCTACTGTACCAGGACTTCTGAATGTCCATCCTGCCGCCTACGCCAACCCGCTTATTCCTATCCCTACCAGATTGATGGGTCCTCCATTGCTGCATCACTCTCGTCAGGGTATGCATCTAATATTCAGGATGGATTCTCAAGGACCCGGCAATCCCCCATCGCCAGCTCCTGCTGCTGTACTCGATGAGCGCTTCGCGAGTGAAGCAGAGTAGAGTAGCGTAAGGGATGTATACCGAATTGACCATGCTTTGCTGGCAAATGCTAAGTCAGACATGATTGTCATGCACCCGCTTCCAAGCATTCCTGGTTCGTTCACATCATTTTCATTTTCATGATCAGATGACTTACCAATTACTTGAAGTCGATTTCGACTTTCGCCAAGCTGTTTACGTCCTACAGATGCATTATGGGCTTGTCGTAAGTTCTCGACTTTCTCACATCTCCTTTCACCCGTGCACGTCCCCTGACTCCCTTTTTGCTTTCCGTCTCCATCTTCTAGTCCTCTTCGGATTTGGCGGCATCATGTCTGTCCGACAAACCCCTCACCAGCCCAATCGCTACATTCATTTTCATGAATCTCATATGCCTCGTGGTCGTCCTCACCTTATTCCCTCTCCTTACGCTATGGGCCATCTACCACACCTCAATGGCAACAGCCATGTAACAATGCCTCTCGTTGCACCATCTGCACCAATACAAGTTGTGACGCCAGTAGCAGTGGCTAATGGCGTTGTCATTCCACCATCAATCCAGAAGTTGAACCAAGCCAACGAACAGACACAACTGTTCATTGACACTTCGTTTTTGATCTAGACGTTCTTCTAGCGCAAGTTTCTAATCGCATCAAGTCAATTGAACAGGTCTGTGCAACATCAGTCAGGGACCATCTGCGCTACTTATTAAAAGTGTACAAGATATCCATCAGACTGCGCGAATATCACCATTTATATCTAGGACGTATATGTCGGAATGAGATGTTCAATATATGCAGCACCATCAAACTTCATTGTTATGACATTTTATGAGATTTCTTTCATTTTTGGTACTTCTCAGGTGAGGGTGCACGTAAGAATCGTTTCTTGCACTGGCCCTGATTATTCGAAGCTCCTGCGGCTTTAGGAAAAAAAAGGTTTCAGATACTCGCAATATATGGTTAAGGACTGATGACGTACTGAACGTGTCTTCATGCATATCTTCTGGCCTCATCTGAATATGACCTAGAATGTCATCAAGGAGACCCACTACTTCTCGAAGTTCTCGGATATTGTTAGTTTCAGTAAGCTGTATATGAGGATCGGGTTGCCGAAAGTTGGTGAGGATGCCATATAGTGGTGGAAGAACAGAAGATATATCCTTTTCAAGGTGCTGTTGAACCTGGAATGTGAGAGCACGGGCATTTTGCACCTCTTGCTGACCCAATGAATCCCCCCTTGCAGTATCAGAAATTGATCCACCAGTTGGCCCTATTACGGTTTCTGATAGGGACGAAGAGCCTGAATAAGCAGGCTCGCATGGTTCACCAGTCATTCCCATGAGATCTACTGCTTCTTCACTCTCTAGATCGGATTCATCGCTATCCATTGACAGTTGTTCATTTGTGGCCAGCTCACTCTGTAATGTTGCTTCGTGCTCCAGGGAGGGCAAACTTTTCTCGGAAATGGGTGGAGGCAAGATAGCAGTACCAGGTACGATGTAACCGTGTTCTAAGGGTGTTCCAGTGACAAGATGTGTGGGAAGGCCGCTTTCGTGGGACACAAGTTGAAGGGTTTCATTCGTGGCAGGTGCAGTGACTGCATAATGCAACTGCGAGCCATACCAATGACTGTTTTTCACCTCTATTGCAACTGCTTCATCATACGACGTTGGAAAGTGGTATGTAGTTTCGACAAGTTTCGCTTCTGACCACTCTTCGACTGTCAGACGAAATGCTCGAAGATGCTTGCAAGCACCTGAATTCCGGAAAAGCCAATCGGGACATGTACAAGTCGCAACACCCGATGGATGAATAGTAAGCCAATATGTGGTTGAGTCCTTTGGGGCAGACGACTGGCACTGTGCCCATAGCTCAAATTGACGAGAGCTGGCGATAGGACACAGTCGATTCATTGTCCGTATTACATGCGCTAATGCATCTCGTTGCTCATCTGGTTGAAACCAGGCTAGTGGACGGTCATGCGTAGTGATTTTTGCAGAGATAGGCAATTTCCGTGAGATGGATATTCCGCCGGAGGCACCTTCAAAGCGTTGGGCTTTCCAGCTCGCATAGCCATGCATCATTCGGAGGCGTGCATAGATGCGAGGGAGAATACTGACAACAAGATGATAGATCAACACGTCGAAGCGTAGACGATGACCAGAGCGCTGCCATTGAGGTATGTATTTCTTTTTAAGGCTGCCGTTTAAAGACTCAAGGTGGTTTGTGGTTGGTAGGACACCAGAAATTGGAACACCTAAGCATGTTGCGGCATGCTCCCATCCGTGCTTTGACCAGCTACCCCACATTTCAACGGGCATCAACGTTGACCTCATGTAGGTGATATAATCAATTCCTGCTTGGCCGGCTTTGTTGGCATCTGAATCAGAGAGGCAGAGAAGTTTGTCATACTCGAGCTCTTCACGCTCGAGCAGATTTAGGGCATCTTCGTGATTTACTGTATCTAAGAGACTGTACTGATGTGAGTATTCTAAATAGGATTATAATATTAAGATTGATACACATGCTTCTTCAAGTGCCCTCAATCGTGTTTTGACAAATACCTGCCAGTGGTTGGCGTCACCTTGGCGAAGCAGGTTTTTGCGCTTATTTGTCCAGCACTGATGAACGTGGAACTTGCAGAGCAAAAGTATAATGCTAGGCCACAAGAAAATAAGAGCTCCTCGCTCCTTCGTATCTGTATCAGTCATAGCCACATATGGCTCAAATTTCACCCTCGTAAGTTCCAAGCCAAGTCTTTCATTTGCCCAGAAGCTCGGTCAAAATTGCAGTATCATATCCGGCATGTGTTGCCCTATTTCCGGAAGGTGCAGAGAATAGGAACATTGCAACGGGCACCCCGCAACCCGACTGGTCAATTCTGAGGGCAATCCAGAGGAGGAGACGTGAGGTACAAAGTCCAAATGTTCCATCGATGACGATCTGTTTCTTGTGGCAATGGTTCCAAGCAGCCTCGCGCATCTCCTGCGTTGCGATGCAGACTTTCAGACGGTCTTGTGAATTGACACGAGCAGCATAGTGGAAGATTGCTCGATGGATTTCGGGCTTAAAAAGGACATCTTCAGGATTTAGCCAATTATCAATGTTGAACTCTGCATGTACAGAGACATCTATCCCATATGTGTTGCAGTTATGACGGCGGTACAGTCTGCTAAAATCTCCAGGAAGAATTTCGTAGCGATGATTTGCAAGGTTTTTCGAGCCAACTTGTTGGTCGCGATATGCGTGATGATTGATCATGTCTATATTCATGTTCTGAATTGACGTTATCCTGTTTGTATGAAGTGAGTAAGGATGTGGAAGTTAGATGATTTCTTCTACGATACTAACCCGAGTCCTCGTTGAAGTTGCCTCAACGCAACCTGAATAACATGCTCATGAAGAGGTATAGCTGGATAGCGAACGAGCAATGATTTCTGACATGCATCGTTATGCTGAAACCATCCGATAACACGGCTTATGATACGAGGGGCGACGTCGATATATGTAATATCTGCGTGGACTAAGCAACTTGTAAAATCATAAGGAGCGTGTCGACTCCATTCTTTAGAGACTTGCACATCATTTTCAGTACGCTTCTTCTTTCCTACTTGGCGAGAAGCAGTATTGTATCCACAGACACTTAAGACCAGAAGATTGGTCACACAAAAAATCGAGAAGCAATATGCTAAATACCATTGGTACGTTGTACGGACTACTGTGACGGCTGGAGGTCCCTTCCGCTTCCATCGAACCACACTGGCAATACTCCATCTACTCTCCAACATCTCCAGTGACTCCGAATCGAGCTTGTGGTCCTTCAGAAATGTGAGAGCATCAGCCTGACTGGCGGGAGTCTCAGAAAAGATCTCCGCGATGCGACCACCGCCTGGTGCGTAGATGCCACGAATGGCTTCGCGCTGTTCTTCCGTGCAGTACAGAGCCTTGTCATTGAGCTGTAACACGTGTAAATTCAGTATGGGAGATGACAATAGTACATGAATACGTACTTTCACATCTAAGCGTCGCTCATCCCATACAGATGAAGAAGCGTTTTGGGGGTCGGGTGGGCTGTTCGGGCTGTTAGGTGTGTTGTCAAGTCGAATATACTGGTAGTTTGAATGGTCTACCTTTCTGCAGGTGTTAGGCAATATGACTTGCCGAGCTGCAGAGCGAATTTTGTAAGTTCAAATAAACTATGGGGAAATTGCAATGATAGCAGGGAGGATCGCACCTGCATATATGAAACATGTCTGGATGCTGCTATCTCAGAAGGGTCACAGAGCTGGAGCAGTTTCGGCATGTTGTTGGTTTGTAGGTGAATATTTCAAGCAGGACTGAGAGTGATGAAAATACGGTCAGCGGGTGCTTGAGAGTGAGTTGGGTACCAGTCTCGCAGTGGGGCAGGTCCCTCCAGGTAATGAGTTGCCCGAAGCCCTGAAAAACCTTGTACAATCAGTATGTAGATGATCCTATGGCGACATCAGACAGAAAACCTGCCGAGGACTTCAATCTTCAGAGAATCATAAACAGAGGTTCAAAATAGCTCAGCATATTCTACATCCGTGTGCAAGAGACTCTCTCACCATGGTGTCGAATGAGGAACCAACTTCCTATAGGCCTCGAGGTCCGCAAAATGGCCTTGCAATGGCTTGAAGCAGTTGTAGTTGGACACATATCCTTCTGTGGAGCTAATATCGGTTGAAAACTGTCAAGACGAAGCACCAACTGAGACTTCTCGCTATTCAAAAACCCTCCCAGGAGGTATCGGCTGAAACCAAAATTCGCGGGCAGAACCTGTGAGCACAAAGGTGCCCGAACTCTTGACATCGAGTATACTCAACTACGGCTCTTCTTTGATACAGTGCGTGAATCCCTCTAAGAACGGTGTGCACGAGGGACTTATCTGCAAAATTTTTCGAAACATATTTATCAACCTGAAGAACAATGGGAAACATTTATTAATATAACGGGGGAAAAGATGAAGATATGAAACTGTCAACCTCCCTATTGTGGACAATGCAAAAGTATTCTTCGACAGCTCAGAAGGAGACGCGGCCTGACAGTACCTGTCAGTTTGTGCGCTTATGTTCTCGTCGTTTGACTCAACTCCTCCTTCTCTCCTACCATCACGACGTCATTCTTTGGGACGGCCGGCAGGCCCAATGCCGGTCACGATCGATCGTAACACGCACATGGGCGTTGCAACCTGTCACGAGGACCTTACAACCCAGTCACAAGTGTGTCACAATGGTCACAGATCATAACCGCCCTAAGAAGTTTCCGACATAAGTTACTAGGAAGACCTGATACTTACCCATTACGACAAAAATCATTGCAGTGCTCTTGGTGTACTCTGAAAATATGTTCTCGGAATTCCGAAGGCTTACAACGAAAGCATTCTGACATTCAGGACTAGTCGCGCGCACGTATAAGATAAAGACCCGAGATGGCTAGTCCAATGATGGCAATATCGGGTAGACAAGTAACTTACATAGTAGCTCGCCGTCAACCTGAAATCTGTTGCGTTGTCAACATCGAAAATAAAATATTAGTTATGAGTAGTTACAATATTACAGTTGCAATAGCTTACAGTGAGGGTCGAAACAGCTTACAATTGCAGATGTAAGTTGGTTTAAACTTTTTAAATCATATCCTTTTTCTGACAATATTCGAGTGGGAACTTGGAATTCGAATATTCGAGAGTGGTTCTTCGAATTCTTCTGTCTTCATTTTTCCGACCATGAAGTTCTTCTGAACTCTAACTTGAAATACTTACGGGCACTTCCAAGGATGAGATCACACCGTTATTTTTACAACGTTTAGAGCCATACTACCTTGCCTGTAGGTTTACGATCTCAACGTGTTCTGTGTGCGGCGAGTCACCGTCAACACATGATGTTCCCAATGGCATACCGACAATAGTCAGCTCTCGAAGAGTTACTGCGGGTCGTATCTCAGACGCGTTCCTTGTAGATCAAACTTCCATCAATGATACTCTTTCGTCTTCGTCATTCTTGTCAAATCTTGAAACCTTGAACGACGACAGAAAGTAAGCTATAATCTCACTTCCCGTGAGCGCAGGGCAACAAATGTGTGAAGTGATTTCATTAGGCGGTGTGGTAGGATTCAAATATTCGAGACATCTCAACCGCCCAGCGGTTGTAATGCTCTATCTCTGTTTCATGTAGAATCTTAGATAGAAGCCCCCTTGAGCTAACGAAGACAATCTCTAAGATTCCGAGACTTACTTCTCCTTCGTTCAGAAGAATTTGCATATTGGTGACGTCTTTCTTAATCTTATTGCTTATTTGTTAGCTCACCCCGATGTTATACAGCACGAAAAAAACCTTACCTGTGTGTAAAAGTCGCAAAATAAGTGTAGACCTCCAAGAAAGGCTTCTATGACCTCGACCACATCTACGTCCTCGTTAACTTGGGGCTGGGTCCTTGCCCTTGATTGGGATCGATGTAACTGTGAACGCAAGCTGATGTGCATCACTATAAGTTACGCACGATGACTGAACGTACCAGGCGTGACATTCTTTCGAGGATGTTCCGTCGGCGACTTCGTCCCCTCTCCAGCTGATCCAGTGGAGAGGCATCATAAACACCAATCAGCGCTGCTCTACAAGACTCATATGTACGTTCGTTGTTATCGGTTGCATCCTCCATGCGAGAGAGGTATGCTTTGCAGTCTTGGATCAATGCCCTAACATCTCTCTCTCTAGGCTCCAATGACTGTTCTCCGCCATTTAATTGACGCAAACTAGTAGCTGACGTCCAACATGGATTCTTACCTCTTTCCAGTCGTCGATTTCGGGCTTCATGATGTCAATTTCGACATGTCGGAGATTGTCTAGAATGTGAACGCAGAAGTCTGCGCACATTAGAGCCTAAGGACTCGAGACAATTCGGATCATTCACTTACGATCAATGAGTGTGCGACAGTCAGATGCAACTTTCTTGGATGCGTCGTAGAGTCTCACGAAATCCTGGACAATGGTAAGCACCAGACAGTCAAAATAGCACCAACATTCATACGTAATGCTGGTCACGTAGGGTCCCATTCAAGCTGGCTGAAGCAGACACTTTGAACACTGTATCAATCTGTCTGCCTGCAATTTTCAGTTTGGCCAACTGCGATGCATAGACCTTTAGCAGATCCTGTAGGCTGAAGTGACGCGCTGCCATGACAGGGTGATACCAAGATGAAGCCCAGACGTCGTTTCAGTCAGGAGAAACACTGTCCTATTTTATAAAGGATCCTGACTCACCTTCCCGGAATTTCCAGTCATATTTGTCTTATGCGCATGCTACAGCCAACTGCGAAGGCAAGGTTAACCGTAATGACAGCTCTTTGGTCGAAATTAACGGCGCTTCGATGGCCGTATCCATACGAATTCTCTTGAACCAAGGACAGTGTGATAGAACTTCGAGCGTTCAGATAACGTCGGACAACAGAAGTATCACAGTCTGCGCGCTGGTATTCGATGAACTATACGGGAAGGCAGCGTCTTGCGGAGGAGACCGTGTCAATAGGACGTCGAATATTCACCTGACAGGTCAGAGGACAACCGCAGCCCGTACCATCGGATTGATAGAATTGACAGCGCCTTGCTATCTGGGCCTCATCATTTTCACACTACCGGGATGGATAGGAACCATATTCTTTCCCCCTCATGTAAGCGGCGTGCATCCATTCAGAGCCGCTACGATTGCAAATCAGACCTCTACCCCCGGCATTCCGTATTCCACTCTATGGCCAGCCTACATGCGATAAACGTGTGCGACTGTTAAAATAAAGTTCAGGGCGACCTATACAATACAAAAGCGCCACCTCACTGCACTCTGTAGCCACCAGTGCTAAATTGCTAACGCTGGAACACGTTCCGGTGGTCAACCCGTTAAACTTACTCCACCTTAAGTATAGACTGCTGGCATCCAGCGGCGATGTAAGCTTCATGAGAAAGTTCGCCAGTTGTAATGTAGAGTTCGCGCGCGAGTCGCAGACGTGCAGCAAATGCTTGGGACATGTACTTGAACATCGGGTCAGCGCTTCGTGGTTCGCCGCGTATAATAAACACCTCCTTACCCATTCGTTAGGGCTTTGCTCAACAAAGTCCAATTCATTCTTGACAGAGTGGAGCTCAGCTGCCACCTCAGGAAAAGATTAAGGGTTAGAAGACATTGCATACGACATGGGGCTGTACATACAGTCAGCCACAGTGAGACCAAAGTCATTACTTTCTCGTTCATGCAGGCCGTCCTTGTTTGTACTTCGGCAATGGATAGATCTGAAAAACAGAATGCGATCATAAACACAGGGAATGATTCCGACTTCATTCGCAGACATACCTATGCTTATCCACGTCTGACGCGAATGACCGTGCTGAGTGGCGCGTCAGTGTGTATAGCGTACGACTAGAGATGAGCGATAAGCGCACCGCATTGTGCCTTCCTGCTTGCTCATTCTGAATATTAAGGGCTATGGTGCCAGCCAACGAACTGTCCATTCCGGATATCGCTAGTCTACGCAATGAGTTCTTAATAGACGCGATCTGAACGGTGAGCTGTCAATGAGAACTAGCTTGTAGTTAACCCACAATGATGAAGACAAACCTCTTGTTGTATCCTGAATGAAAATTAACGTTAGCAACTTGGGGTGATGCCACGAAAACCACCCTTACTCAGACAGAAGATCTGCCATACGGAGTATATCCCCATGTTTGAAATATGTTAAAAGTCTTCGGAAGGGGGCCGGATTTCGCTTGTTTTCGAGAGATTGGCCGAAGGACTCCACTCTTATTGACAGGGCGAAAAAGCCATCTACAATTCGTTTCGCCTTATTTTGAGATCGATCCACGTTCTAAGGCAAATTGACTGAGCTGAGACCTAGGGCGGATTACAAGACATGCCTTCCTATATTTTGAGCTATGACGTTGGACCTCAGAGAAGTCTAAACGGGTATGTGGCAAAGTTCCCGAGATATTCTCGACAAATTCTGGCGACTTATCAGACAAACCGAGGGTATGATGCCAGGAACGAGACAAACCTTCTGCAGCGTTCGAAATATCCTCAGAGATGACTCGCGATCTCCACAGCAGACGAGTAAATGTCTGACATTCAAATATTCAAGCGCGAAGCCAAGTCAATGTTTGTGGCCTGCACAAGGAAAGTCACTTACCGTATGACACTTATGCCACTCATTTTGTACGTTTGTATGATCCTGTAATGTGAGTCTTAAAGCGTCGCTGCTGAGGTGGTCGATGACAGCTAAAAATGAAAGATTAACCGATTGGACAACATAGGACAAGTCGCCGACACCATTGTTTGGCTGTGGCAACGGCGGAATAGACTGTGTGTTCATGGCGGCGCAGCTGACATAGACCGCTGTTTCGTATAAGGGTTATATCGCCGCCTGCTTCAAGTATCCCCTCTGCCTCGACCACACTCAGATGCCTACGGAACATGTTAGTCCTGCACGCCCGCCTTCAGCACATGCCCGACTCCATTGTATATGAGAAACATTCAAGTTACGGTCGACGACATCCTGGTGTTTGCACACGCGGTCTCCTTGGCTTCCGTAATGAACGTGAGTATGAAAGGCCTTGGAGGTGCGGCCATCCTACGTTTGATGCATGTGTTGAAGTGCAAGTGATACACGCTGTAAAAACATGGTAAGAAGACCATTCAACTTCGGCGTCTAGTCACTTCTGAGCAGATCCAAGTATGTTTATCTTTGTTCTTCCTTTCTTTTGAGGATTCATACTTTGCAAATGGCGTTAGGGAAGTTCTCCGATCAGATAACTCCGAAACAGTGCCTGCGCATCAACTCTTCTTCCATTCTAACTGTCAGAAAAGCACCATGGTCGTCCGTCTTACTGATACCTGAACTCATATAGTAGAGTAACCTAAGATGAGTCCTAACACGCATCATTACTAGCGAGAAAGCACTCGAAAAGTCATGCAGCCCCCATTCGAACGCTTTCGTATTCTGACTGCACCATTAGAACTTGAACATGTTAATGCACAGTCTAGAGACCTGTCTAGGCGTATTTTTAACCTGAGAGCATCGTCTAATCCCCAGCTCGTGGAGAGGGTGGAGGATCTATTCAAGGTAAGTCATGTGTATTGTACAAATATCGCTGTAATGATGTACTATTGCAGGTGTATACAGACCTCCAATGGGTATGTCGAGACATAGCAGGGGACTTGAGAACGGGAGCTGTTGGTTCGTTTCGAACGGCTGCCCCCTTGCTTCTCCTCACATAGTCTTGATTAGATTTACGATACGCAATACTAAGCACCCTCAGGGATGATGGCCTGGAAATATCGTTGAGGCTCCGTATTCTGGATTCATGGATAACGGCAAGTATGTCTATTTGTGATTATGAAATCGAAGATCGTTAATTCTGTCTGGCAGAGAATGAAAACTAAGCGACAGCACGCCGTAGCTCTTCCAGGATATTTTCAAGACCTAGCTTCAGCGTTCAGGCGGGAGGCGCAGGGCTTGAAATACTCCGCACCTAACGATTCAGAAGTACGTGGAAGCGTAGTAAACTATTTACTACATATTGACAATTTGAAGACCGTACCGGCATCCTCTATTGTCACTCAGGTCTCCACTTGGTTCGGGAAAAAGGTATGAATCCTCAGATTAATGCGTGCATTTTACTTATCATATGTATAGACCAACGACCGCTCTGGAGAGTATACCCGTTCGTCTAGTTCTTACACAAGGCTTTCTGGTCCATCGCCTACGGCCAGTGTTCCTCGCTCTCAATTCAGTGCAACTTCGGGGGTGTCATTGGCTACCAAAGTGTCACAAGGTGCGGCAAGGTGGACTGGGGTGAAACAAGGACTAACTCGTAGGTACAGTCCACGCTTCATTTTGAAATAATCTGACTTTGCCGCCTTGCAAGTTCTCCAGAAACTCAATAAATCTTCCCTATCTACGATTCACTCTTGGGGATGGGAGTTCGGCCGTAACCAGAATACACGCCTGCAGACGACACATTCACTCATGGAGATCGCCAGTGCTCTAGATTCCCTAGGTACAGACGTGGAAGTGTTCACGGAAATATATGATCAGGTATGCTACAAGTATAAGGGTTCCAGTGAATTCCCGCATTGAGCGTCATCCCTCAGCTATTCCGGGAGATTGGCAAGACAAGGTCTTCACTCTCCACCGCCACGCGCAAAGACGATCCAGTGAGTAACGTGTAGATCATTGTGCTGTCCAACCTTACACAGACTGACGTGCTATTGTTAGGCAATTATTCTCGAACTAAACTCACTTCGTCCTCGTCTCGAATCATATGCTCACATTCTTGAAATATATCAAAAGTCCGTTTAGCCATGACTATGACACTATGATGTATGCCCCCATTAATGAACTCGATAACTTCTACCAAGCTGATTCATTAATGAGAGCTCGCAAATTTATCCGAAAGTGAAGCACATCGATATCACGGGTAGCAGGAGAGGAAAATAATTGAGAATGCGCAGCTACTGACACAAATGTGAGAGGTATGAGAGGCCAACGATGACGAGTCATTAAATACTACCGACCAAACCATATTAATCGTAATCGAAAACAATAGCACAAGGAATAAGCGGTGCGTGACTAAAAAGAGAGATAGCAATGTGAGATGAAGGAACGGAGAAACGGATTCAGAAGGATCGGACGCTTGGTATGCGTGTGTATAAGTCATGAGACGGGGGATAGGTGTATGTAAGGAATGACTGCTGAGTTAATCAAATCAAAGATGTGTGTCCATTCTGTTGCTGCTGCTGCTGCTGCTGCTGTTGCTGAGACTTGCCCGGGTCTTGACCAAAGTTCCCAAACGCAGGTCCCGAACCGAAAAGGTTCGCACCCATGCCTCCTCCGGAGCCAGGATTACCCGTGAACTGACTACCCATCCCTGTCGGCATGTTTGCGAACGCCGGTAATGAGTTGGAATTGGACAGTGAGGAAGATCCGGCTCCACCTGCGCCGAAAGGACCCCCGGGTGATGTCGAGAACATCGATGCGCGGAAAGGGTTGGCCACGCCAGCAGCGCCTGTAGCATGAGGTCTTAAACCAACTCCTGGACTCAACCCAGTAGAATTGGTACCGAAGTTGTTCATCCCATTAGGTTGAGCGTTGCCAGTCGCACTTCCATTCAACGAAGGGTTACTAAAGGCGGATGAACTTGACTGGCCTGGACTTATTGGTGCAGAAGAAGGCACCGGCGGAAGAGACTCAAGCAATTGCGCGCCAAACGACGAAGATGGTTTGAATGCTTTGAGACCGGTAAATCCTGTGGTCTGTGGTTGCAGGGGCTGCATGTGTGGCGGCGAGACGGATATCGAAGGTCCCGATGGAGACGTGGGTGACGAGGAAGATGTACCAGTAGCTTGAGATGAGAACAGAGAGGACGAGAATGTAGAACCTGTTGCTGTCGGCCCTGACGACGCTGTGCCAGTAGGGAACGAGGAGAGTGTATATGATCGCGTTGGAGGCGATTTGTTTAACGCATTACCAGTAAAGGAGGACGCAATGCTGGACATCACAGAACTGCCCTGACCTCCCGTGCTTCCCCATCCACCACCAATCCCAGTTGGCGTTGCTGTCAAACCCGTAGACTGTGACCGCTGATTACCAAATTGTTGCTGTTGCTGTTGTTGCTGTTGTTGCTGCTGTTGCGCCTGGTTCTGACTACCACTCATACCCATGGCTAACTCCATCAATGTTGGAACTTTCGGTACAGGCGGCGGAGACGGCGCTGGTGCCCCAAACGGATTCCTCGAACCAGTCTGGTGCGTCTTGACGGGCTGAAGTTCGGATGAGCTTGGCGCTTTAAGCGGCGTTGACATGGGTCGTGCAGGGCCAAATGACGGCGATGAGGAATTAGGTGCTTGTGCAGATGGCGAAACGAGGGGGAATGACGGTGTTGAGGATGAGGGCCCGGTGGAGTTCGCAGCGAAGGGACTTGGACCTCCGAATGGACCTGTCGTTTGCGATTGCGGTTGGGTAGCTCCGAAAAGATTTGAACCTTGTGGCTGTGCGTTTGGGAACGGGTTCGAAGATTGTGTTTGGTGCAGTTGGGGAAATGGGTTCTGGTTCGGAGACGGATTCTGAGCTTGAGTGGGGAATGGGTTGTTGGCCGATTGGAACCCAGTATTGTTAGGAGGGACACCAGTCTGCATAGGAGCCAGACCAGCTGGGAACGGGTTCGTGTTTGCAAACGGACCACCCATCTGTTGCTGAGGATGCTGCTGTTGCTGCTGCATGCCGGGAGCTTGACCCATCACACCTGGAAATGCCATGCTTTGGCGGAACGGGTTGGCAGCACCCGTTGCCTGTGGCTGTAGGAAGCCAGTAGGTTGCGCCTGCAAGAAGTTCCCAAACGGCTGTGACTGAGAAGGCTGTAAACCAAACGGATTTGTAGGCTGAGGTTGCTGTTGGGGGAACATCCCGGTAGCTTGCATATGCAACATTGCCTGCTGCTGAGGCATCTGGCCGAAAGGTGCGCCTGTCATCATCTGCTGTTGCACGAAAGGGTTGTATGCGGCCTGCTGCTGGAAATAATGAGAAGTCGGGCTATCGAACGAATTAGTTCATCATATTATCATCCAGCGCAGAAGCCGAGACGATCTTACCTGTTCGTCTGAGGGTTAAACATGGACTGTTGCTCCCCTTCGATCGCTGAAAAGAAGTCGACCATGGTTTGACTGCTCGATTTGGCAGCTGGAGGGGCAGATGTTGACGTCGACGGCTGAGCGGTCGACGTGTCAGATGAAGGTTTCGGTGATTCACCTTGAATGAAATATATCATGAATACACAGCGCAATAGAAATGGTCAGTATAAGCCTACTCTTTTCAGCCGGTTTGATCGGTCCCCTGACACCCGTCTTCGCATTCCTATCAGCCGCTTCCTTGTTAGTCTTGTATTCAATACGATTCTGCTCAAAGTTAGGGTCGTTGAGATATTCTTCCAGTGAACCTGCAAGAGAGACAGGCGCCTATAGCAGGGATTGAGCACTAGGAAATGTCACTGAATAAACGATACGAACATGTCTTAGGTTAGGAATAGGGACGCTGAGCAAGTTCTGAAGTTTCTTCGCAACTCCGAGGTATTCAACGACACGCTCCGTCTCTTTGCAGAAATGGCGATAGATGGCCAGGGCCTCTTGCGCATCAATTCGGGACATCTCAAAGTAATGCTCTGCAGAACATGAATTTCGGATGATGATGACGATGAAGATACACGTACCAAGCACATTAATCACACCCTCATTGCACGCCTGGAAGAGAATCAACAGATCCTTGACGAGCATACGCAGTGCCGTAATGTTGAGCTCATCCTCCAGGTCATCCAGGTAGAACTGCACACCGTCACAAAGGGTAAGGCCAAGATGGAAGAACATAACATACCCGACATTCCACTAGTGCATCAATCATTTTCTGCACAATCTTTGTCTCCCTCAGCAGACCCTTCTCCACCGTCATCACCCTCAGCTTCCTTCCAGCCACCGTCTTGCTTCGCTGCACTCCAGTCGAAACCGGGATCTCTTCCACGGGCTCCTTCTTGCTACTTCCAAACCGTCGTCGCGTAGACTTTGTACTGGGAGCTTTCTCGCCATTCGCTATACGTCCTTCCTCGATCGCCTGAGAGTTTCGCAGGTCCCTGTTTGTCTCGGACTGCACACGGATAGCATCATGCTTGAGATCGTGGTAAGCTCGAATACGGGTATCAAGATAAGTCGCATAATTTTGAAGGTTCTCAGGTGCATTGTACCCTGTCAAACGAGTGACGTTGAAGATCACAGTTGGTATCGAGGGGATAGAACAAACCTTCCCAGTGCCCAGAAGAGATATTCCGCAGGCGCAACACATCCGACGACGACAGATAGGAGAGAACGTTGTCGGTGGCCCCATTGCGAATCATGGAGTGTAGGACAATGAGCGCTTTGAAGACGACCTGTCAAGAACGACATGAACTCTAGTCGAAGCTGACACGAAACAGCCGACGCACGACTGCGTTTGGTTCCCGGAAGCGGGGAGCCAAGGCTTTGCACACATCATGCACTGCACCATCTTCGGACCAAGTTGCAGCAATGATGGGGTCCATGTACTGTCGCATTTCAGTATTGACACGAGAAGCAATGAACGAAGTAATACCTTGGCCTTTGGGGGTGCGGCCTTTGGCTTGCAAGCCAACTTGACCACCTTGTCATAACTCGTTGCCATGGGTGACACTGGGGGGTATTGAGTCAGTAGCGTTGGCTGCTCGTCGTCGCCGACGTCGAGGTCGACCGGAAAGATGCTCACTGGCTCGGGTACCTTGAAGATGATTGATACTTATCAAAGAGCCGCTACCAGCGTTGGCTATTCGAGCGCTTTGGTGAGTAATTAATATTTGAAATTCTCCTCGATTTCCTCATGGCGAAGTGGTCACCGCGTCCCGTCGCCATCCGTTGTAGCTTTAAGTGCATTAATTTTGATTGTGAATTGATCTTTCCAGCTTGGTTCCTGACCAGATCCTTCATGTTTTATACCATCCGAAGAAATGGATAACGTTCACACTGATGTATTAGTAGATATCCTGACATATCTATCCGTGGACTCTCTGCTGAAGTGCCAAAAGGTACGGCCTCCATCTCCAACTTCCTGACTGCTATCAGCTGATTTAACTCTCATTGTCATGGAGGTATCTAATGAGTGGAATGGAGTGATTCTTAAGACAGCGTCATTGCGATACAAACTAATGCTTGGCATGTCTGGATATGCAGAGGCGGCAGACGGGGGGCCTACGACGACAGCCGCACGCTTAAACCTATTCAATGCATTCTATCATAAAGATCAAACTGCTTGGATGAACCCTTCTATCGGTCACGTCCAACTCAGTATCCCTCTGTTCGTGGAAGAATGGGACGGAAATTTCTTCTTTCAGGATGGATTGTTCATACGTACCATGCTCGAGCCGGGTAGCTTTAAGATGAGTCGACTGCAAGTCAATTGGTTACAAAGTTCTCTTGTGGATCCGGAGCATCGAATCAGTACGCTGGATTTCAAGACGCCTGTTGCGATGTATAAGCACGACGCATCCCAAAACCTCCTGCTTTGTTGTTATTTTGAAGTGGTAGATCTAGATAAGTGTGTGGCTAGTTATCGTTAGGTACTCATTTCCTACTAACTTGTCGAATCAGCAACCTCTGCAGGTTGCATGTAGAACCCTTAACTCTCACTGACGGAAACCTTCACCATCTGGCTCAGGCTGGCTCGCGGTTCACTTTTGATCCATCCAACCAAGGGTGCCATTCGCTAAAACACCTTACCCTATCATCACTGGTAGCTTTGCAGTCTTGGAAGGCCTATGTCCCGAGACTGCACTTAAGATGACTTCGGTGTACCACTGGCCTTCAGGCAAGCGTTTAATCGTAAGTGACAGTTTTGCGCTCGTGTGGTGGAAGTCTAATATATGCTCACAGCAATTCATCGATACACCGAGTACCACCCACCCATCAGTGCTTCCACTCCATGACCATCTCCTTGTCATCAGAATCAATGAAAAATGTGTCGTTCTGGATGTATATAAACTTCAAGAGCGCAACAGTGGGAGCGATGGTCTTCTGGCAACGTTCGGCTTTCCCCCAATACATAGAAATGCGTTTGTGGTCGAATCCGTTCTCATTCCTCCGTGCACAAGCTCGTATAACATCCTAAATCCCTCCCAACGTCACCCTTTGTTCTACATGGAACCGGTCTTAGTAGGGGTTCTCATCCAAGTTGAATTCCTGTTCTATATCTTCACTGTCCCCACAGCAATTTTCCAACCCGGACAATTCATTCCGGAATATTCACCCCGGTCTCCGATTGAGTCCAAGATAATACCTTGGACTGCGTGGGGAGAACGCTACACATGCGTTCGTACCGCTACCAACAGGTCAATGCCGATGAGGATCTTTGGATACAATGTCTTCACCGAGGACGAAATCTTCAACTTTAACCCATACAGTCACCATAGCTTGATGCGACATTACTTCCAGTCGTCGGTCGCCGAGTATGTGACTCTTACGCAGGCCCTCACGGGCGACGATGGACGAGGAGGCTTTACATGCGATATTGTCTCCAGGTTCCCTCATTGGAAGGTCCCTCTGAACCGTCCTGAAGCCGTTACGGAAGCGACGAGTTGTGAACCTTTCGAGAGTGGTGATGGACCGATGGTAAGTGGATTTGCAAATTTTTGACAACGACGATAAGTTGTAGCTCCGCCTCTTTTATCTAGCTGCTTTGTATATCAGACTCAGAGTTTGCCGCGGAAGTATATTCACTTGGATGAATTGCTTGTGTACGTCTACAGATTGCATGCGCGATACCTCATGTTATCAAGATCCCGCTCCCTACCATCCAATTCATTTGCATCCATTCGCAGACCTTATTGTTTGTGCCACAGTCATCACTGGATACCCTTTGCGTTCTATCTCCTTCATCAACCACTGTGACTCTTAAGCGGACAATCGACGAAGCGTACACAGCGATAGCATCTTTTGTATTACCCACGATTTCTACATTCTAGCTTCAGCTTTCCATTCGTATTTTCTTGTCGATGTCTCCCAGCAGTTCAAATGATTATCTTCTGTACGAATATCCTTCAACGCGGTTTTGTTGAGGATTGTTGATTACTACCATTTCCTAAAATACACATTCTCAAACTCTTCGATCATAACCGAGTGGTGATCCTTTATGCTGGAAGCATTGAGGTCGAACACCAACCACGCAGACACAGCGACTGCTGTGACCTGTCGCCCAATTATTGCGGTTATTCCTGCGTTGGTGGACGCACTTGCTGTTTTCCGGAGGTAGTTATCAGTCTGTGAAGGTGCCTACAGGCTGCAAAGATTCGGAGCTGTTGATCTGATGAGGGAACTCTCCTCTATAACGCAACGCCTTAAGCTCAAAATCTTAACGATTCGACACCAAATCCCAGCACGATATGCTCTCATTCTTGTTGCTGGTCTGCTCCTCTGGTGCTTTTACATCTGGACACCCCCAGAACATCCTGTGTCTGTCATGCCGCTGCCTCATGCTGCGAACCATACGACACCGAGAGAATGGAGTAGGCGAGCAGAAATGGTCAAGAAAGCCTTTCTGCACGCGTATGGAGGATATGAGGAGTATGCGAGTCCTCATGACGAGCTGAAACCAGTGTGGAATACTAGCGTTGACAAGTAAGCCCCTTCCGCTGTACGCTCAGTGTCACGAGAATCTTGACACGTTACCAGCTTCAACGGGTGGGGAGTCTCTATTGTGGACTCTCTAGATACTATGCTCCTTATGGGGCTAGAAGACGAGTTCAATCGCGCACTTCCTATCATAGAGAAGATCGACTTCGTTCTTCGAAAGGTAGCCTCGGCAAAAGTCAGACGCGTATTCCGACGGTTAACACAGAATTTATTTAGCAAGTGAGCCCAGGAATATTCAGCAGTACCCTCGACATGTATGCGCCCTTCTTTGAGACAGTCATTCGTTACCTTGGAGGTCTACTCTCCGCTTACGCTCTTTCGAACGAACCGATACTTCTTCAGAAGGCCGATGAGCTCGCGACGAAGCTGGCTCCGGTCTTCAACACGCCTACAGGGTTGCCTGTATTTGGCGTGAATACTGTTTCGTATGTATTGTTGTAGGCTCTATGTTCACGTTCCAGCTTAATTTTATATATGACAGCGGCAAAGTCAGCGGTTCCAACATCGGAATGCTGGCTGAGATTGCTAGTTGTCAGCTCGAGTACGCATACTTGGCTCATTTGACGGGGAAGATCGAACACTATGACAGGGTACGTCACGGCATTATCAGGCGAACGAATGGACCTGATATCGACCAAAGGCAGGTAAGATTATGGACGCCTTGGGAAAGGCTCAGATTGACTCAATTGGAATGCTTCCAACGCGATTCAATTTAACTACCGGCCAACCCTCCGATGGTATTGTAGCATCTTGTACTTGATGCACATATGATACTCATGAGATTCAGAGTCTACGTCAGTCGGCGGTGCTGCGGATAGTGCTCATGAGTACCTCCTCAAGTATCATTTACTCACGGGTAAAACAGACAAATCGAGTTTGGACCTATGTGAGTGAAGGGTAATTTCATCAGTACGAAATGCCCTTGACTTTTTGTACAGACATGCGAACTGTGAACCACATCCTGACCAACCTCATGTTCATCTCCCCCAATCGAGAGTTGCTGTACGTCACTAGCATCCAGGGTACTTCCAAATTTCCATCTCAAACTTTCGAGCATCTCTCTTGTTTCCTTCCCGGACTTCTCGCGCTAGGTCTACACTCGCTTCCCGAATCCGCTTTCATGACATCACCATATTCAAGCCTAATCAAGAACCATAAGCTACTACATAATTACAACCTTAGGGATCTGCATGTTTGGGCCGCAGAAGGTCTTGGAGAGAGCTGCTGGCTAATGTATGCCGACCAGCCCACTGGTCTGGGTCCGGATGAAGTCTATATGACAGCTATGCCAGACACGCGATCGCATGCGAAGGACTTCCATCATGGTGGGCTTTGGATTGATTATCTGGAGCGTTGGCGCAAGCGCGGAGGACGTAGATTACCACCAGGACTCGGAGAAAAGCTGCCCATTGTACCGAAGGATGGGGAACCTGTACAAGGCTTGAAGCTGAAACGCGACTATATGATACGTCGCCCAGACTATCTCCTACGACCTGAGGTAAGCGTCATTTCTATTGCCCTGTTTCTTGGTCTTTATATGACCACTTCTAGACAATCGAGTCTATGTACATTCTTTGGAAAACCACAGGCAATCCGAAATGGCGTGAACGTGGATGGAAAGTCTTTCAAGCAATCGAAAGGGAAGCCAAAACGCCTTCAGGATATGCATCTCTAAGATCAGTAGAGCATTCTCCAGCTCATTTGAAAGATGAAATGCCGAGGTACGTTGTGCCTTGTGATCGAAGGACGTCACTGATGAATTTTGGATGCTCCGCTAGCTACTTCCTTGCGGAAACGTGTGTCTTCTCTTCGACCTCTTCGGAACCCTACATGCTGACGTCAAGCACTCAATAGACTCAAGTACCTATACCTCTTATTTTTAGATAAGGATCCTGTGCGCTTAGAAGATTGGGTCTTCAATACAGAAGCACATCCGTTCCCGATATTCTCGTGGTCGTCTATGGAAAAGCTCAAGTTCCGTATAGCATCCCATAATGATGTTTGACACGCCTTCGGACCGTCCTGATGGACTGAAAGTAAGTCTCTTGTTGTAATTGTATGTCTGGTGCTTTTTTGATATGGAGCGCAGATGATCAGCTTGGATAGTTTCTTGCACCGTTCTATGTACCATCTACGATACCCTACTTCACACTTAATCCTGCTAGGCGGAATCTCGTTACCCTATATTCATTCATTTAATCTTGAAGCCTTTCTGTTACGCAAGTGAGTAGGGCGAGAATCTCTGGCTCGAAACTTGTCCTCATCATTTCTGCAAGGCGTTACCGGAATCAGCAGACCGTCGGACCGTTCCCCTCCGGAGCTCAAATGGAGTTTGGTGTTGGGCGCTTCTTTAGAGCATATGATACCTCTCATCTTTACATGCAGATGGCGAAGTCCACCCCGCATTCCCCGCATTCCCAGACACCCCAGTTCTCTTGCTACCTGCTTGAGATATACGACAATGTCTGCGCTCAAGCAGGGTGAATTTGTAGGGTCTTTGGATTGTGGAACGACGTGCGTTTTCCAACATTCTAGTTCGTAGCAATGGTGCTCATGAAACAATGAAATGCACAGGTCTACCAGGTTCATAATCTTCGATAAACATGCTGATATTGTGGCTCAGAAGCAACTCGAATTTCCTCAGTACTACCCCGAACCTGGGTATGTCGTCATACTTCTGTTGTACAACACCAATAGGCTCATTGCAGCTTCTCAGTTGGCACGAGCACGATGCGGACGAAATCATAGACACCTGCAATGCCTGTATAGATGAGGCGTGCACTGAACTAGAGGCTGCGGGCTGGGCCAAAGATAGCATAAAGGTCATCGGTGAGGACCCCAGGATATTCATCACATGTCGATACATTTTGACAGATCTGATCACAAGGTATCACTAATCAACGTGAAACTGCTGTTGCTTGGAGTCGCAAGACTGGTAAACCGCTGTGCCGCGCGATTGTGTGGGACGACAGCCGTACCAAGAACGTCGTTGCACACTATGAGCATAAACTCGCGACCACGGGACTCGAGCTGGATGGTTCTTTCAGAAAGCGCGAGGAAGGCATCAAGGCTCTCAGGAAAGTGTGAGTAATCTCACTGCCATAATGTTCCTTCTAAGTCTGATGAAGTTGATAGGACCGGCTTGCCTATCTCAACTTACTTCTCCGCTATTAAACTACGGTGGATGATTACCCACTATGAAGCAGTGAAGAAAGCGCACGAGGAAGATGATTTGCTATTTGGAACCGTTGAATCTTGGATTGTCTATGTTAGTTCCCAGCATTCTTCCGTCCGAGTAATCACCATATCCTAACCCGACCAATCCAGCGTTTGACGGGAGGCCTTGATAACGGGCTACACATCACAGAGGTCACCAATGCCTCACGTACACTATTACTGGATCTCCACACACTCCAATGGGACAAGAGCCTACTAGATTTCTTCGATCTTCGACCTTCGATACTTCCGAAGATTGTCTCCTCGTCGGAAGTATATGGGAACATCAAGAATGGTGCACTTCAAGGTGTTCCGATTGGCGGGCTTGTGGGTGATCAGCAAGGTGCTCTGGTAGGAAACAAGTGTCTCAAGCAAGGAGAAGCAAAATGCACGTATGGAACGGGTGCTTTCTTGCTCTTTTGCACAGGTCCGGATATCGTTGAAAGCACCCATGGACTGCTCAGTACCGTCAGCAATTCCTTTTGGCTTATTCGATGACAACGCTGACTATCGGTGGTCACAGGTGGCGTACCAGGATGGCCCCGACGCGAAGCCGGTTTACGCTCTGGAAGGCAGTAGTACGCGTGATTTTATTGTGTCGTTTCTCGCCCTTCTTACGTCCGGTCCTAGTTGCTGTCGCAGGAAGTGCCATCAAATGGTGGGTGTAAATTCTCGCGGTGCCGTTATTCGGCTCAGAAGGATATTACAGGCTTCGTGATTCCATGTATCTGGTAACTTCGGCGAACGACGTCAATACCCTGGCAGCGTCTGTACCAAACACCGGCGGCGTCTACTTCGTTACTGCTTTCTCTGGTCTCCTTGCGCCATACTGGGACCCCGGTGCAGCTGGTTTGCTAATTGGTAAGTTGCAGGAGCCGGGGTCCACCTCGTTACACATGACACCATTTACTGAATTACCTCATGTAGGTCTATCATCGTACACTACTCCTGCGCATATTGCTCGTGCGACTCTCGAGGCGAACGCATTTCAGACTCGCGCCATTCTCGAAAGTATGAAACTCGACTCGAAGAAAGAACTTAAGCATCTGAAAGTGGACGGCGGAATGACTAACGGCGACAAGGTTATGGAGATCCTAGCAGACATCGGCGGCTTTGACGTCATCCGTCCAGAAATGCGAGAGTACGTTCTTAACTTCGCTCAACCTGTTTTACGCATGGGGAATCACTGAACTTCGTACCTTCGCAGATCGACTGCCCTGGGTTCTGCACTTCTTGCAGGATCCGCGATCCGACTCTTTGGGTGGGATATTAGTAAACCAGAGACGCTCTCCGAAGTCAACACGCGTGGGAATACAACGTTTGTACCAGGAATGCCAGAAGAAGATCGCGAGAAGAGATGGCAAGGTTGGCAACGTGCAGTTGAGAGGTCAAAGGGTTGGGAGGTGGGTGTTGCCGAGTGAAAAGAGACATTGGATACCTTTCAGTTCATTTTGTAAGAAGGATACCCGTGTTAATATCGCCGCATTGCGAGCTTGTTGTAACCTAACGTAGATGTGGATGAGCGATTCTGTGTAATGAACGTATTGCGAGTCAAATTCTTCGTCTTCCCAACTGACGACTAGAAGCCTGCAGGGTTTTCACATATGCTACTGCGCAAGATTGACAACGTCGCTGTCCAGCTTAGTTTATGAAAGGAGGTTATGATTCAGTATAAGTAAATTATTATGAAGCACAGAGGATCGAGGAAGGCTCAGCTCTACGACTCTGCCGAGTGGGATAGGCGAAATAAAAGGGCGCCAAGCCAATATCGTATAAATACTGAGAAGCCATGAAAGGAAAGACGAGGGCAAAAGTGGACGGAGAAGCATAAGGCATAGTGGCATACGATCATAGTCATGGTCATAATCATGGTCACGGCAATTTCTGGTACGTCTCGAGCACTTTCGCGAAGGAGTCCAGAGCCGCTCGAAATGAGTCGAATCCACCTGAGATTTCCTGGAAGGTGTGAGATAGATATTCCGGAAGATATCGTGGGACTTACGGATTTTTGCAATGTGTGGGATTGAAGCAGAAGCTTCCTGACGTCTTCCACGATTTGGAAGAGCTGAATCATTTCTCGTATGAAAGACAGAAATCACGTAAAGTCAGAAGACCGTGTACCTGTGCGTAAGCGTCGATGAAGACCTTTGTCTCAGTTCCAAGGACAGAGATCGTCTTGCTTGTTTCGAATATTATCCTGGCATCTTCTAACACTTCGTCTGAAGTATTTCTTCTTGCCTCGAGATGAGTCTTGCTTTTCAAGCTTGAAAGAACTGGAGGGACAGAGGCTGAGCCCGTGCTCGTGTCGAGAAATCATTAATTTGACCCACAATTCTTCACATTCCGGAATGCCTTCCACCTCTTCCTTGGTGACCCTGAGGGCGTCGATTTGTCCGTTGCAGCCCAAACTGCAGTGGCGATAGGAGAGATTGGCCTAGCCGATGCTTCATCCAGCAATGGCGCGTCAAAATCGTGCGAATTCTGTCTGTGTGCAGAATACTTGGAAGATTTAACATACTAAACCACTGTGCGCAGACTTATATAGGAAGATAAGTCCAGCAGGCGTGTAGTGACTCACTCGGCTTGAACGTAGCTTTCGAGAGAACCACTCAGTCACTTGTGTGATCACACAAAAGGAACTACATCGCATTGGCACGATAGTCTTCAAGGCAAGTCGGTAAGAGATGTCGCATCACGAACGTAAAGAACGGAAATTGCACCTCGTTATCGTTTTCAAGCTCTTGGGAGAATTGTCGAAGGTCCTTGGCCAGTCGTTCAAATTGTGTTGGCAACTTGTCAACATGCGCGTGCCCAGCCTGGGTGCGCTGTAGAAGCCTGTGATCAACTCCGAAGCAAAGAAATGCCCTGAATATACGAACGGACATCCAACCATCGATGATTTCGATCTTCACGGACGTTGGTAATTTTTCATTTTCCAGAGTCGGGAGAATGGCATTTCGAAAGTCTGCACGTTGTCAGAAACGGTACCACAAGTTGAATACGTGATTCAACCAACCAATAATAGCGGTGCGGATGTCGCCAGCGACATCTCTGCATATCCAGAGTAGTTGTGAATATGCCTGCAGCAGCATATCTTCAGAGCTGAGCTATAAGGCGTGTGACATACCTGACAGACTAACCTGAAAGAAATTCTCAACATTGCTAGCAATATCAGGGTTGATCGACGACCTCAAAAGGAACAGCTGCTTATAGGGAATTCGGCACTGGGTAGAGAGGTTGTGGAGAATATTGTCTAGCAAGTTGAGGTTCGTTTGGTTCATCGGTACATTGACGATAGGAGTAGGAGTGATAGTAATACGGATCTGGGACAATCACAAGCAGAATTTGAGTAGAACCTTTGCAGACTTTAAGTTCGTTGAAGCTGCTAATGATGGAGAATAGAAACATAAACGGAGCCGAGGCTTAGGCTGAGGCATATTTCCTGTTTGACTGTGTCGTCCAGGAGCCTGCAGGTCATGCACGAGGGTTATGCATGGTAGCAGTCAATTATTGCTTCTTCCAGGCATTTTTTGACATCCTATCTCCGGGTCATACGTGTCTTGCGACACTGGTTTGATTTGCAGAGTTCTTCATTTCAGCACGGTTCCAAAGGACATGAGGAACGGTGTATACGCAGGAGACAACAACAGTAGCGATGGCAATTCGATGAGAAACAGGCGCCTTGATAAACTTCATTCAACTTGCCAACGTCCTCATCAAGCCCTACGGATCACGACGTTGACATTTTCGTGTATTCTATATCCGCGACTTTGCTAGCCATATTTCTCAATTGAACTCATGAGCGCACAGGTTACCTGACCTCTTCACGCTGGAGTAGGTTCGGTTCCTTGCCTTGAGCGGTGCTAGTCACAATGTCCGCCACGCGGCGGCGCGACGTGCAGGATACACGTTCTTTCAAGCAGCCCGCGCTCTGTACCTACAATGGTTTGATGTATCCGCATGTACTGCTTGCAATGAAACTTCTCTAATGTGAAACAGGACGCTTCTGCGACTCCGAGGGTTCCTAATGCGAGGGTTCCCTTGATATGTTAAGTAGAGCTCCTCAACTGTGCTGAATAAATACTCAGCGGCTTGCCCTACTGACACCATAACCTCTACATGGCCTTCGAGGACCTTGAAGCCAAAGCTTCCTTTCTTGCAACGACCGCTGACTGTGATGCTTCGTCGTCGACAATCCGTCTTCAAGTTCTTCGAGACACCATCTGGTCAATGCAACTTATGTTTATATCAGTATTAGACTACCTTCATGCCATGGCAATCCTGAAACTATCAGGAAACACATCCCAAAACTTGCAGAGGCTTCTTGAGGTATGGGCGCAACACCAAAGCGTGAGTCTTAACTTTCCGTTAAACGCTCGCTCCGCTAACTTTTCGGAAATTATGGCGTTTAGACCTTCATTCGGTTCCTTTGGGTGTCAAGGGAAGTTGCTGAAAACATTTGCGATGCTGCTGAAGGTGAGAAGATGAATCATGTCTCACAAATTACTTTCTGCTCATGTTTGAGTCAGAGCTGGACCAGACGTTTCGAAACACCCCAAATATGTGCCTTGCAAACATGCACGAACCTTTGTTCAGATTTCAATCTGTGTGTGGGCGAGTATTTTATCCATCTTGGTTTCGATGACTGAACCCGCTAGTTAGAGTGCGGACAGGTATAAATTACAGGCGCAAAGGATTGCGGACAAAATCAAGCAACTATCTGTAGACATAGAGCTATTCTACGAGAACCTGGAGTCTACAGTTAATCGCACCTCAGTGAGAAACATACTCTCAAGGTTCATCTCAGCAGATAGACAAGCAATCAATAAAGCCAATGCTGCTCTGGAGGAGTGAGTTGAGCGTTTCGTCCAACGTAGTGCCGTCTAATCGAACCTAATCGAACTTTAGGATACTACCTCAAGTACGTCGCTCCTCGCTCCCGTCAAAGTACGCATAGCCAGGGTGATGGCTGATCATTGAACACAGCTGTTGAGCATCGCCAAAGAACTGCGCGGGTTGGCAGCCGCCAAAGATACCTGTCCCCTTGCGGGTGCCTTAGCTTCGAACAGAAAACGCGGTGAGGATGCCTTTAGCGTATGTCGTTTCCACTCGCATCACGATTATCCAGTAACTTACCTGGACGTGCAATGGCAGGCTCCTAAGACAGATCCTGATACTCCCACGGCTTCAGGTACACGGTTTGCTCTGGAGACGTCTATGGAATCTGACAACGTGTTACGTCAGACTCTCTTTCGGAGAAGGCCACTACCATCACTGAATCCCGTGTGACAATAATGACCCACTGGATGAACGTGCGTACCAAGAAAGCAACCTCGAATAATCAGACACCCCCTGAATTTAGTTTTTCACCCTACAGGTTATTGCCGAGCTCAAGGTTGTGGAAGGAACGATAAAGTTAGCTTTGAGGACTCCCGACAAATCGGTACGTGCTTGTCATGCTCCTCCTTTCTGTAGTTGAAATCCAGCATCGCCGTAGTATATGATGAAAGCCTTAGAGGGACGTCTGAAAAACGCCTATACCCTCAACGCCACCGTCCGTAACGTCTCACACGAAATTCGTGTGGCAGCTTTCACACAGCAACCGATTCTATAATCCTCGTGGTCGCATCGCCTGTTTATGCTAGCTCGGCTTTTCCAACTTTCTGGAAAAGAAGTTCGATGGGGATACGTTCACTTATTGTCGCTGGTCGCCCTTGTTGATTCAAGTAACTTATTGATCCTCTTATCCGATTGCTGTTCGGATCTGTCGGATTTCTTACACCACCTTAATCGCAAGTGCAGCTCAAAGTACCGTTTGGCTGTGTGGACTGCGAGGCTCAATGCGAATACAACGAGGTGGACATGAGGCTTCTAGATGTACACGCCAAAGAACGGCAGATCTTCTCAAACATCATTAACGCTGAATGCAGTGAGGTTATATAAGTGGGTAAATACATCATTCACTCTTGTGGGTTTAGATTTGACGCTCTCCTTTACAGTCGTATTGAATAGGTTTCGAACGGTAACGCTCAGAGTGCCAAATGTAGCGGTCAGAGTGCGAGGAGAGATTCGAGAGGGCGTCTCAAGACAGCCGCCTTCTATTCTAACGTTAAGTTCCTGAGAACATCAGACTATCTTTAGCTTCACGCGCGCTCGCGTATTCCCCCACAGTAGCATTGGAATACATCGCTTCCGTCCTGCGGATTGGCCCAAGAACATAGCAAGAAGTGTCGCAACTGTACACTCCCGACACGAAGGTGTCCGGTTATGGCGCCTCCGACTATCTTGACATCGGACGAAAACATAGTTCAAGCACTGGAGCGAAATGCTGTATATAATACTAAGGGAAAATGGCAACAGCGTTCAGTGCAACCTCTGACCCTTCCTGAGTCTTCATCGACTGGTAATCCGAACACAGAGACCTATGCAAAATCCCTCAGTCGAGCGTACTCTAGTAGTTCTCTCGGGTCATACCACTGAGCTACACAGAGTTGGTAGCCAGCTTAGCAGCACGCTATGCGCATATGTTCCGATAGGTCCATATTCCTCGCCATGTGACACGGCGATTCTGGAATTGAGGAAGGTGTGTATCATCTCTTTTAGTAGTCTTCGATATTCTCAAGGGCTACGTTATAGACATTGGATGGAGCTATTCATGACTTCAGGAAAATTGCGTTCGATTGCAGCGCTGCAGCGAATCGTGAGTTGACATACTATGGCTTTGAATTCGGGCATGGACTCAGTGACAATCTTTTGGACTAGATCTCCGCTCCAACATATTCCCTTCAATTCAAGGTGCTCAAATAAATGTCGCTATCACGGAACTTAACAGATATCAGGTGGTAAGGTCACAAAGAGTTCTCCGAGGTCAATCTTGCTGACAAGTTAAACTACATAGTCGCTACAGCGCCGATCTCGTGACTGCCAGCAAATGCTTCAGCAGTTTAAGTCATTTTGTGGACCCTCCTTGGCTACTTTAGAAAGTCGGATTAGGGAGAATAGCAGTTTAAGCTCCAATGAAGATGCAGTCTCGCGGCATAGACCCGAAGTTCGGAACGGGCACCATGCCAGGCAGTGGATTCACAATGTGATTCATGTATGTACATTCCGTTATGGTATTAATTGATTACAAACTCATTCGCATGTGGGTAGCGTTCATCGTCTCGGTCAAGGGTCGGCAGGCAGCGAGGGCAACGAAGCCAGACGAGTCTACTGGAATCAATCATAGACGATTGCCAGGCGTTGATGGGAGGGCTTAGAATTTTTCCTGATTTCTATGTGCAATTGTCGACGGAAGTCACAAAAGTATATACGTTGCTCTGTCAAAACCAGGCAAGCATCATCTTCACTTTTTCTCCTACCTGCACTGACGTTCTTTATGTTATAGCTCCAAGACGAGGATCTTAGCTTGCTGGATCAATGGCTCACAGGAATGTCCGCGATTTTCGACGACTATCGCAGCCTCAGATCGTGATCCAAGGCAAACGTACAATCTGGACAATAGATAGAATATAATGAGCTCTTAGCCTCATGCCGATCATGTAACGGGAAGGGGGCACAGAAGCTTTGGACATTATGGTGTTGTCTCTCGTAGGACTAACAGTAATACGCGACGTGCAAAATAATCTACATCATCTCCCTGTCTGCCAATAATTCGGCCAAGGAATCCATTGCATCCGCCTCTTCTGGTTGAGCTGGGTTGACATCCGTGATCCACCACTCTCGATAAGCATAGCATTCATTAACCTTCAAGCATGGTACACCTGGTTCGGGCTCTTCAGGTTTCATGGTGACGATGAACCACCAGTGTCCGGTGTCTTTTGACTCCCAATCTTTGATTAGCTCCTTGGCTGCTGGGACTTCACAAGCACCCTCTACGCTTTCCAGGCCGTAGGATACGATGTTGTCAAGATGGTCCTCGAAGGCTTCCTCACGTTCGCTCTCTGGCAAATGAGAAATGCTTGCATAAGTATCCATGATAGACGACCTCAATCGAACGAGAGGCTCGTCATCCTCGCTGCCAGGCTCGAACAATCCTCTTAAGGCAAGCACCCACAAGAAATACGTATCGTCGACGTCTGTGATGTCAAACTATGAGTGTGTATGAAAGTGAGCTACGTGTCAGCGCGCACCGTGCTTGGCGTCCTTTTCCTCGTCAGTGTCAGATGTAGCTTCGTCTTCGAGCTCAGTGCTGTCATCTGCTTTGGCCTTCTTCGTACTGACTGGATCATCTTCTGTCTTTGAAAGGCTGAGCTTCCTCTTAGTCGTAGCAGTGACTGACTCTTTGAATACAGAGATCAGTGTCAGGCTAGTTTCACGCGGTAGCAGCTCACCTGACAACTCCAAGTCTCTTTGGGTCATGGCTCCCACTGAACAATGAAGTAAAGATCGCAGATTCGAACCTAGTTAACTGTGAACGAGGAGGTTCGACTATGTCCCGAAACGAGTGTTTGAATTTGACTTCATCAACGTGCATGGCATCGCGCGAGTCTATTACGTGACTTCAAATTATACATAGTTGAGGAAAGACAAACGTTAGAGGTGTGAAAAGGCGGCGTGCACTTCAGAAGGTATATAGCCCGAGTATTGTGATAATTAGGTTGACATACTGAAATCCAAGTACGGGAGATACGGACCTGAACAAGCAAGTATGAAAGGATTGTTAAATGTCATTGAATAGCTAGGTCACGCAAAGGTCTAGAGTGGATTAAGAGGACAACAGGGCCTGTGTTAATCATTAGGACCGCTCCCTTGTGCTTCAAGATACCGATTATGACTTCTGGGCCTCCATGATTCGTCGGTAAACATCAACCGGCACTTCCTCGAGTTCAGGCCCATATTTCCTCTCACCATGTCCTGTTTCCGGCATGGTGACCTCCCAACATGTTTCAAAGCGAGATGAGGATGCTTTTGGGAGCTGCATATGTACGTGTTTCACGTTAGGTCCAAGTATCCTTGCAATCCCACATGCTAGCGCGGATGGAGGGACAAGGCAGAGGTAATCATCAAATAGCGATAGAAGTGTTCTTGTGGAGATATTTCGCACGCGAGACGTGGGATCCGATGTTTCAGCAAGAGAGAAGATGATTGATACAGCAGTGAGTTCAGAGAGACCCGTAGGAAGAAATCGAAAGAAAGGTTCCTGATGCAAGACTTAGCGTAAGTATGAGAGGCGATGAGATTGGAACTCACCATGAACCTCATATATTTGCCATGAAAGAGGTCATTGAATACTACGTTGATGTGAAGTTGCTTCACAGAAGTCGAGTGGAGCGAGCTGTCCGTGCGTTCCAACTGTATGTCTACGTTGGCCCCAATCCAGATGTCTAAGGCAAGGACAGTGGGAGAAGCTACGTCAAGGAGAGCCTGAATATGCCCCAAAGAACGGCTATCAACGCCATCCACTATTACATGTCGAACATGACATGTCAGAAGGACTTGACAGAGGACATGAGCAGGTCCCTGCAAGACGTCCAGATGTTGCCACGAGACGTCCGAGGAAACAGATCTATTCTCCACATAGGAAAGATGTGGTTTCGCATAGATCAACCTTTGTAGGTTAGGGAACACTTGGGCTAGAATGCCTACATTGAACAAGGGACCATGTGAAGTGAGCTGAGTCACACGTGGAAAGGGATTTCGGCCGATATAATAGCCAGTATAGTAGATTTCCAGTTCTTCTAGGGTGTCCCTCCAGATCTCCAGCGCTTTGCCCATGTCACTGGGTCCCGCGTCAACGAACGAGATGGTTAACGCACGAGGACGAGCAGGACCTTTCTTAAAGACCTCGGCAATGTTTGAAGCAGTAATGGGATCCAATTCGATTTTCTTAATATTGCTCATGGAGCACAATGCAGAAGTCATGGTTGATATTTGTCTAATCCATTCGTCACATTTCAGAATAGAAAGCTTCTCCAGGCGGGCTGCGCGCTCCAAAACTCGAATAAAGTCATCGGACAGTTGAGGTTCGTCTTTGGGATCCCAACAGAGTTCGCCAATAATTATGTGACGCAGAAGTTTGGCGCGATCTTGGAGATCTCCATGGATGAAGGCGCAAAACGACCTAAACTGAGAGGTTGTGAAGAGACCGATAGGTAAAGAGAGATAGCGAGATAGTCCTGTTGAAAAAAGAACATGGCACGTAGTCATAAACGCCACGAGGTCGCAACGCTGGTCCAAACATAACATGATGTCCCTGAACACATCGAGGTTAAGGGGGACACTTGAAAGTGAAGTAATATTGAGCTCAATACAACCCGACCCTGTCACTGTAGACAGTGCTCACCCATTGAAGCTTGAAGATTTCATTTGGGTATCCTAGGGATCGCTTACACCTGAAGACAAATGGTTTAGAAGGGAGAATTCAGATCGATGGAATCGGAGGTGCGGATATCGAACAAGTACTGCTGCGTATTGAACGCCTTAGTATGTCCCGGTCTACGGCTCCGACCGGAGACCAACATGAGGATTACCATTTATGCATCACAAAATCCATTTATGGCAAGCCCTTCTACTCACCAATTTCACGTCTGGACATTCAAATATTCATGTCTGAAATATCTCACAAAAAAGTCTCTAATCGTCTAGTCCCGTCAGGAAGTCAACCAAGTATGACAACGCATCCGCCTTCTTCGAATCCGCTGGGCGAATAGCAGTGATCCACCACGTTTCTCCTTGAGAGTCCTCCGTTACCATCAAACCCGGCGCACCTCCTGCAAGCTCGTTTCTCTGCAAGTCGACTTCCCACCACCAGTCTCCATTCTGGGCTTCATGATCTTCAATTAATTTCTTTGCAGCTGAAGTTTCATGTGCGCCATCTACTGCTTCAGAGATGACTAGATGCACAATGTTGGTGTTTTCCAGGTACTCGAATACAGCTTCGTCTCGTTCGTCCTTAGGTAGGTCTTCAATACTGGACCATAGCTTTAGCATGGAGCTCTTCAGGCGAAGTGTGGCTGTTTCTTCATCGGCGGCCTCATCAGGTGTCAATAACCACGTCAACGCGTCTGCCCATAAGTAGAATGTATGAGGGCCATCGTCTTTGAGTTCAGGCTGCTCTGCAGGGCTAACGGTACCTAGAAATGGGTGTTCGTTAGTCTGCAGGATTGATGGTTGCGTGATCCCCGTACGTTCATCTCCAGTTCCAGAGCCGCTCTCCTCATCCCCATCCTCATCCGCGTCCACGTCCTCGTCCTCGGAAGTATTGTTCACTTTTGCCTTCTTCACACCAATAGGATCCTCTTCGACTTTTGATGCGCTGAGTTTCCTTTTACCCCCAGCGGCGCCTGATACAGAGTGTGCTCAGAATTTGAAGGCAGATGCAAGAAGTGACGCTGCTCACCAGACGGCTCCTTCTTTCCCGCCGCCGTCATCTCCTCAGGGAGAACGGCTTAAGAGTCTCTTGATGTTGGACGACTGCCAGTGTAAAACCGACAGCAGGAAGAAAGAAGCAAGAAAAGCTGTGGCCATCGGTCCCAACCAGCGCGTTTGGACTGTTACGTGTTCAATGGACATGCGATCACATACTGTATGCATACTAAGTACTACTAAGTGGGGTGACTTCCTTTCCTTCCCTGTATCATATTTGCAATGGTGCTGGCATTTGAGGGTTGAATATATTTGCGCAAGCAGGTTACTCAATCCTGGATTCCTGATCACCTTATTCAAACTCAACATGACGCCCTCAGAGACTCAACGACTGTAGACATCGTATTGAAAACCCCGTCGAATTCATTAGTAATGTAGTCTCCGTTACTGCCCGTGTAAGCCCAATTGGATGACAGTCGATCCAATGCGAAGTGGGAACTTGCTGCAGATTTGGAGCGAGAAGTCAAACTTTCTACCACCCTCTCCTTCCTATCCTTTCACGTATAAAAAACCCAACCAGGTGTCCCGTAATTACTGCCACTTTTGGTAACAACACTATATTCCCAGCGGTTATGGAGCACTCTGATACAAGCAGAACAAATGGTGAAGAACTATAAACGTGAGGAACAATAAATGGTCGTGAATGTGTGATAAGGTGTGTGATGCGAACTAGTGTGTGTGAAAGTAAGTAAGATTGAAGATGTGAGTCCTTAGATCATCGATGTTAACCCCGAAACATAAATACAACTGACAGTAAGTCTTTCTGCTTAATAGCAACATAGCCTTATTAGTATGTCCTTTTCCATTTGAACGATCAGTTATTGTAGTAATTTCAATATGAGCGTCGACGCCACCGCGAGCAGCATAGCTCCCATTGGCGTTGAGTAGATCCGAGTTGCTGCACTGCTAGCTCGGTCGATCCCCACTCCTGTCGCAGTGACAGCAGCTGCAGAAGATGCAATCGTTGGTGAAGGCAAAGGTCCTCCTTCGCCGTTCATAGCAAGCGCGGTTGAAGAGAGGGTAGCAAAGCCGATTGCTGGTGGACTAGAAGCGCGGAACACTGAATAAACATTTTTCTGAGATACAAGGCGAATCAGCATATCGATAAATATGATGACAGTAGTGAAAGAAAGCGCAAGGATGACTTACGAGGAATACATCACCAACGATCCAGTTTGGCGCACTGCTGCCAGAGGAGGAAAGCTCAAAGAAGCCGCCAAGGCAGGTATCCGCGCTCAATCGGGCCAGTCTGAAAGCAGCTGGTTCAATAGGCCATCTTATAGTGCTATTTCCGAAGCCAAGTGAGATCGTTACGGTCGTTGAGCAGGCTACGACAACTAATCAACACGATAGAAATCAAATCAATGAGATGGACTGACGATAAGTGTAATAGCCTTCATATTCGCCAGTTGCGGCTGAGCTGCCTGGGATAGCGCTGTAGATGGCTTGAATGACTCCGGCTGGACCCCCGACCAGAGTGGTGCCGGTGTCGATTGCAGCGAAGGAGGCGTCTTCGGGCAAGCTCAAGTTCTGATTCTGAACCAGCAAAGCTATAATCCCGAACACTCGTCAATCTTCGCTTGCCACAAGCAAAAGCTGATGCCAACGTACAACTCATCTCCAGAATCCAATACCCAACACTCCCGTCCGGAATATTCTGATAGTCAATATCTCCCTCGTACAAACTGGAATTCGTTGCTCCAAGCGTAAACGTTCCACCCGGTTCAGCACTTCTAACTCGGGGAGCGTCAATATAACGAGTGAGCTGGAAGGCCATGACTGGCTCGTCTAGGAGGCCTTCAGTCTGTGCTAGGACTTGCCAGAAGGGTTTGACTTGAGAGGTGGCGATGTTCTCCCAGGCGAGGCCGAGGATGCCAGAGACTGGTGGGTTGAGCATGTTTTCACTGACTTGCGAAACCACACCTACGCATGAGAGAGGATAGGGGGTGAGGCTAAGAGGTGAGCGATGACGTGATCGGATAGCCCATTGTACAGACATACCGAAAACTTGATTCTGAACCTCGAAGCCGGCCATTTGAATAACGTCGCTGCCTAGGGTGCCTTGAGCAGCGCCGGAGCCGTACCGTATGGAGAATGATGCATTTTGAGTGACGAATGACGATGAACCTGTTGGTGTTTATGAATAGTTAGATGATAAATAATAGCTGAGTGATAGATGATGGTAATGCAAGACGTAATTGACGTACCGGGAGGGCTGAACCTTGGAATATCGGACTCAATGTTTGATCCTTCGGAATCGCTGGCTGCTAACCAGAAATCGCTGTTCATCGTGATGAGACGGTGTTCGTGAGATGTTACGGGTGCACTTACGCAGATCCAGTATCGAGTATGACGTCGTAAGATACCGGTGGGGTCCCTACCGCTATTGATCCGAAATAACTAGGGGTGACAGCTTGAGTGAAATACGAACGTTAACACATTGACGATCACATACCTCGAGTCAGCATTCTGGTTCGTCAATCTGTGCAGTACCTTAATGAATATGATTATATGGAGATCTTGTGGAGTATGCCTACAAATTCATTCCATTGCTTCGTTTGTCGACAGGAGGGCGAATTCCGTATTTCGTTTCGATCGCAATTCGCTGGTTCCTTGCCCATGCACCCAGCTCGGTGACGTTCTGTGGTTGGGTGTAACGTCGTAGCAGGGGTACCGATAGCGGTTGGGCATTTGGACTCGGTGCAGCGGAGGATAATCCTCCCGATGAACTGAAGGAGTCCAGTGCTACGAGTAGCGTCAATGCCAGATGAGAAGGTAATGAAGTGAACATCATTTCGTGAAGCAGTCGAGCGGTCCGAACAGTTTAAATGGTTAGTGGTGCAGAACCCTATTTGACTGCGACAATTTGAGCGAGAGAGTCAGCACAAAGGAGGGAGACTGCGCACTGCGCAAGGATGACGAGACTATATTATCAGGAGGAAATTTAGTAAGATACGTTCCGTGTAGAAAGGGGTATTCTTGGGGGTTCGTGCCGAAGAGAAGGAGACAAAGAACCTGAGAGAAGCCCCCGGAGAAGTCTATGATGAGGAACTTAAGAAAAGACTACACCGGGAAGGGATCGAGCTGACGGCTGTGCGAACACGCCGAGCTGACCACGGTCCAAGGGAGAAAAGCTGAATCCAAGCCAGCCCAAGCGTGCATGTCCGTCAGCGCGCCCATCGGGCTCTGCAGACAAACGCAGTTCGCCACAAGTAGCCGCAAACCTGCCTTTTTTGGAGCCCCGCCAAGTCCGGAGACAACACCGGAGACATACTTGATACTCCATTTGGCAACTCTGGTGGTTGAGTAAGCGTCCAGCCGATCGCGGCTCCCGGCGAGCTGTGGCTATAGTTGTGCTTGGCAGGTCACGACCGTAGTGTACCGGGAGCCAAATGACAACCTGACTTTCTACCACGACCTGGAGACAAGCACGATAGCATGAGGGCCCGTTTTTGCATCGAAGGAAGCATCATCAAAAAGGTGAACATGTGACACGTTGTCCTCGAGAATGTCGTCACTGTGAGAATGTACCTGTCCTCTGGATCGTCTTCGCTCAACTGAATACCACGATCGTTCTCAGGCACGTAAAGCATTTCTTGTTCGACCTACGCCAAGCGTGGGGTACTCACGATCGTGTTTCGTGCCTCACAGCGGATCTATGCTCAAGCTGCACCTTGCGCAGTTGCAAGAGTCCGTCCTCGCGCTCCACTTTGGCTAGCACCTGGTCTTCATACTAATTTGAAGAACGAATAGGAAACGCCCGACATATGTCACGTTCCACCTGGCGTGCTACGGGCCTATCCGATTCTGGTAGCATCATAAACCATTACGAACGAGCTTGAAATACTTTTGCTATCTATCTTTCCCTCTTGATTTTCCCAGTGAAGCCGTGCGGCCTCCCGCAGAATGTCTTTTCATACCTATCCTTGTCTTTGACGAAGCTTCAACTGACATCGGAAGAGGTCACATCTGTTCGACTCGACTGATCGGTCTCGGGATATGTATTAGGCGCTGAGCAGAAGTCGCCGGTCCATCATCTACATCCGCATCGTCCAGTCCGTCTTCGCATCGAGTGGAGTCGTCTGCGAGATTGGGTGCCTGGCTGACATGGGCCAGCATGGGAACATCTTGGTCCACTACAGTCTTCACAATTTGCAATACGGTACATCGATACAAGGATTTCGATCAGGTGGCAGACAAAGTACAACTCTTGATTCGGTCACTCCGCGGTTACAACTGCACTTACACCACAAAGGCCATCGGTATGATGCCGTGGATTCGGATCCTCAATACAACGTCGCATAACAATCCTGAGATTGTCCTTGGGCCGATCTCTCATAACGGTGCTAGCTGACCTCCCTTCCGCCGGTACATACACGAACCATTCTATGGGCAGCTGTGAACGCTATGACTCAACAGATGATATGAATGCCGGTCTTGGCTCATTCCCATGGCTATAGTCATCAAACTACGCTCAAGCTCACTCTCGATGCGTACTCACAATCTCTCATCCCACACATACTGAACAATACATTAACCATCACTCGGTTCCTGGATGAGAATAGAAATAGCACGCTTTCCACGTCCAGGGCATTGGGGAAAAAACCTTATGGACGACATCGTGGAAGGGTTCGGCGGAGTCCCGACGGTGGGGATATTTAGTTGCCCTTTTGTATTGGTGGCAATCTTATAGGCTGGCTGTGATTAGGTGTTTACGGCATGTGTTTCGAATAGATGAAGAATGCTAATCGTATTGAATGCAAAGGGCTTCGAATTGTAAATGTTGTTCTACTTGTTTCTCACTCTCTTTAAACAACTTACGTTTAGCGGCGGACCTGCCCGGAACGAGTCGTCGAAATCATTCTCAAAGCTACAAACCCGGATGGTTGTGATGTACTACCAGCTGGAATTCTACGCTCGTCGGCGGTGACGATGGTTGCTCCATGGATCCCTCATTTATTTTTTCTCATTACACAATCCATTTTTCTACCCTAGACCTCGCTAACGCGTCCTAACCACACTTCTATTGGGGCGCCGCCCGCACCTACTCTCTCACCAATCTGCTCAAAAGTAACACCAATATCTTTGGCCATCTTCCACAATGTTCTCTCTGCCGGGTCTCGTTCTTTGTACCCTAATAAGACCAGCGGAGGCCGTGGTTTCTGTGAGAGGTCGTGAAGTGTAAGGATACCCTTCAAGGTTCTTACGAGTGATGGGAATGACGCCGTGTTGTAGGTTACATCCGCCATTCTACAAGGGCTAAATATTAGCGAAGGGAGTTATGGGCGTAATCTGCGAACTGACATGATGATATCAAAGCCACCCTTCACTGCGGTCACTTCGGCTGGCAAGGACTCATTGTCCCAGTCCAAAACAACTGCGTGAGGTCGAGAGGCCTCTGAAAACAGATGTTCGTTGTTGGAGATGTTATGTTGTAGCAAAGGCATCGCGGAAGCTACCGAAAAGTTATACCTTATCTCAGGTCGCCGTTGTGGTTGAGAAAGCATAAGACGTACCAAGATCAGTCGTGAGTATTTGCCCACTGTCGCCTGACTGACCGGAGCGGATAGTACCCAGAGTCAACGAGACGATTCCCGTGCCTGCGCCTTCAAGGCCATGAGTACTTTAGTCTTACAAAGTACTGAGAATGTTAAACTTACCTAGCTCAATGATGTCGCAAGGTTTTTCTTGAATCAGACGGTCGCGGACCTCCTTCTCTCGAGCAGACAATTTGGACCCTTCCTGAGTCGCTATGCAGTCTATCCATGAGCTGAGACCAATGCCGCTATCCCACACTTTCTAAATCATCCTGAGCATAATCGCATCGTTTTATATCGTAACGACTTAAACGAAGGACTCACTTTATCGAGGTCGAATGAAGTTTGTTCTTTGACACAGAGAAACAGTTGTCCACGCTCCGGGCTCATTAGCCGATACGTTCGTTCAACCTGTTCTTGTTTCGCAGAGGAAAAGCTCCGCGCAGTGAACAGAATAGGCATCGAGATGACTGGAAACGGTCTGGCACCGCAAGTAGCTCCAGCGAGGTTGATAACATGTGGGTGTCCTTGATCATGGACTGTGAGGACGAGACGGTAACGTTGTCCTTCACGAAGACCTGGTGGTAATGGGACTTTGATTTCTTTGTAGGCATTATCATGTCTCCAAGTTGTTAATTTCAACGGTTTCGTGACTGGCGGTATTCCGCTGGATGTAGAGCCAGAGGGTGAGAGTTGCGACCAACTATAGAATATGTCTTGCTCTCCGGTGAACAGCTCTGTGCGAAGGTCGTTCGCAATCTGGGGTGTTACGATGAGAGGAAAGGATAACGGTGCCTGAAGTGGAGGTGGTCGGAGGAACGAGAGGTAGTAGAACATCGCAGAACTGAGGGGTATCTTATGATGAAACCATATTCAGCAGTCGGTCACGATAAACACAAATCTTTGCACCTTACCCGTTTCTTTTGTCTGGCACTTCAAGAGCTCACAATCTTGCTTAAACGAAAAGAAGAGGAACTTGAAATCGAACTGAGCCTCACGCTGAGCTCGTAAAATGATCTCCGACAATCGGAGATGCAACTATTGAGATTCGGCAAGTGCGTGACGAATTGCTGTTCGGATACAGTATGCATTTCGAGGTTCGCAAACACTCTCTCCTTCGTAATTCTTTTGCTTTTCATGTCTGAAGCGGCGTGGACTTCGCAGGGTGCAGACCGACCGGCTTAAAGATCTAGGATACTAGGTTGAATTCTACCAAGTGAAGGCGTTGCTTGAAAGAAACTGGAAGCAAATAGGGCAGGTTAACCGTTAGGTTCAAGTGAGTCCCGGCCTTCGCCAATGCCATGATCTTTTCCAACTTAAATCCTGTAGCTTTTATCTGTTATTTTTATTTCCAGGGCTGCTAGTACACATTCTGCGTCTGTGAATGTTTGGAATATTCACTCCGCTGTCCGCTCGATCCCTCCGATCACTACGTCTACCTCGCACACCATGCCGCACATTCTCCTTTACCCACAATTACCGATTTCCACGCCTTCCATCGAAACGAGTTGATGGTGTGCTGGAAACCAATGTCACAGAAAGAGGGCTACCCCAAGTGCCATCCTTTCGGGAACAAGTCGCTCGGGAAATACCAGTACAGTCGTTCACGGATTCCGTGAAAGCACCTTCAATAAGGAATCAAGTGATGGTATGTTGCTTCTCACGCTTTTTTTTCTTTGGGAGAGTACTCATATCGCGCATGTCAGTTCTTTATCTTTGGTACTTTTGTGGTTTTCACCCTCGCCGCCAGGAAAACTAATTACGATACTGCCGTTTGGACGGAGAAGCTCTCACATACTGGCAACCTCATATGGAAGCTAAGGATTCCTACGAGTGAGGAGATCAGGAGGGCGAGGCATTTCGAGCTAGGGAAGGTACGTGGCTCGTTCAGGTGGCTTATGATCCTGTCTACTAAGCCGACGCTAGAATTTACAAAATGGTCTAAAATCGCTGCAAGAGACTATCGAGGAATGGCCAATAATCATCAAGCACACAGTAGTATGGACGTATATCCAAGTCCTTCAACCTATTTTGGATGCTTCAGAAGGCAAACGCCTGTGCTGGGCGATTGGCCTGACGAATGCTGCTGTCTGGCTTGTCTGGCAGTTCCCTCAAGCACAGCGGATCATGACGAGGAGCTTTACGCATAGCCCGCTATCGGGTTTATCATATACACTGCTTACTAGTATGTTCAGGTGAGCTCCTTGAGCACGCTAGTAATCTATCGGCCTGCATCTTAACGTATCATCAGCCACAAGTCCTTCCTCCATTTCGCGTTCAACTCAATGGCGCTGGCAAGCTTCGGTACGTATATGTTCGTTACGATCTGAAGTCTCATTGTGACTTCTCTTTCAGGGTCTGCCGCAAGCTTATGGATGATGAGAGCTCAGAACCAGAGTTGGACAGGTCTTCCAGAGGCAACGCCAAAATGGCATTTCCTAGCATTCTTCATATCAGGTATGACATATGACTTCGGCTCGCACTCGTGTCGTGACACAACGTTTTTTTAGCTGGTCTCTTCTCTGGGCTCGTATCACACGTGGTTGCCGCACGATTCCGGTTCCCTCGCATCGTTGCCCTGCTGAAATCTAGGCCACTTACTGTCTCAGCAACAGGTGCAAACCTCAAGGCTGGGGTGGCTGAAGCTACAAAGAACGTACCGAAGATACTTCCTTCGCTCGGAGCTTCAGGTGCTATTTACGCAGCAGTGACGCTAACAGCGCTTGCTTTTCCTGAGACGGAAATCGCACTGATTTTCCCTCCGACGCCTCCGATCCCTATCCAGCTCGGTGTCGGTGGGTTGATGGCTATTGATATCATAGGGGCTCTACGTGGTTGGAGGTCAGTGCTAAAACGGCTGTGTTGGGGGCTTTGAGCTAACTATAATCTTGAATTAGGTTGTTTGATCATTGGGCCCACCTAGGTGGTGCAGCCTTCGGGGTATTGTACTATCACTACGGCATGAAGGTGTGGGATACGTTCCGTGCGGGAAACCTCGGCTCAGCCCCCGATCGACAAAAGAAGGACTGAGGCGATGTTTCATGCGCTACGTGTTTGATATACCTGTAGAATGGTTACCTCCCCTCACCGGACAATATGAGCATGATTTTGCTGTCGCAGAGATACAGATACGCTCATTCGCCACTGAGGGACTTGTTGGATCCTATTCGCTTGAGCATAGGACTGGATTACGGATAATCTTAAGGGTGGTCTTAAATTACTCTTCTCGCCAGCTCAATTTCAACCTGTTGAGGTGAGTTCTCCAATAATACTGTTCATCAGCTACTTTCATGAATCCTCGGGGACTGGTCTCATTCTCAGCGGCAGGCCTAAGTCTCAATTTGACGTTTGCATGTTCATGATTGTCGTTCTCTCAGATACAAGGCCCAACGGATATGCTTATAAGTGAAAGTATCATCGACTGTTAGCGAACCCCTAGTTTTGACGGTACATGCCCTCAAATGTCAGTCTGTGATTTGTCTGGCAGGTTCCTATCACAAACATTATTGGCAGACAAGTGCCAATAACATAGAAGTGGTCTGGGGCCTAATTGCTTTGACAGTGTGCCGTCCTATCCCCATTTCCAGCGTTCAATAAGACCCTTGATTACTTGTAACCTTAGACCTGTACATGTGCATGATTGTATCATGCCGCGTATTTCGACATACCGTGAGTAGGCACGATTAATAAACCGTGCGCTTCTCCTCTCCTCATCTGCGAGTCGCTCGAATAACTCATCGATTGCCGAGGATCCCAATGAACTCGCCTTGTTACGACTTGATCTGCGCTGGTCAAAGTTCTCAAGGCGTTCAACATTGTGTTGTGAGTGTATATGGCTGCGGAGCTTTACTCTGACATCTCATTCCAATTATCTAGGCGTGCCACAATGTGCTTACGGTCGACAACAAGCAACCTTTCTGCAGTGATCACTGCGATGCAATTTCGAAAGACATTTGCTCCATCATCGACCAATGTTCCCCGCAACAAAACAGGGCAATGTGTGTGTCACAGCTGCAAGCCGTTGGAGCGCAAGAAGCTGCGAATGTCTTACAGAATGTACGATAATTCACCTGAATCTTATTTGATAACCTTCCTTGATTTCGTAACAGTTGCTTGAGATACCAGCCAAAGGACACTACCGGCGGTTCATCCGTCCAGTTTTGACTATGCTAGCAAAGGAGACTGATAAGATACCATCGAAGTTATTCATCACATCAGTAGAGGCTGACGAGTGGAATGAAAGTAACATAATAATGGGAGGGTTCGGAGTAGTTCATTCAGGCCTCTACAAGGGCCAGCCTGTAGCTCTCAAATGGGTGCGTGTCACCTCCAGGGGGGACAAGAGAGCGAAGATTCAATTAGAGAAGGTAATGTCTAGACTTCTATATGCCATTCAGTGTGATGCTTATGAACATTCAGTCGTTATATCGCGAGGCCCTTACATGGTTGAATCTCAGACACCAGTATATTCTTCCCTGCCTTGGGATCAGTCGGGAGACCAAGCCAAGCAATTGCATCGTCTCGCCTTGGATGGCCGGAGGCGATCTTCGCACTTTTATAACGGGAGACTGTGATCTCACTGTGATTAAGATGCTCATATCATCATGGGTAAGGAGTCATTGCCATCGGAAACAGATAGAAATAGAAACCCTCATTTTATATACAGCTCCGCCAGATTGCCATAGGAGTACTGTACTTGCACATGGAAAACATTGCTCATGGAGATCTTCGTTGTGTGAGCACATCTCATTGCACGATACCGATGTAACTGAGCGGTTACTAGGTAAATGTTCTGCTTGACCCGAAGAACTCGACGATTTGCGTTGCCGACTTCGGTCTTGCTGTCTTCGCCGATAATATCAGCCAAGCCAATGATTCTGAACGTGGCGGCAATCCAAATTGGCTTGCTCCGGAACTCAATCCTAGCCTTGGTGGATTGAATTCATCCACACGTCCAACCTATCAGGGTGATATCTACTCCTACGGCTGTGTTATCATAGAGGTAGAGTGACTTGCTTACTTCTCTTGGCCTCCCCGTCTCAAGTTCTTGTAGCTGTTCACACAAGCGAACCCGTCGTTGTTGATCAGCATCGCTGTTTACAACGAGAAACCTCTTGATAAAGAGGAAATTTGTGGTCGCACATCCATCCCGATACCGGACGGCTTTTGGAGTCTTGCTAAGGCATGCTGGTTTAAAGAACCATCTCAACGGCATCCTATGCTGCTCCTTGTGCAAACACTTGATCAGATAGGAACTCAAAATTTGCAAGATTTTAGCATTGGATCTGAACATGCTGCAACCATATACCTGGAAGATACGGCCGCCCCATCCGATGAAGCTATCTTCAACATTCGTGTTTATTTAGGCAAACTGCCTACACAAGTTGGATCCCTACAAGTGGATGAATTGAAACTCTATTGGCACGTCACTCAAGAGGTGCCGATCTCTTGATATCACAAGCCTTGATGGTACTGATATGGATGCATTTCCTGCATGCTTACAGATGCATAGATATATCTTCTTGAAGGCATATGCCCTTGCCGAAGACATCAACCTCATCATAGCAGGTGAGTGGTCGTTGCACATGTATGGCCGTTTGCTCTGCTGATATTTTGTGATGCCCACCTAGCTTTTAGAACGCTCCTCGAACTCACTCCGGGCCTTCTTGAGACAGAGTTTTGGTTAAAAACTCTACATAGGGAGATCATTTGGCACCGAAAGGTATACATTGAGAGTTGTCAAGTCTATCACAACTGATGTAACGCTTCTTGCAGCTCGTCCAGAGAGAGCGAGACCGCTGTGTAGCTGTGACGAACGACTTCGAAAGACTCTTTGACAAAATACCACTGATCAGCAGAAAGTGGACCGAGATTTGGCTTGGACCTACCAAACGCAATTATCCGAGTCCTCGAAACCATGAGGATAGTCTTGTCAAAATAAGGTATAATCAATCGGCTGCAGCGACGGCACGATTGCTTATGACTACTTCTGCAGATTGAGAAAGATTGTTTGTTTATTTTCATGTCAATATCCGGCCGTTGCTCGACTGACAAGCCTATGCACGTCCAGATTTTGACGGTCCAGGCATTGGTCCGTTTCCGTCAACGCAAACCCGCCAAACCCTCAACCCGTAAGTTCGCATTGTTTTTAGCATCTAGCGGCCAAAAGGCTTATGGTATAACACAAGCAACGGTCAGCGGTCCTGTCATAATAGACCTGGAAACTACACCGCCCGAGGGGAGCTTTGGACATTTTGACAGAAAATGGCGCGCCGCTGCGTCGTTTTGGAAGGAAGTAAGTCGCTTGAAGCTAGAGAGAATGCACTCGAAGTAATGTTACGTTACAGGTTTCTGATGTCCTGGAGCACGTTCTCGCCAGTCTCGATGATGCACTAGCATTCAGTGCCGATTTAGTAGGTTTTCATTCAAGTACTGAATCATTACTTTTCGAGTAACAATTCGAACAGGATTTATCGCCCGACGGAGGCTTTGTGGATGATCTACAGCCGATCCTCGGTACCTATGCCCCTTTGCTAGTCGTATTGAAACGATATTGTGACAGAGTACGGCACTAGTCCAGGCCACAGCCTAATATCTAAGAGAGTGTATTGTTGTGTACTGTATGAGAGAGTAAACTCAAGCCGTGACTAGTTAGGTGAAACCTGGGTCTCAATGATTCGTAAGAATGGAATGGTGGTATCGCGATAGTGGGCCGGTGCTATAAGCTGCATCGTGCATATTATAAGGATAAGAACTGCGTAGTGATCAAATCCGTACTACGCACCAGATTTGGTCGAGTCGTCTTCGTAACCCATTCGATTTCTTTCACCGTGCACGTCTTGATCTAAAGCTCAGTGAGAGACGATAGAGGGATAGCCATATAACATGTCCCATACATATTGCAAGATGGCGTTTATCGCATCTAGGTTCTCTTGGACATTGTGTAGAGACTTTGATACTGGGGAACTGTCGATTGGAAGGCTTGCATGAATTTCTGGCATCCCCGGCTCAATTGCAATAACCGAAGATAGAAATCAAACAAAAGCGTACGCTGCGAGCTGCGAGCCGTGCAACATTCTCGACCGAAAGGAAAGAGTCGGCTGATTGATCTGCCTGCGATCAAAGATACGGCAACGACATATTTGGGAATTCCTGACAGCTGTTGTTTGAAGATTAGTGCGGACTGAAAGCAATGCTACTTGGATACAGACATGACGTTTCCACCTGATCCCGGAGGCTATCAGCGAATTCATCTCGATTCGAGCTGTTTATGCCTTACCTGTTCGACATTCTCGGGTTCCTCCACGTCTGCCCTTCCAGTTTGAGATGGGGAGCATTCATCGTACGATCGATTTTCGGTGCTAGCTGAGCCAGGGTATCGAGCAGGATGCGATTACCTCCTAGTAGACGCTCAATGGCATCAAGTGTTATCGTCATCTGTAGCATCGGTTCAAGTAAGGCTGTGAGACTTCAAATCTGGAAAAACTAGCCGAGTGACGTTGGAACACCACTTCTTGCGTGTTCTCCTTCATCTCGCCTTCACTCCACACGGTAGTAGCCAGTTCAAGAGCCGGTAACAGAGTACCTGCAACATCGATTCAATTTGAGTGTTTCTTTTAGATTGTGCACTGTGGAATACCTGCGCCAGATGATCGAATATCGACGCAGAGGTTGTGAAACGATGCAAAGTAGCGATGACAGTTCTGCGTTGTGAGCTTGAGTATACCGCCGTGGATATCTCAATCAAATGATACGCACTTTGTATAGAAAACACCATTCCTCCAACAACGTATCACCGCTATGATCCTCCAGTCGATGTTGCAGTTTGAGATGATTGTACACTTCCGAGAAGGAAGTATCGAGTACGGCAACAGTGGCACCCAGCCTCTCAATGACTGGTTTTATTGTATCTCGTCCAAATGGACCAGCAGCTGTTGACAGAAGGTCATCAGACGGAGCAGTTGATAAGCAAACTTGCAGTGCAGAAGGTCGCAATTGGGGGTCAATGAGATAACATTCCGCAGCCAGACGTTGCAGGTGCGGAGGAATCTCTACAAGCGTGCCGTGCGGGGAAGGTGGTTTAGCAACAACATCTTGGTTGCCATCTAATTCAAGCGTGTTCTCTGGGTCCCGATTGGTGAACACCTGCCAATCCGAATCAGTCCGATGTTTGAGGTGGCTGATGTGAAAAGTTTTCACCTCGATAATCACAGCTCCGAACGCAAAGACGTCGCTCTCACGAGTGAATCGCCGGATGGATGTTACATTACCAGGGACAAACAGCTCGGGTGCAAGCCAGGGCACAAGGTAGTTGCGATGAGGGTAAGCATCATACGGCTCATTATCAGCAAAGGAAGTGATGCCAAAATCTGCCAGGCGAACATTGCAATCAGAATCTAGGAGGATATTTCGCTGTTAGATGGGCTCTGGTCAGACTATGTCTAAGCAACGGCATCCGAAATTTGACGTACGCCACAAAGATGCCCGTGTATTACACCTTGGGAATGAAGATATTGTAGGCCAAGTGCTACTTGATGCAGCTGTATCCAACATTTAAGTATTTGGGTCAAGTCCCGGAAATCACAGCGTCGCATGCCTTACCCATAGAGGGAGACGCCAATTCAATTCGAGGAAATCTTTGTGCTGATCAATATAAGCACGAACGTTACCATTCGGCACCCAGGGACAGACTATAGTCAAATATCTTTCGAACGCTGCACCGGATGAACCAAAGCATTGCAGGACGTATTCGTGATCGAGGTTACGCCACAAGGCTACCTCGCGATGGAATTTCTAGGCACAAACAAATTCTTGATAACAGAGAGGCATAGAGGAGGAAAAATTTCACCTCGAATAGGTGCTGCCTAGATGACGCCGGGAGTGTATGATCGATGATCAATCGCTTGAGAGCGACCTTTGTCCCAGAATATGTGCCGCAAAAGGTATCGGTGAACGTTCCTGAGAAGTCCGGTAGTTGACTTATACCTGTAATGTCTTTCAGTACAATAGCAGAAGGAAAGCAGCTCGTTCTTTGCATCCATTCTGCGAGTAGGCTACGAGTGGAATGACGGTGTGGCGAATCGGGATAGTCAATTAACTATAGGCTTATCAGTCCAGAAGATTCGGATATTCCTCAGACCATGCTGAGTAGTTAGAGAAAGAATACCAACTTTCTGTAGAGCATTAACTACATGGTTCCGCTGGAGATCCGTTGTATTTGAGAGACACGAATCCAGCTTCTCCCTATCAAGTGGGAAAATGTCGAGGAGGTCGCATATTTCTCGTGTGAGCAGTCCGCATTCTTCGCTACAGAACGTTCTCCAGACCACGCCCAATTTTTCTCTTGTTAATGAGTTCGTACATAACTGAATTGGCTTTGTGAATACTGGAACTCGAGAGCAGGAGAGCAAGCCATAAAGACGCACGACACAACGATTCTCGGTATCACGTGGAGAAGACGTTACAGTTGCGCAGTGCGACGACGACGGAAAACACAGCAACGCATAACACTCTGAACACATCAGTGGACGATCGGATATACCGAATGACTTTGTTAATGGAGGTTGGGGGTCAACAAGTACGAGAGGGCGTGGAAACATGCTTCTGCTTAGGTTTGTTGTTGGCGCTACTAGTACAACGTATCTACCACGTGCATAGCTCGCTGCATCGTTTCACGGCACCATCTGACATTCTAGCATCCTTAACCCCATACATTAGTTTATCGTGATTATCGCAGGGCACGAGAAAGCCAGAAGACACGAGCTTTGAAGAGTACAAGCCAATGAACATATTCTTCAGGCGCCTTTGGTCATAAAACATACAAATCGAATCCGTATATAACCAGGATCGAATCACTAAACATCGGTTGAGTTGATTGGTAAAGAAGCGGCATCATATGACATTAGCATCCTTAATCTTAGCACGGACTCTTTTGCTGACGGTCGCCGTGAGGGGTCCTTCGACCAGCATGCCTCACAGAGCGTCCACAGGTGATCCGTGAGTGGTATTAAGGCACTGCTCATGGTACGCTCCTTGGACGGTTTTGTACCTCTCGGTATCATAAATACAACCTTCATAGTGCTGAGCCCAATATATGGGTCCTGATCGGTATATATCTGTGCAGAAAAGGTGAGGGAAATTTTCGGACAGCGAAAGGACAACGTACTTCGACGATAACACATCCAAGTGAAAATATGTCACTGGACAACGTGGGCCGAACAGATGTGGCGTCAGGCTCCAGCAATTCTGGCGCGAGCCATCGTGGATTGCCTCCTCTATTGGAGCCGCGCGCTCCACTGGTACCATCTACCAAGACGGCGAAGCCAAAATCCGCCAGACGGACCGAATAGTCTGAATCAACCAGTATATTGGCCTGTAGAATAGAATTAGATGTATTGATCACCCTGTAAAGGTCGACTTACTCCAGGAAGATCGCCATGTACGATTCCCTCCTCGTGGAGGTATTGCAAACCGGAAGCAATTTCAAGTGACTGTCACAATCAAAAGAAACAATCATTGACCCGAGATATTGCATGACTAGGTTACTTACCCACTTTGGGATCCATACCCGCCAATTCAAGTCTAAACTACTGCGACTTCGCAGCAACTGCCGTATACTTCCGTGAGGCATCCAAGGCGATACAATATAATAACGTGGTGTCGGTAATGTTCCAAAGGTTGTGATGCCTAGGCATGGGAGTATATGTCTGTGCTTGAGGTTCCGCCAGGTAAGGGCTTCGTATCGAAGGGACTGTGGCACGCAGTAATCATCGCTGAAGTGTCTTATCACAATACAATGAACAATTGACGAACCTTCTCAGTTTCTCTTTTTATTGAAGTATAATCGGTATCGTAGATTCGAATCCATTTCAGAGCTACATCTTTACCGCTATATTGACCTCGATAGACCCAGCCATAAGCCCCGCAATAGACTGGGTATTCGCTCGTCCGTTCGACAGGCTGGATGTAAAGCTCGCGCGGCATGATACCGTGAGAATCTGCTATTTGACTAATGAGAAGACGGATGAACCGTCGATCTTCCGTCGACTCAACAAACTCGAGTACCTGTTTGAAACATTGTTCCGTTAGGTAGGAATGAATCAAGTAAGGAGGTACATAACTTCTGAAAGAGATCTGAATAATGTTCTGCAACGCTACTAGGAAGCGTAGAAAGGTATTGGTCCTGGAAGTACGGATTGGCCTGGGATCGATGACTATCAAGCCATTCACATGCGTTGCACAATGAAAGACTACATTGTGCGTTGCAGAAGACAAGTAATCCGTTTTTATAGGGACAATCGGATAGAGGGGAGGAACACCACTGGGATGCTGCCTGAGGTGATGATTAGATAGAAAGGGGTCCTACGTACTGTGCATTGGAGCTTCGAGCCGGACGATCCAGACGGATGAACTTCAGATGCTAAACTTGTTTGTAGAAGAGCATAGTAATACGACGTTGGCATCTGCTTGATCCAAAGTTACAGTAAGTGCTGCTTAGAAGGCAGCGATTAACCATACATAGAGACAACTTTCTGTACATGCGGCTAAACATTTGGAGCTGACGCACTTTGTACTCTCGGCGATTCCCGGCCACTTCCTGACAGATATTTTTCTCTTTCCGCCATGGACCATGGCCTGTATATCCGAATGTTTTTTGTTTTCACTGGGGGGGGGGAGAGAGATACAGCTATCTTTAAAAATCAAATACAGGTTTAACTATTGACTCATGATTGTTTTTGTAGGTAACATACCGCTGGGTGACGCTTGGCTAGCAAGCCCGTTCAAACGCGAGGCCTGATTCTTGACTGCAGCATCAGCGAGACGCTGTGAACTATGTTGGGAATTTAAAAATCTCAGGCTCTGAACAATGTCCACGGCTACATCCACTACAACCCCCCACCTCCCTGACCCTCAGCTGCAGAGGCTCAGTCATGGCAGCGATCTATGAGATGCTATGCGATGGCTATCGATCTATATGTTCGCTTCACTGCATGGGATGTACATTACAGTTGTGGAAGTTCCCATGTTGATCAAGTGTGCAGTATTGCTCTAAATCCCTCCCAGTTTCTGCCCATAAACAAGATTCTTTGACTTTTTGTATGATCAAATGCAGAGAGAATTGTGTCAACGTCTGTGCTCTACTGGACCTTCATGCTGACGATCCAACGATAGCCAATTTGGACAGATGTATTGAGTCGCAGGAGGCATCGATGGATGGGTCTTTGCAGCATTTTGCAAATATCACTCAGAAGGTATGTACTGGAACACGGCTCCTCGCTTGTGACGTCTCAATAATGACCATGTAGATCATGGACATTGTTACCGCTACTGAACGTAGAAGATTTCTTCGTCTCGTCATTGGACGTATGTCTAAGACGAAGGATATTTGCCCGGAGCAACTTTATTTAGATGGAGTGACGAAAATTAGCAATGAACCACTGGAATTCGGAGGGTTTGGATTAGTATACCAAGGACATTATCGTGGTGAAGTAGTAGCGCTCAAGCGGCTTTTCATAAAGTCTGGGCCAAATGCGGAGAATGCAAGACGATTGAACAAGGTATCCTTTCTAATTGACAAACATGAACGAACATATTTTGACATCGTATATGTATAGCGTCTCCGTCACGAGATTCTTGTTTGGCGCAACCTCGAGCATCCACACATTCTGCCGTACTTTGGTATTACAGAGAATACGTCAGGGCTTCCCTCCATTGTGTCTCCATGGATGGAACATGAAGACATACGTAACCTGTTGCAGCATGATTCGTTCACAAAGCGTGATGTGACTGATCGTAGGGAATGTTTGTTACGGTGGGTACGTAACTGCAACGGGGTGATGTCAAGCATCGTGTTCATTCTGGAAGTCCTGTAGATCGATGAGGTCGCTTCAGGCCTTGCATATCTCCACGAGGAAGGTATCATTCATGGCGACCTTCGAGGAGTATGTGGTCCCCTTGTCCGACAAAATAGCTTTTTTTAAATTTTTATTTACATCATCAACTAGGCGAATATTCTAATAGATTCAGACTGGTCGGTTCGCTTGGCCGATTTCGGAGTTGCCGTTTTCGTTGTTGAAGAGGTTGTTTCTCAGCCATTCAATTCTACACGAGCTGGTAATCCACGTTGGCAAGCACCGGAGTTATTGGCACCAGCTTTCGAGGACGATTTGACACTTAAGAGGCCGCGACCAACGGCCCAGAGCGATATCTTCGCATTTGCATGCGTGGTTGTTGAGGCAATGTCCATGTTATGCTTGCACAACTATAATGGATGTCTGACATCACTGATGTAGGTATTCACTAGCAAGAACCCCTACAGCAATATTCCTAGTGATTACACGGTCGCACATAAGATCGTGCAAGGCATTCGGCCTCTTAGGCCCGATACAACCACTAGTGAACAAGTTGCGGTTCCAGATGATCTATGGTTACTAGCAGAGCGTTGTTGGGATGAACAACCGATGAAACGACCTTCGGCAGTTGTGGTCAAAGTTGACACAGGTATGTTCTACCATTCTCCTGCTTATATAGAGTGTCACCTCAACGTTATTCAGCTCGAATTAGATCTTCTCCTTGTCAGCAGTAATGAGTTTGAATTGCTAATTTTTCTAAGCAGTTCATGACGATAGTACTATGTACCATGTTTGCGCAGGTAAATACTCCATGTGCCAGTAAGTAACTTAGCACCGAGTCCTTCGTTAGCAAACACGGGCTGTCAAAGGGGAACAGCAGAATGTCTCCCCCGCTTTAAGTCGCGTATTTGACTACATGTTGAATGTACATTTATGAATCCAGTGCTACGCTCTTGGCATATACCAAGAAGTAAAGTTGAACTGTGACGGTTCACCAGAATTCGAGATCTAACTTTCAGGTTTGGAGATCTGATTGTGACACACCGTTACGGCACGCGTTTTCTGGAGAGAACGTGACAAAGGTGTGACATCGTTCCTTGTTTCCGTACCTCCATGCTCTCTTCATTCAAGGCCTCACTATAAACCCAGCCTCCAACAAAGATAGTAGGATAGTAGGCGCATCTCTGTTTTGCAACTCGATATACAGCGTACCATAAAATGCCGGTGGCCGAGAATCCAAACCTTGTTCCACCTTTGTTCGAACATGGAAAGGTGGATGACTTTCAATCTTCTGGTCGCACTCTGGCGACAACGTTTTCCCCTCGCGATGGTTCCGTCGCGATATTTCCGACAAACAATGTACGTGCTGTGCTCTCAAAAGCTTCGATCAATGTTATAATTGTGTGGCGGCGAAAGGTAGATCCTCAAACGTTGAAAGGAGCATACCCAGAAGAGCAACCAATATATTTCGCAACAGAGCAGAGGGTACCACTAGCTGAACGCAGGACAGTGAGTCTGATGTTACATGCATCGTTGCCGCGGCCGAGCTTACCCGACCTAGTTTATTGTCGATACGTTTGTCATCTTTTATGCTATTCAAAAGATAGGCGTCGTTGAGTTCGAGGAACAGAATGCCAATGTGTATGTATCCCCACTTTCGGGTTGATTGTCCGTTCTCATAGTGAAATGTTAGGTTTAAGGAAGACGAGCGACCGGATAGAATTAGGAAGCTTTGCTATGACTATATCAACTTCGCAAGGGAAACCTGGGTTTATGTGACTGTAGGTCTTTAATGAGTTTCGGTTGTTTCTTTGCTTATGCCAGTTCCAGAGCGAAGCGGTCAAGAAAGGAGAACCAACACAGTTCCCTGCCGATCACTACCGTATTCTTAATTCTTGCTTGAGTCTATTTACACTCCTGTACGCACCCGGTGCCGGTGCAGAACATTTTCCAGTTGGAGAAGATCTCATGGAATGGCTGAATACTCACTATGTCGAGCCTTCGAGCGAGGAAGGCATGCAGCTGAGCACGCAGGACAAACCATGGCAAGATGACACATTCTGGCCTTATTTGACAAGGTATCGTTAGTCGTTGATTTTAACTTGGACCTTATATTTAATTTCAGCTCTGCAGAGCGACGTTGCGGGGGCTTTCGAAAGCCCCAGCCTTCTTTTTGGAGAAATTACCCTCAAATCACCCATCGCCGCACCTTCAACGTCTTTCAAAACACCTTACTCCGTTATTGACCGAACATCCCCGTCTGCAACAATTCACCGCGGAACGTGACTTCGCTATTGCTTCTCGACGATGGAAAGACAAGGTCAAAACACTACGGGTTGAACTAGATCGAGTGCCCGAGGATGCCCGTGATGATGGATTCGAGAATTGGTGGGATCGCCTTAGTGACATCGTTGGTATACTCGAGGGGCGAGCGGAGGTAATTAAACGCGTATGTGAAGAATTGGGCGCAGACTGGAAAGAAGTCACCGCAGTATGGGGTGTTTTCGTGGACGGCCGTTTGCGAAGAAGTGACCTCCCGTAAGAGACACCATATTTTGACGTTAACTTTCACTGAATTTCAGTATAGTGATGTAGTGACCGACATCCTCGATGAAATGCCCTCAGACCCCACAGACCTTGAAGATGCCATTCAGTCTTCTTTGCTTCTAGGCAAACCTATTCAGGCGCTTTCATATGCTGCTCAGTTTGATATCTGGCTTGCAGCGCACTTAGCCGATCTCATGAACAATTTGGGACTCCTTGAAAATGAGACCGTTGAGTCAGTCAGCATTTCTCTTCCCGTACTCTCGCGGACCCTCTTAATCAATTATTATAGCTCAGATATGTCACTGCGAGACTACTACGTCGTTGGCTACGCCGAATACATGCGACTGGACCCATCACTATGGCGTCTAATTGTAGCCTACCTGTGTACATGTGGACCTGTAGGGCATGAAATGGCGGACCAAGTGCTCATGCGTGTACCGCTCAAACTACAAGCCCCGAAAGACTCTGACGCCGCCAATGAGGAGTCTGCTAGGATACGTGCTGGCATCCTTGATGGTGTGCTGAAAGATGTCAATACGGCGTGCTTCGAACATCAGCGGGAGGCAGTCAGACGAATGGTTTGCAGGGTGAGCGGAGGGAATTTTTTTTTTTTGAAGAAAGTATAACTGATTATATCTTGCCCTTAGATTGCTTCCCAAACGTTCTTGAGGGAGAAGAATTACGGGCTTGCTATCTCCTATTGTGCTTCAGCCGAGGACTGGCCTGGTCTTGGACGTGTAGTGGATTGTGTTTTGGATGAGTACATTACTCAAGGTACACCCTGCTTTTGCGTGGTTGCAAATTTGATCTAATGATCGTTGTATTAGGACCGACCATATTTGCTCGCATGGTACAGAGTATCGCACCTTCACTCCAGGCTCTAAAATCTCAATCTGGCAGCAATATCAGTGGCGTTTTCATCTACAGACTGATGTTTGCAGTACACTTCGCCGAGTTTCACCAACGACGGATGAACGGAGAGCTTGAGGATGCAGCTTCTGATATTATCGAGATGTTTCAGAAAGAAATCGTTCCCACCTCGTGGTGGGCTGTGGTGCTTTGCGACGCTCTCGAACTCCTACAACATAGTTAGTTCCGGTATCCTGAACCCTTGATTCATACTGACCATTGCTGTTCAGATGAAGCCATGCTCTTCACGTCAGAAGATACATGCCTTCTAATGCACCAAGTGGAAGAGATCGCCACGAGGACCGCTCAAGGATCAGGTCAAGATTATCTAGCAGTGCTTGCTCGAACGATCAAGAATGGGGATGAAAAGCAAGCAATGCAACGAATCCAAATTGTTCGTCTGGCCTTGACTAGGTACTATGCTCGATGTGGGGTGATAGGCGTTGGCGGCAAGCTAGCCATTAGCACAAAGTGAAGCTCCTGTTATGACGTGATTATACTTGCTCGCTATGTGTTGCTTTACTTTCTGTACGTTAGCTCTCTGGTTATCTTCTGAGTCCTAGTTGATTCGGCCTATGTCTCATTAACTTCCAACTCGAGTCCCATTGGTACGCGAGGGAACCTTGACCTGGAGTTGACGTCATACTTACACTAACGGCGCTTCAGAGTGTATTTTCTTGACTTAGATTCAGAACTCACCGCCGCAGACCAGTGCTACCTTCTATTCATACGCATCATAGTAAGGTGACATGCTGTCGTAATGTTGACTTAACTTTGACTTGATCAATATATTACAGTGCCCCCACCGAAACGAGCTTAACCTCACTAATTCACTTAATCTTGCAGATCTACTTGAACATTTCCAAGAGCAACAAAGGAATATGGATCATACGAACAACAACAGGCAGGGCATCATATTATCCGGGGACTTCAATGGTAATTCGCCCATCTCCACGTTACCAGACGAACTACTAGCAGAGATATTTCTGCAATACATGCGAGTATCACAGTCAGGGGCTATGGAATATACAGTCCCCGTGCGACAACGACGTGTCGTTACCCAAGTGTGCCATCGTTGGAGAGTGATTGCATTCTCTCATCCTGCTATCTGGTGTCATCTGGATACGGCATTGCTCACCAAGCCTGCATTGCTCAAAGAGTGGATGATACGTTCTTCCCAGTCCCTATTAGATGTTTCAGCCAAAAAGGAATATTGCTCGCCGAGACTTACAACCTTGGAAAACTCTTTGAACGCGCTTTTGAAAGAGTCGTATCCTATCCGCACTCTTCGGCTGATCCTCCCTTATCCGACATTCCAGCGGATTCTCGTCAAGTCAGCTTCTTTCATAGGTCCATTCACGCAACTGGAGTCTCTAGAGATTGAGACTATTTCTGATCCTCGAGAAGCCGTACCTCATAGGGACCTTCTCACCGTTATCATGAAAGAGTGCCCCAAGAATCTATGGCGTTTCGCTGTCGCGAATACACCCTTCAACTGGATGAACCCCCTCCCTTCCACTGTAACTCATCTCATATTGCACCAGGATCGTTCCCCGCCAGGGACAGCTACTACATTAGACCTGATCAACGTCTTTCGGACGTTGTCTCGTCTCGAAACATTAAACCTTCAACATGCGTTTCCTCATTCATCTTCAGCGTCTGTCCTCCTCCAGAGAACCATTTGTTGCCTCGTCTTAAGACATTCCGCTTTGTCGACGACACCGATCATAACGTCCACTTTCTTGAATGCCTCACATTCCCGATTACAGTACGTCTTGAGCTGGATCTTCTGGTAGACAATTCCAGGTAGGACATACCGACGCTATGTCAATCGGTGTTCTCAAGGATTCGCGCCTCCAATGGAAAGCCACATGAGCCATTTCTCAAAATTTCCATGATCAGCGATATGCATGAGGTCCCGCGTCTCACCTTCATTGGACATGCAAACTTGGATCCCTATCGGGAAGAACCTCATGACTTCATGTTCAGACTGAGGATACCTATGCCGAACCTCGAGGGAATGGTCGATGTTTGAAAGGTCATGTTCGAGGCCGCTGGCCCTGAAATACTTTCATCCACACGTAACTTCGCCATTGACGCGAAGTGCGATATATCCGGCCCCGATCTCGCCCACATCCTAAGACATGTAAATAACACCGGCAGACTGTCCGTCTCTATCGGTAGATCGGTTGAACTCCCAGCAGCTCTCCGCGACATGTCTAGCGGTGTTATCATTCTTCCTCGTTTGTGGATACTTACGTTCGAGGAGATGGAAGTTGCTTTGAACAGTCGGGCTATTGGTGGTGCTATCGATCCTGAGGCATTATGCAGCTGCCTAGAAGAACGCAGCTTGCGAGGAAATACATTGTCGCATTTGACCTTTTTGGAATGCGAGCTTCGGGTACCGAGAAAGATCAAACAAAGGCTTGGAAGAGTCGTAGATGATTTGAGAACGGTGTGGTACTGAGTGAGTAGTTTTTGAATGCTCTCGTTCGGTACCAGATTAACCATCGGGATTGACTGTCAGAGAGTTGGTCGAATAATCCGGCAAATACGCCGACGTTCAAATGCACCAGCAGTCCAGGAGAAGAAACAATCAGTACAATACACCATCGAGGATCGTCTCTACAGTTTACCCGCTCCCGAAAAGCCCAAACAAGGCCTCATCCTCTTCGTCTTCTTCGTCGTCATCGTCTAACGGTATAAACCGCTTCTCGGAACGCTTTTTCAGAATCAGTTCAACTTTGTAGTCTCGAGAAACAGAGTGTTCAGAAAGATCATACCGAATTGTGTTCATTCCAGAGTCCGTGTGCACGCCTGTCTTTGAGACTTACAGGCTTCGACGATCTCAAGGGAGAGGAAAGGCCAAAATTGGTTGCGTTGGATTGGTGGGATCTCGAAAGCCCAGCGGTATGATCGGAGGATCCGTTTGAGTCAAGGGAGTTTGGGGCTACAGCAGGCACAGCAGGCACGCTTCGCGACCGATCAAAATGGGTGGTGTTGGGATGAAAGGTGATGGTTGAGTCCGTAGTAGAGGCAGTCCTTTCTACTTGTGTCACAGCAGCAGATGAAACCGCAGATTCCTCAGAAACAGGACTCTTAGGCGTGCCGGAAATGGCACCAACAGAGGGAAGAGACTTGGCATCCGGGTCCGACGTAGGTTGTATCGTCGATTGCGTAGGTGTAGATGAACTGAAACTAGATGAGACAGCGAGTGAAGAAGTCGGCGAGTAATCAAATCTTGGTGAACTGTGTTGTTGAGAAGCATCAGAAGCATCTGGCAAGATTGAAAGGTTATAGTTGGGAACCTGAGGAATGAGAGCAAGTTGGTTGGCGGGAGGCATTTCACAAGAAGGCGTACGCGAGAGGGGCAAAGAAGTAGGTTCTGGAGCCGGAGAAGTCGGCGATTCAATATCAGGACGAGGTGAAGCAGCGGCATGGTCAAGGTTCTTATCATTGGGAGATGAAGACGAGATGGTAGAAAGGGGATCCGCTGTATCCTGGTATAAAGCAGGCCGAGACGATGGATGTTCATCTTGTTCGACCCTAGCACTGGAAAGACCTGAGTCCAACATCGTGGTTCGACGAATCTGAGGAGAACTTCTCCGAGGAGTCATCGGATACTGGCCTTCGTCCTCATCATCAACATTGAGCCGCCGGCGCTTTCGAGAATGGCGGCCAGTGCGCGAAAGAGAACGAGAGGTAGAAGAAATAGATGCAGAACGAGGAGCGCCGAGAGAAGTCAAAAGGGCCGGATGGTTAGAGGTCATGAGTAAACGGAGGTCCGTAAAAGCTTTCTCCGTTTCCCGGCACCTACGTTCCATTTGGTCGAGAGAGTCCTTGGTGGCAGGTTGAACTAAAGGCAAGGCAGTCGACTTAAGAGTGTCATGGAGACATTCTTTCATAATCTTAGGAAGAGCATCCTTAAAGAGGGTTTCCAGCGATTCTTTTACGTTTGTCCGAGAGACGTCCAGATGAAGTGGCAGAGCCTGCAAGAGAGGTAGTAATGGCACAACGGATGCAAGGAGTTGCCCTTGTTGTTCTTGGAGCATTTGCAAGGATTGAGATTGAGTCTGATTGAGCTGAGAAGACGATGGTTGAGACTCAAGTCCGCAACCACGTTTAATGAAGTACTTACCAAGTGTAGTATTTCGACCTGTTTTGAGAGCGAATCAAAGCGCCGAGAGAGTGAGGAAACATTCTTTTGCACTTCGTCTAGACTGGCCTTTTGAGCAGGTGTACCTAAAGATTTTTGTAATTCGGCCTGGCATCGATTAACTGAGTACGACAGTCAATTTGGTTCTGTCATGGGTGCATATATGCGGGTATACATACCGATAGACACCATCTCCTCAGTCACATGTTCGTGACCACGCTCGAATAGTTCAGAGGTCGCGCAAATTTGTCTCTTTGACTCCTCCAAGCCTTTGGTCAAGCTCTCCAATCTCCCGGTAAATTTCTCGAGATTCGCCTGGGTATCGTGCAGCAATATACGTGCAGATGTTCCGGTCTTGTCTACCGGAACCATCGGCGCATACATTCGAGTATTTTGTGCTGCTTCGGTCAACGCTTTCGGTGCTTTATTACTGTCGTTACTAACAGCTGGAGTAGACACCGACTGGAGTGATTTGTTTTGTAAGAGATGACTCCATAGTGAGGACGACGTAGATAATCTGGGTGGTCGTTCTTTGGGTAAATTGGACACGTTCGACGGATTAGACGTCATACTAAATCTTGGAATCTGAGTGGCAACTTTAAGGACGGTGGAAGAGAAACTACTTGGGTGAAAGTCGGTCGATACTAGAGATCTTTCCTTATGTGGCCTGAGTTCGGATATCGCAACTTTCCCACGTTTGAAGTAGAGTTGAACCTGGAGACCATCGTACGGCTTGGTACACCATCGTCGACATTTGTGGTCGTTACTTCTGCATCTGATGACGACTAGTCATATCAATCTAGCCATATCGCCGAGTCAATCATACCTGACGGCATGGTCTAGTGAATGTTCAAAAGTCTAAAAGTCGACTAATGTGGCGAACCTATTGTAGGCCACGGAATCATCAGCTAAAGGAAAGAACAGGGAGAGAGATTCAAGAAGGTTATCTCTGTATCAGGCTGCCTCGCATCTCTCTTTTCACTTCAGCATGGGTTTTTCCTCTTCCAGCAGTTAGCTTGTTGTTACACGATTGTGGAACAATAATGGCCGCTCGGGCCCTATAAGGTCAAAGGTCAACAAGCGAGAATTCTGCGCCTTCACTCTAACCTTCATCCTCTGGACATCACCTACTTGCCCAGTTCCGAGTCCTTCACTGGCCCAACCTATCATGGTTCACATGAAGTCTTTAACAATCAAGATTCCTCCAGCTCCGATGTCAACTTCCGCTGTCACGCCACTCGGCACTCCAGATCCTGGATTGTGGCATCGAAAGGCTCACAATCCTGTGGTCATTCGTGCAGGTCAAACGCTATTTCGCGTTGACGCCACATGTCTTTGTCGGGAATCTGCTGTATTCTCAAGGTTTATGCGACAACTTCCGCGAGTATTTTCGGCAAGTCTTTGTCCCTGGATCGAAGTCAGTGATACTGCAGAAGACGTCCGAACTCTTTTATATTTCTTGTACGACGAGTGCGTCCCGTCTCTTCTTTCATTTCCCAATTGTATTCAGTAGGAACATCCGATGGACAGCCAGCACGTACCAAAGGACGTCGATGAAGTACTCACTGCCTTGCGCATGTGCGTACGGTACGAGATGGGAGGCTGGACCCTCGTTCACGAACGACTATATGATTTCCTCATGTTGATATACCCTTCAACTTTGGAGGGCCTGGACCACTTGCAAGTTCAACAAAGTTTCTACCCTCACATTCAGCGCCACTATTGGCTGAACAGTGATGTCTGTTTTCGACTGTTGAATGCCCTTGCAGACATCAGGAACCAGATAGACGACTATACTCAAGTGGATGACCTTTGGTTTGGCCTGCTTCTTTGTTGTGCTACGCGTCCTTATGATGACATCGAACAAGGCATCGTCGACTTGGATGGGAACTGGTGGGAACTTGACCCGGATCTGCAGGAGTTCATCCTACACAAAGCCCGCCCAAGTCTAGATTATATAGCACGAAAGATGACCTACGGTTTCATCTGGAGCACGAAGTATCATCCGTTATACCTCGATACACATCGGCTACGCCGTACCACATCCAATGGCATACGCAAAAAGTGGCCGAAACCACTGCCCAAAACACATCTGGGTGAACAGTGTCAACCTTTTAGGGAAAGCCTGAAAGGAGAAGTTGATACGTTCAGAGACGCACATACGGGATATGTGAATCCATTCTGGATGCCGCTCACATTTCGTGCGGGCAAGCTTTTGGAGTGCGTAACGTGCTGTCGGGAATGTCGAAAGACGTGGACGAAGTACATAGAAGAAGGCCGTACTCATGGATGGCAGGAGATTCTCTCTCTTTTCAGAGCGTATAATATAGAACAATAGTGACTTTATTGGGAATCTGAATGATACTGCGTATCGGAGACACTAGAATTTGACGGCGGTGTGCACTATAAGTAGTGTCTCGAACTAGATCGCTGGATAACATACATCAGAGCACCAGCTACGGGACGAATTGTGCTAAGCTTAGAAATGTTATCGTGGGTCCGAGTTTACGTGAATCTATTTGAATGTAGACATACAGCAAAGTTGACGAGACAAATGTACTATACTGATAAAGAAGACAATTCAGAATTAAACGTAGTGGCAATACTTACAGAAATGGCTGCTGATCTAGCGAGGACTCTACGGCGGGTCGTCCTTCCCTCCCACAGTAGATCCATCATTGGTCTGCGTACCGGAGACTATAAACATCCCCTCATCAGATTCTTCGGATTTGATGACAAGACGGACTTGAGGTGGGAGACGTTCCAGAAAGAATGGTTCAAAATAAGGCTCCGGCATAAAACGTGCAGCCTCCGCCGTACTCTTCGCAATCGACCGATTGTCTCCGAGTCGCTCGCATTCCAATTGGAACACCACAAGCTCGAGATTTGGGAGTTTGGATAGAGCATCGGCGAGCTCAAGCCAAATCACCTTGCGAACCAACAAACAATCCAAAGGTTCAGGGAAACCGAGTATGACCTTGCGAATGCTCCGAGGGAGAGACGCAATGAGAATGATAACGAACCGCCACCTCTCGAGATGTAAATGTTCTTGTATAAATACATGGTCGGTCAGGCGAAGGTGCAATGTCTGCAGAGCAGCACAGACAGTCAAATCGAATGCTGGCCAAGCTTGCACGGAATACACTAGAACCTCATGTCAGAAGCTCATATTGACCTGCAGAAGCACGAAACCTTGCTCACTTGAAGAATATCTCGCAGTGCGGTTCATAATCGGTTCATAATCCAGACGCAGATGAAGAAGGTGGGTACCGTAATCATCAAGTACACTTTGTATACTGTCGTGTTCCTCTGGATGGGCTAGAGGTGACAGTAGCCTGAGATCCAGCGACTCCAGACAACTTGAACCGTTCAACACCCAATTGGCAATGTCCCACGGGGTGCATGCGGCGCAACGTTCGACCGTAAGGGACTTCATTTCGAGATGACGGGGTTTTTCAGGCGGAGGGTCGCAGAACGGAGCTAGTTCAATGTCCAATATTTGGAGACTTTCTGTAACCTTTAACAGAGCAAAGAAATAACGCAAATCCTGCCAGGTGACGAAAAGGCCAGATATCACGAGTTTGCGCAAGGAACCGAGGGGAGGTCTATTGCAGACAGCGTCCATTCTCTCGATGTCTGTTACCAGACGAACGCGATGAAAGGTCATCGTGTGAACAGACGGAAAATTCTTCACGAGGATCTCCAATAATACTGCCTGTATATCAGCCTCGGCGACGTCGGCGCGCGAGGACAGCACAAGTTCGCGCACATAAGGGCGAACTCGTGCCAGACTAATGGTGAACAGGAAAACTTCCCGCTCGGGACGGAAAAGTGGGAGTTTAAGCTGCATGGAACGAAATAGGTGGAATCGACTCCTGGGGAGCCACTCACGACAGACGAGGGACGAGGCTGTCAGAACGTCCTTGTCGGAGTGAAGGTGGTCGATGACGCGGTCGATGAGTTCTGGCAGGAGAAAACGCATCGTCTGCTTCGTGCGAGGAAGGAGGTGAGCAAAGAGGTAGGAGTTGGCTGAAAGAGCTATAGCATGATGAGAACAATGGAGACCTAGAACTCCTGCGTCGCTTAGAACACATGGTTTAAATTGGGTATTCTTGATAGGGAATTCGGCCGGGCTGGGCAACTGCAATGACAGCCACATTCAAAATGATAGGCCCCTCCTCAGAAATTACATTCGGGTCGGTAAGGGTCGGTACCATCGGTGTTGTCTCGCTAATGAAGAGCCCAGTGGCGGAAGAGGGCGGCATGACTGACCAGCACTGCATTCCTCCCCCGGAATATATTCGCTAGCCCTCATCATCACCGTTGCGTTAGCCGATCCTGGGCCTGATTTTTTCACCGGGGCCTATCGTTCTGAATGTGGCTGGAACACGTTTGACATTAGCCTCTTTCAAAGTTTAAGGGAGGTCTGAAATAACAGGATGCTGTGTACAACAACAACGGCTTGGATCTACCAAGTTTGGACATTGGAAACCGTGACTGTGACCAAGGCTTCGATAGGCGCCAAAACCACGCACCAAATGCGTGCAGGGGCATTTGCTACTAAATCGCACACTCTGGTAGCGTGGTTCTCTCCCCCCTTCAATGTCCACCCTTTCTGTTGCTAGTTTGTGCTGCCGTATTGTCTTCTGCATGCCATGTCTCGCTGCACACAGAAGCAGCACGCGCAACCTACTCAAGAACCTCCACAGATAGTCTTCCAGGTGGTGCCAGCTCCCTCAGCAGCTCCCCCACCAACACATGTTCCTTCTCGAACTAGACCTAAGGGCAACAATGCTGAGGAGAATGAAACTGAGGAGAATGAAACTGAGGAGAATGAAGCTGAGGAGAACATACCTAAGGGGAAAGTTCGCTGGCGGGGCGAACACATGCATCACATTTTCACCTGGTTTTGCAACAATCCTTCCGAATGGCTCCGTCTCTTCTCTGACTCTTTGCAGGTGGCCAAATCAGAACAGCATGTGACAGTTACTGATGGTACTAAAGTGCAACTTCAAAGTCTCTACCTCGCACTATCAAAATTTGTCTTTACGATGGACAGTGACAGCAGGGAATCGGACTATGCCCGTTGGCCGAAGTGGTATGTGAAGAAGATCAGGCTGCAGGTTCAAGAGTATGTTTTGATGTTTGTATCATCTGTGGTAAATTCTAACATAAAGTCTGCTTCAGTTGTAAGAGAAAATACAAGAAACTTGCTGCTAAATTTTGGCCTACTGGAGTGGGCAATACACTGCAGCAGGCTGCACAAAATCCTAATTTCATTCATGTATTTTGGCCCATGCTACTCATATATGTGCTTCTGCTGATAGTTCTCCTGTAGTGACCATAAATGAGGAGTGGAAGTGGTTTGGTGACTTTCATGAGCTTTGGAAAGGTAGGCCCAACCTCGATTCTGTTCTTGGTGACTCGACGCCCCATCAATCACTTGCTCAGACTGCTGCCACAGAGTTCCTTCCTGGCTCGAGTCACAGATTAGGTGATGATTATGAGGTAGATGGTGGCTTAACAGAAGCAGAAGAAGATAAGGGTGTGAGTGAGGGTAATAGCGAGGATGAAGATGAGGATGAAGGAGGGCATGACTTCGTGAGCAGTGGAAATAGTGTCCATGATGAGAAGCTGGTACCAGGGCAGTTGATGGCAGCCTCACTGTGGCCTTCTACAGCTGGATTTGGCATCAATGAAGACTACAGCGAAGGTTCATTCAATCAGTGTAAGCATTTAGAAACTGCTTGCAGTGCAACTCACATACTAACCTCACATTCTAAGTCAATGTGCAAGCTGCGCGATCACCTGGTCTCCCTGCCAATGACCATGGTGCACTTCTGTCATTCAATGATATCTCTCTTCAAATCCCTGCTCTGCACAATAAGCTAGCATATACATTCAATTGCACCAATTCTGCCAATCCTGCTGATCCTGCTGATCCTGCTGATCCTGCCAATATGTTCATCAATACCCTCAGTTCTTATAACTTCAACAATTTTTTCAACATGGATAGCCTACCCATTGAAGACCATTCGATCAACAATGAAGGCAGCCAACTCATCGAGCACACATCACACCTTGGTACATTTTGTAACCATGATATCATCACTTTAGACGAGAGCCCGCCTGCTCCTCCAATATGTTTTCCTTCTTCGAGTTTCTATCAGTCCTCCATTGCATCAAATTCTTCATCATCATTCAGAAGTTCTGCCAATCCCTCACCTTCGTCATATTCTGCTGCTTCACTATCATCAATTTCATTACCATTCTCCCAAATGCAGATACCTACAGCAGGCTCTGGAGAGGATATAGCCTCAACACCTCTATCTCCTATATCTATGAGTGATGGCAGCCTGCAGACAGTCCCTTCATCAATGGACACCAGATCTGTCTTGTCTCTACTACCCACACAGCCCTCTCCATCACCTTCTGCCATGACGCTTTTGCTAATATGCCCTACTTTTGCCCTGGAGTGTTTTGCAAATTCCTGAGCCATTGGCAAGGCACGATTTGCAAATCCTGCCCAGAGTGGACAAAGCCCCAGAAAGCCTGTTTCCCGGCCTGGGGTGTTTCCTAATAGGGTATGTGGTCTTTTCTTGGTGCTTTCTTATGTTTTTCTTTGGCTCATATGTCGGAATTGTGGCCTCAAACTGTTTCTAGCACTATAGACTGCTTTAAAACATATTAGTAAGCATACTACACTGACCCAATATGATAGTTTGGGTGCTTAAAATATGTTTTATCATGCGGTTAGTACCATTTCAATCCCCCTTTCTATTCCTGTATATAAAATAATATATATATTTTATAATGTTTCTATTGGTCTGAAAATGTGTTTGGCAAAAGGGGAAGGCCAGGGGATAAGCAGAAATACAGGAATTGTGCTCAGAATTCCGGCAGGAGCAGAAACCTTTGCCTTATTTGGGTGTGGGAAAGTAACTGTGGCTGAGACTCCTACAGCTGTATTGGCCACTTCTGGGACATTTCTGGGGGGATTCTGGTTGAACAAAAAATGTAGAAAGATCAGTATTATGCATATAATGTTGTATACAAAGTCCCAGAAGCATAGGATAAGAATTGGGGGAACAGTATTCAAAATACTCCCACTACTGTCTGCGCCAATGAGCAGTAATTGGGGCACCGCTTCTGACTGGATAAAGTAGTGGCTTAGGGGCTTGTTAAATATGTTTATATAGTGTATATTGACCTCTGTGCAAACCCCCAAGGTCATAGGTTCAGCCAGTAGAGCATGGGACATTAAATATCCTGAGAGGACTGTAAAAAGAGAAAAAAGCGAAAAATAAATCCCCATGCCTGCAATACTGAACATATGGCTTAATGGCTTTGCTAACATGTCCATATAGTACCCATAGACTATGGTGCAAAGCCCCATAATGATTGGATAAGAATTGAAAAGAGGGAAAGCGAAATACCCTTGGTATACCCAGTACTGGGGGGGAGAGGGGAGACTATGGAATAGCTTCTGACCAGAAGTACCTATGGCTTGGTGGGTTTGCATACACATAGATATAGTGCTAATAGACTCCTATGCAACACTCCCAGGTCATAGGACAATCCCCCCAGAAGCTGGCTACTTGTATGCAGAATACAGGGGAGAAGGGGGAGAGGGGTGCACCAGAAATGGGAGAGTGATGCTATCTTCAAGTGGAGTTTTTCACAGGTAGAAAACATAAATATGAAGCTTGGAACAAAAGGGCTAAGAGGTAGGATGAAAGCCTGATTTATGGTGCAGAAAGTTCTGTTGGGGGGAGGGGGTGAACTTTGCCCAGAAAGAATAATGTCCCAGAAGGCACAGGGTAATCCTATGGTCAAGTGGGGGTATATACAGCTCAATATAGGTTCAATAAAGCTTACCTGAATTTCTGAAAGGGATTGAACAAAGACTCACATTTCTAGTCAGGTCTGAAGAGGGTGCATTTCAGTATAAATTTCGAAAAAGAATTCTGTAGGGCAGGAATAGGGATGGTTTGGATGGAAAGAAAGTGGTAGACCATGGTTTCTCAACATGCTCTATCCACCCATAACATTTGTTGCATTATTGGAGAACATTGTTGTGACACTGTATCAGTACAGCCAGGATATGCCCATATCTTAGAGCAGAAAGTACAGAACCTTACCTGAGGACAACCTACTTGTACATGGCCTTTATTTCTTTTGGGGCTCTTATGTTTTTCACTATCCCTCATCCATTCCCACCTTCCCCTTCTCCATAGCTTCTCTCCCTGAATTTATATTCACTGCTGAAGTCAAGTTCACCTCCTCTCCCCAGTAGAACTTTCTGCACCATAAATCAGGCTTTCATCCTACCTCTTAGCCCTTTTGTTCCAAGCTTCATATTTATGTTTTCTACCTGTGAAAAACTCCACTTGAAGATAGCATCACTCTCCCATTTCTGGTGCACCCCTCTCCCCCTTCTCCCCTGTATTCTGCATACAAGTAGCCAGCTTCTGGGGGGATTGTCCTATGACCTGGGAGTGTTGCATAGGAGTCTATTAGCACTATATCTATGTGTATGCAAACCCACCAAGCCATAGGTACTTCTGGTCAGAAGCTATTCCATAGTCTCCCCTCTCCCCCCCAGTACTGGGTATACCAAGGGTATTTCGCTTTCCCTCTTTTCAATTCTTATCCAATCATTATGGGGCTTTGCACCATAGTCTATGGGTACTATATGGACATGTTAGCAAAGCCATTAAGCCATATGTTCAGTATTGCAGGCATGGGGATTTATTTTTCGCTTTTTTCTCTTTTTACAGTCCTCTCAGGATATTTAATGTCCCATGCTCTACTGGCTGAACCTATGACCTTGGGGGTTTGCACAGAGGTCAATATACACTATATAAACATATTTAACAAGCCCCTAAGCCACTACTTTATCCAGTCAGAAGCGGTGCCCCAATTACTGCTCATTGGCGCAGACAGTAGTGGGAGTATTTTGAATACTGTTCCCCCAATTCTTATCCTATGCTTCTGGGACTTTGTATACAACATTATATGCATAATACTGATCTTTCTACATTTTTTGTTCAACCAGAATCCCCCCAGAAATGTCCCAGAAGTGGCCAATACAGCTGTAGGAGTCTCAGCCACAGTTACTTTCCCACACCCAAATAAGGCAAAGGTTTCTGCTCCTGCCGGAATTCTGAGCACAATTCCTGTATTTCTGCTTATCCCCTGGCCTTCCCCTTTTGCCAAACACATTTTCAGACCAATAGAAACATTATAAAATATATATATTATTTTATATACAGGAATAGAAAGGGGGATTGAAATGGTACTAACCGCATGATAAAACATATTTTAAGCACCCAAACTATCATATTGGGTCAGTGTAGTATGCTTACTAATATGTTTTAAAGCAGTCTATAGTGCTAGAAACAGTTTGAGGCCACAATTCCGACATATGAGCCAAAGAAAAACATAAGAAAGCACCAAGAAAAGACCACATACCCTATTAGGAAACACCCCAGGCCGGGAAACAGGCTTTCCGGGGCTTTGTCCACTCTGGGCAGGATTTGCAAATCGTGCCTTGCCAATGGCTCAGGAATTTGCAAAACACTCCAGGGCAAAAGTAGGGCATATTAGCAAAAGCATCATGGCAGAAGGTGTGGCCATTGGAGATTAGGACTAGTATGCGCTGCGCGACTTCTTCGAACTGAGAAGTCATGTCCTTTGCCATTTCTTGGCTCTGGACTCGGTGATCTCGCATTCATCTCTGGATGCTATCCATTTGCTCCATGAGACCCACAATTAGGTCTTGGGAATCTTCATTCATCCATTGTTCCCTTATTCTGAGTTCGTCCCTTGTTGAGGGACTGAGTGAGGATCTGGCGCGAGCTTTCCCTTTATCGCATTGTGACTGTATTGGCCCTTTGTCATCATAGTAGTAGGTCTCTCTGAGAGATGATAAAGGTGACAGTTCATCACTACCATGTTGGTTCTGTATTGACACCATGGTCACATCACCAGGATGCAATGCCTGTGCACCAGTGGCCGATGATCGCACAATGGGGTCACTTGGTGCTGGTGCATACAGGTCATCATTGTCGTCAAGATGACTTTGTTCGGTCTCTTTATGAGACTCCGTAGCTTTGGGATCTGGTAGGTCCGGAGTTCCCATGTCACCTGTGAGTGACTTATTGGAAGTCTTCGACTTCCTTTTTGATGTGGTTTTGATACCACTTCGAGTCATAATGCTTCATCTTGGTAGTTCAAAAGAACATCCGTGACTTAAAAAAGTGTAAGACTTATGTCAGGTAATTCCTTACACGCATGGTAGCTAAGTCAAGCTCAGTGTATCGAGTGAAGCTACAGTTATGCACAAGTTAGGAATTTGGCTACTACCAGCCTTGGTGGCTGACCTTAAGGGTCAGCCACAATTAAGTAATCATTAGCTGTACAGTAGAAGCCTGATATATCCAATGTCTATATATAGTAACCAAGAAATGGTGCCCTTACAGTTGGCCTGCGAGGCTGCATTTCTGTAGTGCCCAAGACGGCACAGAAAGATAGCCAGCTGGTAATTTACCAGTATTTGCGCATTATGAGACTGATTATGGAAGACAGGGTGATCTTTGATCATGGTTAGCAAGGCGTTGAATATATGTGGGCTCACGTAAACATTGCGACAGAAATTGACATGACTGTGAGCGGCATACCAGTCTAGGAAGAGAAAGTGTGGAAGATGAGGAGGGCACCCCATGGCTGGGGCCAAAATGCGAGTGTGCTCAATCTGGTTGCGCAAATTGGCATACTTCTGAAAAACTATTTTCAGAATGCCCATGAGTTCAACAGTCACATCTGCAGAGGCATGCGAGCTTCCGCTCACAGTTGACATTGACATTGCAGAGATCGATGATGCTTCTGATAAGGCTGATAATTGTGAGATGGATGAAACAGGTGAGAGTGACATCCTCTCATCAGTATCGCTACTGTCCACTAGATATGCACTGCATTGATATGTGAATGCGCAGAAGTCTCAGTTATACATACCACTCAAATGGCTAACTGTGGACAGGAGAGATTCTACAAAGGTGATTAGCCTTCGAAGTCAAGCTTACTCATGCCCACAATAAGTAACCGATGCTAGATGCCCGGCATATTGTGTCACATCAATTTGCGGAGTACGCAATATACTGTCTACTTAATGGATGGTTCTACAAATGTATATACAGTATAATAGAGACCTACTCTACCTATATAAAATGTCAAAATTATTTGTGTCCATCATCAACAACCAGGACAGCCTGAACTATGTCTGGCATCCAGCTGATATGCCTGTTCACTCTTTTATAGGTAATTCATTCCATATGTAATGGACAGCAGTTTGGAGTGTTTTAGGGTATTTATAGGATGCCTTAGATTATGCAGGGCTGAATTGAGCCTATTCCAAACACATTCAATTGGATTGAGAGATGAATTACTTATACAAGATGTGAACAGGCACATCAGCTAGATGCCAGACATAGTTCAGGCTGTCCTGGTTGTTGATGGTGGACACAAATAATTTTGACATTTTATATAGGTAGAGTAGGTCTCTATTATACTGTATATACATTTGTAGGACTATCCATTAAGTAGACAGTATATTGCATACTCTGCAAATTGATGTGACACAATATGCCGGGCATCTAGCACCGGTTACTTATTGTGGGTATGAGTATCTCCAACAACATACCAATATCACTATCATCGCCCAATAGCCCTTCCATGATGTTCTGCATAGTGGCATAGAATGCATGATCAAGTGCATCCAGTGTTGCATCTCAGAGGGAGGGTGCATGATAATATTCACAGACAGGTCTGAAGACTGGCATATCTGTGCAGAGAGGAGGGAGAAGCCCGGGGACTCAAGTTCTATCAATTTAACTTATATACACTCCAATGATAGCATTTTTGGAATATGGAACATTAGGATGTCTTTTTACACAGATACCTGTTTTGGAATGTAACAGTAGTCACATTATCAAATATCGAAATTTAGCCTATTTTAAAATTTCTTCATCTGCATCTGATAAACTTTGAACAAGGCTATTACACATATATCTGCTGGCATGGATATTGACATATTGCAATTCAGCTTACTGAGTTCATGAGGTTCCATCAACATCAAGCTTGGTGTTGTCATTTTGGTTTGATGAAAGCTGAAGCTAGTGAAGAAAGGCCCTTTTGTGGAGCGCTTATTTCTGAGTCTCTCTGGGAAGCATTAATGTGCTCTAGTTCATGTACAAAGGAGGGCAATTTCTCCATGAAATCGGCTGAAGCACCTGGATTAGTATCAAAGTGTTCACATGAAAGTCCCTAACTAATGTTACCCTAGGATTCCCAACAATAGAAAAATAACATAGTGAATGAGAAATAAGTGAATGAGTAAAGCAGGATGACATGAAAGGATTGTCAGGAGCTCCAATCAAGGGCAGGCAGAAGCACCACTCTGTCCAGTGATGACAGTGGCAAACTTCTTGTCACCCACATCTATTGCAGTATTCCAATCATTGTTCTGTCCAGTGGTCTTGACAGTCCAGATGATATATGATCCGTTATCTGAAGGATCTGAAGGATCCACAGGGGATGCATCAATAGTAATAACAAAGGGAGAGCCATTCCCCGAGCTGTATTTGGTCATTTTGATATAAACACAATTGGGAAACACATTCTTGCAAACCTACAGATAGAGACATGAGACACATTTGTAGAAATGATAGAAAGTTCTGCCTGACCGCCATATAAACTTGGACTTCAAAGAAGCCACCAGGTGAGAAACAGGTTGAGTTTGTGACTAGCATGACATCTTGCAAAGCAAAGCCTACACCACCTTGATCCTCGATGACTGTTTGTCCCCCCTCAGTTACTGTACTTTTATGACCATAGCGGATGGCCAATTTTTTGTGACACCTACCATCCACTGGGGATGAGCGGACAACCCTTGTGTGAGGTGTGACAGTGTCCACTTAGATTGGCATCTGAAGATTTTCTTGCGACAAAAAAGGCTGACTCCCCTACTTCAATGATTGACAGCAGCTTTTTGTACCTACACCATTTATTTAGACCATTCTACACCATTTTGTGCCGCAGGCAGAGAAAAATATGAAATTTGTGCATTTTCTAAAAGCCTATCACACAGTGGATGAACCCTTTGTGAGCTGTGACAGAGGCAGTAAATAGCGGACATTTCGGCCTCTGTGACATGTGACGTCCGCTACGGTCGTAAAAGTACAGTATTTCGAACCAGAAGTTCGATATTCCTTTGGCTTGATCGAGAAAGATGAAAACAGCTGCCGTACGATTGAAAGTATACCAAATGGTCCTGATTGGTCCTGGAACAAATTGTCCTACGTGGCTATCTGTATGTCCCAGCTCAGCACTGTAATTGGGATCATTGTTGTCGTCCCGATCGGCCCAACGCAAGGTGACAGATCTGTCAGGATCATCTTGCTTATCCCACAGCTGGACCGATGTTAACTGATGAATGTACGAGCGTTCCAAGAATGATTTCACTTACGCGGACATCCCCCTGGAGCAAAATGGTTCCATCGTCCAGTAAAGTCAACGTAACTTGATGTGGCTTTACTGGTAGAGGCTCGAGGACTTCGGTCAACTGTACACCTTTGTGCACGGTGTCGATCATTCGTGCGAATAGACTCGCGCAAGTGGAAGCGACTACGTCTGGATCAGCAAACCTGCGTATGGTCAGCAAGAATGAGGGAAGTAACTTGATCTAGGTACATACTTGTTTATGGTAACATTGTGGTCACTGCTGAAAATCCGGCCATCAGCATTGGTACTTATATTACGACCAACGATAAAAGGTTCCCAGTCGTCCCGCTCAAATATTCAGTCACACTAACGCGAAAGTCAGTGACCCGAAGGACATCAAAGGAAACGAACACACTAACATCTTGTTATCGAAGTGATCAAAAGTCGAATCGAAGTGCACATTTCCAGAAGTATCATGAGGATCTGTACTAGGAGGAATAATGTCCGGGAACGCCGTGTTTTGGACGCTACCGAAACTATGCCCGCACGCGATGAGGCCAAGCATGTCTTCTTGATTGAAACCTTGAGGAGCAAACGCTAGCGATATGCGAACTGAGTTCTTCTTGAGGATGAGGGACTCCTGGGGCATTCGGTTCTGTAGCATCTATTCTGCCACCACGATAAGCAATTATAGGACCACCGCTGAGAGACATGCGTTGATCAGTCAGAAGACTTGAAATGTTGCAAGCAGGGTGAACGTGATAAAGTACTCACCACATTTCGATGGCGGACACGGCAGCGAGAGCAATGATATCAGAGACTTAGCAGAGTTGACTAGAGTTTGTGACAGAAACTCACAGGAAGCGTAACGATTAGCAGCCGTGTTGATCTCGCGCTGGGTGAAAATGAAGCCATCTCCCACATTCTGAGTTTGTATTGAGTGGAAGCGTATTTGCGCAATGAGAATGTATCACTTCGGGTGGCACCTGCTCTTCGTCGAACATGATGGATGCGTTTGAACCACCAGTACCATCTTCCACGTTGTGATTTGCCATATCGTGGGATGCCCAAAAAGCGATATCAACGTAGGCCAGAAAGGGCTGAGACGAACCGTTCTGATCCAATTTGCCATATTGTTTCTATTCTCGTTAGGGTTATGAAAGGAAGAGCATGGTTGCAAGAGTATAGGCATAGGTCCGGCATTATATCCCACTCTGTCATAGCGCTGGTGTTCGAATTCATCTAGTTGAGGGTCGGGCCAAACGTAGGCAGAGGCTATTGAGCCAAGAGTCACTAGGACTGATCCTTGCGGGATCAAGTGTACGATGGCCGTATCTAAAGGAAAAAACGTCCGGACGAAAACCACACGTACACCGCGATTTTATACATGGAGGATATGTGCGATCAATGAACGGAGCACAAACCAGTCACCGACATGATGATAGTACTGTACAGACGAGCGGGGCCATGTCTGAGAAAGATTTGAGTTGACCAGGTACAAACAAGTTGCTAATGGCAACACTGGCGGAGTGTGTTCACAAGTGATTGATGCGTCTAGCATGACATGGTGACCATTGAGAACCAAACTGTGCATCACGATGTTTGCCTTTTCACAGGAACCTAAACAGTGCGTATCGGGCGTAAATTGCGGGCGGATTCGTAACGGACGCCTATATAGAATATATGGCGTGTCAGTACAGAGGGAGAGTCAAAAGCGTTGAAAACTCGTGAGTAGACAAAAGAATTCCTGTACTCAGCGTTCAGGATTGCGAAATTTTGGCACTGCACAATGATTCCACGAGTCGCGGCGTTAGAACAGGCTGTAGGATAACATGTATTAAATATAGTACAGTAGTCATGTATGCGCGAAGGACAGTCAGAGAGGTGGAAGAGGCCGTCTACACTGCGGACAAATATTCTACAGCACGCAGAGTTAGCATGATACAATAGTGCATCTGGAATAACATACCTTGATGGCCAACCACTACCGTACGAAGGATGCTTACGTGAGTGCAAGATCCAGGTTAATGAAAATGACCGACTCACTCGTTCGAGACATGCTGTATGCTAAACGAAAACGGAAAGTCAGATGAGTACCAGACACACAACAGGGTCAATTTTACTCACGAATAGGTGATGACATGGAGCCAAACTATAACTCTTACGCGCTCCCGCTTGAGCCCATAAGCCTCCGACACCAACACCAACACCTTTCTCATCATCAGGGCGTTGCCTGAGCGTTGGATCCACCTCAATGGCATCCATGCAGATGGCACAATCACCGAGTGACTGCTCAGGTGCCTCCGGATCGGGAAGGGGCATCGGTGGGTGGTAATCATAGCCAGTCGTCTTGACCATCTGATAACAAATCTCAGCACTCGGTGAAATGGAAAACGAAAGGTACTCATTACCCGTCTTGGCAGGAAGAAGCTTGGTCCGAACAAGTCTTGTAAAAGGAGAATGGCGACTTGGAGTCCCATGAAGAGAGCAACAAGATACACCCATCCTATTAGAGATTATAAGTAAACAACCCTGATCTAAAAGCAGACATCTTACGTCTGGGCTCTACGTCCAAAATGTTCTTGGGACATGCCATGAAATCTATGGAAAAGATAATGTAAGCTGAAAGGGATACAGCTGAGCAGCAGTAGCACTCACAGAGAAGGAAGTATAGTCGACACAGGGTAGCACCAATCAAGTATTCAGCACTCATACCACTAGTGCGACCTCTCCTGACTGCACGGTGAATCTGTGGGAACCACATAAACGCATACAGACACCCAACAAAGAGCAAAGGTAGCGAAAGAATGACAACGACTCTGAATACGACAATGAGGAAGAATGACATAATAGTCCCTGTGACGAACGATGATGAGAATAACATTACAAAGAGAAGTGGAGAGACGAACATAGTCTAGCAGATGGATCTGTGCGAATATGATTGAAGAGAAATCGGAGGAAGCCTTGCTCCTGCGGTGTTTGAGGTGGCGGAGGAGCAGGAGCTTGAGTGGTCGTGGCGGGAGGGGTTGGTTGTATGAGAGGAGCAGTTTCAGAATGGGTATCATTGTTATCGGCCTCATGTTCGTGGTCAGATGTGGGTGGAACAGGTGGAGGTGTAGGTTGAGGGGAAGGAGGTCTAGGAAGAGGCGTCTCTGCATCTTCGGGTGCTTGTATCTGACCTATCAAGACAGAATATTGCTGTACAGTGATATAAGTAAAGGGTGACTAATAGGATATGAGCATTGACATACCGCTTCGCGCACAAAGAGGATACAGGACAATCCAGCCGGTGCTAGGACTGCCAACGAGGGTCGACCGTCGGCAAGTATGGCGAGAGTGAGATGCTATGCCTTTATCGTTAGAAAAAGTAGAAATCGACCGAGGACTCTAAGACGCTCACGCCGACGAACGACACAGCATCTATGAGACTTTGAGCTAGGAATGGATATCGTGAAACTCTGGCAAGTCCAACGGCAGAGTGGCTTCGGGACATCTGCCTAGTGAGCAATAGTAACAGGATGGCGTTGACTATGGCAGAAATTCCCGCATCTAAGAAGCATAAGTCAAAAAATCAGTCAATACGTAGGAGCGGAACAAAAGGCATACATGTCGTTATTTTGCGGTAAAGGGATTGAGACCTGCTTGAAGTTAATACCTAGGCAACCAAACGTTCATAACACTCACTTCAAACCTCGAATATCCTTCAGTTTGTACATCATACCACAGTCTTTACTTATCAACAGGCCATTCATGAGTAGAGGCGGCTGCTTCACAGTGGAGATTCCTGTAGGGCTATCAATCTCTTCTTCTAATTCTTCCAGCTGAAATTGGGGGACGAGACTTGGATCAACCTGTCCAAAGAAGTCAAAGGTACACCTCGTCTTCGGATTGTCATCTGATTATGGTCATAATCATCTTTTGAACGATTGTCTCAATGAAACGAATACTGAAGACACACCATCATCCTGGTCGAGGTCCAGAGTGCCAGCTTCCAGTTTCTCCTTGTTTTTGGCGATGCGTGAGTACTCTTCGACTTCAATCACTTGAGCCGTTTCATTCAGACGGTGTTCTGGAACCAAAGAAGGGGCATAACGCAGATCAGGACGATAGCTATACTACAAGGTCAGTGGCAAACCGGGCTCCGGGAGACGTTTACACTGACCGATAGCCACTAGACGCAGCCAAAGCATATATTGAGCCATTCGACAGGAAATGGATGCCATCAAAGTCGATCCTCAGTTCATCTGAGCTACCTGGATCTGTCAAGTCGATCTTGCCCTGTATATAGCTTCTCATTAGACCTGAGCATAGATCGAGCAGACTGCCAAGTCATACATGTATGACAGCAATGTCCTTGGATACGTTCGTTAGATGAGGCTTTGACCACACCAACTTGTCTCCGACGCTAATCGCCACCTTGTTCGAAGCCGACCAATTCCATGATCCCAACCGGTCAGAAAGTTCCGTAGCGTTCGTCAGGTTTGCCGAAGAAATCAGGTCGTGAGCAAGAGGTTGCCATGGATCAGTCGAGTTGGAAGTCAGGTTGTGAAACTCGATATCACCGCGCCAGAAGCCGGTCAGGTTAGTGTAATATGACGCCTCCATTGAATCTAGTTGGGATCCCAATGTTAGAAGCGAATCCACCAGAGGCATTTCTACCGGGTTCAGAGGGGTCTGAAGAGGTAAGAAAGAGATACATGAATATGGTTCGAAGGATGCCGCCCAAGAGATCACATACTGACAAGAGTGAAATTCGAGGTACTGTTCCCAGTCAACCACAGCGAGTAGTTAGCCATTTCATAGTTCATTGCCTCTAAAGCCTCTAGATGCTGCGTCCTAGTGGCTGCATCGTCCGTTCTATTGTTGGTAAGCATGAACAGTACGAAGCTGATGAACAGAATTGAGGGTATAGAGCTCCGCTGTCGACGAGGCGGCAGTTCGCCAGCTTCTGCATCCCGCTCGGGGGCGTTCATGGCTTTGGCTTTAAGCCTTCTTGAGGACCGCCAGAAGGCGCAGATTGGTCAAATTGTACGGACGTTAAGGAGCGCAAACCGAGTGTAGATGAAAGTAAGAAGTCATGCGATGGAAAGCTTCATGATCGTACCATGATCAAGCGATAGACGCACATCGGCGTCGGTGTTGCCAAATCAGGACTTTCCCGACGTATACCCAAAAGAAAGGAAGGAATGCTACAGGAATACATATATACTGCGCATATAAATTAGGCACAACGATACAATACTATTCTATGTAGATGTAGATGTAGTTCCGTTCAGTTGCCCGCCTTCCAACTTCCTCCTACACTCCTTGATCATTTCGACGCTGATCATCTTCAGTCCCCACCTGTCCGCAAATCGCCGACAATCATCTCGGCGCATCATGGTGCCCTCCTCATCATCGTTGACGAGTTCACAAAGGAGACCCGCCTGTGGTAGTCCTGAAAGTGAGCAAAGGTCTACCCCAGATTCGGTATGCCCTCCTCGTGTCAAGACACCGCCTGGGCGCGCACGTAGAGGAACAAGATGGCCCGGACGTGATAGCGATGAAGGTTGAGTTGATGGAGATGCCAGTGCTCTTGCAGTAAGTGCACGATCGTGCGCAGAAATGCCAGTTGTAGTGCCTATATATGCAATCGAATGGAGTTAAAAACACGCGCAATGAAAAGTGAATTAATAATGCGTACCGTATTTGTAGTCGACAGTGACTGTATAAGCTGTTTGACGAGGGTCCTGGTTCTCCGCAACCATCATGGGTATCTCCAGCTCTTCCAACCGTTCTCCGGGAAGAGAAATGCAAATATAACCACTGAGTACAAGCTTCCACTTAGACTGCATACAACCAGCACGAGCGATCGGGCTTACCTCGTATGTTTGATCATCCAAGCCATCTTCTCCGTCGAACATTCACTAGCAGCAATGATTAAATCGCCTTCGTTCTCTCTTCCTTCATCATCCATGACCACTAGGAATTCTCCTCTGGAAAACGCTTCCAATGCTGCCTCCATTGAGTCAAATGCAAATTGCGTCCGCGCTGGTGCATCGTGAATTTCTTTTGGGCGTGCTGTAGATGTGGAAGGTAATGGAGGCCGTGTTGGAATCGAAGTGGAAGATGTGAGAACATTCGAGTGACTTTGTTGTTTTGTGGAAGACATGGACGTTGCCGGAGGAGCTTGAGCGATCGCCACTGGTGCCATCACGTCGATGCGTGTCTACTAGTTCGGTATAACAACGAAAGAGAGTTCAGAGGATTTGAAGCCTCTTGAAAACCAGGTCTGATGGAAGGTAGAACATCTGAATCTTACCATAATTGCGTCGGCATTCAGAGCGTTCCGCCTTCGCCCTCAGCGAAATCCCGTGCATGCTGACTTACTTATGAAGATGCTTACAACGTGAAATGACTCACGCTTATTAAAAAATGCTAAGCCGTTAAAACATGTAATGATACGGCCGGGGTATGTCCGTTTTATTCTACTGTATAGCGTATGTCCAGGCGAAAGACTATGATAGCATGACAACAATTCGAAAGGAATATCATCGAGGTGTAACGAAGCTGATCTATAAGAGCTATCCCCTTCTTTAAAGTCACCACAGTGCGTAGAACTATTGGGATACATACGAGACCGAGGCACAGAAGAAACCAAACGGCTACGTTTATTTTCCACCAGTGGTACCCATACCCATGGCGGTCTTGAAGGAATCGTAGATCCACCATTGGAAGCCTAAGGACATCATCAATCATCAATATCCCGTTTCATGATATCTGATTACAAGGTAACTTACCAGTGAGAGTACCGATCATGAGGACACGAGTTCCCAATCCCTTGGTGGCGAGAGTAGAGATGCCGACCTCGGAGGCAATTTGGCCGACGGCCTTGCCCTTGTGTTCAGGCTTACCCATGAGTGAGACAAGGGAGTCGGCCGGGTGGGATACAACAGCACAGACGACACCAGCGAGGTAACCGGAAGCGAAGGTGACACCGAGCTGCGTGGGCTTGCCGTAGGTCTCCTTGGGGGCAGTGAAGACGTGGCTGTAGAAGAGACCAACGATGTACTCGAAGAAGAAGAACTTGGCCATTGTGTAGGGGATCTACGCGCAAGAATCAAGTGAATATCTGTGTCCGAACCGCATGTTACAAGTGCCACAAACCTGGCGAGACCAGAGGGGAAGGAGAGAACCGAAGGGATAACGTGTCTCAGCGGCAAGTCTCCTCATCTCGCGGAAAGCAGCACCCATGGGCACAGGGAAAGTACCAGGAAGACTGGTCTGGATTTTGACTTTGGTCATCTCCAGGGGGCAGAGGGCGATATCAGCGAAGAACTCTGCAGACGCAGAGCCAGCAAGCCAGATAGCACCCTTGTATTTTTTCGAAGCCTCTTCACCGGCCCCGTTCATATAGGCATCCTTGAAGAACTCATAGAGACCGTATTTGAACAGTCCCTGAAAAGAGTAGCCGATGAAGGTAGGTCCGACACCCTTCCAGAGACCCTTTCCACCCTCCTCAGCAGCAATGGTCTTGAGACCACTGATAAGTCCCTTGAACTTGCCGGGGTTGACCTATATGCAACGTTATACAACTGATCCTTGAATGGGTGTGCCTTGCCGAGCACACACCTGCATGTTACATTTCGTGACATCGAGAGGTGTAATGCCGGCATGGGTAAAACCACAAGCCAAGACACCGCCTAGCATACATTTTGCGTAGTAAGAAGCGTCATGGGGGACAGGACCGAGGTATCTACAACGTCGTCAACATCTAGCACGGCCGACACGTCATGTGGTCACTGACCTCGCGTCCCACTTGCCCGATGGTGCCAAATGTGCCATTATCTATCAAGGTGTAGATACTAATGTAGGTCTAGAGGACTTGACTGGAAGCCCGGTCCAGGTACAAGCTGAAGAGGTGGAGGATGTCGAGGACGACGAGGAGAGTGTGGTAAACGTTCGTCCCAGCGTCCGTGCAATTTTTGTATAAGTCTCCCGTCCGTCCGGCGCTAACCGGCGAGCCATTCTCCGGCCTATCCCGCATCGGCTTTTGCGTCACTAAAAGAAGGTCAGCGTGCGGTCCGGACGGCCGACGTAAACCGCGACGCGACGCCGTGGTTGGCGGCCAGCCATCATGTCTTCTGTAAACTCAGGCAGCAAACGTTGGACGCATTTCCATTCTGCTCTGCAACTCGCGATACAACGGTCAACGCACAAATGGACGTAAGTCAAATACTTTGTCATCCATCTACCCAAGGCTATACTTCGGAGAATGCAGGTACGAGGACTTTACGGAGTGCTTCTCGCTCTGGTGCGAGGAAGAACCTGAAGCATCATCTGCGCTGTTCAACACTGTCGCACAGCACATGGAGTCCGGCATCACAGTGAGTCACAGGCCTCGCTGAATTTCATGGTAACGGGGAGCCGCTGCTGATATTCCGTGCAAGAGCCGATGCGAAGAGCTGCTTATCCAGTTCAATGTCAGAGAAAACCTGGATAAGCTGCATGCTATCGTTACCGAAGCGCGCGCTCGTAAACAATCTGAAAATGGATATGACGGGAAAGATGTTTGGAGAGAGAATATCCACCCTAGAGCTGCTGTACGAGCCAAAACTGTACCGCTACTCGAGCAGGAGCGTGATCGGCTGAAGGCCGAGTTAGCCAAAGTATGTCTATCATCGCAGTTGGTAACCCAGACTTACATCGGAATAGCTTGACGAAGAAAACAGGCGTTTGCAGACTGAAATGCAAACGAACGTCAAAGCGCGGACTATTGCAGATGAGGAGGCCACTGCGTTATTGGACCTCTTAGATGAGGTACTTCTATTTGTCACGTATGAAACTTGCCTTCTAACAGCTCTATATAGGCATGCGCGAAATGGAGTGGCGTGCCCATGGAGGAGATTTCATCTTGGACGCTCCAAACCGCAGAGTCTGTGAGCCCAAGTGCGCCTCGTTAACACGGACGACGCTTCAGTTTCTCCATTTCTTCGCTTTTGGTTGGTTGATTTTAACTTTGTATCTCTATACCCAGATGTAGCATGGACGGTGAAAATGTATCTCTAGCTTGGAACGTAAGGCTGGTTGACTTTACTATCCGTGAAATAGCGGACTGCATGATCTGACGAAGGCGTCGTTCTGCCGCCGCATTCATTTTCAGATTTCCAGCTTCCACTATGTCTATTAGACTATCTGGAGCCCAGCGTCACCATGCATTAGCGTGGTGAGACAAAGAACGACATCGCGTTTCCACGTACCTGCACGCCATACACATCGCTCTGATTCATATCGATCAGTTGCTAAATAAGCTCCTGGGATCTATCCTTCACGGGCCATGATACCACTGGGAGCGACCTTCAGGTATACTTGGCTCCGGATCACTCATGTTTGCCACTGTCGGTGCGATATTTTCCTCTCCCTTTCTGATCTCTGGAGGAATTTGGATCTTGCAAACGTTGATGTGGCGAAACTGTTTTTATTGCGCTCAGGCTTCTAACCATTGTATGGCACTCACAGGACGTGTCCTTATTCGCATCCCCCGCTATGATTGCTCCACACCTCAGGCGATGTATGGTTCGAACTCTGAAGTCAGTTTCAACTTGATCATCAAGTTCATGATGTTGACTCTGCGATATTTTGATATTCTGGCTCGACAATGGTTGATAGCTTTCTCTTCCCCACTCTGTTCGCTTGCTTTATGAATGCTGTGAACAGTATCGAGCTGTATTCCGCTATTCCGCTAATTTGTAGTGCTGACTCAGTATAAACAATAGGATAAAACGAAAAACCGGTGAACTACCGACATATTGCCAAACTAGGACACGCACCGCCTAGACGCTCGTGTCCTGCAGTGTCTGTGGCCACTGCAGTCTCACCTCATAACTTGTCCTGTAAGTATTCGTTGCAACTGCAACTTTCGGTTTTGGTTCTCGGCTATCCAGGCTCTGAAATAGACTTACTGACATATCATTTGTGCAGGAATAGGTCGAACCGTTTTCCGTCTACTTAGCTCGAATGGCTTCTGAGTTGCCTTCTCTCAGCCTTTTCCTTGCTCAGTTACCCCATACATTCCATCAGCTACTACAGTTGCCAGAAAGGGATGCATCGTTATGGTTAAATAAGGAGCGCAAAAAGGCCATTAACTATAATCGGTCGCTCTCCATTGTTCTCAACTCCTTCGCACCGATTCATCGGCTCCCGGAAGAGCTCTTGCGCAAGATAATCACCGTAGCAATTGAAGATACAAAACAGCTTCATGGGTCATTATCTTGGCTACGAATCACCCACGTCTGCCATCAATGGCGCGAAATCGCCTTGTCAACTTCAGCCTTGTGGACGGCGATTGATCTGCATACCCGACAAGCTTCAACCTTCCTCCACCGCTCAGGAAGAGCTGGCATCAGTGTCTGCTGGCATCCAAAACGGCAACAAATACGGCGGATAGCAGTTTATATGAACATGCTCTCTCCACACACATCCCACTTGGTTCACCTTGACGTTCGCGCGGATCAATCAACGATAGAGCAGTTTCTCGCCTTCCTCGAATGTCACGACCTTGAGTGTCTCCGCTCCATTACTCTGACATGTCCTGACCCCGAACCATCTGCTCGGTGTATACCATTTGTACCGAGATTGGGTCCCAATAACACTATGGAAAGAATTCAGTTCTCGGGCGTGCTCTTGGATTGGGGAAGTCCCGTATACGCCGGGCTGAAGGTCTTTGACATAGAAGATACTCATGATATATCCGTGCCTGCTATGGAAGAGTTCCTTCAAGTGCTAGATCGATGCCCTGAATTGGAATTCTTGGAGGTAGTGTTCTCCGGTCCAGTTTCCCTTCCTGGGCCACATCCGGTGTCAGCGAATCGTAATGCAATAGAGCTACGCCATTGCCGTCGCGTAGTCCTAAACCAGGTGGACCCGTTTTCCGTTGGACGTATCCTTGAACATCTAGTCTTGCCACACACAACATTCCTTGAACTTCAAGCGGAAAAGTGCAGGCCAGGAAATCACGACCTTCTGGATATCTTTCCAGCACGCATTGATGTCCTCCCAGCATTGCGCCAAGTGAGATTTCTCACGTTATTGGTGAGCTTCGAGTACATTGAGGTTATTGCAACCGACGTTAAAGGACAAAGTGGCGCGCAAGTCAAGCTCTTGGCGAATATTGAAGATCCAGAATGCTTTGGTGAATATGATGAAGATGTATCATCTAATGCCTTACTTGATGCTGCAAGTATATTTTCCGATGGTCCTATCGAGGAGATATGTTTCAGCACCTATGGCGACTGCATCACCACCATGGCATGGATAGCGGCATTGTCTAAATTCCCCCATGTTCGCTCGTTTCGTTTACGTTTACGTGACGCCAGTGAATGGGATATGGGACACATAGATCAATTCATGAAGGCACTTGAAGTTTCCGGGGAGTCAATCCTTTGTCCTAAACTAGTTGAACTTCACTTGACAGGCCTGTCCGTTGATTCCGAAATTCTGGGACTTCTGCGTTTGGCATCAAATTCTCGCAAGGTTCATTGCGTACCACTCAATCTAGTAACGATGTGCTGCTGCGAATTTCTCTCTGGAGTGGATCGGGCAGAGCTGGAGAAAGCAGTCCAGTGTGAAGTTCGGATTAGCCAATCAAAGGACCAGGAAGACGATATGTGGATATATCGATAAAGGTCAGGAGCTCTCGAGAGCACTGCTCGTTAGTTATCTCCCTAATTGATGCATCTCTCCGCAACTAGTTTTTTATTTTGGATAATCCTCCGTGGCGTTACTGGTTTGAAGATTTATTCCCTGCAAACTCGAAGCTTTTCCACAGGTCCTCTTGATGCAAATGCGTCAATGTATTTGTAGACTACAGTATCTCTAAGAACATCTTGCGGCATATCACTAGACTTTGTGCATATATTAGAAGTGTGTGATAGCACAGAAATGTCGTACGTTCCTCCCTCGTAACAAGTCCTTTTGCATGTCCGATCGAGTCTATGGAGGTATAAGATCTTAGTATCGAGGCATTCGGTCAAGTGGGGGCATTGAGCTGCACTTGCGTATTGAGTGTATGATCCAAATTTCCGCGGCTACAGTTCGATGTACTACCTACTCGCTTGCTTCAAATTGTGATTAGGTGCTCTGCTGACTTTCGTCCTTCTTAAAGTTTCAAGTCTAAACGTTACGATGTAGATGCGGGTCTCCTGGCTTGATTGAGAGGTTGAATCATAACGTTACACGCTTGTAGAGCGTTAGAACCATACTTCCAAGCGTAACGTTGATCGCAGATTACCAAACGTATTATTGACATGAAAATAGATGAGACGAACCTGAAGACGCACGTTAAGGTACTTTCGAAAGATTGATGCTTGGTTATTATTATTGGAAAAGAGATGGGGCATTGAACATCACAGAACTCGGGTTGGCAGGCGACCGTAAAGGTAAAGCTTATATGGCCTGATCCATGTGGTCTTTAGTGTTATGATAGTCTTGCGAAGGTTATGACACCTTGTGTGCTGAAAACGTAGTGATATTAGTGATATGATTCGACTCTAACTCGAGAATATGATTGTCCTGACATCTGATTTGCACGATGGACAACTTCTCGGAATGATCTCCGGTCATAGCATGGAATGATGATCGCGGAGAAGTTAGCCTTACACAGTAAAGACATCTAATCAGCAGGGCCCTAAGGATAGGAGATGATACCGGCACAATCCCGACACAGGTCTACAGACGAGTGGGTATGGTATGCAAATGGTATGTCCATTTCTCCCAAACGCCACACGTCATATAAACGTCGATGAGGCACCAACCAATACTGGGCTATGAAAAAGGAAGCGATCAAGCCAGGTTCATAATGTCATGCTGAGTGTACATAGACAGTCAGCCGTGGAATGCCAACGCCAGTCCAGACCGCGAGTTGGAAAAGGATCAGTTGGACGTGCAGGGTTCCTGTCATAAGTGTTGGCATAAGTGCGATGTCAAAGACGAAGAAGCTACTGTCGGATACCAGTCAGACCATACCACCGGAATGATTTCGCCAACAGAGGAAAGTGTGTCCCGTACATAATATGTACAGTAATAGAATGATTCGCACATGACTCTCGTAGTGTGTTTCAGCTAGACGATGACCAGGGGGAATGAATGGCTTAGGGCTTCAATCAGCTTTCCGTTATCTGGAGGAGCCGAATAAGCTAAGACTCGGTGAGTAATCACCAAGTAGGTCGGTGTTGCTTAATGAATGTTAGGATCAAGGATTGCACGGATTCGTACCTCATAGAACTGTAAGAGCTGATTGAGCAACAGGGAATAATTGTACACAGGTACACAGTGGTGCTCGGCCGCCTAACCTAGTGCGTCGGAGATGGAATACGTGGATTTCTGAGCCGCTAGAGTCAACTCGAGCAAGTCGAGCTCTGACTTCTCCTCCAGGTCAGTCTGGCCAGATGAAAGTCCCATCGGGCTTCTCTCCGGGACACGAGAGAGCATGTACATGAAGATTCCTGAAGACGAAAAGGAAAGTAACCACGATATAGTCATTCGATGTACTGACCAGTCACTCTACCAGGCCTGATTGGTTAGAGCATTGCTTACTTATCGACGCGAAAATCAAATACTACGATGGCTTCCAATTCGAGTTGAAGGGCCCAGGCCTATCACATGGTGAGTCTTCGAGTCATGAACACCGAAATGGTGCCGTAGGATCAACACCTAATCGAGTGGCCCGGTGGATGCATCAAAATGGAAAGAACCTTCTCCAAATGAGACTAGACGTTCCATGGTGGAATGTACTCACAAGGCGCAAGGTTTGGGGGTGAGAAACGCGAAGCAAGGAGCAATGGAGCAATCCAATCATCGCCAGGGTATTCCACCTGTGTTTCTCCAGAACGTTCACTTAATCTTTGTTTTTCCCGTGTCAGTCTTCGGACGGGAGGCCAATACGAAAAAGCGCGTATGCGCTCCGTGGGATTACCAACATTCTCCACGCATGACCATGCAAAAGCGCAAAAACCAATGAGAAGCTTAAAACTCTCATCCATTCAGTTCAGCGTGCATGCAGGAGCCAAATTCCGTTCTTTCGCTCCGATTCACCCACGGTTGTCTGCGCCGACTGTGACTTGTGAAGGGTCAGTTACCTGGTAACAGAAACTCGTGGATCACGCACCTGGATCATTTCTTTTGAACAGCTCGACGCCGAAAATCTTTTTTGTCTAGGCATATATGTATTAATTATGATACCCGAGGCTTCGTGGTCGTACGAGCGACAGGACGCAGTTGCCAGCGAGGATCGTCTACTCGAAATGGGAAATTTCATCGTTACCCGAACCACTCGCGGGTAGGAGGCCAGGTTGTCATGATCTACGAAATAAACATTGCTTTGCAACGTTAAGAGGTTATGAGCCAATGTGCGTACTACGGATGGTTCGATTCGCTAACGAGCGACATTGGCGTTGAAGCGCAGCAAAGCGTGTCATGTTAGCGGTGATTGGAGCAGCGCTCACTTTCAATCGACATGCTGAAAGAGCAACATGTGACCTGAAGGTCCGATTGTAAAGCGATAAACATTCGTCAAAGGGGACATTTTCCGTAGGGAGCGGGTATGTTGTCAACGATGGCACTCGGCAGGACCTAATCGTTGAAAGTTGATTCGCGAGCCACCAGAGCTCCCCGAGGAGGTTAGTGTGATGAAACACGGTTGAGGACACGTTCCGAGCAATGTCGAAGTTCAGTATGTCGTTGCTATGTTTCAGATCCGTAAACTCTCCGACGGAAGTCCTGCCGACTGTTCCGGCAATTTCGCGATTATAGGCTCATGCTAACTAAGACGCGCATGCCATTTTGGGATCGATTCCGCCCGATTAGGCAGGGCAAATACCAAGAACGGCAATTTCGGGCTCACTACGCGCGTGTTCCTGGGGTCGGACGAAAGCCACACCGACCCGAGGATGTATGTCCTGTTTAGTCAATAACAATTCATGTCAAAGCACAGGCATGGAGGACTAGAGAACACTTGGCAGTGGATTAAGAATACTCCTACCGCAGGGAGAGACTGTACTTAGCCTTGCAATATGTATCTAAGACAGATTTAATGCGATAAGACTTGTGAATGACAGCAGAGGGAAATAGCTGCGGGTGAAAGAAACTTTCAATGATGCTGATCATGGGGATGACCAGGGGCACTTTAGTCGATAAATATGAATTTAGTGACGTCAAACGGAGCGAACAGAGAGCACCCGGTCCGAAGGGTGCAAGAGCGAAGGCGAGCACAGTATGGACGGAAAGGGCATAATTTGATTGTGGCGTAAAGAGGAACGGAACTAAATGATTGAGAGTGCAAAACATTCAGGTCTCCTCTGAAGCAAGCTGGGCATTAGGAGCAGAATGACCTTCAGCAGCAACAAAAATACGAGAACTTACGACAAGTCTGGTGCGACAAAAGAAACTTCAAAGAACATGGTTGCCAGTTGGACGGTGGATTGTCGCCAGGGGCGTCCGAGGCTGCCAGATTAGATCTTGTCATGTCACCGCCGCTTTGGCCCGATGCGGATCTTAGTACCGGAGACAGACGCCAGCAGCAGGGAACGTGTTGACGGTGAGAATTCAGCTCTCCTCATGCCAGGACCTATAAAATAATCCCCCTCCTGGGTGCCTTCCCCACCGGATCGCCCTCGTCGACACCGACGACGACGACGAACTCATTGACGGTGGTCACCATGTTTGCTCAGTACTCTCCGCTCTTCACCTCTGGTCTGCTCTCTGACTCACCCTCTGCTTCGAGGGCACCTTCACCACAGCATCCTGTTCGCAAGAACACCCATGACAGTTTACCACTGACTGTCAATACTAGAATGTCAGATATTTATGCTGGCGTCGAGTCCGCTCGAAACCCACAGGATAATGACGGTGCTTTGTTCCTCACCTTCCGACCACACCGCAAGCAGGTCGATGAGGGTCTCTCATTTCTCTCCTTGGATCTTGCCGAGTCGCAATCGATGCGCTCGATGAGTCTCAGACGCAAGGACACGGTGACGACAAAGGCCACCACTGCCTTTGGTCGCTCAGAGCCGTCCTCGCCGTCATACAACTTGCCGGTTTCACCCATTGTGTAAGTGAAATATCGTGCTACTCGCTTATTGTTGTCTAACGTTCCCTACAGTAAGCGGTCCCAGTTTGCCCCTCAACTGCCGCCCTTGGCACCCATTATCTCACCCATCTCTCCGGTGCCTACTCTTCGTAAAGCTTCCCGCGAGACGCTTCGTTTGCCCTCGCCAAAGCCCGTACCGTCTTCTACATTGCCTGAACCACCAGCTTCTGCTCCAGCACATGTTCAGCGTCAGAGGAGACCATCGAATTTGACTCTCACTTTGTCAGATTGCTTTGTAGAAGCAGGTCCATCTTCGACCTCTTCCTCGCCATTGATGTCATTCCATCGGCCTTCGTACTCGGCTCCATCGATATTCTCGCATTTGTCTCCTCTTCGTTCGTCGCCTATCCTGTCACCGGACGAGGAACGTTCCTACTTCACTTTCTCTCCAACTTCCCCAATCACATCTTCTTTCTTCCCCTCATCGCCTCCGCCTAGCGCTTCAACTCAAGTCACTGCGTCCCCTTCATCGCCGTCCTTGAAAGCGCCCGAACATGAACAACCTTCTGCACCGGTTAATGCGCCCGTATCGCTTAAAGCTTCGCTTTCGATGCGCTCAACTGCCACGATCAATACGCGTCAACGCAACCGTTCTGCTGCTCTTGATGCATTGGAAGGCCGTGGTCGTCGTAAACGCCGCGTGAGACCCAACAACTTCATGAGCATGAGCGACGACGAGGATGACGATGTCGCTGTGGATGAGGAATCCCTTATCCGGGATGTGCAGAAGAAATTGCTTTGGGTCTTGAACGAGGAAGAGGATGTCGTTCTTCCCAAGAGCGAAATCAGTTCGAAGCGAGCGAGTATGGTGAAACCTGACAGCACGTCGGCCAAAACGTCTTCGTCCTCTTCCAAGCGTAGTCGACGAAGCACCATCGAGAGCTTTTTTTCTCCTCTCAACAACTTCATCGACTTTAAAGATGACGATCGCTCGTCTCTCAGTTGGCGTAGCTTTGTCGAGTTCTCCGCATGACCGTCCACGACTTTTACTTGACCCCACCGCCTGTGTGTATCCTATCTATTGTCTTGCAAATTGCTTTCGTTCCTCGATTTGTTGTACAAGTATCACTCTCACTCTCATTCATTCATTGTTCATCATTCAGCAACTGTTTTATATCCTGCAATCTCCGTACGCTAGTTGTCCACGTCGTCTCGTAACACCTAATGCTCTAATCACGTACTCTATTCCGTCACTCATTGTCATTGACACTCTCTTCAAGCTCCTTCATCTCATCTCATCAGTCTTCCACTCGCTTACCGCTATTGTTCTGGTCGTTGATGATGATGCGCTTTTTTGTTGTACATACGATACATGTACATGGTTCAGATCAAATCAAGAACCCTGGTGATGACCTGAGTTCCTGAAACACTAGGAAGCTTTTTGTGTTTGTATCATTTGTTACCATCGCGCCGCTTTACCTTAACGACATGGGTTCAGAAGGCTATTGTATTCCTGCTACTTATTGTTCTTGTTGTCTCACTTTGCATCAATCGCCAGGTGTTCAGATCGCAGAAGCTGTCCTGATAGACAGTTGCCAACGCGGGGAACAGAGTGATTGCTTCGACTTCTGTGAATCCGTGATACGTCAAGTTCAAGGTATCACAATTGCAATTTAATGGAGCTGTTGTTGTACTGTTCCCTACACGCCTTCTGTATATATGTGTCACTGAGGGTTTCGGGATGCGAGAATCTGGGCATCAAGTGAGTGAGGCTTCAAAAAATAAACTAACATACTGTATGTGCCCTTCAATGCGAGCTCTTCCCTGGCGCTATAAGGTGACAGGCGAATAAAGGTACTTCGGCGATTGAAGGCGTGGGTACGTGGGACATGCGGAAAGGATGGTCGACATAATTAACATCTCGACAAATATACATCATAGAAGTTGACGACGAAATCCTCCCAGAAGCGTATTTACATTGCTGCGACCGAGATGACCGGAGTAGTAGTTCTAATTGCAAAATAGTGTACTGCTGTAGTTCATGTATCTGGTTTGGAATCCAGGCATATCGTCGGAGATAGACTTCCCATCTTCCAGTAAGGTTTGGTGTTGAAACTGAAGTTATCCGCAGGTGTGACGGTAAACAAAGAAGTGCCGAATGACTGATACTGATCATGTCGGGACTCTCCTAAGAATGGACAGTGTCACTTAACACCCGATCCAACACATGAGAGGTTGAATCCGTAGCAGAGGAAGAAGGCGCTATCATGGTGAAGAACGCACTGTTGACCACGACACCGGATGATTGAATGGACTCGATGGCAAGTCCTACTGGGTGGGCTCGTTCACTTCTGTACGAGAAACTCGCATCCTTGAAGAGTGTGGTTGTGAATTTGGCATCTCGAAGCGTACCTAGTAGTACCGGTACGGACATCCACAAGCGGGGGAGACTGGTCATCCCAGTATCCTTAAAGGGGCCCCTGGAATATACCGATAAATGTTACACAAGGCAGAACATACCAATGATCATCGACAAGTCCGGTGCGCGGAGGCTTATTGTGAGAGCTTTAATTATAGTGAGGCCAGAAGCTTTTCGACTGGTGGGCTTGAGGTCGCGATATCCTGCAGTACGAAGGTTGAACCACTGCCTGTTCAAAACTAGGTGTACATAATCCTGACTGCAGCACCACATATCAGAGAAACATTCGCTGGTGACGATGCACGTACTTCGCATCTCCACACTCCCTCCACGCAGGATCCGGAGGTACTGCAGCATACGATCCTTCTGAGCGTAGATGCATGCGAACCTCATCTTGACAAAATGGCCTTTCTAGGCGAGAGACGCAAACTCAGGCCGCCCAGACGTTAACTTACCTGACAGACTTGTTAAATTACAAAACAGTAAGCATAGGTAACTGGTCCTGAATTTATACGCATTGAAAACTCACTAGTAGCCTTGCGAATGGGAAGACATCTTGTCTTTGCATCTTGTACAGTCAAGTTTCGAGAGAGAAAAAGAAAGCTCCGATACGGGGAATCGAACCCCGAGCTGCCGCGGGCACTTAAATACACATGAAAGGCGGCAATGTTAGCCTTTACACCATATCGGACTTATGAGTGGGAGATGAAAATATTTATAATCATCATTTACAAAGCTAAACCGAACAATCAAGGATCGACAGCAATGTTGAATGTGGACCATTGTGAAGTGCAACGCTACATGGTGTAAGTTGAGAACGCAACTATCTTTGTGTATTTCAGACACAGCAAAAAGAGCCAATTTTAGCCGTCACACCGTATCGGAATTAGTAGCCTCATCCAATGTTGGTTCGAGCTCAGATCTCAGCCGAGGAACAGCTGCATCCAAATGAGTTAGTCTTCTAGAGAAGGTGGAAGGTAAAGACCTCGGGCAAGATACGAAGTTACATACCACATTGATTTAACGACATGGAGGATATAGCACACAATTGATGCCAGCCTTCTGCGACAACTTCCAGTGTCTAGGCGTCAATACTGCGTGCATTGCCACACCTTGGCCTACATAGCTCCTTGCTCTCGTCCTCTGGACCTATCCTCATCGTCCCTAGAGTAAGATGAGTTTAGACCAAAACCTTTTCACGCTTAGTGTACAACCTAGCAAAGATGACCCAAACGTGCTAGATCTAGTGGACCCGTCTGGGAATGCTCATTACCGGAAGGAACGAGTGCTTGGAGATATATACAAGATCAATATTTATGGCGAGTGCAGACTTCTATTTGTACCTTCTTCTTAATCATCGACGTTCTGCAGATCCACTTTCAGAGTCGCTTCTAGCAACGGCGACCGCGCCGAATGCAGCGAGCAAACACAAGACAATCGAGCTTCATAATCCATCTTCGGTTGTGGAACTGAAATACTCGGGAACTATCTCATTCAAATGGAGGTTCAAATGGGAGGAGTATGTGCGGTTTTGTATTCGCGCTGTAACTCCTTGATGACGTTGCTGATGTGCTTTGTTGATTGCCACGAATAGGCATGAATTCGAATGGAAGCGCGAGGAATGCTATATCCTGCGTAAGCCAGACCCGGCTGTATTGGTTGCTATTACAAAGGAACCGCCCGGTCGCTTGAAGACCTCGACTGTACAAATACTAGATTATAATCTGAATCGGTGCGTCCCACGGTTCGTGTCTTGAGAGGCATTCATTGAGTATTCGACTTAGATTTGATATCGATGACCGCAAAGGTCTGGAGATCGTCATGCTGACGGCACTCTTAACCTTCCAGGATACCAATGAAGCCTATCATACCCCTACAACTACCCCTCCTGCGGTGTCTTCATCTACGAAGCCGACAACAAATACCACAGACAGTCCTACACCGCAAGCGCTTGGTAATTTACCCCCTCAGAACCATGGGCCTCCTCCTGTCGTACCCCCAAAGCCCGCGCCGAAGACTGGCGTCGAACGAATAGCGGAACTTCACATGATCCGGACTCTTCAGGGCGAAGGCGAAGCGAACGAGGTCGAGATAGGCATGGAAGGCGGCGTAGATGATTATGCAAAGTATGCCGAAGGTTTGCTCAAGGTAATCGAATCGTCATGTCCTAAATATCCGACCATGGTAACTGAAAGATGTTTAGGACGAAGCAATGCTTTTCATCACACTGCGGTCAGCGTCCGCAGCACAAGTACCAAAGGTTCTTCGGGTTGTCGAAGAGACAAAGCGACTCAGACACAAGTCTGGTGATACCCTTCTTTTTTCAATACAGAATGTCAACTGATGATTTCCTATAGGGCTCGCTGAGAGCGAGGAACTCTATCAGTACGTCGTCTATGATGCGCCGGGCGATAAGGCCAAAGGACCCAAGCGCATCAATTTGGATGATCCTATGCCCGTAGGAAAGAAGGGGTATAGGCCGCCGTCGAATCTCACGGTTCACCTTAGCAAGATTGATATGCCAGAACTTCAACCTAAGGCAGATCCTGGCCTTACTTCGAAGCCTAGTAAGGCGGGCAAAGACAAGCCTCCTCCTCCTGTAGTGGACTCGAAGCCAAAGAAGGACAAGAAGGACAAGAAGGAGAAAGATAAAAAGGACAAGGACAAGAAAGGTCGCTAAACTGGCATCTAGCCTGTTCATGGAAGACTCAGCTCATGATCTCTGTTGATAGACTCGAACAAACCGTCACCCCCTCCTCCGAATAAACACACAAGACCTGGATCATCATCGACCCCTCCAATACCGCCCTCACATCTACGCCCAATGTCTTCATATTTTGGTCAAAATGATTCTTCGTATCCCTCCAGTGCTTTTCCTAGCTCCTCCCCTTCATCATTCGTTCCGGGAGCCGGCGGACCCGGCTTCCCTGCCCCTCCACCTCCGCCTGGGCCGTTCACCCCTCCGCCAATGCATACATACCCAGGTGGTACAGCGAACAGTTTTTATGGTGCTGGGCCTGGGTATAATCCCATGCCACCGTCTGGAGGTTATGGATATAATCCAAGCTATTACTGATTGCATTTGGTATGCTTTGCTTTCTATCTATGTATTATTGAGGACTTTCATCGGATACAACTCTATAAATGAACCTATCGAGGTCGCTAGACCATAACAGCATTGTTTCATGAGTTGCTTCTGTCGTAGATTTTGAAGTTGCACTGTTTATCTCAGACTTCTTCGTTCATCAACCACAGCCTTACAACGAGGCTTTAAAAACTAACACCATAGGTCCGCTACAAGTCGAAGTGCATACATGAGCAACATGCTTTGAAACATGCTCTATTCGATTAACTATTTGCATAAGGCGCATTCGAGGTAGTGAGTTTCCACATTCCCTTGGCGTTCGCAGCTAACAAACTATTCTACTCCAGGTACTCGACCAGGGGGCAGTGTCTGACAAGACATCCTTTGTAGGTTTTCTGCCGCTCGCGTAATAGTAAAAAGCAGCATTCCCATTATCCTATTTCGTCTCTCTACCATCATGCCCCAGAGTTCGCTACAAAATCCCGCACAAGAGTCGTGTAGACTATATGATATGCTGTGCCAACCATTCAATTTTCCAACATCACCGTCGTGGAGCAAGTACTGCGTTGTGCGTCCATCTCCTCAACCGAAAGCGCTCCTGCCCAGGATCTAACGACGATACAGTGTTGTCGTTCTTCTATAGCAAGAGGATTCTCTCCGTCCTCTACATCGGAGCTGAATGCTCTTTGTAGTCATCAATGCCGACAAACTGCGAAAGGTATATGTATGGAGATGTACAGACATCTTCCAAACCTGAACTATGTGGATCAGTGTTTGGGTAGCTTTGGTGACATCCCATCGCGTCATCTTCTCAACGTAGTACAAAAGGTGCGTAGGACTACTCTCATCAGACCGTTCGAACTTCTGAATTGAATTGCTCTGCAGCTTCTCGATCTGCACACCGCACCCGACCAGGATCGACAATTCATTCGTCAGATTTTGCTCCGCTTATCGCTCGAGCACGACGATGTACCCGCGAAGCTGATCTTGCATATGGTCAAGCGAGTTGATGACGAACCGTTCTCGGAAGGAGGCTTTGGAGATGTTTATCGAGGCGTTTTCCATAATGGCAAGTAACGAAGATGGTGCCGGAAGGCCTGAGACCGTCGAAGCAGTCAGTCTGCAGCAACTCCGTCATTGAGTTACCATCTCTTCTATGGGAACTGTGTAAGAAATGTTGGGTCTTGGAACCAGATCAACGCCCGGTGGTGAGAGAGGTTTCCGTAATCACAAGTGCATGTTATGGAGAGGCGAAAGGCAGTTTATCCCAGCAGGTGAGCCATTATGGCATCCATTACGTCCTCTATTGGCTGACCATTCACATTTCAGGAATGGCATGAGCTCCTGGCCGAGTCAACATTCACTGGTGCGAGCTTTGGTTGGAGTATTGACTAACGGACGCTACTGGTGGCCTATTTACTTTGGGATATTTCCACTCCACCGCTCTTGCGTTTTCATTGTCCACATCTACGCGCATAGATTCATGAATGTAGAAGCTAACTAGCAAAACTGGGGCGTATATATGCGGCGCCATGGACAATCATGCTTCCCTCCGATATCCACTATAATATACATACAGACTCTATCTTACAATGACAGTCCCTCCAAACCGACACTAGTTCATACTCCCTGATAAGGTGGAGGGGCACCTGCTCCAACTAGCACCATCTCGTCCACAATTTCGTCATGTTCCGTCCTCTTGTAAGTCCGGATATTCTCGCCATAATCAGAAATGTCGTAGATTCGGAATCGACGGTCGAAGCCTATCTTGCCATAGCCTGAATAGGATCTGCAACAAAACGAAGCGTTAACATGTTTCTTCCCGAAATGATGCATCGAATCCAGACGTACCCTCCGCCTCCAAAGCACATCCATACACCCTTCACTCTTTTGCAGTTCTCGGTGACTGAGTGTGTCATGAGAATAATGAAAGTGCATAGACAAGAGTAACGTACGGTGACAATGTCCATTCGCGATCACCTTGACTTCCCGGTCGTCACCTCCAGCACGATGATCACTCGTCTTCGCAGCGAGGACGCCTTTATGAAAGAAGCCGGCTTGCCTCTTGGCGTTCCCTGGACCTTCGATGTCATGTTGTCCTACATTGAGAGGTTTGCCTGTACGGGTGTCAACGTCTGCTGCGGAGTAGGCTTCTTCCCTGAATCATAGGTCAGATCACAAGCGAGGTCAAAGGAACCAGGATAAACGACGACGTACAGAGGGATGTGGAAGAACATGAGGGCATTAGGTTTGGCCAGACGTCGAGTAGTAGGCGTGAGTTGGTCTGAGCTTTGACGTTCCCAGAGATCACTAAAGTCCTTTGCGCCATCTGGGGTAAATGGTCGTTCGATAGCAGAAATACGAGCTAAAAAGACTCCATCATAAGCAATGGCAGATGGAGTGGTGCATATAGTCTGATACTTGCATGACTCTTCCAAGAACCAGTCGATTTGGTCTTGATGAATCCAATCGTACTCGGTTCCATGAAGTATGCCGCCGATGTCGAACCATCCTTTTGAGTAGGATCCAGAGTCCAGGAAGTACAGTGTCAGGAGGTGAGTCTTGGACCTGCAACGGGAGAGAATCAACATGATTCTAATAACCTGTCAGTTCTCGTACTTACGCATCGGCACTCCACACTTTCAAAAGGTAGTTCCCGACGCCGTGAATGTCTTTCGGACCGGTTTCGACTAGACTGTACGGTAAGCCTTGCATCCATTTCACCTGCGTCTCTCTCGTCTCTCCATCTTCGTCATCATGGTTCCCAAACACAGCAGCCCATGGAATACCCCGCTCAGTCACGCTCACAGCGAACTTCGCCAGGACGGACTTCGAGTCCCACGAAGTACCCTGTCCATTAAGTTGATCGCCTGTGAATATGACGAGGTCGGGCTTTTCGGCATCCAGCGCTCGGGACATTAGGGAAGATGTAAGGTTATCAGAGGAGTCGCAAGGTGAGATGAGGGTGTCACGACAGATTCCAGCCGTAACGGAGAAGTGGAGGTCTGCGATTTGGAGGATTTTGAACTTGCCCTCACGTGAGAAGTGTAGAGGCGGCGCTGTTGGTGGGACTGTAGAATTGTAGCATTAATAAATGGGAAGAGAAACTGAGGGTGACAACATACGCTTGACGTCTCGCCTTATGGTAAGTGCTACGGTAGCAGAAAGTTTCTGACCTCGGGCAACTGGTGGTTCGAGCCTCTCAAAACCATACCAAGGCTTGTCGTCACCAAACAAGACGTCAACCTCGGTGATGATGTTTCGCTTCTCGTCGTCGGACATCTGGCGCAGAGACTTTCCTGTCTTGTACCAAAGGAACATCTTCGGATTTCGGGGACTAACGGCGGTTTTAACCTTGGACCAACCAGTAGGGTCGCCGTCCCCATATGGCGTTTCACCGTCCGCGACGATTCGAAGTTCGTTGATTAGCGGTATATCCAGACGGCGAGTACGACGATAGTACAGGTTCTATAACAAATATCGGGTGATTGTGTCAGCCCTTGTAGCACCGAGTTGACATAGATTTTAACAAAGAACAGAACTAGAACATATTCCCTGAAGCGCATTCAAGTAATCCGGCCCAACATTCAGAACGGAGTGGAGCCACTGGCTCAACACTGAACAACGAGAGCTGGACAGGTGGTTCCCGATATGCTTTACTGTGTTCTTGCTATTCCGAACCTGGTAGGTAAGATTGATATAGAACTTACCAAAGAGCCATAGCCTTGCTTCTTCAAATTTTGATCAACAAGCACCCACTTCCCTCTAGTGGTATCAAGTTCGTTGGTTGACCATGGAGCACAAACATCGGCGGATGCCCACGGCCAAGACCCTGGGTTGATCCAGCAATTGGTCGCAGCAATCTCCGACACTGTAATAGAAATGATCGAAGGTTCACGCCACTAATTCGAAAGCCTTAAAGTCACCAAATACTCACATCCGGTGTCATGAGGCATAAGAGGATCCCATACATCTAGAGGCAAGCTCACAGGGTCAAACTGGGTAGCGGGATCGGTGACATTCCACCAATCAACTCCATGAGCTTTGTCTGGGGTGTTTGGATCCGAGATAGCACCGGATGTTTCCTCATCATTCTGAGGATTCTCTACGTCAACCTGATTCCCATTTGCAGCAGAATCAAGTATAACATCCCAAGACTGCCAGCCGAGACGTTGTATGCGTCCGGGGCCTGGCGTTGGCTGGTATAGAATAAATATGAACGTCAGTAAGCATGAGAAGCAGAATATAGCCGTCGCGGGTGCAAATATTGATTTCAGAAACCGAGCAAGACGAGGAAACGTAGGAAGAGCCATGGTGGCTTGCGGCAAGCTACTCCAAGCCGTCAAGATGTGGAGCTTATGGTTAAGTTATCTTATCTCAGAATAAATAGTGCCAAATAAAAGAGATCAAGAATTCCAGGCTTTGAACTCTGAACATCGTTGTCCTCGCTGCCGGATACAGCGAGCAGCTATGTTTTTCTCATTTCGTCGTCTTTACTCGACGCTTCCAGAGGCAGCGGCTGCTGCTCGTACCGCATCGACTCCTCGAGCCGTCCGCCTACGGCGAGCTCGAAAGCAACCACCACCAGCAGCGTCAGAGAGCCCTCTTGCTTCGGACGCCACTCCAGATGGCTTGACCCCCACCGAATATGTTCGTTACCAGCGACAACTCGCTAAGGCCGAACTAATGGGCCCCGACGGGCGAGATCTCACGGAAGGAGAGTGGTTGGAGAAACTTGATGAACGACGGAGCAGAATACGAGGTGTCCGTGAAGTCACGACCAAGGACGGCGAGAAGGAGGTCAAAGTTGTAGCTCAAAAAATCTACTTGCCGAATATCATCTTCCGTCTCGTCCGCAACCACACCCTGGCTGGTCAACCATACAACCCTTACGAAGCCACTTTTCGTATCCCACAAAGCGTGACTAAAACCGATATTCGGTCATACTTGTTGGCGGTGTACGGTGTCAAGACCACGTACATTCGTACAGACAACTACCTTGCACCCATACCCACTATGGGCCGGTCGAAGAGGAAGCATAAAACTTACAAGCGTGCGGTAGTTGGTCTCGTTGACCCTTTCTACTATCCTCAAGCTTTGGAAGACATGTCCACTGCGGAACGTGACGAGAGGAAGAATTGGTTAGAGGAAAACTTCAGAATCGAGGAAAGTAGACGTCTGCGCGTCACTGAGATCCTCCGTATGTCGAGGAACACCAAGGGTTGGAAGGTCAAGCCGGACGTTTCGACCGGAAGGGGGAACATTTTGCGGAGAATTATGGCTGCTAGAGCGAGGAGAGAGGGTGAGATCGAGGAGACGAAGGAGAAGTTTAGAGAGTTCAGAGCGAAGAAGGTGGAAAGTATTCCTGCTCGTTCAGAGTCTACATCTTCAGTACCTGCCTCGTCATAACGGGTTGATATGCTACCTTCTCATTTCCTTCCCATATAACTAATCGAAGCAATTCACCGCTCCCAGTCTATTTCACAGTCCAAAACTAATACAGGCGTGTATCTAGCTTTTATCTGGAGCCAGGGAACATCATACAGCACCAGTAAATGAGTGGCTTCGAGGTTAGAAAACTATGGATGAGATAATTACGGCAGGGGGAAAAAAGAAAGTACCAATACACCGGAACGCAGAGCAGAAGCACGGCAAGAAATCGAACATAGCAAAGCAAAGCCTGCAAGGCAAACGAGAGTCAAAGCAACCTCAGATCTCGCTCTCAGATCCCTCCGTTTCGGAAACGTTGGCGTCGAAGTCGACGACATTCGGTGTCTTCTTCGCCTTTTTTCCCACTCCATGTGTCTGCCCGTTATCAGCTTCCTGTCTAGCACGCTTGAGAGGCAATTGCGTCTCAGCCTCGATTAGGTGTTTGGGTCGAGCAGCAAGCAAAGCGTCATACAGCTTCTGATTAAAGCCGACGCATTGCAACGCCATAAAAGTCCACTTTGTGTCCCCATTGTTGTATAGCTTGCGCATTTTCCGTCTTTCGCCAGGGATGTTGGCTGATTCTGGAGTAGCCAATGTCATTCGGATGAGCTCCTCCCGTATCTGTAATAGAGGTGCTCGGTGAACATACTCAACTTCGTACATAGATTTAATCGTACGAGGTTTGGGAGGTGGCGAAAATCAAGAGTAGGAAAGTCACCCATCATGGCGCACTTAAAGGTACCCACATAGTGGACCTTGTGGCCGGCGCCATGGTAGAAGACCTCCTTTACTTGCCCAATTAAGTCCGTAATCTCGTTGTTAGAGGTCCAGCTCTCCGGCCCACCATTGCTTGCTACGTGGTAGATGGAAGCTGGAGACAACGCAAAACCGTGGAGGTCGGCATCAGAGTACCAAGCTATCCTATCGCAGAAGTACAGAATGCCGTCGGAAGAGCTAAATTCAGCGGAAGAATATCAGTTGGGTACAGGAAGCTATAATCAACTGTACCAGAGAGCTTTGGCCTCCTGCCGATAGCGCTATACGTCAGCGTCTAAAGTGGGATAATGAGGAATTCTTACGCTTGTCAGCGCTGCACTAGGGTCCCTGCAACGCTTGGGTAAACAGGGAACGAGAGAATGTCTGCTTGGCACAATGGATTCTGGCTGAGGAAGACTCGCCAACCTCCCGGAGCAGTCAAGCTGGTGAACGACAGCCACGTCATGGGCCGCTATCATCACTCATATGTGGATATTTACCCACACTCGCATCTCGCCGAGAAGAGGCTAAGGCCTAGAGAAAAGTCAGTACTGTTGATCAATAGAAGTTCAACGATACGAAGCCTTTCACCGCACCTGGCGGTAATCCTTCAACTGGGCCTTCTGGTGATTGATCTCTGCGACTTTAGCAGACAGCGCCTGCTTCAGCTCAGAGATTTGAGAAGTCTGTACGTAACGTTAGAGACATGAACAGTTAAAAGACTTGATGAGCTTTACCTGATCGTCATGCGAGCTTTCGGCCACTACGATCCTGGAGTTCAGCCTCTGCTTCTCGGAACGCAGATGCGTCAGCTCCTTTTTGCTCTATTTTCGGATTTAGGAATAATAGATGTCACAGCGATAGAGTATGAGATTACGTTGCAGCAATGGGTGTCGTCGGAACCACCTTGAGTGACCTTGTTAGTACGTAGATTATCCATTTCCCTTTGTAAAGTTTCATTTTTCTGAATGCGCGATCAACGCGCGCTGGAATATCCATGCCATAGAATTCGCACCTGAATGGTCTCTTCTAATTGGGCCGAAGTCTGCTTGAGCTTTGTCTCAAGGAGTTTAAACATTTCCGGCCCTAGCTTGGGATCCGATAACAAGCTCTCCATTTCAGTGAGGCTGATGGTTGGATATGTCGATCTTTGTGGTAGTTATCTATATATTTCTGCTTGCTATCATGTAAAAGAGACTGATCCCGTTCGATGGATGAGTAGGTAAAATTACTGCAACCTGCGAAGGGGAAAAGAGACAACCTCAGCCCTGTAAAGTTCATCAGAAATATACACGCGCTTGTCACAGGCACGTGGCTGTGACAGTCGTGTACAAGAAAAACGTAAATTAGAAATCGAATCCGCTTTACGTACATAGTCTGTAGAAAACTGCCTTGTTCAACGCGCATACTCAATCACTTGACGATCTCCTGGGCCGTCACAAATCCACGGTGCTCCTCCCTCTCAAGATTTCTTTGAAATCATACGAGAGGTTGTCATGTATAACGCGCAGTACCCCGCGTTGCGCGAATTCCGGATATCCTGGCTCCAGCTCAGAATAGAGAACTGGTGCAAGGAACTTGTCTCCCGAGTAAACGAATCGCAGCTGTTCCAAGCCGTCGAATTTCCGAGTTGACAACGCGTTCTGAAGGTCCAAACGCGCTGCAGACATTGTGAAGGCGGTATCAATGTGACATTGGAGTATTCGAAGAGATCCGACGGGAATCTGCGATAAGAGAAGAGGGACTATAGGTAGCGAGGGATTCCGAAGAATTAATGTGTGCAGGTTTGTACAAGTCTTCAGGGACATGTGGTCCAGAGCGTCTGAAAAATACGTGGACATTTGTTAGCAGGAGCCTCGCCAATGTGACCCCGGCACTCACCATAGCATGACGCCAGATCATAAGATTTAAATCCAACAAAGTACAACTCCAAGGACGTCAGATATGGATTTACCACCGTCATGTATTTACGAAGTTCAGACAGATATGATACATATCTGTTAAAGACTGACAACGCGAGTGATCGCATTGTCAGGCTGGAAACGGGGATAAGGATGGGGAGGAGCCCTTCATAGCAGTCGGAGGACCTAGATGGCAAGTAGGAGAGGCGGCTTAGCCGTGACCTGACATCTAAACACGGAGAAGTCTCTGGACCCTGGAAACTCTTGCAAAAATCCAGAGTCAAAGCGCGAAGAGAAGGGAGCCAGGTGAGGATCCCTAGCACTGGAGCTCTGGGTAGAGTGCAGTAGAAGAAACTTAATCTCCAGACGGATGGAAACCGCTGCAAGATGTTTATATCAAATTGGAAGCTAAACTTCCCATAGATATTGAGGAGCCCTATAGATGTAAGGTTTGGGAAGAAGGCCGTGCCTTCAAAAATGGGAAATGAATCCCAAGCGACCGGTTGATGTCTATGTCCTGATCCAAAAAGGACTGTTCGCATGTATGTAGCGTGCTCGGGTGCAAGTCGAAGGGCCAAACCGAACAGCTCACCCCTTTGCGGAGTTTCGAGGTGAATGTCGCGGTAGAGGTGGCGACGGCTCGCAAGACTCCAGGATCGACAGGTATTTGCACAAGCAGAGAGACTTCGTGGGTCCGATGCTAAAAAGCTGAGAATGTGATCATCCAGCTCGGGTGGCAATAGTTCGGCGAGAGACATGAAAAGACGTCAAAGCCTAGAAAAATGAAAGAAAACGTTCCACACTGGACATCGAATAAATTAGGCGTATCTACACGCACCAGTTCGAAGATGAATTTTAGTACCCTTCGCAAAGATGATGGAGTGAAAGACACGCCGTAATGGTAGAAGAAGACGATGCGCCTACCACGAGCTTGATGCCTGGCTATATACGTGGCTGACAGCGCGGCAGCGCCCATAGTAATCCGATCTGGACGCTTGTGGGAAGGTATGTCGGGAGAAGCTCAGCTAAGTAACATACCTCGTTCATGAAACCATTCCTCGTAAAATGATACAGATCTGGTTCCCTTGGCAATGAGTCTATGGTTCCTGTACCGGTAGCCTTGCTTCCAATGCAGAAATAATGTTTCGGAACGACATACGTTGGGATAATACGTTTCGCTCTCGAACTAACCCAAGGGTATAACTGGTTGCTGAAGCTTCGTCTTCGAAAAGACCAAGGCTACCATCGATCGACTTGAAACGTGGTTGATCCCTCGATAGGAATGTTTGCAAGTGCTAAGATCAGCGAACTCAATCTCCATCGTCACACTACAAATACGTTTAAGGCTCACCGCCTGTCACCTCCTCATGTTTGTTACTGTTGCTGCCACTAAAGAGTTTCCACGAAGTCAGTAGCACCCATCATCGCCATAAGCGGACTGCGATTACCTTGGTTTGGTATGCGTAGTAAAGTGACTGTGTTGTAAGCTGGGCGTTTTCGCAACCTTCACAATCCACATACTTTCCGAATACACCAAGCTGCCCTTTGTTGATCAAATAGTATGGCATTCGAATGGCCTGAAATGACGGGTCTAGTTGTGGAATAGGATGTGTCACAGGCTAATCTTTGTTTTTCATAATAGCGTCCGTAAACCCAGTTTGCCTGCATCATAGCGCGTGTATATTCAGAAAACAAAAAGCCAGCAGCAACGATGCGCATACTTCGAAGAACGCAGGGCCGTTGAAGCTGTTGACGACCGACAACGCTGATGAAGCAATTGGGTTCTAAGCAGCCAACACAGCCATGTCTTGAACCTCCCACTCTGACTACAAACATTAACAAGCTGGGCGGGAAGATAGATTTGAAGTAGGTGAGTTCGCAAATATTGCCGTATGTAGTTGACTAGTGAATGTGATGTATATGATGAGAGTGGTAGTGAACAAGTCGTGAGACTTGAGCCTTCAACTATTTATATCACTAGACCTCCCGAATCTGTCTGGATTAACAAGGAACGACGGCGTCTAACGAATCCAACGCGCGCCAAGTCAAAGGAACAGGTTTCTCAACGACTTTCTCGATGGTCCTATCTTCTACTAGCAATCGTACTTCATACATCATGTATACAAGAAGGTCACTAGGTAACCATACTCTCAGTTGTAGTGGTCGGGGAACCCTGCAATGTCCCGCATAGTAAAACAGCTGTAGTTTGGTCAAGAAAGTTTTCTATTTTGGCGACAAGACGAGCTATCGATCGATTTGATACAAGTACACAAGAGACAAAAAGGTGAGTATTATACAAAATCATGGTCCATATCATCAGGTATAAAGACTCCTAGGGAAGTCTTCAATGTTCCCCCCTGCCGCTCCTTCCTGCTCTTTACCTACGCATCCCAATGGCCTACACTCTCAAGGCTGAGAAACCCATAATGAACGGCGAGATCTCTGCCTGGATTGGAGGGCGCGGGAGAGGACGGGACCTCTTCCTGTGCTGAACAGGTTGAGGGGTGTCATGGACAATGATGGGCCGATCTCGCGACAGATCATCCGGTAGGTTGTTGACGGGGTGCATACTCCGCATGACTTCATTGTGCTTCTCATTGGTACCTGATTTCCACGAATCTCGCCCAGCTCGCATTTGGTCCGCAGGCCTTAATGCCTGAACCCCATGGCTCTGAGGAGGTACAAACCTTGGAGCTGATATGGGTTTAGGCTTTGGGACCTGCGGTTCAAATGCAGGGATTGGGAAAGACTGATGGTGACCACTTTGGTTATAGGCATGCAATGATGAGACTGAGACCGAGTTCGTATTGGGACCATCGTACGAGGAATACGGCGAACGTTGTTCATCAAGCGCCCACTGATTCGACGGTTTGTGGACGGCCACGGGACCATGACGACCATTAAGAATGGCCAGTAAAGCCATGGCCCTCTCATTGCTGACCCATCGTGAGCGAGAGGTTGAACGTGAGGTTGCCGTGGTGGCCAATCTGCGGCGTATGTTGGATGGCCGTGGTCGACCTGTGCCGATAGGGGGCTGAGGGGCGCGTTTTCGGACCTCGATAATATGGTTCTTCTCGGAGGCGATTGCCAGGTATCCCGTCTCCTTCGCCCATCCATGTGGCGAAAATTGATTGTACGAGGGCGGGGGCGTATAGAACTCGTTGCCGGTCAGTTCCCACTGCAATGTGAGCAGAGGGGGACTGATTGCATTTGGATGCATGGGTTTGGGAGCGACAATAGGGAGGGGCTCAGGAAGTGGATACGCGGGAGGCGGCGTGGGGCGTTTGGTAAACTTTTGTCTTTGAGCATTCTTTTGATCGAACATGTCAGACATTGACTCGGAGGAGCGGACAGCACTGCGCTCAAGGTCGTCCTAAAATGAATGTAAGTCATTATGTTTTGTTCTACGATGAGGAGACTGACCCATTGACGCGTCGAGAACGCGTAGGGAGGTTGGCCACCGGCCGCCACATCAATATATTGGAAGAAGGTGGCGTTTGGAGGATGAGTATTGGTGTTCATGATGAACGTGACGATGGTTTGACTGGTATGACGCGTGGAGAATGAGGTATGTTCTCGCAAGAGAAAGAGATGGAAGGAGGTGCGAATGAGAATGGGGGAACAAGGAACAAAGGACTCTGGACAAGTATCGATTACGGAGGATGCCGAACCGCTTGCAGCCCGTGGGCCATGTCCTTCGTGACTGGTTTCTAATCTCTTTCCTTCTTCCGCCTCATGTATTCGCCGGTATCTGGCTAACAATTCACTCTATTGGATCCCGCAAGGTCCCATGGTTTCCCTCTTACGCCACTCGATGAGTATCACGGCCCTCACTATTCGATCTTGAGTGTCCTCAGCTTACTCTCAAATTTCTACATGACCCCATGCAGGTTTCCCGCAAATCCAGAGCTGTTCATCTATGTGTGGAAGCAGTCATGAAATGTCCTCATAGGCGCCCTTTCCTTCTTCACGGCTGACAACGCTAACAAGACAATTAATCTAACAAGTCAGCGCAGCCATGTCAACCCGCAACACAGACGAGGATATATATCGGTCGCACTCGCTCCTGACTGCTCTATCACAATCAATCTCTTACCGGCTCATATACTCTACTATCTCAACCGTTTGATCCCGATCTCAGACTCATTCGTATCTGCGCACTCGTCTTCTATGTCCTATCGCTTTCAGCCTGCTTGTTCTTGTGCATCAGTGACCTCTTCCTACTCACCTCTCACTATGTTCGGTTCTCGGTACGCGTCCCCCCTTGACTATCCTCGCAAGCTTATTAACATAAGCTACAGAGGCAGACAGTATGGACATAGGCACTTCTGAATGACCCCTCGAGGCGGTTGTGGGTGTCGATCTGGTTCGTGGATGTCGTCTTCGAAATCGGGTAAGTTCAATTCCAGCGTCCGACCACCTTCCATACCTTTCTTTCATGACCGCGATAGTCGGGATCATGACATCTGGATCATCGCAAACACACCAAGGTCGCTATCCAAATGCGGAGGCTGCTGGCGTTGCTCAATGTGCTTCGGATATTGTACTGTTGGAGATGAGAGCTGATCTCACCATCAAGGGGGGTGCGTATTACTTTGTCATGGGTTTCCGCAGTCCTTCTTGTTCGTTGCTTCGCTTCGGATATTGTAATATTATCCCTTGACCATTTCATCCTTCCGGGTCCCTTTTTATATGTGTATCAAAGCCCACTTGCCTGCTGGGTTGAGTAGAGTCTTGTCGCTCTCTTGATTTTTCACACATTTCTTTCTTTCCGCTTGTTCTCTCAGTATTATCTCGCCGTTGATATGGTTCTCTTTCTCCCTTTACCCCTTTCTTGTACTCTCGTGGTCTGTCGTATCCCTATCATTGTGCCCGATCATTGTATATACTTTACTCATTCATCTCGGAAGGAATCAAGTTTTGATATTATTTTTTTGCGCTCTTGGCACGATGTTGACAGCCTTACAAATGTGGCGGAAGAAAAATAGTAATAAGCAGAGCTCCAAGGCAATGACCGCAACGCTTAATAGTAGCTCCTCGAGTAAGGAATCGCCTCTCACATTTCCCAACGGATTCTCCAGAACGCATCGCACACCACTGAGCAAGGCTTGAACATCTTCATTTAGCTTCTACCACAAAAACTATTGTTTGTCGTCCGATCGCCGGGACAAACTACTCTATAAATCGAGCTCAGGCTTGCGTGTTTTCGAGTCATCTCACCTTTATCTCAACTTCATTGAATGCAACGCAGCACTCGATGCGCCACCACCATATTTCATACCTCTGCCTCTCAACATGGAACATATGAACCTCGCACCGCCTCCAAAAGCGCTATTCATCTAGTCTTTGTGATGGGCGATGACATGACGGACAGGAAATGAAGTCCTCCCAGTGATACATCCCCCAGTGAGAGGCCCCTAAAATAGGACAAGTCTAGTACTCCATATATTGTATAACATCGGGACGCGTTGTGTATCACGAATGAACCTATACTCAGCCCAAGAGCTCGCGAGCCCGTTCTGGCCCATGCTGTATCCAACAGTGATTCCTTCACGAAGATTACAGTCAGCAAAATATCCCACACTATGACGCGAAAGCCCACAAATCCTCGGTTTTGAGAGAGCTAACATGAACAACTACCAGTCCTCGGGAAGCACTTCGATGAAGCCGGTTGTTGGTTGCCAATTGATTCAAGGAAGCAGGATAGACCAGCTCGAAGGAATGCAGGTCTTGAAAGCGAGCAGCAAAAAGAGCCTCGTTAGACAATTCCCACTCTGAAGCACCGAGGAGTTTAAAAGCATTCCAACCGGTGAAAGAAATCTTGCGAAGGAAAGGAGATGAGATGGTCGACAGAAGATTGACGAGGCCAGGGACTTCTTCTGGACACAGTCTTTGTAGAAAGACGCCAATATGCTGGACATTTGTTTTGTGGGATAAAAATAGGAGATCTAATAGAGATGAGAACTACGTAGTTGTGGCACAGACGACGACCTACGTGCAATCCATTTGGTATTGTCAAGACAGATATAATCCTCTTCGAGTTAGGGACAGATGGCTGCAAGCAAGGATGATGCCATCTGAGCATCCCTCGCAATGGTCGGTGCCGATCCAACAATCTCCATATGAAAACGTCTGACCCCAGAAATCAGCCATGGCATCTGCAAGAAGCTTCTGTACAGTAAATACCAAGCTGCCTTGTCTTTGGGTAGTCCCCCATGGTCCGCAGAAATAATAGACGTAGTGGTTGTGACCAAGACCGATAGGCGACAACGCGATCTGTGATGTAGGCCGTCGACGTCGAGAAGATCATCTTGTATAGGTGGCTTGGTGAACTCGAGAAAGACCAGAGATGGTAGTGCGCGTAGGATTCGATGTACGTGACGAACGTGCATACATACGTTTATAGTCAGCATGGTGATTTTTACATACAACGCGAGGGATTTGGGGAAATATCTATCATCCGTGAATCGACCGGAGAAGCCTAATTGTATCGCTTGAAGACATGGTAGATGTCCGGGAAGAATAGTAAACACTGATGATGAAATGCCAGAAAGCGGACTATCAACGCACGTATGAAATACCAGAGATGGGGGTTGCTTCTTGAAGTGGTGAGGAGACGGCTGAGCGAGGATGATTTCAGTAAGTTAACCAATCGGAAGAGAGTGTAGCGAGTCCCAGGAAGCCGTGCTTTACAGACAAGAGCACAGCTCCGAAGCATGTCGCAGAACACAATCCAGGTTTACATACTTGAATGGCGGCGGTAGACGATGACACTTCCACGGTAATCGAGGATGCCACTTGTTCAACGATTTCAATAGGGGAAGATAGAGCAGACCCCGCTTCCAATAGAGACGTCATCTCGTCAGTCTGCGGGCTTGTAGATGGTATGGTGAGCAGGGCTATTGAGATGCTCATCGACATTGGTAGGTGCATTGATATTATCGCGTTGGATCTTAATACAGCCCGGCGCACGCCGTGAATTCGTGTTCTCCAAAGTACATGTCCAGATTGCGGCTGGGCCGTACGTTAAACTAAGTTGCTTAGACATCGGCTCTAAGTGAAGTGATGAAAGCAGTAGTGAACAAGTGACCAAGCTCGGCGTGCAATGGCAGCAATGCTGTGAACCTTCAACCATTTTCTTTCAATACTAGACCTCCCGAATCTGGAAAATTAGCGTCCAACCAATCCAACTCGTGGACGCGCGCCAAGTCGAAGGACTGCTGAAAGACTTTCTCAACGACTTCCTCGATGATCTTATTATCCGCTGGTAATCGTGCTTCATGAACCTGGATTGCGCCGTGCAATCCTATGTAACAGTTCTGTGTAACAGCCCTGCTGAAAAAGATCATACCACTCGTGACCTTTTGCGCATTGGCTTCGGGGTGTTCCATACCTCGCGTGATATACGCAAAGGTCACCAGATGACCAGACTCTGTGGTTGGGAACCCTACAATGCATTGCATAGTATTGACACATCCATCGTTGGGTCAAGAAAAATATTTGATCTGGCGACAAGACGAGCTATCGATCGGTTTGATACAAATACAATGGAAAAGACAAAGACAAAAAGGTGAGTTCTGAACAAAATCATGGTCCGTGTTATCAGGTATAAGACTCCTAGGGAAGTCTTCAACGGCCCCCTGCCTCTCCTTTCTACTCTTTACCTACACATTCCAAACGCCCATGACGAGCGGCGAGACCTCTGATTGGATCGGAGGGCGCGGGTGAGGACGGGACCTCTTCGTGCGTTGAATAGGTTGAGGGGTGTCATAGACGATGATGGGTCGATCTCGCGACAGGCCATCGGATAAGTTGTTGACGGTGCGCATACTCCCCATGGACTTGTTGTACTTCTCATCGGCGCAGGATTTCCATTTCTGCCCAACTCGCATCCGGTCCGCAGACACTGATGCCTGAACCCCATGGCTCTGAGAAGGCACTCCCCTCAGAGTCAACATGGGTTCAATTATTTGTGTCTGCGGTCCAAACGCAGAGATTGGGAAAGGCTGTGGATGACTAGTTCTGTCGTAGGCATGTGACGACGATACCGAGGTCGCCTTGGGACCGTCATACGAGGAATATGACGATTGTCGTTCATCGAGCGCCCACTGGTTGGCGGGTCTGTTGATGGCCGTGGGACCGTGATGACCATTGAGAATGGCCAATAAAGCCATGGCCCTCTCATTGCTGACCCATCGTGAGTGATACGTCGAATGTGAGGTTGCCGTGTTGGCCAATCTGCGGCGTGTGTCGGATGGTCGTGGTCGACCTGTGCCGATGGGTGGCTGAGGGGCCCGTTTTCGGACGTCGATAATGTGGTCCTCGTCGGAGACGATTGCCCCCGTCATATTGACCGGTTCATGTGGCGACGATTGATTGTACAGAGGTGGAGGCGTAGAGAACTCATTGCCGGTCAGTTCCCATTGCAATGTGAGGAGAGGGGGACTGATTGCATTTGGATGCATGGGTTTGGGCGCAGCAATGGGAAGGGGTTCAGGAACAAGATACGCGGGAGGCGGGGTGGGGTATTTGGCAACCCTTTGTCTTTGAGTCTTCTTTTGATCGAGCATGTCAAACATTGACTCGGAGGAGAGGACAACACCACGTTCAAGGTCATCCTGAAATGAATGTCAGTCATTAGGTTCCGTTCTACGATGAGGAGACTGACCCATTGACGCGTCGTGAACGCGTAGGGAGGTTGGCCACCGGCCGCCACATCGATATATTGGAAGAAGGTGGCATTTGGAGGGTGAGTATTGATGTTCATGATGAATGTAATGATGGTTTGACTGGTATGACGCGTGGAGAATGAGGTGTGTTCTCTCAAGAGGTGGAGATGGAACGAGGTGCTAACGAGAATGGGGGAATGAGGAACAAAAGACTCTGCACCAGTATCGATTACGGAGGATGCCGAACCGCTTGCAGCCCGTGAGCTATGTCCTTCATGACTTCATGACTGGTCCCTGATCTCTTTCCTTCTCTTCATGTATTTGCGTGCTTCAATACATAAATATACTTGCCCCCGATGATTGTGACGGATGTTTTGGTACCTGGACTTCCGTCTTCAAGTTTCACCGATCACACGAATGACGGTCCTAAGACATGTCGTGAACATTTTTGTAGCGTTATCATGTTGCTACAACTAATGATTCGATACACATGGAATGGCATCGCTTACATACTAGCATATCCAATTAACAACACAATCATTCAGACGTGACGCTTCCTGAACAAAACCTTCGCATCGCCGGAGGGATGTATGAAGACCTAAGAGGATACTTTAGATCCCGATAACTCGAGACATCTGAGGTCTCAAATGTGACGATCGATCGGCATATTACCAGGTTCGTTCAGCCTTTCAAAGAAGCACGTCAATATATGTTTGGAACTATAGCAATATCGTGAAGACACTTTCACACCCAATGAGCAAGAAGGAAGGTATCATCCGTTTGTGGTGCCTATGCTATAGTACAATGTTGCAAGAAATTACTGGGAATATTGGATACGTAACCGATAGGATGTGGAAGCAAGAATTGTCGTGGTATAGTACAAATGTAGTGCAAAAAGGTTCCACGAGATGCGTCCGTATCGCTTTGAGTAATGCAAGCTATCTGAAGACGGCATTTACTCGAATTCTGAATCATCATCAAAGGAATCGAGGTTGATAACCTCTACACCCTCATGCTCCGCTGGGTCGACCTGCTCCTCAGCGATACCAATAGCCCCCTCTTGGTCTTTAGCCGCATTATTGTCAGGTCCAAGGAAGGCCAAACAGCCCGGAGAACATCCTCGCCATTTCATTGGTACGCCGTATTTCTCACATGCTCTCTGTCCAGCTACCACACCTTCCCAAGTGAACCATTCCTCCGCATGGTTCACAAACACGGACTTGTGAGTATGTGATCGGTTGGGACATACGCCAATTCCAGGATGCTCCTCCAGTATGGTTTCATCACGTCTCTTCTCCTTCACCTTAGGCAAGAGGAATGAGAACGATTCATCTGCGGGGGACTGTCTGCGAGCCCTTTTCGCAGGAGAAGGATGCATGTCGGCGTCAGGTCGAGGGATGATATGAGGAAGACATATGTGTAGTTCTGCCACCAGGTGATCAGCCATGATGTCGGGGATGACAGCAAAGCCACCCATGTGTTCCAGGACGGTCTCTTCTATGGAAGTTGGGTTCGAAGGTTGCGCTGGGGATAGAAGGAAGCGATGGACGTATTCCTTGAGTGTGGGAATGACAAATAAACTAACAGTCTTTGAGACAATTCGTGCACATTTTGGGTGAAGAAGTTCTGGCGGTGGTTCCATCCATTTGTTCATCGAGCAATCCAAAGAATCGAGTTCCATGTCGAGCATCTCGGCAGGGAGGAATGTCAACATGTTATTGCAGATATTGAGATGTCTCAGATTCCGCAGGTTTGCGATCTGAGGTGGAATGTGCGTCAAAAGGTTGCCTCCTAAAAGGCATTGCTTAGTACGGAGGTAATAGATGTACAAACCGGCTTTACTTACGAAGACTCAGGACTACAAGGCCTTGTACCAAGAAAAGCTGAGGTGGCAAACTCGCAATTTGGTGGTTACCGAGGAACAACTGGATCTCATTTGGCTGACGACCAGTCGTAAAATGATTGAAAGACGTGGTTTTCATTAATCCGATCCTAGAGGATGCGAATGCTGCGCTTGCTGGAGCAGTCGCAGCTCGTGTCATAGTGCGCCTAGGCGCAACGTACGCCGCGGTGGCGGGACTCATGTGACGGAGTGGATCCTGAAGTACGACCAAATTCGCAAGATCGCCAATTGCTGGAGGTATTGCTGTCAACCCCTTCTGCCCGGGCCTAGGAGGAATACTGCCAAACTCACTGATCAGTGTAGCACTTTGAACGGTCGCGTGAACGAAAAAAACCGTACCTCAGGTCGATAATACCGTTACCATTGTCGATTGCTTCAGACACTTTTGCCTCCCAGAATTCATGCTCGTCGAATTCAGTGTCTCCACTTTCACTACATGTATCCAAATCAATGGATTTTGCATTGGACATGCATACTGAACTGGATGATTGCACGCGTTGCTTCGCATCAAACGCGTCAACGCTGCGTCCCAGCGAGTCTAGCTCAGCAAAACGTCTAGCTTCACGCTTCTCATAGAGTTTCGGAGGTCGTGTGGCTTTGGCGGAGGCAGCAAACGGGTGAACAATGCCAGGAGAAGGCGGAGAGCTTGCAAGAGGGCTCAAAGTCGGTGAAGATGGTGGCGAGGAGTCTACAGGCCCAAAAAAAGGCGACGATGCAGGAGAAGAAACGGGCGACATATCAGAATCATCCCAGGACGACATTGTAGAAGGGAAACAAAGGAGAGTGGTTAAGCGGAGAGGCAACCAAGTAAATAAGTGAGTAGCTAAGTAAAGCGGTTATTTAACGAAGTCGACTACCTAGTCTCGCTTGTATGTTAAATAACTACGACGCGGTCACATGATGCGACACGAATAGGTTGTCGCGTCGCGAAAGTGATTCGTTCATTTTTAAGTTCCCTCTCATCACCACTTAACATTGGCGAAAGCAAAAGCACACACCGCTTTGAATACATACGCTTCCCGGACTTTAGGCGTGTATCAGTTCCTCCTTAAGAGTTCGTATGCTCTTACTAGATGGCTAACCACAGGGTTGAACACGCTGCCATAAGCGAGCACTTGTTGAACCTGGTACGGTGAATAACATCGATCCTGACGGGTGTCGTTTGACTCATTTCTGCTGAATTTAGGTAGCATGGTTGAGCTTGGTGATGGTTCAGCGTATGTCTTAGTGCAACATGCATATCTCAATAGCATACTATCCCCTTCAGTAGTCGTGCAAACCTGGCTGTATGCGCTGTTCAAGAAGAGTACGATTCCCACTATTCTCAGTACGTTCGTAATGGTCAAATTGACATGTCCCACCTGTGATCGTTCAGGCCGGTGTCTAATCTATGCCCTGGCGGCAGCATATGTCATCCTCGGCGCGTTGACATTCACGTCTATCTACATGAGTAGGTCCCAACTACGGAGTTAGTTCTTTCCTCCGACGATCAGAATGGCAGAATTTTCTACTCGCTGGACTTTGACAGTCGTCGGCTATTCTCCTGTCTGTACTTCCCTGAGGCGAGACCTGGAAGTGGGTCCATCCATCAAGGACCTGTTCTACTCGGCTTCTACGTCAACAAACATCCCTCCCTTCATCGAAGCTACGCTGTATGCGAGCATGACGTTGTGACCTAGGTCTATTTCACTCGCTGTTGAGTTACCCACTTCTAAGTTGCCCTCTCTGGCCTATAGCGTCTTCATGGTAGGAGTGCTGACGTACAAGACCTTCTACGATCCCCACGCATGCCAGAAACGCACCCTCGCCATGGTTCTAGTTCAAAACTCATCTCTCTGCTGCCTCATGTAAGATAGCATCACTGTTCGCATACTGGGCTTGCCAAGTGTACCTCATTTCTGCGACGTTGTAGAATCGCTTTCTTCAGCATTGTAAATGCTTTGCTTATCACAGTAATGCCTCAATGACCTCATACAAGCTGGAGTCGGCCTCGGTATCGCTGTTCCTAGCATTGCTAGTTCGGGCATGCTGCTCGATTTGAGGGATGCGGACAGAAATAGAGGCAGGATAACGGACATTCAAGAGTCCCAGTATCACAATCGGAGACAACATTCCATATCGAATAGATACCAAACATCATTCACCAGCGCGCTGAGGTGGGCTTTGTCCACCTTTACGTGGTAGGAACAGAATCTGAAGGGAGAGAACCGTTCTAGAGCCTTGTAACGGACCACACCAAGAGATAGTACTTCCCCTCTATGACTGGGGCAAATTCGTGTCTTTCGACTTCATGCAACATTGCCCAAGCACGGACTTCGTCTTCCTGGAAGACCTGTTTCTCCCACATCTCCACCCAGCTCTCGGGACAGTGACAGAACATAGCTTGGTTTGGTAGGCCCAATACTGGGACTTCGGTACGATATTCTTTCTGGAATCTACCAACGTGCGAGCCGAATATGATCGATCCGGGTTCAGCGGAGAGGAGCGAGGCGACTTTTTTCGCGAGGTGAAACTGTTGCTCCTCGTCAAACAAGTGAAAGAACGAGGAAGTATGGATTGCGGACAGGCAACCCAGAAGCGGCGTCAAGTTTATCAAGCTTGATAGAGGTGGAAGCTCCGTTGTCGTTTCCACTTTACCGGGTTCGTCTGAGACAAACTTGATATCAAAGACATCACCTGGTATGAAGGGGACAGGAAAGGTCTCCTTGGTGTCCTTGAACAGCTGATGTCCAACCTCCCAAAATCCTGATGCATTCGGTGAGATTATACGACGACTCATAGTAAGTAGCGTTACGAACCTGGTCGGAGGTCGGATGCCAAAGCTTGTTGTACTGGGAAACCATCTGCTACTGCTTTTCTGACGTCATTACCAACTATAGAACACGATCTAGGAATGAGTGCACATTTCCAATATCGCAGCGCTCGGCCTTTTGAATAAGCCTCCACCTTCAGACTCACAGCAACATCCAAGGTCTATGAAAAGCGCTCCGGGACGCTCTCGGCCAAGTTGGAGTAAGTCCTGGTAGGCAGGGAAGCGAGAGATCTTTAATCTAGGTGGATGAACGGCCGGCAGGACAGCCTCATGATCAGACGTAAAGCAGGAAAGGAAAGTGAATATTTACTTCGTGAAGGAGAATCGGCGAATGCATGGATAAGGATAGACCTATCGAACACCTAGTGTTCAGCGACTGGGGTTCATACGTGCTTGCGTGAACACGAGACTCACAGCATACGCATCAGCTTGACTCTTCAAGATATGCCGCTTCAGTTCCTCTTCATCTTGGATCTTCGTCCAGGATTTGAAGAACTCGAGTTCATCCGGTTCGAGAGAGTACAACCTCTCATCGATTGGTGCGACGACGAGCTCCTCAGACTCAACTTTGGTCTCATGTTCCGTGCTCATACTGTACTACGAATTCAGGTGACGATGGAGGATACGATGTGGGTCTAGAGTACGTGCAGTCTGAACTCGAACGAGTCCTCTGTATATATACGTAACGTGTGGACTACCAGACTTTCGGCCACCATTACGGGCCGTATTACAGTATACACATTGCGATATGTCGGCGTATTTGGGTTTGAATCAGTGGGAGTGAAATATAAACAGTACCCTGGGAACGTCGAAACATGAAGAAACCTAGTTTTAGCAACTAGGACCAACTCACCTAAGTATTCTACTTCGGACGCTGAGATAGTAACTATAGGACAAGAGCAGCCAGGTCTTTGAATCCTCCAGTAGTCTTTGGTGTTAGAGGCGTTCTTTAGGCTTCACTTTTCATTCGTCGCTCGCTTCTCCGCCGCCTGCACGCCTCTGCACGCATCTCGTGCAATACGATCGATCCATAGTAGTACCCACCTCTCTCTGACGCTCATCGAGTAAGTTCCAAGCTTCAATGACTGAAAGAAAATGATGTATCATGGTTGCTGGGTCTTACTGTTCCTTACATAGGCATAATTTTGTACTTGTTTCACCTCAAATGCCAGTGCAACCAAACTGCTCTCGATCGGAGGTCAAAGTCAAGTGTCTTATTCCCCACGGAAATACTATTGAAATTGACAAAAGACATTGTCCATACTTACTGGATGATCAAATGTTGGAGAACTCAGAACGGCAGCATACACATTTTCAGCAAAGACGGGATCCTCAAACAGAGCTGATTCCAGCAAGTCGAAATCAAGTACGGGAGCGGCTGCCGCTGCGACCACGACCACGATAGCCAGAGTCTCCGTGACGCCTCTTCGTGTTCTACAATGAGTGGTCAATATAGGCGTGAAATTTCGGTGTGGGCAAGACATACTCTGTTCCTGCTATCGCCACGGCCCCTCGATCCAGAGCCATGTCTCCTGGCCTCGAGGTCTTCCCGACGAACGTGGCTACGTCCACGAGAACCGGAGCCGTGACGCCTCTTCGTCAACTATCAAGGGGTGTCAAAACGGTGCACTCAATAAGACTAAGGACATGCTCACCTCGTCTCGTCGAACATGGCTGTTTCCTCGACCACGGGACCCGGAGTCACCATGGCGTCTCGCCTCGATCTCCTCCCGACGGACATGGCTTCGTCCGCGAGAGCCAGAGCCATGACGTCTCTTGGTCAACTAACAACATGTTAACGCACAGCGTCTCGGATGTTATGATAGAAAAACCCACCTCCTCACGACGGCCGTGACTATTTCCGCGACCTCGAGATCCAGAGTCACCATGACGTCTTGCCTCGATTTCCTCCCGGCGGACGTGGCTGCGTCCACGAGATCCGGAACCGTGACGTCTCTTTGTGAGCTGTCGGACATGTAAATTGTGAGTGAGAAAGAAAAAATCGAGAGAACTTACTTCTTCACGGCGACCGTGGCTATTGCCCCGTCCACGAGAGCCAGAATCGCCGTGACGTCTGGCCTCGAGCTCCTCACGTCGTACATGACTGCGTCCTCGAGAACCTGATCCATGGCGCCTCTTGGTAAGCTGATAATTTTAACGTTAGTTGACTATTATTTAAAGCCACCAAAGAACATACCTCATCCCGGCGTCCATGGCTATTGCCACGGCCTCGAGAGCCTGAATCACCGTGACGCCTAGCCTCAATCTCTTCACGACGGGTATGGCTGCGACCACGGCTCCCACCACGAGAACCGGAACCGTGACGCCTCTTGGTAAGCTAAGATAATATGTAAACATGGGAAGAGACGGTGCATGGATAACAAAACCTTACATCGATTTCCTCGCGGCGACCATGACTATTACCGCGGCCCCTCGAACCAGAGTCACCGTGGCGTCTCGCCTCGATCTCACGGCGACCGCTGCTGCGACCGCGACTGCCACTGCCATGACGAGGCTCGCGAGCTTCGAAGCGGAGTGTGCTTCTGCCACGAACGGCAGGTTCCGCAACCTCGCTTACGCCAGAAATAATGGCGTCTCGAACAGTAAGACCCGCAACGTTGACCTGTAAAACGGTAGGTATATCGTTAGAGAAAATTCTAGTGAAGTGGCGGGAAAAGAAGCTAGATTTACCGGAATGGCCGCCGCCGAGGTCATAACGGCGGCGAGGACAAAGAAAACGAAGTTCTTCTTGAATTGCATGATGAACTACTCGGATGAGTGTGTAGAAGTTGGTGAAGTGAGAGCTTTTGGTTCAATCGAGTATGTTGCAGCTGTGAGGCTGAGGGATATAGCGGGTTGTGAGGCACTTTTATACCTGCATTGAAGATGCCAAGAGAGGTGCAGTGACTTGTGCAAGAAAAGGCGTTTTCAATTTCTGACACAACCCTCACGTCAACGACATACATTCGCTCGCAGCAACATCTTGGCATTGGAAAATTCAATCCACTCCACACGTGTATAAGGATAGAAATGCACCCGAGTCCGCAAGGTTGATTCATCTGACAACCTTGGCGTGAGGAGTGGAAAGGTAAAATCGGGTACAAAAACAAAGGTCACAGAACCTCTAAAAGTATCGTGATCAGTTTGAAATAGTAATACTTATGTGGTGAGGAATGCAGACCTATACCTCAGGGATATTGGACCATATAATCGTTCGAAAACCTTCACTCGAAGTCGAATGATCCAGATGATTCACATTCCACAATGGCTGCAAAACCTCGACATGGTAATCAAACCATATATTCGGTCGATCAAGAACCGCTGCGGATGTGTGTCAGCAAACAGGGCGACAATGTACCGTTTCCACGTCTTCGTGCTTTAAAAAGAGCCTTGATCATGCTACAGCCATAGTGTGCGAGAACCACTATGTTCTATCTTGAGGATGGATGACTTGGCGATCGATTTCAGGGCTATTTTCCTGCTGCGCATGCAGGATGAGAGAAAGAAACTATGCAAGCGCTTGATCAACGGAGGCAATACAGCGCCCGATCAAGGCATGTAGGTTTACCGCCTTCTTTATTTATTTCTGCTTCTTCAGTGCTCTTATCACGATCGTTGAACCTGAATGCGTGATTACTTACCTGATGTGCGCGTATAACAGAGAATTCAATCAATAGGCCTCGAGTTCGTCCTCGTAGGGGTAAGGATGAGATAATTTATTTCCTCATTCTCACATCGCTGTCGTATTAGCAGACGAACAACACCATCCTGTGCCTTTGCACCCGGTAGCCTGGGTACTGATGCTTACTTGACGGTTGTCGGAATCCATGGGACTGGGTAACACGAACGGATGCAATGACTTCTAATCCGCCCAACTGGTGCCGTTGGGTAACGTTGCCATGGTTCATGTTCAGGACTTCCTTTCATTCCTACACACGGGGCCGACGCTGCTTTAAAATCAACCACATACAAGCAAACTGGGCAAACTTGACCGAACAGGACTATTGTTGGGACCAGGTCTTCCGCGGCCTGAATTCCACCCGAGGCGACGTCCCTGGTGCATTCGGGTGTAGTGCATGCTTCAAGAGGCCACAACGTCAAGAACATTATATTCTCTCTTCCTGCCAGGCCTCTGACATTTCTAACTTACTGACCATATAGCGCGAGCAAGTTCCATGCACCAGCGGGATGTCATAATATAGACTAATCCCGTCGAAAGCCTCGTCATTAGTTTGAGGGTCTCATATTTGAATAATCATCTCACCGGAGCATGCTGAATGTGAAGAAGTACTCCAATTAGCTGCGCGTACGCCATTGCGCCAAGTGTTTTGCATCAAGTACAAAACATGTGCTCAGTTGTCGTCAACAACCATCCAGCAGAAACTATTGGAAGGTTGCAATGGACTGCGTTGTCTATGACAGGAATCACGCAACATCGTCTGACCACTCCGTGGCTATGGTTGGTGATAAAACTACTAGCATGTATTAGTAATTGCTCCGCTGCTTTAGCAGAATGAATGAGATCTACCGCGGAATTCTCAGAACGATATGTTCTATTTACGGTGAGCAACAACGAGATGGTGCGCTTCACAATGGAGTGGAATAGCCCTCATTACGAGCGAGAGTATCCTGTCATGACTTGATCCATTAGCGGTCAATAACTAACAAATAGTCTGGCGCATATGGACCCCTGTTTTCAAGAAAGACTTGCGTGAGAAGCCAAGAGCTCGCGACCGCCTTTGTACGCACACTGTCCTGAAAATAGCGACCATCGGAGGTAGGATGCCGCGTGAGGATATCCCTCGTATTGAGATGACACGGCTGACACCATTTGTCAGCATATTAGGAATATCTGAGGCTACGGAATAAGCCATGAAGTATCAAGAACAAGAAAACAATACCACAAGGACATACTTCAGAGAGAATGTCGAGAATGACTGTTATCACCGTCACGATCGCATGCAGGCCCTGTATACTCGGTAAAATGGAAAAGTCATCAAAGAGGGAAGGTATTGCGAGGCTTGAATGTAGCCAGATTCTCGCCTACATAGCCTAAATGCTGCATAAGACTACTAAGACTGAGCGTACACGAGATCATGTACATGTGGATGCTGCATGTTCAAGTTGAACGTTGAAGCAGTGTAGCGCCCACATGCTAAGAATGTGTACGTGACTGCTCTAGTGCAGGCCCCCTGACAATTCCCCTATACTTATGTCCGATCGGTATGAGGGTAAAAAGAGCCGAAAATTTCGATTTTCTTCGATCCTGGTGAGGGGAAAATGAGCCAAAAAGTCGTCACTCACCGATCTCCAGTGAGGGGAGGACCGGCCAGAAATACGGCGTGATCGATCCCCTATGAGGGGAAAAATTGCCAGATTGGAGGCCGGCGGTGACCTGTCCTCCGTCGTTCCTCACTCTTGAAATTCTCGGGGATGACTGATGCGGCCGCTGATACGTTCCAGGAACTTCGAGGTGATGGAGTCACCGCCGTCGTCACCGTCCGTGTGCTTCGTACTTTACTCAAACCAGCCAAAACAAATGGCACCGGCTACAGGTGCCTGGGCCATTCTGAAGGTACTTAAAGGGGAGGCATCTAGTGTGGCCTTGAGGATGTTGACGAGGAGGATGCGTAGTAACCTTTTGATGACTGCTGCGATTTTTTTTGCGATTTTTTTTCGAATTTCTGCGATTTTTTTCGTTTTTTTGTATCATATATCCTATATGAGGGTAATTTGGACCCACTTTAGCGGCCCCGATCCGGAATGAGGGGAGAACTGGGTGAAATCCGTGAGGGTAATTCAGGGGGCATATGGATCGGACATATATGGGAGTTGTCAGGGGGCCTTCTAGTGCTCATTTCGGACAGCGACCATGATCTTTGAGTACTTGAGTGCCAACGTCCAGCCCGCTTGTGTCGATCCACATCGATGAGGGTCACAAGGCATGATCTCCAAGTCAAGTCTAGAGCCATATCCATCATTCGAACACCCTGCATGAGACAAACCCTCCCCCAGATCTATACTGTTGCCAGAACCAGCCCGGCAGGTGCAGTACCGAACGCAGACCTCATGTTAGATAGCATGGGACCTAATAAAGAGGCTCTGGACTTTTGCGTCCAAATGGACCCCTCACCTCGCCACCCTTAGAGCATCAACTACATAAATCGTAGGTGTTTTTCAGCGACGTTTAGTGCTACCATGTAAGACGTTCTGTTATCTAGCATCTACTATGCTTCCAAAAGGACGAGAGCTTCCTCCAGAACTCGATGAATACCTCATGAATTTCCTGGCAAATGATCCGGGTTCGTTACGAGCATGTGCACTGACATGCCGAGCTTGGTTGGTAGCCAGCAGAGAGATTCTATACCAGGATGTAACGATCGAAAACGAACAACAGTTCGAGCGTTTCGAGGAAACAATTACAATGTCTCCCTACATTCAAGAATGCGTTCGCATCCTGCGCATCGACAGGAGCAGACGGAAATACGAGCTCAATTACTCATGGGTCAATAATAAGCTCTCTCCCATCCTTCCCAAACAATTGAAGAAATTGCATACGCTGGAACTAAAACATTTGGAGGAACGGTGGAAGTCAAATTCCTTCGATAACCTCTCATTATTCACTTCAGTGACAAGACTGTCTCTCATATCATGCGGGATGTCGCCCACTGAGTTGTACGGTCTGATCGGCGCATTTCCGTCTTTACAGCATCTTTATCTCGAACATTTTATAGAGTTATTCACAGATCATCTTCGATCTGACGCCTCTCCACCCCGGAGCCCACTACGCCTTACTCGCTTGACGATCTTTGCAGAGGATCTTCCTCACACCAAGGATGAAGACTTCTTCGACTGGGTTCTGAGCACGGAGACAAGGCATACGCTTCGAGATCTGAAGCTTGTGATCGGGAAGAGGGATATTGACCAAAGAGCTTGCTTGTTGAAAGCAGTGGGGTCGAATCTGGAACATCTTGAACTCAAGTTTGTCAGGCGATTCGGACGATATCACGAAGATGTTCCCGGTAGGCATGCTTCCAGTGCTGAATGGGGTTTTCACTGACTAGGTCCTATTAGGTATCTTAGACAGGATCAACCTCGGAGCAAACACAGGGCTGAAATCGCTCATACTCCCAAACCCCGTTCACCATGTTGTTTGTCCCTTATTATCCCAACTCGCCTCTCCAGAGCTCCAACGCGTCACCTTCCGGATTCGACTCTACGAACTGAAAGATATCGACAAAATCGACCACAAACAAGTGATACGGGTGCTATCTGAACCCAACTTGGAGCGAATCCAAGAGGTTTGCTTCTTGTATGCGGGTAGATTTGCCTACGAGGATGTGTATTGGCGGCTCAAGGAATCATACCTGGAGTTAGAGAAGAACGGTGTCCTGTGCGTTAGGCAAGATTGCGAGCGTCGGGTGGCGATTTGAAGGGTGGGAAGAAGCATCGCAGAGCTATCAACTATGGCGTCGAAGTAGCTAGTTATGCGGGGCGTTTCGTTATACGGGCAACGTTGCTCAGCAGGGACAGTAATTCATCATTGCAATCTGTAAGACGGAAAGGTAGTCTGTTATTTAGTAATGAGCAGGGACGAACGACCCAGTACCAATTATGTTTGTTAAGGCATCCTCTGGATACCTACCGTAGGTGCTAATGAGCTCGATGGACGCCCGTAAAATCTATGTGTCATATTACTGTACGTTGGATCAGAGTTGAAGCTAAGACTGAAGCTTTCATCATTCTTCCACGGAAGGTCCTGGTCTCCGTCTATAGTCCTATATGAAAATGAAGCACAGGGTATTAGATGACGAGGCACATATGCCTCGGGACCGAGTCACAATAAGTGGTTTGCAAATTAAGACATCGTGCTGACCTCACTCAACGTTAGGCATGGGAGCTCGTCATTCCCTGTGTCTTGTCGCCAACTAGAGCCACTGCGGTCAATGAGAAGTACCCCGATAGCAATGACGAATTGAAACGTACGATCCTGGAGAAATGCTTTCTTTGCATTATTCATTCCAAATTATCCGACCGGCAGTGTTGTGAGTGGTAAGGATCAAACAAGTTGTCGCGTACAGTCGGCCCCGAACTAAAGTTTCAAGTTCTCAGTGGGAGACGATCAAAGGATGGACGGATTAACATCGGTAGCATGTTTATATCTTTTGGATTACTAGAACGGAGCGGCGAACATGACATAGCCCGGTTCTCCTGCTCGATCGGAGTGTCTGCGAAAGGAGGCATGAGTGGATCTTCACCTTAAGGAGAAACGTTAGGCAAGGTAACATAGTACCGATCTCGCCGCTGTTACAATTTGAATTACTCGGCGACTGATTGCTGGCTCCGAAGCATACAATTGAGATGGAAAAAGCAGAAGCAGTCCAGTAAGCTGCGGAAGTTCACATGACCGATCGGATAGCCTTTCCAGCCTCTAATTTGGCAACAGTAGATGTTGTGGAGCTCACAGTGCAACCTTGAAGATCTACATATTCGGGAATGATTCCAGCGTTTCGCGAGTTTGACCAAAATGTCGGCACCGTAATATGGTAGAAGTCAGAAAGCACCATACTTGTTCTTAGTTCCGCTGCGAAAATTGTCAGATTTGTGTGCTTGAGGAGTTTAGAGTCATGGTGTGCAGTTTGCACCGTGTTAAGACGATGCACTTTGGGGAGGGAGGTATTTATAACTGAAGCGCCCGATCTAAAGATAAATTATAGAGCGCTTACAAGCTGCCAGTGCGTTCGTGGATTGAACGTTTCGAACTTTGAAAGCAAGAACAGCAAATAACAACATCCATGCCGTTCGGACACGCAAGACCGACACTACTTGGTGTCCGGGACAATGCAGAGTTAGCTTCACTGGTTAGTGTGACCGCAGTTCAAGCTTTGCGTTCTCATTCTCATCGATACAGCCCCTACTCAGAGTTTCCTACTAGACACAGAATAATGAATGCATTATGCCCATTTTTTTGTGGGATCACACCGTGTCGTGTTCCTGTGGCAAGTTTAGCTCCCTTTTTGGAGGTTTACCGCTATATCCATGACAAAGTCCGCAAAGGTATCGGATAACAATTAAAGGTCTGTGTATACGCACATAACGCTCATTAACGGAACATAGCTCGCTCCTCCATTTTAGTTCGTAGTGGTTACCGAAGCATGGAGGTGACCCTCCAGAGACCGCATGAGTCAAATGTGCCGGCCCTAGTCGCTCATCTTGCGAAGAGTATATATTCTCTTGGCAGAACCAAGGACATAGCAAGCCTCTAGCGTGTGTTACATTTTTTCGGTTCCTACTGCAATGGCTCTCATACCATTGTTTATATCCCTCTCTGTTCTGGCGTTAGCCTCAGGATCTCACGCAGCCATCGGTCCTGTCACCGATTTACATATCGTAAACAAAGACCTTTCGCCAGATGGGGTCCAGCGCCCTACAGTTCTCGCAGGGGGCACATTCCCTGGCCCGCTCATCAAAGGAAATAAGGTAGGTTTTTGTATGTCACATTACTGGTCATAATCTCTGATACACATGGACCTTCAATAGGGCGACAATTTTAGGATTAATGTTATTGACGATTTGGTAGACGACCGCATGCTTACCGCTACCTCTATCGTAAGCTTGGACGTCTCCAGTTGACTCCCATCTGATCTCCTTCATTAGCACTGGCATGGTCTATTCCAGAATGGAACTAACTGGGCTGATGGACCCGCGTTCGTTACACAGTGCCCCATCGTTTCCGACAACTCCTTCCTGTACAATTTTACTGTACCTAACCAAGCCGGTAATGTCCTTTGAGCCGAACCGTCGAACATATGACTGATTGCTTCACGAATGTGCAGGCACCTTTTGGTATCATAGTCATTTGTCCACTCAATATTGCGACGGTCTTCGTGGCCCACTTGTAGTATATGACCCGAAAGACCCCAACGCGGATCTTTACGATGTTGATGATGGTACGTGGACCCGCCTTTGAGGAGGACCCATTGTATGAACACATGTCTACAGAGAATACTATTATTACCCTTGCTGATTGGTATCACGTACTGGCTCAAACAGTTGTCGGTGTTGCGTGAGTGTCTATGCTTACGGACATGACAACAACTGACTCCCTACTGCACAATACAGAACGCCGGACAGCACGCTTATTAATGGACTGGGTCGCTCCCCCGATCACCTGGATGCAAAATTGGCGGTCATTACTGTTGAACGCAACAAACGGTAGGATACTACGTATGTGGAGAGACTCATAATTACTTATCACTTTCTATCTCATTTACTAGATACCGCTTCCGATTGATTTCGATATCTTGTGACCCCAATTTCAACTTTTCCATTGATCACCATTCGATGACCGTCATAGAAGCCGACGGAGTTAACACTCAATCCTTGACAGTCGACTCAATTCAGATTTTCGCTGCTCAGCGGTACTCGTTTGTCGTAAGCCTTGCATTTCAATGTCAATCTTGGCGAAAGCTTACAGATCAACCTAGCTACAAGCGAACCAACCAGTTGGAAATTATTGGATTCGCGCCCGACCTAGCGGCGCTAATGTCACGTCCTTTAACGGTGGTTTGAACTCTGCTATTCTCCGTTATGTCGGAGCTCCTGACGAGGACCCAACGACGGATCAGACTCCGAACAATACTCCGTTACGTGAGACTGACTTGCACCCGCTGGTTAACCCTGGCGTTGTAAGTAGACTTATTCCATGTAAGCCTGAGCATGACCATTGACGTTTATTTGCAGCCCGGAAGACCTGTTCCTGGTGGCGCGGATATCGTACACAACCTCACCTTGGCCTTCGTGAGTCGCCCCGTTTAGGTACCACAAGACATTATTGACGGACTGGTCTCATACAGCAATCAGGTCGTTTCTCAATCGACGGTGCTTCCTGGCTTCCTCCGTCGTTGCCGGTACTTCTCCAGATATTGAGTGGAACACACGATGCGCATGACCTGATGCCCCCTGGGAGCGTTTTGGACCTCGAACTTGGTAAGGTAGTGGAAATCATTCTACCTACGGCTCCTGTTGCTGTCATTGGCGGTCCTCACCCATTCCATTTGCACGGGGTAAGCTGCTGCGCATATTGAAGGAATCATCATTTACCAATAATTTCTGCATTTTAGCACAACTTCTGGGTTGTTCGAAGTGCTGGAACTGATAAATACAACTTCAACGACCCCGTCATCCGAGATGTTGTTAGTATCGGCAACGGCACTGACCAAGTGACGATTCGTTACGTTGTACGCTCTCCTCATCTCTAACTCTCCCTGCGATTGGCCATACTGAATTGTCTATTGACAGACGGATAACGCTGGTCCCTGGTTCCTGCATTGTCACATTGACTGGCACTTGGAGGCAGGGTTCGGCATAGTCTTGGCAGAAGGTATTAACCAGACCGCTGCACACAACCCCGTTCCTGGTAAGTTACGGTTCTCTTTTATGTAGGCAAGCTTGCTCATACAGGTTTCAGCTGCATGGAACGACCTTTGTCCTAAGTATAATGCGAGTCTGACGACGGCGGGTTCAGGATCAACCGGCTTGAACTGAAAGTTTGATATTCACGTTGCTCTTGAACCCTGATCTTTGTTTTTGTTTTCTTTTAGTTCGTGTATGTATGGTATCTTTGTACAACATGGCCCCTTCGTACCCGACAGGATCCTGCTATATTTTTGGTTGGAGTTGAAGGTTGAATGTGTCTATTCAATTCTCTGTCACACAGGTCGTCGTGATCGAAGTAGCGCACGGGTGCAGAAGATACAATAATTCGTACAATCAGGATTAATATATACAGTAGGTTAATGATGTACAAGAAGATACTGTCCAAGAACCGTCCATTACGTCGGGGGCACCTTTAGAGCCAGCTAAGATTCGCCAGACCTCAGTAGGGACATTCAATGGATACACTTTTGAAGATAGCAGCCATCCGAGGAGGAGCCTGATTCCAGTCAATAGGTCCTCTCGCCCATTCCGATGTACCAGCAGGGAAACTCGCGTCCCATATTCCCAGCTGGATGCGAGCAGCATGTGAAGGATAGTGCAGGACGCCATTTTCGCGTGTATCTTCTGTTGAAGAGTAAAGAAGCATGAGTCCAACGTCAATAGTAAGAGTATGGCCAATTTACCTCTGTTCAACGTACGGACTGCAGAGCCATCCACGCCCCAGATGATCCGCTCTTCATTCCAATCAATAGAGTATTCATGGAACTCATCGACACTAGCCTTCGTAGAATAGTCTTCGATTCCTCCGAAAACGCCATACAGCGGTTCGTCATCCTTTGGATCAGAAGTGAAGACGTTCGTTTGCCAGTGTGAAGGATCGCCTCCAACGAGTTCAATATCTATTTCGTCGTGGCCTTCCGCTGTGAAGGATGTTAGCCACAGGGATGGTAGAAGTGGCCAAATGAATTGACTCACCAATCATGATGGCGGCGGTGACGATGCCTGCTACTGCTGGACCCGCCAGTTCGAATGTAACTTTGCCGTATCTAATTCGCAAAGTAAATTGAAAGTCGAAACCAATGGGAAATATATCATCGCGCACAATACTGTGAAAGTTGAGTTGACTGTAGCACCTTCTGCCACCTTACTATTGGTATTTTCCTTTTGCTTGATCTGGCCAGAAGGCTTGTCCAAGAAAAGCTGCAGACCATCATCGCCTGCCTTGACAGAGTTTTTTGGGCTGACAACAGCAAAAGGCGTATCACCAGAGTTAGACCGAGAGACCTCAGAAGGATCAAAAGTGCTGTGGAACGGTTGACAGTTCGAGTTCGATCGACGGGCTGAGAAATGAGCTGAGCGTGAACCTAGAGCGAGAGTCAAGACATAGAACAAGTTCCAGAGAAGAGAGAGATCCATAGGAAGAGAAAGTATTGAAAATCAGCCTGTAGGAAAATGTTGGGCCAGAAGGACGTGGTTAAAGAGCAACTTGAACAACTGCCGCATTCATCACAACTCTTCAATCAGAGCCTTATGTAAGCAACATTGATCATTTTGGGACATTTCGGCCTGTATGTCCACCACCACTTCTCAATTGTCGAGGAATATCATTTCGCTCAGCCAGTCACTTATTGGCAATGTCCTCGACGGCGAGGACATCACATTCATCTAGGAGGGACCACCAGTCGGTGTCATCTGTAGCAGGATCTTCGAGGAGCGAGCGTTCAAGCAGAGGGAACGGAAGCGTAAGTGTCAACACATCATCGTAACGACTTTCGTTCATCCATTCTTTCAGCCTGCTGTAGAATCGACAGTAACACGGCTGCTTGTTGCGATTAAACAGTTGTTGGAGTCCCTGACGCAATGGAGTAAACAACAAGCTACAGAAACTCATGTCAGTGACGTCTACGTCCAGCTAGGGAATGACTTCAATGCTGCAGTTGCTGCGTTTGCGGCTTTCAACATTGACATGAGGTAAGTACGATCTTACTGTATGACTGCAATGTTAGAATGACTTCCCACGGACAGCGAGCTCCTCTCTGTACCGGATGACTTGCGAGGGATCCTCGAGCAATGTTTGGCAGAAGATGCAACGCCAGAGAACCTGGAAGTATTCCTTCCGGAAGTACGCAAGATTATCACGAACTTACTACAGGGATTACGCACGAAGCAACACATATATCGGAAAATAGTTTCCGAACATAAACATCAATCCTCCGTCTCATCCGCGTCAGAGCGACCAGAAAGTGCAGTTGCTTCCAGCAGAAAATCTTCACGATCTCAAATCGAGTCCTCGGACTTGTCATCTCGCAGAAGTGCACAATCGTCATCGAGACGAAAAGAGTCTGTCTCGAGCTCACGCTCAACGCCGAACGGCGAGTCCGATCGCTTTGTTGGTGGGTTCGCAGTGCCAAACGGTGCTGGGGAACCTGTACCTCATCGAGCATCGACGCCACGATCGCAACCACAGCGACTACCTTCTGCCACCGCCAATGGTTATCCTCCCTCACGGTCCTCATCCGCTTCCGCCTCTGTATCTCGCGAGTCTGTGAATGGAGGCCCTGAAGCCCCTCCACGGGAGGAAACACCTCCAGTTCCTCGTCCGCCTTCAGTTTACGCTCCTGTTCCTAGCCATGTCCCGCGATTCTCACTGTCTGATAAGCCTATCTCCTCACCAACACCTCCGCCTGCAGTTGTAATCGAGGAAGCACCGCCATCGAGCGACGACACACCTACAGCTCGGCCGTCGGCTTCTAGTTCGGCGACACCTTCGCCTGTTAATACACCACCGATAGACTCTCAAACGCCTGCTATCGAAAGTTCATTAACTGCTCTGAAAAGCCATGATGTACTAGAACGTCGAGCAAGCAAACGGTTCTCTACGTACAATATCTCGAAGATGACTGGCGGTTCGATGCGCTCGAATGGCGGTGGCGGTTCCCGGATGTCTATGGCTGCATCGTCGGCATTAACGCCCGGAGATCTGGCTGTCCTGACCGAACAGGAGGAGGGTCCCGTAACTCCGTCGAAGCGAGATCGAAATAAGACTTCACAACGGTCGAGGCCGCCGTCCACAATCATTGAGGACGACGAGACACCACCTCCTGTACCACCACTACCTTCTCGGGAGCCTTCTCCGCAGAAGCCTTCGAAACTAACAACGTTAGATGAACCGAAACAAGCATCCTCGGTCTCATCATATAGTCCTTCTCCTGTCGAGCAGACGCCGAAGACAATTACGGTGTTCTTGCAGGTAGGACGTGAAGTGAAGAAGGCGCAGATCGAACCTGGACTTTCATTTTCGAGTCTGCGCGTGTTATTCGTGGATAGGTTCTCGTATAGTCCTGGGAAGGACAACTTCCCCGCCATATACATCCGAGATCCTTCCACTGAGGTTCAGTATGAGTTAGAAGATATGGATGAGGTCAAGGATAAATGTCTCTTGTCCTTGAATATCGAACGTGAGTAATTTGAATGTTCCTAGGCTACCTTTTTGCATTGTTAACATTTGCCCCAGCTCTTGACCAGATCAAGCAACATATCGACACTCAGATATCTTCACTTTCTCAGGACATCAAGGATCTGCGTACCATAGTCATGAACAGCAGACGAAACTCGATATCGCCACCAATGATTATCGGTCAGCCTCTCACCGAAAGCACACCGGCTCCCGCACGTCCTTCGGAACGTACCTTCCGGAATGTTGCTCGTCAGATCACACGTATCTTGCCGGAAGGTGGTGATAAAACACCTCAGCAACACAAGCCAGAACCATTGGTACAGCAAGCGACAGGAATGTCACTGCAACCGCAGACGACTGGCGCATCTGTCATGTCAGAGTACTCTTCACGTGTCGTCGTGGACCTGAAGACCCAATTCGACGAGGTGCAGAACCTGCGAAGAGATCTCGGTATAATGCGTCAGCTGTACACAGAGTTTATGAAGCAGACCAAAGAGTCTTTGGGGACGCTGAGATCTCAGACGCAAAACGTCAGACAGTTGGCTACTGCAAAAGTCGGTGGCGCCCGTGCCTACATCGACGATGGAAAAGCGAAGTTGGATGCCCGAAGTCAGAACGTGCTCACGAAGATGGAGGAACTCCAAGATACCGTAGAGGGTATCAAGGACGACGTTCTCAAGCGGAATGTCTCTCCTCGTCCGCAAGTCCTCAAGAGCATCAAGGCGGATATCGAATCTGTGAATGCTGAGTTGCAAAGCTTGAAGGATCATATCCAGACTGTCAAACCCATGTGGAAGAAGACGTGGGAAGAAGAGCTCCAGAACATTGTCGAAGAGCAACAATTCCTCAGTCATCAGGAGGAGTTCCTTGGCGATCTACTTGAAGATCACAAAGCCGTCATCGAGGTGTACGGTCACGTCGAAAAGGTCATATCGCTACGAGGAACTTCCGGTCGACGTCCAGGACGAAACTTCAAACCTCCACCGCCTGAGGAAGGTCACGGTGGTCTGAGCACCGTCATGCTTGAGATCCGGGGTGCTGCCGTCGATCCTCAGCGTCGACTGAAGGCTATTGCGGCAAACGAGAAGAACAGAGAGAAAGAATTAGCAGCTCGTTCAGATGAATTCCAAGCTGAATTGAGCGGGTTCGTCGAGGGGAAGAAATTGAAGATGACAGGTGGTGCTGAAGAGGCAGAACGAGTGCGACAACGGCGAAATGATAACACCTTGAAGGCAATGTTCTCGACTCCCAGTCTTGTATCGTCAGATCCAGCCTCAGATGAACCCACTTCTCCGCCCCCACTTCCAGACAAGGCGTGAAGTATTAGACTTCCTTTCTCTTTGCGGGACAATTGGACGCATACCATCTTCATTCGCTTTCGGACTTTCATTCTCTTGTTATTGTACCAGCGTTCTCTTGTATACGACATGTTAACTTTGCTCTCCATAATCTTCCTGTCTTAATAGTCGGACAGTAGCTGTCTTCGGATATAATCCCTTTTGCTGGTCTTTATTCTGGTGAGTGGTACGCAACTCTTGCATATTTGGGGCTAGAATAAGGCGAGTCCTTCGTCGATAAATATAAAGCGTCTGGCATGTTGATGACCTATTGATCACTTCACTTACTAGGACCATCTGCAATATCACATTGCAATAATGCGCAACCTTTGGAAGATGTGCGTTCATTGCTGTAACGGTAGCTTTCTAATACTGCATTGCTGGCATTTCCTTGCTCTATTTTGCTCGCCCGCCGCACCTGTTGGTCTGATACTTCATGCATCATGCTTTGTACTTACAGGCGCTTTTTTTTCTTCAACGCTTCACTGAATGAGCCTGATTCAGGCCAATGCTAGCAACCTAGCATTGGTGTGGTGCATATTGCTGGCTTCTCCTGATCTTTGCTTGTAACTACAGGCTTCAGAACAATATTGTGAATTTTGTCTCCATAATAAGATGTAGCCGTATGAACTCAACGTCGCATCTGCATCAGCGCATCGTATTGAGGTTCGCTTCCGTCTTTAAAGGTGACTCGAACCCAGTACACATCACAAAGCTGCACTACCTACTATACAGTCACACTTGTTATCCTGCTACACAATCAAACGCTTGGGACTCGAGAAGTCCAGATGAGTGTAAAGATACATAGAAGATATTGCGACCGAAGATCTAGAGCCAGTGACGGAGCATTCAAAGTGAAGCTTCAAAACCTGATCACAACCCTCTGACCTAATCGCCACGATAGGGATATCTACTGGGACCAAGGGCATTCTGGAACTCGTGAAAAAGGGACGATAGCTCCTTATACGTATTAGCGATAGTCGTGGCCTCATTGTGAAATGAGTTTGATTGATACTACAAAGCAAGAGAAGAAGAGTAAGTAGACGAATCGGGCACAACAGGAGACTGATTCAACAACGAATTAGAAAACCTACACTGGTCCAGTTCTGCCTGGCATTGAGTAGGCTTTGAAGGTCAACAGAGATCTGGCATAGTATTGAGTAATTTGAATAGGACTCTTGAGCTCAAAGGAATGGCGGAATGTTATGAACTAAGTGGACAACGTACCAACTGCCACATCGACAGTACCACTGTCAGTAATAATGTCGGAAAACTCTGACTCTCGTCTTTGCGATTATGCATCGACAAGCCTGCGGTGGGAGACCTCATCGAAGAGGCTGGTGAAGGAGAGAAGTAAGACGACGGTCCGTGACTTGGAGGGTACATTGGTGGTGAATTTGCAGAGATGGCTGTTGTCGGGGGAGCATATGTAGGAGGCAGAGGGTAGGTCGTAGGGTTATATGTGCCTGACTGAGTAAGATAATTCGTTGGATATGTCGTTGATGTGGGAGTGTTAATTCTTGTCGCTGGTCGGAAAGAAAAAGCAGTCGTCGCCGTGGTATACGTGGTCGTTGGAGCTAGGTAATTCATCGATGAATGTGGGTATATCGACGCTAGCGAAGAGGAGTTTCCTGGCGAGGCCGGATACTCCATCGTCTGGGGAGGGTAAGTCGCTGTCGTTGACACAGGCGAAGGTTGAGAATTGTAAGGCGTTGCTTGAGAATTGTAGTGCGATGTCTGGGGATTGAGAGTCGTTTGCGGGGCAGAATAATGTGTTGCTGTGGTACTGTACGATGTTGGGGCCGGAGGATATGTTGCACCTGGAGAGTATGATGTCGACGGCGCGGGATTGTTCGCTCTATAAAAATTCATACTTGCAAAGGCGCCACGTAACCAATGACCTCCACCGGACTGAGCGACAGAAATCATCAAAAGAACCCAGCACTTCCGGTAGGAGATCGACAAGGCGCATCATAGATTTACTTACCGTTCCATTCCAGCCTGTTGGTCCACCGTAGGTCGAATTAGGGAAGTTTCCGACATTTCCAGGAAAGGAGTCTGGAGGGGGCGCGAACGTGGATCTGGACTGTGAACAAGATTAATGAAAAACCCATGTCAAATTTTTGTGTTGCATTGCCAAACATACGTTTCCGAGAGGGTTTGAACTCTGAGAACGTAGTACGGCCATTACTGATGAGCAACCGCCTGCGCTCACATCCGGATACCACTGTGTGAAACTGGAAGCTATATCGTAGAGCTTTAAAACGTATCACTATCCGATGCATGGGCTAAAGTGACTACAACTGACCTCGGTTGAGACACTAGGAGGACGACGGTGTTATGTGAGGCTGGTACTTAAGAATATAGGGCTAACGTACGCTCGCATGCTGGCAAGAACACCATGTTGCTTGCGTGCCAGAAGTCGTTCAAATCCACCCAGATACCTTGCAGTACCAGAATAATCTGAGATGCACTCATTTACTTTGACACCGAGAGATCGGTACGCTTCAATGAGTTGGCGCGCATTACGTTCCTCTTGTTGCATGAACTGGAAGGTCAATTTAATATTCAGCGATCTGTGTAACGTCCCATAAACGAACGTGTTGTGAAACTCATACGAACATTGTAAAAGTGAGTGGCCGAGTCGTTGACTTGGGACATGTTCAGCCCACGATCCAGAAGCACTGTTTGGATAAAGACATCACTGAAATCTATGCTGAAGTTGTGGGTGACAACGGAACGATAATGCAAGGAAGCCCCACCATCGGCGATCGCGTGAGCGCGACCTACAATTTCGCGGGATTGCCACATGAGTTGAGTGTAACTCTTAGGTTAGGTGAAACAGAAGTTAGATTTGAAAATTCTCCTGATGAAACGAATGACCACTTACCGCACGAATTTCGGTCCACGTATGCGAAATTCTGTCAAGGTCTGGCGACCACTCTGTCGAATTTTGTTGTAAGCCCAAAAGATTGGTTGTGGAATTGAATGACTCCTCGAGAGCGCGAACCGAGCTCGCAAGTTGGGCTGAGGAATATCCTTGAATATTCGGAGAGCTCCAGGGAGACATGTTGGGTTTAGAGTAAGATATAGAGGTAGTAGTTAGGGATATAGATGGGGCTTGAGGAAGTTTAAGGTGTAAGTAGGGCTGCACGAACAACAAGGCAAGGGGCATGCCAGCGAGGACACTTGCTCCGGACGTGCGACATCAGCTCTCATTGGTATCGAAGCATGAACATTAGGAGAACATGAGGATAGCAAGGATTCGGCACTATGAAAGCATGTATAGAAGTGAACCATACTGTATGTATGGTCGATCGCCTTGTGGCGGCAGACCGTCGTTGCTATTTCGAGATCCCAAAGAAAATCCTGAGCCTAAACTGTTTCTATCGTCTCTAAAATGAATTTCAACCTGTAGTTTTCTGCTATCGTACCAAAGCAAGTTCTTGTATGCAAAAGGCAGACAGGATTCAAGTCTTTGGCATTTTAGAGATGTTCAGGTTGATCAAAGTTCGTGAACGGCTTGAAAGCGCGTGGACTTCAGGCGCCTTACCAGTTGCCCTTTTACCACTTCATACAGCTACATACAGCGTCGTACTGAAGATGTCTCATCGAAACCCGCATGCTGATTCAAATGCATGCACTATAATACGCCGAGACGGTGCTTCGCGACGATATCGTAATATAATTCCACTGTACACCGTACCACCAGCTATATTCTTTCGAGTATTTGATCTTTGGTCCTAAGCCATACCGTGCAAATCATGGGCGATACTACTAACAACAGCTTTAGCAATCTTCAATCCTACCAGAATGCTTTGGATGCAGTCCAACAAATCAGCGCTGACACGCTGTCTATCAAGCAATCGTTCGATGCTGTATACAACTACCTCTCTACGGTGAAGAATAGCGTTCACAAGGACGCACGGCGCGAAGAAGTGTCAAGTTATGTCAGTAATTGGAGCGAGCTTCGAATGGTATATACTTTCACTCAGCCTGCAGATATTGCAGTTTCTTAAAATCAGGTTTGCCAGGGATACGGAAAGCTTCTCTGGGAGTCTCGTGAAATCGCTATACGTGCACGCGAGTCTGCGAACGGTATGTACCATTGTTCATTGCGTTCACTCTCTTTCTGAAGCCTTTCCTGCAGATTTTACTCACGCCTTTATCGACGACGTCCTGTTGAATAATGCCATAAGTATTCTGGATATCAAGACGCAGATCTCTCAATATGCATCGGTCAGCACAGTTTGATGATATTTTCATCCTCGATTCAGGTTAGCTCACTTCATATGTTGATATGTAGAGTATCGAGAGGGAGAAGACACAGTCTATCGACGTGGTGAACCATATCCACTGCTTAATTGACAATGTCAATGATTTTCGCCGCCGCTGGTCGACATCAATTTATGGACAAGAACCCCGCTGGTGGAGGTTTGGAATGTATAACAATATCCAGTGGTACGAAATAAATGATGTATTCACAGTGTGAGTGACAAGGACTCGACTGATTCGCGATATTTACTACTATGTTCATTTCAGCCTTTCCTCGAAGGTATTGTGCGTTCTTCCTTCAATATAAGCACTAACTTCCTGTAAGATGGCATCTGTTGGCCGGAATATGAAACGGGTGTTTCAAAGCAACTCGCTGGATAGAGCACAGGAGTTTGTTGCGGTAAATATGTATATTTCTGGCGGCATTTATCCAAATTGACATGTGAATTGCAGCCCCCACTCACGTCCAGGAGGGCTTACCAGCACATGGACAACATCGCAGACAAGCTCAACACAATTACCAACATCTGGATGGCTGTACGTATATAACGTTGTAATTTTATCACGTCATCCGCTAATGGCGGCGGTCTTGAAGATTGCGGACGATTTGATGTCGCTTGGTTTTCCACTTGACTTGGTGGTGAATCACTCTACTGAGCCGGTGTGTATAACTATATTTAGGGCATAAGTTGCCATAGACCTACCTATTCTAATTATCTGATAGAATATGCGAACGGCTTTTATTAAGCGTTGCCAGAATATGCGCGAAAAGTACATCGCCTTATTCAAGCTTTACGACTGTTATGGCGCCGCTTTGTGTACTCTAAATTGAGACCGACCGGGTGGGGAGGGCGACTTCTATATAGTGATTATCGGATTGCTGCTTACATGTGTCTGACCGTTCATGGAGAGAAGCTTCCGAACGGGATCGTCTTGACCATGCCCTTGCATCGTGTCTGTCTCCACTCCCTTATTGAACCTCCTTCCTTTCATACATGCATGCTTCCAATTCGGCACTCCTTCATTTCCGGGTTACACGTGTTGTTTGAGTTTCGTTGGCTGGATGCACTATGGCTGAACGTGTAGACGATTCACACACTGGGAAGGAGCTCACTTCTCGTCTCCTCCACACTCATTCTAGCGATTCACTAACTTTGCATCAAGATTTTCTTTGATGAGTCAAAAGAATCTTTGCCCAGACATCGAGCAATTATGCGAACACGTCTTAGCGATGGATAGGCGATTCGGGGCAGTCGCTCATTCATTCGCTGAATTGCGCTGCTCTATACCACTACCTCTTGTTTCCGAGACACAGCGGTTCGAGGAGAAATGGAAGTCACTGCGTAATGTGAGTCTGGGATTGCCCCCCGCCCTTTGCCATCGGTATATGTTCAATGCAAGTGTTTTCATTAGGATTTTGGCAAGGCCGTCTCATATGCCCGGAATGTCATGGACAAGTCGGAAATCATGATGAGCGGTAGGTGTCGATTCTGCTAGAAGAACCCACCTGACCCCTTTTAAGATATTAGCCGACGATTGATCAAGGATATCCTACTCGAGTCAAAATTTATTGAATCTACCTCGACAATATCCACAATGATTCGTGACTATCGAACAGTGAGTTATATAATTACAATGGGTGTATTATGAACTGACAGAGGCTCCCAGCGTGTATCGCAGGAAAGAATCAATTCTGTGCATGCAATCCAAGGTTTCAACGTGATACGACTGTCATTGCAGGGATTCGCTGTAGAATACAGGACTCTTCGCAACGTGACTCGGTGGTCTAGCATGTCAGATACGCCGCACGAGACGGTCACTCTCGAAGTCAGCAAAAGCTTAGCAGAGTATGTCCTTTTAACCTTTCGTCATGTTTTATTCACCTCGTGATCCGTCACCTTAAGCATACAGCAAGCGGTCAGTATATACATTGGTCTCTTTATTCCAGGCTGGAGCTTTCGCATGCAGGCACTTTGGGGAAAGGTTGAGACGATCGCTATGATCTGGGATATGGTATTTTTTTATGCTTTTTGATGCTGTACGAAACTGAAAACATTTCGACACAGGTCGAATCTAACTTGAAGGACGTGGAAGACATGGTGTATTGTGAAATTCGCAATCCTCAGGGAAAAGTACTCCCAACATATCTCCGTCTCATGATCGAATCTCACCTACGTATACAGTCACCACCCACTCTATTCCTCAGCAGAGTTCGCAGCATAGACGAAGATCAGCAAGCGCATTCGGATTATATAAGAAGGCTACAAACCGCTCTTTCGTCGTCGGGCGCTGATTTCCAAGGCTTGTCCATCGTCAATTTTGCATCTCAATTTCCGGCTACTTCCTATACCGGTGCCAATGCAAGGCTTATCCCAGCCGAGTACGAACTTGGGATCAACAGGGAGAGCGAGGAAAAGCTCAGGAGGGAAGTAAGGCAGCTTACGGCGGATACACTTTCTATCGATTCGTCTTTCGAATCAATCTCGTGCTTGCTCAGAGAAGTCGGGAATTGTAAAGGAAACTTACAGCTTTCTGCCAATGCACAGCGACTCGGCTCGACGTGGATAGAGCTTCGCAAGGTATAGTTTCTGTCCTAGTTCACATGTCTAAGGCTGAAAACGTCCTTTACTCAGAAATATACCACTCTGCTTTGGCAATCCCGCGAGGTTGCGGGTTACGCTAGTGCTGCTGCTGAAGGTATGTCGTCGATAATCTTCGACTTCATGCGTTGAGAATGTTTTCATCTCGCTAGACTTTGCCGACGTATTCATAGATACGGTCTTACTTGACCGTGATATCGGTTTTACTCAGATGAAAGAAGAAATTAGCAAATGCAAAGAGGTCTGTCTATTGGCAATCGTGGTCTCTTGGAAGCATACTTCATAATAGTCTGCAGACTGCTTATCGACACAACGCACGAGCCAAGTCGATCGTAGATGGATTTGAGAGACTGAAGATTGAAGTAGAACACTTTTATGCCGATTGGCTCAACTGTACGCAGAAATGCCGCCCTAGCGACAAACGAAGCAAAGAGCACATCGCAAAGACTGAAGCCGCTCTCTATCGGTAAAGATCTTTTTGTCTGTTATTTATTTGGTCCTTGAGTAACTTCCCCTTATTTAGCCTTAAGTTCAAGGTTCGTGACATTCATTCAATGGATTGATACAACTCTTGATGTCATCGAGGTTCAGATTGTGTCGATTTACGTGGCCGTGGGTCTCCTTTTTGCGGCCGCAGGTGCGGTAACTGTTGTGCTGGCGATCCATGGTGTCGCCGGAGTCGATATTCTTGGAGTATATTTGCGTCTCCGACTATTGAGTCTATGCTCACTCAAAACTCTGAAGGTCGTAACTTCTGACGCCTTAAAATCTCGGATTATTTCTGTTCGGGAAGCTCTGAGAGACAAACACTGTATGTTCATACTTATCCATACACTACAATTCTCATAATACTTCACAGCTTCACTCAAACAACGAATCAGAGATATAAATACTGAACAAGATAATGATTCTCGAAAGACTATGAGCGATTTCCAAAATATTGCGACAAAGCTTGGCGCTATAGCCTCTATTTGGAGTAATGTACGTACAGTACATCCGTTCTCGACTGTTGTGCTCCGGGGTCTGACATTGAGCAGATCGTGGGAGATCTCTCAGAGGTTGAGAGTATGATTGACTTACTTCTGTGCACGAGTGAACAACCTGTAAGCAGCTTCAAATTTAGATCCATATCACATAGTTTACCTTTCCGCATTCAGGAGATGTATGACATCTTCGTGAAACGGCTCCGTGGTATGCGAGATGTGTATGCAACTCTTGGCAGTGTTTTCCGCGAGTACCAGGTTGCCGTTAGTCGGGAATCCCCACAGTTCAAGGATATAGGCAAACCCAGTCGCTATGCCTTTTGATCAGTTGAGTCTTATTTTGGTATCACATTGTACTCACTCATCTTATACAACACTTTTTGGAATAGCCGAGTTTCGAATAGTATATACATGTACGTACGGTTGATATTTCAAGGACAAAATGTTTTCGTCCGCTTGTTGAGATTTGCGAATGAGAAAAAAGGACTGCCCCAACTTACGGAACTTGATTACGTTCTGGATACATGGAAAAATGCGGTGGACCTGACAATGCCCTGTCGATAGTGCGGCAAGAGTAAACTACATTATGATGATCGCTGTCTCTAGCATTTTTGGGTGCAATTTGAACATTCAATGTTATTTCGCGCGGGCTCTCCTACTGAATTGTTGAAAATGAAAAATGTATACCTGCCCCAGAGAGGATCGAACTCTCGACCTTCCGATGCGTTTTTACGTAAGATGATTACGTAAATAACAGTCGGACGCTATAACCATCTAAGCCATGGGGCATTGATGGATTACGATTATCATCTTCATGTATCATTTTATAGTCCATACCATTTGACTACTGAATCGTGTAACGAATCTAGAGACTCTATGTTCAACTCAGCCATGGGCATTGTTATCATACGCCATGCATGCGTATAGTGCATTGTTATCATTCCAACAAAAACATGAACAGGCATCAAAGTCACTGCTATAGTATCAGACTGGGCAATCCAAGTACTGAAATAATGGGTAGTTCCCAGATATGAGCCGTCGTTGCACAACAGCCTCGCAACTCATCCACTGTATTTCTCGTATTTTTTTTAAGTTTAATTATACGCCACGCGATCTCACTGGCATTCTCAGATGAATGCACTTGAGTATGAACGCAGTTGGACAATCGCATATTACATGCATACCAGTCACGCTCTTGATAAGGTATAAAGGCCGGTGCATCAGATACACTGAGAATAGTACTAGCAAGTTTATACCATTAGCACGGTCCGTGTTGAATAGTATACGAGCCACACTCACATCGTTGAGCTTTGTGCAGGTGAAGCCGGAGACACATGCAGTTGCGCCGCTATTGTGTTTAGGGATCAGAATGGTACCACTGCAATAGCCAATTGTGTAGCTTACGTCCAGCCAATTCCACCACACTACCAAAATATCGCATGGTAAGTTAATACATACGATCTTACAGAGAACAAGCTACTTACCTGGCCATACTGGGTAACCGTACCTGCCACAGTTGAGGTTGCGGGTGGAGCCGCAGTCGTCGTTGTCACCGGGGGAGGCGCAGCAGTCGTAGTGCTTCCTGGAGCGGAAGTTGGAGCTGGGCCTGCTCCGCCGGCGTAGACTGGGGGTCCAGGAATAGTATAGCTGGTGTAGGAACCATAGAGGTTGAAGAGGATGCTATCATACAATTTTCAGAGGAACTCGAAACATTGCCAATCATGACAATCTCACCCTGGGTCAGTCGCACTGTAGGCACCTGAATCATATATCAGGTGGGTTGGTCTCAGTCAAGTCAATCTCGTGTTCGTACCTGGAAGCTTGACAGTTGGTGGGCTAGCTGATCCACCGCCAGTAACGTTGATTTGGAAGCATGACATGTAGAACTGTGGGTGACGAATTGACATCGAAGTAGCAGACTTGGGTCACATAATCCATACCTGAGCACCGCCAACGCTTCCAGCAACGTGAAGTGCTATTCACGACGATTAGCGAACGCAATCCTAGAATTGTCGTTCCGATACATACCGATAACTTCAGCACGAAGCAAGTAGTTCCTAAGACCAACATTTATCAGCAATCTGGCTGATCCAACGCGAATACAAACATCTTACCCAGGAGCAATATCGGCAGGAATCTTTACATCCATCTTACCGCAATTCGCGTTGAGGACATCCGTAGCCCAATAGTCTGTAGAGACCAGGCCTGTTTGAGCGATTTTAAACCAGTTGGCGCTGGAGCCAACAGCAGTAGCTGCGTTATCAACCTTGGCCCTGCACTAAGAGTCAGCTTCTCGTCGTCTCAGGAAACCACCACCATCGCACATGTAAACGATAACGGGACCTGCAAATGCATATTAACAATGGAAAGTTCTACGAATGGTTTATCATACCATCATGATTTCCTCCAATGGCTTCGGTAGAGCAGCTACGGTCCCCAGGTTGCTGGTGCATTTCAACAGTGACGGTACCACCCGCTTTCAAAGACAAATAATGAATAATCTAAGGTACCGAAATGGACGTGGGTCCTACCAGGAACGGTACAGCTAAATGGATCACTGAGTCAATTTGATCAGAAATGACAGTGTATAAGATACATACGTGGAGGCTGCCGCAGTCGTTCCTCCGACGTTACAAGCTAGATCCTATGAAGGGTGAAGCCAGTGTAGGGGATGAAAGAAATTAAACAATTCGCAAACATACTGGCGTCGTCACACTAACGGTCAACGGAGTTAGTGTGCAACCTTGATGAAGTCAACGAGAGTACTACCTTGTAACAGGGCTGTTGCTGGCGGGCGTCCTAACGCACGTTCCAACTTCGTCAACTGCAGGAAGACGTTGGGAATGCGAAGTTGCTAGGAAGACAAAAATACATACCACCATTGACCCACAGGTCTTGGAACGTAGCATGAGCACTAACGGAGGCAGCACCTAGAACCGCTGCGAAGAGAGTAGACAAGAACATTCTGAAATGGCGTGCTCGGATGGTAATTGAGAGCACAACCTGATACAACTATATAGTCGTCAGGAACCTGCGGAACATCGTCGCTTGAGACGGGTGTAACGTCCCTGACCAACGAGTCCTTCATATTTGCATTTTTCCGACCATCCCCACGGGGCAGTATACAATGAGGTTCATTGGGTATCTGTGCCTTAAGGTGCTTGGTGAAGGCACTGGAGCATCGACCTACAGGACCTTCCAAATATGAATCCGTAGTTTATCCGTCACAAGGCTCGTTACTCCGCAACGCCAGCTTCGCCGCCTCGAAGACCGGAGAAGGAAGGTGCCAAGCCTTTCCCTTGAGGCAAATACGGCGTCACTTGAACAACCAGCTCCATGTGCGTGTTCGCGATACTGAATGCATGGAGAAAGGCGGAAACGATATGCAATAACATATGGCAAGATCATAGGAGCGCCGGACAGAGCTGGAGCATGGGACTGAATCGCACAGTCAGAGCGTGCCAGTGGACGTTGCCAAGCCGGTCTCTAGCCTTGTCAACTGACTGATAATATCCATACGGAAGTTTCTGCTACCCGTCGAATATCCGACGAAAATACGTTTCTGATCTAAGGAGAGAGAATCGACGTCAGTAACCTCTCGCACAGTGAGAAAAGCTAATCTGCCCAGTTGATTGAACAAAGGACCTGTGAAAAATACATAACGTCTGTGAGCAACATCATCAAACCACCTTCGACGGGCAACATATAGGTAAAACTGACAAGTAGTGAGAAGAGGACGTGAATTTAAAAATACTTGTCAGTGTTGCTTGCTCGTCTTCAGTAATATGTTGACGTCACTCACAGCAAGGAGGGCAAAACAAACCGTGTCCAAAAGACGCTCCGCAAGTAGGATTGGAGACATGGCGGACGTAAATAATCCAAGACACTGTAGCCAACTCATGACGCGTGGTGAAAAAGGCGATAGAGGGAATCGTGAGTGATAGCCATATATCAGCCTCGGAGCCAAGGAATAGGAATGAGATTCGACAAATACCAATGCCGAATTTTGACGCGAAGAGCATAGTCATCTAAACAACACCATCAAACTCAATCGTCTAGATAGAAATCCTCATAACCAAACATGCATAACATATATCGAAAGCAAGACAGGAAGAGTTGCAGAAAGCTCTTGGCGTAGGGGAGATCGTCAAGCAGGTATTCAACGACTTTTGATCTGCTTTTCGGTGGCCGCCGCCGCCTGAGCGAGGTGATGAAGGCGGAAGGCCATATCAACAGTCATGACGAGGGGTATAATCAAGAATGGAATATAGCTTGAGAGAAGCAGGAGACGTTGCTCTGAAGTAACAGAGACTGCTTTTGCAGCAATGGTGTCGGCCGAGGTGATAGGCGTGCTGAAGAGAACAGCGAGGCAGGGTAAGAGGGTCGTCGTAGTTGAAGCACCGTAGATAAGCAGCAGCAAGTAGATGGAACGAGAGCCTATCCTTAACCAGTTAGCGCATATATGAAGACGTAACATTGCTTATACCTTTCCACAATCCTCTGAGACCTAGAACAAAGACGGGTAGCTGGAAAAAGCTATGGAAATGTCAGCTGGAGTGTGAGGGCCTTAAAGTGAATTCAGACCTACGCTTCAAGAAGTAGGAAAGATTTGAACCAGACGTAGTCATCTGGGAGACCGAAATATCCCATCGCCCCGCCAATGAGAGGGTCAGAAGATAAATTCACATAGAGCTTGGGCAAATTCGCAATAGAGCCGGGCAACAGATGCGATGGATACAAAGCTTGTAAATCAACAAGGAGGGTATTAGGTATATGAATCTAGCACGGTTGTCAGTTACCACGCAAACTGAGTCCTTAGAACTCACAGCGAAGAAAGCAAAGTAAAGCAAGTCCAGAGGACGCGAGCGCAGTGGTTTTGAAGTCATCGTGGATGATTTACAGAGCAAAAGATGGCACAGAGATGGTGGTAGCTGGCAAGCAACGCGACACAATCGGTGACCGAAGTCGCGTATAGTCACATTTGGGTCACACCGTAACATTAGTTTCCAAAATTCGGCTTTCGCGTCTTCTTCCACAACCTAAGGTAGTACATACTCAGAAACATATTCATCCCTTGCGAGCTAACGTGTACCTCCAGATGTCTCGTTTTCCCCATACTGCATTACACTTGGGTTCCTCACGATCCGTTGTGATCTCGGGCCCGCATATTCAGGTGATCGACCCAAAGTGCGTATTCTTATTTTTCTGGCGGGACGTACTCTGAACAGAGCAGAACTGGCAACGTAGTACACTCAACGGCTGATGTAGAGGAGATGGAGAAGGAAGCTATCATCAAATCTGGGCCTGTCAGGTGTTCTACGGTCGACCAGGGCCTTTCAATTCTTGTAACTGCAGGAGAGGATAAGAAATTGAAAGTGTGGCAGCTTGAGGGACTAAAGTTGCTCAGTGAAAGGTGAGAAGCAATCTAAGTTTTGACTTTCATAAGGCCTCATGATTTTCTATTTGCTGTGTTAGAGAGTTGCCGAAGAAGCCTACCAACATTCGGTTAACTCGTGATGCAAAACATATTCTCGTATCCGACAAATTCGGCGATATCTTCAGGTAGGCCCATACCATTTACTCTAATCTTGGGTATGACTGATATACACTGTCCATCTGTTATAGTTACCCAGTTACTCCTGATGAATCTAGCCCTGCGAACCCAAGTATTCCAATTGCAGGAACATCAAAACGAGGGTCCCTAACCTCGCACGAAAACCCTTCCAATGGAACGTTAATTCTGGGACACACTTCCTTGCTTACATCTTTCTTATTAACTGAAGACGAGAAGTTTGTGATTTCGGCGGACAGAGATGAGCATATCCGTGTGAGCTGGTATCCGCAAGGGTACGTTATTGAAAGATATTGCCTCGGACACAAAAAGTACGTCATTCAGACGCACTCGTTTCTATATATCCGCTGAGACCGTCCTAGGTTTATTTCTGCCATCAATATTCCTCGCTTCGCCCCTACTGTTCTCATTTCGGGTGGTGGAGATCCCGAGCTCAGACTGTGGGACTGGCTGTCCGGAAAGCACCTTGGTGATATCCCTGTACTCTCAGTCGTGGAGTCATTTATCAAAACGAAACCTCCTTCTGGACATCATGACGATGGCGAAGGTGGCGACGAGAAGCCAGGAAGACGTCAAGGGAAGGGCAAGAAAGGGAAGGGCAAGGATAAAGAGAAAAACCAAACACCACATGCTGGGGATGCCAATGCTGGTGAGAGCGCGAAGGAAGAACAAGGAGATGATACAGGGGACATCGTCATGGAAGAGGACTCACGCGATCCAGCAACCCCATTGGTAGCAGAAGGTGCTGATGCAAGCTCGTCTGCTGCTGCTCAAAAGACGTCGGACCAGACCATTTTTGTTCTGCATAGATTAGAAACTGTTGACTTGAATGAGAATGGACGTTTCATTGTCTTCAGTGCTATTGGGTACGCTATTTTCTCCTTACCTTCGACTTGGGCCTCATCGTTCCTTCTTTTTTCAGTGCAAGCGCTTTGTTCTATACGACATTCCCTTCAGATCCTTCATCCTTTGCCGCAAGCGAGGTTTTCGCACTTGATCTTGTGAAACCCGTCATCGACTTCACCGTTGCGGAAGATAACAAAATTTGGGTACTCCTTGACTCCGAATTCCAGCCTTCGGAACAGAGGGCCGATACGTTCGGCCGGGCTTCTTCAGCAGTATCGGTCCTCATTTGGATTGGCAACAAGGTATGTATCACAGTACTCGCTCAAAGGACGATATTCTCATCTTCGCGAATAGCTGGACATTTCAGACGGTGCCGAGAACCCTCTTCTTTCCACCATTAACTCAAAATGCCTCATCTCCGCCACACAAGCGGACCTAACAATACTCGACCTATATGCTCACCTCGCCTCCATGCCAAAACAAGTGGATTTGGAACATGACTCAATGCAACGTGAGGACCTGTCCGAAATTGCATCTACACCTGGAGATAAGGGCAAGCAACTCACACAGCGCGAACTTGGTCGATTGAAGAATAAGAAGGCGCTATTGAAGAAGATCCAAGAGAAGCAGGCGAAGTCGCAGACACCAGAGAACATTACTGCAGCGGATGATGTCTTTTTGACTGGGCGGGAGAGTAAGAAGAAGAAATCGGATGAACCAGGGGGTAGTGATTCGGTGATGACTGAGGCGTGAGGTCATTTTGGGCAGGTGGAATTCGGCTTCTGCATGCTCAATTCAAAACAATGTATACAATATGTAGGCTGTGACATCCTGTGATCAAAATCCCTAGTAACCCAGTCCGTGGTGGCTTGTGAAGTTAGGTATAAGTGAAATGGTATGATAAACTGAATGAACAGCAGAGTGGACGCATATGCTGCTATGTTGTGAAGAACTCCTTGTGAATCAATTATTTGATCCCATACTGTTTCTTCTCCCATGGTGTCCATTCGAAGATCGGTAGGGGGTGTGCCTCGGTATTGAAAACCCAGCGATCTAAGGGTATAATCTCTTCGTCGTTAAAGAGGAGGTATAAGTATTTCAATCTGTAATATTTTTCGTGAGCTCCTGCCTTCAAGATTCGAGTACAGACATACGTTTCGGCCATGAAGAAACTATAGGTGGTAGGATCAGTGAATGAGTCTCAATGAGTTTCTCCACACGCACGGCGTACCTCGGCATTTCGTCCAACTGAGGCGAAGGTGATTGCTCCACCGTAGACACGCTCGCATATCCAATGGGTGTCTTCGTCTCCTTCTGTATGGCTTCGAAAACAGCCCACCCGCGTTCACGCCATTTCTCGTCGCCTGTTGTCCTCCACATGAGGTAAAAGCTTTCAACAGCCTATCAAAATGAGTGTTCTACTCAAATCACAAGTCAAGATCAATTAAACGTACCTCTGGCCTCAACAAATACCCTGGTTTGCGTGCTAGATAATCTCGAGGTCCTGATACAGCCGGAGAGATCTCTTCCAATCCTGGAGGAACTCCGGGACTTCCATGATTCTCCCACTCTTTGACATGTTCCAACCACACTCCAGCGGTATACTCATGCGAAGGGTTATCCACGGTATAACTAGTATTTCCAGCATAAGGAACAGCGTTCATAACCACCTCATCCGGAGCTAGCCCTGAGGGATGATCAGCATATATGAGCCAGCACGTATACGCGAGACCTTGCGCTGCCCAAGAATGCAACTGTCTGTCGCGAGGTGAAAGAGGTAAAGTATGAGCCCCGAGCGTAAGTAATCCTGGAAGGAAACATGAGAGGTGCTCGAATGTGTGGCTTGGGACACCATGGTCGACATCGGTCACGTAAAGAAGATTTCGATTTGGAGAGACGTAGAGAAGGTGTTTCAGGATACTGTTGACGACACGGAGGTCTGGATGTCAGATGTTAGTGCACGGAGCGCCGCGATGCCAAATTGCAAGGTAGTGCATACAGAGATCTTTAGCTTTTGCTTCGCTTCCTGACGTGAGGAGCCATTGTTTCAATAGGTATTCATGCGCGCTGTCGGCAAAAGCGCCAACTGAGAATTGACCTGGAAAGGCAGTGTTCGATGCTGAAAGGGAAGGCGGTTTGTACAAAACGCACTGTTATAGGGAATGGCTGTCGTTAATCGCCATTTTGTCGGGAACAGACCCTCTTCAATATTTGCATCACGCATAATGTCCATGATTTTCTCTACCTTCTAGATGATGAGTACAGGAAGAAGATAAGCGTCTCGTATGACATACGTTGTCAAAGTATTCGCGACGCCCAGTCAAATGAGCGAGGTATTTGTATTCAAGCTGGCAACTGAGTGCTTCAGCCCATAGAACAGTACCAGATGCCCATCCCGACCTCGTCTCTCCTCTAGCGTCGAGCTGTTAATGTGGATGAATACAAATGGATCCGAAGAAACGCACGTGATGGTATTGACAGCATACATGGGAAGGCCGGAGGAAGTATTGAATACTGGAAGAAGCATTCTCCCGAGATCGTCAGCCTTTGCCAGTAGAACTGGCTCATGGGAGAGGGCATGGGCAGACAGCAAACCGCCTAGGTAGCGAATGACCTGTAACAGGAATAAGTCTTCAACGTGCATAAATCGAGAATCAATTCTTACTGTCTCAAAAAATGGTGCATACGAGTCCTGTTCCATGTCATTAACGTCCATTTATGTCATGGACGCGTGAGACCTACGTTCTTTAGCGCAAATGACATGTTAGAGATAACTGACATTGAGTCGTAGAACTCATCATAAAGACCCATGATCAACATGGTATCGAGAGAATCAACTAATGTCACACCCCAGCCATTGAAACTGTCAAAGGGTGAGCTGAATATTCTAATGTTGTGGGCAACACGAACTGTCCCCACTCACTTATCCACGGATTGGCTTGACAACGGTAGCAGCTCATCGTGAGGAAGAGCATATTCTCGATATCCTCTGTAGGCATGCAAAAACGCATCCTTGACCTGTGATGCACGTTTAGCCCAAATGCCATCGGATTGAAGCCAACTTTTCGGCGGCGGTGAATGAGGATGCCAACCGCGAAACGGCCTCTCATCAAAGTCTTTAGGTGGAGGCGGAGTGAAGTACGGCCAGGCCATAAATAGCAAAGTTACCACCAGGAAGGAGGGTATAATAAATCGGACCCTCCCCAGCAGCACCATGGTGGTATCGTTGAAAGCTCGGGAGGAAATGTCCGAGAACGATGACCTGTTAGAGAAGGGAAGACATTTCAGAGAGCCAAGATATTGGACAGATCAGATCAAACGATCGAGGACTACAATCAAACTGATACTGGATAGGCGTAGCGCCAGGAACTTGCCAACTTAAATGCTTTCTTTCTGCCTTTTTCTATGCGAATGCTACAACTCTTGACGTACTTACCCTGAAGAAGTCTCTTCAAAGTGACCATCAGAATTCTGATTGTTGTTCAGGCTCTTCTTCATCTAGTAACATCTCCCATGCGGATATGACATGCTCTCGGAACGGCGCGATGATATAACAGGGTGAACGTTGCAGACTGCCTACAACGTCTATTCATTTCCATGTTGGGGTTCTATTCCGACTTGTGAGTGGTCATCGATCGTAGCATACCCTCAGATGTCATATCAGAAAATAGACGTTGCAGATTGCACGACAACAACTAATAAGATGGCTGTCACCCATTGCTCATATTGCACTCCATAAATCGGCTAACGATCGCAGGAATGCAACAAGCATATGAACGAGGACGTTATCTTTCTTTCGGACATTGCTAAACCGGCTGTCTACATAGGCACCGAGAGTAATCTCACGAGACATCACTACAGCACAATCAATGTGCCTCAGAGATATTTGTCATTGCTTATTACACACGCGTTATGAGTAACTTTAGACCTCCTTTTGAGTTTCGAGTTACCTATGGTGGTCTCAGCTGCTCGTTTAGAAGTCATATGCATCGTCAGGTGAGGCGATTTTTTGCAGGAAAGCTTATATCGGTGGAGAGCGAATCGATAGGCATGTCTTCTTTTCTCCTACCTTGGAGACTGGCTTCTGATCATCTTTCCATCAGTGGTTTTGTCAGTCCCATGTAAGGTAGTGTAATAGCGTTCGGCATGCTGAGGTCGGGATCGTGAGACCGCCTGAGACCGACTTATAAGACGCGGTTACACACCATGTAGGTATCGATCATCTTGACAACAGGGATTTCCACAGCAATGGGTATCACTGCACTCGATGTTCTTGTACTCACTGTCAGTGCACTTCTCTTCCGTTGGCTCTACGTTCGAAAGAGCTCGCACAACGGATTACCCCACCCTCCCGGTCCTCCCGGCTTACCGTTGGTCGGTAATCTGAATGACGTCCCTACAGATGAACCTCACGTTAGGTACGCCGAATGGAGTGGCCAATACAGTGAGTTTGATTTTCGTCATGGTCTGGGGATGAATTTCATAAATCGTCAATTGCAGACTCCGATATCATTCGACTGAATGTTATGGGTACAAACATCATCATAATCAATTCTCTCAAGGTAGCCAACGACTTGTTCGATAAACGGTCATCAATATACAATGATCGGTATGCCATCCCCTGCCAGCGAGTTCTTGTTGGCTAATCTTTATATACCTAGGCCGTACCTCACGATGCTCTATGATTTGTAAGTGCTTCAGCCTCAATGACGGAGTTCGCAACTCAGCGAGTATGATTGACAGGGTCGGCATGTGGTGGGCCATGTCATCAACTCCCTACGGCGAAAGATTTAGAGACATGCGAAAAGCCTTTCATCAAGACTTCAATCACGAATCCGTGAAGCAATTCCGCGAAATGGAGACCAAGGCTTGCCATGAACTGCTAAGGCGTCTTACTTCTCGCCCTGAACGGTTCATGGAGGATATTCGGCAGTAAGTAACAGTCAGAGCATGACATTAGTCGGCATTCCTTATGTCGTTTCAAGCATGGCAGGACGCATCATCCTTCGTGCTGCATATGGCATTGACATCGAGAGCGAGAATGATCGTTACCTCGAGATTGCAGAGCAATCCCTTCAGGCACTTTCAGCTACCGTAAATGCTGGTTCATACCTGGTTGATTCATTGCCCATCTGTGAGCCTCCTTGTATATTCAGAAGATAACTGACTGATATCTGCCTTCATTAGTGAAATATTTGCCGTCGTGGTTCCCAGGTGCCAAGTTCAAGCGGCAAGCCGAGGTTTGGAGAGCTCCTGTTCTCGACATGCTCAATGAGCCATTTGATTACGTCAAGAAACGTTTGGTCCGTTCACCCTTAACGTGTAGAAATGTTTCTGGATGTTAACTCAGAGGCCAGGCGGAGGGTAATGCCCAAGAGAGCGCGGCTACCTCGTTGATGGAGGGAGTCGTAAAGCGCTCAAAAGACCCTAAGTACATGGAAGATGTAGTGAAGAACACACTAGGATCCATGTACGCTGGTGAGTGTTGCTCATCCTTTGACTGAAGTCGCTCCCTGATGGTGCCAATGAACACAGGCGGTGCTGATACGGTATTATTGCAATATGCCCGAGCACCTGTCCAAATAACTCACTTTTTGTTAGACGGTATCTGCGTTGGGATCATTTATATCTGCGATGGTCTTACATCCTAAAGTACAAAATAAAGCACAGCAAGAGATCGACACGGTGGTGGGATCTGAACGCCTGCCGGATTATTCGGATCGAGATTCCCTGCCCTATGTCGACGCTATTGTAAACGAGACGCTCCGCTGGCATCCGGTGGTCCCCCTAGGTGAGTTCTGCATGCTCTAGCGTATAGACACTGACCCAACATCTTTTGCTTAGATATTCCTCACATGCTGTCTGCCGATGATGTATACAATGGATACTACCTTCCGAAGGGATCGATTATTGTCGGAAACTCTTGGTACTTGTATCCAGTCTCATGCAATTGGCATTCATTCTGATTTGTGACTGATACAGGGCGGTTCTGCATGATGATATAGCATACCCAGATCCATCTACTTTCAACCCTGACCGATTCATCAAGGATGGAAGGCTCAATCCGGACGTTCAAGATCCGGCTGTAGCTGCGTTCGGGTTTGGGCGTAGGATATGTCCGGGAAAGAACTTGGCGAAAGACTCTCTATGGATTACCATTGCTTCGATCCTCGCTTCATTTACCATCGAGAAGGCAACAGACGACAATGGTCGGCCTATCACTCCGTCGGAGGAGTACGAGTCCGGCTTGGTCAGGTAATCTCTTTAATGTTTTCAATTATATTTTGGAAGATACTTACGAAAGTCGGTGTAGCTATCCTAAGCCTTTCAAATGTTCTATCTACCCTAGATCTGAAGAACGTGCAGCACTCATTAGTGCTACCGTGTACGAATGCTAGGTTTTTCGACGGAAATGCTCCTCATAGAGTTGGTGAACCTGCCACTGGGCTTCCCTAACTGCCCATATATTAGAACATCTTACACAGTGTCTATGTACTGTATAAGCTCGATGTTGTTGGTTAATCTTATCTGTTAACTGATAAGAGTGATCGTGATCTTCGTCATTCCCCGGCCTTCGGTGCTGACCTGAACGTTTCACCATGATGTTAAGATTTCTCTTCATTTCCACCGTTCGTTTGTTACTACCTTCTTGCGAAGATGTCTGAAGCGTCGAGCTCTTCGTCCCGAGAAAAACAAGGTTCCATACCTCCTGGGATGGTTATGGGACCAGATGGGAAACCTTGCAAAATATGTACCGCGTTTCGTCACTGGAAACCTCCCGCCAACGCTTCGAAGTCCACTGCTCAGAGCCAGAAATCTTCGGCTACGGTTATGGCTGCTATAGCTGCAGAAACAGCATCCTCGAAAACATCGCCATCTGCCACAGATACAAGACCTGATTACTGTCCGCCAGACGTCGAACAGCTCGGGCGAGCAACTTGGACATTCCTCCACACTACTGCTGCGTATTATCCAGAGAAACCTACTCCCACGCAACGAGTCAATATGCTCACTCTCATCCGGGCATTGCCTGTGCTATACCCGTGCACGCATTGCGCGTCACATTTGGGCGAGACTATGAAGGAGCATCCTCCAGACGTCAGTGGAAGGGTCGGTCTCAGCCGTTGGTTTTGCGAGAGGCATAACGAAGTAAATGAGCGGTTGGGGAAGGAGAAGTTTGACTGCTCGATTCAAAAGCTGGACGAGCGGTGGAAGGACGGACCTAGCGACGGAAGCTGTGACTAAAGGTAGGTAGGGACTGGTTGTATAAATTTGCCATTACTCTGATTGCTCTGCCAGGATGCTAGCCGCATAGCTCATACGAGGCAGCACAACTGCATATGTGTATATACCATAGACCAAAATCACCTCTCAATCATTTATCTCAAGATTCTTGCGTGCAGCAAAGAAATTGACTTTCTCTCGTTATTGCCGGTTCCTTGGCCATCCGCTCAAGTTGCATATCGTTGTATTCAAGAATATACCGATTAGTACACTTGTCAGCGTTTCACAACATTGGTGTGAATCAAGGCGAAGACGACCAAGTCCTCGTGATACCTAACCCTTTTTGGATGCGCGGGAATCATCGCACGCTAACACGCCCCGGTGCCATAGCATGTATAGCGCTGCTTACTCGTATAAAGCAACATCGATCACCTCAGCGTACGACAGACGAAACCCTTCAAATCAAGGGATCATTTAACCATCAAATTCGAAAGCGAACTGTTAGGTTTTCAACGTGGACATAGCAGGACTATATGCTCCTGTCACCCACAATAGCCAATGTCAACACTTCTCGATCTCCGTCCCCGCAACTACTCGACCCTCCCCCACCTTACTCAAGAGCCGATTCCAATTTTTTTCCCATCTGAAAGAGCTTTCTCTGCGAGCTCTGACTCTGGGTCTATTGACTCAGCTTTCGCCTCTTCACACCGCTCCCCGTTAGTATCGGACTCTCGTTCGCCCTCAAGGGACGTCGAAACTGGTGCATATGCTTCAACATGCCCCCTGGATTTGCTTGAGTCTATTTCTGATGGCCCATGCTGGATTTCTGTCAAGAATCGAGTCCTTGGACGGATTGGAATTGGAAAATTACAGGCCGCGTGGTGCAGAAGACAGATATGATTGTACCCGAAGAGTTTTTCATTCCACATGGCTCTTGAAGACGAGTCCGCTCCAATAGATGAAATGGCGTTCAACAGCGCTGCAGATAAGCTATTTTTTGTCCTAGAAGAAGGCAATGTGTACCATATATCCAAAGGGAAGGTACAGTATGCCGACCCCAAGATCAAGCGACCTATAAACTTGTCATGGATGACTTCACGGAGGTTGAAGAGGTTAGTGTTAGTCATGATAAGTTGAGAAATATTACCGATGACATCTTATTTTTTTCCCTAGTGCCCCGACGAGGACGAGGATGGTGCACGTTCGAAGCGCGCCCGATCTGTGTCCGGCCTTCGCAACCCCACACCATGGCGCCCCCTCAGGCGTAGTACGTAGAGCTCGTCTACAGTCGTCCAGCTTCTCATGAATACAACACAGGACATACAACGGGAGTATTGCAATACTCCGTCGGAGGCGACATGACATGTCCGGACCAGATGGGGACGAGCCGGCAGAGGCTTGGTGCTGTCCGGACCAAAGGGCAACAGGAAGCAGTGTAGACTAGGGTTGCACCAATATCCTGTTATGAACAGCCTACGACGATTCCAGGTGAGAACATGATCACTGCAGTCTCGTACATTTCCACCCAAGTCTACAAACATGCCGGTGAGTACCAATTCACCGCCACGCAGTTCTTCCTTAGATCGTTCAAGCTGTTCGGAGCTTGCGTGAAAAAATCCCGCAAGAGTTGTTATTGAAGCGGGATAGTACTCCGGTAGGGTTTCTAATATTCACCCGTTTATACAATTTCTAAAGAACCAGAGGCTTGAGGATTGGCGGACCAAATCGGCACTTCTGCGTAGGCCTGATGGTATGCCGGACCAAAGGAAGCCCAAACCTTGACCGGGCCAAAAGCCTTCAAAATGAGGCGGTTCGGGATCGTGCCTCTAAAGGGTTTCAGGGTCCTATTCAGGACCGGCATCTGGACCACCTGACTGTGGGCCGTGGCACCACCGAACACTGCGCGCTCTGGAGGAGGAGGGTGAATGGTGAAAAGCGCCAAAGGCCCAGACACACCGACGGTGAGCACCTATCACCTACAAATCCCCAGCACTTATTAAGCACCAAATCTGAGGGTGATCAGGACATTTCAAGGTATTTCGGGTGCACAGTGGAAACACCAGCGAGTAGCCCGAGAATAGCTTATAATGGATTCTCAGAGCACTTCGCCGCCCTTGCCCATCAAGACGATGTCTATCCTTGCGCTAGGCATTATCGCGTGCATCTTCCGAATATTCCTCGCGTGTAGGATATATGCTCGTAGGACGTCATCTTATCCTCCAGGGCCTCCAGGGTTGCCTCTTCTCGGTATGATACGCGATGTTCCCACTTCCAATGCGTGGCTCAAGTACGTCGAATGGGGTCGCCACTATCGGGAGTTGTTTGCATCGCTGGGTATCTATCTGGCTGCTAACACCTTTCTGTAGGCTCGGATATCATACGACTCAAGATCCTTGGAACTGATATGCTCGTCCTCAACTCATTAGAAGCAGCCACTGATCTTCTTGAGAGGCGATCTTCCATCTACAGTGATCGGTATGTTGCATACTTGAATCAATACATGTTCCTCGCAAATTGTTGTCTGCATAGACCACATCTCACAATGATGGTGGACTTATAAGATTCAGATGATTTCCTGTTTTCATGTCTGATATCACCTTGATATAGATTGGGCTTAGGTTGGTCTATAACCCTCGCACGGTATGGTGAACAATGGCGAGATATGAGAAGAATGTTTCATCAAGAATTCAACCACGATGTTGTGAAGCAATACCAATGCATTCAGATACAAGCATGCCACGAGCTCCTGAAGCGGCTGGCCACCCAACCTGAACGCTTCGTCCAAGATATTCGACAGTGAGTCTTGTTATTTTATTCTATTTTACTGAATTAAGAGTATGATTGTCCTTTCAAAGTATGACAGGACGAGTCATAATGATGGCGATATATGGCAATCAGGTCGAACCGGAGAACGATCACTACATTAGCATCGTTGAGCGTGGAGCGGATACCTTTTTGGCTATCATTGCTAGGTCATACTTGGTCGACTCTGTACCGTATTGTGAGCACTGCCTAAGCATCAAAAACACTGCGTCTTACATCTTCACATCACTATTCTCAGTGAGATACCTTCCAGGATGGTTCCCCGGAGCCACGTTTCTTAGACAGGCAAAGATCTGGAGACCAATAATGGATGCTCTTGTGAATGAACCCTATCAGCACGTGAAGACGGGTCTGGTTTGTACTAGGCTATCTGCTCAATTGCTGGCCAACAGAGACTGATGGTATTTTTTTCAGGTGACCGGTGAAATTCATAAGTCCGCAGTAACATCCCTTCTGGAGAGCATTCCAACAGGCGGGAAGGACGCGAAGTACATGGAAGACACCATGAAGGGTACTTTGGCGACTATATACTCCGGTGAGCAAAGCCTAATGAATATTCTTTGAATTCCTGACCTTCCATCGCTATTTTTCAAGCTGGAGCAGACACGGTACGCATGCATGACGCGAAGGAGATGCTAGTTTACTATCTCATTTGCAGACTGTCTCGTCATTGGTCTCGTCCTTTCTCGCGATGGTTCTGTATCCAGAAGTTCAGAAGGCACAAGAAGCTATTGATAAGGGCATTGGCTCAGACCGGCTTCCAGACTTCTCAGATCGCGAGGCCCTACCATTCATTGAAGCTATCATGAATGAAGTACTCCGCTGGAATCCTATCACTCTACTTAGTCAATTTTCAGCCTCTTCCGTTCACTGGACATGCAGAATACTTACTAGGTATCCTCTAGACATTCCTCATTGCCTGACCAAGATGATGTATACAACGGATACTTTCTACCGAAAGGTTCTCTCGTTGTTGCAAATAACTGGTGAGCACAGCGTACCTAGATAGTCCCAATGACATCCACCTGACAGTTTAAGGGCCATTTTGCACGACGAGAACGCATATCCAGACCCCTTGATTTTCAATCCCGACCGGTTTATGGAAGATGGCAGGCTGAATCCTGATATACGGGATCCAGATACTGCTGCATTTGGCTTTGGACGAAGAACGTGCCCCGGCGAACCCATGGCAAAGAATTCTCTTTGGATCTCCATCGCATCAATCCTTGCTTCATTCATTATTGAGCCTAAGAAAGATCCGAACGGGCTTCCCATCATTCCAATTGAGGAGTATATCGGCGGATTGATGCGGTGCGACAATAGACTTCTATTGTGTTGCTCATGAGCGATGCTAACGAATCTCGACAGCCACCCGAAGCCTTTCGTATGTTCTATTCGCCCTCGATCCATGAAATACAGGGACCTGGTGACAGCCCCTTCAATTGAAGAACGTTAGAACATCCACTACGCGCAGATTCGTTATGCTATGTCAAATCTCTTTCTATCTATAATGGCGACAATCGAATTGCCGTGAATGGAGATGTATCATAACAATGGCATCGGTGATCCCAGGCGTTAAGCCTAAATACAAACGTCAACGTCAGACAGAGATGTCCTGAGGTACGAAGGTTGCGTCTCTGTCTACACTGCCCGTGCCAGGAGACTAGCTCTTGCAGAATCCAACATGCCGATCGAGGATCCTTCGGAAATATGTCATTGCCTCTTCCAGTTGATCAGGTATCGATCAACTGGCTAAGGTCTCCAAATTTAGGAAAATGATTGCTAAAAATCACTGGGGCACAGTCTGGTCCTCAATTGCCTCATGCTCGAAGAGCATCCTCCCACCATCTTCTATAGTAACAGCTCAAATTGACACTCCCAGATCCACCGTTTTCGGTGTAACTTATCATGTTGGATGCCTTCGTCGCTCCCACTGCAGTGTCAGGCGCACAGTTGGACCAAGCGACTATACAGTGATGATTAAAGACTCAGGATGGCCCTTATTAGGTGCGCCGACGTGGACACTTACTGTACAGCAACCCGATTATTATCATATATGGTCAGAAATGGACCTACATTCAATGTACTAGGATGACGCCGCGTAACCCGTAACTCATAACCTCGGAGGCGTAATCTTCTGATGCATGTGCTGGCCGTAACGCAGAGCTGTGCATTCCTTCCGATCAACAGGCCCAAAACGTCTAGCTCAGCATATCTTTAAAAGGACGAGTACGGTCTGACCACGTTGTCAAGTTGCCCTTTACTTGGATTCCGAGGATACTAACAACGGAATTTCCAAGTCGTTGTCCATTTATGGAACCCTTTGGATTCAGTGACCCTGATAATGCAATGCTACGTGTTAATCCATTTGCAGTGCCTTTGTATAACTCACTCTTAGTTCGACGTTTCTCTGAACTGTGCTTTCAGGATCCGCGCCATAACAAAACATGTGTCTTCTGCTCTAGCCTAATCCGTCTTCTGTTGCTATGGCAAATCATTTTGCTCTCTCGTTGCCACGAGCCGATCCCCTCCTAGTGTGTACCTGATATACTGAGGCTGCAGATGCACGACCCGCATTTGGCCAGATGGATGCAGTTATTGGGCGCCACACTTTGCAAACCGGATCCAGGATTTCTGTCAGTTGCGGTTCTTCTCCGTTTATATCCTAGAATATCCCTCGACCTAAAGCGGGGACTGTTGAACATGAGGCCATGATAATGATATAAATACGAGCTGTCATTCCTTAGGTCTGGACAACACATCCACTGTACAATTTCTCCACACCGGGCAAACACTATTGTCGTACCCTGATTTCGCCATGGCTGCTAACGACTTTGAGAACGGTTTACGAAAATACGAAAGAAATGCTGTTTGCGTTTGCTGTTTCAAGCTCCCAGACCCCGAGGACGAAGGCTTCCACTGGGCGATCACTGTCTGCAACAACGCGGAAGAATACAGCTTCTACCTTTTTCATGCTACTAATCCAACCAACTCTGCAGCACGATGGGAATATCGATGTACCAACTACCCACTACGCAGATCACAGGCGTTGAAATCCGTGAACGAGATAGGTAAGCTGCTCGTCTTTTCCTGTCCTCCCTGCCGACATTTTTTGCCAGGATTTTTGTCGCAGGGCTGGACTGCAGATCTTCTCAAGCGCGAACTCGCTGTGATCCCACTTGACGTTGAAGCAAGCGATGGTGTACCACCTAACAGATTTAGTTGTCGCATATGGGTCCAACGTGCACTCCAGCACATATCGCGCAAACGTATAGTGCTATTCAGAGGATCTCAGACTTTTCTCAATGTAGAAAGGATTATGAATGAATGCTCAGAGGCCGCCGGCGAAGCCAAGTTTAGCGGCCAGCTTGTGCAGCGACGCTCCGGCTGTCACACCAGTAACACCGAAATGCGTGTTCAAACTGACATCGCGCTACCGCACGGAGTACAGTTTCGGGCACTATAAACATCACTGGAGCGGCATTTTAGTCACATATCGATATGCCTGCATTCTTATTTCCCTTCTCTGATTGTATCTCCTACATAGCTTGTGTTTTGTGCTCCAGTTCACGTCCATGTAATGCGATCTAAATATTTGTTTAATCTTTGGATTCAGCATGTCCACGGTTCTTGAATCCAGGTGCAACATTGAACAGACCTCTCCAATTTATCTCTATTGGGGGTATTGAAAGTTTTCCTGACAAAGAATATGGGACTGCATCGTTGTTCAACGAAAAGCCACGTGTCGAAACACTCAGCTCCCCGATTTCGTCCAACTTGCGAGAAATACAACTGGGTTGAATAGCAGTCAATTGGTACACGAGATGAGAAATTATTGTTTGCGAATAAACATAAACGAGCGCGAAAACAAGACAAAAGCAAGTTGTACAAAAAAAAATAGATCTAAGCAAGTCCATAAACCCCAAAAGATACGACGCATCTATACAGCCTCACTCATCTCCACAGGCAATTGGCTGTACCCAGCAGTCCGTCTCCCGGAGCTGAAGATACCGCGCAGACGGCTCGTAGCATCGCTGAACACAGATCTGAGCATTCCAGGCTCGTCGTCCGGAGGTAAGGACTCTCCTGGCATCAAACTGGATGCAGGACGTTTCCACCATTTCAATGCGAGGGAGCTGGTGATGACGCTGACGGATGAGAAGGCCATGGCAGCACCAGCCATCATTGGGTGGAGATGAAGACCAAAGGGAAGGAAGAAACCCATTGCGAGGGGTATACCGAGAACGTTATATATGCAAGCCCAGACGAGATTTCGGCGGATGACTGAGAAGATAGATTGTGAGAGATGAAGAGCCGCAACGACATCGAGCAGATCTGAGCGCATGAGAACGATGTCGGCTGCTTCGATTGCGACGGAAGTTCCTGAAGAGAGAGCGATACCAACGGACGCTGCGACCAACGCAGGAGAATCGTTAATGCCATCGCCAACCTGTAAGACAGATAGATAGAACATTGTCAAGATGTGCATATCGATATGAAAGGTTCATTGCATACCATGGCAACGCCACCGCCGAACTTCTCCATAAGCTCAGTGATGACCGCAGCCTTCCCTTTAGGACTCATATTGGCCCAAACACCGTCGGGACGAATACCAACCTGCTTAGCGATAGCCATAGCCGTAGGCTTGCTGTCTCCGGTCATCATATTTACGTCAATACCCATTGACTGAAGTGCCTTGATAGCCTGAGCTGTAGACTTCTTAGGCGCATCTGAGAGAGCGATTGCAAGGACTGGATACGGCCTAGAGGAAGGAGAAGTGGCAATGGAAACAAAGATAGCACTACGTCCATGGTTCCCCTCGTCCTCGTTGAACGACGCGAAAGTCGATGGGAGGTCGTCATGGTCTGCCTGAGTAATGAAACGTGCGTTGCCAATGTAGATCGTGCGGTTAACTTTCGTCGAAGTCAGACTGACTGTAGCTTTTACACCAGCGCCAGTGACACTCTCGAATGTCTCAATGGAAACGTCTGACACAGTCACCAAAGACTTCGCAAGGAGGTCCTTCCCATAGACGGCAACCGCCTTTGCCAGTGGGTGTTCCGATCGTGCCTCTGTAGCGGAGACCATAGCAATGACGTCCGCGCGAGTGATACCTTCAATAACCATAGTTGTCAAAGGGGCATCTGTCAATGACTCTGTGCGGTCCGCAGAGTAATCCGACGATGCCCAAGCAGATGACGTTACAGTCATTTTGCCTTCTGTGACTGTACCAGTCTTATCAAGCACGATCCGCTTGATACTCCTGCTCGACTCGAGTGCACGTCCGCCCTTGATCAAAATACCGTTCTTCGCCCCGACACCTGTACCCACCATGATTGCAGTCGGCGTGCTAAGCCCGAGGGCACAAGGGCAAGCAACGACAACCACGGAAATGCAAAGCTGCAAGCAGACAGCCAACTTGCTCGCTCCATGGTGGCGGAACATCTCCGGAAGAGCGGAATCGTCGAGAAGGTGCGATATGACCATCCAAGCGGTGAAAGTAATGAATGCGAGAGAGATGACCGTTGGAACGAAGTATCCTGCGACCCTATCTGCGAACGCTTGGATAGGCGCTTTGGATGTCTGCGCGTCCTCAACGAGTTTGACAATCTGCGCGAGTGCTGTGTCCTTTCCAGCTCGTGTGACCAGCATGTCAAACGTTCCTAGACCGTTGACCGTCCCCCCAATCACAGTATCTCCGGGCTGCTTGAGCACGGGGACAGGCTCTCCGGTGACGGCGCTCTCATCAATAGAGGATGAACCTCTGAGGACGGTTCCGTCTGCTGGAACCTTGTCACCCGGAACAAGCTTGACAGTGTCGCCGACTTGTACAAGCTCTGTCGGTATCTTCTTCTCCTGCGTACAAGCAGGCGCGTCGGTATAGATCGTAGCCATAGATGGAGCAAGTGCCATAAGATCTGTCAGAGCTGCACTTGTCTTCCCTTTGGCCCGATTTTCTAAATATCGTCCAAGCGAGACAAACATAATAAGCATGGTGCTAGTGTCAAAGAAGACAAAGGGTCGGTAATCTGGATCAGGGTTACGGGTAGCGAATAGCATGGCAAGGAGGGAATAGAAGTAGGCTGCAGATGTACCGAGCATGACCAGGACGTCCATAGTGGCGCTGCCATGTTTCAAAGACTTGTACGCGTTCCTGTAGAACTTCCTACCGACCCAGAACTGTGCAGGCGTTGTGAGCAACAGAACGAGGAGGTCGCCTAAATAGACGCCACGACACATTCGGTGGTCAACAATAGTCTTGAGTCCTGGTATCCGTTTGGCGATCATGCTGATTAAAAACACGGGTAAGGCGAAACCGAGGGCCCAGTAAAATCTCGAGCGCCATTCCTGAATCTCCTTCGTTCGAGTCAACGAACGCAGTTGTGTTGCGTCTTCCTGGTCCGAGAGCATCGCATCGAAGCCTAGCTCTTCGATACGTTCTACCATGTCTCGAGGACCGATCAGCCCGTGATCGAATTCAACTTTGCATGTTCCTAACGACTCAGATACCGCCACGCTTGTGATTCCTGGCATCGCAGACAGTTGCGTCTCGACGGTCGACGTGCATGATGAACATGTCATGCCATAGATGCGCAGCGTAACCACGTCGGATCGTGTTGGAGGGATCAAGGTAGCATCAAACCCGATGTCCGAAATTTCCTGTGAACCTTAAGTCAGAAACATTACGAAGCAGATAGAGCGACATGTCGGCCAAAAAGACGAGTCAGGAGATATGTTCCCAGCCTTTTCGCGACAGGCCTTCCCCGCCAGTTGTGGCCCGGAGTCAGCGTGTGGTCATTCTATCTGGAGAATGCTCTATGTATGCTGTCGATATGAGCCGCCATAGAGTACATGCGTCCGTTAAAGCAGAATTTCGTCTCACAAAGTTGAACAATCATGCCTAAGAACAATGAAGTGAATGCTCACATTGATAATCTTTTCTGGTGTCCAAACATCGGGCTCATACTCGACGAGGCCCCGCTCGGCAAGTAGAGCAACCTTGACATTGTGGATACCAGGTTGTGTCCTAAGCATACTTTCGATGCTCTACTTGCAATGAATGATCAACCCAGCGATACGTAGCGAAAGACGCACCTCGACGCAGGCTCCGCACGTCATTCCCTCGATACGAAGTTCACATTTGTCGGAGAGTGCGCCCATTGGTGTAGTAGCAAGAGGCTCCTCTTCGCCCATAGGTAACTCGAGCTTTCCGGCAGCAGGAGCAGGCTGGTTCCTCCCCAGCAGATTAGATATAAAGGTCGACATGGCGGATGGGAATTAACCCTAGGCACACTACGTGGCCCAGCCAAGTCAATCTAAGCAGGTCCGAACGGAGAATGAAGGGAAGAGAGTGGGTAAAGTTCGGATTTAAAGGCGGCCTGCGCTTGACTGGTACCGTAGCTGGATGAGGCAACCCTGTGTGAGAATTCAGCGCCTCCCATCAAAAGTGATCTAATCTAAACAGTAAACTTTATCTTATCTGATAACACGAGTCCAGGCTCTAATAACGTTGCTACAACATGCTACAACACATTGCTCTTGGTCTCTTTTGAGTTTATAACGAACTTCAACCATCGTCCACACTACTGACAATGTCTGAGCCCACAGTGACCGCTACCGCACCCGCTGCTGAGCCTGCGGTCATTGAAGAGCCTAAGCCCGAAGCTGTCACCGAAGCGCCAGCAACTGTACCTGCGACTGCAGAGGCTGCACCCAAACCAGACTCAACACCTGCACCGGTATCAGAGTCTGCGGTCAAAGAAGATGAGCCTCAGAACCCATTGACGGAGAAGTTCACCGATGAGGAGTGGAAAGCATTGAAAGAATTCCGAGTCAGTACACCTGTCATCTAAACGTATGATCACTGCAACTGACATATGCCATTCGTCAGACTCTTCTTCCCGAGATCTTTGCTGAAGCTTTTCACCCTGATGACAAGTCTGCAAAGTCGGAACCCATTCAGCTCTGGGGTGTCACCATTGACCCCAATGCGCCTAACAAGGATGCTCGCGTCAGCGTCATTCTCATGAAATTCCTTCGTGCTCGGTAGGACAAGATCTACTCATCCTTATTTCCAATTTATTCAGTTTGTTTTACAGCTCTTTGAACGTGAAAGAGGCACACACAATGTTGGTTGGTACCCTCCGTTGGCGTGAACAGTTCAAGTTCAATGAACTCGCCAAAGAGGAATTCCCACATGACATCTTCGGTAAGCTTGGATACATTAGCGGCAAGGATAAGGACGGCCAACCTGTTGTGTGAGTATTGGCATTCACATCATTAACATAATCCGCTGATGTGTCTGTAGTTACAACCTCTACGGTTCAATTACCGACATGAAGGCAGTCTTTGGCGACGTTCAAAGATTTATTCGGTAACCTCCATTTCATCGCTAGTGATGAATCAGGACTTACCGAATATAAAGGTGGCGAGTACAATTCATGGAGAAGAGCATCGAACTTCTTGATTTCGTCAACATTGATCAAATGGTGCAGGTTCACGGTAAGGGTCTAGTTCCATTCTACGCTATTCAATGGCTCAAGTCAATTGAATGGTTTCGATAGACTACGATGGTGTCAGCTTCCTGGCAGGCCGTGACGCGAATCAGAAAGCAGCGGCAGCCGAAGCCACTAACATCTTTCAGAACCATTACCCCGAGTTCCTTGTACGTGCATCCACTACTCTTCATCATTTTACCCAATCCGTTCTGAATCTCATATTATTCGCCAGTCACGCAAGTTCTTCATCAATGTTCCAACCGTATTGTCATGGATCTTTTGGCTCTTCAAGCCTCTTCTCTCCGCTGCAACCCTCGCAAAGATGAGCGTTGTCGGTCATGGAAAGAGTACTATCAAGACTGCCTTCTTGCCAGTCATCGACGCTGAGCAGATCCCGAAGCGTTATGGTGGCTCCGCTCCCGACTTTGAAGAGAAGGCCTGAGGAGGTATGAATGCATAACCGCACGGGCTTTCGCCACGAGTTGGGAGTTACAAGGTTTCTCTGGAATACCCGGCTTCGTTGCTGTATACCGAGAACGTCGTTTCTGACTGTCTTAGATGACGTTGTGCTTGTAGATCTATCTCTTCGTACCTTTCCTCCCTGAGTTTACCCTCCTTTCGCCTTTCGTTACATACATACCCCTACTCTTTCTATAACACTTACCTCTGTTGACGGATACCTACTTCGACAAATTAGTTCTCCTTATCCATGCTTTTGACACAGTATCTGGTGCCGATGAAATAAGTATACTTAGCTGATTTCCCAACTCTCTAAACTCCTTCATAGGACGTTCACAACTGGAGAGCTTGCTGCATCCCGACTGCAATGTTCACAGCAATAAATACTAAGGTAGGTTATACAATGAATATAATAATATCTGGATGAATGTCTGTATAAGTCAACGATCGCTTCATCAGGCCTCTACGTGAATAGCATTCGCAATCAACTCCGTGTCTGGCAGACCTAGGACGTATGGCACATGTACTAAATGGTGCCGGATGATTACATGTTCGTCCATGAGCCTGGAAATCGGAGAATACATGTTCGACCTTCTAGTCAGTGCCGAATTGCTTGTCCTGTGGGTCGATTGTCGAGGAATCAATGAGTGTGGCCTGCGAAGAGAGGGGAAAAGTGTGATAAAATAAGAGACGTACATTGGCGTCATCGACAGGCTCCCCTAAGGAAGCGGCTAGAGTTGCTCAATAGTTAGATTCGAATATCTGGTTACGTGTAGCGCTTACCATCACCGAGGAGAACGACCTTCGGTGCAAGTTCCCGTAGGGTTGTGGACAATCCATGGCTCGTGGGAGACAATGTCTAGACCAACCTTATGCTTAATACTGGATCGAACAGGATTCTCGAGAGAGTGCTCTTACCGTAGAGAGCCTGTTTAAATCTTCGTCGCTCGAGATAGCCATTTGTGCAGAGGAATTCTGAATGTTTTCACTGCTTATTGAATCTCCTCGCACAAAAGAGTCAGTTGGAAGCACGCACATCAAGAAGATAATCTAGTATGTCATCCACTGGGTTCGGACTACTAGTGTATGTCTGGCGAGCACACTATCAATAGGATTGCAGATGACATGAACACTTAACGGCTCACTTGACGACGTCCTCTAGTCTTATACTGACTCTCCGAGGCAGATGATACGGTACCATGGGCAATGTCCCGATTATCTTTCGGTTTCACGCGTGCTGTAATCTTTCGGCCCAAAAAGGCTGGCGTTCGATATTTGATTTTGTAGTATCGCAAGAAGACACATTGGTCCTTCCGCTGGGGAGAAGGTTCCTCATCCATTGTCTTTGTCATCCGGTTGGGCCCATCTCTGTATTCTACGGAGTGCGAGTGGTGTGTAGAAACCGCCGTTGAGACGCTAACATGTGCGTATAAGTTTGCTTTACTTCCGAAGGTAAGCTCGAGAGAGTCCCCTTGATTTGTAAACGCGGCAACTGTCCAACTTGTAGTCTTGACCCAACCGCGAACAAGGATAATATCCTCTTTGTCAAGCAGGAATCCTTGGTTTCTGGCAAAATCGCACCAGCTTTGGTGATGTCGGAGCATATACTCAACAAACTGCGCATTCGCAAATACGGCTTCGGAAGTTGCGTGATCCTTCAGAACCAAAAGTGCGCCTTCGTTTCGACTACATGTGTAGCGACATGCGAGGTCAATAGGAATCATCTCACTATAGTGGGCCCTAGTCAGTAATTTTATCAATTCGAATAAGAGGTCAATATACTTACCCGGAAGCATCTGCCCCCAAGCTCATTTGGCTCATGGAACTGCTGCATAAAACACCGGGATCAAGAAAATTGTCTGATCGATTGATCAACCGAGAGTTGGATTGCAGCAGTTCGAAATTCGGAGGTACTCCATTCGAGTTGAGTGGGTCACTCTGCGGCTTGGTGACGTTGAAGAGACGGAACCACGCGCCATCTTCAACGAATCCTACATCTCCAATACATACCTCGCCGTATGAGGAAGGCTCAGGCCTCCAGAGTGGTATACCGTAGCCACGAGCTCCAAGTTGTTCTGCATATACTTTCGAGGCAAGACCCATGCGTAAAGGGAAGGGAGCTCGAGAGAAACAGGGGAGACTCAGTGGAGGTGAAGATGAAAGCCAAGTCGAATTTCATGATACGTTTAAGACCTGTAGTATGTGTATGTGGGAGCAGTGCTATAGGTATGGGTATTAGGAAGCTGCCATTCGCCGGGGAGGGCAGAGAGCCTGAAGACCGGCCATGGTGGACATGCATGCCTGGCATGGCCTTACTCCTAGACTTAGAAAAGATGTTAGTAATTCACAGCCTCGAATAAAATGAGGGATCGTGCCACACACAAGCTTTATCGGCATATGAAGACTACGATCCTTGGCTTCTGTAGAACCCAAACATGCTATGCGCTGAAGGACTGTGGAAGACTGGTAAGCATGTCGAGAGACGATGAACAAATCGAACAGAAGAACTCCCGAACGATCATTCTACTGAAAGATCTGGTTCACGTGTATGGATAACGGTGCTCTTGTATTTGACGAGCAAGTAACGAATGCCAAGCGAACCAATTGGCGCCGTGATTGCTTGTACATAGATCTACCTCCATTCTTGGATTTTACGCTTCTTTCGCCTTCTTCTCATCATACCCCCAACTCTATGTGTAACAGTAACCTCTCTCTCTCTATTGACGGATACGAACCCCGCGGTTAGTTCACCTTATTCATACCCTTATCATAGAATCTGGGAACTGACGACATATGAAACTTGAATATTAGCTGAATGATTCAGCTATTAGCTAATATTTCATCATAAGACATCTACAACTGATGAGCTTGCTACAGCCATCCTGACTGCGATGATAACAGCAACAATCTGTGAAGGTAGAATGTACAATGGAAACATATGAGTTCTCGTTCGTGCAAGTCCACCGCTTCATCAGGCTTCTTCGTGAACAGTACTCGCGATCAATTCTTCGTGTTTGGCAGTCCTAGGACTTATGGCACATGTAAATGGTGCCGGGTGGCTACATATTCGTCCATGAGGAGCGAAACAACAGAATGACTCGTCGTGCGGACCTTAGAAGCCCCGGAAGATATTCCTCAGGCGGCTTGATCTCCTCGCCATTTTGACCTTTTGCAGGTTCGATTGTGAACGAAGCCAGGATGGATGCGATTGAAACCCACAAAGACTCTTTTACTAAATGAATTCCGGGACATTTTCTTCGACCGAATCCGAAGGCAGCCGTATCAGGATCGAGCACATCGGGATTCAACTTGCCGTCCTTCATGAACCTATCAGGATTGAACGACGAGGGGTCTGGATAAGTCAACTCGTCATGCAATATGGCCCTAATACAGCATGTAAAGTGTTTGGGTTTATCACTGAGGTATTTCAACTCACCAGCTATTTCCGACTATAACTGAACCCTTTGACAGAAAATAGCCATTATATACATCATCTTCGGAGAGACGATGAGGAATGTCTGCAGAGTGCTGGGTCAGTGTTATCCAAAATCAATTTAGAGCATCAATCTAAAACGAACTGAGGGAGATAACAGGGTGCCAGCGAAGCGATTCATTCATGATGGCAGTGATATAGGGCAAGGATTCATAATCTGAGAAATCGGGCAGTCGTTCAGGGCCGATGACCTTGTCTATTGCTTCTTGGGCTTTTTTCTGGACCTCTGGATACAATGTCATCGCGAGAAAGAATGAGGCCAGCGCTGCGACAGTCTGAATCGGGGTCAGCAAATCATCACTGTGGCATAAATACTGTCGATAGTACCGTGTCCGCACCAGCTGGCAGAGATCGTGGTGAGTAAGAGTTGCCTAAGTATCAGATGAAAGCCTAATACCCACCGGCATATATTGTTGCCAATGTGTCTTTCACCACGCCTTCCATATAAGCTGGATCTTTTCCACTTTGTGGAATACTCTCCAAAAGAGAGGTTGCGGTACATTCATTCAGCGCACCGTCGCCTAGCTTGAACCCGAATATCAACAACCAAAGGAAAACCGATGCGTGGATTAATTACACACCATACGCTTCTTCACGAATCGGAATGGTTCATTCAGCATGTCGTTTACCGCTGGTCTCCACATCCTCGCCCGGCGTTGAAAATTGGCTCCGGGAAACCATTCCGGTAGGTACCTCACTGTGCGTTACAATCTCGCGGTTTCAATAATCAACCTCTTGGATATGTCGCGGAACAAATACGCACGAATTGGTATAGAATCGACCAAGTACGACCCGGCGTTCACTGTGGAAGAAAAGGCTTCTGTTGCACCTTCTGCAAAAGCAATATAGCGATCATTTTCGCTCTCAACGTCAATTCCGTATGCCACCCTCAGGATAATGCGACCTGTCATACTGGATAAACAAGTCAGCGCCTGAATCGAGAAAGAATAGATGACAATAAGTGCTCACTGTCGTATGTCTTCTCTGAAGCGCTCAGGCCGAGAGACCAGTCGCCTCAAAAATTCATGACATGCTTGTATGTGAACATCTCGAAACTGCTTCACCGAATCGTAGTTCAAGTCGCGATGCAATGCTTTTCTCATGTCTCGCCAACGTTCTCCATACGGAAGCAATGCCAAGGTCCAACCCATACCAATCCTCCAATGCAAAATATGACCACAGGCTTAACAGGTAAAAGGGAATCACGTACAAGTCACTGATCATGGTCATGTGCGGTCTCCAGAATGGGACGGTAAGTGCAGGATACAGCCACCAAGGAACGCAACATACCTGTCATTATAGATCGTTGACCTTCTGTCAAAGAGGTCTATGGCGGCTCTTAGTGAATTGACGACGATGATATTGGTACCGAAGACGTTCAGTCGAATGATATCCGAAACTAACAAGATCTTCGGTAAAATGATACCGGGCGATTGTACAGGGCACTCACGATACTGACAACTCCATTGAACATACTTACGCCAGGCTTCATGGGAAGGCACATCGTATAGATTACCAAGGAAAGGTAGTCCTGGAGGCCCCGGAGGACTTGAGTAGGAAACCGAGGCGCTGCGAATGTACAACCAGTACAGGACAGCAACAGTCAAGATACATACAATAACATCCAGTGCGATGATGGCCATGATTTAGGTCAATCGTGGAGGCCATCCTCACCTTCTTATAGCCGATGTAGCATGAGAGCTCTTGAATCCACTCTTGGAAACGCAGAAACAAGAGTGCCTGCCAGTGGGATGTCATCGAAGATGTCATCGACGATAATAGTACGTGCCCGATCTTCTTCGGACGCAAAGAATTAACAAACAGGTCAGCTGAGAAGTTGAATTGTCAAAACTCAATATCAATGTTGAACTAACGATGACTCCGCGTCGGCGACATGACGACTTGTATGACAGTTCCAATATGTAGATGCGGAAACAAGCAGCCCAGATGGAGCACAAAGATTACCCGGTATGAGCCTCCAGTCAAAGGGATCTGCACGCTTGGGGCATATTTGTTCGTAAGAATGCAGCAGAATTGGACACGGATAGACTGAAGTTGAAAGGACAGAGCAAAGGAGCAGTATTTGAGGTTCCAGACTCTCGGTATTCTAGACATATCCCAAAAGGCGAAAAGGTCTTCGATCCTATCCAACAATAGGTAGTTGTCTCACAATGTCTGACATGCTAGGACGTTCGTCGCCCCAGCAGCTCTCCACTAGCTTCCAAAGTTCATCCGCCATAGTCTTCCAAGAGGACTCGTCGGGTCGCTCAGGGCGCGCGCCGTATATCACCTTAAAAGTAACTTGCACATCCAAGGCAATCTTAGGAAACGGTCGCTGGCGGGTGTAGAGCTATGACGAGTCGTAATGTGTATCAGACGGCTGTTAAGATTGTAGACTGATTCATGTTACTCACCTCAATGCAAGTGCACCCATAAGAGTAAACATCGGCCATGTAGTTCGGTCTCGATATATCACCTTTCAGTAGCTCAGGAGCCATCCATCTAGCTGTTCCTCCCGGGTGAGAACCTAATGTCAGTGTTGTAGAACCGTCAACCGTTGACAGTCCGAAATCAGCAAGTTGAATTCGCAGGTCGTCGTTGACAAAAATGTTACCCTGAATGGGAAGTCACTATTATTGTTTGACACTAGGTTCAAAGTAGTCCTTACACCACGAACATCCCCATGCACAATTCCTTGATCATGAAGGTATTCCAGACCTTTTGCAATCTGAAGGAGCTGATCCCGATTCAGAATATAAGTATGGACATCTAGCACTTCATAGTGGTAAGCTTACCCATGTGTCGACTATCCCCAGAGCAACTTGGGGTTCGAAATCCCGCATGGCGGTTACGACGTCGCCCTTGGAACACAAGGGGGAAACCATGCAAGGGCTATACCATTGGAAGGTTTGATCATCGATGCCCAGCAGCGGGAGTATGTTTGGATGTCGGAGCTGTCGCCAGACGATAGCTTCACGATAGAAGGCCTATATTCAGTAAATGGTCAAATAATGCCCTTCTGCGACAGGAAAACAGTGATCCCACGTCGATAGTGTCGGATGTATCATGCTGGTCGAAAGATGAGAAAATCCGAAGACGCTTGAGAGCTACCTTTTGCGTCTGCCACTTAGCACAGAATACATCAGAGTAACCCCCGTGACTGAGTGACTGCAACTCGACATCATTCACGCCACGTATGAACAAGGATGCAGGAATGTATCCAGACGTGCGAGAAAGTTTAATGAGGTATCGTCTAAGCGCCATGTAACGATTTCTTGGACCCTTCATTTGTTGGATGCTTGGCGAAGATCCGAAACTATCGAGTGCCTGAAAATTGATTAGACGTCATCTTGAGGGAGGCATGACGATCGTGAATTTTGACCTACTATCTGGATTATTCCCATGACAAACTGGACCACTTCTCTACCAGCAGCAAGTACACTTTCGAAAGGATCCCGGTTGAACACACTAATTGATCCCCAAGCCGAGTAGAACATGCATCTAGCAATGGCTTCTGGGTGTTCGTTCTGTGATTGTTGTGGCCCAAGATCAAGTACATCTGCGGGAACATCTGTAAAGATGGTATGTATCAAGTCAAAGCGATACCAGATCCCTTCGCCACGAGCTGGGTTGGTATTCATAAGTACATCTTTGAGAATGAGCACAAGAAAGTTATTACACACGATTGACGCTGCTGGACTCCGATTTGAAGCGGCGAGAGCCTAGCGCAAATTGAGTAGGTTTCAAGTCCACTTTTTTGTTATCAGAGCCCTGGGTATGAAACAATGAGACCTTGCCACGAATTGGCTCAGTACTGACAAACCTCTTCAATCTCCGTGTATTTATCTATGACAAGTTCATAGGTTGCAGTTCCTTGGGAATCAGCATACCGAACTTGACCTCTAGAGATGAAATATTCCTCTCCTTCCTCGAGGAGGAAAAACAGTCTGTCCACCACACTGTTGAATGCTACTCCATCTATTGAGCCGGATTCGTCTTCAAAGGTGACCCGGAACGAAACACTCTTATCATCGTCGGACACGATAATATCATTCTTCTTTACCAACCGGCATTTGAGTTTCCAGTTCCAAGTCATCCAAGGGGTCAAATCTTTGGCGCGAACATGATATTGACCTTCGGAAGTGGACCCGAAAGTACCCTGGCAGCTCACTGAGATATAGGGACCAGGTCAATCAAAAACTTCGTCTAGGTGAATTTTCTGCCGCTTACGAGGAGGCTTTACCCGCGCCGTGGAACTGGTCGATGAAGAGACCGGACGAGACTCAGAAGTGCCAGCAGTCGCATCAATGAGATATCTTGCACACCTCCCAAGGAGATCCAGTACGACTTTCCCGGCCTAGCAAAATCATGCCGAGCACATGATTGAGTAAAGACGACAACGATTGTCAGTCAAGTCAGAAGAGATTACAGAGTAGGACTGAGGTACCTTTAGAAATACTTACTAGTTGTTGACCCGCCGACCCCGCACCAAAATCTGGATGAGAAGGTAGTAGCACGAGCAGAAGAGTGGCGGCCTGGGAGAGAAGCACGAAGGCTGACTCGTAGTCTGCCGCACCCATATAATAGGACCCGGCCCTGTATAAGAGGCCTGCAATTTGCCACCAATGTGACAAGCCGAGCGATGGATCCCATCCGAAGTTATCAGCAAAAGTCGTTATGGACGGTAATTCAGGAGCTGGAGAGCTGGAAGCTGAAGACGGAGCAGATCTGTGGAGTATTCGGTCTTGATGGTCTTGGAGATAGTCTGAATTGCTACGTAGATCAACTTCGTCAAGGAAAACTGGCGGCCAGTCATCTAGCGATGAATAAGACAAGGTCCCAGATATACTAGCTGATTTTGGGGACGGAGATCTCGAGGTCTCAGCATTGGCTTGTTTACTGACAGTGGCCTCCTGGAGCATTACGGTACACCACGAGCAAGCTAGATCTGACTCTTAGCAGCAGCCTATTCGCTCCAAAATTCAGCATACCCACAGTAAAGACACGACTTACACACAGGGCTTTGCTGGTGGAAGTTGAGGTGGCTGATGGCTTACAAGGTTCACAAATAGACCGGATGTGTGTGCAACGTGTGACAGTGATTGTTGCGCATCCGGATTTGGCCAGCTATTGTATAGCTTTGGCTGTAATAAGCAGGTTCACTTCACCAACCGTCACATATCAGCACAGAGGTGCACTATGTAGCAGATCCTTGCAGTAGTCTAGAATAGAATAGTAAATAGTACAACAATCCCTAACGATACAACGCGTCACACGCGTAAACCAAACAAGGACCGAAAAAGAATCATGACCTCTCTCCTCGGAGACGACGAGCTAATGCAAGATCTTTTGGTTGGATGGTGACACGCTTGGCGTGGATAGCGGCAAGGTTGGTGTCTTCAAATAGTGAGACAAGGTAAGCCTCGGCGGCTTCCTGAAGAGCCATGACGGCTGACGATTGGAATCGCAGGTCAGTCTAGAGATGAGGGAAGAGTGTTTAGCGTCGGAGGCCGACGAAAGTCATAAACGTAACATACCTTGAAGTCCTGAGCGATTTCACGGACAAGACGTTGGAAGGGCAGCTTGCGAATAAGCAGTTCTGTCGACTTCTGGTACCGCCGAATCTCACGAAGAGCGACAGTACCAGGGCGGAAACGATGAGGCTTCTTCACGCCACCAGTCGCGGCCTAAAGGCAGAGTAAGCAAATGCGAGTATTGATAAGGAGATAAGTCACGTACAGCGGAAGTCTTTCTAGCCTGTGATTTGGCAGCGAGTTGTTTACGGGGTGCCTTGCCTTAAAAAAATCGAATCGCTAAATTAAGAGTCAACAGAATATTCAGATTAAAGGTACTTACCACCGGTAGACTTGCGAGCGGTTTGCTTGGTGCGGGCCATTGCAAATGTAATAAGGTTCGAAGAGTGACAAAGTAGATGTTAAAGTTGTGTGCGGTGGTGGCAAGGGCGGGGATAAGTGGAACATGGTGGACCAAGGCAAGCCTCTTTATAGGGCGGGACAGACGCAATCAACGCGACGCGACGCGTGCACGTGCGCGCTCGTTGACTGCCAATCAACGCGTGTGTTAGGCGCCCACATGTCCTATATAAAGACAGCGTCCGCGAGGTGATACCCTCTACTCGACCTTTGTCTCCCACCCCCTCCGTCTTCACATACAACCGCAGCAGCGGCAGCAAACCAAGTTTAAACTTTACTAAACACTCACAAATCAAATCACAATGTCTGGCCGTGGAAAGGGTGGCAAGGTATGAGTTTGGTCGAGATAGTGATCGGTTCACTTTACTCACGAGTGTCCTTTCGCTTCCAGGGTCTCGGAAAAGGTGGTGCGAAGCGTCACCGTAAGATTCTTCGTGATAACATTCAAGGTACGTCTCAATTCCATGTTGTCTATTCGGAAAATGATTGACCGTTGTGTTGAATAGGCATTACAAAGCCTGCTATTCGTCGTCTCGCCCGTCGTGGCGGTGTCAAGCGTATTTCTGGTCTTATCTATGAGGAGACCCGAGGTGTTCTCAAGATCTTCCTGGAAAACGTGCGTTACTATAGTACTTCCCGTACCTGGATTACACTCATGCTCGTTGGTCTCTAGGTTATTCGTGATTCTGTAACCTACACTGAGCACGCAAAGCGGAAAACCGTAACTGCACTCGATGTTGTGTACGCACTAAAGAGGTCGGGGAGGACGCTGTATGGTTTCGGAGCATAGACATTTCACGGACGCTTGTTTTGGGGTTCGGTGTATTATCGGTGTATCTTTATTGAGTTGTACTTCTAGTCTCCTAATTCATCCTCGCATCTTCATCTCACCGCTTTCTGTGCGTGATGCCCGCTACGGTTATTCGGCTTGGTATTTTAATCTCCCCTCAAGAGGGGCGGCGACACAATCGCCAATTATGCGATTGTTGCTGGGGCAGCCGCGTTGCAGGGTGACTCCACGCCTGCAATACATTGTTGTCTAGTAAAGTGGTGACGGGGATGAGAAGATTCTCTGTTTCCGGCCATCGGTTTCCCTTCCTCTCACCTCTCAACTTAGACGCAATACTCAGACAACGGTGATTCTTCTGCGTTTTCCAGACCCCGCTTATTCGTCTCATGCCGTCTTACCTACTTCACCTTCAGCTTGAGAACAGTATATCGTCACTAATCTCCCGCGATTGTTCCGTTTTCTCAATGTCTGGCTCGTTCTCTCGGTATCGTGTTCGGATCGTTTCCCCTTAGATCTTACTTGATGCCCTACTCACCCTCCCAAGCCAGGTACCCAGGTCCCTCATGAGCCACAGAGGCCCTCGTCGTCGCCGCCTTCTAACACTTTTGTGTCTCTTAATATCCCCCAAGTGGATATCCTCAGGCCATTTTCTGACTCAATGACAAGCCAATTACCCAACGAGACCTTATTCGCCATTTTAGAGCACCTACAATCAAATACACTCATACCCGTTCTTCGCGTGTCACGCCGATTTCAAGCAATCGCAGAACGGATTTTGTACGCAAACATCTGCATCGTCGAGACCCTCCCACGATCTTCTCCCGTACCCTACGCGACGGCGTGCTGCTTTAAAACCCTTCTCGATCGACCCCATCTTTCCGAAGTCGTCAAGAGGATTTCCATACGATGGCAAACAGAGTCTGGCCCTCGGGAGCAGTACATGCCATATGTCGAACCAGTCCTCGAAACCATGAACCGTGCATTACGCAGCTTGACCGCTCTGGAAACATTGGAGCTCGCCTTCGGCTTATCAGGCGGCACCATTTCTTCCCGGGGCATCCTGGAAGGCTGCTCATTCCCCGCACTCCGATTGTTTTCTCTCAGCGGTGTCGGCAGAGGAAGTCTTAATCCTAAGACTCATCCAACACCCACACCGCCCATCGAATGGTTTCTCAGCGAGACACCGTCCATCCAACATTTGCGACTGGCAGATTGTCATGAGACGCTGGAGCTACAGCCGTCTGACCTCCCCTTTCTCACAACATTTCGGGGATCCGCTCCCACCGCTGCCTCAGTCCTCCCTGGACGACCGGTGCAGCTGCTTAGTCTCGTTGGGCATGAGTTTGTTACGCAGCGGGACCTTGAGCGCATTGCGTGCTCGAGTGCGCGGATCAGGTGGTTAGATTTAAGTTCAATGTCGGTGACACCTATCCTACTTCGGGATATTTCGCGGCATTTGTTCGGTGTCGAGTATCTCAAGTTGAAGTTGGCGCTACGACATACACTGCATCATGCTCTCTCAGGCATCGTGAGTCATCTTTCTCTTCGTCTGTCTATCTCGCCGTCGAGTCCCTTTCCACACGTACCCTCGCCGCCCTTCCACTGTCATCTCTTTTATCGTCGAATCGTCTCAATCTCATCTCACGATTTCTTCTTTATCTTTCGCGCATTTTCAAGAGCCTGTTAGCGGGTCTCACCTCTGTCCTTGGCGCATTTCCGGAGCTTTACCAACTTGACCTGTCACCGACGAACATCGATGCCATCTCGCCGGGAAACGCAGCTGAAGAAGCTCAATTATGCACCACTTGGGCTCGCGGATGTCCCTCTCTTCGTCATATTGTCTTCCCCTCCAAGATCGAGTGGATTCTGAACGAACAAGATATGTGGATCCCTCAAGCAGGCTCGCCTCCGAGCCACTAGTACGTTATGATACTCTCTGTACATCTCATGCTCCTGTTTTCTTAATCTAGAGCCGGAAAAGAGATGTAGAGATGTCAGAGCGTATTCGTTCTTGCTTGCTTTCCTTCTTGGTATGTTCCTCCCATCATGATCATCTTGGCGACACATCTTCTCTCATGTCGCATGAACTTACAAGCTATGTTTGGGTCCTCTATAGGTATGCCGAACCTTTGGCCCAGCTATGACCTTATATGACTCTATCCTCTCTCGCAAAGCATCCGAACACCTTCATTCTTTCGTTCATATCTCTCCGTCTTGTTCCCTATCGCCGAATCGCCGTATCATCGTATATCATAATGGCAATGTCGACCCTAGTAATGCACTCTAGGCTTCGCTATCACTCAATGTTGTATTTATGGCACCAATCTACCTTCGGCAGCATCTTTCCAGTGACCAACATTGCACGAACCTCCGTCTTCCAGTCCCGCGACGAGAGCTTCACGGTGTTGAGCCCTCTCATTCTCTCGCTCGGCACATGATTGTTCCTCCATTCTTCACACCCAACACTCTAAATACCTGAACATGGTGTCAAACGACAACCAGTTTGACACCCACGGCATCGATTTCATACAACACGAATACCAGAAATACGGCTCGATCAATCATGAGCCCAGGGATGGCATTAACGGTGCCGAAAGTACAGTTTCGATTAAGTATAAACGATGCATGCGAAGGTGAAAAGTAAACGACAACAGGAAAACCCAAATACAACACCACCAACACAGTCCCGTAATGAGCCAGCTCAATAAATACGGCAACAATTTGTCACAACGAATAAGGCGATTGTAAGAGGATGAAGAAAGTGCGGAGAAGGGATATGGTAATCATAAGTAGGGAGTAGGCGATACAGTGGGACAATGAGGGGGTATCCTTTCCAACGAGTGATAAATATGTTATCTTAGCAATGTCTTTATGGCAGCGGGCGAGAACTGTGAGTAGCAAACACTGGTTATGACTCTTCAGGCTCTTCGACGAAGATGTCGATGTAATGTTTCAAAATGGTCTCCACAGCCTATAGAACCGCAAGTTCGTTAATAGCATGTAGTCAAGGCGGTAATGGAAGATACCTGCCTTATTTTGCAAAGATGTATCCAACATCGAGGCTTGGCCATTCGCACCCGGATGGCCTTGTCCAAAAAGTGTCGGACCAAATACAATAGCTAAGTTCTGTATTGACATGGCATTGTGTTCCTCGTTTTGAACAATCCTACGCACGTATCTGATGAGCAAAAGTTCCGAAATGGGAATTCGTAAACACGCACTTGTTCAAATGTCCCATGAAGTATTTCAGGGTGGCATAATTGGCATCAGGTAGGTCGTTGACGCATTCATGTAATTTGATGTGTCGCAGTCGTTCATTGTCGTTTCCTGGAGAAGATATAAACTACAGGAGGTCCTCATTATAAGCAATCTTTACGTACTGGTAGCTTCCATAAACTCCTGATGCAATTGGTACGTGAAGACTGGATCAGGCAGTTCTCGTAGCCAGAGTTTTAGCACACTAGTGACGTTGCTGACATCCGATGACCATTCGTCTGCATCAAGGTTCACCGAATGCAAGTCTAGCAGACTCATGTCAACACGACTTGGAAGCTCAGAGAGAAGGGAGAACCCACCTCGATCCAATTTCTCCTTCAATTCTTGCACTTTGCGCATCGTACCTCCAATTCTGTAGATACCCTGAGAGTGCAAGCCATATTTCTCGATAGCTTCACAACATTTGACCATGATTAGCGGGAGGTCCACATCATCGCGTAGCAGCTGTTCAGCAAGGTCAACGCCAAACGTCGGTCGAGTCCTTTCGGGTGGAACTTGAGAGTGGGATGTACTCGGCGTGCTTGCAGGGTGATGGTGTGCATTAAGAGGCAATATTGGAGGAACCTATTATGATGCGTGAATGTCATTCTACCTCATGAAGCGTGGCAATGCTACTTACGAAACCGTCTTCACTGGGTCCATTTCTTCTGGGGCCTTTCGTGTTCTGTCCGCCATGTGCATATGCGTAGTTTTGCATGTACGTTTTGAAGTCAGATCGGTTGTCAATTGACTCGAAGATGGACTTCAAACTGGGATCTGATGGTTGCAAACTCTCAGTTCGTACTCATTGAATACCGAAAATGAAATTCTCACCTTCACCACCAGGCACTAAAATACTTCCGTCACTGAGGACTGCATTCTCATACAAGAATGCGTATCTTGTGAGATGGTACTGTGTACCAAGATCAATCTCATCTGCGCATTCCTTTAAGGACTACAAAGTGTGACATGTCAGTTGCGAGCGGGAGGAGATGTGGACCAAATACTAACCCTAAGGATCCGGGGAAGCTGAAAATTGAAATATTCTTGACGAATGGCTTGTGTATCATGCACCGCTTTGCGATAGGCGTCTGAAGCCGTCGACATGCGCGCTCTGATGTCATCTTCCTGTCGTTGTATCTATGGAAAACATATGTGAATTAGTGTTCTCTCGTAGGAAATCATAACTTACATTTCCTGGGTTCTTCCCTTTGAGGAGCATACCGCCTTTCGCGACAGCTTTACCAATCACACGCTTGCCTCCCACACCTCCGGGCGATCGACCTTGGACGCCATTGTCCCGAACAGACTCACCCTCCTTCTGAAGTAAAAGTCGTTCGAGTTCTTCGGCAGTTACATCAAATCGAGCCTTGCATTTCTCTCTCATATTCTCGGACTCCTGCAAGGAACGCTCGTAACGCGTAGAAAGGTCTTTCGTCTATATATAGACCATTTCCATACGTTAGTACGAAATTGCTGCGCAAAAGCGGGAGCTGACCAGTTTCCTCGTCTTTTCAACTTCCTTGGCCAGCGTGGCAAGCTCTTCACTCATCTCATTCAGCCGTTGGGCGAATCGAAGTCGATTCTCAGCGATCGTCTCGTGAGTCTTCAGAGCATTCTGCCAGGCAGCGACAAAGGACCTGAATGGCAAGTCAGACAAGAGAATGACGCAGTAGACATGGAGATAGACTTACCCAGCCTTCCCGTCGTTGGCAGCATATGCATCTGCTGTGCTCCGTGCGAGTTTCTGCATATTGCGCCCATATTCATCTTCATACACCGCCCGCTTCTTGAAGAACACAGAGGCTTCCTTAACGCACAACTCATTCAGAAAGTACTGGGTTCAGAGGCGGTCTCACTTACTCTACATGACGCCATACTCTGCTTGATTCGATCGAGCAGTAGCGGCACTCCACACTAGCATATATGCGGTCCCGTTAGAAGTGTCCATAGAGATGAGACAATACTGAAGCTCACATCCAATTCACAAAGTGTTCTTAGCACAGTCTCATCGAAACCAGCTTCCACCACAACCTCCTCACTAGGAGTTGGTTCTCGATTCGGGGCAGAACTGTCTCGCCATCTTTGGCTTGTCGTACGTGTCGGCGAGTCCACACTAGACCTGGGTGGTGAAGTAGATTTACTAGGAGTAAGCGGTGCGGTACCAGAGCCCTTGGCTAGGGATTCGTCCGAGGTATACGGTTGTCCTTGGGTGTGCGGCACACGGAAGTTTTTGTAGTTAGACGAGGGGACAGTCTCGCTGTCGGTATGCTCCCAGGATGTGGCTGGGTAGCCTTCCTCGCTCATCGTTGCTGTGGTCGCCGCCGCCGTCGCGACCGTCAAAGGTGAAGTTATGGCAAAAGGGTAAGGGATTGTAGCGGCATCGGCCATGGGGTTTCCTATAATTACATTATGTAAGCTCCCATAAGTGGCCATCTTGGCCGGAGCTGCTTGGTGAATGAACTCTTTGCTTTGTTTCCTTTAGCTTGAAAGATTGATTCTTTGACTCGTGTCGTTGGTCTTCCAGACTTGCAGTTAACTCACACGGAAAATATTGAACTCTTCAAATGGTCATCCTTAAACTTGGCATGAGACAGTGAAAGCCCAAGTGAGTTGTGAGATGTAGTGGGATGTCTGTATCTGGTGAAGTTCTATACAATAGTCTTCTCACACTAATTTATCATCTGCAGGTTTGGCAGGCCAAATATCACAGATGCAACAAGAATTTGCACATGCACCATGATATCATCTTTGTTCTTTGTAGGTGTCAGAGTTGTTCAAAGAGTTAACTTCCTATCTATGATATACTCTGACATATTGCTGATCTGAGTCAATCACTGAAAAGCCATGTTCACAACTAAGAGTGAAGTTTGAAGTTCTCTATCTCAGCATAGAACTTGAATCTTTTCATTGTGGATATCACTAGCTCCAATCTTCATGCTCTCCATATTTGAGACTCACCTTTTAAATGATTAGATTTTTAACTATTGTTCCCAGATGTTATAAAGCCTTCAGCCTCAGTACCCATTTTGCTATGTGTTCAAATACACATTTATCAGCCACTTGTGATTTACTTATATTATCTATATATTTGTTACCTTTCGCTTCACTGTGATTTTACTATCATAGAAGTTGAAACAAAGCTGATCTTTAGTGCACTCCAAACCTCTTATGTTTCATTATTTCTCTATTTCATATGATCCAAGACTACATACTTCCTCTTTGCACATCTTCAGAGCCTTTAGGAGGTCTCAAAGTTGATTTCTCTATTCTAATAGTATACTCTGCCTGTTAATCTTTTCTTCTTGCACTGGGTTTCTACAATGTTTTTAGCATATATAAAATTGTAGTAAACTCTTAGGTAATATATTTTCCATAAGTACCAAGTTATATATCTCAAAATTTGAATAAAAGTTAGAATTTTATAAACAGTATTTGTGAGATGAATGTTTTATTCAATTTCTGAATTACCTGTCATAATTTTAGAAGACCTAAGATGCTGAATATGATATAAATTATATGTGGCATAAAATAGCATGTAATATTTGCAGAGATAAAATTGTTGAATGATTCTGAATTGAAATATAGAGTTTTTATATATGCTAATACTTAGATTCACTCTTTTTAGCCATATATTACTGGATCAATCTCACTTTTAGACTATAAAAAAGTGCTCACAATTATTATCATATATAAAATTCTATATTCAATTTGGAATTATTTAATAATTTTATCTCTGCAAATATTACATGCTATTTTATGCCACATATAATTTATATCATATTCAGCATCTTAGGTCTTCTAAAATTATGACAGGTAATTCAGAAATTGAATAAAACATTTATCTCACAAATACTGTTTATAAAATTCTAACTTTTATTCAAATTTTGAGATATATAACTTGGTACTTATGGAAAACATATTACCTAAGAGTTTACTACAATTTTATATATGCTAAAAACATTGTAGAAACCCAGTATTGATTAGTCCTTCATTGCCATCTGAAGAAGCTGAACACTCACCTACTGTTAACAAGGTTTCTAGTTGTGCCCAGCTCCACAAATAGAATACTACTATTTCATTCCTTGATATGCTGCTCCTCTTACTTTGTGCTAGTTGACTGCACCTGGGAGTGTTAGAGAGGACATAGAGTCCTGCACACCATCAGAGAAAGTGTCATCACTTTTGCAGAGCCATCAAGAAAATGACACTGTGTCATCCATTATCTTCTGCCATGCTACAGGTAAAGTTGCTGATGCAGCCTTAGAGTGCCTACTATTTGAGTTGATGGATAGAGGACATGTTAAAATGCGGGCTTATTGAAAGGCTCTGGAAATACATGAAGAATGCACTCTTGTATCTATGAAATGAGATGGAGCTCTGGGCAAATGTACAATGGCCCAGCTCATGTTGAACAGACTTGGGTGTCATTTCTGGGGGGTACACAGCTACTTCAATTGAATTATTATCTGGTCAGAGTCCCTTCAAGTTGCTCAGAAAAAAAATCAACCTTGTAGATTACTGTTATGCATCTATATCGGTATTATTCATCAGTCTTCTCGAACGAGCATTCAATATTGAAACGGGAGAGTACTAAGTGACAGTTGGCGCAATCATGGGGCCACATGGCCATATTCGGCCACTCCAGGAACGATAGTAGGTTCATGGCGAACACGAGGTTCAAGCTCACTTTATAACTTGACCTACAGTACACACGACCCCCGGCATCACGATGACATTGCGTACGTATCTAGGCAGAGATAAGAAACGGAAGTCATCGTCTCCGGACGATACTCAAACACTACCATCTTCGAGCAACAAAGTTCGTTTCACAACGCCGCCATCGCATATTAATCCGGTAGGAGTAGTAAGGCACAACTTTATTGGACTCCCTACTCATCTACTAAACGTGTGGCTGCAGGAACTTTCTTCTCATCTTTCTGAAGATGAAGCTGGGCCTTCATCTCATGCACATCGTAAATTCCCACTCGACGAAGATTCAGCTCGCCGTCGTACCACACGATCACAAACACGTCGATATCGTAATTTGAGCTTAGACTCAAAAGCTGCAGAGGATAACTCTGAACTCTCCGAGGTCTCTGCGACTGACTTGGAAGATGATAAACATCAAGCCATCATAGCCCTTCTCTCTAATGCGAAAGCAGAGCCAATAGTGAGCAAACCTCGATGGCGAATTCGCAAGGTGCCTACGAAACGCAATGGTAAACGGAATGGTACATCCGTAGAACCAGTGGCGTCTCCCCCTGTAATGACACCAGACCCTCTTGCCTTCATTCAAGACTTTCATGGCAACTTTCCTAAATCGAACTTATGTGCTGACGACCCCACACCACCTACTGTCACCCAGTTGAGAGCACATGCCATGCGAGACGTGCACGGTGCACTCAGACATATAGAAGTCGCACCTCCAGCAGATACCCGCCCAGAGTCTTATATTCGTCGTCGTCGGAAACAAAGAGACATCGTTGTGTCTTCTGATACCCTTCAGACAATCACTCCACAGTGGATGATACCCCCTACAAGGCATTCAGTGGCGACCGCTGATCTGCCCGTTCCTGCAGGAGCCACCTTGAAGACTGCGAAGCATGGAGAATCTACGGCTCACAGTTTGCCATTATCGTCGAGTTCCGACATGCCAAACCTCGGCCACGCAGATCTGGAACACGATACGACACCCTCAAATACTGCTCTCGGCAAAGGAAAGGAAATTGCAAGAGTTGCTCATGCATCTTCCTCCGCCAACTCTGCCGAGCCCAGCAGGATCATACCGCCAAAGAAATCATACCCCACCTCGTCTGTTGCACAGCGCCAACAGAATGTGCCAAGCGACCCTGTCGTTCTTTCCAAACAGTTTCACACTTCCAAGACTGCGTCAGCAAGTGTACTGGGCAGGAAGGAAGTTGGGCAACCCTCCACATCACAACGGAGAGGCCAAGATCAGCGATCAATGGCGTCAGTCGAAGTCAGAAGGGAAGTCGACTACAGTGAGTTACGGCTTACTGACTATCCAGAAGATCCGCTATCGCTTGCACCGGCCCACTTGGGCGGCCATTATCTTGAATGGGAGAACGATCATATGCGGCGGAATTTGGACTCTCCATATTCTGCTTCCTCGGAAACGAGGTTATTGGACTTACTATCTTCTCCTCGAATGAATGGTCGAGACATCGTTGACTTTCACATGCCAAGTAGAATCGCAGAGCTGCTACCTAGCGAAGTCCTTGCAGATGATTGCCTCCGACGCCTTCGTGAATGCGAAGAACGACTTAGAGCGGAGGGATGGACTCGGAAGGCGAACCACGAAGTAGAGATGACTCGTCTGCGAACCGATATTGATGCATTCCAAAAGAAACAGTCTGCGGATTTTCGAGAATTGCGAGGGGAAGTGAGAGATGTCAAGAAGGCCGTCACGACAAAGAGAAAGAAGGATAAGGTGATGAAAGATGGGATCTCACATTTACGAGCGGAGGTGACGCAATTGGGTTGGGAGGTCGAAAGGATGAAGACGAGGCTTGGAGAGGCTGCGACGCACGCGATGCGTCCTGGCCAGTCGGCTGAAAAGGTCGTCAAACGGATGGACCGAACGATGTCCCTCCAGGGGACCAAGACGTCTTCAACGAAGACAAGTGCTTTAGCAGCCGCAGGGCGGTCTTCTATCGTTACCTCGATAAGAGCGGGAATGGTGGACGCTGCCTCGCACAGCAAGCTTGGTCCACCAGAGGCATCTGTGTCTGCAGGTGTTCGTTCAAGTCCCATGTCCCAGAATAATGGCACCAGGACAACGTCTAAAACTTCCGGCTGGGTTCCGCGTACTTACGGCCGTCATAATGCCATATCGCAGACGTTGACACTTGTAGAGGCTCCGAGCACCTCAAGTTGGACGCCTGAGTCCCGGATCAACCACAACCGCGCGAGGACAAGTACTAGAGGCCCCAACTAGACCCTGCGAACTTATAATCAGAGCTGATGTTTGTTATGTATCGGGTATGGAAGTTACTTGGATAGATGTATTTTATTGCGTCGTATAACTTTAGTCTCTGTATACGAAATTCAGTCCGAATTCATACCCTTGAGGACCAGCGCAGTGACAGCGAACATGGAATGATCAATCTTGCAGGCACGATCCTAGAACTTGGTGAAGGACCTTGTGATTCCAGGTACACGATTGGCCGACATTCATGGTAGAACCAAGGATTGGGTATATAGCTTGTTCATTAGTCTATAAGCAGCGGCAGTGAGCGTTGGGGGAGTGGGAACGCACAACAGATGGGAGTGCAGCCAAGCGAGCGCAGAACTCAATGCTTCTGTTCTCCATGCTCAATGTGCGGCTCACTGAGACTTATCATACAACATTCAGTACGTTGCATTGGATAAGGCCGTACTCACCACTTCTATCGGACCATCCCCACCGCGATCTTTCCAATATTTTCAACTGAGCTAAACAACTGTGGTGCCTGAAAAGTACGAGGATACCCTAGCCGTTATGACAATGTCTTGCGTGGCAAGGAACCTATCAGCCTCTTTGGAATTCCGGGGAAGAATTCATGGCAGGCTATGGATATTTACCATCGGTAGATTTTTTCACAGAAGGCTAATGGTCACGTATTTCAGCGTAATGGTAGACAAAGGTGAACGGACGAACGGCTGAGGTTTTAGTTGAGACCTATGCCTCTGAAACTCCTTGAGTCTGTTGCATAGTATAATAAAGGGTATCAGTGGATGTATGTTCATCACGCCTCGCTTCCTGGAGTATATCAGGTCGTGCACAGGTATCCTTGTGAAGTACAGATTCTATGAACTGTTGGCCGAGCCCTAGCTGGCATGATGCGGTTGGAAAGTTAGTACCACCCCCATCACCTGGTGAACGAGAGTACCTCACCGATGAAGCATGGCATGCTTCGACAGGTGTGCTCTAGGCTCACTCAATAGGAGGCCTTCCGCATGAGACCGCTCTTGGTGTGGGCGAGAGTCTTCCGTTCTAGGGTATCGGCTCATGGCTGTGAAGAAACAGTTGAGAAGAACTGGGCGGGCGACAGGTGTGGTACACCTTGATCGCAGCCCGTCGGAACCATGAATTATCAACGCAGGGCGGCTCACTAGTGACATGAGCTGAGGCTTGTACCTGACTGTTTTAGTACACACCTGTAACAAATTTGCTCGAAATCGACCAGTTTGTCGAGCAAATCGAGGGTGACGGATGGCGCAACAAGGTTAATCTTTGAACATCAAAGGCGCACCGACGACGGGTAGCGGGTAATTGATGTGCATTGAACGCCCCGCAAGACGGAAACTGAGAGGGTATCCGACGTCAAGCGGGCTGTAACTAGCCACATATATATGTGGACTAGGCTGCCGCCGCTCTATGAACTTCACTGCATAAGAATCGGGTGAATACACGCTTCAGGCCATCGATGCATCGGTCACGAGGCACAGAGCATACCTTCGCCATAGTCGTCTTGATTTTCCTTGGTTTGCTTTGTATCGTTGCCCGTGCATTGGAATATCGTTCAAATACTGAGCATCGAATTTGCCTCCGGCCAGTGGTCGCCAAGCAGACCAAGAAACAGCCGAACGATGATTGGACGACCGGCGTTTACGGATTGGGCGACTGGGAGGGTACTCATGCATGGTGGCGTCGGATTATGTCACTGTCAGAATTTGGACAGGAGCCAATCACGAGCCGGGAAAAGGGCTCAGAGTACCACCGCAGTGAACGGGCGCCTGAGGAAAGGAACAGAATGCTCGAGGGCCCGTTGCGTGCAGTTGTGTCGTTCTCGATCTGATATACCCTCCCTCCGCCTTTCCTTAAAGCCTACACGTCGGCCTCCTTATCTCCTCGAAGCTCACCCCTTTCCCCCGCTCATCGTTGCCGACGCTCACCACCTGTCGAGTTCACCATGGCCACAGTGCACCACATCTTGCGTCGCGCGGAAGAAGACGAGGAATTGAATTGCGGCGCTGGTGGCGGGAGCGATGAGCTCTTTGGTCTCCGTGTTGCCTCCATTTTCATCATCATGGTCGGCTCAATGTTCGGTGCTCTTTTCCCCGTCCTCGCTAAACGCACTCGATGGCTGAGCTCGCACGTACCCAACGGACTTTTTGAATTTGCGAAATACTTTGGCAGCGGTGTCATTGTACGTATCTCCATTCTCTGCACTTCCAATGGTACCAATCTGGATTCCAGATTGCAACCGCCTTCATTCATCTGTTGGATCCTGGTCTCGAAGCTCTTGGTTCTCCATGTTTAGCTCCTGGATGGTCGGACTACGTATGTTTTCATTTCCCCCCTGTTTCCACCACATTCTGACCTCCTTTTTTCCTTCTTTTTTTCTCTCTTTCTTCTGCGTTAGCCATATGCACTAGCTATTGCTCTATTGTCAATATTCCTCATCTTCATCGTAGAGCTCATAGCTTTCCGCTGGGGCACTGCCAAGCTGGCAAAACTTGGCGTCTCGCACGGTAAGTCTCTCCTCTGCAATTCACCGTACGCTTGTTTAGGTTTTTCATGCAGATGCACACGGTCATGGTGTCGGGAGCCACGCCGCCCATGGACCCGAATCAAATCGGCAGCTGGGAGGAGACTCGTCAAACCCTCAAGAAATAGCGCAGATTGAGAAATTCCCCACTGACGTCGAGTCCAATGCTTCTCAACACAAAGCTCTGGCTTCACATTATGACGATCATGCCGTTGTCGACTCAGCTATCACCCAGATCATCGGTGTTGGTATCCTAGAGTTTGGTGTTGTCTTGCACAGGTACGGTCTCCTTCAATATCCGTTGTTGTATGATTTTTTTTTTTCTAACATTGATGATTCCGTCTGTTTTTAGTGTCTTGATTGGTTTGACTCTTGCCGTCGATCCGGATTTCAAAGTTCTTTTTGTCGTCATCGTCTTCCACCGTACGTATATTTTCGTGTTTCTCCTGTCTTCTATTCTTAATCTCATACCCCACGATGTAGAAACATTCGAGGGTCTTGGTATCGGTTCTCGTCTAGCGTGCATGGAACTTCCACAAAAATACAATTACGTACCGATTCTCGGTGCGCTCATATATGGTGTCACTACCCCAATCGGTAAGTCCTCAGAGTTTCATATGGAGAATGAGCCCAATATAACAGTTCATGTCATCAGGTGTCGCAGCTGGCTTGGGTGTCCGATCGACATACAACCCGGGAAGCACTACAGCAAGTATCGTCAGCGGCGTCCTAGACTCGTTCAGTGCCGGTATCCTCATTTACACTGGTCTCGTCGAGGTATGTCCTCTTGATACTCAGCATCTTCAAGGACATTCGAGTTGAATGGTTTGGTTGCTTTCTGTAGCTCCTCGCACACGAGTTCCTTTTCAACAAGGAGATGATTAACGGTTCGAATGCGAAGCTCGCTTATGCGATTGGGTGTATGTTGCTTGGGTGCGGGATTATGGCTCTTCTGGGCCGATGGGCATGATGCGGTTTTCCACCTTTCGTCTCTCCTCAGTTTCTCACATATTTCTCATGTGGACTTTGGATGTCTCATCCCCATCATCGATCATCCTTCGACTTTTTGCTCTTCGCTCTTCACAACTATTGCGCTATTTTTTGCCTCGTTACCCGATTCAACATCGCTACACCCTATCTGGATCTTTCTTCTTCACCCGCTTCATGCTTTGCACGTCGACGAACTCGTTCACATAGTAGATGACTTACATGTACGCACGCACGCCCCTTGCACGATCTATCTTTATGTCACCAATCAAAACTTGCATTTTGTTGTCTTTTTAATGTACGGGCTCTTGACATTACCCCTGATTGCTTGGCGGTGGGGTTGTGTATGATGCTTTGAGAGATACTTCGAACTTGTTGGATTGGAAAGTCGAGACCAAGCTTTTCCTTCGTGTGTTGGTGGTTACTGGGTTGAATGGTTTGAGTTGCGTCAGGAGCCTATCTATATATCGAGGCCTAAGGCCTGAACGTTATGATCTGAGACATCTCCATATAGTCGTGTTTTCAAAGCCTTAAGGCTTCCTAGTCAATGCGCAAGAGATGCAAATCTAATGAGATGCGTCAATAATAACAAGCAACCCGTCCGCTTCACAAGTTACTCTATTTTTAATTTGTTTACGCGTTGTTTACGCGTCCAATTTGACATTATTAGACGCCTCTGCCAGCGATTGCGTTGTGTCCCATCTGCTTGTCTCAGGTTATCCTGTGCTTGTCTACGCAATGACAATTAAGCCAACATCCAAAAGTGAAGGTACGTTCTAGAATCGCAGAATTGGCATTTTTTTGTTCAATTTCCAGTCGATGATATTCAGCCGTTACGGGTACGAAGCGCAAGCTGAGTACTGCTAGCGCGAGTGCTTCCACAGTAGAGCAAGAGGCTAAGAAGACGAAGGTCGCTACCGAAGAAGATCTCTCGGGACCAGATCCTGAAACGACATCTGGGAAACGCGAGGACGAGACGAAGTCAGAAGATCTTCCCCGAGATGGCCATTCTGACAAGGTCGATGACGAACACAAGGATGACAACAAAAAACCAGAAGCCGCTCATGGTGCAGAGGAAGAGGACTGGAGCAGCTTCGCGCAGCTCAACAAAAGATTAGAAGGACACGGTCCTTTCAAGTTCTTGGTGTCAGGCGAAAGTCTTGCTGAGCTGGAAGGCGGCGCGGGAGTCATCGTTTCTTTCCTGCTCACAGAGGATGTGCACCACATTTACGCCAGATTGGAACCCCTTGCCCCAGAAGAACGGGTCGAGGCTTGCGATATTTGCAGTATCCCCGTCTGTGTTGAGGAAGACGACGATTTAGAAACCGAAGAGGCTGAAAAACTGAAAGAGGCGTGGGGAGAAATCGATTCAGATGGAGGTTGGGTTGAGGTGACGCTGCAAAAGAAGAAGCCGGAAGAAGGAGAGCCCGCTCTGAAGGTTTCTTTCGACCACGAAGATGTGGAAGCAAGGAAATGGTGGATGTCGGCTGTCGCTGCTCCTAATGAGGAGACGGCAAAGGCTATTGAGCTGGTGGGGGAGCATATTTCCTACGGCCTTGATGGATTTTAGCGTAAGGCAATCAGTGGTTTGACTTTATGAAAGACTGACGACATGTACGAAGATGTTTTGCAGGATACCCTAAGGATCGGAATCTTGTTTATTTATAGCATATGTTCTGTGGAGTTTTGGATTCAATGTTGGGAGATAGTTATGGCCAATTGTCATAACAGACATACCTCTGATTGCATATGTGATTACTGCCACTGCGTGAAATGTCGAATTATGGAAGTTCGGCATTTGCCCAGCATCCGCAGATGCTCACCAGATGACGTCCGTATGCCCAGCAAAGTCCTTTGAATTCAGCACACGTTAGGAATGGTCGTATTCCTAGCTATATGATGTGTAAATGACAGCTGGATGCCCTATAGGTTCTGGTTCTTCGTCATACAGGAATCTAGAATAGAATTTACCCTTATCGATTATGTAAGCATAGAATCTATCATAGATGAATGTGATTTGTCCATATTGGGCACAATTCCTCAAGTGATATGCTTTTTAACATTGCGTAAAACATTAAATTCAATCTATAGACCCCCCTTGAAACTACGGGAACACAACGGCGACCATTGTAACTACCATCTTCATCCCAAAGCACATACCCAAACCAATCCATTGTCTTCCAATATCTGCCCTCGCACTGTATCCCTCATGGCAACTCCAGGTCGCACACCTCAATCAACCCAGCTCCAAGCTGTCGTGATGGAACTCGAGAAGTTGAAAAGTGCTGGGCTGCAGAAAGACGTCGAGTTAGAGAAGCTCAAATCACAAGTAATGGTCTTGTTTACGGGCATGAACTTGACGCGCGCGCAGCTGCGACTTGCGAGCGATCGTGTCGATTATCTTGAGTCATTACTTGGGGTAGAAACTTCTTCGAGTACAAGCACATGAATGCAGTTAGGTGAGACGAATGCCGCTACGATGGGAATAGTGCAGAGTAGTCTTGCGGAAGCGGCACCACGTGGTCGATTGCCCAATGGATCGGAGGAAGGTGGTGCTGCTGTCAGAACACCCATTATGCATTCTCCCCAAACGACAGACCTGCTAGAGTGAAGTACAAAGAGTAAGGAAGCTGCGAAGAGCAAGCCAATGAAAATTAGTGAATATTCATATGCATACATTCACAATACTCATCTCCATTAGGACTGCGTAAATCATGTCTTCGCGCACCTCATGGGCATGAAACTTGATAAGAAAAACCTACCATCATATCCTTCCAATCCCGATGAGAAATCAGAAGCTTGGCCTAAGGATACTGCAACAAACAAACCCTATATGCGATTCAACTGGGCCGAGACTAAGGACACACCTGTTAATCGCAAGAATATAGACACTGTCCTCGCAACAGTATGAGCACAGGGAGTCACTTTCGATCCCCTCATCGTGATGGACCTCGCAAATATTACTAACCAAGACCTACGCACTCGCATCAATGGAAAATTCGACCACATGAGAGGTGAGTTTAATAAACATCCAGATGCTCAAGCGAGACAGAGCCGCAAGCGCAGGGTACATGAAGTTGCAAGTGTAGGACTGGCAGAAGAGGAAGTTGCAAGTGGAAACCCAGAGGAAGGACAAGGTGATGGCCAAGAGCATGGAAATAATGACCCTGGGAATGCTGCAAACATTGAGGATCCAGAGCCTGGGACATGGAATGAAGTGATTCGCAGGGCTGCATGAAACTCACGGGTTCAATTTGTGAGAATCATATTTGACCGGACAACGTGGGAAGTCGAGAACTCACCTCTAGTACCTTATAGATTCTCGACCAACGTTTGCGCAAGAGACCCTTTGCTGGCCAGTATACTGATTCCAAGTACAACACCACCTTTACGTTATCCGCGATGTTTGAAAATGAGGATGATCCAATGCCTGACCCTGAACATCTGAAGCAATACATCTTGCGTGCCCCAGATTGGCGCAGTGAGGAGGTAGGAGATGCGAACCATTCTGTGATGTTAGTTCTGATGATGGACCTTTGCAGTTGAGAAATCTGTATACTGCCGTAGATGCAGTCACCGATCCTAATCCAGATAAAGCCAAGTCGGCTACACATCGTACTCGCGGTGCTGAACTGACAGATGTAATGCCGCCCAAGATGAAAAGTGTGAAGATTCGCATTCGAGAGTGGATGGTCAAGCCAGAGCATATTGAGAAGCATCCTGAATGGTTGATGAGTCAGCAGGTGGCACGGAATGGCAAGTTATGGGGGGAAGAAACAGATCCTGAAGAGGAAGAGCAAAAGAATGAAGCGTTGGCACAAGCGGACAGGGAACGAAGCATCAAGAAGGTTCGTTTGTTGGATAATAGTGATGTCGCGAGTAACGAGAGTAGGTTGAAGGCATTGTTGGGTGACAAGAGCCTCGAGGATTTCTTTCCAAGCTAGACATCAGCATTGACATCGTGTTGCCTTCACATTTCTTGTTCAGCCTCTGCGAGCCATCTGTCATTGGGCTCAGAACCTGTCTTGCTTCCCTGTACTTAGTAGCAACAATAGCATGATAGCATATCAGAACTCACACGATCGAAGGAATGAATGATCCATAAAGGTTTTTCAGCTGCACAATTCAATGTTGCCAGGATCAGAGCCACAGGTGAGCCGAGGTGTTCGGTCTTCACCACTTCCATCGCATGGTATTGGTTCCTATATGCAGTATACATGCCCAGATCTCCTGCACTAAACTTAAGGTTATTGCTATCATTTTGAATGAAATGATAGAAGACTTACTATAGTGACCAAGGTAGGATCGGAATTTTGTCTGAGCAGTCAAGGCGTCGTATAATTGAGCACATGAAGGGCTCGCGATTCTTGACATTGACCTCGAAGTGATAGACAAGATTACAAGGAAGCCTATATCCATCTATGTCAATGCAGGCGAAATGATTGCTTTGCGTCCATTTATCAAGGATTGAACCATAACGAATTCCATCCTTGTGCACAAATGGACTCGCCTTTGCACAGCGGCTGCCAATGAGAGGCTTAGAATCTGCTGATAGCGTGAAATTGTCAACAATGTTGTCATCAGGATAGATGGCGCGAGCAAAGTCCAAAATAAGGGGATAGATATCTGGATGACTGAGTGAGCGTAAATTCATGTATGACGCTTTGTCAAACCATTTCGGTTTGATGATCATGTTGGCTAGCAATCAATGATCAGTAGCATGAACTTCTGCAAGGTATATATTTGATACAGACATTCGGTAAAACCTGCGAGTTGCATTCAGAGCGTTCCACAGTTCATGCCTTGTTCGTGAGTAACTTGTTGAAGCAAATTGCGCTCTGCTTGTGTCGTGTTATCTGGAAGTGTTGTGAGCTATATTCATAAGGCGTTATCTCATCTGCATGCAAGAGGAGATAAAAAAAACTCTGAACCAGCTCATAAAACTGATGCCTCAAGACCCAGTTCCGTAGCAATGTCAATTCCATCTCTCCTTGATCGTGTCCATTTAGGTTGACCTTTTCTAAGTCTCCGTTGAGGCGTTCAAATGAGAATAGCCACCATATGTATGCAGGCCCAAAGTGACGAAATATATCAACATAATGCATGGCGAGATGGTGATTGATGGTAAGGTGAGCGCCGATGCGGAGTAGAGTCTTGCAGTAGAGTTGTATATAATGCTGTCCCCGTTTAACCTTAGTAACGGAAATTGATTTGCAGGCAAGGATGCGCTCGGCGACAGAGAGATACAAAGCTGCTTGATAGATTTCAGGCAGAGAACGCAGAAAAGTCAGTTCTTTTCCCTTTGCAGGAATGCGAGGCAGATGTATTTTGATTTGATCATCATCTCCATGCCAACACAACCACAGAATGGTTGGCTGTATATTGACCCAACGGCACCACTGATCAGCTTTCTGGAGAGAATGGTTTTCTCTAAGCTTCATAAAGTATAAATGAGCATGAAGCTGAGGCACAAAAGAGAGCTGCTTATATTTTTAGGCAATCGTCCAATTGTCGAAGACCAAATAATACCATTGATTGTCATTTGGAGTTTCACCCACCCTGCCTTATCCAGTAGATACCCCCCAATGATAATCTGCGAGAAGAAATCAGCCATTATGCCAGAGTAGAAGTTGTGCATGAAGTCGATTGCAGATGTTTTCACTGGCATGTAGCCGGGAAGTTCATTGAGTATGGAAAAGTGAACACCCGTCTCGTCCAGAATCTTCTTTCGTGCATTCACTGAGGTTGCAGCTTTTGAGCGTTGTGCGTTCTTCAATGAAGTCCAGTCATCTCAGATGCAGAATTCTGAGAGAACTTTGAACAGAATATGTAAGTAAAAAATGAAGTTAGTGATGCACCCTCAATCTCATAGCCCACATGAGAATTAATATCATCATGATGAATATGACAGACTTGATATGGCTGCATCTTTGATGAGTGTCCCGCTGCTTGCATTACCTTTCGCGCAGCTTGAATATCACTGGATTGGATCTCAATGGTGGCATTCATGGTGACTGGCGGCACTTTATAGAGTGGAGTTTCAACACCTAAATAGTTGAGTGAAACTAAACAGCACTGTCCAGGTGATAGTGAGAAATACCTCGATAGAGAATCTTGAGTTCTTCAACCATCGGACCAAGAGAGTGGTTCAGTTTTTCGAGGCTTGGTTCCTTTGGTCCGGGTATAGTTGTAACAAGGAGGACATTGCATGGAAGAAAGCGAAGTGATCGCTGAAGATTATTTATGCAAAGATAGACTCCGCCACATGAATGTGGTCTTCCTTCAGTGATTCCAAACCTGAAATCAAGGCAATGATTAATAAACAAGAATCTGCAGATATGAAATTTACCAGTCAACATTCAGGGTAAGACTGAGTCCAAGCTCACAATCCCGGAGCATGTGAGATGATCCAGGCAAGATTTTGATATCCTTGACCTTGCCTTGCTCATCAACAACACACTTCAGGCCAATGCGAATGGTGCCGGATGCACTTGCTCCATAGAAATCAGTCATTGGTGTGTCGTCTGTGCTTCCTTCAGTTGGCCCAGTTAGAGGAATTAAGTTCTCAATAAAGTCCTTTCGCAGACAAAGACGGCGCAGACTTTTGATGATTGATGCATAAGGCTGGATTTTGGCGGGAAGGCGTGTGATATGATTCTTCTTGCTGGTATACACATCACGGTAGATGAGCCCCTGACACTTGGATTCTGTACACTGAGGGCTATCCATAGAGGTTATGGTCTCATAAGAGTAGTACTTAAAATAGACTATGCAGATTGGCCGCTTTTTGATGTAGTCATCAACATTGAGTCCGAGCTGCTTCTTGGCAGTTACCAAGGTGCGAACAGGTTTAGGATAGGTCGGAAGGCATCCACAGGCATCTATGATATCCAGAGAACCAGCAAGTCTATTTGTTGCATCAAGAATAGTATTGTGCTCGAAGATGTTGCCTAGTACTGCATGGAGGTAGGCCAATCGAATTGGAGGGCTTTCATGCATAGCGGCAGGGGAGGAGTCGAGCTCAGGATCATCAGCACCCACAGTAGAAGCAAGGCATGAGGAGGGATCAATGTCTCTTCTCACGAAGTCATCAGGGACAGCATCATGGGTAGCTGGATCTGTCAACTGATTCTGTTCAGAGGCAGGTTCTATAGCATCTGATGGCTGTATTCCTGTGAGGGAAAGGTCTTCTGGAGTCCCAGGAATGTCCAGTGGTGTGAAGTGCAGAGAAGCTACAGATGGCAAGGGTGATAGAGCTGCATCGATGTTTAAGTCACCTAGTATTCCAGTGGATTCATCTGCGAGTTCAGGCGGTACCGAGTTTCGTGGTTCCAGCTCATTAGTATCAGCCAGGGCATCATAGGGTTCAAGCACTGGAACATCAATGGCTAGTATTCTTGTGCATTCTCCAGCTGAAGAGTTGACAGAGGGTGCAGTATTCGTCTTGACTTTGAGTGCTCAGATTTCTGTATCCTTGAGCTCATGTCTCCTGCATGTTCGAGAGGTCTGCCAAGCATAGCCTTGAGATGTTTTCGAGCAGACTGTCTCGAATCGGCATAATACATATGTCTAGAGTCATTAACATCAATTGTGAGTTGAGTGACAGTTTGAAATAAATGCCACATACATCTTTTGGCATGGTAGAGTCAGACTTATTCAGAATAGAATATTTAGAATGAAAGTGAGCGCGGCGAGATGGTGTTGAGAATGAGGTCTCACTGAAGCAATTCATCTAAGTTCACGGGGGCCTAATATATAGATTTTCGAACTCATTAAGATATTCACATTGCACTCAAAGATTTGCGTCACACAATAATTTGGATACAGTCAATAATATTGCTATGGTCCCTAATACTACACTGCATTCCTTATCATTCGACAGGCCAGTATGAGACTGAAAAGAAAAGAAAAGAATACTAGACGGCTATTTCTTCTTCGGAGACAACAAATCCTTCTGCCATTCAAACTCCAGTTCTCCATCCTTCCTAAGTCAAATGGTCGGCGCAGTCATGGGATCCTTAAAATGAGAGGATAATTTGAAACCAGGAGGGGCTTGATGTGGCATGCGAGACGTCAAAGCAATCACATGCTTTGATGACTGAGGAGTCAGATATGGCTGCAAGACTGGTGTTGATTGACAGGTGACAGTGGAAGTCTTCTTGCATTTGGCAGGCTGCTTCGATGATGATGATGACAACGTAGCAGGATGGACAGGTCCTGACTTGATCTATCCAGTGGACCATGTGTAACTCACTGCATGCCACTCTTCTATTGATGGAATGCTGTTGGTCATTGAGTTGAGTATATTATCAGATAGCTGATGTCACTCACGGTCCGTATTCTTCAACCTCACGTAGCCACTCATTGCAAGCATCATCCATTGCTTTATATTTTGGCTCAAGGTCATGAAGTGTCTTGAGTGAAGGTTCAACAAGGCGAAGAGCCTTTTCCATGGGCTCTCTGAGTAGGGACAGATTCGGGTGAGCACTGTAAGGTGTGTAGAAGGCTGATGCGTACCGAGATGAAATACGGTCACAGAGGAGAGTGGTCTCCGACTACTCTCGATGGGGTGAAGTCCTACTCATGACTGTAGTGATTTAGTTCAGTAGTCGAGGAGAATACTGAAGAGTATGGATGAAGAAACCGTATACAGAATGGTCCTTCGAGATCCAGTAGACAGTACCACTGCCTAGGTCGAGTGCGTTCAAGATGTCACACTCCCAAGTTCTGATCCTGCCTGTGTCTGATAGGGCAACAAGTCCTCCAACTGTCTCTCAAAGATGCTCAATGTACAGGAAGTACAGCTGAAGAGCTCCAAGTTCTGAAGGATGAGTCACGATGAGTTCCTCTCCCTGTGCATACCTCTCAACAGTCTCAACCACTGGTACAGCTGTCTCGACTCGAGAATCTCCCTCGATCAAGTCAAGTCTATCCCTCGGAAACCAAGCAATGAACCTCTCTGTAACCACCTCTTTTTCTTTCTTCATCTCGAAAGCAATATGATACACCTCCCAACAAGAGCCCTCAGGTACAAATCCCCTCGAGACGGGTATGAAAGGTATCTCGAAATGGTTGTTGACAATGCGAGGAAGTCCTAACCTCGTTGAAAGACCAGCCAGTATGTTGTAAAGTGTGGGGATGTATTAGAGTAAACAGAAATTATATCTAAACAAGCTGAGAGAAATATAGTCCTATCGAAAAGATACTGATGTCGAAGCCTCCTCAAATTCGTAGTTGCAAATTGAGTGTTTGGAATGTCAGTCCTAAGTCAAGGGGGGGAAAGTCTCTGTCCTCCTTCTCAAAACCTCTTCGTTCTTTTGTGTTCCATTCCACCATCTCCATCTCGATCAGTCCCATCACAAAAACATCTCAACTAAACCATCTCCAACTCAATCCTGCCTTCCTGATTCGTCGAGATCAGTCTTCACCTGGCTCGGCTCCCTGGGGCCTTCCTTCAACCGGTCTCTCGCAAGTCTCGATGCCGTGGTCAACCTTCTGCCTCAGTCAAGACTCACCAGACCTCTTCCTGCATGAATTGTTCAGCCGAAAGGACCTTCCCCTCCTTCAGGACTTCATATCCTTCTGCATCTCGACAACCTCCCAACCTTGATAGTCTTCTCCTCGATGTCCCAGATTGATCCTCTTAGATGATATGCTGCCTCAATACCTGACACAAAGTCTGAACATGCTGTCGAATGTTTGTGTGTGACTATGCGAATGTTGTTCCTTGATCTTGTCGGAATTCCCGAAGATCGTGACTCTCTCGATTGGTTGGCCTGGATAACTAGAGTTCGAGCCTATATGGTAGGAATGCATCTCGATGCCGATGGAGGGGCAAGTAATGACTTTTTCTAATAGGAACTGGTGCAGTCTTGTCATGACGAGATTCGCGAGAATGGGGATAGTCTTCCTCGAGTTTTCGATGAGAGTGTCCTTGCACAGGCAGTAGTAATTATCAAGGACCTCTGTCTGGTCACTGAGCCTGTTCATGGTCCTCGCGAGAGGACCTCCTTCGGATTTCGTCATCTTGACAACTATGCACATGGAGGGCCACCAGCTGGTAGGTTGTTCATCAGATCTAGTGGTATGTCTCGAGGCTGATTCGTGTCTAGAACTTCGAGTGATGCGATACTTGGCCGCAATGGATGAGGCACAACGATTTGCTGGCCTGGCTGGACAACATCCTCAGGAGTCGTATCATATGGCTGAGGACCTTGTCTCCTTGCAGGCCGCATTGAACGACGAGTTAGTCGAGATGGATGAGTTGTCGAGATGATACACAGCTTTGAACCAGAGGATTGCGGGCTTGAGACAGAGAGTAATCGAGATTGGTACCAGTACAGTTCAGAGGGGAACTCCTCATGTGAATCGCAACCGTCGTCACCAGGGCCGTCGCACAGAGGGGTAGGGCTGCCAGATCCAAGAGAGTGGTGTGATGGGTGCGTCCTGCCAGCTGAAGTCTCCTCGAGACTTGCCTCAGGTTCAGGTCCGAGTGGGATATGGTGTCCTGCACATCGAGTCTACCATATCGTAGGGATGTCCTGTTAATCTAAATAGAAGCCTCTTCAGTAGCCTTTCCTTTCCTTCCCTCCGTCATGTGAACTTGGTTCGTCTTGATGCAAGATGGCTTGAGGATTGTCGAGATGGTGAGTGTGAGATGGTGTTGTTGTTTTCTGTATCGTGGAGATGGGAAGTCTAGCTACGATGTCCTGCACCAAAAGTGTTTGGCATATGGACAGATCACTTCGATATTCAACACTGAATACGAAAGTCCAAGACAATGTCACACTGCAGATACGACAATAATTAGGGTATGCCAATGACAACAAGTACAATAAATGACCTCCTCAACCTCAAGTCCGACTTTAATTCAAACTGACAACGTATGCCTCAAATCTTCTACAGATGAAGAGGAAGAGTGACGAGAATGAAGAATGGAAGGTAAAGAACGTGAGGAATGTACCAATGACGATGAAGTCTGAGCCAAAGTAGTCAAAGAATCCAAGGGAGGGGCTGATGAAGATGAAGGAGTGGAAGGGACAATAACTGTCTTGAAGTGAATAGAAGACAATGAGACCATTGCAATAGGAGCTGCTGCATGGTTGCGTGCACCACGAGAAATGCGTCGAGGAGCAAAGAACATACACCAAAGCCACAAGGCGACCATGATTAACATCAAAGTACCAAGGAGGATGACGACTCCAATTACTGTTGGCTTAGAGACCGTGGTATAAGCCAAAGGAGTGGGAGCAGCTGAGGAAGACTCCAGGATGATCCTAAAGAAGCGATAGGTCAGAAAAAGACATTAGACTGATACTCTGAACACGCATGCAAGGTGACACACGTTGTAGTGGCCATGAGGCAGTTTCAGAATCTGAAAGTCGAATGTGAATATGACCAAACCAGACTAGAAGGAGTAAGACTTACCTAATCTCAAGACAGGTGGATCTGAAACTCGAATCTGTCTGAAGGAGACAGCTTCTAAAGACAAGTATCATCGCCTGGCAGTGCCACGTCAGCAGTAGGCGCTTAACTGGACCTTCAACACTGGTAAAGTCTGTGTATGCTCAGAAAAGACCGGAAATGACTGCAGATCAGTCAAGACTATTGTTTATTCGCATCTTCAAGCATGTTACTTTACGGTGACATGATGATGAATAAATAATCTATAAATTGGTGAGGTGAAGATAGGCAACATAATGAATATGGATCAAAGTACATGTTTTACGATGACGGTCCTCCTCCTGAACTCCTAGAGCGATCTTCACGTTTAATAATGTACCTCATTATAAGATACACTCCACAAAGGAAGGCTACGACTCCACAGATGATACCAAAGATTTCAAGAAACACCTTCGTACTTGAAGGAGGAGGCTCCAAAGCCTTCATTTCTTCGATCTACAAGGGGATCACTCTTTAATGAGTTATGAAGAGTTTAAATGATCTGAAGATACGTACCCAGCTCATATTGTCAAAAGGGTTTTTCAATGTATTCCCAACTTCTGAGAAAATACCAACTGTTCAAAGTACCGCGTAAGCACCTAATTCGTCCACAAAAGATCCTATGGACTTAGAGATATGTCCAGAAGGTCTGAATAGGATGCTTAGCAAACTTACCAAAGTTTACGATAATACTGGCAAGTACACACTTCAGAAGAAAGAGTGCGGTGTTTGAAGAAAGAAGAGTGCGTCACTCAACTCAGCTTTCTTGAACAATAACTGATCAAACCTTCAATTTCGGCAATCTCCAAGTGATACCAGATAAGATAAGGAGTCTCAGAAAGGAAGGTGTAGTGTGCAAAGTGAAGCCACCTGGCCATACAAGCACCAACTGATCGAAAGACCTTAATATCTGATGCACGATCATCAAATCTTGATCGATCGACAACTGAGCTCTCCATTCCTTACAGAATGGACTTTTCATTCTTGAAGCACTAGGCCATTGAGTCATCAAGACTCACCATGACTCATAAAGCCCCTAATGAGTCAGAAAAGGCCATTGTGACTCATCAAAAGATCATTCTGACTCATCTTAAGTCATTCTTAGTCATCGGATGCCCCTATGAGTCATCAGACACCCCTATGAGTCAGGAAAGAATGCAGATTTGTAAGTAAAGAATCCTTTAGAAGCATCTGGAATCAGCCTGAGACTGGTTTAGACTACTCCAGGCTGAAAATAGATGACTCAAGCATGGATTCTAGTGCTAAATTCATGTTTCATTAATAAGCACCTGCATTCTCTCATCAAGTAAGCGAAGCAAGTTCTTACAAATTTAGCTTGGTCATCCATAGCACAGCCCCTTTCTAGATTGTATATAATGAGCCCCTTATTTCCTGTAGTAATGTGCCTGTGCCCCTCAAGTTCCTGTAATTTCCCTAAAGTTCTGCCCCAAATTCTATCATTTCTAAAGTCCTGCAAAGCTCAAAGTCCCCAAGCTTGACACTCTCTCTTTGTGAAGTGCAAGTGAAAAGCCTAAAGCGATCTGCCACTTCTGCTGCTTTCAAATTTTCTCAACACCTACTCTTTTCTTAAGAAAAGCTGGTCATTGTACCTTCGTGTATCTTTGACTTTGTCTTAACCTGAGATTGCTATCCTAAATCCCTTTCCTTTCTCTTGTGAACTCTAAGGCATACCTTGCTTAAGACTTCACTTACCTTAAAAACACACTCCTTTCAGTGGTATAGCCAGTCAAGTCTACTTTATTGTCAGACTACACGGTAAACCTCCCCTCACCCCAAACGAACAACAGGAAAGACCCGGTGTAACGTCTCACCCGGAAACTTTTCTGCAGAAGAGAAACCTTTGGCCTCTCATCTCTTTGAGAGTGTTTTTCTTTTTCTGACCGACAACGAGAGATGAAGAGAAGAGAAATAAAGATGCGAGTGTTTGAAAAGTGTTTGTGGAGATGGTGTATATGGGTGAATTAGTTATCTATAAAGATGAGGTGAAGGAAAGAAGATGAGAATGAAAGCTTGTTGACTTTGTTTGTATGATATAGAGATAGAGGAAAGAGAGATAGAGAGATCGAGAGAGAGAAAAGGAAAATGGTGTCGAGACGGTATTGTCGTGCTGAGAATGGAGTGGTATGTTGTCTTGATGATAAGTGTTGTTGTGTTGCTGTGGTCTTGATGCATGCATGCTCTGTAGGGTGTGCACCATGTGCACACCTTACAGCACCATAGGCAAGAGCTCGAGAGAGTTCGAGAGAAGTAGATGAGATTGTCATGAGGTTCTCGATAACATTGCATAGTTTCGCACAAGTGATTAGGTCAGTGCTTGCTGGGCATGCAGACACCTCATCTGGCGAGAGGTCCAAGAGAGCAAGTAAGTCATTCGTAGTTGAGAGTTTCTTTCAAAGGGACTCGATGTAACTGGCAGCGTTGGGAATTGATTTGAGCATGTTAAGCAACGGCATGATAGTCAGAGGTGATGAATGTTCTGGAGAAGGTAAGTATGCATGACAGTGCAGCGTGAGACTTATATACATACTAATTGATACTGTATTCAGATAACTCTAAATCGTGCGAGAAACTATGTAGCATGGCGTCGGCATATGAGAGGCATGTGAGGATGCTGAAGAGATGCAGGAGGATGTAGCACCCAGGTAGCATATAGACAGCATATGGTCGGCATAGGCAAATGCCGACCATATGCTGTACTTCCATAATTTCACATTTCACACAGTGTGCAGCACTTCCGGAGTTGGCACAGTCTGCTTTTCAGCGTGCAGTGGAGCTCGCCGTAATCAGCTGCTAATTTGATGGGATGCCTGCTGTTCTTGAATTAATCCGGTGGGAACCATGTAGATGATAAATGTTGAGTTGCTGAAATTAAATGTCAGACAGTTAATGCAAGTTTGTGTGGGCACCTGCAACTGTTGAATTCTACATATCAGAACTTCCTTATCGAGTAATTACGTAGCTCGCGTGGCATTGAAGTGCTTACTATTTATGTAATTTAGTCAGCGGCTGGGCGCGACTATGAAAACTGATCATGTTGAGTAAAGTTGTGACCCTATTGGAACATAATATGTCACTGTGACGGTGATCGTGTCCACTAACGGATGGATGTTATTAGACTTCGAATTCCGGCCGGCTCTCCCCTCACACCACTTCTAATCCCTATCCTTCCAAATTGCCTTTAAACTCCAAATTATGTCTACCATGGACGGTGGTACTGAAATGTCAGAGCATGGCGACACGCTGCTAACTACTAGAGATGAGAGGCAAGAACTTATAGAGCCGTTATTGACCCCCGTACGTGGATTTTCTCATACGACTAACCCTCACAACTTCACTTTGCTACAGATTTCTACGCCAATACAGGGGGAGATGGCAGATGAATCCCTTGCTAGCTCCGTGTCGACAGCCTTCAGTGGTTCTTCTGGGCACGACGACGGATCCCCAGACCTTGTCTTCATATCTGCTGACAAAGTCTCTTTCCACACCCACTATGCCCGTGTTTGCAATGCATCATCGAACAACTTCAATTTCTTGCTGCCGAATTCACCTGAGGCTCTGACGGAGACGGGAGTATTCCAACTCGCAGAAGAAGCTGCTGTTCTCAATGTCATTTTCCATTGTATTTATAAGCTACCTTTTGAGATTTATGATCCTGCGCTGTCGACTCTACTCTCTGTGGTCGTTGCCTTACAAAAGTATGGACTATCACTGCAACAATACCTTATCATTGGCACGCCCCTTTACCAGCAGATGTCCCTGAAGACAGCCTCCTCACCCATCGATGTCTACACAGTTGCGGCAAGCAACGACCTCTTCGATCTCGCTTCTGTGGCTTCATCATACCTGCTCTCATACCCTGTGGATGAGCTCTCGGACGAGGTGTCGATTACGATGGGCCCAGTCTATTTACGTCGGCTCTTCTCCCTTCACACCCAACGATTGAAGGCTCTGAGAGCATTGATGGCCTCACCTCCTGTAGAGCACCCATCGACCCCAGCCTGTGGTGAAGTCGAAAAGAAGCGCCTCCCGAGATCATGGTCGTTATTCTGCACAAGTATCGCTTTCTATGCAACCCCAGGTATATGACTTGTTATCTGTTTGATCTTCAGAAGTCTCATTAGGAACTAGACATGTCTTCGGTCAAATTACGCTCCGTCCTCGAGACCCTAGGTGAATTGATGTTATGTGACGTCTGCAAGCAAAGTCTGCTTGATAGGGTACAAGAACTCGTCGTGCAGTGGTCAGCCATCCCTGTACGTCATTCGAATATGGCTCCATCACGCTGTTCTAACGTCCCCTCATAGATGACTATCCTTAGGGATCCATTGGGTTACCGCGCAGGTACGTAGGTGTTCCCGTGGAAGGAAAGCAGGAAAGTAGATACCCCCAATTGTCGTCATATATGATACCTGTATATTGTATTTCGTCCTCTACCTAGCCTATTGCTCAGTGTATGAAATTAAATTGACTCTCCTCTCCCTTCTGTATCAACGCCGTGTCTTCTCACATACGAGCATGCTGGATCGTGGTAATGTTTGCTGTTCAACATAAAAGGTGGGTCTATGGCTTCAGCGATTGGTGCTCTGGCATGAACGTAAATGTAGCACCAGCGCGACAAAACCTCTTCCGCTTGCACCCTGCTATTAACTCTACTCAACTGACCTTCCAATACGCCTAGAGCTTGAAGGCTCGCGCTGAGCGACCGCTTCTTACGTCCTCCTTTGAAATTTTCATTCAAGTAGAATGTCGCACGTACGGTACAGTAAGTTCCCTTCGGACACCATGGTTATCTCTTCAGCTTTAGGGGAAGTGTACCAGGCTCATTGAGGAACGCAGACGGACACCTTGAGGCAAGAAGGCCCAACCATCTGCCAACGTGTATTGATCCTTGAATAAACCACAAAGAAAAAAACAGAGTGATATTGATAAAGTTCCATAGCATGAGATACAGAATTGATAGCTTACCAAGAACTGAAAAACCATGAGTCGGTCCCCTTTGTTGTCGACATACATGTCACATGTACATTGGGTCCGAACAATACTCGCTCTAGGTGGGAACCCGTACATACGTCACCGACGTGGCAGTTTTGGCGGCTGTAGTCGCATATGTGGAGGGCAAGCCTACATTGCATGTAGACCGTCTTTCCTGTCCCTTGTATAGCCTGGATCTCAAGAAGCGGGGACACCACGATAGTTGAGCCTCGGTAGAAATCTCTGCCGTATCCGGATACCTCTGCGCCACGACTACGGAGTGGCCTATAGAGGCTACAGATGTCCGGTACCTTTTGACATTCCTTAGGCTGGTTAGATGTATCCCGTTGCATGACAGGACACAAGGGTTGTAGAGGAAGGGACAATTCTAGCTCGAATTGAACCGGAAGTGATAGTGGTGACTGAGAAAGGCAGAGCCGGATGCGCGGCGACAGGATAACATAGTGGGTTATCCAGGAAATGCTGCATTTTGTTCGCCGAAGACGTTATGGCAAACTCCAAGTCAACAACCGTCTTCAGTGGATAGGAATTCGTAAAAAATCACTGCAGGGCCGAAGTGCTCGAGAGATTGACTTCAGATATGGTACGCCCAAATCTCGGTTTGCGACGTCTCTTCGTGTGTACTGGTCGAGCACTATTTGGACGTTGCGAGTCGTCGGGATGCTTAGTGTGTGAAAGCAGGAAAGCAGGATAGTTTAGTGAGTGGTCCATTTTCCTAGCACTGCAGTGGACGATATCTGTAGATGCAGCAGAGCCGTGGGGGACTGAATTCACCTCTCATTAAGAACTCCACACAAGAATAATCCCATGAATCTTGTCCTCCATACACCGCAAAGGTGAGGTAAGAGAAACCTGGATATCGCGACGACCAGTGCTCCATGTCAGGTTCTCCACATGCCAGTGTACGCAACAAAACATTTCAATAGGTTGTACGGCTGTCTTCGACTTTCATTTGAGATACAGTAACCTCCCGGTAGGCTTTCGAAAAGTCATAGATCTCGGGGCCGACCAATGCCACCGTTGATGCATCACTCTGATGTGTATCCTGTGGTGGAGAACAGGGGGTCATGCTATGACCGTGGTCAACGGTACTGCTGCATAGTATCTCGGCTATAGCGGTTGGACGAAGCTCAGTTTTTTCAACAAAAACAAAAAAAAACGGGTTGTGTTAGGCGAAGGAGTACCCACCGATGTGCTGAAGCTCTTCGTGTTTCACCAAACTGGTCAGATAGTTTGGCCAGGGGCGCCGTCTTCAACGCCGGCTCGCATGATGACGGATCCTGTTATGACCAGGACACCTGAAGGACTTCGCTGCGCCCGAAAATATAGAGTAAACGCTCCTCAACGAGTCTGCTGCTGCGTGGACATGAAGTAAGACCTTTAGGAGCCAGGGACGCCTGTAGGTTGACGACATTTGAAGTCAATAACAAGAGGCAACCGTATGATCTTCGCTATCAGGATTGATTACGGATTGAACACTGGCAACGAAGTGACGTAACTATAATATAATTGTGAATGCCTTTCTTTTCTTAGTGAGGGAATACTTACATTGGGAACCTACGGTGAGGTAGAACTTGATAGTCACTTGCAGCATGGCTGGTCGGTGAAGTACCTGTACATATGAATAAAGCGGGTTTAAGGTGCGCGATCAGTCTCCAAGTTCGTGATGAGATACTCCAACCTCGCTGGAATATGGAGAGTCGGTACTTTATGGCAATCGTAGCTCACGAAGATCGCAAATATCGGAATTAACTACCAAAGTTAAAGGGGCGTTGGACAAGTGTATATTTATTATTTTCAGAATATTTATTGATGCGATAATTCGGTGCCAAAAATTCTGCTGCCGGCTGCTATGCCTGAACGCTAGGCTCTGGGTCCGTCCATGCTCAATAATATATAACGCTCTGCTACGCCCCCTCATTCATCGTATTTCTCTTATTTCTCTACGTAGTACTTTCGCAAACTGACTCGCTAGTCAGATTTCCGTCATGGCGACGAGCGTGCCTTCTCCAGCCTTTCATCCCACAGCTAACCTCGATTCATACCCCTCCGATATCGTCGTTACATCTTCTGATCGAATCGCTTTCTACGTCCACAGTCGCCGTATCCTCTCAGTTTCTACTAACCACTTTGCCTCTCTTCTCATCCAACCCCTTCCAATAGGAGGAAAGTTGAAGGTTTTCCTCCTCGGGGAAGATTCACAGGTGCTCAACGTCGTCTTCCACACCATTTATCTCAAACCATTCGGCCAATCACCATCCCCTGTTGCCGTCTTCGTCGCTATTGATGCCTTCAATAAATACGGAATACCAGTAGATCAATATATCCGCCCAAATACCCCGCTCTTCCCCCCTTTGCTTGCACACGCTGCGAATGATCCCCTCAATGTTTATGCCGTGGCTGGTCAATATAACCTCTACGAATTAGCAGCTGCAGCTTCAGCACATTTGTTGGCGCTCGATCCAGAAGATGTTACTGATGAACATGCTGTCCGTATGGGCCCCATTTACCTCAAGAGGCTCCTTTTACTCCGACCTGCGCGCAAACGTTTGTTAGAGGAGCTTTTACTTCAGGGTCCCAGTGAGCATCCACCTACCCCACAGTGTGGCGTGGACAATCAGCGTCGAACTGGGAGGCAGTGGGATCTGATGATCACGAATCTCTTGTCAGGTCCTACACCTAGTAAGTGTTTTCTGCGAGTATGAACATCTTGGGTGTGTTCTTACAGCAATCTCAGATTTACCGTCCGCAACTATTCAAGCCACCCTGAGCCCTATCGGAAATCACATTGGTTGTCGTGATTGCAAGGCTGCGTTGGATGAGAGAATCCAGCAGATCGTGACTAATTGGGAAAAAGCCCGGGTACGGTTCGAACTTCCTGAGCTATATATCGTTATGCTAAAATACTGCAGAAAACAATATAGACTTATATTGGTGGCACAATCCCATAGAATTAGCCAAGGTCTATGGCCGCAGGACTCTGAGAATGCTAGGATCTAGGTGGAACGTGATGAAGCTCGCGCTTCTTTGCCATCATTCTTTGTTAAAGAATTCTGGAAGGGATGTAAGTACTTCCTTCGAGGCTTTTTGTATTCTTCGACTCAGACATTTTTCTGTTTTGGCATCGGTCACTCTTCGTATCGTGTACAGTGTTCGTTCTTTTCTTTCAGCTTAACAAGCCTTTTTATCCTGCCCCTTTTCTGCGAGTGGTTCGTATGCATATAAAAAAAAATCTATCCGGTGATCAGCATTCGTCAGAACAACATATACATGTTCGCATGACGGAGTACCTTAAACGGGTGCGTTTGGTCTGGTGCTGTTCTCTATGATTCTCATCTATTTTGACCAAGCCCAAAACCATGATCGGCGTGCCCTATATGTAATCTTCTCTCTCTCCGGCGACTGGACTCGGACATTCCGAATTAGATGGCTCCGGATCTATGACGCGAGGTTTGTTTCCGTCGTTGAAGTCTTGCATCCGCAGTGACGCAACGAAGAGCGGCGGAGCCCAGATTAAGCTTGCATACCTTCCTTTTCCAGACTCGGTGCGTTGTCAGACAATATTTGCTTCGTTGCACTTGATCTTGCTTCCTAGATGCAAGTCGTCGATCTGTAAAAGTTACGCCTCATATGTAAGGTTTCCGGCATTTGATAATCCCTGTAGCTTTCATATTGTGCGCTTGGCGTAAGATAAAGCTGTGGAAGACACAACTCACATATTCTCACTGCACTTGCATCTTGACACTCTTGCCTTTTGCTGACGGGTTGTGTGACCAGGTGAGTGACATTGGATCGGTTTGTCAGAAATAAAACATAGACTAACAGCAACGATATGGTCAAAACAGTGTTCATCGCTACTGCAGTAAGCGGAGGTAATGGTGACAACCAAATCGCTGGATCTACTGAAGATACTGCAGGTATCGCGGCCTAAGTCGGCTAAAATTACTGACAATCATGTTCAAGTTAGCTTCTGGTACTGGTGGTCAGGAGGAAGGCCGCAATCACTTCGTGTTTCGCTCAGGTGCGACCTGAGGTTGGTATTTTACTCGAATCTTTCGTAGGCATCGCAAGAAACTGGTTCGAGCAATGTTCTATCCGCTCTGCCGGAAATTTGTATGATATGGAGATACATGCTAGCGATGGCAGGGAATTATAACGGGCAGTGAGCATCTTGATACAGTGAGAGGGGTGGAGTCATGAGACGTGGTGTCATATATTGAAGACAGGCAGTTCCAGAAGGCCTGATCCTGTGAATAGACAAGACTGAGCGCGACACGACCGAAATCGGCAGAGCGAGATGGATAAACGAGAACCTGATCACGATCCGGACTATCATAGTACCATGTCCGCCCAAAGACTCGAGATTTTGAGACTTCGAGATTCCAAGAATGTCAAGTTTGACGTTAAGCTATAAGATCACGGTCACATGCATTCCACGTGCCTTCGACACGCGTCGCGACTTGATCTGAACCACCACCTCCTCTTATACGCTTTTCTTCGAACCTTATTCGTGCCTTCACGACTTTGGAGTATCGTGCACCTTTTCTTTCCCCCTCATGAATGTCTATACGGTGGTCAAAAAGGAAGGACCGCCTGGTGGACTTGCTTGGTTACGGTAATGGGACCCAGAGTTCTGAAGACGATATCTCGTTGGCCTTGGACCGCATCCTTCATGGACAGAGCGTTATTGGAAAGACATGTGTGTATACCGCAAAATCTAGAATCTCTACTGATTGCTCTCTATTCTAGCCAAAACAACGCAAGTGGACGATTTACGGTTCGCTGATAAAGACTTGAACATTGTCGGCACGTTGGAATATGGCCAATATGGGGTTGTACGTATACTGAACCATATGTTTTCTGTAGTGTAAGATATGCTCATAATTCTCCAGATCGATGTTGTGACATGTAAACTTGACGGCCGTGTATACGTCCGAAAATCAGCTGAGAAGCGATTCGCTTTGAAGACTCATGATGTCGGTATTAATTTTCCACATATATGTGAGCGCTCATGCTGAATATCTCCTAGCAATGTTCCCCCCAAAATGAACGAGAAATACTGCTGCGTGCACTCAAGACCAGAACTAAGTGGGCACCTCATCTTCTGTGCGCGTACCAGACCCCTACACACTTGAACCTCGTCATGGATTATGCTGAGGGAGGGACCCTATGGGATATTTTAGAGTCAAGCCCCCTCGACGGCAAAATTTCTGAGGCTGACATCCGTTGGTGGGCCCCGCAAGTTATCAGCGCTATCGATTGGTGTCATTCACAAGGTTTCGTACACAGGTAGGTAGCGCATGATCAAACGTTTTATCTGCAAGATTCACACTTTCGCCAGAGATATAAAACCGCACAACTTCGTTCTTACGACCACCGCACGTATCCTTCTCATCGACTTTGGCTCCGCGGCTCCTCTCCTGCCTCCACACGCTGATGGTAGTCAACAAGTGGCCAAGATACACTGTCAAGTACCGTGTGGTACCTGTGACTATATCTCTCCCGAGATTCTACAGGCGCACGAGGAGGCATTAGTTGCACTTGAAATGTCTGATCTGTCTCAGGATAAATCACCGTTTGACGATGAGATTAGTGGTGGATACGGTCGAGAGACAGATTGGTGGAGTCTTGGAGGCATGTTGTACGAGATGGCTCACGGTGTCGCGCCGTTCTTCGCTAATGATATCCGACAAACTTACGCCAAGATCATGGATCATACTGTATGTGCTTGATACAGTTTTGACGTGGCTTATCTGACGCTGTTTGCAACAATTTTAGCGAAGCCTTCACTTCAAACCAAACATTGCCATCACTAGTTCATTCAAGGACCTTCTGCGTAGGTACGTTGAACGGTCATATTCATCAAAACGATTTCCTCAGGTCTCCTCAACAGGCTCCTCACCACAGCGGAACTTCGCCTTGGTCGATGTAATATAGACGAAATCAAAGGACACCCATTCTTTCAAGGTACTCTTTGGGATAACTTACACCACCGTAAGTTCACTGGCACTACTATTGATGATATATCTGCTAATGGTATACAGAACCGAAACCCACTGACTTACACCTTCCTCAGTTCACTTACTCTACGCCGGTTGTCCCGGAAGGAATCACTGAAACGCCACACTCTCTGTCAAACACATCTGACTCTCGACGTTTCGCTTTCTCAGCTCTCTTCGTTTCTTCACCTGCGACAGCAGCATCACCAGGCGTGACGCTTTCACAAGCGACACCTTCACAAAGCTCCAACCGATCCATCTTGCGAGACAAACCGACCGCTTCTTTTATTGGTTTCTCATGGGGTCCAATGGCAAATGCTTTCGACCATGCCAACGAACAACCCGACATAGGAAACCCGCGGCTTTTCACTCCAAGACCGCTTGCTCGCACAGCCACGCTGTCACCATTCTCCCTGGTGCAACCCGGAAGTCTGCAGGTGACCCCGGCGGGAAAGAGATATCTCTTTGCGACACCTATCAGACCTAATGGTTATACTCCCTACGGTACCCTGCCACGAGCCAGTACCATCCGACGTACGGCGCCTCGCCGCACCGTCTCCGACAGGGAGGCGATGAAACAGCTAGTAGACTGCGTCGGCATGAGTGCACGAAAGAAAGTACTCGAGAGTGGTCGGAAACCTCGGATGTTGACTAAGTTCAATCAATCTCGATCTTCGACACTGAAGGAACTACGGTTCGACAAGTCCATTATGGTCCTGAACGAGACCGGGATATCATACAAAATTGACCCTGGTTCTGGATCGACATCGGATACGACAGGTATGAGTTTGTCGAAGTTGGACTACTCATCTACAAAATCAGTCTCGGGACAGAGTCTCCCCGAGGCATCCTACAGCTTGGTCATGGACTCGGACTCAAGTTTGGAGTCAGATGTACCACCGAGTCCTAGTCCCAGTCCAAGACCTGGTTCGGCGATGTCAATATTGTCACGTCGGAGTCAGACACCAACGACTTCATATTTCCTTCGTGTCGGTTCGAGTCACTCGCGGAGTGCGGATAGCAAGGGCCTGCTTTCTCCCACTGTTCCGGTTGATCCTCAATGGGAGTCACCAGCTCCAAGCATGATGATAGAAGACGAAGGAGTGACCAATGAAAATCTTTCTTACGATGTTCTCAACACATTTCAGAGGAGGCATTCGAGGCTGATGGATGATATAGGTGCGCTCAAAGGACGTTTGGATCGCGTAGTCGAACGCATACATCACAGACGATGATTACTTCAATAACTTATCAACGGAATACTGTAGCGACTTGATTGTATCTACTAACTTAAATGTACCTCTAGCAATGATATTAAATGTCGTAGAACCTTGCGCATAGATTTTACGCCTTTGAATGAACGAACAGCATAGGAGCGTCGTGACAGACCGAGCGGTGGGAATCTCCAGCCATGGGTCGCCTTGCGTTCCAACACGTAGGACCTAAGACCCTTCCTCAAAGACAACCGGACTTTGGTAGGTTTCCTCGACTGACCAGCACCCCGAGATTTCTCGGATGGTTTGATTTCTGGCGGGCGTTCGGGAAGTACTACCATCGCGTCCTGCAGGTAAATGCTAGGTAGGTACCACGAATCCGATCCTTCCTCCGTTTCTTCATCAGGCCACCGTCTTCCAGGGTCTGGTACTGGGTGAGAATAAGGAATCTGAGAGTTTAGGGACATTAACCACCGGATGAGGAGCTTGTCTGGACGTTGCTCGCCCTCTTCCTCCTCAACAGCAGACCAAACAGATTCTACAGGCAATGAGCCTTTCAATGACCGCAACCAGCGAAACGAAGAATCTGGCTGCAGCTCTTCTTCATCTCCGGGAGCAAATTCACGGTACAATTCTTCCTTAGGGTCGTGAGCGCCATCGTTGTGCAAGATCCAATAGTTGTGGATCTCGAGTTCTTGGAGGTAGATGTTAAGATGGTCATCATCAAAAGGGAGAATATGGGTGAACAGTTGGTTATTTTCCGGGAAAGTGAAGTCGTCGTTCTGTTTCAACATTGCGCGTGAAATAATAGGGAGCCTGTGAATGTGTACGTGTGGAAGTTCGTTTGCTGCCTCCAACAGGAGCCTCTCGAACCCGCGGGGTTTGATGACATTGGGGTAATGATAACAAAGACCGAATGCAAAAGGAGGGGGCATTTGGCTAAGTTCTTCCTTGACCAGCTCTTTGATCTTTTCCGTTGCTTCTGAGTGGGTTTCTTTCAGAAAGATCTTGAAAGAAAGTACAGATCGGACGCCGTGTGGGATATCCTTCCGAGAATGATGAATGTTTGTGTAGAATGCTGTCCAAACCGTGTGGCGTGAGTCCAAGGAGCCAGTCGAACTATCCACCATCTCGAGGTCATCTGGCAAGTCAATCAGAAACATTCCAATATGGTCCTCTTCTATCGCATTCATGCAGGGACAAAATTGCTCGCAAGCGCCGTTGAGATATATATTGTGGGGTTCGGCTCGTACGTTGTCCGGAAGAAAGTGGCTGACCCATAGACTTTCTATCTCACGTATGAGATCCGCTTCGACTTTGAATGCAGATGATGGGATCTCTTGTGCAACGCCCACACCACAATCGGGATTCGGCTTCAGAAATTGAATACGTAGCGACTGGATTGGGATTGTATCAGGCAAGGTGTCGGTGCAACATGCCTTCCATTGTGAAGCCAAATTACTGAGAGTTGTCGCATGTTGCTAAACGTTTTTCTCAGTGCGAACTTGAGGGATGCATTATGTGACGAAACATACCAAGATCCCTTTATCAAGATGATCCAAAACTCGATAGGTCTTACTGAAGCTAGTAGCTCCGTCGTCGACGTGACTTGCGGAGGTAGAAGGGGACTCGGACGAGGAGGGAGGAGTTGCATCACATCGCTGATCATTCGCTGGACTTTCCGATTGAGCCCTAACGAATTCTTGAGCTAAGATTGTCTTTTGCTCTTGAAGATTAGTTGCATCAAATGCGAATGAGAGATCTAAATACTGCCAAAGGTTCCCTGCGACCTTTGATATGTTCAGAGGCTCCCTGATGTTAGAAGCCATGGAAAGAATTCTGTCACTGATTCAAACGTGGATTAGGTATCATGCAAGCGGAGGAAGGTAGGGCGCACAAATCCGAGTCGGTACTCATGCAGGAAAAGGGAAGAATATTAGTGAGCAGTTTTCGTAAAGAACTTATGTCTCACTAGCATGCAGGTTTAATATGTGAAATTCGGAGTACAAGGGCTCACTTACACGGCCCAAGCTGTAGCGAGAAAACAATAAACTTCCTGCTTCCTGCGATTGCCCATGCGGGTCGCCCCTCCTGCGCTCCAATAGAGAACCGCCTAGTTGGGCAGACTAGCGATGGCCAGTGTGTCCTTGTTTTTTGGTGCATGTCATGTTTGCGGTGATTAAGGCTCCGATAAGACGCACCATGTAAAGACTAAATTCCTTGTTTTCAACTACCAAGCTGAACAACCTGTTCAATTTGCCAAGAGTAACATAAACGTCACGGCGTACATCGGTAACTTGAAGTGGATAGACCGTATTGGAGTATGTCTGTTGCCCCGATGTCCATTTGTTCCCACGGGAGATAGCCCTGTCGATATCACTGACTGGTCCAGGGCATTGCGCATCATAGTGTCCACTTGGTATGTATTCTTCTTTTCATTGATAGCGGAGTCGAAACCCAAACGGAGCTAATTCATGACGTTCGAATGATTTCTGTCCAGACGTTCGACAATGCAACCGATCCATGTTTCTCATTACCCGGGAAAAAGGCCCTCCTTCTTCTAGGCAGTAGGTCGTTATGCATAAGGAGCCCTAATTCCAGGAAGGGTAAAACAGAACGAATTCAGATTCAGGTTTGAAAAGGAAAGAAATTGAAGCAATCGATTCCCTATTATGTCACTCTAGATATCCTTTTTAGATATTACGTTTCTCAATGCATTCGTAGAAGAAAGTCCAAGACACAAGACATATACACTGTGTACGCATAGTCTACGACAGAAGAAACGAACCGTTGGGCGATGGTGATCTGAATTTAGGTTCTCTTGCGTTTAGTGGTCCTTCTGGGCTGGGGAGCCGGAGCCTTGGCCTTGTCAATATCAGCCTTCTTCGACGTCGAAGCCGTCTTCGATTTCGTGGACCCCTTAATCCGGGAAGATCGCCTTGGTTCACGAGGTGGATCCGGTTTAGGAAGCACTACCATGGCGTACTGCAGATAAATACTATATTCATCCCAAGATCTTGATTCATTCCCCAAGTAATCAGGTCCTTCAACGCGGTCATTGGACCACCTTATCCCGAGGTCTACATGCACATACGGAATCTTTTCTTTCAGAGATTGCAGCCATTGGATTGAAGGGTCTCGTTGTAGTGCTTCCACGTCTCCGAGAGCAAAGTCGAGGTGCGCATTAGTGAGTGGATATATAGAGGCTTCCACGCTATTGGATTCGACTTCCTCCTCGTTTGCTGACAAGCTTATCTTCGAGACGACTGGAAGCAAATGGATCTCAACGTCGGCGCGTTCCCGCGCAACCTCGAGAAGCATCATGTCAAAACCGCTTGGCTCCGTTATCCCAACATGGTACTGATGACGAAGTCCAAAGGCGAAGGGTGGTGGCATTTGACTGAAGTCGCTCTTCACCGCCTCCTTGATATCCGCCAAAGGCCCATTCAACGAATTCTCGTTATCTGCAGATGCTTCTGGATTGTCATGTCTTCGGAAGAGTTTGAACGCAATGACAGCCCTATGCCCCTCTTTGATTGCCTTCACCGCATGCGGGGTATCTGGATAGAAGGCCACCCAGCTTCCAAAATTAGCGTTGAAGGATTTGCCTGCAATCTCGAACCTTTCTTTAGGCTGAGAAGTATCCCCCAACCCAAGCAGGAAGGTTCCAACCAGGTCCCGCTCCGGAGTATCCTTGTGAGAATCGAACTTCCCACCCGCCCCATAAATGTGAATTTTATATGGTTCGACTCGGACCTCGGAAGGAAGAAATTTCTTTTTCCAAAGTGTCTCTACCTCGTGCAGGACTTCGGGCGAGATATAGAAATCGGAAGCTGGGATTTCCCGCGCGCTGCGCACACCAGGGTCGTATTCCGTTTCTTGGGTACGAACATTGCCAAATCCAGAGACAGTCGCGTATTTGAACATCAGAGCAAGGTCCGGACCGTCCGGTTTGTGTCGGTAATCTTCAGATAACGTAGGTCCGCTGTACTTGCAGCCACGCCTTTTGATCTGTATTGCATCCTCGGGCCAATAATCAAATCCAGCATATCCGGAGGCATGAGTTATGCATTTGTTAGCTATCTTGCCCAGCTTCGTCGCATGGGCCTAGTTTACCAGTCAGTGTCGTGTTGGGCGCATGGGAGTCCCCCCGGTCACAACGTACCAAAAGCTTTTTATCAACAGAGTCCATGATCTTGAAAGTATCACTAACATTCTTGGCGGAGGGATCAAGGCTGTCCTCGGATTCGCCTCCATCTTCAACGTCTGAGGTTTCCGATGGGGATGACTCCCTGCAAGCGTTCTTCTGAGGCCTGCGAAGGTCGGGGAATCTACGCAACAGATCTCGTTTTTCGGTTTGAATCGTGGTCGCGTCGAAAGCAAATGCAGGGTAAGTAATGCCTCTCCAATGGTCTAAGACATTCTTGATGTCTAGTGCCGTTCGAACTCGGGGAATCATGGTGTGAGAGCTCTGTCGTGATCATCAAATAGTGGTCCTTAGTTGAGTTTTGAGAAAAGATAGGCCAGAGACTTACACTATGAGGAAAAGGAATGTTTTTCCTGAATTAACGATGGATGAAAGCAGAGGGGAAAGTACTGATACGATACGATGCCAGCATGGGCTTATATTCAGGATTGCCACTCAGCGAACAATGTAAAATGAGACAATCCGTTCTTAGCCGAGCTGGTTGATTCAGCCACATGGCACTAAACTCCTCCGAAACGCGAACGTATGGACTGGATGGGACACACCATGTTACGGTGACGTAGAAACATCTATAGACCGAACTTCCGCAGAGGATCCGCTTTCTTCCTCCCACCTCGTCCGCCATTACTACCTCTCCCTCCCCGTCCTCGTCCCCTACCTCGAGTTGAACTGTTCTTCTTGAATGGCACGAAGCCGACCTCTTGATTTCCTTCGCTCGACTCCGTGGCAGCGACCGGAGCGATGCGAGGAAGAAGGTACTTCGGAACGTGCTTCATGTGCGACTGGACACGTGTAGGATGGAGAGGTTTATCGTGTCGAAGATATTCCAAGTCATTGGGATTGTCTTCGAAGTGAGCCTGTCACGAAGACGCTTAGCTAGAATCGAAGTGAAACACAGAATGGCGTACCTTCAGCTTTTCTGAATTCAAAATCTCGGTCTTCAATTCCTTGATTCTCGCTTCCCTGATTGCACTCCTCGTCACCGCCCTCAAAGCATCTTCCATCCGATACCTGAACGCCTCAACCTGTTTCATGTCAAACTGATACTCCTTGATCTTACTTCCCCTGGCAGCCTGTTCTTTCTCGATTCTCGTAAAAATGTTCGTATCCTTCTTCGTGCTCTCCACACATCCAACGACCTTATTCTTTCCCCACTCCTTTTCCGGTACGACGAAGGAGAGAGACATTCCAGTACGTCCCGCACGAGCTGTACGACCAACGCGATGTGTGTAGGATCGTGATGAAGACGGAAGGTCAAAGTTGATGACACAGGAAACATCGATGAAGTCTACACCACGAGAGACTCCATATTCCTTGTCCGTCGCCTTGCGTCCCTTTTTGCGCCTGCGAGACTTGGAGTCAGGTTCACTGGTGGAAACACTCTGCAGTTTCCGTTTTCGAGGTGTGCTGGATTCGGCATTGGCGTCACTTCCTTCTGCCTCAACGTCACTATCGGGTTCAGGCTCTCGTTGCGTGGAGGTGACTGAAAGACATGAAGGTCAAGACGAAGAAACAAGCTCAGAAGGATGGGAAGGACTTACACTCTTCCTCTACCGCAACCTCATCGTCCTCGTCATCAGAATCATGCTCGGTTTTGCCTACTCCCTCATCAGATGCGATTATATAGTCATAAACGCCCTTATTGAACTCCTGGACGACATGATACCTTGGAAGTCTCTTTAGCGAGCGATAAACAACAGGGGGAAATAGTGAGGTTACCTCGAATTCAACGGAAGCTCGGAATTCAACACACAACTCTTTATTGAAAATTGCTCCAAGAAAAGCTTGAGTCGATAACACCTTTCCACGTCATTGACGAATATGATACATTTACCCTTGATGAGTTTGAGCTTGAGAATGACGTAAATGAGAAGGAATTTGTCGACTTCCGACGTTCTGAATAGGGTTTGAGTGATAATACGAAGAGGCTGAGTCGGAAACGCTTACTGGACAGAGTATTGTGTAAGGTTAGCTGCTTCATCCTCGTCTTCCTCGAGCTTCAAAATTACCTACATACGCAAGTATGAGTATCAAACACAAGCATGCAGATCCTGCACGATTAAGACTTACGGGACTTCGGAGCGCCAGACCCTTCAATGTCTCAACGTCCTCGGTCATGGTGGCACTCATAAGAAAGGTCTGGAAGACTTTGGGTAAGTGACCACCTCCGAAAATCTGACGAACGTCGTCATCATGGCCGTATGACAGGATCAAGTCCGCCTCATCGATGACTAGCGTTTCTAGATGCGCCAATGACAATGTCTGTCCAATATAAATCGTTAAAAGGACTCCGCAAACTACAAAAATAGAAAGCGTACCTTTGACTGCAGTAGAGCCAGCGTTTTGGAGGGCGTTGCGATAACAATATCTGGCTTGTCCGATAAGACAGAACTGGTGTATGATCAACAAAGCGCAGCATTCCTCCATGCAGAGTACTCACCGTTGCAGATGGTTGATTGTTCCAGAGCAAACGTTGCAGATAGAGACATCTTTGTCACAATACGTAATAATACTTCGCAGGTGTGCAGTAACCTGCTCTGAAAGTTCTCGAGTAGGAACCAGGATAAGAGCACGAGTTGCTTGTGAAGGACTTCCTGACGAAGAAGCAGACTAAACGGATGCATCAGCATACAAGTAAGCGTATTATCGATGTCTGAGTTCTCGGCGTGAAGATGCATTTAAGACGAAGGTTCAAGCCTTTAACTCGTACTTCGATCACTTCTGAAAAGCTCGAAGACAAAGACATACCGATTTCACATTCAACACCTTCTGAACCAAGGGTATACAGTACGCCGCAGTCTTTCCACTGCCAGTACGCGCTCTGGCAAGGATATCGCGGTTCTCTAGTGCCAAAGGTATGGCTTTTGTCTGAACGAGGGTCGGCCTAGCAAAGCCCAAATCGGCCAATGCTCGAAGTATTCTGGCATCTAGAATGTGTGAAAACGAAGCAAAAGTGGACTTTGTATCGACCAGTCGTGCATCTGGCATGGTACAATCGTAAGAGTACGTCGGAGGCGTAGTAGAGCAATAGTCGAAAGCAAGAACAGGAGGGGAAAAGTGTAAAGCACAAGCGCCCATGCTGAACGCTATGACTATTTTGGAAGGTTGCCCAATGATGAATGTTGGTAGAATCATCTCCTTGAATATTGATCACCATCCTCCACTCTCTCGCGAGTACTTACCTGCAACGTTTTCTTAGGTTTGTGCAATCATAACCTGTTTATTCTGCAGAATGCAATCGTCTTGGAATTTTTTTATCTGGATATCAACTTTTTCTTAGCCAGAACTGATTCTTTGCTGGTCCTGTTTGTGAATACATACTGACCTTGATCTTGCACCGCCTCACTTTGTTTTTTTGTAGAGTCAGCTCACATGCATACGCATTTCATCAGGGGGTACGTGTATTATGTACCCCCTTTGACTCTAACATTGTATAAACCCCCTATAGTGCACCTTCTCGCGAATGAAAATTGCCGTCTTCAGTACAATCTCAGTGCTGCGCGATGAGACTTGTAATCGCTTTCGATTTGTGATTTATTATGCTGCTGATTGAACCGCCGCCTACGTCACCTAGACTATGGGGGCGGCAGAAGACTTCTGTATTCACGCAGAAGTTCAATGATTTGAAGGCAAGACTTTCATTGTGTGAGTTCCATTACCACTTTCAACGAGCCGTGGGCTCTTTTCCGTAACCACGATTTTCAGCTGACTACTGTCTAATCGCTAGGTGCGCTGCCATATACGAGATGAAATATCTCTCGAGAGCTTCGAACATTCTCATCTCTATAAAGTTTTTGAAGTCATTCGTAGTTCTCTGGTTACATCGCCCTTATCCTTGGGAGAATAACGTACTGTATATAGCCCAGCGAGCGTCGAAAAGAACGACCAACTCCGCATCACCGACTATACCCGGGCTCGGCTTTCCCTCGGAATCATTGTTCAAACCTCGAACCACGTCCAACCACCTTGCGCGAGCCTCCGTCACAACTTTCGTCCGCACATAGTGGTGTTCAGGCTGGTTTTTACACGCCGTGAACTATGTGAGTAGATACACGTTAATAGACCATGTGTGAGTGACACCAACCGTTCTCTCAGATTCTGCCGCGTTGCTGCCGACCTATTGTTTGGCATGACTATTATCGAAGACTCTGGCCGTGTGCCATTACAGAAACCAACGTTCTTCGCTATTCTTGATAGTAATCAATGCGACACGCTATCTTTCCCGGAGGCAATTAGTTGGTGTGCAAAAGCCGAAGAAGAGGCGTTGATCTATATCCTAGGACTTCGCCGCTTTCAAAATTCCAAGGCTTGGGTCAACCGCCTTCCAGCAGAACTGCTGGTACAAATATTGTTGTACCTCGTTCCTCCGGAAGCATATGAATTCCAGGCATGGATTCATCTCACCCATGTATGTTCGTACTGGCGCAACGTGGCACTTCGTCGGCCCAAGTTCTGGACTCACGTCGACCTCACTCAGGAAGCGTGCGCCAGAACCTTCCTAGAACGCTCCGCAGATGCTGAAATTCACATATATTGGATGGACGGGCCTGGCGATCTACGTATCCTATCTCATTTATGTCATCATGCAGACCGTATTGCCAGCATTACAGTCAAGGAGGAGTCCAGAGATGTTACACCTATTTTGGCAATGCTGAATTTCTCATTACCCTCGCTTCGTGCAATGACTATTTGTGCAAACAAGTACACTGCATCAGGGAACCGGGAGGGCATTGCGTGCATTCCGGGTGCAAGCGACTCACAGCGTTTGACCTCGCTTTCCTTGCACTCGTTAGTGATTCCCTGGACTTCTACGTTATACGCAGGCTTGCAGCATTTGGAACTGCGTAACCAGAATCGTCACTGGATCCAACCGTCATTGACAGAGTTTTTGGATATCCTTGACGCATGTCCAGGATTAGTCACGTTAACCGTGGCACTCGCAGGACCGACGTTCGGAAGGACATGGGAAAGGACAAAACGTATGGTGCAGCTAAGGAACTGCCGATGCCTAACCATACACAATGAACCGCACGATGTCGCAGGCTTACTCTCACTTTTGGTTCTACCTGCGACTGCATCACTCGAAGTCTGTGCACCAGCAGACGTGTCATGTCGTGGAGACGAACTTTTGACATGTTTCCCATCCAATCGTTCGCACATGGGAGCGTTCAGTTGTGTCACCAGGCTCAGTGTCACATTCCGAATAGGACATGTCCCCAAAATGGTACAACTCACAGCTACTAAGCCCAGCGAGACTAGTGAGGAAGTCAGTATATCTGCTGGCGTCCAGGGAGCGACGTTCAGCTACAATGTACAACCATTCCAAGCTTTTTTCTCCACGATAGGAACTTTATTCGCACAATCGCCTATAGAGGAGCTGAATGTGGACGGAGATATTGGATTTATGGACGATTTGGATTGGTATGGCGTTCTCGGTAAATTCAAGAAACTTACAAGACTTGAGATTGGGTCCAAAGACATGCCTGTTATGAGAACGAACACGTCGCTAGATGTTCTCCGAGACTTGTGCACGCCGGATTTTTCGTGGCAATCGCTTGCATGCTCAGACCTTTCACAGCTGATGCTGTATTTCCGTACAGATCATTGGGAGTCAGATCTTCTACCGATGCTACGGCGTACGCTTTCCTCGAGGGCACAACGGGATGCTCATCTTGCCAGGTTGGAGGTGTTCATCACTGGTCGATACGACGAGCATTACCATAGACTTCACGAATATCCAGGACTTATTAAGACTCTAGAAGATGGGCTTCCACTAGAGGCGTGAGCTCGATAATTGGTTTCTTTTCTGCTGTTCTATTGTCTGAGCTATTCTTTCCAGCGAAATTCTTCTGAGCACCGTGGGTATCGGACTAGATTTCAATGAAGAGGAACTGCGAGATTGAGTATGCATAGCATTGCTGTATACCCACGAGTCCTTTTAAATTTGTAGTGTTTTGGTGTCACGATACCACAGGATAGTTTCATAAAATCTGGACTTTTGAGCAATTCACCTTCCTAATGTGTGTCGAATCAGCACTATGACGCAACCTGCTACAATATTTGAACGAGCGCCCTGACTTGCTCTGCAACTACTTTGGTTAAAGGATTCTTAGGGCATTTATTAGTCGCCATGGAGGCAGGAACAAAAGACAGCATCAATAGCATCCCGTGTGCAATGTACGTTCAATGTGATTTCAATCTTATGATCATTGTACGACTCATTTGCAGTTCAGATGTCGCCGACAGTTCTCGAGATATTCATGCCCTCGATGCAATATACCATACTGCTCATTGACATGTTTTCGCTCAGGGGTGGGTGAATAATTAATGGTGATAGCAATCATAAGCTAATGCGATTGTTAGATTCATGCTGATTGTTCAGAGGCGTTCTACAAGAAGGAACTGGAGACCGATATTCGTAGCACGCCTTCCAAAAGTGCAGAAGAGCGACATAGGATGATGGAGCTCTTGAAGCGGTTCGAGGAGGATTCTCTTGAGGACACTGGTTTGCTTGATGAGGACGAGCAGGATCAGGATGATCTCATAGCTAGATTTCAGAATCTCAACATAGGTGCATTCATTCGTTCGATTCAGTTTAGACACTAAATGGCATTACTAATCTCCTCACCATAGAAAGTGCTTCATATGACGAGATCTGGTCTGCACTAACACCTGAAGAACGAGACAACTTCCTCAAGGCATTGAACGAACCCTCGAGCGAGCTTGCTCAGCAGCTTCTGGCGAGTGAAGAGCTACAGAAGCAGAAGATCGATCCCTGGTGGGAAGCACCAAATGAAGACACCGAGGAAGACTCGTTAGAAAGGTCCTTAATTTCTCTCAAGAAGTATGGTAAGAGACCGACAATGGTCGAGATTCCAGACAATATCGTATCAGCGTCGGCCAAGAGCTTGAACACTGGTCCGTCACTGCTGTATAATATAACCGCTGTGCTGTAAGTTATCATCACAACTCCACGGTGTTGCGAATGAGCTCATTGTTCTGGACAGTATTGCTTATGCGTATATTACACGTTCCTTTGCGACCTCCCCTATTTCGTCTCTCGCCCCTCAGGATTCCGATTCCGAAGAAGCTCGTCGAACGATCTCCCGCCTTGTACCGTTTCTAGTGGACAGAAAGTCTACGACTGTTCTACCAAGCGTTTCAGCTCTAGTCACAGACCTTTGGTCGAGATTCGAGCCAGTACGCACAAGCTATCACACTGTCTAGATGAACCAACGCTAACTGCCCGCTTGCTTCGCAGGGAACCATGACATCCACGTTCTTCGCCATCCTACTCAACGACGCCTCGAAACTTCTTCGACCCTCACCTGTCACAGTCTTACCTAATGACACGACCTCATCCTCACCGTACGAATCGCATACGAATGCTAATGCTCTCCGTGCACTGTCCGATCTATCATCCTTCTTCTCTTCTACAAAAGGAGACAAGCCTCGCCCAGCTAATGTTCACATCACTCATAAACTCACATTCTACGCTGCTCGGATAATCTCCACACCGACTAATGTGCTGGGCATGCTCGCGGATGAGGTAATGCTGAAAGCGGAAGCCGTCAAGAGGGAAGGTGCTCAAGCTGAGACGGAGAAGAAACCTACGAGACCAATCGAGTTGACAGAGGCCGAGAAGAGTCAGGCGAGTGGAAGGGAGAAGGTGGAGGCTTTGTCTTCTATTGAACGGGGTAAACGTGTCGTCATCGAGGAGCTCACTTGATACACTTTCGTGAACGAAGGTCCTCTTCTGTTGGATATAAACCCTTGACAGAAATATTGACAACGTACGAGATAGCGAAAACATTGGCAACACCTAGTCTGCCTTAGCAACCGGAAGTTTGTGAAATCGTGTTTGGGACGGTAAACCAAACCGGACGAGGCATACAAAGTGTTGTAGACAGGGAAGAACCGAAACTACGTTACACCATTCCGATGGAAACAATATTTGAATTGTACATCTACTCCAAAATTACATGCGATGCTATGAACGGTATCGGCTATAGTTTATTTAACGGTCGGACCATAAAGGTATTGAGGTCTGTACTGCCCGCAAAGAGGGCTCATGCTGTGAAAGCACCTCGGGGATATAATTGTATCTCTTGTGCCTTGGGCCAAACACCGTTAAAGCATGGAGACTTAAGGGCTCGGGTGAGACGACAGAACTATATCTTTGGGCAACGGAGGCGGATGCGTGGTTTACAAGACCGTACGAAATGTAAGAAGTTGTTCAGAGGTTCCCAAGAGGTGAATATTGACATTGAGAACTAACACAAAGAAAATGGTTGAGTCCGCACGCATGCCAAATTTAAACTCTACCGTGATAGCAAGTATTCCAGATATCAATGCGCCAAGTTGAAGCTGAAGTTGAGAAGAATAAGTTACAATGCTATGATGCCTAGGTGACAGAGCGATGTACAATATGTGTTTGAATCTGTGCTGCTATATATAAATAAGTACCGAGTGGTGGAGACGTTGCATCAGCTCCGATCTATAGTTGAGTTGAAACACGTACTACTTTGTGTCTATTAACAATCAGATATACAATTAGAGATCCGTGTCAGTCAGTACCGGGTTCCCTCTGAGATACGGTGCACGTTGTCCCGTCGTACGACCTCGACAATGTTAGTAGCAGATGAATGATCCCACCGCAATACAGCCCAATGTAAGTGGACTGGAGAGAGGGAAATCGCAATCACCCTAGTGACCACTGTCCAGGCAAGGTCAATCAGTTTATGTCCGTGATGTGGTAACGCTTTAACGTACCTCAAGGGCATTCTGTAGGAACCTTCTCCTTCAGCCACTGCTCCTCCCGAAGCAACTCCCGCTCCAGATATTCAATCCAACCCTCTGAGATGATATCCCCAGCCGTCATACCATACCCTCCCTTATAAACGAACCCCTGCATCTGCTCTCCTCCTCTCCTCCCATCCAGGACCAACCACTCCGGACCAACCTCCTCAGACTTGGCGACGCACACGGCAGTGACTTCGACGCTAACCATGACATCGTCGTCAGCATCCCCCCAAGAGATATCGTCTACATGGGGAATAGCAATGCCAGCAGGTAGGAAAGTCGTAGCGTGGAAGATAGTTTGAGCCTGGGACATTTCGCTCTTGCGCTTGTGATATGTCACCGTCTTGATGTAAGGCGGATGATGTCCAAGCGTATTCATGAAGTCGTGCCTCTTGACAGCGTTCGTTTCTCCCTCATGAACCTCGCAGTTCAACCCGGGCCATACCCAACCTATTGCAGCCCTGGCAGGCCACTCATTAACCCACATCTCAAACTCCTCAGGTGGTTGGGCGGCCTCGGATATGTGGCCTAGGTACGCCTTTCGATCGAACGGTTTGAGGTGAGGAACGATATCTGCCCGAGTGGCGAGGAAAGCTGGGCACTTGATGACTTCTAGGTATAGCTCTAGGAGTCTACGACGAGCTGGTTTGAGATCAGCTTCGGTCACAAGGGATCGCCATCGTCGACTGACCCCTCTGGCAGCTATAAGGCCCTTGAGAGGCAACAATGGGTATATCTCGAGCAAGAGCTCGTTGGGGAGATCATCCCCTGTAACCCGGGCTTTGTATTGACAGTGGTGGTCGGAAGGCATGATCATGTTGATATCAGGCGTAAAGCGGGATTGCGGTGGTACGTGTGCTTCGGCAGGACGGTATTCCAAGAGATCGGCCTGCGTTTCTATGAGAGACACGCCTTATATATGGTACCGATGTCCCCGGGATCGAGTCAAGAACTTTCCAGCATGGAGGCTCCGACTAGCGTTCACCTGATCATTAGATACTTTTGAATAAGAAACACAATCTGTGCAGCGTCGAGGCAGGGCGGTTGGCAGTTCTTACCTCAGCGCGCCTCGCTCAACGGCTTCCAACTGCCATGATGGTGAGGGCGATGACTACGATGCAGTTGCTGCTTAGGCATCGGTCAATAAGCAGGTCACGAACCTCAATAGCAACCAAGGCGGTGGTTGAGGGGAAGCTTGGAAAGCATCACTTGTTCTTACAGGTTAATCCTTATCAAAGTTCGACGGCAGAATAGAATTCTCAGGCAAATCGTCGCATGCCAGCAGCGTTTGGAAATTGACAAGCTCACTCGACGTATGCGTTGAAACGAAACAATATTCCAGAGGTCAGGGAGAAATAGACGGTAGATAGTGGTGAGTAGAATACATTATAATGTTACAGTAGCAATACACCGCAGAATACAAAGCCAAGAGCCACCCCTTATGCACCGAAGCCGTAGAGAGTGCGCCCTGACCTCTTCAGAGCATAGACAACATCGAGAGCAGTGACTGTCTTCCTCTTGGCGTGCTCAGTGTATGTTACAGAGTCACGAATGACCTGGGAAGACATATTAGACACACGACAAAGATAGACAGTTAAGAGATAACTCACGTTTTCAAGGAAGATCTTAAGGACGCCACGAGTCTCCTCGTAGATGAGACCAGAGATACGCTTGACACCACCACGACGGGCGAGACGACGAATAGCGGGCTTGGTGATACCTGAATACCTATGAGCCCTCACGAACTACGGAGCCAGGGAGACAGTAACTCACCCTGAATGTTATCACGGAGAATCTTGCGATGACGCTTGGCACCACCCTTTCCGAGACCCTGAACGGATGAAACCTTTAGCATCCAGTGCAAACACCGGAGAGTCGGTTCTGCTTACCTTGCCACCCTTTCCACGGCCAGACATAGTGATTCAAAGGTTAATTTGGTGGATAAAAAGTTGATGTACGAGATTGCAGAGAGTGCAGGAGTGGCAGCAAATGACGGGATGGGAGGAGAAACAGGCCAGGCGCGTCAAGGCCTATATACGAGCGCACGGCGCCTAATCCACGTGCGGCGACGCGTTGATTGGCAGTCAACGGATGCGCACGTGCACGAGTTGGGTCGCGTTGACCTGGCGTTGAGCACGTTGTATAAAGTGGCTTGCCTTAGTCCACCATGGCTCCTCTACTCCCGCCCTTGCCACCACCGCACGCAACTTTAACGTCTACTTTATCACTCTTCGAACTTTGCTCCATTTGCAATGGCCCGCACCAAGCAAACCGCTCGCAAGTCCACTGGTGGTGAGTACTGTTAGTCGGAACATTAGGTTGACTTTTAACTTAGCGATCCATTCTTTTAGGCAAAGCACCTCGTAAGCAACTCGCTGCCAAGTCACAGGCTAGAAAGACTTCCGCTGTACGTGACTTATCTCCTTATCAATACTCGCATTTGCTTACTCTGCCTTTAGGCCGCGACTGGTGGTGTGAAGAAGCCCCATCGTTTCCGCCCTGGTACCGTCGCTCTTCGTGAGATTCGTCGGTACCAGAAGTCAACGGAGCTGCTCATTCGCAAGCTCCCCTTCCAACGTCTCGTTCGTGAAATCGCTCAGGACTTCAAGGTAAGTCACGTTTATATCCTTCGTTTGCCTTCGATGCTGAACATTCTGCGCCCATCTCTAGACTGATCTGCGATTCCAATCGTCGGCCGTCATGGCTCTTCAGGAAGCCGCCGAGGCTTACCTTGTTTCATTATTTGAAGACACCAACCTTGCTGCTATCCATGCCAAGCGTGTCACCATCCAACCGAAAGATCTTGCATTGGCTCGTCGTCTCCGAGGAGAGAGGTCATAATTCTTTCTCGGCTCCTATTTGGTTACGCGTGTGACGCGTTGTATCGTTAAGGATTGTTGTATTGTTTTATTATACTGTAATTCTACTGTAATGATAAGGTGTTCTTTGCGGTTCACGCCTTGACATTTGAGCAGATTCATGAAGCTCAACAATTAAGGGAGCATGAGTGAAGCTGGAGCATTGGACTGTGTATGGTATGATTTGAAACACTTTATTATGCTCTGTATGAGGTGTGTGTTCTCTCATAGCGCTCTCGCAAAGTTCATTGAGACAGAGAGGCGCTTCTAATCGTAATTTATTCCCACAATGTTTACAAGCGCTATAATCTGGTCGGGGATTTCGCGATGTTGTTTCTCTCGTCTTGCTGTGACCGATCATCTCGTTACCACCAATGCCTAGTTAACGTGCTCTCTGTATATCGTTTATATCGTTCTCCCTTGGATATCCCGGCTGATCTCCCTACATGCCGTTGCCAATCATATCTATTCGTTTGGCAGCATGATCCCTCCGTGGTCTCCACTGCCCTACTCGTCACGTCTAACTTCAGAGTCCCACTTATAATGCCACATCTTTTCAGACTCATCCCTGCCTCTCCTCGCCTAATCTCATCGCTTTGGAGCCTACTGGAGTTGGTACAATTCTACAGGCCTTGCTTATGCTTCGAAGTGACCTTGCCTTCCAGCCCACCGACTACTATCCAGCACTTGCATCTGGTGATGATGCATAACAATTCTGTTCGACATGCGCATACACGTAACATCCTGAAGACGCGGTTTCTATTTTGAATAGAAGATACCATATGACGAGTGTCTAAAGGAAGGTTGCAAGGCCGGAGTAAGGTGCAGGGATACTTTTTCTATTATTGTTTACAGCTTCCAGAAGCTTCAGCTTTCCCCGTGACTTCTGTTCGAGTCAGACTCTCACTAATCTTGTTGGGTCTGCATCACTTCAAATGGGTGTCTCGCATTTTTGTTTAGGAAGACGGACTAATCTCATATGATATGTACGTTTAAGTTTAGGTAGACCCTCGTAACGACCATCGACCTCCTGCTACTACTTCTCTCGCTCTTTTGCTACCAAGAATATCCTCCCCCCGATGAAAACGTATATGTCTCTCCCATCACTTCCCACCTTTTCGATTTGCATTTCACAAACTAACACGATCTCCCTCAAATGTTGATTCTACAACACGAACTTCGCACAGAACACGATATAGCTACCGAAGAATTGCCTACACTAATGTGTCGAAGTCCGATCATCCAGCCTCACCCATGCTCCCTCTATAGTTAAACCTCTCACCGCCGCCATAATACTCCGCGCTGCTATAACACGTTCCTTCTGAAACTGACGGATGTCGAACGTATGGTCTGGAGGAACTGATACCCACCTCGAGGATATCTAGGACTAGGTTGTCTTGCGTCGCTGCAGGCATCTCACTTGCAGCGTTCTATGACCTATCGACACCGACATTTTCTTCTCTTCCGCCTGGTGTTAGTCTCAGGCATCTGAATTTGGCAACAATGGTGACTACAATCGCCATCACAAATGATTGTATATAACGGCTTTCGAGATGCAGGTGTCCCCTGCGTCGTTGCGTCATAAGCCATTTCTGAAACTACTGGGTGAACAGGTTTACTTTCCGCGTCATGGGTGTTGAGCATCATCTCAACATATGATTATATACACAGTAGTCGCTGCGTTCACAGATGTCAATTCTGCCGTCTCGTTCTACTTGCTACTTGGATTCGTGGTAATAGTCTGGATCCTGAAAACGATCTAGACGACTTCAACGACTGGCCCTCCCTCGTTCATTTCTAGTGGCGATTGCCTTCCAACCCTTGACGAGATGAAGACAAAGATCGAATCGAGGAGGCCAGGACCTCAGGTTTATTTCGTACGTCTGTCGCTTGTTTCTTCATCTGAGTCGAACACAAATCAACTAAAGCTTGAATTTAACTTTTAGCAGGAAGCTTCCGCAGGGTTTGCTCATAACGCAGCTCATTTATCTATGGAAACACTGGTAGCTTCTACCGCCAGTTGACACTCGAGCTTTGGCGATTAATCTGCGGAGTTTTTACCCTCTTGCATCTTCATATAGTTTGTCTTCTGCTTTAATCTGGTATTGTTCTTGGCCGCATTGTCTGTTATGGTGAGCACTTTGACTATATCAACAAAACATGTACGATTCATCCAGTTTCTATATATTTACAGCTTTGTCCTTTTTCTCGGCCATCATGCTCTCAGCTTGTCACACCCATCTCCTTCGCCGTACATGTGATCCGCCACAACACGCGGCGAGTCTCTCCTCTGAACCAATATCGTCGTTGGCCAAGTATGAGTCACTGTAGCAAGCAAGGCCATCACTACATTGGTTTAAGCACCTGTCGGACCTATTTCAATGCCAACGGCGAAATCAGTCATGAATGATATGGGTGACATATAGCCGGACTCTAGAGTAACAGTCTTGCAAGCTGACCTGTGGCTCTCTGAAGGCACTCCTCATGACATTGAAGAAGGCAGTATGCTTGGAAGATGAGGAAGGATATCACTGGAGTCTTTAGATGCTCCTCGTGTTCAGAACATCCCCGCTTCGAAGTCGAAGGTCAAGAATTCGGAATCTCGGCGTGGGGGTTACGGTTCGCTGCGATGATGTTATCGAGTCGGCCTACTGACTGATACTCAACGTCGTGTTCTACGAAAGAGGTTGTCATCATAGAGTGTGCCACTGGCCGGCTGCCCTCATGACACAAGGCAAGATTGTCATCTGGAATGGAATATCCGGATATACGTCATTGCGACATTTTCGAAAGACTTATCCGGTGACCCTCTGTTCCGTAACACGTCGAAGCTGACTTGTATGCTTTCGCCGGGTGTGTCTAATTTTTCTCTACCTCCGAGCGGTACGGTAGATCTTGCAAAACATGCCGCAACATAGGCAGGGGATATAAGGGACATGAACAAGCAGTTAAAGTATCCTCATCAGCTGTTCATACTGACACTTGGTGAGTTATTCATCCATAAGCTGACTATCTATGAATCAACCCTTACCTTCACTTAGCTCGAATCAAACCTCCGGAGGGTTCACATCTTATTCCTCGGATTTCGCAACTGAATCTGTTATACAAACATGTCCAAGCCGGTACGTTGCTCGGTCTTTGCTTGTCATCGGCAAGGTATGAATGCTTCAACGACAGAATCTCAAGGATGCAGACGGAAGTGATATTTTCGATGGACTTTGGTACAAAATCATGCTTTCAGATGGCACCGAGCTTGGTTTTGGCCCACTGGTCAACAGTAGGTTGTCATGTGGGCCGAAACCTCCTGGTCAGGGCATGATCTTCCGCTACTTCCGTTACAAAGGCAACGACACAGTTTCTGGCTACGGGTGGCCCTCTGGAGATATCGGTTACTTCAAGGGTCTTGGTATGGGTACCGATGGCAAAGAGTACCGACAGTATCTGAGTCTGTCGAACGGTGTGCCGCCAGTTCTAGCTTGGTACGACAAGGATGATTCGTACGGATTCACGGGGACTCAGATACCGGGGAACCGGATTGCCCTGTATGCTAAGGATCAGACTGGGGCAACTGTCGGGTTGAGAGGGGAGACGGAGAGCGTAAGCAAGGAGGCAGTCGCATTCTACGGGCAGCGCAGCCAGTTCCCTATCTGCCTTGATTGCAGCTTCGTTCCCATTCCCGTGGGAAATACGGATGTTGGTCCTTTCTTTTGATATGTCGTCGGAGATTGATCGCAATCGTCTTGAAATTTGTGTGCTAGTAATATTTTGGAATGTACTATCCGATTGAGAAGGAGCTGTAAAGTGTGTTCGAATGGTTATCGCGAGACTGCGGCCGCACTAGAGGTAGATTCAGAAACATTTGAAGAATTCTTGAATGTGTAGGCGATCCTTCAGATCCATCAAAGCTTCACACTAGGCTCGAGTCGCGCATTCCAACAGTCGTCGCTAGCATATGTGATGCCTTCGTCATACACAACGCGAAATGTTATCTATGATAATCAAAGCTACAGCCACTTATCGTTCAACATCCTGTTCGACTCACAATACAGCCTTTTCTGCAAATCGGACAGTACCTGCGTAAAATGCCAATTTGCCAATGTAAGTACACCATATTTTCTGAACGGTCGTAAGGTTCACTGGGAAAGAATTGAACATCATCAGTTTCGGGGATGCTTTCCAGGTCGTTAAGTCGAATGCGGAACGGTATATGTACGAACGATAATATCTAGAGGAGGAAATCAGATGAAATTAAATGGTATCACTGAAGCACTGTCATACGTACCGGATACATCCCCTACAAAGCGGCCGAACAGCCTCATAAACATATTTCCAGGTTTTGCAAGTCCCAGATGATACAAGAGTGGAGCTGGCTGTTCGATATCCTGTGTTCTGATACCGACTCCTAACCTGCGAAGGGAATATTTGGTATCTTGACTCATGCTAGCGAATCATAGAGGTGTCAAGAAACCATGTCCTCGTACCTCCCGTGTTCCTTCATGCGGTTCGCTGAACCTGAGACCGCTTGTCCACGCCATCCTCCATCTACAACCAAAACGTAACCTCGTGAGGTCTATGTATAGATCTGAGGACATATAGAGACAACGCGGGAATGGGGAAGAGTAGTCGACAAGTGGCACGCGAAGGAGGCCGGGTCTACTTAAAGCGCGAGCAAAGTCCCGTATAGATGGTTTGAACCTGCTGCAGGTGGGGTCGAAAAAAGGGGGGGAGGGGGGGGGGGGCAACGAGTATATGTCGGCCTAGTATGAATTTGACGTTATAATTCGAGACTTCTGAGACGTTGGTTACGTCGTACCGACCGATGGAGAGCACTCGATAGAGGGTACCTCACACATCCGACATCATGAGGCTACTGGGAGTGTCTTAGCTGCTGGGTTAATGTTGACAATGTACGTCGTCTCTCAGGGCCAACCTGGTTCTACAGTATCTAACTGCACTCTTAAGCTTTTGAGGATGGTATGCAACGTGCCGGCAATCTTAATCAATCGTCGAATCTGTGAAGCGCCCTCCATACTCTCTCCTCTCACGAGTCACAACCAAGTACTGGCATGATACGTTTATGTTCTTCTCGTCTCGTTCTCACCTACCGCCCGTGGGTTCTAGCTAAAAATCACTCCCGTATATCGTTCCCTTTTGCACGTCCAACCCTGTTAGCCTACACCTCGTCTCCAACTACCGTTGTCCTCGCGGCACCTTTAATAAATCCTGCAAGTTTTCGAATGTCTCGAAGTCAAAACTCAAATGCCAACCATGCCTAACGAGCCTCGTTTCTGTCACCGTTTGCTTCTTATATTTAACGCTGTGACGTTGTTCCAGTTGAAACGTAGGATCTTCATCTTGTTTCTCAAGTCTTGACCAAATGGCGATTTTATCTTTCATGCATGCATCTGAAGTGCGTTGGGACCATTTAATGGCAGGCCATGACATGGCATTTCTACCAGCTAGGACCGAGTAGGTACAACACACCTAGCCAGAGATCTAGAGAGACCGCCAAGCCACTTCGTTCAATCTCCGATAGGGGGTCATAAGCCACAACTGAACAAAGCCGGTACCTTGCGCACTTGCTTTGTGCAATCACTGGATTTTCTGCTCTCTAAGGCATACTGGATTTTCTTCATAAAGTAGACTGCTAAACGCAGGAGATTCCATTCTGCAACGCCATCAAACCAGTCTTACGAAATCCATACATCCCTCTGTCTGGATACTCGAGTAGTTTCTAGCACTCTAATGCTTGTCATGGTGGGATGTAGTTTCTTCGTCATCCAAAAACTACTTCACTGAGGGTCTGTCCTTTATCACCTTACATGTACTTCCAGGAACGTCACTAACTTCAAGCCCATTCTACATTCTACATATCGCCAATCTAAAACAAGGGCTCAATTCGAAACTACTCTATTTCTGGTACACTTCAAGTTTGAACCGATCGAATTCTAGCTGTTTGCCCGTGTTCATGGTTTACGGATGTCTTCGGCTGTTGGTTCTGAAAATGACGTGCTCGACGCTCTAGAAAGGTCTCGAATTCCTAGTTATGCAGCAGGTACGTCGGGTGATCACCCTCTCAAGCATCCTGATCCACTGATCCGTTCTTCACCAAAGTCTCTGCAGCTGCAGTTCTGTTGTATGACATATGTCTGACAATTTTCCAAGAGGTTCGTATCGCAATGATTTCCATTTTCTAAAATTACGATGCTCATAGATGTGCTTTCAGTATCGTCACATCTGGAGGTCAGTTTGAGCGATTCTCTTCTTGTCGTCCACCACGTTACGAGATGTATCTTCCATCAGTGCTCGACGCAGTTTGGTAAAAGGTTTATATTATATCTCCAGATATCTCGGTCTTTCCTTGGTACTGTGAGTAACCGCAGTGCGGAAACTATGATGTTTGCTGAAGGTGTTGCCAGATTCTTCTGTATCGGTTCGTATAATGATTCTCGTTCCAACGTAGCCCCCTTACACGGTCACATGTTAGTGTCGGCAAAGATAAATCCTGGACGCACAGTATGTGTGGTAAATTCTTGCGAATGAGAGCCCTATGCTAACGGGTCTTAGCTGTGAGATGCCGCTTGCTTAAACCTTTCTTGACGGTAATATTATTACGTTCTTTCAGATGTGAAGCGTTCCTGTGGAGCAGTGGCTTGTAGGTGCATTCTCCATAGTCACGAATCATACGTACTCATTGCATTTTGTAGCGGACAGATAATCACTACGCAGACCGTGAACATCATCCTGGTTCTTAGAATTCACGCATTGTATAATCGGCGGCGAAGGAGTAAGTTCCTACCATGCGCCGTTAGCTGAAACTGACACTTCGCGCGCTGCAGTACTGCTCCTATTAATGTGTCTCGTAATCAGTACGCAGTCATTCCCGTCCTCCTGTATTATTTCGCCTGACTGTATTACAACTTAAGTCGAACTCGCGGTATGGTCTTCGACTTTCGCACTGTTCATTGGAATTAACAATTTCCTAGATCGAGCTTTATAGTACAATCGGGGAACTCTCTGGCGCGCAAGTTCTCGATCCGCCACTAGGCCTTCCCTGGTCAGGTTGCATATTTCTACCACCGGACACTCGCCGATATACTCTGCCAGCATGGTAAGCATATTGTTTATCATTGTCGGACTTAATGTTGTGCTTAAGGTTTACCGTAGGGTATTCTGTCTGTTCGTTGCCTGTAATGTTCTGTGAATTTTTTGACTACATTAAAGCTAATGATACATTGGTTGCACAGTTGTGTTTTTCTTGATGACAATGTACAAGTTCATTGCTTTGACCCGTGGAGGATACTACTTAGGAGGCTCAACTGCCTGGGAACGCGCCCCACCTGTGTTGTTCACCTTTGTCCAAGATGGATCGATTTACTTCCTATTGTATGTTAGTTTCACTCTGATCATCTACTCGCAGTATTCTAACACTATGCTAGGACGTTTTGTGCGTTAATCTCAAACTTCCAAACTACAGGAATATCGTACTGAGCACCGGTCTTACTGGATAGGTGTGGTACTCGTTGCAACATTAATCATGCACATCAATGTATTGATGCCGTATACGGGCGTAATAATTCCTTCGTACGTGTCATACTTTCGAGCAGAACGATGTTCTCATGCACAGGAAACTCGGAAGTTGGGTCATGACAATCTATTCACTCGCAGTAAGCACCCTCTCTATCCGCATCCCTCGACGACCTAACAACCGTTGTAGGGATCTCGTCTGATTCTCAACTTACGGGCAGTCACTCATGGCGATATGCTTGACCGCTCCATAGAAGGGTCATTAGTGTCCAGTATGAGAATCCAGAGGCATTCAGGCGAGAGTACTGATGTAGGTGGCGGGGAGACACTGGCCTCAGATGTAGAAATGGACCACATGTGACCAACTCTTAGGGTTCAAAATATTCGAGCATGACTGAGCACGTTTCTTCATACGTCGTGGTAAGTAAGCTTATGTATCAGATCAGATAATTGGATGACAGCGTAGAGGTCAGCATGTCCTATCGCGGATGGAGCCCAAGACCATCGTGATACCACAATATCGACAGATTAATATTATAAATTGTTTTTGTTATGATGCAGCGGCTTTTGAGAGTTGAGGATGGACGAAGGGCATATAACGCGTCTGATAAACACAACAAGGTACCATGTTTTCGCCGTCAACGACATACCGAAATGAGAATAGTGACTGCTGTAATAGGTATCTTCCCACACTAGGGACTTTTGTTCCAGTTGTCTAGCTCGCATCAACTCCAGACATATCTTTATTATCATTTAACATAGGGCGCGGCCTTCCAGGACAATCCGTCGGGGGAATGATCATCATCTCCTGGCAGCATACGGGGATGCTGACTTCGACACAAAGAACCATCAACCATCTATCGGAGGGATCAGATATCACTGGATAAGAACGAGCCAAGGAAATATCCGAGAGCTGCACGGTATGTACGGTGCAACCATGCTATTTCTCCGACCTCTGCAATGTGTATTATGACTCTTGCACAGTCAGAGTTGGCTTCCTCCTTGCACCTGGATGGACCGTATCCATGCATCGTTCTAGAAGAAAGATGACTTGGTTTGATTCTATTTTGCAAGGGTTCTGATATAGATGGTCCTTGTTCTACGTATTGAGTCAACGCTCAGTCACTCAAAAATGTGGCGAACCTCGTGGAGAGTCTATACTCTGAGGCCTGCACCAGGAAAGACAAGTGATTCGGCGTTTGACTGAATCTCTGAAGTCACTCCTCAATCCCTCTACTCCCTGCATTCCGTCCTCGCACTCTTCCAATACTGACCATGGCTCACGTAATGCACCCCGGCGATATCTATGTTGCTACATTCTCGCGCAGAGCTGGTGTCGATCGTCTTTGGATGATCGTAGTCTTCGAAGGAAACAATACATTCACGAAATATCACGCCGCCTGCAGTTTCAGCCAGGCATGGTCCTACCAAACGGGTACTAACAACGTGCTTGCGAGCCTGAACCTCGGGACTATGAACAAGATTGGTCTGTGCCACCTTTTTTTTTTTGACTGAACGAGCCACGGATTAACAAATCCTTTCAGGTTCTCTAGTGAACTCTGGTTGCACCACGCACGACCTTCAGACAATTTTTTCTGCTATAGAACTGAGAACTCCTCGCGAGTTCGGAGGTCGCAAGGAACCTTTCAATTGCAGAATCTGGACCCTTGTAGGCATCCGCGACCTGCACGGGGCGAATGATGCCTTAGCTGTACCCCATGGCCCCGTCGTTTGGCACACCTGTGTTTCCTCCCATTGAGCTACGACGTGCTTCGCCCACTCTATATTGTCGAATACGGCGACTTACAAGTTCCTTTTGTAAGCTTGCTATACTATTTCATGCCCTTGTTGTATTCCTGCCGGTATATCAACTGAAGAAGACAGGCTCATTGTAGTGCAAGGATGGTTGTACATGTAGCATTTCTGTACGAGATAACGTCATATCATACAAATCGCATTGAGTAAACAAATCATGGTACCAACATCTTCGACGTATTGAGGGAACATCCTCGCCCATAGTTCTTCCCACCACAGTGGCGCCACAAATGTCGTACAAGCATAATCCCAATACTCCGGAAACCACCCTGAATTACCGAAGTCGACCATACCGCTGAGCCTTCCGTTATGCATCAGGAGGTTGTGAGGTTTGAGGTCTCCGTGAGTAAAACACAACTTGTGAGCTCTGTGGAATGTACCAGCTCGTGCTCGAGAGCGGAACTCTTCATAGTGAGGAGAACCCTTCCCATCTGGGCAAAGGGTCATCAGAAACTGATGAAGCGCGGCGACATCATCGAACGGGCCGATTGGAGTCTCGAAAAACAATGGCTGCACCGACTGTGTTCCGAGTAAGCCACCGACAACGGGGCAGGGCGGTCGTAAACTCCGAAGCTGATGGATCCAGTCATGTAGGTCGTGCTCAAATAGCTTCATACCAGCCTCATCCAGCTCTGAGAATGCCAATTGAGCGGAGATTCCGGGAACCTTTGTCATAACCACGAATAATTGACCATCATCATCGATAGCATCAATGATACGAGGAACGGGAATCGTTGTATTTTCCGCAACAAACATAGTGCAAAGCACTTCGTTTTCGTCGATTCGACCGCCAAACTTGCAGAACATGTTGAACGGAAGGCGCTGCTTCCCCGTGCCAATTAGGGATTCCGGTGGCCAAAGCTTCGAACCAACAAATCGAAGCAATTTGTATATCGCCAGTCTGCTTCTAGAGGGCACGAGCTTCCATGTCCTTTCAAGTAAAGAGTCATCGACAACTGACAGGCTGCAGGGGTGGACATTTCGAGTGGAAGGTGAGCTCATATGGTAACGGTATCTGATACCTAGGTGCCACTATGTCAGCGGTGACAAAGGATACGCAGGTTAACTCATACTAACATGTGTACAGTCGACCCCAGATTGGTTCAAACAGGATTGCTGGTCGCAATCCAAGTGCAATGTTGGCAGTTGGAATATAGGTGTAGTGGCTGACCGGAAATTAATTAAATTAATTATTGCGCAGAGGAGAGAAATAGGGAAATCTGAGGCTGATTGACCTACCTCGGCTTCAACCAACCTTGAATTGTTCCGAGAGCATTGAGAACGGTGCCTCAATATGCATATAGATTTTGGAGCAGCGCTGCGCGCGCTGAAGTTGAACAGAAAATTAAACATTTGAGTTCCAGAAAGCATGCTCTTGAGTGACACTTGAGAGAATGACCAATCTACAAGACAGACTATGCATGATGCTTCCCATTGACAATTGCATTCAAGCAATGCATTTATGAAAGAATATGGGTGCTGAAACCCTGAGGGGCGGCGCTGCGCGCGCCAGATATTGGCTATGCATTGGCATGCTCAGATAGCCACTGTTTCATTTTGTCAGCCTCAAACCTAAGTTTTGGAGCTTTTCCCTTATCTCAATCAGTCTTCTGAACATTCACCAGAAGCACCTAGCATACAGAAGGCCCAAATCTCTGTGAATACATATCAACTCCCTGCCAAAAATGTGTTTTGGGCAAAATTTCATAAGAAAATGAGAAAATGACCTTTCTGTTTGCTATCCTAGACAGACCATAATCATTTGGTGTATCTAAGAGTATCAAAGAAGTCACAGAGCAGGATATATGATAGAGGTCAATTTCTCTTGCTCGACAGCCATTTTTGATGCGGCATGTGACCGCCGAATTTAGTAGGTCACCTACCTAGAAAGGTTATGTCTGTTTGCACATGTTTATGTTTTTTTCAAACTCAGTTAGGTCCTAATTGCGCTACACCTATATTCCAACTGCCGCAATGTTCAAGGTTTCATACAACGTTCAACAATTGCCGTTCTTGATCAACACGTGGATGCGATCATTCGTCGGCATCAATGCCGCAGAATATCTTGAAAGTTCCTCTTTATCAGGCCCTCACAACTCATCAACCTCATGCACGTTCAATTAGGACTAGTCGGCTTCTGTATCGACTTTAGAAGAGGGAAGTTACTTTGTCCAGCCTCCCTTATGTCATACTCTCGACGCTCAACGGGAATGTGTCGGGCTCCTAGCAAGTAATTCAATGGTTTCGGAAAACCCATATTCTAGGTCTGTAAACCACTTTTTGTTCATCATCGTTCCATATGATAAATGCTCTTCGCTCGCAGCCCTTCCTCTATCCCGTTTTGCCAAGCTCCTGAGCTAGCCAGTATTCGCCAGGCTCCTGATAGATACACGTCGGTCTGACCTGCTGCATGCCCTGACTACCTGGCATCATTAGACCATCGGTCCATAAAACCTTGAAGACTGAGGTGCTCTTAATTACACCTGATACGCAGGTCAATATACCGTGATGCCTTGGTAATGTATTGTACTCCCGATTCGTATAGGAAATCTCGCAGGATCCATGAGGGTGAGCACCCTTCCAACCAGACCGATGTTTGACTGATAGACCACCCCGTGTGATCGAGAAGGGAACAGTCCGTTCTACGATATCGGACTCATTTCAGGATCCCATCGCTACATGCACTATGTTTCCAAGGCTATTTGCAGCGATGGGCGGAGGATAAAGGTACCGAGGTATACAGGGTTATCCCACGTTGATTCGCCACCGTTTCCAAATATCTGAGCGTCAGGAGAATTTGTCCACAATAGGCAGCGATTGAACGGATAAGAGAACGCGTTCCGACGGCCGACTTGATCATGAGAGTAATACAAAACGCCCATAGTGGCGTCGTTAATTTCTCAACCACACAACTTTCCTATTCGGTTCAAGTGACTCGATGCTAGCGTCCAGTATGGGATGTCGGTTCTCGCCTTTTGTAACGTTACGAATGGGGTGAACTTCGCCTTTCTTCAGATTCTGATGTCTTCTAACATGTCGTGCCAAGATCCTCTCCGTTACTCCGGTTCCTCGGGTTGAGGGGAGGTTCTAGCGCAAGCCATTTTTTGAGCATCGATGATCCTGCAATTAGGGCATTGTCTCGTAGGCTCGCGTGTACATGATGCGTGGTGAGGAAAATCTGATGGCTGCCGAGTCTTGACTTGTCCACGCTGAACAATGCATATGCGATAGAAACGCTGAAGGCAGTCGAGACCTAAGAGACCAGGACGTACAGCCATAAATTGGAAGGGTAGAGCTGAGTTCCCATTTTTCGTCCGTCATCCCAATATCTTTTCATCTCGCTGACGTTTTTACCCACAATGCCCGACGTTCAGCCTGGAGATATTTTTATCTTGTGCTACAGTCGTCTGACGAATGGTGACCCCTTCCACTATGCTATTGCCATCAGTAAGGACGAAGTGAACTTTCGGATATTCCAAGCCATCAACCCGTCTATCGCTTACTGGGAGTACAACACCAAGGACAGCAAAGTCGTATCGTCCGGAACTCTTTCATGTGCCTGTAAGATTGGTAAGGAGTCGTCTTGCAATATCAGTTTCTGTTCAAGTTTCTGACACGGGAATGTTTGAAAGGTAACTTGGGTCACTCCGGGAAATCTCTCTTGGATGTAGATGCATTGCTTTCGTCCATACCGCATCGCGCACCTAAAGAATATGGGGGACGCAAGACGGTTTACAACTGTGTTGTCTGGGCTAAACTCGCTGTACGGAAGCTCCGAGACGAAGGCATTATTAGACTCATGTTGGATGACGTTGGTGAGGTGCTCACGGAAGCCCATACCATGGCCTTAGAGGGGAAAGCGTCTCGCGGCTCTCCTTGGAAGATGTCTCGATATGCTCAGTGACAGTGAGTTGTCGTGTTGATGTTGCGTATGCGTATCTGACATCCCTCCTATGCTAGTGTGCCGACTGTCGTATTGGAAATATATTGCATTTCAGTTCTTTTGTAGAAACTTCCCCCCCTCGCTCGTAATCCTCCACAACGTTATAGACAACGTGAAATAAATGCTGAGTTGCACGTCAACGCGCTTAACTTACTCATTCGAGGACTCGGCTTGAAATATTTCGCGTCCATGCTAGTAGTCCAAGTAACGCAGGCCTCGCCGCGAGAGTACGAATAACAGGCGGTAACTAGAATATATATGTATGCGTGTCAAGACTCGCCATTTATTGGCTTGGCAGAATCAACCGTGCGAAAGAATGGTATGTACAGTACTTACATTACGCGACAGCTCGCGTGATGGTAAGTAAATATACACTCAAACATCCATCACTTGACTTTGTTCTCTACAATCCATCTAAATCATTGCATCCTGAACGTTGAACTAGAATGGAGACAAAGGACCGCTGTTAGTCACTCATCAGTTTCGACACACAGTTTAAGTCCTGACAGCTTTCTTTAGCGGGTGGGATTCCCAATGAAGTGACCTTTCATTCGAAACGGACTACGGTCTTTCCATCACTGCCCATCCAGGGTGGGTCAATCCTAGGTCGACTTTGGCGAGCGTTGCCCTCTCGGCTTCGACTTGCGACTTACAAGTTTCTCGTCATGATTGGTTCTCGACTTTGGCCTTCTCCTCCACGTATCGACACGGGTGTCCAGCGGTTGCCGCTGGGCCTTTATGCTAAATTCAATGGTCGCGTCAAAGCAGAAGAGGTGATTGCCAACATGTTCGTTGCTGCCAATACATCAATTCCAGTTCCACGTGTTCTCGACGTGATAGATGACCAAGGCAGTCTTTTCGTGCTTATGACGCGTCTTCCTGGTGTCAAGGCCGCTGGAATGTTGGAAAAACTTGATGAACAGGGCTGGCGACAATTTGAGCGAGATTTACAGGGTTGGTGGCACCAATTGCGCAGCCTGGTTCCTCCAACTAATGTCGTCGGCAGCCTGCTGGGATCACCTTCCCTGCAACGTCGAATGTCAATGGATAGACCAATTGGGCCTTTCGATGATATATCCGCCTTTCATCATTACTTGATGACCTTATGTCCCGAGGACCAAGGCACCCCGCCGTATGACGAGTTTCGACGCCTCGCGCCAATCAAATCCTTCAACAAACCTCATCGTCTGTGCTTCACGCATGGAGATTTGGTCCCTCATAATTTGCTCATGGAGAACGGCAGGCTCTGTGGTTTGGTCGACTTTGAAACTTCCGGTTGGTTCCCGGAATACTGGGACTGCACAGGAACGTACTTGTGGGGATGTTTATGGTCGTGGAGTGAATGGCAAGATGCTGTGACTCATATTTTCCCCCAGTACCAGGATGAGATCGAAGTTGAGAAGCATCTATGGGAAGCGGTCAACCCTTATTGATATTTTGCTTCACTTTGTACTAGAGATTACTTTTTTTTGTCTGTGAATAAGTGCCTCCAATCGTTGAAGTTCGAAACGAATCACTTCGCTCCCAGTCTTCTGCTATCTTTTTATCGCTTCACATTCGAAGTGATACACGGCTTGTGCTGTTCTAGCAAGTGTTAATGAATGCTTATCTGTTCGCGTCTTTGGCCTGCTCCACCGTTCTTTGACCCACGGATTCGACACATTAAGCAGCATTCAGGAAGCTCGTTCGCTCCATGCGCTCTACCAACAAAACAGACTGAGATTACGGGGACCATCTAGTGTACATATCAGTTGGACCTACAAGATGCTGCTAAATACAAGAAATCTAGGACGACGAGAATAGGAAGAAAAACAAGAATCGGTCAATGGATGCCAAACAGGCGGAATAATTATATCAGACTGGCTTATAGCATATCCAACTGGTTCAGCCTTTTTTCGGTCTCTCGCATATCTTTCTGCCACGATTTCCAAATCTTAGGCTGTTCTGCAAACAGTTTTAAGCAATCGTGGCATCGGATGTAGTACGCGCTGGCTTTTTCGCCATATCCCACAAGCAAGCTGTATGCTAACGTTAAACAGGCGTATTTTCGATAGCGAAGGCATGACTCACAGTTCTGGAAGTGTGGCACCGACCGCTTCGATGTCACCAAACGGAAGACAATCTTCACAAAAACCCTGAGGGCACGTCTGACAGCTGTAATATCGGTATCAAGTAAATTGAGACCATGCAACGACAATAAAACGGTTGGTCTCTTACCGGAACAGCATACCACCGGCGTCAGTGGTCGATCGTCCGCATGTCGTACAGACATGTTGACTGCAAGTAATAAAAGAAGCCTTCGCAACTTCTTTCTTGGTCACGCCATGACAATCAGCATGGAACACTTCAACGCAACCGTTAGTCCACGAATAACTAAGTTAAGAACTGCAAGCGTACCTCTGGGACAGTGCGAACAGAGCACTAATTCTCCACCATCACGGCAGTATATGCACCAATCCTCATGATCGAACTTTTTTTTCTTTGTCTTTAACGGTGTCGATGCCGACTGCATAACGACCACCGGTACATGCTGAAGCAGAGCACGTGCATGAGAAACCGTCTCGAGGGATTGTGTAGTGTCACTCACCGCCTCTGGACCAATGAGGGCAGCCTCGATTTTCCGGCCATCCACCTCGACAACATGCTCGTTAGCACCATCTGCATCTGCGGTGACTTGCCCTGCACGCTTTGCTTTTTTCTGAACTTCCTGCCACTCTGAAGCAATCTGCGAGTTGCTCGGCAGGCTACGATTGATGATTTTGCCCTCGAATAGACGACTGTGAACCTGGGCCACTCCGCTCAATAATCGACGCTCCTCTTCTTCAGCGGATCGAAGGAGTTCTTCCTTATTCTTGGTGGCATCGGCTTCGCCGGTAGTGTCAAGAGAATCCTCGCCCATGTCGACTTTCATCTTCATCATTCGTGCACTCTCTCGCTCCTTGGAGAGCTGTAGAATGTTCTCAATGGGCGCATCAAGGAATTCCGACAGGTTCATGAAGCCGGTCGCATCTGCTCCTCCGTCACCAGTTGCCAGAGCACTCGAACCTCGTCGCAGAATCGACATGAGTTCTGAAAGCCCAAGTTGAGGGCCTGTATCCGAACCAGAATTGGAGTTAGACGAAGCTAGGGTGTTGTCCGAGCCTCCCATAATCTTTAGCGATAGGAAAAGCTTGCGACGGAGGCGATCCAACATTTGGTCTTCGACGCTACCTTGAACGATGAGACGATACACCTTGACCACCTTGGTCTGGCCTATACGATGAGCTCTGGCAATTGCTTGAAGATCGTTCTGTAAGATGTGATGAGTATGAATGGTTAGTCAATATTAACAACGGTTTTACCTGTGGGTTCCAGTCCGAGTCAAACATGATTACCGTGGAGGCCTTCGTGAGGTTAATTCCTAAGCCACCAGCCTTCGTAGAGACAAGGAAAACTTTGTAGGCTGCGCCAAAACAGAAACAATCAACCTCAGAAGAACAGGCTCGGAACGGCATTGTGTACTCACGAGACTTTTCTTGTTGGAACTGGTGACACGAGTTAGCAGGATTGAGTAATTGTGAAGCCGTCGTAACTTACGAGTTTGATGTCTAGGGTTCTACGAGGTCGCGTAGTTGATCCATCTAGTCTAGCATAGGGTATATCACGAAGAGCCATGAAGTCTTCTAGTAGATCAAGCATGCTAGATGGGAGGCGTGAGCATCTAGTAATCATAAGGAGCAGATTGGGTTAAAATGCTTACCTGGTCCATTGCTATTGTCATGAGCCGCCTTTGTTAGCAAGAATAACATCTGATAGAAGTAATAACATTACTGAGAAAATGAGAACGCGTTCGCCTTTGGGCAAGATATCTTTCAAGAGCTTATCAAGAAAAATGAGTTTCGACGACGAAGCTACGACGTGTTCGCCTATCGAGTAAGGAGTGGGCTCGGCATTGGGTAACATGTACGGACTGTGAGATGAATAGGGCTAGGTTAGTCGAACACGTGGAAGGAATATCCCAATAAACGTACTGGTCGCAAACTTTCCGCAACTGCATGAGGAGGTTCATGAGCTTCTTCCAACCTGCGAAACAGCCAGTGTAGGTCACGAAAGGTAACAAAATGGTATATTCTTCACTTACTGTTACCCTCAGACCCTTTACTTTCTTCTACGCGAGACTGAATATATTCCTTCACAAGCTGTTTTCGATCATGGCCTTGACCTTCCTCGGCGCCCACGGTCTTCTCGACGTCGAGTACGGACGAACTTTCAGTCTGTTCGTCTTTGCCGTTGAAGACTCGCATCATCTCAGCAGAGTCCATCCGCATTAGGAGTCGGTAATACCAGAATCGCTGGGCTTCACTCATAGGAATGAACATCGTAGTCTCCTCTCTTGGAGGGACGTTCAGCACGACATTAGCCTTCGTTCGCCGAAGCATGATGACGTTCAGCAAATCATGAGCTCCGTTCAAGAAGTCCGTCGCATAGGAACCTCGAGTCATATCGAATGAGTCACGGAAGCCTCGGAGAGTGGCTGGAGTGAAGAGTGTCGGATAGAGGAAGTGCAAAAGGCCCCATAGCTCGATGAGGTTGTTCTGGACGGGAGTACCTGTTAAAACTTGAGACGTCATCAGCATTGACGTGATACGTGGATGAGCAAAACGTTCGAACTCACTGAGCCGATGCAGCGCGCCAATTCCCTGTATGCTTCGAGCGATATCTGTCTCCCAATTTTTGATCTTGTGTCCTTCGTCGAGGACCACGTAAGTCCACCGTCGGCTCTTGAACCATGATTGCTCCGTCACATATTGTTCGTATGTCGTCAAGCATATGTCGAATCGGCCGGCATTGTGAATTTCAGCTTTTAGACGAGCACGCTCGGCGACTTGTCCATGAAATTGGATCACCCGCAAAGATGGAACCCAATGAGCAATTTCCTGTATGTAAGTGAGCACAGACCAGATTGAGTATCACAGAGCACAAACATTGTTCCAGGACGACAGCACAGATAGAGGACAGATAATCAGATGGGGATCTGAAGAGTTTGTTCAGCACCGCAAAATCGGAATTATTAAAATTACTCGCCTGTGGTTTCCTCCTTGATATGGGCGAATAATGACAACGTCTAGAGGGGAGTTGAGCTGGGCAGTAGATACAAGCTGAGTATAGAATGCAAACCTGGAGAGTCTTTCCCAGACCCATCCTGGTGGTAACAGCGTCAGTTTCTCAGCGATCGGAAAGACCACAGCAACTTACTCATCTCCAAGAATGCAATTCATCCCTGTAGAGGGTGAAAATATGATCTATTGAATGTGAAGAGGGAACGTACCATTCCTGTGCATCCAGGTCAAAAACGATAGACCTTGCAGCTTCGCAACGTTAGACTTAGTATCAGATGTCAACGGAGAGACTAACCTGATAATCCTTCATTTGGCCACCTTTAATAAGCAGGGGTTGTTCATCAAGTTGGTGCATGGGCACATATACGCCCTCATCCGTGCTGTTACCGACTTCCCGTTCGAGGTTTTCGAAGAACGAACTCGATTCAGGGAGGAGGGGCATAAATAGGTGTCTGTGACGGTGCAACCACCTTCGTCGCGCGGCATCGATAGATACTCGCTTTTTATTGATAACTATGGTATGCTGGATATTTTGGTGAGCTTGTAGAATCAACGAAAAGGGAAATAGTCTATTCACTGCTAGTTTAATGCGTTTCCCTTCAGGCTCCTCGTCCGCAACCAGTTTGAGTTGGGCCTGTTTCCGTTTCTTGTTCTTCTTTTTGGGGGTAGGCTCTGATGCTGTGGAAATGCGAGGCCTAAGGCTGCGACGCGTTTTCGACGCGTCAAACTGCTCATCGGGGAAGGGGGATCCAACAAGGGTATTTGAAGAAGTAGGGGTAAGTAAGTCGAGCTCATCCGGAGAACTCTCGTCCCTTGTACCGTGCAAAAATTGATGCAGAGTGGGCTGCATGTTTGGAAGAGGGTAGTAGACGTGGATAAGGAGAAACAAGACCAGCAACAAGGCGCTACTGTCGCTACTACGCGCTGAAATAGAAACACCATTGGTCACAGCACCGTGACGGTGACGCGACGCGACGCGACATCTTTGTGGCGTTCAATGCCAGGCCAGTGAACATTTAAACCCCCAACCCCCTCAGATGTTGATTGACATGTCGCTGGTAGGTCAAACTCCATCACAATGCCCTCCAAGTCTGAGTCGCCTTACGAGACTGTACTGATTTATGTCAGATCAACCGTTTAAGTGCCATCGATGTCCATCGTATTGTGCATCCTCATCGTGTCCGCAGTTCAAGAGAGTTATACAGACTACACTTGATATCCATTGGAAGGGCTTCAATATTCTACTCACCGGGAAAATGCCGTGTTTGATCAGCAAAAAATGATAACAATCTTACTGATCTATCGTCTCAGCAACACATGGTTGCAGGAGACAACAATGGACGAGCATTGTCGTAACTCCCCTCTTCAAGACAAATACGACGAGTTGACTCGAAGGAGCAGTCTGAAAAATGTAATGTGCACCCGAACTTGTGCTTCCTGTCTGACCTCTCATCAATCAGGTTTCTACGAAAGATTATGTGTATTAGGAACGTGGTGAATACGGTTCCTTAACCGTTGCGCCGGTTACAGCCCTTCAGTGTTGCACTCCGCTACTGATCCATAGGCCTTATCTGATGCATGAGAGGTTCATATTGCTACCACGGTTTTTGGGTCTTTCTTACCGTGTACGGGAAAATGACTACAGTCTGGCACGCATCAACTCCGCTCAGCCAAAGTTATATAAACACAGTTGAACCAATGACCAACGCGCTGGCAATTTTTCGCTCGCCGTCTCATCTTCGCCTCTTGAACTTCAATACGACTCCTGGCGATCTCTATGTCTGTTCAGTCTATGATAAATAATAATGTGTGTTCTAACGATCGTTCCTGAGTCCCTTCTTCAGAATGGATCGACAAGTGGGTCTGTAGCATCCCAGAGATAGTATTCCACCTCGAGTTCATCTTGATATTGGGGCAATATCCGCTTCATCGAATCCTTCCACAATGGTCCGTACTCGCAAAACATGGATCCCGTATACTCCCAGTACTCTGGGAGCCAACCTGCACCTTCGAAGTCTACCAATCCAGTGAGTCGCCCATTTTCTACAATCATGTTATGTAGTCCGAAATCACTATGAGTGAAACACAGTCGGTGTGGCTTCGTAAAAGACCTAACTCGGGCTTGGTTACGGAACTCCCTGTAAACGGGGGAACCCTCATCTTCCGCACAAAACGAGAGAAGCCATTTGTGGAAGGCCGCTATGTCGATGAAAGGGCCTATGGGATTCCTGGACAGCCTAGGCTGTATCATTGCTCTGCCGATGACGCTTCCTACAACAGCTGAGGTTGGCTTCAGGCTACGAAGTTGATAAAGCCAGTCGCGCAGGACCGGTTCAAACTTATCATAGGTTGCCGCGTCGAATGTCCCGAAGATAGAATGAGCAGGTACCCCAGGAACCCTGCTCATAAGAACGAAGAGCTGGCCACCATCGTCAATGACATCCAATATGCGAGGCACGGGAATGGTGGTGTTCGCAGCCACAAACATCGTCGCAAGAACCTCCGACTCTCGTATGCGACCGTTGTACTTGCAGTACATGTTGAACACTAGACGTTGCTTCCCGAATCCTCCAATAATTGGAGCAGGCCATATTTTCGCGCTGATGTGGAGTAACACCTTATAGGCAATGAGGCGTATCGACGATGGCAAAAGTCTCCAGATACGCCCAAAGATCGACTTGCTGTGTACCGGCAGCGTTGGGTACAGCAGATTGTATCTTGAATGGAAGGTAGATTCATATTGCAGGACGTGGCCAGTGGTGAGCAACCTATACGTTTATGTTTGAGTGCGGCTACAAGTTACTGGAGTCGAAGCGGTCACGCACGTTGAAGTAGACATCACGAAAAACAATGACGTCAGACACCGTTCTTCCGAATATATGTTGTTTTCTCTTGTATCTCTATATCGAAAGTGGTATGAGATCCAGAAATTCAAGTACTCGAGGTCGAAGTGTTCGAACCATTCACAGAAATTCACGCGTCGCGGTGATGTGAAGATATCAATCAACAACTCACGATCGATGATCGATCCGTCGGTTGTAGTTTATATCACTAGTACTCTCTTCTTCTTCTTCCCTCCACTACGGAGACAGTGTTTATTACGCTTTAAGATTTGTTTTTCTTCCTAGAGGATCTCTAGTATGTCAGCTCTTGGCAGCGTATTTCTCGGAGACGTGCAACGTCACCGAATCCTCTCAACATCTACCCCGCCCTCGTCGCCTCCCCCAAGTATTTCTCCTTCAGCCATAACGCACTTTCCAGATGTTGTCAATTCCACCTCAAGTAAACGCGAACAACATGCACCTTCACCAGTATCAGCTGCCTTAGCTCTTGATTTGCGCGTCAAATGGTTAGAAACTCTGCTCTTCGGAGCTAAACAGGATGGCAAGCCTCGTGCACTGGATGGTCATCATGCTTCTCTACTTCGAGGCATCGAAGACCTGCAACGTCGTGTTAATAGCATTGTGCAAGGGAATGAAGGTCTTCGGAGATTCATGGACCATTGTATGCCCCCTCACCCTGTCTATCAGCTTTCTATCTACTGATCGGCGACGCCTCAGATGAACAACATGCGCATCTTTTAACCCCTTCTTTCGCACTATCCGGCACAATACCAACCTCTCCGCCTCCTTACGAGAACATGTCTCCTTCTGAAGTTGAGGCCTTCCTAGCCGAGATGGAACAAGACATCCGAGCTGCAGATCGAGACCTTCGTGAGATTGAGATTCTCGAGAAGAAGAATGTGACCGCTGCAGGAAAACTCCCCGAATACGAGACCCTGAAACCGCGATTGGAGAATTTATTGAAAGCTCATGAAGAGGACCAACAGACGGCGGCAGATTTGGAGAGACGTGTGGCTGTTCTCATGGATCGCTATGCAATTCATGTACGTCAATTCCTCACATATCATCCTCAAAAGGTTCCTAATGGTGGACTTCGTAGGTGGACACGCTATCGGAACTCTTCGTCGCCTGGGACGATACCATTGAAGAAGCAGAATCACAGGTCGGAAAGCTTGAACGTGATCACGACGAACGGCAACGGTTAGGTTATGACTGATCATGCCAGACCGTCTATCACAGGACTGCATCTACGGTATACGAGTATACCCCGCAACACTACTGAGACGCATACACATGCCGTCCCAGCAATACAATCATTACCAACAGTGCAATTGTGGCAATGTACGCCATTCTTGTTGCTATCTTGCGGATTCTTTGCATTGCACATTAGGCAGCGCCTCCAGTCAACCAGAAATGTGCTCCGGCGTTTGACTGTCTGTATACAGGCGATACTCTATTTTTCGTGGTCTTTTTTTGCAGCACTCGTTCAATTGCAGCCCTGACGCATACGATGAACCACGGCGAGATCGACATTTGTACATTTTTCCGCCCCATTTCAATAGACTGCCTCTCGATGATCACCGTGTACGAAGGACATAATAAGGAGCTCACAAAGTTTTGTATATGCCATCTGTAGCGCAGACGGCTTATGGTTGCACAAAATAAGGAAACAAGGTAAGGCAGGTGCCTTTCTTAGTAACAAGCTGGGCCTTTTGAATAAGAACGGTAAGCGCATCTCGCTCTTCACTCTATCTCACTAATATCCATCTAGGGAACGTGACGAATATGAGACGGTCTGTGGACGATCTTCACACCGTCCTTTGATCTATACCTATGAGCGGAGCCAACCAAATTTACTACGCAGTGGACCTTTTAACTGCAGAATCCGGAGCCGTTCATGTACTGCAATATGTGGTGTAATTGATTCTCCGGACGAGAAGGTGATAATTCGAGAGGGCGATGTCGATGATGCCCAGGCTCTTCAAGATGATGGCAATGTCACCTGGCGTACTTGCGTATTTACAGTTTCATTTCGAATCCAACATTCCTGCGCTCATTGGATGAGGCCACGATCGCATTCAACTTACGGATCTTCGCTCACAATTAACGAACTCTAAGAGGACAATTTCGCCAAGTGGGCTTCTTGTGAGTTGAGAATACTCTTGTCCGACCCTATGTCTTCTGATTAATTGTCAAGAAACCGGCGGCATTCTCAGTCAGTAGGACAATGGGTAAGCACGCTGCAATGTTACTTCCACCGAAATACACGTGTTCTAAATTCGTCAATTTCTGTGCTCAGTCTGCACCCAAGTATGTGTGCATCAGATGTGTTTATCTGCGATAGGTCAAGATTGTACTGATAATAAATCTGCTCTGTCGCTCGGAACATGTCCATTTGATGCTGGGAACAGCAACTACGTCTCAGAGCAAACGTGTTCACTCCGGTATCTACAGTTCGTTCCAGAAGTGACTCGTCCAAGTTCGTGTCCAGCATGAGGAATGCCTACTCTCTCAGAGCCCATGTTGTCATCTTCGCACCTGTTTCTTCAGGCCGATTTATCGATGCACGTCACGCACACGAGGCCAAACTATACTGGGCTCACTCGTTCAGCTGTCCAGGCAGACGACACGAGGATTACATGCATTGGCATGCACATGGCATGGATCTGATTGTGCTTCTAGAACTGACATTCGCCTGGAGAAAGGATATCACTTGCACGGCACCCGTTCTAGGGCAGCAATTCCTATAAAAGAGGTTTCTACGACTGAAGCCAACTGTAAGTCTTCGATCATTCCTTTATATTGATTGGTTAAGATACAATGTTTGCCGTTCAACCTGGTGACATCTTCGTTTGCTGCTACAATCGCCAATCCGATATCCTGCCATTCCACTATGCCCTTGCAATTTACATTCATGGCAACACATTCCGCGTCTTCCAAGCTGTAAATCCTTCTATAACTTTGTGGAAATACGAGACAAAGGACAGCTATGTTCTGTCTTCTCAAAGATTGGCAGCAGTCAATAAAATTGGTATGTTTTTGATCCGCAACGTCATTCAGGATGCTGATGCCCCATACTGCATAGGGAATCTTGAGCGTTCAGGCAAGACAATATCAGATATTGATGCTTTGCTTTCTGTCGTTGAGCATCGCACTCCGAAGGACCACGGTGGTCGCAAAGTAACCTACAACTGCATCATCTGGACTAAAGTCGCCCTTCGCAAACTTTGTGATGCCGAAGTCATCAGGCTCACGGTTGGGGACGTGTCGGACGTGCTCGACGAATCTCATGCCTTCGCACTGGAGGCAAAGGCTACTGACAGCTCTGTCCGCAAGGTCTCTCGATACGCACGATGAAGAAGAAGTGAGTCACTGGCAACATGCGCTTCAGATGGGTACACTAACTCTTCTGCCCTTTAGCTTCTTAAAGTTACTTCCATGCGGCGCATAAACCATGCATGTACTGTCAAGGGTTTAAGTCTGAGCGTGTTGAAGGCGCGGAGCCATCATGTTCTCGACCGCTATACTGTTGTGTTAATACGAACGTCCTACTTTGTAGGTTTCACCGCTGTGGTAGTGTAAAATGCGCTAACGATATTGATTGATATTCGACAGGGCTTTTATATTACAGATGGTCTCTCGGAGCAGCATTCGATTGGACTCCGTCTCTCTCTCATGCACATTTCTTCCTTCTCTCCTTTTGTTGTATCTGTATGCCCCTTCATCCATAGTTCTCAGCCTCGGTTTCCTTTCCCATTCCCCTGGTCAGACAAGTTGTCTCTCATGGTCGGTCTTGGAGTTAGTTAACACATGCGCCTGGTCTTCAACCCTTCGCGTCGCTTGGTCAACGTACGCGCACGTAAATAAAGGGTGAATTCCATTGTAGCCGTTGACTTTCCCCTCGACCAGCCAATAGGATTCGACGCGTTTGTTCCTTGCACCACAAAACAAAACAATTCCTCGTAATTTCCTTATTCGAATAAAACCAGATCCTTCTTTTGACAGCTCTTGTATTTGGTTCCCTCGTTAGATTACCTCCCGTCTTTCTCCTCCTTCTTCGCTTCGTTTCAACCTTCTACGATGCTACGGAATTCCCAGCCAATAGCACGGCTTGAGGGAGTCTCCCCAGATGTATATATACAGTCTCGAACGCGAAACAAGCATCTTCTTTTCCCCTTTTTCCCCACTTAGTCTAAGTATTCTCTCACACTCAGATTCCATCTCAGAATCAGTATTCGAACGGTTCCGTTCAGTTTCACTCGTGTAGTATCGAGTCTAGTTCCTAACGTCGTCAGAAACAGAGATCCTACGGATAGGATCAGTCCCGAGTATATCAGCTGAGTGTTAAATCTCCCGGAAGACAATCTCTCGTCTTGTCTATTGTTCGCTTATCCGCTATTCGATTATTCTATCCGCAGCCCCAACCTTCTTTCTTCTCTCCCTTAGGTCTGTAGACCCCTCCGGTCGATCAGAACCATTGTTTTCCTACCAGCCCGGATCGCTCTTCCACACCGCCTTGAACCATAATTTAGCGACGTTTATGAAGTGCGATAGATTATCCTCTGCTCTGTTGGAATTTGACGTATACGTTTATGTTCATGTCGGCTGCCAAGAGCGTGAGAACGAACTGTATACAATCACCAGCAATTCATGCACATGTTTGGACCACCGTTTGTCATTGGACACAAACAAACGCCATCTTCATGCACGGATAATCATCTTATAGCTATAGATAGAAGACTTACTCCCAGTCAGTCCAATTGTACAGTGCATGACTTGCATTCTAACATTCAATAGTGTCAATCCAAAACGAAACAACATTTCTTTCGAAGCGATGTACCATCTTCCCGTCATTTCCGATCAAACATGACACAATATTTGGCTGTTTGTGGGGAATTTTGCCCTCTAGCATTCGTTTGGCAACCTATAAATTGCTTGTCTCAGTCTGTTCGTGTCTTTGGTCTGCTCCACCGCTCTCTGACCAACGGGTTCAACGCTTACCATTCGGCCTATATGCAAAGTATGGTGGACGCATAAAAGAGGAAGAAGTTATCGCTACTATGTTTGTTGCTGCCAACACGTCAATCCCAGTACCCCGTATTCTCGACGTGCTGGACGACCGAGGCAATCTATTTGTTATCATGACACGTTTACCAGGAATCCAAGCCAAGGTTGCCATGAAGGACCTGGATGATCAGGGTTGGAGACAGTTTGAACAAGATATACAAAACTGGTGGTATCAATTGCGGAGTCTAGTGCCCCCAACCAATGTGGTTGGCAGCCTCCTTGGGACAGCGTCCCTGCAACGTCGAATGTCAATGGACATACCAATTGGTCCATTCGATAACATAGCGGCCTTCCATCACTATCTGATGACTTTGTGTCCGGAAGACCAAGGATCCCCGCCGTATGATGAGTTCCGTCGTCTCGCACCAATCAAGTCTTTCAATAAACCCCATCGTCTATGCTTCACGCATGGCGATTTAGTTCCTCACAATTTGCTCATGGAGAACGGCAGACTCAGCGGTTTGGTTGACTTTGAATCTTCTGGTTGGTTTCCGGAGTATTGGGACTTTACGGGGACATATGGATGGGCGCAGGGAAACTGGAAAGAGATGTTGTTGCGAATCTTTCCTCAATACCAGGACGAAGTCGAGGTCGAGAAGTATCTTTGGGAGGCGGTTAATCCTTTCTGACCTCATTCTTTCGTTTTACGTTTTACACCTTTAGCCGCTACGATCATTCTTCCAATGTTTTATAGTACCAGACAATATACCTGAAACTAGACAGACTGTGGAATGTGGCGTGCAACTTAAGAAAGCTACCGCATGCACCTGATTGGGGCGCTACATATCCTCTGTGCAGCGAGCTATTTCGATTCTTAGTCCCAGGAATTACAGATATGAGCTACCTTGTAGATGAAGTCTCAGAAAGTCCGAAAAGCAAAGAGTAAAACACGCAGCATAGATTGGGGAGAAAACGACTGTATTATCAGCGCAATAAAAGTACCCACGTCGTCATCATATGTCATCTTCCGGCCCATCTTCGATAAGCTTAGCGTAATCCTCGTAGCTAGCAAAGGTAGGTAACGAGCGCAGTTTCTTCTTCTTAATCTTGCTGTCGTCATCCCCACGTTTACGCTTCTTCGTTCCATCGATACCTCCCCATTCTTCTTCCTCATTAGCGGCCTCTGGTTCTTCATGGTCGGAACCGTCATAATCAATAAGACCCTCAGGAACATCGGCGTCGAGAGGAAGCAGGTCCTCTGCGTCCGAAGCTTCGACAAGAGATAGGGCGTCATCCTCTTGTTCTCCATCTTTGTCCTGATCTTCATCCTTTTCTGACGCTTCACCCGAGACATCTTGCTCTTCATCTTCCGCGATATCGCTGTCCTCGTCCAGGTCAGACGGCAGTTCGTCACTATCTTCCATGAGGTCATCGTCCTGGAGTTCCGCGGGCATCGTTGACTTCATGGCCTAGAAGAAAATATGAACCAATAAGTGTAAGAACAACAACACGTCAATGATGATACTTGCCTTCCAAATCTCTGCTTCTTCCTTATCACTATCCGCCTCACCCTCACTCACCGCTTCATCCTCATCCTCACTCACATCTTGCTCCTCATCTTCCCCATCCTTCCCTTTCCTCTTCTTCGCCTTCGCAACTCTCTCGTTCTCCTGCACGTGTTTCCTCGTGAAGTATTTGTAAAAGAATATCTCATCCACAGGCACGTCCTCCGTCCTCTTCTTCCACCACGCTTCCTCATTCACAGGCGCGCTCCTCCCTGTCGCCGCCTCACCCTTCGCGAGCTTCACACTGGTACCATCAAGTGTGGTAGCACCAGGCTGCATAGCGCTTGCGCCTTTAGTTTTGGGTTTCTTGGGGTTCTTGTAGATGAACTTGTCCAGGAAGTGAGAGAGGGTGTTGAGTGAGAGATCAGCGGAAGCGGTGATTGGGGCTCCAGAGAGGAGTTGACGGGCATGCAAGGAGATTGCAGGGTGGTAATGATGAAGTAATGGAATCTAAGTGGATGAACGTCAAAAGACTGACAATACTATACCTGAAGCTGAGAATCACGTACCAATTCGTAAAGAGGGGAAGCAGATGCATGGGCATACTGAGGATCACGCTTGCGCGGATCGTAGGCCTCACCCTCCGCGACCTTCGTTCCTTTCCCGAGACCATTGAGCATATCCCGCAGTCCAGAGACCGTGCTGAAAAGCTCGCCGAGGAGATATAACCCGCCAGCAACGAATTCAGTACCACCTGCACCTCCGACACCCACTACAAGCACCTGTACAAACCGCCTCACGAATGCCTTCACCCGCTCGAGGTTATGGTCCGCCTTCAGGGCTTTGAAAAGGAGGTTCAGGTACATGGCTTGTTTGTTGGACTTGGACAGACGTTGGTCGATGAGTGACGCGTACAAGGTACGGTAGAATCTGTCAGTGAGCGCAGTCCCATACGAATTCTCTCCTGATTTTGACGATGAGGGGTCGGAAGATAGACTGGTGATGACTTGGAGGATCAACATGAGAGCTTGGAGCGAGATGTTGAACGTGGACGTATGAGTGATAAGGAACAGAGTATCAATATGTTTCTTGAACATGTCATTCCCACCTCCGACATCGACTTTCGCGAAGGGTAGAGCACGGTTGACACCGGACAGAATCGCACTGACGAGTCGCGAATTGGCGTCCTCGACTTCTGCGAACCCAGCCGCCCCACGGACTTCCTTCCCCTTTCCTTTCGATTTAGTCTTGCCCTCGTGTGAATGTTTCCCAACTTGATCGTCCTCAGGAACGGTTAGCGCAAGGTCATCGATGTCCTTGTCATCTCCAGAGGTACCCAGTACCTCCCGGAACATCTCGAAGTACACTTCGATCAGTAGTCGAGCAACATCTCGGTCGTGTTCGCTTGGCGTGAGGACGATTTGGTTCAAGGTAACAGAAGCGTAGTACCAGGCATGCGAGTTCCATCGTTCCATAGTAGGGGTTTTAGAAGCCTTGTCCTTGCCTTTACCCTTGTCCTTGGACTGGTTGGGTTCATCGTCGCCAAAACGAACGTGGGTCCCTGTTTTAGCTTTTTCCTTTTCAGCATTTTGTATCTGGGCAGAGGTCGACGCGGCCGGTCGGAAAATGAGGGAACGAATCTCCCGGACGATGACACCTTTCATGGCAGGATGGGTTTGCACAAGTTGTAAGAGATGATATGACGCGCGCGAGCAGACTGATTTCTCGGTGTCGCCCTAATTTTTTCGGAAGAGATAATGTATGCTACAATAAGACTCATGTCGCACCATAGAAAAAGTTTTTGGTTACTTACGAGTTTGTTGACAAGCAACCGTAGCAAATTCTGTTCTTGCTCTGGCTTGTCTCGCAGGAGAGTGGATATGAAACCAAGAGCTTGAGTACGAACGTATGGCAACGGATCCAAGGAATATGTCTGCCACGATAGTGATTTTAAGTTTAAAAAGGATCATACATGAGCAGATATTGACGAACCTCTAGTATCTGTAGGATGTGGAAGAAGTATTTCTTCAACCAGTCCTCGAAATACCACATGACGAGGTGCTGGTCCGTCACGTCAGGGTGCAGCAGCGATGACTGGTCACGGAAATACCTGGAACAAGAGATCAGTAAGACTTTCACGAAGACGAAGTTGTGAGTAGTACCTCAGCTTCCTACTCGGTGCACCACCGCCTATCCACCAATCTACAACACACCTCATCGCCTTCAAACCTTCCTCTCGTCCACCTTTTCCACGCCCACGCTCCGCCATATTCCGAAGCGTTTCCAAAGCCTTAGTATTGTGTACTGGGCTAGCTTGGACAAGCAAGGTAAGAGCACTAAGCCTGTCGGATAAGGTACCCTGCATAAGGATCGTGTTGAGGAAATGAGAGTCAGACGCGCTATGTCCAGTTGACGCAGCAGAAGCCTGATAAATCTCTGCATCCTTTTGAAGGAGGTTACGAGCACGATCAGAAAGTGAAGAAAGCTGAGCAGGCGAAGGGGTTGGTAGAGCCGTTTTTGAAGCCGCCAGAGGAGTAACAGCAGAGTACCAGTGAGGGCTAGGAGAAAAGACAAGCTTCGAGTTGTTTTTTGAACTGATAGCAAGACTTGAAGGAAGGGCAGTCGGCTTAGGTTCTTTAGAGGCAGAAAGTTCGGACTGTTCTTTTGTTTTATCCTTGCCTTTCTGCTTCTCGTCTTTCCTCGTGGGTTTTTCGTTCTTGCCTTCCCTTTTCGATCCCTTTGGTAGCGAATCCTGGCTAGCTGTAGCCTTAGGGATGGACTTCTTGTTTGCCGGCTTGAATTTAGATTCCTTGCCCACTTTCAAGTCGCTTAGGAACCTAGAAACATCCTCAACCAATCCAGACTGCAAGAAAATTGAGTGACACAAATCAGTGGCAATTTTAACGACATACATCAACTTCTTGGGTCCCAGTCTCCAATGATGCATCACTATGGATATCCTTCAACAATTCGGCATCTTCTACACCAAGCTGCAGATCCTGGTTCTTGGCCTTCGAGCCTTTGGAACCGTTGTTCTTGTGCGGTTTTCGCTGAGTCGCACTATTCTCCCGCGTCTCGAGCGCATCATTGTGTTTCATAGGTTTTGAGCGTGCCATGAAGCTTTAAAGACTGGAAAAAGCAGCACAGTGTGAGTCCAAGGTTCGCTGCAGCCAAAAATTCATAGGCGCCCATTACACTGATCGTCCAGTGGGCGCTTACACGACTTCCCTCTTCGCACAAGCCACCATCGCGTTTACAAGCGTATATCAGCAGTAGGATTCGTGGAGGGAAATTATGAGTGTAAAGAAGAGGTTAGTCGCAATAAATACGTTTTGTTACTCCCAGATACTGACCTACGTTAATCTTAATCAAGTAAACTTGACCTGTTGGTTCGAGTCCGATACTCGAATCCCCTACCAGCTCCGCCATGTCCCCCGAAGCTCTTGGACATTCCAACCAATCCTATGCGCTATGCGCGACCAGAATTTTTGAACGACATCGCAAATGACACACCTCTACCCATGATAGTCGACGCGGAGATGGGCATGCCGCTTGACCTCAGTCAATTTGAATGCCTGTGGGACGAGAATATGGATGATTCTGGTGCGTGGTCGTGCGTCTTCATGCCGTTTCTACAGCCTACTCTGCATGAGCGAAGCTGAAGTGCTATTGAACCGTAGAACTCAACCCCGACCCCAATAATGTGCCTCCAGCTGATCCGAGAGACCAATTCCTACTCGATACAAGTACTGGTCCATATATAACCAATGGTTTCTCGACTCCTGGGTCTGGCGCTGCTACACCAATATCTGCGGCCATACCAAATGTCACTTGGCTACGGAGGACTGAATACCTCACTCGAGAAAGTGTTTCGCGCGCCGCAACGGCACAAGAACCGTACGTGCTATGCTGCGCTAGGGCATGACAATCTCATCTGACAAACTTCACAGGAAACATACGGACCTCCCTATCGATGTCACGCGGTCTGCGCAATTGCGAGATATCGAAGCTTCATTTGCTGCGACCGAAGACTTCGACCTCACATCGCTGAAGCATCCGAATAAACCTGGCGTTACCGCTGCTGAATCATACGAAATTTTCCCAGATGCTGGAATATGGGCAAATGCATACGACTTATTCCGATTCTCAGAACGCCCAGGGGAACGACCTCCAGATGTAAGTTGCTCGAAATGTGCCCAGGGATCCAACTTATGAAAACTTGACATGCAGGTTGAGGACCCTCGATTGGATTGTGCTATCCTACGGCCAATGGAGTCGGACGGCGATCACTTCCTGGCGTACTACCTGACAAAAGAAGACGAAGCTGCAATTGAATTCAAACGGGAACGTCTAAATCGCGATCCAGAGGCGCCTGAGGAAGAGGAGGTTAGGTCGATTTTTAATTGTCATTGGAAGCATGTGTTGATCGTTATATATAGCCAACGAACTTTCACTTTGTCCGCGACTACGAAGTCGTCAAAGTCGAGCAAGAGGTTCCCAATGAATTCCTTCTCGTCATTCACGATGGCGATGATAATATCAAGGATGAAAATATTAAGGATGAAGATATCAAAGAGACCCTGAAAGCGAAACCCAAGAAGCATCGCGAAAGGGGAGCATACTACAAGAACATTGAACGGAAGATGTTGCTCAAGAAGAAACGGCAAAGTGTAAGATCGTTCACTATTCTACCGAGAGTTGTGGCTCATGTCATGCATAGACCTTCGAGGCGTACGTGGATAAATGGGACGTTGTCAAGGTCACACACGTACCTATGAGCAAGGAAGAAGAAGATGAGCGCGAGGAAGTACTCGCAGAAGTCATGGACCCTATGTACCTCTTGGGCCGTGCAGATATGGATGCGGAAGGAGAGATTGAAACCGAGGAACACGCTTCAAGTCGACCTGAAGGCGGAGGGGAAAACGGGATTGGGTTTGTGGATGCCGTAGATGTTTTCGGCGAGTGAACCCATATGTACTTATGTGTTCACAGCTTATAACCTTCTTTTGAATGGAGTATTGGTTCATTCGTGTGCCTCTTGAGTCTTGAGCTGGTATTTGTTTTTGGAATTTCAATTTTGAAATTAATTAACATCTTGTTAATCGTTATTATATTTGTCCATAATAACACCAGATAGTCTACTGGTTAGTATCTCTGATAGTATATCGGTTTAGTACACGCGCCTGTCACGCGCGAAAGCTGGGTTCGACTCCCAGTCAGAGAGTTCGAGATTGTTTTTCCTGTTTCTTGCCGTCACCATTGAGCTGACAGTCACTCGGACAGTGAAATTTACGAAATATGAAAGTTCGCTCTCGCTAGCTTGATATGCTAGCTGAGTTCCGCCTAACAACTTTTCTTGACGGTTACCCAGCAGCGAGCGTGTCAGGTATTTTTCTTGGGTCTCGCGATATATGAATCACGCTTCAGAGGTTCACTTCTCAGCGCGGTATGTACATCGTGTCACTCAGTGCATAGGCGGCTCGTTTTATCTACGGGCCACTTTCGCCCATTTGAGCTGTGTTCAGTACATACTTGTCGCATCCGAACTGCATAATATGTATTTCAGCGGTCATCTCAGCAAGATCTGTGCCAAGAGTCGTTTACGTCCTGGAGACAGTGATCGCGAACTTGCAACCCGAGCAACAGAAAGAATGTACAAAGATGTGCATTGTCGAAGGTCAAGGAATAATTGATACTCTCTTCTACAATGATTGTAGTCTACAATAATCTAGCTTAGAGTTGCAAAGCCAACTCGGTTATTCCCTAGATCGAACTGTGTATACACATTCCTCAAGAAGAGATCACCAAGCACCCAGAATTGCTGGTTAGCCATACCCGAAGCACCACCGATACATAGGTCCGAGCCAGGTACGATTTTGCCACGATTGAAGACACTTGGAGGGATAGGGAAAGTGGTGTTGCCCAACGTGAACGCCACGGTGTCATTGAAATCGCATGGTATAGAATAGATGCCATCGCTGATGCTCGTCGACCTGCGGATATTCTTGTACAACTCCTTCACTTCATCAGGAGAGCCGACAATAAGACTGGTACCAGTGTCGATTATAGCGGTCTGATTGGTGACAGTAGTCTTATTGTTGACTACAACGCCATCCAATGTGACCTGCCAGAATCCCTGAAACGATGTCAGAGACAACGATCACGCTCACGTCAAGAAAAGAATTAACCAACCTGGATAACGACTGGAGCGAAAGAGAAATTTCCGGTATACTGGCTACTGTTGACACCGCCAAGAACAAGCTCACCATCTTCCGGTGTAAGCTTGAACGCGAAGACGGGCTCCGACGTCTGATTTTGAGCGACAAGGTTTTGGAACAAAGGAGTCGCGTTGTAAACCGAGATCGATTGGTACCCGAAGCCAATAAGACCATCCGTTGGGAACCTCGCGTACGCATCTCCGGAGGAGTAGGTCGCAGCGGCACCAATGTCTTGATTCTGAGCCTGAACAACAAGACGTCAGCTTGACCCAACGGCAAAGTATCAATAACCACTACTTACCGTTAGGTTCGCAATGATAACCGTCTCATTATACTGCTCGCCACTGACGCTTGAACCATCTCCATAGGCAAGCGTAAAATTCTGCTGACGATCCTGTGCCGTCGAGCTATTGCCGGGAAAGAAGGGCTTGTGTTCGGCGCAGTTCTCCGTGCAGTTAGGTCCAGGCAAGAAGATATCGCTGCTACCGGTGTCGAAGTCCATGGTGAAATTTTGAGGCGGTGTCCCGATGCTGACGTTACCTCGCCATAGAGTGCCGTTTTTCTCGTCTTCGAGCGGAAGAGCACCTACACTTCGTTTGCTAAGGTCGGGGGAAGGGTTGAAGCCGATGGAAAGGGGGTGGTCAGAGCCGGTATTTGCCTTATAAGCTTTGAAACCACGGTCGTATTTCCTGTTGATTATGGTCAGTAAGACGACTTGCCGACAAATCGAAAATGAAACGTACTGGATAGTCCTCTGCCAATCAGAGTAGATAGCTGCGAGATCCGCATAACCATTTCCAGCTTGTTCGCCGTCACGCCTCATCAATGGAATATGCCATGAACGAGGACCAACAACGATAGGTTCGGGATTTGGCTCGGCAACTGGGCTTGCAGAAGCGAAGTGCCCGAGAAGAGATAAGACAATTACAGAGTTGAACAACATTGTCACTGAAACGCAAAATTCCTGTGTCAACGAGAGATAGTAGACCCCGCAAAATGGAATTCGCTTTTATACCAGCTACTCATCTTCGGAAGGCATCCGTGTGGAACGGATGACGTCTGAATAGAGCATATCCGAGCCCGAGCGAATGCTGCGGGAGGAAGACAAGCCGATCGAGACGAGGACGGATAACTGAGTCGAGACAGTATACATCCGCAGCCCGGTCTTGGACAAAACACCACATTTACAAAGCGGGATATAGACCTCACAATGACAATGCAAGCCGAGAGCGAAAGTTTGGTCTGAAACCTCCCGATGAAGCTAGTCAATTGCCTCAGCAGGGACACTACTTCAGGATATCGACGGAAAAATGTTGTCCACGCAGATACTGAGTAACGAGAGGGGTAGCGTTCTGCCGAACCTGTTTGCATCCGAGCAAAGTTCGGTAGACAGAGACTTCCGAGGAGGATGAACGACTAATCATACTTATGACACACTATAAGGCTAGATCAACCGAAGGCCGGATCGACCACAAAACAGAGACGCAGTCTGCTGTCCGACGGCGGGTGATGTCCATTACTTACGCGCGTAGAATATGACTGACTGCGAGAGTGGTAAGTAAACTGCGCAACAAGTGACATCTGTGCCAAGCTACATTGTTAAGGGTGAACCGACCTTGTTGAATGTTCGCAGGATCTAGATGAATACAAGAACACGATATCTGCGGTGGTCATTCTACAACGTACCTTCAACTATATTCGCATGGCGGTTAAATATGGAATCGGAGAAAAAAAGTGCATTGCATGGAGATCGTCGCATAGCATAGCTCATGTATTTTGCGAAAGCGAGAGGACGGACGTGCGCTCGTCGTGCCTGAGTATACAGATCGAGGGTGGGGTAATGTGCAGCATATACATGGAGATGCAAAAAAAAAGTGGTAAGGGGATGACCACCACCTCGACACCAATGGAGAAAGTGTGGATGCAGTGAACTTCAATCATGCCTCGGCGGTCGTCTTCTTGGTTCGCTTCACGGCAGTGGTGTTCTCCCTGAATAAGAGCACAAAGGACGTCAGCAGCCTACAAAGGGAGAGAGCTAGGTAGACGCAAAAAAAAGAAGTATGCGTACCGGAACCCGTTCTTGAACCGCCTGGAGACCTCCTTGAGGTAACGCATCCTGCCAGTACCAGTGGTCTTTCGGCGCTTGGCCTTCTCACCCCAGTTGTACGACCGCAGCTTAGCACGGGGGTAACCACATTGCGCGCATTCTGCGACGGGCAAAAAAATCCGACAATTGCAGAATTATGAGGGATGGAGTCACAGAAGCAGATTAGGGGAATCGAACGAGGAAGCACTAGACGTCAGAATCGATATGAAACTGTAGCCCGGTGGAAGACGCACCCTTGTGCTGCTTGTGGAAAGAGCGGTTACCACACCTCCGGCAGAGGGTGTGCGACTTGGTGTGCCGCTTACTGTTCAGCACAAAAAGCAAAAGTCATTCAGTGCTTGTTTAAACACACAAAAAAGTATAGCAAACGTACCCAAACGAGGTGGTACCTATGTATCGTCAAACATCAAATCCGATCAGTCCTCCATTGAACCCTTCAAATTACAACCCAAACCTCATTTACGAACCTTTTGTCTACAAAGCGCAAAGAACAACCATCAGCACCACATTCAACAAGAAACGTACTTGTAAACTGCAAGACCAAAGTGACCCAGCGCCGTCATCTAAAGTACCACCAAGCCATCCATCCAGCCAAACTCCACCAAATCGCTCCGTTCGACCTCACGAATCACCCTCTGGCAGCATAGGTCCCTTTGGCGTGCAAAACGAGCATAGACTCACCATCTTGTCTTGAGGATTTTAAGGATGCCTATGGTGTTTGCGAGCTTCACCTCAAAGACGGCGTGGGTGGCTAGGGCGAGGACTCCGGACACCTTTTTGCCAAATTAGGTTGTCTATTGGAAGCGCTCGACTTATATGGGGGCCTGGCTGTTTCAGGAAAGTCTTCAAGGTCGTTCAGCAGGATGAGCATTTGACAAGAAACGGCCTATAAGCATGGAAAACTACACCAGGTAGACTAAACTAGATAGAGACAAATGAACACGAAGCCGGATCAGACGAAAAGAGAAGAGAAAGAGAAAGAGAGGCAATCGATGAACGAAAAAGGACAACGGGCGCAACTGAAGCAGGAAAACATTCCATGTAATATACCGAACACAAGTCCGAGCATCACAAACATTCGTATATATGAAGTACAAGAGCCACATATCCATGAGCTCGCTATGATATTCCGAGATTGAAACCGTTCAAGATCATATCATCAAAGGAGAGATCGGACAGCCAAAGAGCAGATCAGCGTAAGCACAAGGATGAGCACAAACACAAGCCGAAGACACTAGAGATGAACAGCCAGAGAGCAAACGAGACAACATAATATGATGCCCGATCCTGCAGGCTTAACACTGACAAGCAAATACGTTCTTAGTACGCTCGACAGGATTAAACGAGAGATGTATGGCACTCACCCAACACGAGACCCAAATCCGCATATACACTCATCGCTATCCATCCACCTCCATACTGCCCCCATCACGACTTCCTCTCCGCTCCCCATTAACAGTGATGTTCGGTCGTTCATTCTCCCACCTTCTCTCCCTCTCCCTCTCCCTCTCCCTCTCATCATCCCTATCTCTCCCCCAATCCTTCGCCATCTCCCGATTCCGTTGTTTCTCCCGTTCCCACTCCCATACACTCTCCCTCTCCCTTTCTCGTTCACGTTCCCTATCCCAAACCCGATCCCTATCCTCCGCCTCAGCCCAAGTCCCCATTGTCGTCGAAGTCGCGCTCCTTGGCGTCGCATACCCCGAAACTGGTAACGACCTCGATCCTGCACTGCTTCCACCATTCAAACTCAACGCGCCAAACTCAGAGTGTGGATGTGGATGCGCGGAGTGAGGTTGCTGCTGCTGCTGAGTATGAGCATATGCTCCAGGACCTAAAGGCGGTAATTGCAATTCCCGCAGATTGCTATAAGGGGACATCGGTGACGGTGAAGGTGCATTACTCGATGCAGGGGAAAGAGAAATAGGTGGTAAAGGTTCACGATAGATGGTTCGTGAGTTCGATATCGACGATAACGAAGTGTGAGAAGGGTGGGAGGAGAGAGAAGTAGGAGGCGTGAGGAAGCCTGAGGAAGTAAAGGTAGAGGATGTTGAGGAAATAGGTGATGTAGAAGTTGAGGATGGTGATGGGTGGGATACCGCGGTGATAGGTGTGGAAGGAGGTTGAGAGGTATTCGGCGAACCGTTTGGTGAAAGGAGGGCAGAAGGCGGGGGAAGGGTTGGGACTTCGACATTAGGTCGCTGAATACCTACAATCCGAAGTCTCTCGACCCATCTATGAAATCAACAAACAAATATTAACATACATCCTTCAAAAACACTCAGAGTCAACTCACGCATCAGCCTTGTCCAAACTGTCCTTAAACACTTGCGTCACAGCTCTCAACATATCCAAGCTCTCCATGGCAAGCGTCAAGATCTTTTGCGCCGCATGTTGCATCGGTACAACACCACCCGCACCTGCATGAGCAGCCGCAACAGCAGTCCTGGAGTGTGAGGGTGAAGTCGCCCTACTAGCAGGTCTCGACCTAGGCGAAGGTCCAGGTTCACCAGGTCCATAAGTATACGGTGCAGCAGACGCACGAGCATTAGCTGCTCGCGTCGTCCGACCTGTCCGTTCGCCTTTTGTGCTTTTACCAGCACCGTCAGGTTTTGCAATACCGTTGGTAGCAGAAGAACTAGGCGAATCAGAAGCAGCCTTCGCCCATCTCTCCGGTAAACAGAGGATGAAACTCCGCACTCGTGCTCTGGCAGGTTCCGGTAGGGCACCCCCTGCGTACTTTGATACCACGTCTACAACTTGCCTGATAGTCGAAACGACATCCCTCCTAATCGCCGTCAAGGTTTGCAGATGTTGTGCGTGTGGTGATGTCGGACTAGAACTATGTTGTTGTAAGGAAGCGATGAAATCCCGAAGGATCAATATTTGTTGGTCGATATGCGCCGTGGCGTATTGAAGCCATTGGAGACAATACTTCAGTCGACGCATGGATTCTTCACTGACAGCAGCGCCGATACCGCCTGCCTCGAGGAGCATTGCTTGCCATCGACTTCGTTGAACTACTTGTTGCTGTTGTTGAGAGTCTTGTTGGTCCTGCCTAGGGGTCGGAGTCCTACTATGCATTTCTGAAGACTTCGGTGGTGACCCCGATTCTATAAAATAGCCCATTAACGCAAACATTGGTAAATTTGATGATATTTATAAGAGACAAAGACCAACACACCATCTTCTCGTATCATACTGATATCCCGGTCTTTACCTTTCCATCGTTCAGGTGAAGTGCGTCGACCGATTCGACCTCTCATAACCCCGGAGGCGGACGCGCTGTCAATAGAAGATGACCATGCATCCCTAGAGCCCTGGGCACGTTCGTCTTCCGTTCTGCAGTCATAGTCCCGATTTTGATCTGCAACATAATCGTCTTCTTCTAGGAATTGACTTCGAGGCGTATCTTGACTTTGAGTGGGACGACCGTAACTTTCCAGCTAAGATGATGCCGAGGATGGAAGGATCGGATGAATATGAAATGAAGATATAGGATGGAGCGAAGGAGGGACTCACCCTATCAAGCTGTCTACAAGCGAATTCGTCGAGCTGATTGACAGGCAAACGTTCAATCACAGGTCGAGAGATAGATCGGACAGAAGACTCCATCATCTCTGCGCCATACTACACAAAAAGCACCGACCAAAACCTCAGTCGACAAACCACAGTGAAACCAGAAACATAAGCGTACCTTGACGACCCTAGAACTCGCCTTACTAACCTCATAAACCCTAAGTGCAGAATTGACAATGGGGAAATGCGAGACCCTAGAGACAAAGTCCGGGGACATGGTATCATCGACTTGCGCCTCATTATCCCTTTCCCTACTAAAATCACCTGTAACGGAAGGTGAAGGCAACGACGGCGAAGAAGACCTAGAAGTGACCGAAAGCGCCGGAGTAGGCTGGAAAGCTATAGTAATCAACGCGAAAACATTAGCGCATACACCGAGACCGAGGCAGGCGAAGCGAAGGGGAAAAGCACACATACAGCTGGACGGAGAAGCCTGATAGAGACTGTTCCCGCGACCACTATTTCTCATGTCCCCGAGGGCGCGGACGGCGATGCGGACGGACTCGTCCTGGTCGTCGAGGACGGCGAGCTCGTCGTTTAAACGTGCGGCCATGGCAAGGAGGGAGAGAGGGCGTGTGTTGGGGAAAGGCCCCAGAGAGAGCGTCGACGAGGGAGTGCAAGGTCAGATGAGCCCTCGCACTTTCACGTGTTTGGGTCTTGTCAATTCACGACTCGAGCTGCCACATGTGTTTCTGTTTCTAGCCCCGCGTAATCTTATCGCAACCTCGTCATATTACGGAAGCATAACATCACCACCATGTATGTACATAGAATACTCAAATACAATAATCAATAATGGTCCACTATGTACGACGAACGACAAGCATAATTATCACAACAAGCGAGGATAGGTTACCAAGGTGCAAGCATGCAAAACAAACTCAAGAAAACAAATATCGTCAGCGACAACTTCAATCGCGTTTCGCTGATTCCGGGGGTGCCACAGGCCAGACGCTATCCCTCGCCGCATTCCTCTCACCTCGTCCAAGAGGAGCCGGTGGTTGAGCAGGACCTTGTGTGGATGGCGATTCATGTTGCTGCTTAGGCGTCTGAGGAGTCTGAGGCCGCTGCTGCTGTTGCTGCGATTGAGACGACGTTGATTGCTGTTGAGGTTGCTGCTGCTGAGCCGCCTTCATCTCATCCAACCCCCTCTTCACACCCGCCATAATCCGATCCGTCCTCTCAAGCATCTCCTCCATCCACCTCTTCTGATCCGCCAACTGTGCATAATGATTCTCCAGCTCGTGGACGGTCGGGACAGGCGGAGGTGGTGGCGTACTGGGATGATGAGCATAGAACGAATGTCCATGAGCATGTCCAATTGTATGATGAGGATGAGGAGGGGGGAGGACATACGACGGTCCAGGAGGTGGAGGCGCACTAATTCCCGGTCCAGCTAATGGCGAATGTGTCCTGCTCGGGCCCCCAGGTCCTCCTTGGAAGCCAGCAGCAGAACCCGATCGAAGATAACCAGCAGCACCGCCCGCGTATTCTCTCAACGCAGCAGGCGCGTTGTCACCCAATGCAGCATTGATCGAAGGTAGGTCAAACCCGCCTTGAGGATTGGGAGGGAATGGCATCCCACGTGGAGCTCCGGCACCATACCGACTCTCACCCATCTCTTGACCGGGGCCGAACGCGCTTCCTGGACGAGGGGGACCACGATTATCGTGCATAAGTGGGGAAGAAGATGGTTCGCCACCTGCATGAGGGTGGGGTGGAGGAGGACCCGGCATTTGCATAGACATGGGCATCGAAACGCCACCCCAAGCAACTTCTGGAGGCGCATTCGCTTGATGACTCCCACTAGCCCTTCGTCCACCTCTCCCACCTCGTCTTCCTCTAGGCGCACCTCTCGACGCAGATTCACCCTCACCAAATGCGTCATCCATATCCATATCGTCCCTGTCCTTCTCCATCTTACCGCTCTTCCGACGGCGTTTGCGAGCGGGCTGTTGAGCGGAGTCACGCTCTCCCTCATCTTCTGCACTCTCCTCCGTGGCAGCTCCAGGCGCGCCCCCAGCCGGAGCGGCACCACTACCAGAGGGCATAGAAGGGAGAGAAGCGCGTCCGACACTTGCGAGCACTTCTGCTGCAGCTTGGTCTGTCATAACCCGATCCTGCGCGACAGGTGACCCACCTGGAGCCGCTGGCACCCTCTTGCGCCGTTTTATCACTGTCTTCTTCATTGAGTTTGGTCGGTGCGTGCCGTGTAGCTTGAAGTACAGGCCTACGATGTTCGCAATCAAGTTCGTCAGTATTTTTTTTGCTCCGTTGAGAGATGATGGGTTGGCAGAAAAGGAACATAGACGCGTTCAAAACATTTCAAGACATGTTGGTGCATGCAACCGAACTTCGCGGCAACTGGTACGGCCGAAAAGGGGCGTCCAGCTGGACGGTGTACCGCGTCACTGGGCCAACCCGCCGCCACCGATGCGCTGGATTCCCGAGTGTGAGGGAATTTCCATCACCGGATTAGATGACACTTGGCCAATAGCGTTATCTGATAAGATTGGAAGGCATGGTCTAGAGTGATGTGAGAGCGCCTATCACCTCCGGCTTCACACAGAACGTGAGGATAGCCGTGGCAGAAACAGTCAAGCATCAACAACACACGAGGATGGCAAACGCTTCCAGCAGGCTAGGGACGTAGATCGCGAGAAAGGCGAACAAAAAGCACTAGAAAGTTTGGAATTGCACACCACCCATGACTCAGACTGGAAGACGACGACGGGACCAATAAAGAAAGCGAAATCGAAAGAGAACACTCACCGCAAGCGTTACAGATGTTATTCCCAACATCGTCCCGTCTCCACAAAGGTGTCGTACTGGTGCCGCAGTTGGCACAACTCAATGCACCAACCGCATTGCGCATCCTCGACCGACCGCTGGGTATAGTTCCACTAACCACAGGCGAGCCTTGTTGTTCAGGAGGTGCTTGCGGAGGCTCCATCATTTGAGGATGTGGGTGCTCAGGAGGCCCGGTGCTGGCTGGAAGGCCGTTTGGGGGCAATGGAGCAGGGGCTCCGTTACCGGGGCCCCCATGAATGGCTGAGACTGCATTATTAAATGTAGGACACCCTGAGCAGGCCGATGTACCGCCCGTACCGTCACAACGACCGTCTCCTGGACATGTTCCTACCAGATGCGGCTTCGGCTGACTTGAATCTGACGACGCTGCTTGATTAGTCTGCAGTGGTTTCTGCTGTTGATGCTGATGCTCAGATGGCGAAGCAGCGGGCGTGAGCATGGCTGGAGGTGAAGCGGACATCCGTTGTCGTTGCTGTGCAACAACGTTTGGATGAGTGGCAGAGGGCGTATTCGAGCTTGTCGACCGTCCACCGAGGTTAGACGGGCGGGGCACTTTCCGAGATTTGTAATAGAGACCTAGTTCGTTATGGAGGACAAACGAAAGTGGGTGTTTGGCGCATTAGGCGAGATGATATGGAATGCGAGTCGTAGCCAGCACGAGATCGCGTGGGGGAGCGGGAGAGGTAGGATGCATAGGAGATGAATTCGTCAGCAATCGTGTTCAGTGTTCATGATGGATAGAAAGTGGGAGGTGCGATAGACATGCGCGAGTGCATTTTGCATCGGCACAGGCTGGCACTCGAGGCGTTTCTGAACGCCGTACCTCGCGATCCCCACGCGCTTAGAGTGTAAGATCGGCGAGGAATCGATATAGATTCTTTGCCTCCGAAGGAACGCTCTCGCTTGGGGGCGCGTATGCACGTGGCGAGTGGGAGGTGACAAGGGACGCGTTCAAAGTGATAGAGAGCATGAGATTAACTCACCACAAGCGTTGCAGATTGCCTTTCCATCTGAATCTCTACGCCACAGCGGTGTGGTGTCAGTCTTGCAATTGGCACAAGTGACAGGGGGTAACGATTGCCCACCAACACCATCGGTGAGGGTAGGATCGATACTGTTCGGATTATGTTGGTTCAGATGGACCAAAGCGGGATCCACCTGCTGTTCCCCTGGGACGCCATTGTGGATCTGAAGCGGCTGCGATTGTACAGCTGGCAGCAGCGAGGGAGATGGCGGTGCTGAAGATTGGTCGTGTCTGGAGTGGTCAGAAGCAGGAGGGGTGTGGATCTGACCATTGTAATGCATGCTTGAGATTGATGACAACCCGGAATGGTGCCCATTCAGCATGGGCGATTCGACAACGAGCGCAGGCATCACGCAATGTTGACCGTGACTAACACCAAGAGACGTTCCGGATGATTAAGCGAGTATAGGAGTACTATTGACTGTGCGATGGAACACGTTCTCGTCGAGGGGAACGACGATGAAGATATGTTCCAGAGAGTGCGGAGAGAAGATGATGAACGACGAGGTCGAAAATGCGGACGGGGAATTGCGCAGGGTGACGGATAGATAATACGGACCAGATAACCCCTCAGCCAATCACGCGACGCCCATTGGCACCTATCACACTCGAATAGTCACCGAGCGCCCCTCTCAATTCCCTCTTTCTGCACTTCGTCGCTCGTTTGCTGCGCACTTTCTCACTCGATTCATTCGTTTTTTCTCTACCTGTGTATGCAAAGTCCCTCTCATTTCCACTGATAAGGGGGGAAGCAGTGGGCCAAGCAACGCTAGATGCAGGCAGCGGACGCCGGGTCACACGAAATCTTATCTTCTAATCTAGACGCCCGTCCAGGGCAACCTCGAATTATCCGAGTCCGTCTCTTCTGCAATTGCTCAACTGCACGAACTCCATTGCCGGAAAACAAGACAGAGATAGCGCGATCATTGCTTCGTGCGTACGTGTCGAGCAGGCCTTTCAGCTACAAGTTGCATGCATTGGAGGATTCTTCCTCGGCACAGTCGAATCTCGCTTAACCTTCAAGGTTCTCCGGAGATCGCTTATCAACGATGCAAAGATTGCTCAGCGACATCATAATCTCTCAAGTCTAGACTTGATTAAGCACGAAAACATTCCCCGCAGCCACTTCATCGCGTCAGCGACTGCCTTTTTGCAGCAGCGACGATCCGACCACCAGAAATTTGCCAAGATTGCACACCTTCCTGACCATTTTAAGCAGAGGTCTTCAATAAACAAGGAGATCTGGTGCAATGGTGTAGAGATAACAACAGAGGCCATTTCCATGAAAACCGGATCTCATATTAGTATGATCGGAGGTTCCAGACATATCAATCCGCCGGGTTCGCTTAGACTCATTTCGTGTGGTGGGCTTCCTGATAAGATAAAACCAGCAAGCGCAATACAGACATGAAGGTCCAGCCAAGGTCACGCTAAAGCGAAGAATGTGAATTATGTGGCCCCATTAAGTGTCAACTGAATGCGATATTAAATGCGATAAACGTAAGGGGAGAGGAGGAAACTACCCCGGAGGTCAGCTGGTGAATATTTGATGAATCATGGGAACAAGAGGGTCTGAGAGGGCTCGGGTACAAGGTCATGTTGTTTGCGATGTGCTTGGGCACACTACACACTGAGACGATCCTTTAAGCGCAGCAGTTTGGCGAGAAGAAGCATCTATTCGGAAGTGTGAGATAGTACAGACGAGCGGGTCATACGATTGCAAACGAGCGAGTAAATGACGCACCATGGGATGCTGAAGGAGGGTGATTATCAGAGGAAGTGACACGCATTAAACACACCGGAACCCCGAGGGTACGATCCAATTGTGCTGGAATCCCTTCGCAATGTCAATTCTCCACTTTAGCGACCGATTAGTTAGCAGCCTCGATCTGGAAATGAGGGCTATCGTTTATAAAAGCATTAAATTGAAAGCACTTTCTAATCAGCACGCCAGAACAAAACCACATAAAAGGCAATTTACACATAACGAAATAGATTCCAGGCTCGACGTCCGGGACCTTTCATTGCACACTTCCAGCATGCAGATGGAAGCCATTGGCAAGCGTAGAAGAGGTCAACCTAACTGGGGTCGAGGGCGTCCTGCGAATCGTAATGTAGCGCTACAAAACATCATTCTTTATCCTTTAATCTAGCAAAAGGCAAACACACTAAACGAAAGTGACCGTCTCTCACCCACCTCCTAAACTGTGTTGGGATCAGGAGAGATGATAGTGTATCATGCGGCTGGAGCGCTGGAGGACAGAAACTCGTAGGCTTGCTCAGTCCTGAAGAGCCCAACTTGAAGCTTTGATGACCGATGTCAAACGCCGTTCTGTTTTAGTATTCGCAGAAAGCCTGCAGTAGTGCTCTCTAATTTGACCGGTTCTCGAACGAGTCAGTAACAAGCAACAGGCGGCATGAGTGTATGCGCGTAAGTTGTCCTTGGACAATGCAACGAAGCTGTCAATCGAGTCGCAGTATGAGATTCTCGGATGTCCAAATCAAAATCAAAATAAAGCACAGTGCATGCCAACTTTGCTAAGAGAGATGCACAAAACTTAATGTTCCACACAACGACGCCAGCAGGATTCGAACCTGCGCCCTCAAAGAGGAACAGATTTCTAATCTGTCGCCGTAACCACTTGGCTATAGCGCCTTGCAAGTTTTTGCCGTTTTATGATTGATTTATAAGAATTTCGAAATTAAATCCACTCAAAATTCATTAAGTCCAACGACCGACACACTGGTTCATGAGGCCTATAATGACACAGAAGCATACACAGCATCATCACTGCTGATGTATTGTGGAAACAGAATGCAGAAATCTGCGTAAGTATTACCGACTTGAAGACCCACAGCAATATAAAGGAGTATGCCACATCAAAACTACCAATCAGTCATCATGGAACCCGCCCATCGCCCGAACAGCTTCTGCTAACCGCTTGTATTCCCTGAGGAGCTCACCCACTTCAGACAACTTTAAATCATCCACGGTGCACTCCAAGAAACGAGGATTCGGAGGCGATATACGAATGGCGACAGGCGAAGCCCCGCGTGAGGATATTGGCGTATCAAAGCGATTCTGTGAAGTAGAATGACCGCTTGATTGATGATGAGGAAGTAAGAGGGAAGACCGCCGCGAGGCCGGTGGGGACTGATGGAAAGTCAGATGTGCTTTGATATCGCCCTCAAATGAAAATACGTACCTTTGCTGAATCGTTTGGCGTGGACTGTGACAGCCTCGAGAGTCCCGGCATACTGGCCAGTCGGTCGGTGAGACTCTTTCGCCCAACTCCACCTGGGCCAGCAGCCATCCGTTTCCTCCTTCTACTCTTACCGCTTCTGCTGCTCATCATACTTTCGAAACTCCTGATACTTCTGGTATCATACTCTTCTTCTTCCTCTTCCTCTGACTCCTCTTCCTCATCCTCATCTTCACTAGCCTCGGAAGAGGAGGTACCATCATCGACACCGACACGTATTGATCTACTGGATCCGGGCCTCGAAGGTACTTCGACAAGCTGTTGACCTGACTCTTCGTCTTTCTTTTGTTTACCGACCGAGCCAGGAAGCGAAGCGGTTAGACTGGCTATGGAGAAACCAGTGTCCCGGCGGAGCAAACCAAAGCCAGCCCTGGATGAGTTCCACGGTGCCGATTCCTGCGTATCGGGTGAAACCACAGTAGCATTCTGCTCAGAACCAGGCAAGAAAGAACGAAGAACTCCAAAAGAGGAGTCGACGACACCCGAGATAACTTTATTTGCGGAGCCAGCAATGGCATCAACTTGCTGTTCCACTCGACCGCGGAGACTTGGTTGGGCAGTTCGAGGAGATGATTGCTCTGAACCGATGGCTTGGCGTAGAGGAATTGGCGTGAGTTCCGCCGCGCTGTACATAACAGGCATCATTAGTACCGTTTCGCAAGACTCGAGAAAATACAGTTGAAAACACATGAGAAGCACGCGTATGCATGAACTTCTCCGTCCCACACATTGTCCAGGCGTGGAAGGTCATGGGTTGACACGCACCTGATCACAGTTTTCTCACTTTCACCCAGCCCGAGTGCAGCTAAATCCACGTTCTCCAAGAATTCCGCTACGGCTAGAAGGTTAATGAGACAGTAACTTTCTTCGCCTCCTATAACTTGGTTCCTGAATCGCTGCGTGTATAGAAGATGAGAAACCAAATGCGGTGGATTGGCTTTCACGACAGAAAAAATCATAAGCGGAAGGATGATGTCTCCAGACACGGGAGTAGGTGTTGTTGGAGGTGCGGGAGATATCGTAAGTTTGGGCGAGGGCGTGCGAAGTGGAACTTCTACAGTCAGACTATGTTGCCGGGCCATAGTGACAACAGTTGAAGAGGTAGTTGTTGAATCCACGACTAGCCCTTTCACTGTATCGGTAGATGTAAAATCGCTGTCTGGTGAAGTGACCATTTCAGTAGAATCAGGAAGTAGTGTCGCCGTCTTGGTATCAATTTGCGGTCGCGGCACTTCAGGCGAAGCGGCATCCTCGTCAGCTTCGGACCTTCTCTTGCCGAATGACGCAGCTCTAGGTGTCTTCTCGTCCAATATCTCATCTTCGTCAGACTTGAGCCTGACCGGAGGAAGTCTTGAAAGACCATCTATGAAAGATTTAATTTCGTACGTATGACAGTAGCGCTGATTGGTGAAACTCACCAACGATGATCTTATGGGCAGCAACGAGTATAGATGCCTTGTCCGCGGGTGCCCTACATGCGGTATCCAGTTGGGTCAAAGCTGAAGCGAGATTAGTATTCATCTACGCCTGCATCAGGTTTTGACTTACTTTCACCACATGCATGAACGACAGCCTCTACTTCTGTACCAGAATTACCAACTTCCACACCAAGGTGAGCAAGCGTGAGATCCAGGAGGTTGACTGCTGCTATTCGGCTAGAAAGTGCTTCGTCGTGACTGGCATCATCAGACGAAGGTTGCAGGAACAGCCTGAATCATGATCAGCATACCATTTACGCCCAAAGAATTGTGACAAACCAGAAACATACCTGTCATAGAACACAGAACAAATTGTTCGCTCAACAGCTTCCAGGACCTCACGCACTCGCTTCTCCTTCTGATCTTCGGCCGTCTCTTCAGGATCCTTCTCCTTCTCATCAAAGACGTCAGCCGTTTTCTCATCTGAACTCGTGTTTGCACTATCCGCAGATGATGAAGTACCTCCGTTGAGATGATGTACAATACCACGACCGAAGCTTCGACCAGGTCCCCACTTCCGTCTCGTCAATTCTTCTTCAAGGTCAGCGTAGAACTCTTGGAATCTTTGACCGATGCCCTCGATGCCGTCATCTGACACAGGTCCAGAGCTAATGACATAACCACCGGCTCCAGCATTGGGAGGAGTAGTATCCTCAGTCTTGCCAAGCTTACCCTTCGATTTCGTCTTCATAAAAGGCATCAAACCAACTTCTGCTACGAAGTCATCTATTCGTTCGGCCACCCAGCTTGGTGCGATACCCAAGTCTGAACGAATCTCAGTATTCAGAGCTCGCAACAAATTCTTGGCAAGATCTCGATGAATGATGCGCTTTGCCATCGTGAAGGCCGGAACGCCAATGACCTGTTCTGTGGACGCGTCCACCGGTTGAACAGAGGCATCTGTAGAAGGAGCTTGAAGAGGTGTAGTAGAGGTAGTAGGACTTGGAGGAGGAGGTGGGGTGGCTGCGCGCCCAAACAGGGAAGCGAAGGGGTTGGAAAGTCTAGAGGCTGCATGCGGTGGCGTACCTGAGGCTGTCAGGGATGAACTACGCACACCGGGACGCGGCGGAAGTGGGGGTTTGGAAGGCGAGGCGGCATGTGCAGTGGGTCGGGGAGGGAGAGGAAGTGAAGGGTGATGTGAAGGGAGGATATATGTTGGGTATACTACATTGGATCCAGATAAGGTCTTGTTGGATGTCGGAGAGGATGAAGGGGAAACGGGTATTGAGGACACGCCCTCAGGGGGAATGGCTGGTGTGAATAACGGAAGGGGAGGAAGCGATGTAAGTGCGGACGCCCTCGTTGCAGGATTAAGAATTGCTTGGAATTGCTTTGACAGCGGGTCGAGAGTGGAACGGATGGTCAACGTCTCTCTAATAGGTTCATAATCAGGCTGCGACAACGTCGCAATGCTTGGGTACTGTGCAACATGAGGGGTACGTACTCTATTAGCGTGCCTCGCAGTCCCGAGAGGGTAATTATGGGGACATTGTTACGGGAAGCACCATCACATAGCACTATGTGATCCCTCAAGAACTCGGGTGTTATCGATTCATTTGGTGCGTGAGCTTCCAGCGGAAGCAATAGAGTAGCCTGCGTACAGAATTCATTCAACGCGCCCACCGCTGATATCATGCTAACGCGTACCTTGTGAACGGAAATGGCATTCCAAATCTCATTCCACTCTGGGCTATGATCAATTTCTGTACCCAGCTTCTCCAAAATCGCCCATCCAATGCTGGCAGCATCAAGACCACCCTTCTGGGCCGCCGCTTTCAAGTTCATGAGTTGCAGTTTACTTGTCGCATCTCCCTGAAACGGGTGATGTTGCGGAGACGCTTGTACAATTGATTGCATTGCCGTGCCAGTAGTTACAGATGCAGGCGCGCCCCGTTGTCTAGGTGTGTATGGTACATATCGTGGTGTAGGGGCCGAGCTGCTGCCTGGAGCTGCATCATGACTTGAGTTTGTCGATGATATTGATGAACCGGATGACGCAAGTACAGTTGGAGCAGTAGGGGACAAGAGAGGATGAGCCGTTAATGACTCATGAGAGGTATTTCGATGGAGCTGAGTGCCTTGCAGTCTACCGATCGAACCAGAAGCAAAGAGACCACTATCGCGCTTTGAAGACATGTTGGTCGTAATGCGAGTCTAACGTTATCGATCTTGCTCGAGTTGGAAGCCTAATTAACAGTAGGTTCTTCTGAGAGTGTCAAACTATGTTCATCGACGTACTCTAGTAATAACTGGTGCGCCACTGAGCTCCCTTCTTCACTGCTGACTGTCGCGATCGACCTGGGTATGTTAACCGAACGGCTTTCGGTTCTCTCGCTCTAATGAGGCTCTAACTACAGTTCAAACAATCAATCGTATAAAGAATCAATATAAAGGTGTGTTGCAAGGATAAATGCATACAACGTACCCGCTTCTCGTCGTGGTCAAGAGTGTTGGCACAGCGCCTAACGTAATACCTCTCAATATCATGAGCGCTTGTGTCGGAATGCTCTTCTTTTGACAATTTTGAGTCCGGATTTGCTTTTGCGAAGCCCTGTCACTCCAAGCGAGCTCGCCGCCGCCATGCTGCTTCGACATTGCTCGGCGGCTGCGTAGGTTGTACAGCGACATCCACCACCGCCCAACATTTAGTCGGAAAGGGGAGGTACGATGGACGGCGAATCACCGAAACCGTCGATCACGACCCCGCGCCTTCCCGATGTTAATCACAAAGGGCACAATGGATTTTTCGATTCAGTGGCTCAGACGTTTCATGGGAAAGCCAAAAATGCACGTGAACTAAATCCGGGGGCATCAAAGTTAGATATTGAGCATATCGAGGATCGAATGTTGCGAGATACCATGGAGCGCCATCGTTTCGTTGGCGATTTCATGGAAATCCGAGGCTCGTATTTCCCAAAGTTCGTTGTCTTCTCAAGTCGAATAACATGTTCTGATTTGAAACTGACTTTTTTTTTGAATTCGTTCCAGCCTTGAAGAGATGAAAGAGGCTAATGATGCACCTGAGACTGCCTCGGCGTTGTTGGCAGAGATCAAGGGAATGCGACAACGCCATCGAGATGATGTATCGACCCTGTACGATTGGCAAACACAGGATTATTTGGCTGAGGCTATGGATCAATATGCCTCTAAAGACGATGCCATCACCCTCGCAGAAGTTGAGGTTTGTGTTTCCGATCCATGCCTTGAGGCATATATCGAACTGTGATCCCCCATCTAGCGATTCTACCAAACCTTACATCGACCAGATATACCGTCTCAATCTGCATACAACTCGCAACTGGAGGCACTGCGTTACGGACATGTCAAGACTTTGATCCCCTTCGTGCGGCACTACAACGAGGTCCTATCAAAGGAACAGGAAGCGAAACGTAGGCGTGATAATCACTTCCCCAAGAACCTTGATGAGTTCCGCAAGCTACCGAACAAAGACTTACAATACAAGATCGCAAAGTTCTTAACGTTGGACGTCCTTGCGCAAGATAAGTTGTTGCAGAAGTATGGCTGGACTTGGCCGAAACTCAAAGCCCTCGACGACCAATGGAATACTAATGTGAGGAGAACACTTCGATTCGTTACATGTGTGTGAGGGTTCTAACTTGTATCTTTGTTCGTCCAGCCTCAGTTCAAGATAGAGATTCAGACTGTCGTTCAAGAGTGGGAAAGCAACAACCCAACAACGGCCAGACTTCATCAATGATTCAGCAGTTCGTCCTCACATCCAGGATCCAGGGGGTTCTTTTCGTTTCACGTATGTATGTATCGCCGGTTATATGTGAGTCGCCGTATCGCTCAACTTCGACCAGTTGCTGATTTGAGTCAAGATGTACATGTCTGAGAAGCCCCTTGTTGAAATTCCTCTCATCTTCTATCTCTATCTGCATTGTTTTCATCCTTGTCCTTGCTCGCTGTAACAATCCCTTTGACAAGCTCGCCACGTACACCAGGATACTCACGCCTGACATTCGGTTTGATACATGCTCCACTTTTGTCCAAACTGCATCACGGCTTCGACCCCTCTCGCCCATCGCCGAAAACCTGAGAGCTAAAAAAATTCAGTGAAGCTCTCGTCATATATGTCCATCACGGCCCTGACTGTTCGGTGAAGCATCATGATCGATGGAATTGGAAGTAAGGTTTGGTCTTGATCGACTGATGTCAATATCGTCGTTCGTCTCAGGAAGCAGAAGCAAATCAAGATGCGAGATCACATTCATGCCTACGGCGCGGACATAACGGTGCAACACAAACACAGGTTAGAGGAGAAAATGCTGATGTCTGTTGCAGTCAAGCACAAACCGGTGATGCAAGTTCTCCAAAGCTGTTCTCTGCTTGTTCCATTTGAATCTCGACTGACCCTCGCAGATACTTCCCTTCCATTTCGTGTTCGGGTTCGCGATCGTGATCGTGTTCGGAGCAGGACTGAGGCAAATTGATTATTGACCTGAGCGCGTCTACGCCGCTCCCTGTGTAGGTCGATGAGAGGCGTCAAAGTTGACATCTTTCGTCATGTATAGCCTGATGCCGATGCAAATCCCTCTGTGCAAAATCATCCCTGTGATGGTTCCAACATTGCGATTTCATCGCAATTTCTCTGCATCGATCACTGTTGTTGATTAAGGGATTATTCGATGGTTACGCAGATAAGTGACCGGAACTTCAGTTGTCCGGTGTTATTCTAATATGTAGTTCGAAGCACGAGGACACAAAACTAAGTCCGAGGTTGTGCTCGTTGCATTACTGATTTTGTTATGCATGTGGCGTAAGACCCTACATTTCCCCAAGGACGTATGCCCGTTTTCGCCATGCATCTTAACCAACCAGGTGGTTCGGATTCCCGTTCTGGCCTCTATTATTCATGAGCATACTATTCCGGGACGGCTTTGAGTCACCCTCAGAGCCGGAGGTGGTACACTTGTGGGATATTACGAGCACAATCCCGTCTTACTGAATTGACAACGACGCCGAGAGAGCCCAGGTGCCACATGCAGGCTTCTGAGAAGAGGTTCGGTGTCGTAACACTTCCCGGCTTTACTGAATTAAGAGTGACCGCATGAGCGGAACTTCCTTCATGCCTTGGATATCGGAGTCATGATGTCGAATGGGCCTGCTCAACTATTTAAACATTGCACGAGTTCACTCTCAAGACAATTGTCATTTGCGTGCCTGAATATGCAGAATAGATAACAGGGTTTTCGAACGTGCCATGTGGTTATTATCTATGCGACTTACCAGACGGGTGAACCCGCCGGTGGCCACGTGTGAGGGTTCCCCGCACAGCTGGGTATGCCACCATCGCCACAACACTTTCTGCCGTTAACCGAAACACATCATGCTTGGACTGTTACTATCGTTGGTGCAGACTGCAGGTCCGTGTGCATTCTCGCAACTTTCCCTGCAGCATCTATGATGAACGATGTGTGTTGGCAATCTGGGCGAAAGCTGTCAAGGGTCGCAGTTACCGGCATTCGGTTGCCGCCATTACGGGATATTCGACTCATTCGCCCAGTCAGAATGGCGCGCTGTAACCCCGGGCGTGTGCACTATAAGATGGGCCCGTGGCAATCTAAGTCTGTTTCAAACTCATCTAGCCGATTGACCTGTTTGTTCTGGTCGTAATATCGTTCTCCTCATTCAACGTTTCAGCCTCTTGCGAGTCGCTCGCGTTGCCTTTGGGACTACTTCGGCGTATTGCGCAGCCCCGGTCGTTTACTCAATTCGGAGAGAGCTTATATATATCTTGTCGAGAGAAACCTCTGTATAGAACACATCCCGATCCATTTACCTTCTCCAGTTCTGCGGCCAGTTCGGAGCGCGGCTAGTCTCTGCCTACTTAGCCTTAGCCCGCAGTCGGAGGCCAACGTTCCACCACTCTCTCTCCTATCCTCTCACTTCCATCTCATCACCCTCAGCACCGCCGTAGGCGCTTTCAGAGCAGTTGCTAACTATCACGATGCAAAATCCACCTCCGTACGACAGAGCATGCGCTGTGGGACAAACCTCTATCATGAGGTCTTCCGCTCGGTGGGCCAAGCCTAGCCCTATAATAGTAAGTACTCCTGTCTCGTTTGCAAATTGCCCGGTCTCACCTTCTTTCCTCCCTCTCATGCAGACGTCGTCCCTGCAATATACGCCACCTCCCTCACCTGCAGACGTGCCAACGGCAGTATCAACATTGCTTGGACTTACGAAACAGCTTCAAGAAGTCCTTCGACTATGGAGTGTACATCAAGCTACGGAGTCGCAAGTCAGTGATGCCTATATTCTGGTTGGCATGCAGTTTAACGCGACTGTCAATGCGTTTGCACGACACCACGTCGATATGAGGTGAGCTCTCTGTTTCCTCTGTACGCCTGGGACAATGGGGATATGCAAGCGCCTGCTGGCAAGCGTACCGACTTGGCCGGACGTTCGCACATTGGAGGACGGTTGCTTTGCGCTGCCGTTCAGAAGCTCCGACCTCTAGTCGGACCTTTTCTTCCATATCGAACTTCTCGAAGTCCTCGTCCTTCCTGCCTAATCGGGCTTCTTCCAATTTATACCGGATGAACGATGTTAACGGATCTCTTTGAAACAGTGACCTCTTTTCTGTACCAACGGAATTGCGCACTGTGCTCGAGACATGTCTCGGAGAGGAACAATCTCCGAGGACATTAGAGCGATACATGCCCGAAATCCGTACTGTTCTGTACAACCTTCTGCAAGGTCTACAAAGCAAACAGGGTCCATACCGAAAGTCAATGGAGACCCATCGGGGCGCTGGTGATCCGCGTTGGACAATGTCGCCCATCATGGAGGACTTCAAGAGACGCAGTGGTGGGCGATCGGGTTAAAGAAAGTTCAGGGTGTATTGGAGACGCCACACCGATCCGGAGCGCATCTTTCGCGCAATCCACAAATCCCTCGCTTCAGGCCTTCTTGTTTTGCTGGACGCCTTCGAACTCGTACTATATGGTTACCCCGCGACATGACACGATGCACATACCATGAAGTCGGATAGGACTGGATAGGAAGAGGAGGAGAAGAAGAGAACGTTGCAGTGGTGTTCATATGCAGTCAACTGCAAGACAGTTGTCCCTTGTTTGATGCTTGGCCTCACTGTCCGGTTGACACCGGAGTATATCTATTGACTTCCAAGTTCCTTGCACACTAATCGAGACATATCCTAATGCAATCGTAAGTGTAGCGTAGAAGGGGGATGATACTACATAGTAATCTGTATTGTTATAGCACTCATCGTATCCGTACTATTTGTATATCAGGAGCGTATACTGCTTTGCTTGCTTTTAGCTTATCGACTGTGACTCAACTTTTACGAAAGTCCGGGGTAAGTCTGAGAACTATAATTGACGTGCATGACCTAAGTCCGGACCAGAGCTTATCCAGCCAAGGCCTGACGCCAAGACGTATGTGGAGATAACGTCAATGTGCACAATATTTTGTTTGACAGCGGCATACTCCCAAGCACGGACACAAGAAAGAATGGTGGTCGCGGTCGAACGCGTGTCGCGTCCCAGTCGATCGACATGAAACACTGAGCGCTTCAAAGCGGCCATTACCGACTTCCCAAAATGGCAGGTATTGTAAACTCTCGAGCTTCTCCGTCCTTCTAAGTTCTCCGAGCACGACAACGACATACTGTACGTTGTCCCAGATCATTGACCTCAATGACAGGCGATGTTTCTATCACATGTTACAGGTTGTGAATGAATGGTTATTTCAGAACATCCTTATCTCGATGGATGGTGGAAGTGTCTTTGTATCAGGTAAGCAAATGTTATTGTCTTGACGCTTTCAATCTGTGCTTAATTCTCCACCTGGAATTCTCTATCGAATATTGTAGTCATAACATTCATGTCTCTACATTATGCTGCACACTATACTGCCGGTATTGTTTGACGAGTCCGAGGCTGTTGCTTGACGTAACAGCACTCAATAGAATGAACTATTTCCCCACGGACCCTCGCATACGAAGCACCTCTCTTGGTATATGCTTTACGGCCAACCTTCGGACATAGCTTTGTCTTGGCGATGTCATCCGGTGTTATTTAGTCTCAGTTTCTCCATGAAGTTGAGGCAGTGCTTTCACTCGACTTTAAACAAACAGCGTGTCTTAGACTGCTCTTACGAGGATGTGTATAAAAGCACCCGTTGACAGGTATCTGAGACCAGTTTTCTACATGCTGGTTTCTAAGTGCTAATTCTTATACCTATTCAGTTGTATCTCATCCCAACCTTCATGAAGCTCTCCGTTGCGCTCGTACTGTTCGCCACTCAGCTTGTCGTATCTGCGTCCCCCGTTGCTAGTGATGATGAAGGACTTTCCATTCCTCTTACCAAGCGTGCACAATTAACCACAGATGGTATTGTTGATCTTACTGCGGTGAAGGCAAACCTTGCCTTCGCTCATGCGTAAGTATCTCTTCCTCTTCTCGTGGAGAGACCCTCTAACATTTGTCGTGTTCGCGCCTGCAGGAAATATGAACGCGGCTTTCGCCAGTACCGCATGAATGTCGGCGTGGACCATCCTTTGGCCGCGGGATTCGCACTAACGAATCTAACGGCGGACCTAACCAAACGCGACGTTGGCGAGATGCCTCTCAATGAACAGAACGGGGGTCAACTCTGGCAGGGCATCATCACTGTTGGTACACCTGCTCAGGAGTACACCATCGACTTTGACACGGGTAGCAGTGACCTGTTCCTCCCTGCTGCGGCCTGCAATGCTAGCTGCGACGGACACAAACGTTATGACCCTACGAATAGTTCTACTTCCCAAAGTCGTGAATTAACGTTCCGCCTTCGTTACGGTGACGGTTCCACAGTTAGTGGAGACCAGTATAATGATACCGTCGGCATCGGTATCCTTAACGTGCGTTTTGAAATCTCAGATTGTTTCGGCGCCGCCTGATTCTAAGTCTTTTTTTAAAAACCTTATTAGGCTATCAATCAGGCTCTGGGGGCTGCCACTGTCTATTCTGGATTCGACAAGAATCAATTCCCGCCCGACGGTTTAATGGGCATGGCTTATCGTTCTATTGCTGTCCTTGATGCGGACCCAGTAGTTCAAACTCTGATCGCTCAGGGGAAGACCACTGACCCCGTCTTCGCTTTCAAGCTCACTAGCGTTGGTGCTGAGCTTTCCGTCGGTTCGATTAACAATACGTTGTACACTGGTGACTTCACTCAAGTTCCAGTAACCAGACAAGTACGTGTACTTCCAATTTTCGGACGAAATCCAGTTAACATATGTGATTTCAGGCTTATTGGGAAGTAAATATGGATGGGATCCTGATAAATGCAACGCAGGTGGTTGACCAACGATCCGCTATCATCGATACTGGCACAACTCTCGTCATTGGTGACCCTAAGGGTGTTCAGAGTCTCTGGGACTCGGTCCCGGGCGCAAAGAATGCTTCAGAGACAATAGGTCTGCCAGGTTTCTACACCTTCCCTTGCGATCCCCCTCCTCGAATAGAGTTCATTTTTGGATGCAAGGCGTTCTTGCTTTCGCCAAAGACGTACAACCTTGGCAGGGTCAGTGCGGGGTCACCTGATTGCGTCGGAGGAATTGTGGCTCAAAGTGGTTTGTCTTTCTGGGCTGTTGGAGATGTTTTCTTGCAGAATGTTTACACCTCTTTCGACTTTGGGAGCAACAGCGTTGGATTTGCTGATCTCGCGTAGGACTATGAGTCTTGACAGGATTTTCACAAGTACATGATAGCAAGGTTCATTTATATAAGACGCTATCTGCCATGGTGGTAATGCCATACATCCCTCCTTTGAAATTTCTAATTATTATACATACAGTAGCTTTCACCCAAGCGGCTCATTCAAATTCAATTTGATTTGTGGCGCTTACTGTGTTTGGCAATGACCATCACCTTTACAGCTGCTTCGATATGTGGCAATGGAGAGCAAAAACAGTCTGGTCTTGTGCACAAGTTGATATCCCCGAAGTCCCCATTCCGTAGATGCCCCCCTTTCCCCCAACTCCCCTCCGAAGATGTAAGCAGTTCATTTCAGTACTGCAACTCTTGCTTTAGAGGTTTTCAGACCAGCGTCCAAATCACAAAGTACCGAACTTAGCTCGATACATTGGTCACCATCCAGGTCGATCTTCGGTCAGGACACTCCGCTTTCATTAAACTTGTGCCTATCACAAAATTCGTACTCTTGGTAGTTCAGCATCTGTGATGTCTAGAGAGGCCCGGTCGGCTGTACCTGCCTATGTCTTCTGCAACAGGTATATAAGGCACTCGACTATGGCTCGGATAGTACCTCACCAAATCTTCAAAATATTTCTGACTTTCTTTCAATGGTACCCCTCGCCACCTTATTCATTGGCCTCGCTGCCATGGCCTTCAGTGATGCTGCTGCGAGCCTTCCCAACGTCTCTCGTATACCTGGACATTTTTACCCTATCATCAGTCCTAATGCCAGTACGGCGTGGAATGTTGGTGAAACCGCTACATTCGTCTGGTACCATGATTCATATCATCTATGTTTTTATTTTTTTTCCTTGACATTCATTATTTAGGAACGCCTCGACCATCTCCCAGGACACCTTTGATCCTAGCTGGGTTGATCTATATCATAGCCCTGAAGGATTCGCTGTATCCGTTGCACGGCTAGCAGACGATTTTGATCTACGCACGGGAAGCGTTCAGTTTGTGGTACCCAATGCGGAGCCAGGTGACTACTTCGTCATGTGTAAGCTGCATTCGAGGGTATCTTGATGTTGGCAATTGACGTATACAAATCTAGTCAATGCCTGGGCTAACAGCAGCCCTCATTTCCGGATTGCAGCTGCCAACTGAGAATTTTATACGGGTGAGCCATTGTATTAGCATTGCCGCTATGTTCGTAGACTTTCTCAAACGACTAGATCAGTTTTTCATGCACCTTCTTCTGGCTACGTCAGTCGGTCTGACAAGCTTTGCCTCAAATGGACCGCATGTGTATGAATGAAAGTTTATCCAATGTCATCACAATCAAGGTGAGGGATCGCACTAAACACGTTTTAGTACGCGATAGTATGGCAACCACCGAACTGTTATTGATGTTTCGGCAGATAGAACATTGCCTTGGCAAGAACAGCTGGATGGGAACATAACGTCTACCACCAAAAGCCTGTTGTGTCAAAGAAGGTGGGTGAAGATATTTACATTTCACTTCAATGTGCGTTACAAATCTACCACTCAAACGTTTCATCTTCCAAATCGTCCTCCCTCAGGAGGTCGAACTGCGTGACGTCAGCCTTCAATAATATCTCCTTCAAGGTCATACTATTACCCTCATACACCTCTTCCTCGTCCTCGGCTACCAACGCCTCATCATGACTATCCAGGCTAAGGCGAGGCAATGGCACGGTCATCGCTCGCTCATGGCTTTCCATGTCAAATGAGGGCCTTGGAACGGACATCTTCGTATTAGATAGAGGCGTTAGAGGCGTCCCCTTGGTAATCTTTGGTCGAGGGGTCCCACAAAGATCTGTCTCGGCAGACGAGGTTGAATCATTCATGGCCTCGTTTGCGAACTATGTTGATGATTATTAATTATCACTACGTCGGCAGGGATGCTCACGTACCCTTTCGAAATCTTCATCAATGTAAGTGCCCGTCTTTCGTCTTACGAACGCAGACGAGCGTCTGGCTCTACCTCGCATGAGAGCATTAGATTTGCGTCCGGCCTTCTTCAGTGACTTTCTTTGATTCGCATCGGAAGGGTCTGCAATATGTGAGCTAGACATTGGTCGCGATGGCAGATGCGGTATTTTGGAACCCGCGATTGCCATCGTGCATTGAGAGTCAGCCCGCGTAATGGTGATGGCTGGCTTGCGAACATTAGTGGCTTGCGGTAAACGGGTAGCGAGCTTCGGAGACGGAGGTGGAGATGGAGAAGGCTCGGAATATAGATCTGGAGTCGAAGGCCAAGCTGGGAGATTGTCACGAGTATCAACGATGCGAGCTTCCAGCTTCGATTGGTGGTCAAGCGTGGTCGAGTTACCCGAAACAAAGGATTTGAACACAACCTGAACATTAGTATTCGACGGGGTGGAAAGATCCAGACGAAACCTAGTAACATGAGAATCTACCGGTTTCGAAGCCTGTAGCTTGGCCTCTAGCTCTGCTGCTTGTCTCTGTGCATTAGTCAGAGCTTCTCGTAAGGCTTGTTGCTTCTGTGCTTCATTCTTGAGACGTTCCGCAATCAGAGGCAAGGTGTTGTCATGAGAAAGAGCATCTGAGTCTGCAGTTTCGGAGGACCTTTGAAGAGAGTTTGGGAGGACTGGTTGACGTAGACCTTTCAGATGCGTTGGATGGTGAGCAGCTGCAATAGGCAGAGGCGGTGATGGAGTTACAATTGACTTCGAAGGGCAGCATAGAGGGTTGAGAAGTTTGATGACCAATAAATACAGGAGGGTTACCTTTGGGTCCACGGCCGCAGAATTGAGATGCTCTGTATCGGATGATTCAGCACTTATGTTATTTCGTGAGGACACCTGATTCTTCAAGGGTAATCCTAGAATGCTCAAAACAAGGTCTAGGGCGTTCGCATTTACGCCTTCCATCCAGTGCGCTTCCCGAATGTCTCGGACTCTTGAATCTTGAACGGCCAGAAGTTTATCGGTGGGGATGTTTATATATTTTGAGCCGGACCCCTCTTCAGGGTTATTTAACATTGACTATACTGTCAAATGAGTAGGAATACAATAGATTATGAACAATTACGTACCCGAAGGGCGGTGAGCGCATCCTGACGGCAGGTAAGGTCATTAGCTGAGTGTTCCCAAACTCTTCGTGAGTCTTTGAAAGCGGCTAAAGCTTTTGAATATGCATCGATTTGGCCTAGTATGGCTTCCTAGAGCGAGTCAGACAAGGCCGCAAAAATGGATGGTGAAAGATGGTTACTTACGTGACTAGTAACGGTGAGTTCTGACAAAGCTGAACCCAAGAATTCATTGGGCGTGCATTTGAGCAATGCTTGAGTAGAAAGAGCCAACATAAGCTTTTCAAACCTGAAGGGAACTCGGTGAGGATGGCCAAAGAAGAGAGCTTGCGTTGGAACCTACCTCTCTCCGCCGCACTCCTCAAGGGTAGACTTCCGAATAATAACTTCTTTCCACCACCATGCGGCTTTCGATGATGCATTGGCATTGGACGTGGGATCCGCTACAGGTGATCGCAGAGCGTCGGATTTCAGCGTCTCCATGTACTTTGTGAGTGTTGTCCGAAAGGCCACAGTATCCGATGGCTGTGTGCATGGATACGTTGGAAATATCTGCAGTTTTCAGTATGTCAACATGAATGTTTAAGATAGACGAAATAATACGTGACCTTCTTCAGGTTCGAAGACTGTCCTTCTATCTTGCCTACCAAGAAATAACAAATATCTTCCATGCTTTTGCTGCGATCACGGATACCTCGTTTGCTCGCATTGAAAATATGTTCATCGTACCCAACGTTACCTGGCTGGGCGGGGAAATTCAATAGATGGAGATGAATGAGAAGGACTAGGGAATTAGGCAGGGAGATAACGCGTTCCGACATGTTACAACCAATATCAAGTCGGAAGAGTCTATGTAGAAAGAGGGACTAGCAGTAAAACGTTTTTGTGGATGTTCTAGTAAGTGATCCTCGCAGTCATGAACGGAGAACCGATGTTCATTGAATCCGTGAACTGCGTTTCAATGTCGAATTTGGCCAAGATCTACATGGTCTTGCATAAGCCGCTGGGTTTGAACACCCTAGTGGTAAGCCGTAGTGTGTAATAGAAATAAGCGGCATTTGTCTAGTTGAACCAATCAACTTCGGTATACATAAGCAATCGCCACGATCAAGAATTTTGCTTACTGACACTAGGCCTCAATATTTGGAAAGCAACCACAACAGAAACGTATAAAGGCCGAATGATATCGAGGTACCATGATTACCCATTTCCTTAGATCCCCTCAATATTTCTCACCATGTCCAAGAAAAACGATGATCGCAAAAACGTTGTCATAGTCGGAGGCGGCTGGGCTGGTCACCTCCTCGCCAAAGCCCTCTCCGCCAAACTCGACCCGTCAAGATATAACCTGATTTTGGTCACTGCCCGCGAATCCTTCATCCATCTGATTGCTGCCGCTCGCATGGTAGTTACCTCTGAAGGAGATCTCGAGAACCAAGCTATCATTCCGTACGACCGCTTGTTTGTTAATGGGAACGGCACTCATGTCGTTGGTGCTGTGACTGCCATCGACGAGGTTGCTCCAGGAAAGGGAGGCAATGTTGTCTTGAATAATGGCGAAAAGATACACTACGACGTCCTCGCGTTGGCTACCGGTTCTACCTGGCCGGGGCCTATAAACTTCCCTGACTCGGATGCCGACGCAATTGCGTCCATCAAGGACTGGCGAAACAAGATCGCCAATGCAAAGCATGTGGTCATTGTTGGCGGAGGGCCTGTCGGTATCGGTGAGTCTTCCTCATGCTCTTAACTGCTATACCAGTCGAACCTCGCACATGATCTCTTTCAGAAACTGCTGGCGAAATCAAGGATGCTTATCCGGTAAGAACATCCCCTACATCGTAATTTGAGATGATGTATAACATTCTGTTTAGGATAAGAAAGTAACACTCGTGCATTCGGAGAAGCAGCTCGTCACCGATACATACCCAGACAGATGGCGCCAAGACATCGAATGGCGGGTGCGCAAGCGCGGTATTGACTTGATTCTGGATGATAGGATCGACTCATTCCCAGCTCCAGGAACCATTGGTGTCACTACTCATAACGGCAAAGAATTGCCAGACGCGGAGCTCGTCGTGAGTGTCTATCTGTAAGGCTCAGCGTGATAATATGACTTAAGAATGATAACAGATTCCCTCATACGGCCCTAGACCAAACACGGCATACATCGCCTCGCTGGATCCTAGCGTCCTAACAGAGCAGGGTTTCGTCAAGGTCAATCCAACTTTAGAGATTGTCAATCACCCAGGTGTATTCGCGCTTGGAGATATTATTGACTGGCGCGAGCAAAAGCAAGCCGCAAAGGCTGGCAATGGTCATGTTCCCGTCGTTGCTACCAACATACAGGGCTACATCGCTGGTCAGCCATTGAACAAGATCTACAAGGGAAGTCCAGAAATGATCTTGGTTCCTCTTGGAAGGGTGAGTGCTTTGCTGTCTCTTCTACACGAGTGCGTCGCGGGTGACACGAGTTCTGCAGAGCGGGGGCTCAGGTTATATTGGCCTTCTTTGGGGTATCGTCGTGGGCGATTGGGTGACGAGATGGTTGAAGGGCAAGACACTTATGGTACCCGCGGTTAGAAAACAGTTCGGATTATCGTAGACATTTGCCATTTTTCGTATTGCTTGTTCTTTATGCTCACCTACCAGTAGTATACACTATCGTGTTCATGATTGTGGTTCAATCCGTTAGCACTCCTCAATTTCGAGCGAGAAAGGTTCAAAAGGTTCAAGGTGTTTGGATGAGTGCTCCTGTTGAGGCTGGCGTCGATGAAAGTTAGTGACCGCGTAAAAAGAGGTTTGCAGACTATGAAAAATAGTGCATCGGCCGTATCGTATTAGAAATAAACAAGGATGTCCACATACCACTGGAATGGTTGAACGGACGGGTGAAAGCAGGAAATTGATATAACCCACTTCAAAATGCAACATCCCTGTCCTTTGTGAGGTACTGTATCAATATTTGGAGGGGAATGTGGCATTATGGTTAGCAATAACATGTTGACATGTAGGAACATCTTACAGTTCGAAAGCAAAGTGAAGGGTGAAAATAGGAAATTATGTACATTCCACTCGTAGTCCCAAAAACATTCCAACATCTATATGGCCAACGCCGGGGTCGAACCGGCGACCTTGGCGTAATCAAATATTAGCACCACGCTCTAACCAACTGAGCTAGCCGGCCATTAAATAGAAATGGCATCTTATTTATCATAAAGCCTGTCATGTTCACCAACTTAGGTTACAAGTTGTTACAATGTTACGGCTTGAACAGCAGACACTACATCCCGTCTGTAATGCGCATTTTGTCCTGGAATATAGTAAGCAGCATGCGACAGACTTTTCATTCTTCATGAAGATGATCGTGCTTTAGAATGGGATCCGTACGCTTCCTCAATATCACCCGTGAGCTGACCTTCCCCAGTGCTACGAATTTATGGATGATTGAAGCATTAGACTAGCTGGAATTCGTTCAAAGACTGCAATGCCATCCTAGAAGAACTTCATGCGGATATCATTTGTTTTCAAGGTATGCTCATTCCTCCCGGCTCATCTACCAGGCTAACGTTACTATAGAAATGAAGTCGTCGCGTTTAGGCCTACCGCGCGACGTCGCGCTACCTCAGAACTTCGCTTCTTTCTTCTCATTTCCTGTGGTGAAAGGAGGCTATAGTGGCGTGGCTGTCTACACCGACTCTCGCAAAGTGATTCCGCTCAAAGCCGAGGAAGGCCTTTCAGGCAAGGTTCAACCAAAGCCACCCTTGACCTCAGAAGAACGCATTTCGCCGTCCTATCCCTCCGTAGATGACATCCAAGCCTTTCCGGATGAAGAGGACAATGTGCCTTCATCGTTTGAAGCGCTTGATGCGGAAGGACGTGCACTAGTTGTCGACTTTGGGCTCTTTGTGCTCATAAACGTGTATTGTCCCAACGAAACTTCCGACGCTCGGTTGGCATTCAAGATGAACTACCATCTACTATTACAAGAACGGGTTAGGAGACTCGTGGACGTGGAGCATCGCGAAGTCATCGTCGTCGGTGACATCAATATATGCGCGACGCCGTTGGACCATTGCGATGGACATCTCCCTAGTAACGCCAACACTTTCTGGGAACATCCTGCGAGGGCATGGTTTCACAAGTGGCTCGATCCGAACGGTCCGATGATTGATATAGTCCGCTCATTCTGGCCCGGTCGAAAAGGGTTGTATACTTGTAGGTCCCCTAACGAATAGCTCTGGCCATGAGTACGACTGATTACTATCAAGGTTGGAATACACGCATATCCGCGCGTGAGACAAACTACGGCACTCGCGTTGATTACATCCTTGTTACTCGTGGACTCCTGAAGTGGATAAAACATGGTGATATCCAGCCCTCGCTGAAAGGTTCTGATCACTGTCCAATATACATTGACCTTCACGATGAGATCACCCTCGATTCCGGCGAGACTCTTGCACTACGCGATGCCATGCAACAGGGAAGTTCAAAACGCGAGCTTCCAAGGATAGCGGCGAAGAACTGGGAAGAGTTTTCTAGGAAGCAGACTCTTTTGTCTAGTTTCTTTGGAAAGAAAGGAGGCACCGCTGCTTTACCGTCCGATCCGGGGCCCTCGCTTTCTCAGCCCAGCTCGACACCTGAAAGGACTACATTGCGCTCTGATACTTTCAATGGTGGCTCTACACTTCCCGATCCCGATTCCGGACCCTCAAACTCTCAGCCGAAAGCGGGCAAGTCGACAGTGCCAGCCGGCACAACGAAGAAACGCAAATCTTCAGAACCAAACTCCTCTCTATCCTCAAAAAGGAGGAAAGGCCGAGCCGGCCAACCAAACATCTCCACCTTCTTTTCAAAAGGAACCACGTCTCGGTCTCCTGAAGAAAAAGACGTAATCGATATTCCCTCCGACCCAGAAGAGGAATTGACTATGGACCCTCCACCCAGTGCTTCACAGGACCAGGACCAACTTGATGCAGACTATCGCCTGGCGTTGCAGCTTTCAGAAGAAGGACCTGCACCACCGCCAGAGCTGTCATCATCTCAGAGCAAGGCCGCTTGGTCATCCCTTTTCACCCCTATGCCTCCGCCGAAGTGTCTCGTCCATGGTGAGCCTGCGAAGAAATACACTGTCAACAAACCAGGCCCGAATAAGGGTCGGACGTTTTACCTGTGCTCTAGGTGCGTAATTCTTCAGTCGTTACAATGAGATATGTCAGCTGGTGCTAATGTCGATGGATGCAGACCGGTGGGTCCTGGGTACGATAAGGGCAAAAGCGAACGTCCGAGAGACGAAGTCGACCACCAATATCGTTGTAACTATTTCAAGTGGGCGAGCGAAGTGAAACGCGATGCCTCGTCCTCAGGAAAGGGCAATGTCACCGTTACCATTGTCTAACCTTCCACTGTCTACTGTCTTGGTTTTTTCTTGTTTGTTCGTATGATACCTTACCTTTGGACCCTGTTATTGTTTTCGTTGCATCTTCGTTCTGTCGCTTTTCGCACACACACTCGCATCTTGGATTTTTGCATGTTATGATATGTAATATATATATGTTGGAATCGGTATACAGAGAGATGGGTTCACGTTGTACAAGAACATCATAGATTGGAAAGTCCAGAACTGAAAACGATGGAGGTCAGCGGGAGGTTACGCAAACAGCTTATGGGTGTAGAAGAAGGATATCGACCATCGTATAAGTTCATGAAGACGAGTTCATCAAACGGTTCTGCTTTTTCGCCGTACCGATTGTGGTGTTGTTGACCTAGAATACATCAGTGAGAATTGCATTAAAGGAGTGCACAAATTAGGAGAGTTCTCTTACCTTTGTTGCGAAGCGCAGCGAACAGAGGGACTCATTAAGGTGAGACGCGAGCGGCGACAGGTTCAATACCATCTATACGAAAGTGAATCTCAATACGTAGAATAATCCAGGATGTCGTACGTGCTTACCAGAGTTTTCGAGTTTCCGCTCAGGGAGTTTTGCAAGAGGTACGTTAGCTACGTTCGTCAATCAACACGTCGATCATCATCATGGGGGGTCTGCTGAACCACTCTGCTCACCTTGGAATTCCGATAAGGAATATGTTTGTCACCTTTTCCTTCACCCCTCTCTCCAAGTGCAGCGATAACGTCCCCAAGGGCGCTCAAACTCTTGTTAATACTCTGCGTCTCTTTCAACCTATCCTTATCATTCCCAGCTCCGCTCTTCTCCAACCGCTCACTACCCGCCAAGTCAACCAAATTCAAACTCCCCTCACACGTCTCGCCGGTAAGTCTGTTCTCACCCATGATCCTCAAGGTAAAGACGGAATGAGAACGTGAGGAACGTTCGTTCATGAGTGTGGAAGCTACGGTGCGGCGGGATTGGGCGATAGAGAGGAGGGAGCGGACTTGATTGGCAGAGGTGAGAGGAACGACGTCCACGTCTGTGACAGTTGTACGGCCGGACTTGTCGTGCTTGATTTCATGCTTCTTCTTGTCGAACTCGGCTTTGCCGAGCAAGTCATTGATAGTCTCGTTATACTGATATCAAATATCAGTACAAACTACTCATCGTGGCAGGAAGCAGAGCACGCGTACGATCTCGAGCATTTGACCTTCCATCTTGTACTCCCAGCCTTTGTTCTGCAGCTCTTCCGTAACTGCGAAGACCTGTTCGACTGCACGAGGAATCATGCCCGCGGTGGCCTCGGTCTAGACAAAGTCGTAAGCCTGAGAATGACTGGCGAGGTACTTCTTCACATACCGGGCCACCTTCCATAGTGAAGGACTTGCCAGAGCCGGTTTGACCATACGCGAATACGCAAACATTGTATCCGTCTGTACAGCTTTGTGCGAGCTGTGAGATATCCTCGAATACCTCGGCTTGACTCGAGTGTGGTTCAAACACCTGATGCAAACGTCAGAGACGTTATATACATGGCCAAGGGAAAGGGTACATACACGGTCGAAAGCGAACTGCCACTCGTCCTTGCGTTCCTGGCCCATAGCATTTTCACTTGCAGAACTGAGAACGATCTCTTTGTGATCAAGCGTATCGGGATACACAATCTCTGCTCGTGTGTTTTCTGACGAAGACATGTCCGATGGTATAAGGGGTCGGACACGGCAGAAAACGCGGATATTACCCTGTAGTAAGATGTAAATATGTACTTTGCTGGAGGGAAAGTACACCGACCTTCAGCTCTTGAACCATATTATGCAACTTCCGCCGCACTGTTTCAGCTTGGCGAGTCTCATGTTCAAGTTCCACAATACGTTTGTGGGCGAGTTCGAGGTCCAACTCTGTCGAGGTCTTCTGGTTCGAAGAAACATCAAGTGCCGTCTGCAGCGCCGTGACCTGCGCCTGAAGTGCTGTGATTTGCGTTGTAAAGGTGATTTGTGCCGTCGATTGATGTGAGATGGTAGCCTTCAAAGTAGCAATCGTCTCCCGATCGCGTTCGAGGTCGCTCTTGCACATACGGAGCTCTTCTTGGAGTTCCCTATTTTCGCGTTCCTTTCGTTTCATGTCCATCTCGAGGTCCATGATTTCATTCGCATGTCGTTTCCTCAGCTGATCGAGTTCCTCGCTGGCTATGCCAAGTTCCCTCCGTTGGTTAATTTCTTGAGTCTTCGAAGCCGCAAGTTCACGAGAAAGCACAAGATGATTTTCCTGTAGTTCTGCTACCTTGGCTCGCTCAGATTCCATATCTGCGGCAAGACGGGCAGCGTCTGCTGCTCTCGCAGCTTCAATACTTGACATCTGGTCTTGGAGGGATTTAAAGCGTTGATCCTCAACCTTCGTCGAGGACCCTGACGCTACCCTGCCTGGTACCGGTCTTCTGGTTGCAGTCGTTGGACGTACCGGTGGTGCTCGGGTAGGCGGTGCACTCGTTGCACGCGTAGTCCGCCGCGTAGTCGATAGGACGGGTGCATGAGGTCTTGTTAGTGCAGGGGGAGCTGCAGGTCTCCTAAGATTTGGGCCTGGTCTGGCATCTTGTAAGGGTTGTTTGATAGTTGCAGTTTCCGGTATCGATGCGAGTTTCTTTCGCGGTGGATGTGGCCCTTCTTCTTGCACGAACTTTCGTTTTATACCTGCTGGGTTCATGGTAAATGTGAAGGCCGACGAGGGCAGGGAAGGCCCTGGTAGTCGTGAGTCTTGCTGAGGTCGTGGTAAGCGGGACATTTTACGCGACGTCCACCAACCGCGAAACACACGCGAAGTACGCGCCCAAACATTTCGCACGTGATCGTTCCTCTCTCAAGGCGCCCGAAATCTCAAATCCCGCGAAACCCGTTGAACGCCTTTCATGCTCCTTCAACACATCTTGTCTTCTGACGGTGAAAGTACATGGTATATATATAGGCCAGTTCTGAACGTTCTCCTTTCAAATCTACAGGTAAATCAACTTGTATTGTAGTGAAGCAAACAGGGTACGCTCGTTCTGATTCCATGCATACTGTACTCTCATCCAGCTATAGTACTACTTGCACGGATGCAGCTGACCTCCAGTGAGGGTGGTGAGGTGCTACTCCCAAGGCTTAACGGCGATATTTTCGCACATATGCTGGAGTTTGCAGATCGGAGCGATCTGCTCACGATGATGAAGACGTGTCAATTGTTGCAGGACCTTGCCATTGTACCCTTATTGAAGTACCACGGTATCTTTATGGAGATAAATTCTGCAAATCTCGGCTCATTCCTCGCATGGATGCATCGAGACTCTCCCAGGCGTTACCTTCTTCTGCGGATTCTCGATCTCAGTGAACTCGAGCCGTTACTTGGACCGCTGCATATCGATGATGACCTAAAGCATGCTCTGGTCTCATTCCTGAAGCGTCTTGTCAACCTCGAAACTTTGATGTTGTTTTCGTCTTCGAGGATTTTCCGCGCATGTCCAGATGTAATGGACGCCATCGCGTCTCTCACTCGCCTTCGTTCCTTGACAATCTGGGAACCTTGGGAACGTGTGTCAGACTTCCTCCAACGTCTACAATCTCCATTATCCGAGCTTAGCGTTCAAGAAGGTTACAAGTTCTATGGTGTGAGACCACCCGTCCACCTCTTGGCGGAGAACCTGAGCGGATGCGTGGAACATTTGAGCCTATATGGGTACAGAGGGGTCTGCTCAAACTCTGATGTGCAGTTTGTCAAGGTCACGTCGTTGTGCTTGACGGATAATCACAGTGACGATCTTCACACCGCAAACCTAGCTTGGATATTCCCGAATCTCACCTCCCTGACTCTTCGAACGAATGTCTTGACATTTTCCGCGTACGACAATGATCGTAGAGCCAATATTTCAGCTCAGAAACAGCCTAACTCACGCTGGCATCATCTCAACTTCCTCAGCGGTCACGTTGTAATTTGCTACGTTTTAGCTCCTCGATGTCAAATCACATCCCTGGCACTCGAGAGTGTGGGTAGTGAGGACAGCGATTTACAGTACTGTGCTACCGTTCTGACAGACGCGAAGCCAGTCAATTTATTTCTTAGGTGGAACAGAAATGGCGACTTCATACTACCTCTCCTACCGTCAGTGGTGACAGACAATCTTCGTCACCTAGAACTTGAACTTTGGTACGACGCAGAGACCAAGAAAATCGGGGATCGGATATCGGTGAGTGCGAGAAGGAAAGTTCGTCATTAGCGAAAGACTTACACTAACTTACAGCCCGAGCACTTCTGTACAGTCATGCGCCCTTTTTCAAACCTTACCTTCCTGAGATTCACTATCATGAGACACGACAATAGCTCTTCCACAGATGCATATCTTGCCTGGAACAGTGAAGTGCAAGAATCCGTCTTCTCCACGCTCAGCGAGACATTGACTTCGGTCTGTCATTTCGTTCTGGAGTTGGGCGGACCAGAGTTTACTACGATCTGGAGGAGCGCACCTCCGCGGGCTGGATCGAAGGCGGTCGTGGAGCAGTTGTCACCCCAGCAGGGTCAAACCGTTCTGCTTGAAGGTGACAAGTTATTCCGGCATCTGCGTCAGGGATCGAATCATTTGTATCACGTTGTCATCCACTGATACATGTTCACGTTCATCTAAATGGTGACATCTTCAAATTCTGGCGATCGCATGAAACCTATTTGGTTGCTGTCATGTAAACCTTGCGTATACTTTACGACCTTAAGACAAGGCCCTCCTGCGATACCATATTGTCTCCGAATTTCGACGCAAATATCATGCCATAAAATCTCACCTCGTTCGTTTCCGGTCAGCTATACTGAAGATCTGGTGGTGTCTTGAAGCGTTTACGCGATGTCATAAAGTTGGCTTTTGCATCGTGCGAGCGAGGGACATGCACTAGTCTCCAACATTGAACATCTACTTAACTTGAGACGAAAGAAAGGCCTTCATGTCCGCAGACCCGGTCGCCCAACAGTGTAGACAGATGCTATATTCTCATGCGCAGGACGCGCATATACCGCCGATCAGTAGTAGATATGCTTCCGTCACTACGTAATCCTATATAAGTCTTTCAACATTCCTTCAGCTCAACCATTATCGCCTTGTAATCAGATATATTCACGTTTTGTCCTCGTGCACTTGCACGCCCCGCGCTGTCGTCAACGGCGTGGACAACAAAAGGCAAATCGACGGATGCAGCCCTGAAAGCTGCGTAGTGAAGTCATAGCCGCTCCATTTGGTGCAATTCATTCTCCAACCTCAACTCCTCCATATTCAATAACCTCACGAGTTCGAGAACCAACCAACTGATTCTTCTCCCATCAATTACCTCAGGACAATGCCTCCAAGTGTAGACTTGGTCGTTGTATTTCGTGCTTCGCCGGGGAAGACGTACACCAAGGCGCACGCGAGACAGAACGCACAACAAACGGAACAGCAGTATGCTCGTTTACTCAACACGCTCAAGAAAGGCGGTCTAAGAGCTGTTGGGAAGAGGGGGGAAAGAGAGGGGCAGCTGTTGATACTTATCTCATGTCCAGAACCCTTGTTGAAAAGGTTGGCTCAACGCGAACGGTGAGTGCCTCCATTTACTTTAGTCTGGCCATTGCTGATGCGCATACAGACATTCCGACTTTCTTTCTGGCCTCTTGCCAAAGAACCCAATAGGCGGAGAAGACCTTGATACAACGCCTTTATCTCCTGCAGATCGCATACGACTCATCCATACCTACATTACCTCTGCCGATGTGGATGGCGGACTCGGTATCGCACCTCTGTCAGACGAATGGAACCGCGTGGAGTCTTTAATGGCTCTACACGACCATCAATTCAATGATAACTGGATTCGCTCTTGGACGACATCTCAGCTCGGTTTCGTCAAGTACGATCAAATCAAAGAGCAATTCGGTGAAAGCGTCGCGCTGTACTTCTCATTCCTTTCGACGTATACAAAGGCTTTACTCGGCATATCTGCTTTAGGTGCAGGATTCTACTTCTTTGCAGCGCCTTATTCAACGCTGTATTCGACTTTACTTGTCTTGTGGGCGATCACGTTCGTCGAATGGTGGCGAATCAAGCAGCGCGTGTTGTCGGTACGTTGGGGAACCCTTGGCTCGTTCAGAGTGGAGAAACGCAGAGCACATTACAAGCCTATTGCATGGTGGAAGCGGGACCTCCGAATGATCACGAGCATCCCCGTCATTTTGTTCTTTGCAGCCATTCTCGCCGTCCTTCTTACAGGTATATTCGTATTTGAAGCATTCGTCACGCAGTTGTACACAGGACCTGGGCACAGATTGATCGTAAGCCATGAATCATAACGATGTGCTTGAAACTCTCGCTGACATATATCACAGGGCTTCAGTCCAACGATCCTGTTCATGGCCATCGTCCCTCGCTTCCTAGGTATCTACAACAACTACGCTATTCGTCTCACAAACTGGGAGAACCATTCTCGTCAGTCCACCCATGACGCGTCACTGACTATCAAGACATTCTCCTTGTCAGCCATTGTTGCTTACCTCGGTTTGGCACTTTCGGCATTCGTCTATGTGCCATTCGGCGAGGAAGTGATGACCTTTGTGCAAACCTACCTGTTCCATCGCAATACACCATTCCGCGCCGGTGCAAAATCATGGGCTTCCTCGATATTCTCTACGTTTGGCGCAGGGCCCACTGCTACTGCGGTTGCAGATGCGCCAGAGAAACTCGCTAATGTCACGACAGATGAAATCCGTAACCAAACCGCCAAGGGATTCTGGGAGACGGATAGTATCAACGCTCGAAGCAAACTGAACGCTTCACGTCTGCAAGACCAAATGTTCGCTTTCACCGTTACCAACCAAGTGGTCAATACTTTCCTTGAGATTGGACTGCCTTTTGTCCTTCGTGCAGTTATATCATTCCGGAACGGTAAAGGATTGTCTTTTGCGGCTCCTGCTGGTGGTGCGGCTTCAGCGGGGAAGAAGAAACGTGTGATGTTCGAGGATGAAGCTAGTGGAAGTGAAGTTGCGAAGAATGCTAACGGTAAGGAGGAGAGGGAGTTCATGGAAATGGTCAGGAGGGAAGTGGCCTTGCCCGAGTACAATTTGTTTGCGGATTATAGTGAGATGATCACCCAGTTTGGATACGTCGCTTTGTGGTCGACCATCTGGCCGCTCGCCACAGGTACGTTATATATAACTTCCAAGTTTGAATCGTACTTACTGTTTCGGTTCTGATCAGTGATGTCGTTGATGAACAACTGGCTTGAGCTGCGTTCAGACGCGTTCAAAATCGCCGTCCATACTCGTAGGCCAATCCCTTCGCGAAGCGATACCATTGGACCCTGGCTCGACACACTCACCTTCCTCGCTTGGCTAGCAGCTCTAACAAATTCGGCGCTAGTCTACCTTTTCCGTCCAAGTGACCAATGTAAGCCCGTCGGCACGTCCCTACAACATCAGCATCGCCATCTCAGTAATACCAATTCCTCGACGCGTGAACTCCTGTTCTCCGCCATGTTAGTGGCTTTGGCAGCTTCACATGGGTACATGGTAGTGAGGGTCATTGTCCGGCACGTGCTGGAGAGGTTGCTTTGGAAAGGTAGTAAGGAGGAGAAGGAGGCGGAAAGGATGGAGACGGTGGTGAAGGAACAGTATCTGAGGAGTCTGGGCGTTGCGGATGTTAGGGAGGAGAAGACCGATGTTGCGGTCGCGACAAAGGCTGATGCTGTTGATGTTTCTGATGGTGCGGAGGCTTTTTGGGAGTTTGATGAGGGGTTGGATGAGATCCAGAGGGTGCTCAAAGATGCTTGAGAGGTCGCGATGTTAACAAGTTGATATGTACACGAACCCGGGACCAGGTCACTTTGTTTTTGCGTCTTCGATTTGTTGGGTTGTTTGAATTCTGGTTGATCCCATACACGGACTGTTCGTAGTTGTCTTTGTCTTTGTCTTTGCTGGGTTTTCTTCGTGTGCTTTCCTATCCTTTGCGTTCGCTTGTATGCCTATAATTGCCTTCATTAAATGGCCTCGTAATACCGCTTTGCTCACCAAGGACAGGCTTAAATGGGGCGCGCTTAGATTAGATCCTAGAAACCGGCGTTTTGGATGTAAATGAGTCTCCATGGTGATTTCCGGCAGCTCGCACGTCTTGCACGCTGTCTGCCACGACGTCGGGCGACTTGTCGGGAACGCCTCTAACGACGGCCAGCGCATCCACTCCTTAAACTGAACCCAGTCATTCGTTTAACGCGACTCTACTCGCTCTCCACACTCATTTCCCCAGTTACTGAGACGTGTAACGCGTCGTCGTGAACCCCACATTCATTATTCACGCGGTTACAATCAAACCCGACATCGGACAAATAATTGCGAAAATTCTTGTACGTAATTCAATTTTGAGGCCTGGAATCTGCATCACACAGTGCGGCGCCGGCGGTGTGGGTTCGAAGTCTATTGAAGTCGAGGTCGCTGTTGGACATCGAAAACGTCGAGCGGACAATTGAAAGATTGTGTTGCAGAGTGTTGACTTCCTTGGCGGGACCTGTGATTCGCTGTCTGGATGACTGAGAGTGTCGACGGTTGACATCTGCCCGATAATATTAGCCAGGACGTTTTTCTGCACAAGTTGCCACGTGCCCCAAATAATATCCACACCAACCGCCTTGCTCATTTTTCTCATCTCTCTTCACTAGTCTAGCGTACCTCTGCTATCACAAGAGTTCGACTGGGTCTTCGCCTTGCTTTGGTACTCGACCTTCCTGTATATCTGGCTCCTCACTTCATCGTCTTCTCGTCTGTGACTGGAAACTTGATCGTTTAATATCATCGTCTTACACCACTCGTTTTGTCACCGTCATACGTCCCCTCGACCCAAGTCTCCGGTTTCGCTGCACCCCTACCCACACGCGTCGTTTATAACGACCAAAGCGAAGCAACCATTCTTAACCTTTTACCAATCACTTGGCCCCCTCCCCATTGTGGAGACTTTGCTGTCGTTTTCTTGTTGCCATAGTCATGTGAGTAACTCGTGCCTTTCGTTTGTTTGCGCACTCCTCTCACTGTTTCTGCGATGTTTGCCACGCCCAGGCTTTATTAGAGCCGTAAATACTTTGAAGAGGACTAGCTCGCTCGCTGTGTGCTTTTGAACCGTGAGTAGCCAGCCTATGGTATACTTGTTCCGCGGTGGTAACCGTTAGTGGCTCCATTTGTAGATACCTCCGTAATTCATTGTGTGCAGGCGGGGTCAGCTTTCGTTGGACACCATGTCTGAATACTCGTCAGCAATCGTGGAGTCCCCAACTGCAATCCACAGTTCACCGCTGTCTGCATCTCGTTCTACTTCTGGACGACCAAGCAGGCGTTCGGACTCTAAACATGGAGATACATCTACTCCGGCGCGACATCAGTCATTTAATGCGCCTTCAAACTCGTCGCAGATCTTACCTCATTCCCTGCACCGTTCACATACCGCTGATATTTCAAACTTGTCTCGTACCGGGGAAACCGAGTCTAGAACAAGCAAACCCAGAGACGCTACCCAAAGTAGGTTGGCTTCCAATCATAATCTGGCGCCATTCCGACATACTGTTGCTGGATCTTTTGGACCAAACCTAGGAAAGCTTAGCTTGCAAACGAGGGTGAATCCTGTTTCATCGACCACACCTTCCTTTTCCTCTCGTCCTCTTCCCAGCGGGAGTCTCAGTATCTCTGTGCCTAGCACTATTTCCGTCGACTCTATCTCAGAGTCTACTTCCACCGCCGGAGCACGTAGGGCGTTTGCTTCTGCAGAAGCCCTTTCGTCGCCATACGCTCCTTCGCAACCGTCAACTTCCTCTCACACTTTACCAAACCTTCGTACGCCTTCTGCTTCACGTGCAGCGACCGCCTCTGCGTCTCGAAAATCTTCCGGGACTAGCTCGGACCGCGAGGTTAATGGACACCTGGATCTGAAACGGCTTCTGAGCAAGCCTGCCGCTCTTCCAGGACATTCAGGTTCTTCTATCATCTCTTTATCGTCTGATGCTGAGCTCCCTACATTGGGTTCGTCTCCTGGTGCTCGAAGAGCCATGACCTCACCTGATCCTGTGCTTCCGCGCAAAATGAGCGTCACGAGCACGTCTAGGCCACGAGAAAAGAGCCCCACCAAACCTGCCACCGCTCCTCCAAGCCGGAGTCCATCCGTAAAGCGAGGGTCGCCACATACGTCTTCGAAGGATTCTGAACGTGAGCTAAATAGCAAGCCTCGAAACGTTCTCAGGCGAAAGGCCAGTATTCAGTCCAACCCATCCACTCCCACAGCCAGTACGTTCCAAATCGACCACGGGGCCCCACAGACACCTCGTGCGTCGTCATCGAAGCACAGTCCCAGAGCTTCTGAACCTACACGTACCTTAGGCTCTTCTTCTCGACGCCCAGTGACCCAGCCTATGGATGCGCCTCCGATTCATACTGTGAAGTTTGGCAAGTCTACCCCGCCTGTTGGTCTAACGCCCGCAGGCGCAGTTGTGCACGCATATATGCAGCAGACGCAACGCCGGGAGGAACTGGAAGATATATCAGGATGGGACGAACAAAGACAGGGTAGTAGTCGACGTCTGCCCTTGTTAAAGACGTCGTCGTCGCAGGAAGATTTCACTGGGGAATCTTCGAAGGGCCCATATTATACTGTCTATGGAAGCTCCGCGGAAAAAGTGGTTACTGCTAAGGAGGACGAGGCTTGGGGACTCAGTTTTGATTCCTACTATGGGTGTGATGACAGACCACGAACAGGCAAGTCCACTGTTGTGATCTCTGGTGGAAGTGGTGGGACTGCATCGGGATCTTCGGGAGTTCGTAGTCTCACTCGAAAGGTCTCTGGGAGGTTCAGGAAGGTTGCAGGCGGTGGGAGGAGTCATGACAGTCCTAAGTCAGAAGCTGAGGGCGGGAGCGTCCACGACAGGAGTTGGACCCCGTTCGATGGGCGACCTGGCATCCCAGAACAATCCAGCAGTTCGTCCAAGCACGGATCCCCGTTGCGGCCATCAGTGGACGTGAAGGACAAGTTTTCGTCGCATTCGTCGAGCACTGATAAGATCCACTCACCAGATAGTATGGATGGTGGGAGGGAGGCTCGCAGAGAGCGTGCAGTACGCTCTCCGACTAAAGAGTATGAGAGTCCCAAACATAGACACCGAGAGGAAGAATCGTCGTCAGGTGGGAAGTTGTGGAAGCTAATGAAACGAATCAGTACGGGCGGGCTGCGGGATAAGTACCACCGTGAGCCTACACCTCCACCAGTGCCTGCACTTCCCAAGAATCTACTACCCGCGTCTCGGATGACTTTAGATATTCAAAAACCTCGCGACCAGGATAATGTTGGTGAGACCGGTGTTCTCCTTTCGAGATTTATGCAGTCCCGAACGTCGCTTTCTGGCGTTCGTCCTTCGACTTCACCCGGGATGAGGGAGAAGACTCAGCATGATTTCAGTTCGAGACCATCGACTGGAAAAGCATCGGCCAGTCCTTCTGCTCCTCGCCAGAGTACGACGACTCGCTCCTCATCCCCTATGTCATCAGAATTCGCATCTCCCCGCTTCACGAAGTCACACTCGAATCGCTCCTCCACATCTTCCTATGGCGAAGAAATACCTCCTTTACCGACTACTCCGAACGGCGCTGTTGTCCAGCACATATTATCACCGAGTGAACTGATGCAACTTAGCAAAGATGATGACGGCCCACCACGCAGTCCTTCTAGACCACGTCGAACTGGTCGTTCTCGTTCTGTTCCCACTGAAGAATCTGGCTTCAATAGTGCCGAAGAATCGCGTCCTTCGTTGCCAATTCCTCCTAGACGACCGGCTACTTCGAATGGACTGGACAAGAGAGGAGGTTCTCCTCCTTCCCCTACTATTCCCACATTCAAGACTGTTGACAGTGTCAATAACTTTCCTCTGTCTGCGTCGTTGTCTCTGTCCATGTCCGAGTTCGGCGTTATACCAGAAAATGATGCACCTCCTCGACCCCGTCGCAGCTCTCGGCGACATCCCGCTCCTTTGGATATCAGTTCATCTTCTTCGTCGCATAGCCTTTCACAACCCTCACCTCCTCGAAGATCACTCCTTCCTTCGCTTTCTCTCGATCTCGTCCACCGGACTCGTAAATCTATAAGCGGTTCAACCCATCGTATATCTCCACGAACGAGCACTCCTCCACAGTCATCATCAACATCACAGTCACGTTCTCCGCTCACCTTCCGTGAATTAGAATCTCCACGTCAACAGCTGACGGAAAAGGAAAAGGCCGACAAGTGGGATGATCTTCTGGCGCGGAGCGAGCGTGCAGGAGGGACATTACATCTTGGAGAGACCGGTTTAATGTCGGATAACATACGATTTTCTGCCTTTGGCGACCTTTGAGGACCATTGTCTGGCACACATGTTCCCGTACAAACTCACAAGATACCCCCTCAGACGTCAGTCTCCCCTGGCGTTGTACGTGCACTGGTTGCTTCACACAATTGCTCATCGAAAGGAGATAATGTCTACGGACCTGCATGGCTAATATTAACCTACATCTCATGGTTTATCTCGTCTAATGAACCATTCCTTGTACTTTGCATTTACGACTCTATACCCTTTGCACGAAGCTTTGCTTATATACATAGTATTTCGCTACCTACACATGCTTTCGTACCATCATCCTGAATGATATCCCATCGTCCCAGCCGCTTTGCTGCATACTCACGTTGTCGAGAGTACTTGAACGTTGAATCTTTTAGCTTTCATATTATGCATGCGTTAAACTTGGCAGCACCCGAAAGGGCCTCAAACGATCGAGGTGGGTGCGATAGGCGCCCGAATTGTATTTTCTCTTTCCACCACAGAAGTCCACAATTCGTTCATAGGACCTCGCTTTCTTGGACTCGTCGTATTCTCAAATACCACCTAAAACATTATGGGACGTTTACGCCGCTCAAGAGCTCATCATGCAAGAAGAGACGTTCACCGCGCAGCTCGCACACGAGTTAGTAAAAGTATATGGCAAACGAGGATTACATTTGCTCATCTGTCAACCAGGTCAGGGGAAGGGATTTAGATCAGATCCAACTCATTGACTTGGACCCCAAAGTGCGTGTTTGCATGCAGTACTACCTGTATTGAACACTCTTAATTATTGTCTACATCAGAACCGCGCCGCTCTAGAAGCTCAGCCATTGGATTACGAACGACCGGGTTTGGGTCAACACTACTGCGTTGAATGCGCAAAGTGCGTTCAGCTCCCCTCCTTTTCTGACATCTCTGACATCCCTGGTTCAGATACTATGAAACCGATGCCGCTCTCCAATCACATTGGAAGAGCAAGGTGCACAAGCGGCGGTGTAAAGCCTTGAAAGAACCAGCTTATACAATAGAGGATGCGGAACGAGCAGCAGGGTTGGGAAAGGAAGGGAAGCGGCCAGCTTCGACCCTGATTTCTGCGGAACCCATGCCTATAGACGAGAATGTGGTTACTTGAGGCCTGTCATTAACGATGCAGGTTTTATTATCGTTATTTGCTTCGGACTGGTGTACTTATACTCGCTCTCGCTTTCTGTACTCGTTCATATCGAGCCATTGGCATACCGCTTCAGAATAGGGTCTACGACTAAGTTTTTCTATCTGTTCACTCGGTGCTCCGATTCCCCCATCAAGGTTTGGAATGGACATAAACTCATACTAGAAAAAAAAAAGGAAGATTACATACAAGCATAACAATGTGGTGACAAAAGATACTGGATCTTTTTCCAGGCTGTCCTGAAAGATAAAGGAATCAGAAATATATACATACAGTAGACAGAACCCCGTACACTCGTGTACGGCTCAGCCTCCCATCGCAGTAACTCATACGAGAGACTCCTCAGGCAGGCCGTGTAATAACTTACATCGTCCATCTAACTACGTCGTTTTCATCTTCCATCATATGTACACATCTAAGCAGGTGTCCCGACCTGCGGTCCAGGAGCTTGGGTACCTTCTCCACCTACGCTCATATTCGCAAACTGGTTCGGCATGTTATAATATTGTTGTTGCCAAGCTTGCTGGTCCCCTCCGCCTGGAGCAGCAGGTCCAGTGTTTGGAGCACCCGTAGGGTATGATGAAGCACCATATGGCGACGCTCCGTATGCAGTTGGCTGGGGACTGGCGGTAGATTGAGCAGGAGCGCCGGCTGGAGGCTGGTAGAACGACTGTTGTTGCGAAGGCGAGCTCGGAGTTTGGACGGCTGCAGGTTGCGCTCCATCAACGTGTTGGACGTTCAATGGAGTAGCCGCAGTCGGTCCCGCACTCTGAGGTTGCTGCTGTTGTGGTTGCAAGCCAACGACCATTTCCTGTGTGCCAGCTCGTGAAGGCGCAGGTTTCTCCTCCTTTACGCCAGGCACTGAAATGAAGTAGACTGATCCGGTAGGGTCTGTACCTCCATGAGCATAGTATTGGGCCCATGCTTGGACATTAGGATCCTCGTAGGTACCGTTAGGATCGAAAACAAAGGGAGGACCGCCTTGTGGTTGCTGCTGCTGTACCGATTGCTGCTGCTGCTGGATTGGCTGTGGCTGTGGTTGAGCCTGGACTTGGGTCTGAGGCTGAGCTGCTGCAGCAGTAGCAGGTTGGGTTGGGATAGGTTGAGCTTGCTGTTGCGGCTGAGGTTGAGACTGCAAAGTCGGCTGCGATTGAAGCTGAGGATGGATCTGAGGTTGTTGCTGTGGCACATACTGAGCCTGCACGTCAGGCTGGGGAGGTACACCCTGATAACCTACCAAAGGCTGCGACGCAGGCGTTGACTCAAGGGGAGGTGATACCTGTGGTGGTGGTTGCGAGCCAACATGTTGAGCCTGCGGAGGTACCTGACTTGGATAACCCTGAGGTTCATGTGGAGTAGGAGCACCATATCCTGCTGGTACCCCGTAAGGAGGTTGCTGAGGCTGGCCGGGTTGAGGGTGACCATACGCAGGTGGAACAGGTTGAGTATGTTGACCATACGCATCAGGGACGCCGTATGGCGTCGGTGCGCCCGGGAAAGCTGGTTCTGGTCCAGGAGCATAGGCAGCAGGAGGGGCGGGGTAGGCGTTGTACCCTGGTTGATCGTACACATTAGGGTTCCAGCCGAATGCTTGTGGCCCTTGACCTGGGTACTCGTGAGGTGCGCGGGAGTCAGGACGAGGTGGATAGGGTTGGACTGGGGCGTAGCTGGGTCGTCCGTCGTACACTAGGGAATTGCCAGATCAGACAGGGAAAGGATAAATGAAGGAGTGAATGCTAACCTCCAGTGTGACGAGCCAGACTCTCCTCCATCATGCGATCAAAGATGGTCCTAGCTTTGACGAAGCTCTCGTTCATAGATACCAGGTCAGCTATGAAAGGTAGTCAATATCACGTCTAGGTGACATATTGGTGTTCATTTACCTCTCTTTTGACTGTACTTGTCAATGAGCTTGACAATCTTCGGTCTTAAGGACATACAGGATCTGTAAAGCTCCTATGGACGATAAAACATGTTACTTCAGGATATTAAATTGAAGCTTCACAAGACATACCTGGATCTCCTCATTATCGGCCAAATTATCCTTCGCAGGATCCATCTGCCGCAGCGCGGTCAACAGCCTGTCAACATTCGCAGCTTGATTGAAGACAGCAGCTTCCTGTTCTGCTTCCTTCGCCAATTCTGCAGCCGTGGGTTCTGGCAAAGGTTCCTTGAATTATCCCTTAGCACTTTCCAACTATTCCTGAACCGCGCTCCCATACGTACCACATAATTCACAGGGAAAATACCAGTTCTCCCCTTTAATTGCCCTCGCCACCAATCCTTGTACCCACGGTCCACCACCTTGATAATATCGCCCTTCTCGAATCCCAATTCGCCCGCTTCTGTGGGTTCGAATGTATGCAACGCCCGTACACGAGTAACCACAGGTAAACTGTCCGCAGTAGACCTCGAAGAAGGGGTAGGAGAGCTTGCAGTGTAACTAACAGCACTAGGTGTCTGCGTAATCGCAGAGGTAGAAGTATGGGAGGCGTAGTCAGCAGGGCTGGCGGAAGCGGAGACACTAGGGTTAGCGGATGGGACGTAACCACCATAGACAGCCTGCTGAGATTGAGCCGGTTTGGTAGAGGTGGCAGAAGTAGCTGTCGGACCAGGCTGGTTGGAACTCGATCCTGCACCGGAAGAACCAGCATTGCCGGCTGCGAGGGAGTAGGACGAGAACGGACCTCTTCCGCCTTTGTCGTGCATAGACATTTCGAGCGCCCGTTGCAGCTCCTCCTCTTCTCGTCGGCGCACTTCATCGTCTACTTCTGGCGGAGGGGTTTCCTCGGGGGCCTCGAATTTATAGCCTGGTTGGAGATACGAGATTGGTGATCGGGTGCCAGAGATGAAGCAAGTGAAGCATACCTTTACCCTTCAGGTTCTCATACAATTCTTCCATAATGCCTAGTGTGGGGTCCTTTTCAAATTCGCTTGTCCACACTGCAATCAATGAAAGCGTCCGACGCTTCACTTTGTCATGAGTGTTCTGCATTGGTAGAATTAGAATCAGCATTACAATACGTAGGTCAGAAGCACACGAACCCTATCGGTGACTATTCTTTCCAAACCCTGAGTGAAGGCTCGAGAAGCGATCTCTCGGTGAACATGTATTCCGCAGTTCTTGGTGAGTGCCTCTGCGAGCGTAAGTGTGTATAGCTGAACATTAGGATTCCGATGTGCGAGACGCTTCAAGATGGCAGCCACCACATTCCGTGCCCTACCATATCATGAGTAGGCAATCACAGGCGGGGGGGAGTGACACCCACCCTTGTTCACCCTCATCCTGTACTTTATCGCACAGATTGAGTATTAGTTCCCAGTTTTCACTGGTCATGTTCTCATCCGTTGTCTTAACTATGACGAAATCAATACTAGCCGGGATATACATATCGGACTATAGACTGCTTACCGACAATCTCATCGTAAGGGTTAGCTTGTCCGCCTCTAAACATCTTCAAGGACCCTTGATAAATGTAAACGGTGAGTGTATGTAGTGAAAGTAGGAATGAAAGGTTGGTGTAAGGCTGGTGACTGCGGTAATCGAGAACTCACAGTTGGAGGCAGTACAGTACCCCAGCCGGCGCTTGCCGCGATCGCCGGATTTAGGGCCACTTGAATCTCTTCCTTCACTTCCACCACTTGCATTTCGACTTATGGCGAAGGGTATCCTATCCTTTTATACTGTAATTATATTGTACGATTGACTGACGAACTGCTGCTTTAGTTCCTCGAAATTTCCGTTTGCTGGAGGAGCTCGAGAAGGGGGAGAAGGGCATTGGCGATGGCTCTTGCTCGTATGGTCTTGAGGACGGAGACGACATTATGATGAGCGATTGGAACGGCACGATCATTGGTCCAGGACATGTACGTTCATATCGTTATAAAAATCGGGCGTGGTATTGACTGATTCACGAACCGATCATGGTGTGTTTAGACCGTGCACGAGAACCGAATCTACAGTCTGAAGATTGTTTGTGGCGAAGATTATCCTGACAGGCCACCGACCATTCAGTTTATATCGCGAGTGAATCTGCCATTTGTGAACCCAGTAGATGGCAAGGTTGATGCCACAAAGCTTCCTGTACTGGCGCACTGGAACAGGAATAGCAGTATCGAGACGGTTCTCGTGGAAATTCGCAGGTGTGTTCCCTTTCTTTCTATTGGTTTTTGTCGAGCTAACTTGCATTCTCATCTTTCCCAGGGAGATGGCTTCGTTCAATAACCGAAAGCTTCCTCAGCCGCCAGAAGGCAGTACGTTCTGAAAGATGTCGGTTTCCGAGAATGTCATGGCATTGTAAGGGAATAGAACAAGGATGAAGGACACACATTGACTCGTCGACACTGTTTTGTTGTAACATTGATACATTGTACCGCTATCTGACCATTCATATCTCTCGCGCAGGAAACCTCGAATCCAATGGATCTCGCAAGGACTGATCGACATGGACAACCTCACGATGATCTTGCTACAGTATTCTGTGAATGCTTGTGCTGTATGACATGATATATTCACTCTTGCAGAGACATTTGACGCGTCGGCGTCCTAGTATCGACTCCGCGTACATGGGTGTAATAAAAATATTAAATGTACAGAGCATCCACCATTGCAGCTTCCCGTGTCTTATCCCACAACTTCCTCACGGGCCCACTAACTCCCATATGCTCAATAAACGGCTTTACCTCATCCCACACACTTTGTTCAACCTCATCCTTGTCCAAATCGGCATCCAACACGACCCACTTACCCACTCCAGAACTTTCGATCTCCTCTCCGATCCTATCAAAGACCTGTCTTACATGTTCTTGTACCTCTTTGTTCTCATACCTCTCTTCGCCATACCCTCCACGGGACTCGGCCTTCTCAGGCGAAACTTCGAGGAGGAATGTGAGATCGGGGGCTGGGAGAGAGATCTCCGGAGCTCGACACCATTCATACGAGAGGACGTGTGTAGGTATGGGTATAGTTGAATCGCCATCTTTCGAAGTGGTTTCGCGTGGCAGGACTTTGGCGGCTGAGAACGCGATGCCAGAGAACGCGTAACGATCGCAGACAACAGTCGTGCCTTCCTCCAACGCTTTTACTATAGAAGACCTATATGTTTACAATGTCAATTTCTTCACCGCACTTGCATATCAGGAACACGGGAGAAATCCAAATGACATACGCAAGCTCCCATCTATTCGCAGAGAACAATAGATGGATAACATGGTCGTCCAATTCTGTCTTCGACTGCAAATAGGAATCGATCATCTTGCCTATGGGTGTTGTGCGATCTGGTCATATCGTCGATTCGTGCACTTCGAACTGAGGAAGACCTAGAGAAGGCTGACCAGGAAACTTGATGTGTTTGCAGGGAACATTTGCAGCTTCGAGCCGTTTGATTAACGCGGATGCTTGTGTGCTTTTTCCAGACCTGTCAAGTCCCTCAATCGCGATGAATGCTCCTCGCTTTGACATGACGAATGGTATGTGGTGAGCAGGAATGGCAAAAGTTTCAATGTGGAGGTGAAGGTATAAGGAAAGAAGTCGCGTTTCAGTATACAGAAATTACTTAATAGACATAGTAAGTTATCGCTTATAACTTGTATTCTCATTGTATGCTATCAGACGCTTACTTACAAGCTTGTAATCTATCACCAAACTGATACTTCTACCATCTTGCCTTCGAGCTACTAGCTGAGCTCACACCTGCCATGCTCTCGCTGGCCTCTCGCTCTCTTCCAGCGGGCTCAGCGTTGGCCAGTGCTTCTCGAAATGGTACAGTCCAATCGGTGCAAGTTCGTGGATACGCAGCACCGAAAGGCCCAGCGAAAATCCAAAGTATGTGATATAGTGCATATCGCGCGAACTTAGCACCTATACGTTGGAACAGAGCAAGGTTTCGTGAATAAGGGCAAGAAAAAGAAGTTTATACAGACGGTTGACCCGAACAAGATGAAACGGATACCTGTACGCTCGTTGCACGATAATGGAGGTCGGCATGACTGGAGTTCTGACGTTTTTGCTTGTGAAGGCTTTCAAACCATTGACTGCAAACCAGTTGAAGAGCGAAATATTCCACGAGGACGTCAAGACAGAGCTACAACTGCCAGTATTCCGACCCGTAAGCGCAATCAAGATTCACTTTCTTCCTAGCGTAATTCTAATCCAACTTGCAGGATGCTCTTACTGAAAGCAATGCCCTAGCCAAAGTCATGGAATTCCCAACTCAAAGCAATCTTATCAACAGGTTCGGTGTCCCCAAGAATCTGAACATCGAGTACCGTATTTTATCAAAATCATGTGCTGTCGTCCGTGACATCACTTTGACTGCTCTCGACAAATTGGACGCGGCTAGTGCATCCTCAAGTAAAGACAACCGTGTCGTCCTTACCGGTTCATCTGGATGTGGAAAGAGTGTTGTGCTTTTGCAGGCTGCAGAGTATTGCGCAGGAAGGGGTTGGATCGTGATGTATGTTCCACGAGGTATGCAACAATCGTGTTCTCATCCGGGCAGGGTTGCTTAACTACGCAAAGTGCACCATACGGTTGATTCGTCAACTGCATACATTTATGACTCTCGCACACGGACGTACCTCCAGCCCAGATTTTCCTGGCAAGTGTTGCGTCGTTTCCTTGACGTCAACACTACACTATTACAGGACCTCAAAACCACCAAGGAGTTTCCGGTCGAGCGAAAAGCGCCTGTGCAAGCTGGCTCACCTCTGACCGATCTCATCAATGTGGGACTCCAGGATGGATCGCTTGCGCCAAGTGTACTGTCCTCGCTCATGACAGAGTTGTCTCGTCAGAAGACGTACGTCAATGAAATATAGTTGCACTTACAGAATCACTTTGACTAATATAATATTCTCAGGTACCCCGTGTTGCTCGCATTGGACAATTTCCAAGCACTCTATACTCGTACGACTCGGTACCGTGATCCCAAATTCGAAGCTATCAAACCATATCACCTCTCCGTTCCTCGGCTTTTCCTCGAGTACGCCAGCGGAAAGAAGACTTTTGTACGACGATGTCCTTTCTCATCTTGTATATTCTAATCTGTTGATCACACTGATTCTATAGGCTCGCGGAGCAGTCGTGGGTGCACTCTCAGAAGGTCGTGCGGATTTCGTGACCCCACTCGAACTATGTGAAGCCCTTGGATTGCCCTTCCCCAGACCGGCCGGTCCATACGTCCGTCGTGTTCCGGAAATAGTGGACTATAGCCAGGGATTGCAGAAGTTGGCTGTACCAGAGAAGTTGAGCATTGACGAGGCAGCTTCGTTGTTTGATGTATGGAATACCGATAAGGCACTTCATTCTCGTAAGTGAATCCTCAATTGTCATCTACAGGAAGTGCTAAGAGTCTCTTACTTTGTTTCATTCTAGTACCGGACGATGATCTGTTCATGTCGAAGTATAGCGAGGCGTCTGGCAATGCTAGGGCGTTCGTCTGGAAGGGGCTTTTGGCTACATTGACTTCATGATATCTAGAAGTCTGCACACATGTTCTACTTAGACCTACTTACTATAAGCTCATATATTGCACACCCTGCTCAACCATTCCTATAGATCCAATGATGCTCAAAACCAAGGTAAGTACGCAGTAAGCTCATTCGGCTTATGACAACACGAGATCATCTACAGTACATATGTATGCCATCCAAAGAAAGAAAAGACAATGGACTTAAGGAGCGGTGAGATTCAAGAGGTACAGTAAAAGGAAATATGGTATGAATGAATGTGTTGTATTCGATATTGATGCAAGAACCATAAAGATCAACGAGAGGACCAAAAATAATGAGGCCGCACAGCCGTCCGTCAAGAACATACCCCTAAGACCCAGTAGCGACAGTGCAGCGCAATGAAGGAAGGGCTATGCGGAGGACAAACGAGAGACGATAAGTGCCAGCGCAAGTACAACTCCCCACCTCCACTTCTCCCAGACCATTTGTCGCAAGGTCGTGGTCCAGGTGGCAGCCGCACGAGCAGTAGAATCGCCAGGTATCACAACACTGGACCCACTGCTATTAGATGTTCGTGTACCAGCATCAGCAGTGGTCAGTGTAGCGGGTGTAGATGTAATAGACGTAGTACGTGCTTGGGCGGGTGTGGGGACTGGCGATTGGGTGGCAGAGGGGGACTGGGTGGGTTGAGGCTTAGAGGAACTGCCGAGCTCCTTCTGGGCCATATTAGGTACATCGCGTGGTGTGGGGGTGCAATACTATGAAAACATTGGTCAGTCCCAACAGTTCAACATCATCCTATCATGACGGTGCCTAGAAAGCGACTGCAACAGCTGGCTGTTTTGAGGGAATTCAAAAAAGCACCGGAGTACAATGGAAATATGATGCAAAAGCGCTGCATCGGCTTTCATCTGACAGACCGAAATTTACAGAGCGGAACAAGTGAGAAAGGGACTCACATCTGGAAAGGCTTCTCTAAACCGTCGTTGTTCGAGATTCCAAGCGTGGCTTCGCGCAGCGTACGCACGCTTCTCTGCATCAGAGGTGGTAACAGATCCTGTGGTCATCTCATCGGACAACATGAATGATAGAAGTCCGGTCAATCTTTGCAATGCGAAATGACGAAAGGAAACAAAAGGAAATCAGTATCAAGGTTCTTCTAGATCCCCGGCAAGGGACATATGGAGATATATGTAATGGAGTGGTTAAGATGATCACTCACATTGTTGCAACACTCCATGCGGGGTTCCACTACATTTGGTGTGGGTCAGATTTCATATGCTTCGAATTCAACTTGGAGCACTCACCGAGCCCGGATGAAAATCCGACATGGAGAAACAGATCTTTCTATCAGGTTGGAAACGACCAGAAGGCGTCAACATCTACAAGAGGGAAAGCGGTTGGGGTCTGGTAGGGCGTTGGGGCGTAAACGCAGCATACCTTGATCCCTGGCGGTTTGAACGGGTATTCAGGAGGGAAGAGTAACACTCCATGGTATTCTCCGCCTGCGAAGGGTGAATCGGGTGGTCCACGCTATTCAAATCATCTCAGCTCAGGAGTTCGATCGTAAAACGTGACAGATGTCAAGGGTCCTTACTATGATGTAGTTCCCTAGGAAGAGCATCAGCAAGTGCAATGCAGAAACGTGGCTAGAGGTGAGATTGCAACTCACATGTCAAGATATTCTTCTCGTCTGGGACTGCCCATACGAACGGAGGAGGTTCTCTTTGCATAGCAACATACTCCTTATTCAGCTGTTTCGGATAACGTTTAGTGTTAAGTTGTGGGTACGAGAGGCCAAGAGAGAGCGGGGATGATGCGTACGCGTTTATGTGCTGCCTTAGAAGCCATGAATGCAGAGAAAGACAACCGATGTGGAAGATAAAGAGGAGAACGTAGGAGAGATGGTGGTGGTATTTGAGAGAGTGTGGGGACTAACGCTGGTCCGCACAGGGCCGGCAGCCACGCGAGCCCATTCTCGGCAACTCTCCCCTTCTACTCAACCCCGTCTCAACTCCATCCACGAAACTATCTATGGCTTTGCCTACACATGGAAGAGTGATCATCGACACGACAGTAGGGGAGATCGAAATCGAGTTGTGGTCAAAGGTATGCAGCGAAACTGTTGAGACTACGGGATGTCGGTCTCACTACACACGCTACAGGAAACACCAAAGACATGTCGTAATTTCCTGGCTCTTGCTATGGAGGGTGAGCGATTTGATTTCTTCCCAATGGTTCATCGACTTACTGTGTCCAAGGCTACTATGACGGTGTCATATTCCACCGGTACGACTCCCATTCACTCTCTTGCTTGCATGTAATGACACCAACAACTTCATAGTGTTGTTCCACATTTTCTAGTGCAGACAGGTGATAGAACAGGTACAGGTGCAGGAGGAGAGTCGTTTTATGGAGGTACGTCGTACGTTGTAGTGCTATGCACTCCTCTCACTCACATTAATTCCCTCGCTTTATAGAACCCTTTGAAGATGAGATCCATCCTCGTTTGCGATTCCCCCATCGTGGTATCGTTGCCATGGCTAACAACGGGCAGAAGAACTCGAACGACTCGCAGTTCTTCATCACTCTTGGTAAGCTACCGTCACATATGCTGTTCTCGTTCTCGCCGCGCCTCCTCTGTCATCTTGTGGCATCCGAACCTTCATCATGGCATTCCCCTTGTCATGTTACTAGCATGGATGCCCTCAAATCTGGACAAAACAATCCTTATGGACGTGATACGTCGTTCACGCTACTTTCGGAGACGTCCAAGGACGTGACTGTCTTGTGGACAGCCAACCATCATCAAACCCTCACCGAACTCTCACTCACCTCAAGCTTTTTCATAGATCGCGCGGATGAGCTGCATGGCAAGCATACCGTATTCGGCCGCGTCGTCGGAGACACGTTGTACAGTAAGTGTGCTCTACGCCGCGAGAATAAGTTCCACACAACTAACTTGTGCATATTACTAGATGTCCTGAAGATTGGTGAAATGGGTAAGTTCACTTCCTGGGTGTCAAGATTTCAATCATGAGCTTTTCAGTCTGAAACCTACAGAGGTTGACGAGAATGAACGACCACTCTAGTGCGTCTATTCCACTTGCATTCCGTAGATCATGGTTCTTACAATCTAACCTGTCTGCTAGTCCTCCCAAGATCAAGACGATCCGTATTCTGGAAAATCCTTTTGATGACATCGTACCTCGAATCACTGCTGAAGAGAAACGAGCCCAGCAGCGGGCGCGTGAAGAAGGACAGCGTGAACGCGAAGAAGAGCAACGAAGACGAGGTGCCAAGAAGTGTGTCCTCATGGTTATGGTGCTCCTGCCAATCTGAACATGACGCTGACAAATTTCCCTTGATACAGAGACGTGAAACTTCTGAGTTTCGGTGGTGACGAGGGCGAGGAAGAGGAGCAACCTATCATATTCAAGAAAAAGCCCATCGTTCGCCCTGATCGTATGTCCTCACTTTCCGTCGTGATCGACCGACCCAGTTCTGACGTTTCGGCTTGTTCCAGTGGTCGACATACCGGTTGAATCTATTGCTATTCCTACTGTTCCAGCGCCTGTGCCCAAGGACAAGTCCTCAAAAGGCAAGGACGTCGTGGCGGAAAAGGGAGAACCGGTATGTGTCCCTTTTTTGATCTTCACTGGCAAGGCACTGATCCGTTCACAGGCGGACAAGTCGAAGAAGCAGCAAGATGACATCGATGTCACCAAGATCCGTGCAAAGCATGCGCAGGAGCAAGCTGCACAAAGGTGAGAACGGCACCAATTACTACCTGTCATTGTCTATCATTCATTTACACGCCGCATCTCCACTTCTACAGCTCTGAGCGTCAAAATCAAATAGAGAAAATGGAAGCAGAGATCCGTAAACTGACTCGAAGGGGTCATGGGGACGACAGTGAAGAGGAGCGTGCTAAGAAGAAACCGAAGAAATCAGCTCTGGAAGAAGAGATGTCAAAGTACGCTAAGGGACGCGGTCTGCATAAGAAGGGCAAGCGGAAAGATGAAGGTGACATCATCGCAGCTCTGAATAGTTTCAGGAGCAAGCTGAAGAGTACTGCACCGGAGCTTGGTGATGAACATCATGAGATCCCTATGGAGACAGAGGGCGGAGCATCTAAAATGGCTGGAGAAGAGGACGCGGGGATGGAGGTTGACGACGATACTGGTTTCCTCTCTCATGCCTTGTCCTTCCCGAAAGATAACGCGGAGGAGGTCATGAAGGCACAGCGGGACTATGAGGTGATTGATCCACGGCAGCGTGGAGCCAAAGCGAAGGAAGAGGAACGAGAGAAGAAGAGAGCCATGAGACCCAAGGATGGGGGGAGGGGTTTCAGGCGGTGAGAGTCCGCCTTTCCGTTTGTCCTCCTCCCTTCATTCCATCCTGCTTCTATGCCACTGTTGTACAACCATGTATATACTTAACATTTTACATGTCCTCCGACTAGCATCTGCATGTGGAAACGTCAGTCAATTGTCTTGCCCAGCCGCGATTCAGCGTAGTCTCTCATGCACGCTTTGGATTGATAGATCATCAAAAACATTGAAAAGTCTGTCAGAGGAGCAATACATCAATGGATACAGTAAAGCTGTCCATCAACTCGTTGAACCTTCTGACTGCTGTTTATCACCGTAAAAGTACTGGACTCCTGCCACTGCTACGAGTCATTTCACCCGTTTTCAAGTCTGCGTACTTTCAACCTCGAGTTCCACTCATTTTGACGTTACCCGCAAGGCGATCGTGCATTGTTCTCAACAGGAGGACATCATAACTTCGATCCTCTGTGTCTCCAAACAGATCCACAGAAAACCTATGCGACCGATTGCAATCGAGAGCACGATCAGAAATTGAAATTGTGCGCATCGGCCGTTCTGGGGTCCAGCAGATAGCAGCAGATCTGGCGTCTGGCAGAGGCCTTGTGGCAAAGCTGGAGATGTGATTCCGTGCCGTTTCCCACCAAGAACATCCGGGGCCAGGGCAATGCGGTTCCTTTGCCTGCTCACATCTATGTGCTTGGCCCAAGAATGTTCCATCACCAAGCAGATATATATCGCGTACGAGCGGCCGATTACCTCCCTTGCACTTCAATGCCCTCAGAACGTGTTTCCCTCTCCCTCTCTTCAGGCCCTTCTCTTAGTTCGTTGAGATAGCTCGGTCTTACTGACCCTACTAGCTTGAGAGTGTCCGGCCTAATCCATCTTGGATCGGTGAACGACGCCGAACTTCAATGTCTGCGGCATTTATTCGTGCGGCGCAGATCAAGCAGACGGTGACAGTAGGTAGTCCGCTTAGCTCTGTAGGTCCCCGTTGATTGACAGCTCGTGCTCTGGGCCCTGTAGTACCTTGACCGTAAGTGAACTACACCCAAACAAATGCTAAGAACATGGCGCTCATGGCTTGAATAGTCGTTGCTGCAGCCGTTTTGGTAAGTGCAGTCTTCAAACAACTATCATCTGCAATTAGATATTGATGAGCTTTTATAGGGTTATGATTACTGCTTGACCTTCCGTCGAGAGGTTAAATATGTCTGGACTTCGCATCTATCCTTAGGGAAGGTTTTATTCTTCCTAACACGATACCCCGTCTTTGGGGAGACAGCCTTGGTCTTATACCGTACGCCTTGTTTTCCCTTGGCCAGGGATCTGTCTTCTGACTCGGCTTACAGACCAGTTCGCTGTAATGGGACCCGAAAAATGTGACATCATCTACAAGACGATCGGTACGTCCGTTAACTCAAGGGAGTTCTTCTGGAGTCTGACGACAAGTCCATCTAGGTTATCAGCTCGGGACAGGGACCTTCATAGCGGAGAGTATACTCGCTATGCGAACATGGGTGTTGTGGCACCGGAACCCTTACATTGGAGTGGCCTTGATTTGTGGGCTTGTATTATTCTGGACGCCTGTATTTTATTTTCTTCAGGAGTCTCTGAACTCCCTCGTATGTGAGTACCCGTATTTTATCACCGCTAATGCTGGCCCTGATGTCCTGTTTGTAGTCACGACCGCTCCCGAGCCAGACACACCAGGGTGTTTTCTTTTGACGCAAAAGAACATCTTGTTTGCCGTTTTCGTCCTTATCACTTCTTTCGAAACCCGTGCGTCAAAGACAGCGTTTCTCTATTGTACCAAAAAGACTGAATGTGTCTTTCGCAGTCATTCTAACGCTCACCCTGATCCGCTTTATTCCTCTCGGTAAGATCTGACATCTACTGCTGTCGAAGTACTACTGACTTTTTGCGGAAGTCCACCACAAGAAAACGTCCCTCATTAAAGTTATTTACCGAGACGGTACGCTACTTGTTTTATCCCGCCTTGGAGAATGGCTACTAACTGTCGTTGTAGGCATTATGAACTATTTTTATCTATGCAGTAAGTGGCGCGCAAGTCGTTCTAGGTACCATCATCTAAGTACCATCCGCAGTCCTATCAATATGCAATGTTGTTGTACTTCTAACTGCCCCGGTGAGCCCGTTCTCCGGCACAGTGATGATTACCGATACTCAAGCGAACCATTCTACCAGCGCGGCTACTCAACTCTCCTCAGCGCGTAAGTCCTGTTTAGCTTTCACATGCAAATGTCTCATGTTGATTTTTTAAATCACCTTGGACCCGCTCAGACTTCAACGCGTCATGCATTCCGTCTTATCTGCCCGCGTACTCCTTCACCTACGAGAAGCCGTATCCAAGCCAACCACCTTTGGAACCCAGGAAATCACCGGTCTTGAGACTTATAGCGTACCAAACACACGACTGCGCTTTGAAGCAGCTTCAAGTTTCTTCATGGGTCCAGAAGATGGTGCATATCCGATGCGGGATCTGCGGGTTTCACGCAGTGAGCGGCGACACCCGCAGCTATCAGAAGATGAGGATGATTGGGAGGCAACGTAGCCCGTTTTCTTTCTCATTTTTAGACCGTTTCACCATTGGTGGTGGACCGTTTCAATGTTTGTCCCTTTACTGTAGTAGCTGTATCGCTTTCACGCTCTTTCATGATGTACTTTTTCCTCCGTGCCCACCAGGTTCTCTCAGCTGTCCGAGTCGGCCTCCGACTTTGTCATCGTGAGTGACTTTCAACACAAGCAAATGAGCCATCAATCCTCTGTCAAAGCGTCATGCGAACATCCTCCCCTTGCCCTGTGGTCGGTCGAATGGCAGTGGAGGACCCCTTGACACCCCTGAGAGTAAAACTATTTAGGTACTGTAGCCAAAAAGGGACTTTTCCTTCCATAGCAAGCCGGCTCTACGCGGCTAAATATACTACGAACCTCCACTGACCACGTCGAATCGACGAATCATAATGAATGAAGAAAATTCGGACTTTATTGCTGACTTATCGTACTTACGAGCCGCCAGCAAGCACAGGGTTGCGGGTTACCTTTCCTTCCCCGTTGGCCTCTCAGTTGTACTAGCTGAAAGGACTTGCTAGACATCGTGGAATCGTGGGTTCTTTTCATTACATATCTCACATCCTGTCGTGAAATGTTGATATGGAGACTTGCCGAGACAGGACTAACACGAAAAAGTTCACAGATCACGCCTTCAGGAATCAGGTCCTTCAGTTCAAGCCTCTACCTAACATCGGTAAGTAAGTCCGATTACCCATATGCATGTCTCGTGCCTGAGTGCTCAGATCGGAGTTGCTTCCAGGAACGACTAAGGAACGAAATAAGTACACCTATAGCTTTGAAGGCGGTACGTAGATCTGTTATCCTAAACCGATCGACCGTGTGGTCGGTCATATATACTGTCGTTGACGACGACACTGTCGGCATTAGCTTAAACTTGTTGTCGTCCTACCACCAACATGCTCGGACTTCACAGATTGTATACCCTTTTCCTGGCCACTGTCGCATTGGGTGTCGCAGCGGCGACTACGGAGTCCAGTGATGTACAACAACGTCCACCTGTAGTTCAACGTCCGGCTTTGACCGTACCTACTCTCATTCAAATCAGGGTACGTCGTTCGCGCTTTGTTCCGTGTTCTGGAGAAGTACTTGAGCGTCCTTTTTGCGTTTAGGATATCCTCGCTCAACTCGAGGCTCCCATCATTAGGTACATAGAAGCCTTCTTCTCGCAGTGATCGCTAACTCTGTTCTCACATTCGTGTCTATCAGTACTCTCACAGAACGTTTCAACCTTGCTACTCCCTCTTCTCTATACGCCAACAACGGCTCAGAGCTTCTTGCATACCTTGTTCCTCGCGAGTTAATCGCAGCAGCCAGTGGACGATACGACTATGGAAAACTCGAATACCCTTATACTTTACCTCCGGTCTCACCTGACGTCACGACAAGGACCAATTCTTTTGCGCCTGGGAGGTTCCATCAGGATACGTTCACGGGAAACAAGGAGCTGTTCGACTTTTATGTTAATCATTTAGTGCCGTTGTTCAGCTCGCAGAGTTCTGTGTTCTTCCATTTGGACAACTCTACCACAAATCATGACGCTACTTTCAACCTGGACGCTACCCTGTTGGAGTTGATATCTCACCGGTAAGTTCACGGATTAAAAGAAGACGAATTTTTTTGAGATCTGAATATACGGTCATATATGTTTTGTCTTCCTCTAGCTCACATATCGGCAAAGTGGTCGCTGAATCCAAGTTCGCGTCAAACGTCACAGGGTTCACGTCCTTGATCAAATCCAAAGACGCCACTACCATCCGCGCCCTACTCACGAATACTACACAAGAAACTGGTGTCATGGCCCAAGCGGCAACGGCTGCCACGGCTTTCTCCAACGCATGGACGACTTCGGGTGCGGCGGAGACCATCAGTTTCGTGGGCAGTTTGCAGAACGTGACTTCGAAGTTGTTCCGGGAGTTAATCGATGTGACGACGGACATCGAGGTTCAATATGTGAGTCAAATACCTTGATGATCAGGAAACCCGTTGCTCGCGAGCTGACTACTTTGTTCGGTGTGTGTAGATCCTAGCAAGGCTTAATTAATAGCGGCACTTTTAGAGTAGACATTCTACTGTATCGTTGCTCTCTCGTTGACCGAATCTCGTGTAGACATCTTTTCGACGGCGTATTCTGTCTTAATTATTCACGGGGTCCGTGTCTACCTGGCGCATGGTCATAAAAGCTTTTCATCGGGGCTCAAGCGGACAACCACGTTGAACGATGTTTGAACGCGCGAAGTCTACTGAGGTAAGGTTCGCCACAAGGTTTCCAATTATATGCTACAAGTGCTACATCTATCGATACAACTAAGTAGAAAAGAAATACAATGCATAGATGTGAAGGATACAGAGTCTAAGAAGTTGCGGGTCACAGACAAAGGTATGTCAGGATAGTTTGAGCGTGATTTGATGGAACAAAGCTTTCATGCTTGACCTGCAGAATGCGAATGTCAATATCACGAGCAGAAGAAAGTACATCTTTTCTTTTTCGAGAGTACTCACCATTGATCATCATCTCCACCTTCTGCCGGAGACGAAATAAGAACAAAGTTATGACCCAGCCATAACTTCGAACCTGAGCACACAGGCACCGTCAAACCATCTTGCCCCACATCATCACCATCACCAACATCATCATCATCATCAACTTTCAGAAACAAAGATCCACAGCTGGATATACTATGAGAGTAAACTTCAGCAGCTAGCTCCCCTCTCTTCGTCTTGAAGACGGTGACTTTATCCGCGCCAGTTCCCTGGCGAGATCCAGCTCTCAACGGAATAGGAAGAGACTGCAATGCTTGGATGATATCTTCTCTACCATGGTAGCCGCCAGAACGAACGTCCTCGATAGGTTCGTTCAGAGGTGGAAGAACTTTGATGTCAAGGGAGGCGTCTGGAGTATATGCACTACCAAGACTTGCACAATTATCCCTAAACATCTTGAAATAGCTGCAATGCATCAGATTGGTATCGCCACCAACGAACAACTTGCGAAACGTACTTACTGCTCAAGGTATCGTTCACACCTCCCTACAATCTTCTCAACCAAGATCCCCTCCGCAGAGCTAGAAACCTCAGCAGGAGGATGACGATCCTCCGTAATAACCTCCCGCGTCCAACCGCACGGATGAGAAATATCTTCGACCGATGCCCGCGATGTCATTACCGAGGCCGACTGGGACTGGGATATCAAACATGGACGATATCCATCTGATTCATCCACCACAACGCCATCTCCTGTGTCAGACTCTAAAAACGCGTCAACATTACCGCCATACTCTTGTATATCGAGTGCACTCTCACGAACCAACGTATCCCTGGCACGACCACTATCTCCATCCTCCCCCTCCCCCTCCATACCTTCCTCCTCAGGATTAGGATTGGCATTCCAACCGGGTCTTCCTTCATCGTCTACCCGAAATTTGGAAGAGCTATCTGGGCTGCGGTGCATATCCGCTGAAAGTGGACTAGGGAACTGTAAGGCTGTGTGACGAGGAGGCCTTTGTAGTTCTGGAGAAGCCAACGAAGGAACCACTTCGAAATTCGGAGGCGTCGCATGCATAGGTGGTGATGGCGCCACATCACTCAAAGCGAACAAACGAGCGACATCATCATCATCCCCATCTCGCCTTTCTCGAAGCCGCGGTCCTCTCGAAGCCAACAACGTCATCGGGGCAGGTAACGGCGGCTCAACAGAAGAAGGTCCAACTCTAGATGTATATGTTGACCAGGCCTCGTACTGCCTATTTCGACGGGGAACAGGCATTCGTCGAAACTCACGTGCCTTAGTCGTGACCGAAGGTTGGTGCGATGGTGATGATGATTGTGAATAATGTCTTGACGAACCACTATCCTGTGATGATGAGGGTTTCGGACCACCTGAGGAACTGGAACTGGAACTTGCCACGGGAGTCGAAGGGTGGAAATCTTTCCTCCTTGGCAATGGTATGCGAGTTGGTGAAGAAGATGAAGTATTCAACCCAGGTTTTGGGGGAGACGAGGTAGGAGGTGTTGGGAGGTTAGATGACTGGGAGTTGGGAAGAGATGGATTGGGTTGCTTTCTTAATCCTCGTGGAAGAGGTATTCGACCACTTGGGGAGGCGCTCGACGCAGACGACGTTATAGGATGTGCAGATGGACCAGGAGGAGGGGAAGAAGTCAAGCGTGGAGACTGACGCGCTTCGGCATGTGGATTGAGTTCAACATGACTGACATCTCTTGCCTCATTGATCGTTGTATCCGGTCCAGGGAATACGGAAGCCGGTAAAAGGGTGTCAAGCATGACACTCGTCGTACTAGTCCTAAAAAAATCGGACGCATCAGCGAAAAAAAAAGGTGTAAAGCAAGTCCACGATCTTCACATACCAATCAAAAGCCAACCCATCATCCCTACAAAGAAGTCACAAAAAGATTCAACCAAAAAACCCAACCTCAAAACGACGTAAATCAAACTTACCTCATGATGGTCTTCTTCACCACCAATCCCTTCGCCACAAGCTTCTTCCTCTCCTGACTAGCCCACACCTTGCGATTTTCCTTGAATCCAGGAAAGTTCGCCTGGCAGTTCGGTGGCAGAGGAGCCAAACGGTACGTTCCCTGCGTAGTAGGTTGGGGAGATACCGTGGAGATCGTCGGTGACGGACTTCGTTCCCTCTTTACCGGAAGGGTAGTCGACAGGTTTACTGGAGAAAGACTTCGTTCGCGCTTGACTTGAGGAGGGGTCTCAGTTACATTGAGTGCTGATTCAGATTGAGTCGATTGAGCGGAAGGTTCAGGAATGATCAAGTCTGGAATCGATGAAGTATTCATGCTGGCTTGTGCGGGGATAGGACTGGTTCGCATGATGTTGTCCATTGGAGACGATTGGTGAAGTCTTTGCCGTTTAGCAGGCCGCGGGCAAATAGACGAACTCGAGTTCGTCCGTACTCCTCCAGCAGATAACGAAGACTTGGCGTTGGCTGCAAAAGTGCCATTCATCGCCGCGGCGACATCGAAAGACCCAATGGAACGATTGTCTAACGCTGGAGACAAACCGTACTGTTCCAACAGCCGCTCAATTGGAGTGCGCATCCTTCCATTTTGTCCCGAAGACGGAGGCACACTCGATGCCAAAGGACTTGAAGACGGACCAGGAGAGGTGGACGTTCCTGCATTCCTGTCTGCAGCACGCTTCGACCTCAGGACCTGCAAGAACGAAGACCGCCCCTCACTTGTAATCCACCCCGACTGATTATGAGGAATTGCGGCATTGACTGGACTACCCGATAGATGTGTTGAGCGGGTTGCTTCATGCGATGTAGATTGGACAGTTGTAATACGAGGTGGTGATATCTGTGATGCGGGAGGTAAAGGAGTAGGTGCCGAAGGACTAGGGCTAAACTGAGGTTGGGTAGGTGGAGAGAAAGACAAGGGCGACGAGCGCTGATTCCTCATTTGAGATGGACGTGGTAAAGTTGGTCTGTCACGCACTTGAGGCGGTGACGAGGACGAATCTATAGCAGATTTTGCAGTAGATGAAGGTGGCGAATGTTCGAGGTTGGAGGGTACGGCATCAGTTCTCCGGGGAAGCGACAAATGCTGGGAAGCGCCTGATGTCCTAGTAGGCATTGTCGAAGTCTGTGTGATTGTGTTCGACCGCACAGGACTCAGTGCGTTTGGATTTAATGGCACTGAACTCCTCCTAAGAATGAGGTTGGTCACTTTCATCTCGAAAACGGAAAGCTGTAATAGAAACAAATTACCATTCAATGAGAAGCTCTTCACCACTATTAAACAAATGGATTCAGACTGATGAACTTCACACACGACTGGAAAATCAGAGAAATAACCTACCGAATGTACGCTTTCGTACTAACATCGGCACCCTTATCCTTCACTTTCTTCCGCTGTATTGCTATCCAGATCGACCTATTAGCAGCAGACAACGGATGGTCGGGCTTGCAGTCACTCGGAATAGGTGAGACGCGTATAATACCCTCTGTCATCGATTCGGAAGGCGCAGGAGCAAGGCCTGCGGTGGGACTCGGTATTCGTTCACCCACAATCGCAGCTGAGTTTTGTTCCGACAGTACGGCAGAGTAAGAGGGAGGAGCGATAGGCGTGTCTGTCACACGCTCTTGACGTACCGGGGTATTCGAAGTAATTGATGGGGATGTATTACTAGAGTCACTGAGTTTCCTCCGCTTCGAAGAAGGTGGCGTAGATATAGTAGAAGGCCCTGCTGGTAGATCCTGTTGATTGGGGCGTTTGTTACTGTTATAGACCCATTGAATTCGAGGGTAAGGGGCAGGATTAGATGAACTAGTGTTAGAGTCGGACAGGTGCGGTTGTGGCGGCGAGTACTGAGCAGCGGATGTAGAGTCGTGTTTGAGAGACATGGGGTGTCGATTGCTAGATGCGTCCTGCACAGACGATGGCGCGCCACCTCTGAAAGCGCCACCGCGCCCCCTGCCGCGAAAAGAAGGACCTCCGTAAGGTCTTCCGCGGGAAAATTGGGCACCTCGACCTCGGTATGGACGATAGGCACCTCGCTGCGGTTTGGGGGCGACTATACGAACGAGTGGTGGGCGGTCTTGTCGACGACTTCGGTGATTAAGATTCAGAGCTTCATTGGGCTGCAGGTCTTCTGCGCCTGTGCGTGCACGGTTCATCCCACGCGACCGTTCTCAGTATACCGCGTACGATGGTGGTGGCGAAATAGAGAACAACTCCATTCAATAGGCGCTCCCAATGTCGCGTAGACGCCCATGACATTGGCCTCGTATCCCAACCTTCGAGCTAGACCTACTCGAGCTAGACCTACTGATTCTTCCCCAATTGATCTCTCCTCAGCACATCTGTGCGATACGTGTTTTCTAGCTGATTGTATTTTATACTACATTCCCCTAGGCCTTGTTGCTCTGCACTCGCTGTTAAACATCTCTAGAACGGTCTTCTGACATCATTGATCGAGTCATTTATTGGCCCAGAAGTACTGCAGTAAATCTACCACTCCACTAATTCGACGTTCACCGTGTACCACCACTAGTACCGATGACATCTATATTGCACGACCATGAACACGAACAGACTCCTGCTGTGAAAATCGCAAAAGCAGCCAAGTCTGCATTCGAAGCTTCCCAACTCATCCCTCCAGCGGAACGCGTCAAAGCTCTTCACGAAATTCGGAAAGAACTGGTGAATGCCAAAGATGACATACTGGTTGCGAATCTGAGGGACTGTCTCGTGAGTTATAATCTGACACTTCGTTCTATCCACTTGACACCCCCCTAATTGAGCCTTTCGTTTTGTGTGTATGGGTTAGGCGGCCCAAGCTGAAGTGGATGCAGGTCGAATGTCAAGTTCACTCCTGAAGCGACTTGATCTGACAAAGGGGGACAAATGGGATTCCTTGCTTCAAGGGATCACAGACGTAGCCAACTTACCTGACCCTACGGGAATCGTCACTTATGCTTCCGAGCTTGACGACAACCTTGAATTGTATCGAGTCTCCTGTCCGATCGGTGTCCTTCTCGTCATCTTCGAAGCTCGTCCAGAAGTTGTTGTGAACATTGCTGCTCTTGCAATCAAGTCAGGTACGCCTTTCTTAATGATTATCAAAATTTTCCCACCACGTGAATAGCAAAGGAAACAATGATCTAATGTTTTGCTGCATAGGCAATGCTGCTATCTTGAAGGGCGGAAAGGAATCAAACGATACCACACAACTCCTTGCCCAAGCGATTCAAAAGGCACTTTCTCGGACATCCGTTCCTAGCACATATATCCAAGCTATCCAAACTCGCGCAGAAGTCTCCGCCCTGCTCGCTTTGGATAAGTACATCGACTTGGTCATTCCTAGGGGTAGCAACAGCCTCGTCCGAAACATCCAGAATAACACACGTATCCCCGTCATGGGCCATGCAGAAGGGTTATGTTCAATCTTTGTGGACGAATCTGCGGACGTCGAGAAAGCTGTCAGGGTCGTCGTTGATTCAAAGGTACGTCATACTAATTCAAGGACCACTCGCAAAATCATATATACATATGTATTAATTGTAATGTTTTAGACGGACTACCCGGCAGCATGCAACTCTGTCGAAACACTCATCCTCCACGAAAACGTCCTAAACACAATCTGGCCCACAATAGCCCAAGCCCTCCTCTCCTCAAACGTCCAACTCCTCTGCGACTCCCCCTCCCTGTTCGCCCTCCACACCCTCTCCCCCGCTCCCGAGAACATCTCAACCCACGTCCACCCATCCACTCCACAATCATACATCACCGAACACCTAACCCTCACGCTCTCCGTCCTAACCGTCCCAGACCTCTCTTCAGCCATTAAGCACATAAACGCACACTCCTCCCATCACACCGACTGCATCCTCACAGAAAACGAGGACTCAGCTAGCGCTTTTTGTAGAGGTGTGGACTCTGCTGGGACGTTTGTGAATGCGAGTACGAGGTTTGCGGATGGGTTTAGGTATGGGTTTGGGACGGAGGTGGGGATTAGTACGGGGAAGATCCATGCGAGGGGCCCGGTGGGTTTGGAAGGGCTTGTGATTTATAAGTACATGTTGAGGGGGAAGGGGGAGAAGGGGCATGTGGTTGGGGAGTTTGGGATTGAGAAGGGGAAGAAGAAGTTTAAGCATGTGCCGATTGAGACGAAGACTGCTCCGTATTGATTGTATTGTTATTATTACTTTCGAGACAAGAGGGGATGAGCAGGACAATCGTTGGACATATACTGTACGTATAGTAGTGCAGAACGTTTGTAAGGGTATGCGAGGTAACAAAGAAATCCTGTATCGATATATCTATCATACATCACGAAAAGCACTTTTTCACGATACATGATTCGCTATTCCTGTCCTATGCAAGATAACATCTCCGTTGAACATTACGATTGAGCCTCCCCTAGTCTAGCTTTTTTCTCCGATGGTGACGAAGGAGCCTCCTCTCCAGCTTTCCTCTTGCCAGTGCCAGAAGGAATGACTTCACCATCCACCGGCACCTCCGGCGCCTTCTTTTTCTTCTTCACAATAGCCGTCAAGTCATTTACCTGCACCTGCATAGACGTCACTGTCGCCGTCACCGACGACGAAGCAACGTTAAGCTCTGCATCAAGCGCTTTCGCTACCAACGCTGGTGCGGACTCCCCAGGTTCGTTAGGAACAGTTTTCAGCTCTTCGACCTGAAATGTACACATAATGAAATGAGTATATGGAACAATACAACAAATTGAAAACGGGATATGAATACTGACCTTCAATCCTAGGTCCTCCTTGAGACCTTCTAACTCCTTTACCTCAGACTCCATCTGGGATTTGCTAAGACTCTGAATAGCATCATCCCCAAGTAACCTAGGTCCCGTCGCTTTCCCCTTTCCCTTGGAGTTTGAAGAAGCAGACGGTTCTGGTTCTGATTCCGGTTCTGCTACTGCTACTGCTGCTACAGCCATTTGTCCGCTAAGTCCATTGCGGAGTTCGGCCAGACGCGCTTCGACACTGTCTAACGCTTTCTCTGCATGTTCGATAGCTTCAGAAAGTCGACCCGAGCTCAGGTCGAGGACGATACTGAGTTTGTAGTGGGCCTCTGCGATTTGACGGGATGATTGAGGGAGGAGGGAGAGTTTGAGGTCGAGTCCCGTGCTATAGTCGGTGATAGCTTGTTCGAATTTCTCTATACACACGTCGTTCAGAGTTTAACTCCCCATGGTGGCTTACCCTTGACACGAATGAGACTCACCTGTCTCTAACGAAACATCTCCAAGCGTGATATACGTTTCCGCAAGTCTGAGTTTCATTTCGTCACTCTCTTCCTGTTGTTTCTCGAAGATCGCCCGTGCGAGGTCAAGAACCTCCCAAGCAGCGTTGAAGTCATCTTCAGGTTCGACCTCCTCGCCTTCTTCCTCATCCTCGTGTCCTTCCGCCTCTTCAGCTTTTGCCGCGTTTCCGAAAAGGTCCACCGGCACGTCTTCTCCCTCATCTTCAGACTCCTCGGCATCACCAGAGAACGAGAGGAATGCGCCACTCGAAGATCCTATATGCCACATAATGATTTATAGTTATGACCAACCGAATAACAAGAAGGGCAGAAATCGGGACAACATACCACTTTCAGTTGGAATCGCACCCTCGGTTTGTTCCTTCCCAAGAACAGAACTCTGCGTGATAGCATTCTCTAACAACGCCTTCCCATACGCAAAGTAAACCTCTGCGATTTCCGGGGACTCTTCTCCATATTTGTCAGTCCTGCACAAAAAACACAAACAAAAACACGACAACGATGAGGTCATTGGCCACCAACAAACGCGCCGAATAAACTTACATGAGCTCTAACGCGGTGGCATAGTGATCTACGGCTTGTTCGTACTTCTTCAGCGCAAAGGCACGTTTCGCGAGCGCGAGGGATTCCTCGATCGTCGTCGTCGTGGTACCTTCAACAGGTTTAGGCTTTGTATTTGAGGGTGCAGTGGACGATGGTACAGGTTCGCTGTAACTTTGGTTCAGTAGCTAAGTACGGAGGAATGTGGTGTAGAGACTTACGGGGACATGTTGATTAGGTCGTGAATGAGGGAGGGCGGGGAAGAGGTGGTATGAGTGGGTTGCAGTGGTGGAAGAGGGACGTGTGGACGCGTTTTGAATGAACGCGGTCGCGCGTCTGATGTAAGCGATCACGTTTGTGTCAGTATTTGGCTGTATTTAGTGTAGGGGGCAGAACTCGTTTGGGCCGAGTTCTGCCATTTGCCAGGCAAAACGGCAATTGCCAGGTCTGGCGAAATATGGCAATTCATTTTTTGGCTTTTTCTGAGCTTGTACGGTTCAAAAATGGCCGGGCAAAAGTGTACTTAGAAATTAGTGCCATAGATTTGTATCATAGAGTAGTATGTTAGCTAGAACTCCATGCCGTTCATACGCAGGAGTGTATCTACGTTCCAAACAACCGCCTCAGTCGAAGAAGAAGGCATTTGGACTTCCTCATTAAAGGAGGCCGGCGCCATTCCCCTGTCAATGCGGTCAAGCTCAGTGAAGTCATAGATTTCGCCAGCAGTGGGAACGACATCTAGCAAGACTGGATCAACGTCGCGATTATCATCCGCTACTTCTTCCGCCCGTTGCCTCTCCCACTCCTCGTACTCAGCTGCAAACTGCTCATCCGTCATCCCCTCAGGTCCTTCCAGCGGAACCTCACGTTGCATAGCCTCATCAACAGATGTCACTGCGAGAGGTGGAATCCAAGTGAAGTTGATGTCAAGGTCCTTTGCAAGGTCAGTGTTGATGCCAGGAGTATTGCGAGTATGCATATGAGCATGGTTCCGATGGAGAGGCTTTCCCGCTTTCCGATTGTGCTCCCAAATAAGACGTTCATAGTTCGAGCGCATTCTGCCTTCGCGCTCGAAGTTTGGCACTGTAAGATTGATTCTTTTTCGTCCTTGAATTCCACCAAGGTTCGAGAAAAGCCTCTCAACTTCAGCTGCGTGAGGAACGATCGAGTGTAACTGCACAGCGAGGTCCTTAATAGGATAGCCTTCAGTGGCGAGGATAGGTAGAGACAACCACCATGCCTTTGCATCTGATTGACCTCCAACAAATGGCCCTTTGCAACTGTAGTATTCCTTTAGGTTGTCAAGAAGCCGTACAGCTCGTACCTCAGGCCAACGCAGTTGACGAGCAATATCCAGTGCAGCCTTGCAAATTTGATCAAATGTCCGACCCTTTCCTGCTTGGCCTACAGCAATGCGGCGACACAGTGGGTGGAGGAAAAGGGCAAGATTGTGAGTATCAGTGTTCATCCGATGAAACTCCTCGTTGAAGACTGATTTGGCATGCAACCAAAAGCCAAGATGGTCATGTCCTTCAGCGAATGGGACTCGGAACATCAACTCGCGAGCACAGCGAATAACTTCAAGCATGCAGTCTGCTAACATCGTCTGTCGTGCTTCCAAGTTTCCAATTGCATCGACGAGCGGTTTGCATATTTTGACCAGCTGACGCAGGTGACCCCAATAGTGTGCGTCTGTAAGAACAGTAGTTCTTACATCGTTATTGATTGGAGACAGACCATTTGTCTTCTCTCGGGCATCCGGATGTGCACATACTGCAGAGAGCGGATCGCTAGTACGTTATTCAAGTTCAGTATATTGTGATATGACACAAAAATCTTCATAACCTACGCAAATGACAGGACAGACATTGCCATGAGAATGAGGCTGTACCAACGCGAATCCGTGTGAGTCTTCAGTGATCGCTTCACACCACGTCTGTTGGCTTCTTCTTCAAGTTGTCCACCCCAGTAGTGTGATTGGTTGAAGAATGAGACGACACGAGAGGTCTGTGCAATAACTTTCTTTATTACTGGGTAACCAACAATGCGACCAATGGTTGTATTTAGTTTGTGTAGGAAACACCAGAAGGTCTGCATTACAAATGTGAGTCTAAATTCTACATTGCTCTGAAGTGAATGTGGGAACTCACAAGAATCCAAAAGAATTTCTCCCGGAACTTCCGTCGGAATGATTGCATAGTGGTTGGATTATCTGTGGTCACGGCGATGACGCCCTGAGCATTTTCAAGCTCATTTCACTCTAGGGCTTTTGTCGCAACTGCAACAAGGTTATCAGCTGTAGCTCGCTCACCCGTCAAGTCCTCCAGGCTCAGAACCTGAGGGAACTCCCCAACTTCGGCAGCAGCTGACCCATACAGACTCCGATGTAAAGCATCGTCCCATCCATCCATAAGGAATGTCCACTGCTTGCGACCCTGCAGTATACTGATTTCCTCACTCACAACCCGTGCATATTCCTTGTCCATAATTGTATGTGATAGGATGTATCGAGTTGGAGGCACGTATGACGGTCTGATGGACTGTGCAAAAATATGAAAGAACAAGTTCTCGGAATGCGAAAAGGTGCTATTGGTATGTATCAAGTACCTGCGAGTCATTAATAGATCATGGTGAATATGACTGACTATTGTTTCTGTCATGGTTATGACTTGCCTCAGCAGGTTAACATTTGCATCGAACTGTGCTTTCTCAGAAAGCGCATGGTCAACAAACCCATCTAAGGTTGTACTGACTTTGCGTTTCTTTGCAGTAGGTCTGGACGTGTCATCAGCATCGCCGTCTTCATGCTCGGTTGTTGAAGGTGCCGATAAAGTTGTTCCTAGAACAGGTGCTGATACTTGCAATTTTCCTTTACTTTGGAGGGCCAACCGTGCTTGCTTCCATGCATCCCCCGGAGCATTTGGACAGGTACCTTTGTCCATTAGGTGGTTGTAAAGGCGGTTATCCCGGTGTTCCATTTTCTTGACAGAATCCTCGGGTGCATCTGGGTCCGGAAAGCAATATCTGCAGATGTAGTATTTTCTGTTGGATTTATTTTGAATGTCTCCTGCTTCACGGAAGTTTTGTGTGATGAAGGCATCGGGCGGCCGTCTGCCCTTTTTGTTACTGGACATTCGACAGGAAGTAAAGAGAAATGGGAAGGCAAAAAATTGTATTTCAATTATGTTTCATGCATCGACTACAATCTCTCCGACGGTAGAATAGTTATAAGTTCTGCCATGTTTTGCCACCCCCCTCCAGACCTCCGGTGGCAGTTGCCGGGCAATTGCCATATTTGCCATGGCAATTGGCAGAAGGGTTTTGACCTGCCAACAACACTAGCTGTATTTCGCAGCTGTCGTGGTTCATCGATACATTATGGGCCATTTGGTACCAAAATTCTTGTAGTGAATAAAAGCTGCAGAAATATACAGCGCAGTACATTAAAGTACATGTTTTGGCAAACTTTTAGTCTGTCACTGAAATGTCGTAGTGGTATTGAAAACCTCAACCTGCCTCCCAGGCATGTTGGCCACCCACATGTTACGATCACTTTCATTTCGGATCTACGAACACACCTTTCCCTCTCGTTATTCATTTGTAACCATTTATTAAAACCTGCCCAAACACATTCATTGATCCATGCTCGAACCTGACCGATACCATAAGTATATACGAACACATTGTTACCACATGTATTTAGATAATAGTTGTATATATACACCAGACGAACTTCGGATTAACTCCAAGTTTCGAATGGTTTTACCTGCTCATTTCTAAATTGATTTGAGTCCTATCATAATTCGAAACTTGCCCCTTCGCACTCTCTTGACAGGCATTGCCTCGTCCTCCACCCACACTTCACCTCACTCAAAGTCCGTTGTACTCGACGGCAACCACCTCATTCCTCATCCCACTCTGCTTTACTCTCACTCGCTCAAGACCTCATTCGGAGGGATCCAAATTCCACATTCCTAGTTACTTTTCTATCACACTCCACTCCTCCACCTGGGTAATCACGTGACTACAACTGTAGATTGCGACCCTTATATTCCCTTTGTACATAAACCATTACTCTCACCTGGTAGTCCGCTCTTGAAGCAACCAGGAAGTAGGTGGTGCTGCAACCTTCTTGACAGAGGGGCCGTTGAAAAAATCTACCAGAATTTACCCTGCTCAGACCTAAATGACTGAGTGTATGGCAGGAGGTTTTGAACCTCGCTGGTATTCCTTGATTCTCTTGCACGTCGAAAGACAACTACCGCGGAGATCAATTTCTCTTTTTGCGCCTTCAAAGGCCAAACCATTTTACGTAGCTACTATATCTACCTACCTCATGTGTCCAGATCGGCAATTGGCCGGAACACTTTGAAGGAGTACCTTTACCTCAGATCTATACTCATCTAAGTACCAGAACAGGGTCGTGCGCCTGGTACAAGACACTATTGTTCACACACCACGTCTTCATTTGAATTCTCTGCACCACTCTATCAATACTACACACGTCGATCTCCACCTCCACTCGTACCATCACCACACTCATCCCCTACAAATCCCACACCACCTTCACCGATATCACCAATGGGTTCTACTGGATCTGGAACAGGCAGTCTCGAAGTGAATCCACCACCACCACCACCTCCGGGAGGAAACCCAAATCCACCCAGAAATCCACCTCCGCCTCCGCCAAATAACCCACCAGCAGCTGCACCACAGCCAAACACAAAGGCATCTGGAGGGAAACCCTCAGACTTTGATGGAACCAAAGACAAATATCCGTCTTTCAAAAGACAACTGTACTTATAGTTCCGAACACCCAAGAACATCGGTCTCACTGATGAACAGAAGGTCGATATGACTCTTTCGTACATGAAGGGTCCAAAGGTTGATGACTGGGTCAACAACTATTTTGAGAATGAATTTGACATTAGCACAGACAGCTGGAATGTCACTTTTCTTCTGTTGATCAAAGCCCTTGATGAACAATTCCTCGATTCAAATCGAGTCGAACAAGCAGTTATCCAAATGGATAACTTGACCCAAGGCAATGGGACGGCACAAGAATATTTCCAGAAATTGGAAATGTACATCACACAAGCAGGCAGAAAGAAGGACAATAAACACACTATCGACCTCATCAGACTCAACTGCAATGAATCCATTGTAGACAGAGTCCTCAACAAAGACACGCGACCAACTGACTATGCAGCATGGAAGGAAGCGATCATTGATATTGATTCCTCGCGAAGGCAGCAGGAAGAAGAGAAGCGTCTGAAGAAGATTGGATATCGACCATACCGATCAAACCAGAACTATGGGCAGAAGTACCCTGCCTATCAGCAGCAGACCCAAGGATCAGGTCAGAACCAGAATCAGAGTCCGAAGAAGGACTACGGAGAAAAGAAAGATGGAACCGGGACAACATTCACAGGGCATGGACAGCCCATGGACTTGGACAGGAATTGCCTTAAGTGTAAGGCTAAGCAATTAGAGAAGGGCACTTGCGGAAGTGCATGGCATGTTCCCAATTGATCGGGACCCTCCACGAACACTCAACGTGTTCAAAAGAATGAAACCAAGACAGAGTCCAAGATCGAGGAGATCTCCGACTCAGATAATGACAACAATGACAAGATGATCGCCATGGTTCGGCGATGGATGGAGAAGAACCCGGAGAAGGCGAAGAAGCTGAATTTTGGCTTGGGCAAGGCTTAAACGCACAAAGTAACTTGCCGGATAAGAACAATGACTCGGATAAACCCCTGGAGGGTTCTATAGAAACATCTTCAATACATGCCTATAGTACATCAATCAGACAGTCCCCTTTTGTAAATATTTCATCTAACGCAGAGGCATCTTCTACCAAGAAGTGCGGCAGGGCGGAACCTGTGCTTGATTCCTCTAAACAAAATACAAAAAAATTTGAAAATAAACTGAGTGCGTTGGATAAAAGCATCACAAACATCAGACCATCATTACTCCGAGTTGTCAAAGGACTTGGAAGAGGGAAACAAATGGACCTACCGGTCACCATAATCATCCCAGAAACAGAAAGAATTCATGATACAATAGCATTAGTTGACACCGGAAGTACCGGATCATGCATAAATTATAATTTCGTAAAAAGGCATGGAATCGAAACCTCTAGATTTGATCAACCGATCCAAGTCTATAACACGGATAACAGTGAGAATTCTCAGGGACCGATCACAGAATACGTCCGACTCACACTTCGAATTGGCGATCACCAAGAGAAGATCATGCTTCTAGTTACCGATCTGGGGAAGTCAGACATATTCCTCGGATATGAATGGATTGAATACCATAATCCATCAATAGACTTCAAATTGCAACTTGTTGACTTTAACCGATGCCCACACACGTGCGTCACTATAAGACAACAAGAAATCGAAGAAGGAGATACCGTATATTTACTCAATACCAATGCTTGGTATAAAGAATGGGGAGAATATATTCAGCGAATGCGCGTAACAGCCATGGACATAGCAATCGAACAAAGTAAACAAAAAAAGAAAAAAACCTTTGAAGAAATGGTTCCCAAACAGTATCGTGAATTCACAGACATATTCACTGAGGATACTTTCGACGTCCTTCCAGAAAGGAAACCATGGGACCATGCAATAGAACTGCTACCAGATTCATCACCGTATGCAGGCAAAGTGTATTCCATGACTGTTGAAGAACAAAAAATCCTAGACAGTTTTCTTGAAGAAAACCTAAAGACGGGAAGAATCCGACCATCAAAGTCTCCCTGGGGAGCACCCTTCTTCTTTGTCAAAAAGAAAGATGGCAAATTGCGACCGGTACAGGACTACCGAAAACTCAATGATATGACCAAGAAAAACAAATATTCTTTACCATTAATCTCAGAGCTTATTGATAAGCTCAAAGGTGCTAAATATTTCACGAAACTGGACATTCGCTGGGAATACAATAATATTTGCATGAAAGAAGGAGATGAAGAGAAAGCTGCATTCATCACAAATAGAGGATTATATGAACCAACCGTCATGTTCTTCGGATTGACAAATAGTCCTGCTACATTCCAGATGATGATGAATGATATTTTCCGTAATCTCATTCTCAAAGGAAAAGTAATCATATATCTTGACGATATACTCATATTTTCTGAATCCCTGGAGGAACATCGCCGTATTGTGAAAGAAGTCCTTAAAATATTACGAGAAAATAAATTAACCTGCAAACCAGAAAAATGCGAGTTTGAAACTCAAGAAACAGAATATCTCGGACATATTATTTTGCAAGGAACTGTAAAGATGGATCCTGCCAAAGTCGACAGAGTTACGCAATGGCCAGTACCAAAAGCCAAAAAGGAATTACAGTCATTCCTTGGATTTGCTAATTTCTACCGACGATTCATCAAAGACTTTTCTAAAATTGCCACTCCTTTGAATAAATTAACCGGACAAGTAGAATGGACCTGGGGTCCAGAACAGCAGGAAGCTTTTGAACTTCTAAAGAAAACCATTACCACGGCACCGGTATTGGGTATCCTGAACAATGAAGATCAGTTCAAAGTAGAATGCGACGCGTCAAAATATGCTATTGGAGCAGAACTTGCACAAAAGCAAGATGGACAATGGCGAACTATCGCTTTCTTATCAAAAAGCCTTTCACCGGCTGAAAGAAATTATGAGATCTACGATCGAGAGATGCTAGCCATCATGATCTCATTAGAAGAATGGCGTCACTTCTTGATGGGAGCCACGCAGAAATTTGAAATTCATTCTGATCACAAAAATCTTGGCTATTTCAAAAAACCTCAGAAGTTGAATCATCGCCAGGCACGATGGATCCAAGAATTACAACAATATGATTTCAATTTGACCCACAAACCTGAAAACACAATGATGAAGGGAGATCCTTTATCGCGACAGACTCATCACGATATTGGAGATAGTCATAATGAAAACATTACGTTGTTGAAACCAGAATGGTTCCGAGCCAATGAAATCCTCGGATCATCAGCTTTACAGGAGAAAATCATAAAAAATACTGATAAATATGAAAACAATGTATGATTAAAACTATTGACAAAAGATGCCGACTTCAATGAGACCGAGGACGGTCTTATCTGGAGAAGGGGGAAGATTGTTATCCCTTTTGACAAGGAACTCAGAGGAGAAATTATTCATTCGCATCATGACTCGATTAGTGCCGGTCACCCTGGACAAGCAAAAACACAAGAACTAATCTATCGATCGTACTGGTGGCCTTCGATCAAAAAAGACGTAAAAACATATGTAAAAGGCTGCGAGACTTGTCAAAAAACTAAGATTAACCACCAACCAAAGAATGCTCCATTGCACCCAAATGCAATTCCGAAACACAACTGGGAATATCAATCTGTAGACATGATTACACATTTACCAGAATCGCAAGGGTATGATGCAATCATAGTAGTTGTGGACATGAAATCAAAAGATTACATTGAAATACCAACTACGGAGCAATTGACATCAGAAGGATGGGCTAATCTCTATATCAAAAATGTATATCCGTTGCACGGATTACCAAAAAAGATGACATCAGACCGTGGACCACAATTTGTATCCAGCTTCATAAAAGACTTATATAAAAAACTAGGAATTCAGGGAAATCCTAGTACGGCATATCATCCGCAGACAGACGGACAAACTGAACGAATCAATCAGGAAATTGAAAACTATTTACGAATATTCATCAATCACCGACAAACTGACTGGCCAGAATGGTTGCCACTGGCAACATTTGCATATCGAAATAGAGTCCACTCTGCAACTGGATTTTCACCATTCTACATGAATCACGGACGAGAAGCCTACACTGGTGTAGAAACCAAAAAGGAAATTCGTAATGAAACTGCAGAGCAGTTTGTAGCACGAATGAAGAAAATCCAAGAAGAAGCATCAGCATCGTTAACGTTAGCACAGGATGTTATGAAAAGACAATACAATAAACATAAAGGCGAAGCCATAAATTATAAAGATGGAGATTTGGTGTGGCTTGAAGCTACACATATACGAACGGACAGATCAAATCGAAAATTAGATGATAAAAGATACGGACCATTCCCGATTATCAAGAAAATTGGAGCTAGCGCATACAAGCTCAAATTACCAAAATCATGGAAAGGCGTACATCCTGTATTCAATGAAACATTATTATTGCCATATCATGCACCGGAATTCCCAAATCAGAAAATACACAAAAACATTCCAATAATTATCGATATCTTAGAAGACAAAGCTGAATCCGTATTAGACTCCAAGATGGCACGTGGAGGCCTTCAATATCTAATCAAGTGGGCTGGAAAACCATGTTCTGAAAACACATGGGAACCTCGTCATAAAATTATTAAAAATATAGACAAAAAGATTATCGACAAATTCCATAAAGATCATCCCGATGCGCCGAAAGCACCCACAAGAATATTGCTAAAGGCACAAATTATGGAACAGTCATTTCCTAGAGAAGCGACACAAGAAGAATGGGATTATTGGGATCAGAAAGTACAGCGATGGGCAGAACGTCGTAAAAAAGAAAAAGCAATGATATCTGTGGACCCAGATTCAATTAAATTATTCAAAAATCGAAGAAAAGCACAAACCATATCTAATCAGCACTACCTGAATGCCGGCGAGTTATGGATCATCAATGAGCAGACGCTCAAACTGACACACGTGGCAATCACATCTGCGCCTACGAAAGTCAAACTCGAATGGCAATACCCCATTCTTTCCTTCTATCAACTCGTCGAACCAACATCAATCCCAAGTATGGATTCCCCTATCTTAGAACACTCATTCACTCAACCAATGAAAGCTCTTTGGTAGAAATGGACAAAGACGGAACCATCATCCTTAGCGTCTTTGGCGGCATAATCCTATGCACTGTTGGAGTAATACTCTGGGTTGTATGGTATAGAGAACGGGAGAGAGAAAACTCGGAAGAATGGATCATCATGGTATGATTGAACAATTCCATATCTATCATAAATTAATCGTGAGGACACGATTCTAGAGGAGGGGGTAATGTTACGATCACTTTCATTTCAGATCTACGAACACACCTTTCCCTCTCGTTATTCATTTGTAACCATTTATTAAAACCTGCCCAAACACATTCATTGATCCATGCTCGAACCTGACCGATACCATAAGTATATACGAACACATTGTTACCACATGTATTTAGATAATAGTTGTATATATACACCAGACGAACTTCGGATTAACTCCAAGTTTCGAATGGTTTTACCTGCTCATTTCTAAATTGATTTGAGTCCTATCACCACATTACCGACCGTCTTTTCATCTGCGCGAAAGAGACTGGCATGTCTTGTATGGTCGGCATGAAGCCTGTTTAAGACACGTTTTGACATCTCCCCTACTGCAGGTTTTCCGTACCTGCATGTGGTTCAGTTTGGAATGAAAAAGGTTTTCTACACCAGCATGAGTTGCACTAGAACGGCTGAGCTCAGGTTCGTACTTCAACTGCATAAGGATTAAAAAAGCTGCTCGCTGTCGGATGACTGTCGAAAAAGGTTTGTTAGATGGCGAGCATATTAGCTAGGTGAGAGGGAACTTGCAGCAGCTCATTCAGGCTGGTGACGATGAGAAACAAGAAAATTAATCATCTCCTCTCTGACTGGGAGTCGAACCCAGCTTTCGCGCGTGACAGGCGCGTGTACTAAACCGATATACTATCAGAGATGTTAACCAGTAGACTATCTGTCTTTAAAGATTTCTATGTAGGATAAACAAGATGTCAATTTAATTACCGAACAGTTCATTCACTCATGACAGGTGACTACTAATTCATGAGCTGTGATGGCCCTAGAACGGGATGTGTATGTTGGGATGATGATGTCAAGGGCCCGCATCATGCTGCAACATTATTGAGACTGTACAGCAGTTTAGCCACAGTAGTAATTGGATGTACAGTTTGAGACACAGCTTGGAGTTGAGAATCAGAAATTTTTGTCTGCTACTGTATCCTCGATGAGTCCCTCCGAGTCAATGGCAGACATGATGTGCTTTGATGATGATCTGTTGGTCTTGGAGGTCCTGACCATACCCGCTATCCTTCATGATAAACTTATCTCACGGACAACACCTATCCAACAGTTCTTGGATATGCAACAACACTTTCCGCGCTTGGATCATCCAACTATATCATTCTCTCTCGGTCTCATATTTACTACACATCTCATACTAGTACCCAACTTTAGCGAGTTACTTGCATGATCGATACAGTACTCTTAATAGGGAGCCCAAACCAATAGCTAAATTTATTCCAGCAAGTTGAAGACAAAGTAGCTACTGTGTTCAGCGCATGACGTCAGGTTCTTGCTGTAGAACTTTTAAGCACTTCATTTCGAAGTTTCCTCTCAGGCAGCGACATGTCGTGACAGTCTGCACAGTGACAGGCACAAAAGATATCACTTGCGATATGCTTGTGATCACTCTTTCAATCTAGCTCAATCTTTCGTGCGAATGCAGACTATCAGAATCACTTGCATCAAGTTATTCACAGCCGACCGTACTCACTCACTCTCATCATAGTCTATGCTATGTTGAGTCGACTGTATTGACTCTATCTTTTCACAGTTTCTTGACCTCTTGGACGCGTATATCTAGACTCATGACGAGCAAAGTTGGCTATAATATTGATCTAGAAAAACGCTTGCAGGGATCGGTTCCCAAGAAAGGTCATACTCAGGCTCACCCCACTTTACTATCAAGTACCTCATCTTCAGACGACCCAAGAGACGTATTGCAGGGTGAAGATCGAGCATGGTTCTCACATTGGAAGCCCTTTCTAGCTGGGCTCTTACTATCCCTGGTCGTGGTGCAACAGTTTCCAAGAAGCGAACAGCCTGTTATTTGTTCACCGAATGCAAGTTCCGTCTGTCCGGCAGCGTCACCGATTGCTCCTTCTGTTCACGCGGATCTCCTCAAACAGTTGGAGATCAGCTATGCGACCGAGGGCTTCAAAATTAATTCATTTGCATTGTTGGGTGGGGCAGTGAAGATACCGTATGTCACGTAGACCCAGTTCATGTATGCATCACACTAACGTACGACGCTTGTAGCACGGAAATGTTTGATGACATGAAGGTCCCTGGACAAGACCCTCGATGGGACGTATTCAATCAATTACATGGATACATCGATTCGCACTTTATTCAGGTGTGAGTGTCCCGTCAAGTTGTGCAGTTGGAGCGAACCTAGATATTTGTCTCTCTTACAACTAGATACCGTGAACTGCGCAAGACAACAATCAACACCTATGGACTTGTCTATCATTGGCAAGGATCTAACCCGGATCTGAAGCCTCTTCTCTTGACCGCTCACCAAGGCCAGTCTTTCCCATCACTGCTGCAGACTTCGTTGGAGGAGCTGAAAGTTCTTCACGTCATATACGTAGATGTTGTTCCTGTCGAACCACTTACGGTGGACACTTGGCTATACCCTCCATTCTCTGGAACATGGGACGGTGAGCCTCATCATAGTGAATGAAGGCAATCTATGCCGAACTAGACATACTTTCAGGCAAATGGATCTGGGGCCGAGGCAGTTGTGACGATAAACCGGGCCTCATTGGATCTTTGTACGCCCGCCACAGAATATTCATGAATCATTGTGGACCATGTCAATTGCAGGACGGCGATTGAGAAACTACTCGAGAAGGGCTTCAAGCCCCAGAGAACTATTGTTCTGGCGTTCGGTATCGATGAAGAACGTGGTGGAATTGTCGTATGTATTTTCTCTGCTTGAAACTGTGTAACGGTGAACTACATGATTTATTGTTCAGGGAGGGACTGGAATCCGAGACTATCTACTCTCTGCATATGGCCCAAATGCTTTTGCATTACTGATAGACGAAGGCGGTAAGTTCCTTTCCAGAATTGAGGCTGTCACTACACATGCAGACCCTGTTCATCCACTGTAGGGACTTTGGAGGCTCACAGCGACGGCGTAATCGCGACTCCAGCCGTGGCAGAGAAAGGTCATTTTGACCTCCGGATGAGCATATCTACACCAGGAGGACATTCAAGTGTACCACCGGAGCATACTGTAAGTAAAGCCACACCGGGAACAGACCCTCAGCTTAACTCACGTTCCGTAGAGCATTGGCATCCTTGCAGCATTGATTGCAGAGCTTGAAGCCAATCCGTTCACACCTCATCTTTATCGAAATGAGCCATATTTCACAGCTCTGCAATGTCAAGCTCTTGTTGATCCCGAGATGGACGACGAACTTCGTGACTTGATCGGCAAGGCGCGGTACAGTGATAAGGCTCTGGCTGATCTTGAGGAGAGATTGTTCCGCAACCCATTGTCTAGAGCTTTGGCTGGAACTACTCAGGCTACGGACATCGTGCATGGTGGGGTAAAGACTAATGCGCTACCCGAGAACGCTTTTGCCATCGTGAATCATAGAATTGCGGGCCATAGGTATGACGCGAAGGCATTTTTCTTCTACTTTAGCTAATGGCTGCACGACTGTGCATCAGTTCTGTCTCCACCGTAAAGACCCATATTGCCGCAGTACTGCTGCCCATAGTCAAGAAGTTCAACCTTTCGTTAGACGCTTTCGGCGAGAGTCTCAACGGGGAGCTGAGCCAGAAAACATCAGGACACTTGAAGTTATCGGACGCTTGGGGTACTGCTCTTGAGCCCGCTCCCGTAACTCCTTGGCTGAAGAATCCGGCCTATGATCTTCTTGCTGGAACCATTCTCAATGTTGTAAAGACCTCGGCGAGGTGGAATAATCCTGATATCCCAGTCATCGTTGCGCCGGGGACTATGACTGGTACGTGAAGCTCAGAGGGTTTCTTGGAAAGCGTTCATTACTGATCATGCTTTTCCAATCAGGGAATACTGGTGAGTTCGCTTACACTGCTCAGTGTAAATGTGGACGTCAATATTCTTTCTCAGATACCAGGTATTACTGGAATTTGACTCAGAATATCTTCCGTTATGGTCATGTCAGCCGCTTTGACAAGTACAATGGTGCTCACACAGTCAACGAAGGTACGATTTGAAGTCATGTTCTTCTCGTTCACATCGCTGATCGAAATAACAACCTATATCTGCAGCTATACTCGCAGATGCCTTCATCGATCTTATTCGCTTCTTTACTATCGTGATTCTCAATGCAGATGAGTCCAAAATCCTGTAGATATTAAAGTAATGTTTAACTTCATACGTGGTATCCTTCCTATCATACGAAAGCGAATGACGAAGCGTAAGAAACAAATCCGAAGAGCCAACAACATCCTACCAAATTAAACAAAAGCAAAGAGATATCAAATGATACGAATCTAGTCCCAGACTAACTGTCCCTTCTCGTTGACATACGAAGACATACCGCCACTCGGCTTCTTGCCCTTCAAAGCGTGCTGCTCTACCATCTTCGCTTTCTCCACCTCGCGTTTGTGTCTGGCCAACACGGCCAAACGTTCAGCCTCGGCATTCGCCTTCAAGGATTTCTGAGCCTCGCGCTTGGCAGCGTTCTGACGTTGCTTCTTGGTGAGAGATTCTGGCGCGGAGAAGTTCTGTGATGATTGGGGCGAGTTCGCCTTATTGACTTCTGGTAGAACACAATGAGAAACATTAGTACGATGTAGGGTAGGGAACTTGCTGAAATCTCACTTGGTCTGGTGCGACTGTTCTTCACCACCCAACCACTTTCATCCTCTCCGTCTGCATCATCAGCAGTCTGTCGAGACTCATCCACGTCTTCATAGTCTGCCCATGAGAACCCAGCAGCAGGTCGCTCATCAGGACGTGGCTGAACACGCATAACGCGTGCCAAGCTGGGAACATCGGGTGTTTCGAGCATGCTAAGCTGACAGTCAGTACATGAATACACGTAGACTATATTCGGTACACGTACTCGTCCACACCAGTCCTGCGTGGCTTCGGAAGCAGTTTCTCTGCCAGAGTACGCCGGTTCTCTGTAACTTCTGGCCGAGATGTTTCCGCCTGGGCTTCATCCTCCGTTCGGTCTGCAACAGAAGATGACGTTCCTGTTACAGACGTGATTCCAGCATCACTCTCGGAGGGACGTGGAACGTTGGAGCTGGTCGAACCCTCCGCAGCTTGTTGTGAAGCCGTGCGTTTGCGAGGCTCGACACGAGTCCAAGGCCCGTCGTTCTCCAGCAGTGAAGGTGCAGCAGGCTTCGGCGCGGGACTCTTCTTCTTAGTCGGCCTGGAATGTGACTCTGGAGCAGTGGCAGATGAGTCTGACTGAGCATCGGTTGGGACAGTGCGAGCTGCACCACCAGTTACAGCAGTCCCTGCTTTCTTGCCTTTCTTCTTCTTCGACTTGGTGCTCTTCGGAGCTGGTTCAGCAGCTGGCTGGGCCTCTGCCTGCGCGGGCTCGAAGCTTCCAGGAATAACTGGTGGGAAAGACACGACATTCGCTTTGCCTGCAGGTAAGACATTTGTATCAGAGGGTGCCTCATTAGCAGCTTGCAGTTGTTTCTTGTTCTTCTTGTTCTTCTTGCCACCACCAGAAGACGTACTAGCACCTGGAACAGCTGTCTGAGTGGCAGAATCAGTGGGAGTGGGTGATGGTGATGAACGCGACGGTGGTGGTGGCGGCTGGGAAAGTACGCGTTGTGCAACCACGTAGACGACCGCGCCGACCGCGACGACGACGAGCACGGCACTCTGGGACGACAAATAGCTTTGAATAGAGCCCATGCTAGGTGTAAATAGGATAGAGAATGAGTGACTGCCAGCAACGAACGGCGGATGGGAAGGAGAAGCACAAGCGAAATTCGAAACCGCAGTTGTGCCTTATCCTTGTAATAGCCTCCTAATTATGGAAAGTCTGGTTGTTTATAGAAACATACCCAGCTTTCCGAGATATATACAAGACAACCGGCTGAAGAAAAAGGGAATTGTGCAAGACGAAGATAATATCGTAGTATTATGAAGTTCGTGTTGTATTTAATACTACATACGTGAAGGAGCCATTGCTACGTTGGGCGTGAGTAAACTTTCAGATGCACTAAAAAGCCGCCAACGTATTCTCAAGTTCTATAGTCCCCATTGATCCTCACGTACTCCTGAAATGAAAGGATGCGTTCAAGTCATCACAAACATACGCATAGAGCGGGAAGCACTCACGTAACTGAAATCACACGTCCAATACTTCGCACTCTCATTTCCGAGACCCAAGTCGACGCGAATCTCCAGATCTTCTGCACTCACGATCTCCTTCGCCCGTACTTCGTCAACCTTCTCGGGTTCACCGTTAACGAGAAGAGGAAGTGGTGCTGTGCCGTCGGCAGGGATGAAGGAAACAGAGACACGAGTAGGATCGAGAGGTGCTGAAAGAGGAATAGAACCGGTTGCGGCGAGGATACGTCCCCAGCTGTGCGGAATATGAGGAATACAGTTATAGAGTAACAGGGAAAGTGCTTACTTCGCGTCTTCTCCGAAGAGTGCTGTCTTTACGAGGGCGGAGGTAGAAATACGGGATGCGACCTTGTGAGCATCTGCGTAGCTGGTTGCTCCCTGAAATCGCCGTGAGCGAAATCTTAGAATGGAGGAAACATACGTACATCAACGGATACTGTGACGAATTTCGTAGCACCTTCACCATCTCGCACAACGAGTTGGGCTAGGTCGATCGCGAACGTAGTAAGCTCCTGCTTGAAAAGCTCAAAGGCTTCCGGGTCTGCCTGTTCATCAATCTCCGCAGAACCTTCAGCAGCAGCACCGTTTGCTAACACCAAGATAGTGTCATTGGTAGACATATCGCCGTCAACACTGATCGAGTTGAAACTCCTGTCCACAGCGTAAGTCAGAGCAGACTGCAAGCTCTTCGGCACCACAGCTGCATCAGTTAAGATGCACCCCAATAACGTTGCGTGAAGTTGTCCTGACGGAGGGCCCATATTCGGGTGGATCATGCCTGCACCTTTGTCCATCCCTGCGAGATGATATTCCTTGCCACGAATGCTGAACGTTCTGGCACGAAGCTTGGGGAATGTGTCCGTCGTCATGAATGCCCTTGCCGCACGCTCCCATGCCTCAAATCCAGATCCAAGCGTAGACTTTGAGTCGACGCTCTTTGGTGACTGAGACGTGATTCCCGCTAGGATCTTGCTGATCGGCAATGTCTGTCCGATGACACCTGTGGACATCACTAGAGTCTCTTTTTGTGACTTCTGGCCTTGATTAGGCTCAAGGAGAGCATCGGTTGCAGCAACCATTGCCCATGCATCCTCCATACCCTGCTTTCCTGTTACCGCGTTCGCACATCCACTGTTCACGACAAGAGCTCTCGCCCGACCCTGATTTTGTTCAAGCACTTGCTGTGAAACAACAACAGGTGCAGCTTTGAAGGCATTGCGAGTGAAACAGGCTGCTGCAGAAGCAGGTCGAGAAGACGTGGAGAGAATTACAGCCAAGTCAAGGACACCTGGCTTCTTCTTGACACCGGCGTGGATGCCAGTCAGTACATAGCCTTTTGGAAACGCTGAATCGGGAATGGGCGCATGTAAATGAGTTTTTGAGGGGGTTGGTTTGGAGGTGAAGGTCGACGAAAAGCGCCTCCAGACGGAGGTCTTGGACAAGGAGGCCATGTCGACTGACTCACCGCTAGCCGCTCTTCTGGGTTGTGGACTCACGCACAAACGTATGATCCTGCCTTTATACTCGGACGCGAAAGCCACGCAGGGCCACCCGAAATGACCCTCGAACGTTACAGGAACGTGCCAAGAACTGGAGAAGAAGTATATTCCCTTCGCACCGAGGCTTGCCCGTGAAGATCGAGTAAACCAAACAGCAAACTACATAGTAGAGAGCAAAACAAAGGGATGATACACGATTGATCTGCCATCGCTCCGTTACTCGAGCTCATCGAATAAGACGACGACCGAGTGCAGCTCTGAAGCTGCATCGACGGACAGAGGAAGGAAATGTTGAAAAGTCTATAAAGTTGTGTTGGTCCGAAATGGGAAACGACTCCCACGGCGCAGTCCGAAGCGCCGGCCCACTCAACGCCAGGCGCTTCCACAAACCTTGGTGACCATCCTCAAGACTCTCGATACCGGCCGGTTCAACGACAAAAATGGGCTCAACAAGGTAAGAAACGCGTTGCTGAAGCTCTGATGGTCCATCTGGAGGCAGGACGTATGCTAGAAGGATGTTTGGGCACTCGGAATAGGCTGGATGGAAACTCGTTTGGTCGGATGAAGGCAACTAGGTCTATTCATCAAAATTCCCGCCGCTCTCTGGCGACCTTTGGGACCATGCTCTTCCCTCCGCTCTTGCGATTCCGAATGCTCTAGAATGGTCGCTCATCTTGCTATGTTCGTAGACTCTACAGCAAGGGACGTGTCCTCGGCCACAAGCGCGCCAAGCGCAACACCCGCCCTAACACTTCGCTCATCCAAATCGAGGGTGTAGCTACCAAGGAGGATGCCCAATTCTACCTCGGCAAGGTGTGCAATATTTGAGGGCTCCAATTCCAAAAGATGCTCATGTATGCTACTTCTAGCGTGTTGCATACGTTTACCGGGCGAAGAAGGAGATTCACGGTTCCAAAGTCCGGGTGATCTGGGGGTGCGTTATTCATTTGTTCGTCTCATGGTTCCAACACTTACGCTTATGCACGTCCAGCCGTGTCACCCGCCCTCACGGTGGCTCTGGTGTGGTCAAGTCAAAATTCACCTCCAACCTGCCACCACACGCATTTGGTGCCAGCGTTCGTGTGGTACGTATTAAGTCGCTGCTGTCAACGATGAATTGATCTAATCTGACACGTTTTAGATGTTGTACCCCTCCAACGTCTAGTCTACTCGCATGTTTTTGGCATTTCCTCTTCCTCTACCGTACTTGCAATATGACATGCTTCCATGACCTGCATGCAACTCATTTTTTGTGCGCTCATCGGGAATATATGGTGTATCAGTAACTTCGTGCCCCACTAACTCTTGAGTTCGCGTCAGAGTCTGCAGATCGCTTGTGCGTACCTATGTCATATTTAGGTTGAATATTGCGATGTCGACGTCCAGCATCATGTGATTATGGGTTGTAGGGAATTGTATGTTTATCTCGTGGGACTCCTTGGTCTGTTTATGAACAGGTACGCTCTTCTGAGAATTTGAGGGGTCTTGGCAACTCAATCTTCAGTCTAGCGTACACTCTGAACCACACCTTCATGGTTGCAATAGGTGTCTCATGATGTCAGCTGATAGCTTTTGTTGGCGCTAGGATTGCGACAACGACGACAGATAGTTGCAATACTTGCTAATCGTACGGAAATATGCATTGAAAGCATTTCCTGGGACATTCTAACCCCACTTCAGTACTCCGGTCGGCCCCCTCGTCCTGGATACGAAATCCACTCACATGCTCCATGTTGATGCCACAGCTTAGCTTAGAATGCATGTCTCTTTTTACCCACATCACTCAACTCATTTCCCCTCTCCCAGGACGTTGCACGAGTGGACTTCTGATACGTCGAAAATGAGAGTTTTGACGCAAACGCGTTGTGGATTTTGCCATTTGTTGATGTTATAAGACCTGCGCGCGTCGCATTGGGCCCCCTTTTCCCCTGTTCCACTCTTTCAGGACTGCTGCTAAAATTCGAGCTCATCTGATAGGACGGTCACGTCTCTGGTTGTCCGCTGTTCTGCCCTCATACGAGCTCTGCTTTACGACTACCGACGGTTCACGATGTCCGACGAGAAGAAACCTGAAGCCACTCACTCCGATCGAGACAGTATTGAGAAAGTTGAGGTGGCGCATGTCAAGTCTGACGATTCGGAGGAGGTATATGACTTTGCTGGAGAATCAAGCCTACCGCCTCCACCGAAGTTAACACCTGAGCAAGAGAGGAAACTCTATAGGAAGATCGACCTCAGGATAATGCCTATTGTAACGCTCATGTATTTGTTCTCTTTCTTGGACCGAGGTACGTATAACATTTTTCACTTCGGGACGTAGCGGCAGTGTGAGAGGATCGTACGGTACTGAATACATTTGTGTATAGGAAATATTGGTGAGTTGAGTTTTCCTCGCTGAAGTCGAAACACGTCTCAACGCCTAGAACATCTCCTCAGGCAATGCGAAGCTTCAAGGGCTAACGACGGAGCTTAATCTGACCGGAAATAAGTACAACATCGCGCTAGTGAGTTCCATTGATGCCATCTGACGTCGAAGCTTAGTTTCCCGATTACAACTGTAGACGATGTACTTCATTGTACGTAGTTGAGGTTTTGCGATCTCGAAATCCTTTTCAAGCTAACATATCACATACATAGCCTTATTGTCTCGTTGAATGTCCTGCAAAGTATGTTGTAGCCCATCAATTCATGCTTGATATGTCGCTTATCTACTGTCCATAGTCTCCTAGTAAAGAGACTGAGACCATCCAGGTGCGCTTTCACATTATACCAATTCGGCCATGCTCATAACCCCCAATATTAGGTGGCTGCCAGCAATAACGGTAGGTTTTGTATTATTGCTTTGCTTGTTATTCTAAATCATATTCTCAGGTGGCATGGGGTATCATCATGTACGTATTTATGTTTCACATATTGTCTTGAAGTTTATCGAGATACCGTGACCAGGACGTGCATGGGTATTGTTCAGAAGTGCGTTACTCCATAGGCACCTACGCTCTTGGATCTGATGCCGGTTGTGTTCTTCAAGCTACCCACAACTGGTCGTGTTACGAGTTTTACTGGGCATGGCTGAAGCTGGCTTTTTCCCTGGCGTTGTTCTATGGTTGGTCCTCCCACATATACCAGTATAACAGAGTAAGCTGACTTTGCTGACTATGCTGAAAGTTTGACATTTTGGTATCCACGACACATGCTTCAGTTTAGAGTTGGTCTCTTCTGGGGTGGAGCTACTGTGGCCGGTCCGTCTACATGCTACTCACCCAGATTCTATCATTACCTTAACGCTACGTAACCGTTCAGGTGCTTTCTCCGGTCTGCTTGCTTTCGGCATATCGTTCATGAGTGGAAGACACGGCTTGCTTGGATGGTCGTGGATATTCGTGTGTATTCTTTCATCCTGTTTGTTTTGTAAGCTCAAAATAGGTTACATGGCAGATTATCGAGGGTATCGCAACAGTTGCTGTTGGCATTCTAGGCTTCTTTCGTATGTATTCTTGTGCGCACAGTCCCTCGCAACATATATGCTGAACATTTCGCAATCAGTCTTGGTTGACTTTCCGGCGACCGCATCTTTCCTTACGCCAGAGGAACGCTCTTACATCATCTGGCGCAAGAAGTTTGACAATTCTACGGTCGGCGAGGAGGAACATTTTGCGCTGAAGCATGTCTGGAAGGCGTTTTCCGACTGGCAGGTATGATCACAATTAGCTGTTTCCGAATCGGATCTGAATTCAGTTGTGTTTTGCAGATATGGGTACATATCCTTATCTATATGTCAATTATTGGGCCATGTGTGTACATCCATATTTTGATCCTCTGTGTTTGTACTGAAGTTGGTGATCTACAGTGTATAGTATATCGTTCTTTCTCCCGTACGTCTTTCAGCTTGTGATTACACCTGGACGCTGGCTGCATGCTTACTTCCCCTCTCCTGCTACCTATCCATGGTAGATCTATAATCAACGGGTAAGTTGCCCAACCCGAGTATCGTAATCCCCAATTAACATGCAACCAATAGCTTCGGTTTTAGTACCGCCATTAGCCAACTGCTCACAGTGCCTCCGTACGTTTGCGCAAGTAAGTCTCTCAGTCTTTCAGTTCTTCAGTTGTTGCAACTGTTACCGGATTTCGGTCATGTTAGCCATTGTCACCATCATCTTTGCAATTTGGTCCGATCGAGTTCAGAAGCGTTCACCATTCATACTGGCAAGTTTAACTATGTGCCTCATCGGATTCTCGATCAATGTCTCCCGTGCACCCATTGGCGTCAAGTATTTTGGGACCTTCTTCTGTGTGACCGGAAGTTATGCCGCCTTCCCTGGCGTTATCTCTTGGTATAGTTCATTTATGCTGGCTTGTGCAATCAACTGCTAATACCCTGGCACAGGCTGGGAAACAATATGGCTGGTCAATATAAGCGTGCTACGGGAATAGCATTACATATTGGCATAGGAAATCTTGCTGGAGGTTCGTGTTATACTTCGGATTGCGAATAAGTCTATTTTGAAGCTGACTAAAAATATAACTTTCACAGCTATTGCCTCAAATACATACCGCTCCCAAGATGCCCCACGATATATCATAGGCCGTGAGGACTGTCTCTCTTCCTTCCATTCCTCGTTTAACACCTACCATTTGTTTCAGACGCTATTGCACTGATGTTTGTTGGCATCGGGCTCACCGCTGTTCCTCTCGCAGTGACACTCTACATCAGAACCAACGCGAAACGAGAGGCGCATTTACAGCATCTTCGAGAAACCGGAACCAAGTATAGCGTGAAAGAACTACTACAGATGGGCGACCGTGCGCCTGATTTTAGATACACGTTGTAAGAGTCTGCTTATCTTACACACTCTAGCCGCATAGCGGTGCAGGAAAGGATCATTACAGCCCTTTGCATAATTCCGTGAAAGTTGCAGATTTTTTTCTTCTGTTTGGCCAGCTTTGATCACGCCAAATAGCGTGACCTATGTTATGCACAGTGGCACTGTCTACGTAGCTCCGAAGGCCGACATTCCACCTTCGACAAATTCACCTCAAGCTACGTCGGTACCATGTTTTCGCGTAGGAATGATAAGAACCGTCCCTTCATGACTGAGCGCGCCCTCAAAGATATCTGGTGCAACAATCCCTTTGCTTGTGAGAGTTAGAAGGACAGAATAACAAATACCCTGGAGGAAGTTGCTTGTTCTGAGCGGTGACCAGTCCATTCACCTCTGTAGTGTCTGGTTGTCATCGCGGTGAAGTGTAAGCAACTTGGTGAACTTCCGAGTCTGTATTGCTTTGCTCACTTAGGTATGTTACAATGAAGTCACGCTGTTTGTATAGAACAAACTCGGTTAAATAGAGAGAAAAAAATGGCGACTTTCACGGAATTATGCAAAGGGCTGTAGCTTATTGATTATAATATGCATTGGCATCGATGTGTTACTTCTCATTAACTCGGATCAGGCCTCATGCTGTTTCGTCGGTGCACAGAGTTAAACCGTTATATGTTTGATTCGTAGTACTTGATTTGTACATGAACAGGTACGCTCTTCCAAAAGTCTGGACAACCCAAACAACTCAATCCTCTGCTTAGTCTCAAATGCGTCTTCGCCACTGTAATAGATGCATCATGACAGCATCTGATAGCCTCTTACGATGGCCGTATTACAGCGCGAGAGTTGAAACACTCACCCATCGTATAGAAATACATCTCGAGGGCTCCCGGTAGGAGGTCTTTATCCCAATTTTGACTTTCGTACGACCCCTTTGTGTGCGGAGATGCCACACTCGCTCACGCGCTCGTCCTTGCCTCCGGCATAGTATCAAATACGTCTATCTCCTTACCCAGGACACCAAAATTATCTGCTCTTCCACCAAGGACCCTGCTCCAATCAGCTTCTGATAGGATGAAGGTTTGGCTCAGGCGCTCTGTGGATTTAGCCACTCCTCGACGTTATAAGAGCTACCCAGTGTGAAGCACGTAGACAAGTGGCCTCCTTCATCTTTCCCTCAGGATCATCTGCGAAGCTTCTACCTCATACAACGGGACGATTGCATAACTGGACACAAGCGGTCGACGTTTCTCAAATTCACGATGTCCGGCGAAAAGAAATCTGAAGGCCTTCTTCTCAATAGAAATAGTGTCGAGAAGATCGAGGTTGAACATGTCAAGTCCGACGATTCGGAAGAAACATATGACTTTGGCGGAGAATCGACGCTTCCGCGTCCCCCGAAGCTTACGCCTGAACAAGAGAGGAAACTCTACAGAAAGATCGATCTCAGGATAATTCCTATTGTCACGCTTATGTTCTTGACCGCCTTCTTGGACCGAGGTACGTGTATCATTGTAACTTCTGGACCAACGGAGATAGATCCTGCTTTGTCTACAGGGAACATCGGTAGGTTAGGCATGAGCATCTAGGACGAACCTTTTACACCGAGAAATGGTTCCCAGGCAATGCAAAACTTCAAGGGCTAACAACGCAACTCAATTTAACTGAGAACAAATATAACGTTGCGCTCGTGAGTTATGTTTCTTTTAGTTGTTCCTGGAGTTCTTGTCACTAATCGCGTCTCTAGACAATGTTCTTCATTGTATGTCCTTAAGGTCTATAGCTCGGAAAACCTCTGAAGCGAATAAAATACTCTCACAGCCATATTGTCTTGTCGAATGTCCCTCCAAGTGCGTTGTAGCACGTTTATTCGTTCTTGGTATATTGTTCATATGTCAGTTTTCAGTCTTGCGGTAAAGAGACTGCGGCCCTCAAGGTACGCAATCAGACAGTAAGGGTGCCATGCTTACCCTAGCATATCCTTCAACGCCAGGTGGTTGCCAGGCATAACGGTATAGTTATACTTTCCTGTCGTACAGTTGGTCTCATCGCATTATGCAGGTTGCTTGGGGTATCGTTACGTATGTGTTCCTTATGTTCTACGTGGAAGCAAGGCTGATAGGGTATTACTAGGGCGTGCATGGGTGTTGTTAAAACGTGTGGTGCACTCTGGTCATCGATGACGTTTCGTCCTCATATTTGTTGTTTATTCCTAGCTATCCACAGCTTATCGTAATGAGACTGTTACTTGGTGTGGCTGAGGCTGGTTTCTTCCCTGGCGTTGTTTTATGGTCAGTCTACCTGTACCAATGTTGATATGACAATTTGAACTTACTTGTTGAAAGCTTGACGTGGTGGTATCCCAGACATATGCTTCAGTTCAGAGTCGGTCTCTTTTGGGGTGGCGCTACTCTCGCTGGTATGTTCTTTACTTCTGCTGTTGGTTGTACCATCGGACTTGGAATGACTCTGCATAACCGCTTAGGCGCGTTCTCCGGGCTGCTCGCATTTGGTATTTCATTCATGAATGGAAGAGATGGTCTGCTGGGATGGTCTTGGATATTTGTGCGTACGAATATGCTTTTATTCATTTGTTTTGTCGTGGATGCATGGGTTACTTGGTAGATCATTGAAGGTATCGCAACGATCGCAGTGGGCATTCTCGGATTCTTCTGTATGTCTCTTTGCGCTCAAGGGTCTTCAAAACTTGATCAATTCTTATTCTTGTGATCAGTCTTGGTTGACTTTCCGGCAACCGCATCATTCCTTACGCCTGAAGAACGAGCCTACATCATCTGGCGGAAGAAGTATGACAATTCTACTGTGGGCGAGGAGGAACATTTCGCACTGAAACATGTCTGGATGGCGTTCTCCGATTGGCAGGTGTGCTGTTATCTGGACTCGTTTCGATATCATTCAAGCGTAGTTATGTAGTTGTGGATACACATACCCATCTATATGTCCAGCATTGGGCCTTGTGCGTGCCTTTTCTTTCATCCTGTGAACTAGTGTGTTGACGATTCCCGGCTGCAGTGTACAGTATATCATTCTTCCTTCCGTATGTCCATCTTTCCTTGTATAGTGATACGCCTGATTACATATTTATGCCCCTTCTTCCCTGATCATAGTTCAATCATCAACGGGTAAATCTTCGAAACCGAGTACCACGATATTCTGTTCTTACGTTCAGCGAATAGTTTTGGTTTCAGTGCTACAATTAGTCAGCTGCTCACAGTACCTCCATATATTTGCGCGAGTGAGTCGTTCAGTCCTCTAGTACTTCAGGCATTGCAACTTTTACTGATGAAAAGGTTTCCGTAACTTCAGCGATCATCACAATCCTGTTTGCGTTCTGGTCCGATCGAGTTCAGAAGCGTTCACCTTTCATACTCGCAAGTCTAATCATGTGTATCATCGGATTCTCTATTAACATCTCCCGCGCACCAATTGGCGTGAAGTACTTTGGGACCTTCTTCTGCGTAACCGGAAGTTACGCCGCGTTCCCTGGGGTCGTCTCTTGGTACATGTATCGGCATTGGTTTGCATACCCAATTGCTAATTCTTGCAATACAGGCTAGGAAACAATATGGCTGGCCAATATAAACGTGCCACAGGAATAGCAGTGCATATTGGAATAGGAACTTTTGCTGGAGGTTTGTAATATGGGGATTCCAAATAACTCTATTTGAAGGTTGACAGAGGATGTCACAGCTATCGCTTCAAATACCTATCGCTCGCAAGATGCCCCACGATATATCATAGGCCGTGAGTTGAGTTCCATGCCTTTTTTTCATTTCCCCCTCTGACATTCACTGTACATTTTTAGATGCCATCGCACTTATGTTCGTTGGCATTGGGCTTGTCGCAACCCCTCTCATAGTTATTATCTACGTCAGGACCAATGCGAAGCGAGAAGCAGACCTGCAGCGCACGCAAGAGAGGGGCACTAAATATAGCGTGAAGCAATTGCGTGAGATGGGTGATCGTGCGCCTGATTTTAGGTACACGTTATAGGAGCGTGTACCAGCTACGCAGTAACACAGGAAAGAACCAGTGGCTCATAGGTGATTTTATTGGGACCGTCAGGTTGCTCCTGTCAATGATTCGGATGGGCACTCGACCGGATCTTCAACACTTACTGTTCTGATACCTGGCGTAACACAATAATTCTCATTGTTGAAGTATCCCGTCGGCTACAACGGAGCTGATGGTAATTGTTTGAACTATAAACAAGCTCATCGCAGGTGATGCAGCGGACCAGACGAGTCGCAACTAAGGCCCGTTATCTAAGGAGAGAACCGTACCAGGACGGCCATTCTCATAAGGTAGTAACGAAACTCTAACTAGTTTACATGTCAGGTAATTACCGATAGTGGTGTAGACTTAACCAGGAGAACAACTGCAATATCCAGTTTGACGTCGACATCTCTGCCAGCGCAGCAGCGAGTTCCTTTAGTGAGTCAATTTTACTGGAGTCCGTCCGAGAATCATATGGGCCAATGGCCACGATGAGACAGACGCAACCATACACATAAGAAATCGAGGCCTCGTTTCCATAATGTGCGTATGGTCCCAGAATGTCTCCGAAAACCGTCACTGGTGTTGCCCAATGAATGACGATGTCCGGCTTGGTGTCCCAGTAGCGATAATCTTCATCGGGATGGAGCTCCCTCGCTTGTACTCGTAGGGCCCCATTGGAGCCGCACAAATGATATTCGAGATCCTCAATTTCCTCGCAACCAAGGTCCGGTACATTCTTGCATAGGATGTCCACGTTGTCTGAATACTCATTGTCGACGTAAAGCCTGAGAGACGCATCGAGAGATAGCTCATTGCATACTTCCATGAGCGCGGCATCATCACCTTTGAGATACTGCTCAAGGTCGCGGAGATCAGAGTTCCAATCCAGTGGGTACTGACGCCCCAGTCCGAATCCAAGGTATCCTCCTTTCGGTAAGAAAGATGGGTCGGACAGTAGTGTCTGGAACGCTCCCTTCAAATTATCGTGCCTGATGTCCTGCGTGGGGTCGCGGGACGACAACCTCGCTGTGCGACCGAAGTAGAGATTGTAGGTGATGGTAACTCGATAGCCTGCAATGACGGGTAGTACTTCATGGTCGACATCGCCGTAGAACGCAGCATACGCTAAGCAAGGCCCATCATGTTCCTGCATTTCTTTGGCAGAGTCGAATGTCCACTCCTTGTCACCATCACGGAGGACGAGAGCACCGCCTTCGTGGCGTGTAGGCAACGTGAGAACAAGCGATCCAAACATGTTATTCCCTCGAGGTGTATCCTTGTGAGGTTTAAAAAACGAGTCCTTTCCTGTTAGATGCTTAGCCCGTGATCAAAAACAGACGATGGAAGTCACGTACCATAGACATTGAGCTTGTACTTCTCTAGCTGTATATCAGAGTTGACCTGACGTCCCCTCAGAAGGTTGTCACAGATGATCGTTATCAAGTCAGATTCTGGCACATCGAAGCAAAATGCAAAGTGGGTGGCGTCGAGCTTTCCAGCCTTCCGATAACGTTCGTCTATAACGTTCTCACGGTTTAGACCGAATGCAGCGGGTTCGCACGTAGCAGAGAGGTGTTCCAACTGATCGTCGGTCACATCTGAGAAATCAAGACGTCTATGGACGTGTAAGAAGAACACCATTTGGATAATGCGGATTACACAATGCCTCACCTCGCATTCAATACCTCTTTTCCGTAGAAAAGGATTAGTTGGCTCCCACGAACTGACAGCGTACCACAACAATACGGTGGTTTGTCGTTTAAGATATCCCGAAAGCAGGCGAGTTGCGAAGAAAAGGGAGATTTAACAATGTCAGACATCGTTGAAGAAAACAAGAAATTGAGGGTCCCTTTGGTGCATTTTATATAGGCCTCGTACACGTAATGTGAACAACATACGAGGAGTCATTGAGCTTTTATTGATGCCATGAGTTTGATCGCATCCGAATCAACTTGAAACTGCTATTGTGACTGAGTGAAGAGAAAGGCGAGGATGGCATACTGTCTTAGCCCTTCTTCTCCAGTAATAAGAAGAGAGTCAGAACCCTAACTGACTTTAGCTGTGATTCGCGTATGGAGGTATCCTGTGAAGTACCAATGTAGTAATAACACTAGGGAGTGGGCCCGCCGCGACCTATCTGTCTAGTTAGTTATTGTAGTTCATGGCCGCACCTGCATGCATGGATTCCGAAATACCCTCCGGAATTTTTTTCAGTCCCAGAGAGGCCTCGAAAAATCAAGATTCAGAAAGAACATACAGTAAGTAGAGACACTTGAGCTTTCAGGTCATTTCAAGCGATCATAAACGTCGACGAGACGTTTGTAGCCAACCATTTTAAGGACGTTTACTTCTCACGAAAATTATCCCTTTTTTTATTCCTTTATTTCCCACGTTCATAGTACTAACTAAGTAGTCGAAGTACGATACTTAGTCCAGTACCTCAACCCCCAAGGCACTGCCAGTGTATAGTTGAGATTCTGAATTGACTCCGGCACATCCTGACTATGTTCTATGTGAAATATCCTTCTACAGTATTATGCCAACCTTCGGCATAGCCTGTCAGGCACAATTGATATTGCATGTCCAACTGTCATGGCGGAAGCCGCTCTTGATATTACTAGGTTCTCTTAGTTCTCCATGACGATTACTGATGCCCCTGCTCTTATGTGATTTTCATCCTCACCCTGATCGCTGTCTAGTATTTTTGCACCATTGTCATTATCACTTCCACTGAGAGCCATGGAACACGTACGTACTCTCATTCCACGTGTTTATTATTCTTTTCACTCGTCGTCGTCTTGTATCCCAGGAGGTTCGTGCCTTAAATGGTCTTACTCCCAATAGCACAGGTTGGGCCGCAATGGCGAAGACTATGCGGGAGGTCGATGAAGCTAAGGTTAAAGACTACAAGGAAGATATTGACACTTTGCTGGTTTTGGTCAGTCCGTTCATGGGTTAACATGGGTGTTAACGTGAATCTGTACTCAACGGAGGTCTAGGCCGGTTTGTTCTCCGCGGTGATGACTACATTCCTCATCGAATCATACGAGAATCTGCAGGAAGATCCTGCGGATATCTCTGTCCAACTTCTGAGGCAGATTTCTTCCCAACTTGACGCTATGAACGCCAACGGAAATCACCTCAATAATACTACTGTCCTTCCCCAAGAATTGCCTGAGTTTGAACCACCAATCTGGGCTCTACGTGTCAATGTTTTATGGTTCGCCAGCTTGATTTTGTCTCTTATCACCGCCTCTTTCGGTATGCTCGTCAAAGGATCTCTTCGCGAATTCCTGGCGGGGGAACAAACATCTGCGCACACCCGTCTCCGAGTTCGATTCTTCCGCTACTTTGGCTTGCAAAGGTGGAAGGTGTTCGAGATTGCTGCAGCACTCCCTCTCCTACTTCAGATTGCACTTGGCCTATTCCTGTTAGGTCTATGCTTCTTCACTTCGTCGGTACATTCTAGCGTTGCGCATGCCAGCGTCCCTCTTGTTTCAGCGTGGGCATTTCTCTTCCTTATCGCCATCTTTTCCCCTGCGATAGCCAGCCATTGCCCTTACAAGACCATGTTGTTCAAAAATATCCTGAAGCGGGCTCGGCTATACTTCTTCAGTCCCAGACACACTTCGGCCCTGAAAGAATGGAGGAAACTCCATCAGAGAGATATTATGCGCGAAGAGTACAATAAGAGTACCTGTCTGTTGCCATTTCTTGAAGAAGAAGATATTGCAATCACACCGCAATGGGACAATCACATCATAATCGAGGTCGACGCAATCTTGGCCGATGAGGATCTCGTGTCGTCAGTAACGCTGGAATCTTTTCGACAATCTCAGCCTACATGCGAGACCACAGTAGACTTTATTCTGCGATTCCTCCAATCGCGACAATGGGTACCCGGCGAGGACTTGATCGCCGCCTACGTCTTCATGTTCCCCATAACCGCTCCTGAACCGGAATGGAACGAGGTTGTGCATTTCCTGGAGGAGAAATGTAAAGGGCACTTCTTCAATAGCTTGGATCGCTCATCCATCATGAAGATGATCATGATTCTGGGTTCTCACCGAACCGTCCTCACAGCCAATGGAAGACATGCATTGTCTCTTTGTTTGCAGCAGGTCATGTCAACCCGCCAAGGCTTTGACGAATGTATGGAATGGCTCAAAGGCCCATACGGAGACATTTTCGCCGATATCATTGTTCCTCCCTCATGCACTGCATGGCATTCACTTGATGGACCGGAGCTCCTGCGTCGGTTGGAAAGATTGTTACGATGTTTGTACTTTCTTCCAGACAACTATTCTCTCCTTTCCATCATGCGCGAGAAGGGCGAACGCAGAGTTGACCAGCCCACCTGCAACGCCATCTCTGAGTCGCTCTACGAACGGGTTGATACGGCCCTCCGAGGGCGTTCGTATGACGAATGCCTCTTGACGGCCATATTTGTGATCATCGAATGTAATTCACCGTCGGCAACCGATATCTTGAACAAGATGGCGCAAGAGAAATGGGTCCTCCATGTACCAGTGGCTCAACATTTGTTACGAGTCAACCTGGGAAGCATTTGGGAGGACAGAAGCAAGGATGCGGGCTTGTTTGGACAAACATATCTTCAAGAGAATTCCACAGATGAAGGTAACATGCCTCCGTTTTCTGCAAAGCCCATTTGTCGTTGACCTTCGAGGCTATCCATAGATCGCATGTTTATACGTCAACACATTGTGACTTTCTTGCAAGAGTTTTCGCTTTGGGCTACTCCTTGGCATACGATGGACAACGTTCTCGACATCTGCTTATGGGTACTGAATACGCTGCTCGATGAGCGCCAAGTGCGGGAGTTATCTTCGCCGTCAATCCTTTTCCTGCGTTTATTTCCGTCGTTTTGGGAAGAGCTATGGTCCAATATAGCTAATATCCTTGAGAGATTTGTAGACGAATCACCTGCCCAATATGAAGCTCAACATAGGCTTATTGCAAAGGGTACACAGGCTTCCATGATCGGGGACCTGTTTGGAACTGGTTCACTTGCGGTAAACTGCCTGGCCGTCATGATGAAGGCCGATCAACGTATGGACAACTTCAAATCCCAGGGCTTTGACCATGTGGCCCAGTGTCTACAGTGGCTTCAGGAGGTATTTCCCCGTAGATTACTTGGCATTCTTATCAATATTGTCGACAAGTACAAAGATCGACAGGATTGTCTCCAAGCTCTCGCTGAACATCCACACGTTTCTGAACTGATACGGAAGCACAAAGAGCTTGGATTGTAGGTTACAGCTGCGTAGAACACTGTACGTCGCTTTTTGTGACTTTGGCTGCCACTATACAGCATATGTAAGAACACTTGTGTAACTGTATGTACTAATACTTGCTTCTACCTAGCTCGAGAAGACTTCGAGCCCTTGCCCCTTTTGGCTGTCTTCTTTGGCGCAGCGGCTTTCTTTACTGGCTTTTTCTTGTTCAAAGGCCATATCTTCTCCACTGCGCTGCGTTCGCCGTAAGGTCCTACCGCGACGATAAGGCAAACACATCCGTATGCAAACTCAATCGAGGGCTCGTTTCCGTACGCCGGATACTCTCTCTGCACGTTTCCGAACTCCGTCATTGGCGTAGCCCAATGAATGTAGAGATCTGGCAAAGTATAGTACTGGGTATGGTCGTCGGTCTTGGTCTTTACTCGTAGCCCGCCGTAATATTCACAGAGGTGTTGTACGAGGGAGTCGTCATCAACACTGTTGCCTCGAGCGAGTGCAGGAACGTAGTGGCAAAGAACGTCCAGATCATCACGGCTAGAATCCTGAGTCTTGAAATAGACCTGCAAAGAGGCTGAAAGAGAGAGTTCCTCACAGACACTCATGAGAATGGCATCGCCACCCTTCAAGTAGCTCGCGAATTCAGAGAGATCCACAACATCTCGAGTCGACTGAAGCGGGTATTCCCGACGAAGGCCAAAGCCAAGATAACCTCCATCTGGAAGGAAGTTTTTGTCCTCGAGCAACGTTCCTAGAATGTCCTTCAGCTTATCGTGTGTAGGATCCTCCGTAAGGGCGACAGAAGGAATCGACGGTACGGCTGCATCGAAATAAAGGTTGTACGTAACAGTGACGCGATACCCAGAGTTAACCTGTGTAACCTCATGCTCCACATCACTGTAGAAAGCGACGTAAGCAATGCAAGATCCATCGTGTTCTTTGATAGCCTTTGCAGAGTCAAATCTCCACTCCTTTTCACCATCACGTAAGATAAGTGTACCACCCTCGTGAGAGGTAGGGAAGACGATCACGAGAGAGCCAAACATGTCCTTGCTTCTTGGTGTATCCTTGTGGGCCTTAAAGAAAGAATCCTTGCCTACAAATATAAGACGTAAGAGAGACATGCTCATCATAGAAGAGGTATACAGGCTTACCGTAGACATTGAGTTTGTACCTTTCCAAACGAATAGCGGAATTGACCTTCTCGCCCGTCAGAAGTTGTTCACGAATAACTTGAACCAGTCCAGACTCCATAACGTCAAAGAGGGATGAGAAGTGTTCAGCATCCAGCTTCCCGGCCTTCCGGTAAAGTTCGTCCAAGACCCTTCTCGTCCTCACACCAAAGGCAGCAGGTTCGCACGTCTTCGCAAGATGTTCCAACTGTTCGTCAGAAGCATCGCTGAAGTCAATCCGCCTAAAGGGAGGATTCGTCGTGAGTTGTGTATGATAATATGTGGATTGGTAGAACCATACTTCGCGTCGAAGTCTTTGCCGTAAAACAAGACTAGCTGCTCTTTGGTGGTAGAGAGGGTCCCGCTGCAGTATGGTAGCCGGTCATTAAGGATGGTCTCAAAACAAGCCAGCTGCTCGGACATCTGTTCTGGTGTGTACTCGACAGGATCGACAGAGTCGTTCGGTGGGATAGCAGCGGACATCGTACTCCAAGAAGAAAGGGATGTGGGGAGAGGTGATGCATCATGACAGAGAAACAAGAGGTTTTTTATACGATGAAAATGAGAGGTCGAGCGGCGGTATTGCTAAGGATCATCCTGTACACGATGTGCCAACATGACTCGGTGTGACCAGAGTCATAAGTTTGCCGCAGACACGAGTTGATCTTATCCAAGGTCATGCCTCACGTCCAACACCTTGGCAGACCAATTCGCCTGATTATAAAATTTCGAACCTTGCATAAGACCGAGTCTGCATGACGCAGTAAGTAAGTGCTAGAGGATGCCGTCGGAGAAAGCCAAACCATACTGTATACAGCATTGATTCCGGAATGGTCTCAATATTCCTTGGAGGCTTATCAGGTCTGAGATCTGGAGTACAGTAGATGAGATGCATACGTAAATTGAAGGCAAAGTTGTGGGTGCATTGTGGGCCACTGATGAACGGTTTCGGAAATCAAACGCCCACTTTGTGACTCGTATGCTTCAATCCAAATGTAGAAGGACGAGACATTTCAAGGACAAGCAATAGTACTAGTTGCATCATATAGGACCAATGGTATTGACAAGTTTACTATTGTATGGATGTCATTCTATCAAGAAGCAATTCTATTAACAATGGAGGAAGACGACTAGAGCTTGAAGACAGTATAATACAGTACAGTACATCCCGAACCATAAGAGCATGCAAAGTTCATGAAACGAGTCTATGTGGCGGTCGTGTATGAGGGTGGGCCTATCGAAGCCTATTAGTATGCGGCCATTGCTCCTGACAGAACAGAACCTTGCTAACCTGGTGAACGACTGGAGTTTTGTAACGCGTTGAGAAGCGTAGCCTTTTCGTCCTCACTGAGATTATCGACAAGACGAACGAGGCCATTGACAGTGGCCTTCCGGTCTTCATGCGAGAGAGCAACCATGCGACGCATAAGGTGGTCAGCTTTGAGCTGAGCAAGCGTGGGTCGGAGATCAAGCGCCTCGAGAGTCTCAGCAGCGATCCGACGGTCAGTGGTCGCATCAACGGACGTCAGGGACTCCAAGAGGTGTTCGCGATACTCAACGGTAGAGTCGGGACTTGCCTCAGCCAATTGATTCATGGCAACAGACTTTGCGATCTTGGCACGGAGAGCCCAGTAGAACCTACGACGAGCATCCTTCCACACCGTCGCCTTCGCACAACCCTTCGCTTCCATACGACCAGTGCGACTGAGTAGATGTTCAAGTTAGTGTGAATCGAGACAGAAAAATCTTGGGGGTACTTACTCATGAAGATCAGCATAAAGCAGAGCCATCTGCTTGTAGGCGGGTTGCAGCAACTGTTCACGCTTCTCGAGTTCATCAGCAGCATTTGCACGCTCATCCGCAGACAGCGAAGCATCTGTGCTAGCCTTCTTCAACGAAGCGAACTGGCTGTCGAGACGTTCCATGAGGCGCAAGATCTTGTCGCGCCGCATCTTGATTTCAACTATACCCTCGGGCTCAAGGACACCAGCACGAGCATCGACATCAGCATACATCTCCATCTGTTGAGAGTTAATGGATGGATCAAGCACGACCCAAGCACCACCTCGAAGCTCTCCATTGGGAACGATATAGACGAAGACCGGTTGTTTGTAGCTGGAGAGACCATCGACAATCTTGGAACCTTGCTTGAGAATCTCATCGTACATGTCTTGCTGACCGCCGGAGAATCCACGCCAGTTAGCGAAAATTATAAGCGGAAGACCCTCACGGTTGAAATCGAATATGGCCTGTGCAGTCTTGTACGCGGAGTTAGGGTACCAGACCTGACCAGCCTCCATGATACGTTGTTCGAATGATGTCGGGTTAGCAGGATCCGCGGGGACAACACGTTCGATGGTACGAGTCTCAACAGCAATCGCACCCATAGGGATACCACCGAGCCTCGCACGACCAACGACAACTGTCTGAGCCCAACCGCTGAGCGTCTCTTGGAAGGATCCCTTGTCGAAGAAGCCTGACAACCATTCGGAGCTTGTCTCGTCCGCCTTGCCCTCAATGAACCACCTTGGATCATACGATCCTTTCGGTGGTGTATAGCCGATGTCACGATCCCAGGTGTCGGTGGACTCAAGGACAGGGAGTGGGTGGCCCTTGGCCTCGGGAACATATGAAAGCCACTGAAGGATATGAGTAGCGCCTTCAAGATCACTGCTGGCTGTGAGGTGCGAGACACCGTTCTTGTACATGATCTGAGTACCTCCGAGTTGGAGGTTCGAGGTGTAGACTTCCCGTCCAAGCACCTTATTCAGAGCGGGTGCACCGGTGAGGATGATTGGTTGACCCTCGACCTGAACAGCACGTTGGCCCAGGCGAACGAGGTAAGCACCGATGCCAACAGATCGTGCAGTGACCAAAGTGATGGTGAAGATATCATCATATGCACGCGAAGTCTCTCCAGCAATCAAACCAGAGCCCTTGAGACACTCGACACCGAGTCCGTCTTGTGTACCGATGATGTCGGTGATCTTGTGTCTGCGTTCTCCATTGTCCTCGATTTCGACTGTGCGTACAGCCCCGGCGGCCTTCTCCTGCAACTTGAGGAAATTTTCATGCGACAAGTAGAGGTAGTCAACTCCCTTCTCAGGATGTGCTGGATCGTTCCAAGCACATGAGAATAAGCTCATGACTTCCTCGGCAAGACCGATGCGAGCACCAGAATTGGCGGAAAGGTAGATACGTGGTATGCCTTGCTCTCGAGCGTATTGAGATGCAAGGTGGAAGAACTGGTCTTCAAGCGGGCCGAACGAACCAATTTTGTAAGTGATGTCGTTCGCGATGACGACAGCTCGTCGTCCTTGTGGGTATTCGGGGGTTCTAAGTGTGAAGACCCATCCGATCATGCCGAAGGTATTATTACCGGGAGCTCTATCAACCTCCTGCAGTTGATCGTTCTCGTCGAGCACAAGTTCTCTGGACTCCATAACCTTCTTCGGCAAAGTCAATGCTGGATGTGTGGCACGAGCCTTCGCCCAGACGTTGCTCAAAGCTTTCGAGAACAACTCGGGGAAGTCGTAGACATATGTAGTACCAATGAGATGAGCCTGATAACGCTTAGGCTGCAAGGACTCCTTGGTGGGATACGGCTGGTGAACGGGTTGTAGGTGAAGCGGTCCCTTCTCGCCAATGGATTTGAGGATGGTTGTTCCCTTCTCCGTCGTGATCTCCTGATAACCATGGTAGTTAACGATAAACCCGGAGACATTCTCGATGACGCAACGGATGGGGGTGACGTTTCCTTCGCGGTCCTCCAGGACAATACGAATCTCAGAACCGGTGACATGGAGTCGCCAAAGCCGTTTACCATGACGTTCAATGAAGCCAGAGATTGCTTCCAAAACGTCCTCGTAGGTGACGGGGAGGTTGTAAATGAAGTTCATGAAGATATGGTTGCAATCGGCGTTACGATGCTTAGCACTGACGACCTCCAGCGCATCCAAAATACTCGTTACGAGACGATCAGTCTCAGAGATGAGGTATTGTGCAGTGTTCATGCTGCCGCGGAGACGACCGGGACGAACGAGTGCACGAATGAAGAACCGACTGTCAAGTTGATTTTCACGAGCAACACCGTGGTAGATATGGAGTTGATGGTTTTCGGTGAAGCAAGGCGTGAGGTTGTAGTGGGACAGGCGAGTGAGCTCCAGCTGGAATGCGAGGGCAGGCTCGATGTGTCGAATGGCCTTCTCTTCATCCCAAGTGTCATTCATGTTGCGAAGTGTGAAATATTGGGGATAAAGTCCAGGGCGACAAATGAGGATAGAGACACGACGAGCGCCTCGTTTTTCGAGTATGTCCTTGCGGCTGTTGACCAACTGAATGATCTTATTGTACCACTCGTCGTCTGTGGCATCATCCTTCTCATTGAAGATACGCAGCGCCATGTTCAGCACGTTAGGCGGCTCGTTGTTTCCGCCATAGCGCTGATGGTAATCGGCAGCATCGAAAACAGGAAGCATGGCGGCAACTTTGTCGAAACCGCGAGCGAGAGCCGCAAAGTTGGGGAAAGATGCAATAGCACCGTGTCGTAACGGCTGCTTCTGGTGACGATCGATCATGTAGGACAAGTCACTGACGGAGGCTTGTCGACGAGGTGCGTCGCTGTGAATAACAAATAAGCAACAAAAAGTGTAAACAATGTTGGAAAGGGACGTACTCTGAACGACCCAACTGGGGTGTAGCAGGAGGGGAGTGGGACTTGCCCAAGTTGAATCGCCAACTCAGAACATGCGGGACATCCCCGTCGTCGAGGCCATCGCCCTCCTCGAAGTCGACAGAAAGCAACGAATACGCCTTGTATGCACGGCGGACATATACATCAAGTGCAGCTACGAGTATAACTCAGCAAACAAAAACATGCAACTATGGAATATCACTTACCGAAGGTGATCCATGGGTCGCAGAAGTTGAAGAAAGTTGGGAGTACATCATACACAGTGTACCGAGAGTCAATCAACTCGCGAAGAACATCCGCAGAAGGCACAGTGAGACCGGAACCTTGTTCACCGTAGAAGTTGCTACTGACGGAAGACTTCAAGATGCTCTCCATCTGCACCTTACGTTCTTCGTACGAAGGCATCTGACAAGAGATGAGTACCTCACGTGCCTTCAGCGCAACATGAGTAGAAGACCTGAGGGGGAAAAAACCCTCAGTATCAGTGTTGACAGACATACATTTTACGCACCTTGCTTCAAGGCTAGCCAACCCTTGCAAGACCTGATACAAACGACTCTCAGGGTTCGAAACAGTGAGGCCACTGTTCTTGACGTGATCCAAGATAGCCATGACAAGTTTCCCTTTACGAGGTGCCATGATATGACTGAGCACAAGCGAAACCACCTTGTCCAAGTTATCCTTGTGTTGCTCTCGGAGCGACAATACACGAGCTTCGATGCTGCCACCGAAAAGCTTCTCGGTCTCTTCGTACCGAGACAAGAGGCCTGCGATGGTGTTGACTTCATGGGCCTTCAATCCGCCTTGATAATGTTCAACGACATCAAAGAGGAAAGCCAACTGATTACGGAACATCGTCCTATCCTGGGCTCGGATATTGTCTTCCATGAAGTGTTCGAGCAACTTCTTGATACGAGTAGCAGGGAATTCAGCGTTTTCACCCTTCGTCTTAGCGTTATCGATAGCTGTACGAATGCTATCTTCCAACTTCGCAGGCATACGACCAGAAAGCGTGGAGAGAATAGAAGTCGACTGCGCGAACGGCAACTCCGGGTTGTGTAAGACGGAGAACAGTTCCTTGAGGGTAGGAGCCATGACTGCCTGATTGTCAAAACCGTCAAGGATATCGTTCAGGACGCCGAGGCAGTAGTTGAGACGTTGGTGTGGCTTATTACCAGACACGCTAGGGTGACCAAACGCTGGGAGAAGCCCCTCAAATGGCTTGGCGTGCTTGACGCGAGCAGGGTCGTCCAAAGCGAGAATGCCCAAAATGTCGCCTGGCTCCAAGCTTACACCTGGTTGCTTAACGAATTGGACGATACCGTCCTCGGAAGCAACCAGAGGCATGTACATCTTCATAACCTATAGATAATAGTGTAAACACGCAATTGCCTACAATAAATGGAGAGAAACGTACCTCGATCTCTGCGTATTGCTCACCAGCATTGATATGGTCGCCGCTATCGACAAGGAATCGTACAAGTTTACCGGGACTGGGACTTCTCAACTGAGTAGGATCGTTCTCTTGCTCAATCAAGCAAGTCTTGGAATCTATCATGACACGCAGAGCACCAACTTCCTCTCGCCAGTAGACAGAGTGGCTCTTGCCATCAAGCAAGACAAGAAGACCACCATCTGCAAGTGGTCGGGCACCGACCAGGGTTCGGCCACCATTCAAGTACAGCGTCCAGAGCGTTAAAGAAGAGCGAGTGGCAGTAAAGGAGTAGCGAACGTTGTCATAGATGAAGTCGATGCCGAATACGGTCTTGAGGACGTCCTTGGAAGGAGCTTGACCCTTGTCGAGGATACGTTTGTACTCGGCCCAGCAAGCTTCAGCAGCTAGATGGGTTTTAGTGACGGCACCGCAGATGACAGCCAATGTGGTATTAGGTCGTTCCGCTGTGAGCTTGTCACTAATGAGCGAATCCAGCCATCCAGTGGTAATCGTGTTCTCCTCGAATGCTTGTAACTCAAGAAGCTTGATGAGGTATTCAACAGTGGTTCTGAAATCGCCACGGATGCTCAACTCCTTCAACGCGACAACCATGTTCTTTCGACTCTCGCTACGATCTTCACCATACGCGAAGATATGTCCGAATTGTGAATCGGCGAACTCGTGGAGGGCACCAGCGCTGTTGACAGAGAAATAACCCCAGACGTTTGTGCTTGAACGGAAATTGAGTTCTTGTAATGAACCGGAGGAAGGCTTGAAGCCAGCATCGGGGTTCTCAGCTGTGATACGGACCGCAACAACGTGACCTTTTGGTCGGGGCTTGCGCTGAAGCTTAGACACCTCGGGATTGACCATATCAAAATCAATCTCAGAAGTACCGTTTGGAGCGACGCCATATAGCTGACGAATGTGTCGGATACGATGAAGAGGGATACCCATAGCAATTTGCAACTGAGCAGCAGGTAGATTCACGCCAGATACCATCTCAGTGGTAGGATGCTCGACCTGGAGCCGAGGATTGAGCTCGAGGAAGTGGAACACATCTTCAGCGTGGCTGTAAAGGTCTGTAGGAAGTAAATATCAAGGAAACCAAGGTGACAAGTGAAGAAAGTGCGCATACATTCAACTGTTCCCGCACTGACATATCCGACTAGTTTCGCAAGTCTAACCGCAGCACGCTCCATCTCCTCAAAAGTGTCTTGGTTCGCAATGGTCACTGGGGCCTCTTCAATAATCTTCTGATGACGACGCTGCACTGAGCAGTCACGTCCAAAAAGGGAAATCGCATTGCCGTATTGATCTGCAAGCAGCTGGACCTCTAAATGTCTCGCCTGACCAGCAAGTTTCATGATGAAAATAGGAGAACCTAATGCAGCGTCAACAACGTATTCAGACATAACGGTGCGCATATACACACCTGGAATCTCTCCTGCAACAGCATTGAAAAAGTTCGTGAAACCTTCAGGGCCGTCGACCTTTCGGATCCCCTTTCCTCCTCCACCTTCACTAGCCTTGATCATTACCGGCCAGCCAATCTGCTCTGCCCTCGCCAGACCCTCCTCGACCGTTGACACACATGCTTTCTGATACACATCGTCTGCGACAGTTACGAATCCTTGATCTGAAAGAATGGTATCGGAGATTCCAGAACCCGACCAAGGCATTGTCGGAACGTCTGCACTCTGTGCAACGATGGTACTCGAGATTTTATCACCAAGACTGCGCATGGCACTACCTGGAGGACCAATGAAGACAATCTTGTTGGCAGCAAGCGTTTCTGGCAGACGAGGATTCTCCGATGCATGACCCCAACCAGCCCAAACAGCGTGAACGCCCGACCGCTCTGCAATGTCAACAATGAGGTCGACGTTAGCATAGTTGTTGTTATTCGAGCCTCCGGGGACTTCCACGTAACGATCGGCCATACGAATGTATTCCGCGTTAACCTTCAGATCTTCAGGTGTAGCCATGACTGTAAACTCGACGGCGCGCTCTGTGCCAAAGGTCTCATAGCTCCACTGTCGAATCGAACGAATTTCCTTCACGGCAGCGATTCCTGAGGACCTATGTTAATTGAGTAATTCTGTGAAGTACAATCTTCCGCTAACCGTTGTTCGCAATGAGAACCTATTCAAGCAAATGTTCATTATTGAGCAGAACATCCTTACAAGGATGCAACGTGTATACCTTTGTGATAACTGTATGACCTCCATTATTCTTGACGAAATCTGCTACTGGACCCGCCGGAGCCTTGTCAAGCGTATTACCGCCTGAAACGCGTGAGCAATTAACGCGACGCGCACATACAGCCAGGAAACTAACCTATGAAATGGGCGACTTTTGAGTGGTCGTAAGAGGCCATGGCAGAGAGGAAAAAGACAGAGGGGGAGCCGCTGTCCGAATGTCCACTATATACTGGACAGACGACCAACGTTGCAGAAACTCGTTGGAGGTGGGGATCCCCAACATATAGTCTTTTACGTCAGCATGGTGTGTTTGCATGGGGAACCTGGAAATGGAAGTTGTTTTTCCTTCCTCGCACTTTCCATCGGCGTGAAGCCTATCCTTTGCATTTGGAGGTCCCAATCGATACACGACTATAGATCAAGTAAAGCAAAGCGGCTTGATTGTTTGCAAACCATAGGAACATACGAATAACGACCGCATTGTGACATGCAGTATTGCCAAATATGTAGCTGTGACTACGTGACTGTACTCTATTTCTAACCCTAACCTAGTGCTCTCTGCGCAGTGAGTCCAGGAGCGCCCTTCACATAGTCTTCGTTACCTTTTTGTCCTTGAACCTAATACAAAGTTTCCAGTTCTCTATTGCTGAACATGGTCCAGAGTCCGTACTACGAGCACCGGTAAAGGTTAACTTCCAAAGTCTAAACTCTTATCACCATGGCCGCTCCAACGATATCCGCCGCTCAGGCAGTAGGCGAATACCTGCAGTCTCCGGATGACCTCCTGAAGATTGTAGCGTTCAGGAAGAAACTAGAGAAGGAGAAATCATCTATTGATGCACGCCTCAAAAGCGGGGTCAAAGATCAACTCGACGCTACTCGAGACGGGCTCCGTAAACTGTTTGGCACTCGAAGCAATGTCCAGACTATCAAGGACGAGCTGGAGACTGTCGATCGTTTATGCAGCGATCCTCAGAATGTCGTTTCCACCTTTGACCAGATTAGTAGGGTACGTTGTTCATTAATGTGGATCCCCAGGATACTCATGGGCACGTAGGTTTCAATGGTGCACCGAAACTTTGTCCAAACGGAGGAGATGGTCAACAATCTCTTGGATATGAGTTCGAAGCTTGACATGTTGGAGGATATGTTGGCTAGAGATTCCGAAGATATCCTGGGACCTGCGCCGAACATTCTGCGCATTCATTACCAGCTTAACAAACTGGAGGCCTTCCGTAATCAAACCATACACCAAGCCAAGAGGTCTTCTGCAGACGTTAGGCGCACCCTGACACAGTGGTTCGATCGCCTCAACAAGATAATCTCGGCGTTTGATGAATATGTGCTTGCCATAGCTCAAAACATTCTTCCAATTGTCCGCGCAGGATACCCGGACGTGATTGTCAAGCTCATGAAGATCGTCGAGATTGAGGGTCGTGAGGATGAAAAGGTGATCACAGTATTTGTTATCGTGAAATGATGCTAAATGTGTTGTAGGCAATTGCTATGAAACTAGTAAAGAAGGCCGCGAAACTGGACGTTGCGGCCAAGTTCCAATCTATGCAAGCCAATGCGCGGATCATCAAGCACTACCGCTCCAAGGTGCAAAAATGCATTATTGAATCCATCAAGGAGAAGTTTGAAGCTGCGTATGAACGCGAAGGTCGTAACCCCGCAGCTTTCCTCGAGAACTCCCTATGGATATATCAAGATATCATGCGAATCGAAGAAGACGTCGTTCCTTGTTTCCCTCCCTCGTATGAAATCTACAACCTTTACGTCCGCGAGTATCACCGGGCCCTAAACGATACGATCACCAAGATTATGGCAGACGAACCAGAAGCCAGCGTATTATTGACGTTGCATCAATGGGTCAAGGATTACAGAAAGAACATGAAGGATCTGAACGTCCCTCCTGAACTTCTAGAACCTCCGCTATTAGAAGGCAACGAACAGAGCCTCATTGAGGACTATCTCAAGCTCATCATCAAGAAACTCGACGAATGGACTGCCAACCTCATGAAGACCGAAGTTGAGGCATTCACCGCCCGTGAGGAGCCTCCGGAAATCGATAGCGATGGATTATACGGCATGCAAGGTGCCATCATCCTTTTCCAAATGGTCAACCAACAGGTAGACTTGGCGATGGAGAGCAATCAAGGTTTGATTCTCTCACGGGTGATCGAAGAAGTGAACCGAGTTATGCGTGGTGTTCAGGATCGGTGGACCAAACTCGTCGACACGGAATACAAGAAGCAAATCGAGAAACCAGAGGAAGCTGCCGGTGGTTTGGTAGAGTACTGCATTGCCCTTGCGAACGACCAGATCAAGTCTGCGGAATTCGCAGAAACTCTTTCCGGTCGTGTTGAGCCTTTGGTGTCAGACAAGTATAGAGCCACGATTCACGATCGTCTGAACGATGCTATCGACGGCTGTCTCGACGTCGCCAAGAAATGCACGCAGACTCTCATCGACATCATCTTCAATGACTTGAAGCCTGCCACAAAACAACTCTTCCAGCCTTCATGGTACGAGGGCATCATGTTGCAAATTGTGGAAACAATCCGCGATTACACAACTGATTTTCAAGCCTATCTTCACCAAGCGATGTTCGATTCACTCCTAGAAGATTTACTAGATACCTTCCTCGTCACATACATCACCGCCTTGGCGAACGCCCCGAAGTTGAAGATCCCCGCCGCGGCCCAACGTATCAAAGAGGATATCACAGAGGCGTACAAATTTTTCGGCACTTACAAGAAGACGAAGGAACTGGAGCCTCGATTCGAAGTTTTGGAGATGATATTATCTCTCTTAGAGGCTTCGAAGAGTTTGGTCTTCCTCTCATATTGGTCGTTCGCGAAGGTGCATGGTCCCAACGTGGCTTTCGTCGAGGCCTTGATGAAGGCAAGGGATGACCTCGATCGTTCAGCCGTGAGTGAAGTGATGGAGAGTGTGAAGCGAAAGGTGAAAGAAGAAAACCTCACAGATCGTACGTCCCATTCTCGTCTAATTGTCCACTGTTTTTTTTGATTACGTTGAATGTATGCAGCACCAGAACCAACCATCATGAAGAAGATCGCCATCCAAGGCACGTTCTCTCGACTTCTTGCACGGACGTCATAGGTAGGTTGTCAATGTCCCTTACGTCTTGTTCTCAATCATTGGTTCTTCCATTGGACTCTACATCTTTGGTTCTCTACGGTACACAAGGACTTCTGTCTTCTTATATTCGCACACCTCGATATACCCTCTTAATCTATTGATTTATTATATCTTCTCTTTCGCTTCCCGAGGATGCATAGTCGACCTGTCTGGAAGGGAAGTTGCAAGAGCGTCGATCTTTTTGAACTGCCATGGGAACCTGGAAGGGTAGAGGAAGGGCCGCAAGTCAAATCCTGAAAAGCATGAAGTCAGCCATCAATTCGACGAGACAGATGTTATACGACGCATACTGTTGTCGTCCGGGCTGTATTGTTCCTAGGAACCGATCAAGTAAGTCCGAATAGACAACTCAAATTTGCAAGAGCCTTACTGCATGATAGGAGGGTGTCAATGTTGTCATCTTATGCCTATTCCTGGCATACTCGAAGAAGAAAAGCTTGACTTTCTCCGCCACCTATTCATCCATTTTAGAACACTCATGTCCAAACTGGCATAAAGACACGATTACTCACTTGTGTCGGCGATAAGAACGAGCCCCATTCATGTACGAGCTTCGTGAACATGCTGTAAGGTCCGCATTTCTCCACCTTACGTAGTCTACCGAATATTGAGAGTTCGTCATAGGTCATACCCATGTCCGCCTGAGATGCAAAAGGTCCTGAATGGGGAAAAAAGAGCGACAGGCTTATATTACTCACCTCATCCGCCTGGACATAAGTCTCTGTGATCGGCTCAAGTTCAGCGGTCGGAACAGCGTCCAAGAACCTTCATCACCATAAGCAAACATGCTAAAACAAACTCTCGAAAGAACGTACTGAGTTAATATCGGCAGATCAAAAGAGTCCTTTGCGTATGCGATGAACTTCTTCAGGTCGGTCTTACTGATTGCACCAATGGGATTGATATCGGCTTCAGAAAATGTAAACACATGAGTAGAGATGTGGGACGATGACGCTGACCTGAAGAGTTGTCGTATTTCGTTAAGTATCCTCGCAAGCTGATAGTTTCGTTCATCATTCCTGCATGTCTGTTTCGATAGATGGTACGTACCTTTCATCAACATTCGCGCTACCAAGCACTAACAGTCCACCACTCCTGCCACGAACCCATGGTAGGAGCTGGGCAAACAGGTATGCCAGGACCATCCTCAGCCTCGCCTGCGCTGAAGAGTGAGCTATTTTCAGCGAACCAAAGGCCTCCCTACACACCTGAATGTTCTGTAAAGCAAGGTTCTCCGCAGGCGATCCACCATGGGCTCGGAACTGAGGCTTCGCTCCCGTCACGAAGGAGAAGAGGTTTCGGACTGCTGTAACAATCGAGTCCATATTCAAGTCAGTGTGGTAACTGATCATCTTTAGTCAGGCTCTTTGTCTCGTCAGTAACGCAATGCAACATACCTGCCAATGGCTTGAGCCAGCTCCTTGGCGCGTCTTCTAGTTTCTTCACTGGAGTTTTCCGTGCCCATATAACAAGTATGAAAGATCCTGTTAGCGAAGTCTTTTGGGTCAGAAGGAACGTATGTTGAGTTCTCAGGTTCGCCGGCTACACGTCTCGCGTCCCATATGACTGCTTGATCTGCACAAAGGAGTCAACTCTTTGGGACTTGGATATTAACACAGGCGACATACCTCCTCTAAGAGCAGATTCTGCTACCAGACGACACATGGAATGAACAATTACCGCAGTGGCACAACTGTCGATGCCTCCACTCAGAGGTAAGAAATATCCTTGCGTGCGGGAACGTCGCAAGTAATCCCATAGCCAACATGCAGGACCCAAACTATTATAAACGTTAACGGAAATGGTCGTTGAACTTCCATAGAGCAAAAATTGTAACTTACGCGATTTCTTCCTCAGGTCTGTGATACCGAATATCATAATTCTTGACGACCAGCTCACTGACGTCTTTGACTGAGTTGGTATCATCCTCTTCCGAAAGCGCGAAATCAACTTCAATACGTTGATAACGGCTTGCCCCAGCAGCTTGCATACTCCTGCTGCTGACAGCCCTGAAAGCACGGACGTCCTCGAGGTCGACGGTTGCTGTCACAACTTCAACGTCTTGAAGAGAGAATTGGGATCCCTGTGCCACAATCCGTCCATTGACAGCGATCATGGCACAACCATCGTAGTACAATCTGTCACCATCGCAGCCTTGTTGGTTTGCGTATAGATAGATGCCACCCAGCTCAATAAGAACCAATTGTAAGTGTCACTCTTAAAGGAGTCTTCAAGCGTCATACCTTCATGGTAGCTTCCTTGATCAATTCAACTCGAGTGAAAAGTTTTCGCAGTTCATGGTGACTTCCGCTAGAGTTTGTGAATATCTCGACGCCATCCAATCCCATCAGAATATGAGGGCTGTGATATGTTAGTTTAGACAGGAGTGCCAAAATTTGCTATCTTACACACCTAGAAGGGGTGAATAATTCTTCGCACAATTCAACCCCAATGCACGTATCTATGGTGCTAACGACGGCATCTCCGAACGGAACTTTGACCTGCCCAGAAAGTAAGTATGACAGACCGGGAATCATACACGGCCACTATTCGTACCTGACCAGTAATTGCTTTGATTATCCGAGGCAAATAGTGGTCTTCGGCTTCACGGTGCTTCATCCACGGAGTGAAGTATCGTAATTCACGATAATTTCCGCTGTTTGCCATCCACATTTTTGGCCGGATCAAGAGGATCTGTCCATCATGGATGATAATTCGACAGTTGTAGATGACGTTCTTGTGCATGACTGGCCTATCATTCACAGGATATACATATCGATTCAGATAAAATAGGAAGCAACTTACATTCCAACATCACACACAATTCCTTGCGCTTCTTCCGAGGTAAGGATTTTCGCCAGGACCTCCCATGAATGCAAACATGTATCGCCTGTGAATTCCTCGTTAATATGAAACATTTAATGACGAAGCATTTTACACCACCTTCAAGGAAGTGGTCTAAACAGCCGTATCCTCTATTTAACGATAAATACCAAGCAGCAACGTGATCTGTCACTATAACATACGGAATCTCTAGCTCAGGCCCAACGCGTAGTGTTGCTCCTCGCTCTTTTGCGATCCTTATGCTGGTAAGAATACGCTCGAGGTTACCCTATCATAGGATCAGAAGGGCTCTTCAAGCACCAAAACAAGGTGACTCACTTCGAAATCTAGAGCCCATTGGTTGAGGGAACTAAAATGTATTGTCTCTCACTATTCCTTCGCAACGTAAGTTCACGATCACGTACCAACTGTGAAGCAAACACATTAGAACGGGTTCTGTCCGATAGGAACATGATCTCACGTTGCTACAGTCACTAAGTGCCCCATGTTTTGAGGTCTATTGAAACCTTCTAATATTAATCAATACACGGTACGACCCAGCTGCAGTACACGTATGCGAACGAATTGAAGCTGAAAGTGAAAGTATAAGATCAAACTTATTGAAGCTGCAAGCGACAAGTTTCGAATGACTTTCGATCTGAAGATCTGACTGTGACGTAACCAGGGAGATCGCGCTTTCTTAGTCCCAGAACGCATCAGAAGCAAAGCACTATTACTTTTTCATGCATATTCTACTTTCGCTCATATCCATCCGTACTATCGGTATAGCGTAGTAATACACTCGGAAGACTGCCTTTATCTCCGTCACGAGCAACTTTTTTCTCTTGACGCCGTACATCATTTCATACTTCCGATACAGTCTCAGTTCAACCCCTCCAACAATCAAGAATTTGAAGTACGACTAGAAATATCTGCAGACATCTCCATGTCATCCGTCGTTCTAACCCTTGTATCATTGCTCGCGAATTCCACCGTAGTGATGTTACCAACGGCCGTACTCTTGACATTCTCGCGCTTCCGATCCTCCGAACGTAGATTGAACAGGACTCTGCTGCCCATGATAGCATCAAGGACCAATGTTGGACCATCCATGATCCCCGAGATACTAGGCTAGAAGTTCCTCAGATCCCTCGTATAGATCATGACAGATATAGACTCACATCGGGGTTTGAGAAGATGACACATGTTGTCACGTACAGAGCAAATATCCTACTTGAAAGTTGAGCATTAACACATTGATTTATGACTAGATATGCGCACCCTGCGAAATAGAGGAGTGAGTCTCTGTAGAGTACAGCAATGAGAGAGTCTGTATGGAAGGAGGTTCCCCTAAGGAGGCGTCGTTCCTTCAAATATTGGTAGGCCTTATAGAGAACCATAGAAAACCCTGTCGACTCATATACCAGGATTGGAATCCTAGAGTTAAATATTTATTGTCTGAGGAAAAATGAGATGTCAATGCGAGACGTACCAGAACAGCCATAATACCTTGTACGGTGTTTCTATTGTACACTGACTGAGTCCAGGAGCAGGTGTTGTCGTACCTGAAATAGGATGATTAACTCATAAGATCTATGATGTATATCATATCCAAACCTCTTGTGCGTAAAGCAACCACTGCAATGACAGCAATTGAGGAGATTGTGCAGGCAAAGAGGAGTGTCAGAAGAAAGAACAACACCCTCTTGCTCTTATTATAGATTGCATAGAGTCGAACACACAGAATCATGTCCACAATAAATTGTTGCAAAACTCCTACAGAAATCATTAGACAAACTAGTAGGAATGCATGAGGAAAAGCATACCTGAGCCAGTCAAGATGAAGCCAATCGCGATCTTGCCTAGAAGATATCGAAACCACTATGAGAAGTGGGAAAAGGTAGCTTAGCAAAATTACATACAGCTATATATATCACGGAAGCACAAAGTCCAGATGAATGTTGTTCACAGATAGCAAATGACGACGTACAACTACATCTCCGTGAGAACTTGGTATTTCTCAAAGTTCTAGCAAACTCACTTGAAAAGTGACATGGGATGCCACCTTGGCTATTAGGGGACTTCATTAGGATTTGGACAAGTGTGCTTGAATGTAAAAACATACGATACAGGTTGAAAGTTTGTGTGAGTAATACTACATATCTGTTCTTCATATGCGAGTTAATACGTCTGTAGGATATTTGAGATGGAATTGCGCATTTACAATGAAAAATAGTGATGTTGCCCATGTCAAGCGTCGGCCCTACACCACAGGACTGAGCCATCTTCCCAATCGTAGAAAGTGAATACACCGACTTACCCAGAAATATTGAATCTAAAACGGCTTTTCAATACATTTGAGCAATATATCCTACAAAAAGAGGCACGTACCTCGTCACTCAGAGTAAGGAAGTAGTCGTACCAGATCAAAACGGTGGCCGCGGCTGGAAATCGTATTGATAAGATGACACATCATGATAACAAAGTGGGATCGAACTATGCATGTAACCATGAAGGCGAGTATGTGATAGCAGAGTAAGGACATCCGGCGAAGCTACAACCATCTTGGCAAGGTTTGCTGTCTCGACAGCGCACTTTATGCATGGAGTCGCTGCCTTACTGAGTTCTGGGCATCAGATCATGATAGAAGCCTGTACACAAACGTAGTAGAGAAGCTCGCAGGATGCCAATATAAGACACGGCTGCAGTAGGGTCCAGAAGTATGGTATTTGATCATACTTCGGAGAGATGATGGCTATCCTCGGGCTGTCCAATGGCAAGACTTCCACCTGTGTAGCAAAGCATGATATGAGGTTACGCTGCAGGAGAGAGTTCGGCGCCACAGGTGTTCCAAAAAAAGCACGGTCCCAAGCTGTCGAGGCATGATGGGGAATCAGGTACACAAACTTAACTTATTCTCGCCCGAGGGTTGGACAAACGTGCGATAACGCATGTTGCTCCGTCTTCGAAGCATATGGGCGATGGGTATACATGGATAATTTTAGTGCAGTAGTGCTTGGCCGCTTGCATAATACGGGGTTGAATGAAGAGGGAATCTCATCCAGCGAACCAGTCTTTCACCGTTACCAAAATGACCTCATTTCGACGAGGCTTTGAGACAAGCACCAAAAGTCGTCCAATCTGCACAACATGTCAGCGAAGACTTAAATCCGACTTGAACTGACCTAACCTTCCCTCTATGGATGCTGCCAAGACAATCGCGGGCATTACAATCCTCGTGCTTACTCGAGCATACGACATTGGTTTCATGCTGACAGGGTCTCTCTCCTGCAGGATCTGAAAATCATGATATACGATGGCGCTGCAATGAGCTGTCATGATGCTACGGAATCGTTCTCTCCAGTCAACAATAATAGGTCGGCAAGCCAGAATAAAGGCTGAGTGCTGGATCAGGGCGCTTTCATAACTTTTGAATATGCTAGCGGCGATGATTTTGCTTTGACCGATCTACTGTATGATAGTATGAAACACGTTGATCAGGGATGTCAAGACCTTGCTCTCAATCAACGTTTCTGCCTGCCGTGAGCTGTAAAGCCTGAGCAGCATCTCAGTTCCTTGGTCAACTATGTAGTCAGGTGAGGGCTCAGACATGGTTCCAATCTGTCAGAGTGATATCAGAGCGGGAGAATCTGTTACTCGTGGACATCTGTCACGAATCAGGCTGAACGCTGAATGGATGAGCGACTCACAGACGCGGGATGACAGACCAGAACAATTTAGAGTCGTACAGGACATACTCGCATAAGACCACGTCCAGATACCATACAAGTTACTTAGCTGTGTAGTAGAACTGGGTCTGTCTGATCTAGAAACGCCGTAACGAAGTTTGTATTTGCCATTTAGACCACTGGCGTCTGGTACCATAAACGATCGATATGATCGCGGGTAGAAACGACTCGGACTTACCTTTCTTCCCATCCATGGTCTCTCAGTTGCTAATATTGTATACAATTGCGACTTTCAGCCGATTCCCATGTGTCGAACTTCTCAGGCTATCCAGGCCTTCGTTTGATTGATATGATTGATGCGTATCAACGTTCCTGTCAGGGCTGCTTGAGGCCAGGCCCCACATGAAATTGGTGCAAACGGGCCATAACGTGCTTACAGGTAAGCCGCTATTCTGCAATTCCGCTCGTCATGTCCGTTGCAGGTCAACTTCCTCTGAGCGCACTCGGATACATACTCGCCCTGTACTTGGTAACAGTCCGCTTAGTGCGGTACCGTCGTCTGCGAACTATCGAATCCTGGTTCAAAACCCGAGATGACATTCAAGACATGACCCCAGCTCAGGCGCAGAAAGTCATCCACCTCTCGTTGTTCTACGAGACACCCACTACGATGCACCTTGGCACTCAGGTCGCATTGTTCAAAGTGTGGGGTATTGTGAGTATAGCCACAAAGCTCAACGTCGCAAGGACTGACTGACTCGGGTATTCAGCCTACTATCGCAAAGATTCTCTTAAAGGCCGGGGAACTTAGCTCGCAAGAATCTCTCAGCAAGCGTCTAGCTGACGTGAGCGTCCATAATCACACCTGTCACGTTGTAGTAACGGTGTTCTGCAGACTGGCATCCTGGTCGCGACGTGGATCACGAATCCAATCGTAGGTCCTGGTTCAGGTGCCGAGTCATATGACGCGGGATCGTATGAAAACGTTGATCCCCGTGGTGCTATTGCTGTTGCACGAGTCAACTGGTTGCATCGAAAATACCCAATTGTAAGCTCTCTTCTAACCTTCTGCTACATGTACTCTCATTTTTGTGTCAATATTTGATGTACTGTAGAATCAAGATGATTATCGTTACAATCTAGCCCTGTTCGTGCTGGAGCCAATAGTAAGCCCTTCGTAAGATCGATTGACCATAGGAATACATCAGACTGATCTGTTCACCAGGACTGCACTGCGCGTTTCGGCTGGCGAAGTCACAGTATCATTGAACAGCAGGCGTTCTACGTGTTTTGGATGGAGATTGGTCGACGCATGGGTATCGATATTCCTTGGGCGTCTCTGGATGAAATGAGGGAGTGGGCAACCGTATGTATACACACTCTAGGTGACTTCCGTTCTCATACAAATATTTTCGTTCAGGCTTACGAAGAAGAGCGTATGGTACCGAACGAACATTCAGTGGAAATCGGACAAATAGGTGTCGAGCATTTTTCGTCAAGACTTCCCAAGGTCCTGCGTCCTGCAGGATTGAATCTAGTAGCGACTCTTCTGGGACCTAACACAAGACGAGCGATGCGGTAAACCTATTTTACTTTGTCATTTTCACGTTTCACTTGCTCAGTTGGTGCCTCTTTTACGACCAGGCTCCCCGATCCTCCATCCTGGTTCTCACATGTCCTCTTTGCATTGTTCCGCCTTCAGAATGTCTTCGTGCGATACGCCTGCTTGCCGCGCCGCTCACCAGCATTGTGGGTTAGCTCATATGAGCCTTCAGCCGAGGATCTGGCTCGTTTGGTCGCTGCGGGAGAATTACCCCGGATTCCAGCTGTATTGTATGGTCTTCTTCCCTTTCTCATCTTGAAAATATGTGAACTAATATTGGAACAGCAAGCGGAGCAGTCCATGGTATTATCCGGAACTGAAGGGTTTCCAAAAGAACATTCAAGATGTGCTCGTCTTTCTCAAGCTTCGCAAGCCGGAGTCGGTTCCTAGCAAGCGATGGAAGAGTGAGGGGTATCGTGTTGAGGAACTTGTATGTAGACAGACCTGTCAGGGTATCGTTAGACTCATGATATCTTAACAGGGACCTCTTCGGTTTGAACACCGTATGTATCAGCTTAGTCTCATTTTCCGAAGACATTCACTGATGACTTATGTTCTTCAGAGGGGCATGAAGAGGTGATCAGAATGGCTGAGGAGATCCAGGGTGGACCGGTCAAAGGTCCGTGGTCACTGAATGACCGGAAAATGGCTTCATGAGCAAGCTCGTGCCAATGATACCACGTTATAAACGACGTGCGAATCGATTTCATGCACTTATATTCAGTCATTGGCTGTCACCACTCAAAGGATCCAGGAATTCGTGTATAACTTGAGCCAATGCAGTTAAACCTCTAGACAAATGGGCTATTGAGTCGACGGCCATCTAGATGAAGTCGACTATTTGACTGGCCGCACGTTCACTTGAGGTTTTTTGACTGCGTCGTCGACTAATGATCGACCGACGACATTGAGAACTCAGAGTGTTGGACGATACGACTACATCGGCAGACTGTATGTGTTACTTATGCCTAGTCGACAGTCTCCGATATCACTCCATGCAGACTTCTCTGACCTTGAATCTGAAAAGACGGCCATTATAGTCACCTCATGCAGTCAACTGCAGTTTCTCAGACTGCCACCTGCTGTCTACATTAGTCAGTAGTGTAGTCGATTAATTTAGTCAATACAGTCGCTACAAGGATCATCTCTGTACTCAGTCGGTTTGCAGACCACGCTCGCGTAGATGGGCATAGAGCAAATAATTGATTTGTCTTCATGAGTTTACAGCAGCAATTAATATTACGTCGAGGCAGTGTATGTAAACAGGCTACTGATTGTTTGACTCTTGTATATCCCAGGAATATGATGCAGAAGCATACAGAGGTGCACGCCAAATTTTGAGGCCTCCACTATTGAAGGATAGATGCTACATTTCTCGGATATATTGACTCGTTTCCATTTCCATTTCATCGGCCGATCTGACTGCGGCATCGCCATTGGCGAATTCCACAGTGGTGACGTTGTCGACAGCTGAGCTTGCCGGTTCTTCGCCCTCCGAGCGCAAGTCGAATAGCACTCGGCCACCCATGATGGAGATGAGGGCCAGGGTGGGGCCATCCATAAGTCCTGAGATGCTTGGCTGAAGTGCGCACCATGTAAGATTCTCTCAGGCATAAGGGTAGTATCTCTCTAACAACTCACGTCCGGATTGGAAAATACAACACACGTAGTAACGTAGAGTACGAAAATCCTACAGTACTGGTTAGACTTCGTAAAGTGCTCATAGACTGGAGGACATACCCGGCAAAATAGAGAAGTGAATCTCTATACAAGACAGCAATGATGTTGGAGTCCGAATTGATCGACACATCGACAAGGGAACGGCGGTCTTTCAGATATCGGTATGCTTTGTGAATGACCATGAAGAACGCCGTCGACTCGTAAATCAAAGTTGGGATCCTAAGTGAAACGGTCAGTTAGAGTTCACAATTGACGCGGCGGGATCCTCACCAGAAGAGCCATAGCAGGTGATATGTCGTCTCCACCGTGCAAGCACTGATACCAGGAATAGCGGTTGTAGTACCTGCATGCGCCCAATCATTCAGCTGAGAGAAAACTTTCGGGAAGACGGCATACCCTTAGTGTGAAGGCCAACCGCAGCAACGACGGCGATGGAGGATGCTGTACAAACTGCCAGTAGAGTAGCTAGAAAATACAGCACTCTTTTACGCTCTCCATAGAGTGCGTAGATACGCAGACAGATAATTGCATCCACCACCAACTGCTGTAAAATACCTGGACAAACAATTATACATATAACAGCGCGAAAAATTCATAACGGTAAACGCACTCGAGCCGGTTAAGATGAAACCGATTGCGATCTCGCCTGATATGATAGTACTAGCTGATCAATACAGCCGTAGGAGGAGAGATGTTGCGGACCCACAGCTGAATGTACGAAGAATGCCGACACCGATGTCAGAAGATTTTCCACTGAATACTAGAACAACGCACAACTGCATCTTCTGTGAGTCGCCGAAATACAATGCCAACAAATAAATTGGAGGACTCACTTCGAAAGTAACATGGGAAGCCACTCGAGCTAATCATGCGGAAAATCCGTTGTTACGTGTATGCTAGGAATTCATGCGGGGACTTATGATACATGTTGAATGTCTGCGTGAGTAATACCATATACCTGTTCTATGTGAAAAGTGAATAAATGATCAAAAAAGATAGATGATACTGACGATGAAAAATAGTGTATTTGTCCACGTCAAGCGATGACCCTAGACATTTATTAGTAAAGTGCACGATGCCGCAGAGAAAATGTATGTATACTTGCCCAGAAAAGTTGTATCTGAAGTCACGACTCGGACTTCAGTTGCGTGAAACATGGTCAAATGCCAGTGACGGTAGATACGGACCTCGTCATCAAGAGTGAGGAAGTAGTCATACCAGATCAAAGCAGTCGCAAAAACTTCAGGAAAAACTTTCAGATTGACATTATTGGACAAATAGCACAGTCATACATACCATCCAAGTATGCATGAATTTTGTCATGCAAATAAAACCTGAAGTGGATTTATAGGGAATGTGGACATCGTGATATGCTGGGGAGACCCAATCCTCGTGGGCAAGCAACTTTAAGTATGCTCGAGGCATTACTAGCTCCAGGGAACTTGAGGATCACATCTTGATAGAACAACGGAAAACATCCTCGGCGGTGCTGGATAGACATTGCAGTTACAGGAGGCACCACTTCTGTTGTTCGCCGAGACACGAGGGCAGTTGCCCGATTGATAGATCCGTAGATACCTCGTGGAAATCAGGAAAGGTATCAAGGCGGTTGAAACATCGAGCAATATGGTGTGACTGTGGCCATTCAGCTCCGAACCAGAAGGTTCCCCGGTAAGGGGATACATGGTCTCGACCCTGCAGTCAGAGCAAGGCAAGTTGTATCCAAAAATCCGGAAATCATTCACACCCGTCATGAACCCCAAATGGATAGACCGGTGAGAAACTCACGAAATAATGGAAATGCATACATGTACATCTTAAGCTTCTCGGCATTGGAAGTAGACTTGCCAATCGGTGTCTTGATGATGATGATGTCCGGCAGTGTCAATTCGACAAGAGGAAGGCCTCAAGTACTACTAGTACGTCTGTTCTGAAAATAATCAATGTTAGGTACAGTGACCACTTGTAGCTTCATTTGAAGACATGCAAATAGGTTATTCAATATCGATGTGGAATAGTGGATGCCTTTCCGTAGGATTTAGAGTGAATTCTAGATATTAAGCGGACCTTGAATGGACCCACTGCCTTGGGTTTACAGGAGTTGCTAACCCGTAGCATCGAAATTTGACCGCACCGTAAATTGATTCCGATTGTTGTAAAGCGATGTGTCAGCAATTGGTCTTCCCATACAAGGAGCACGAGCGAGCCGCCGAGTCTCAAGGGCCAACGAGGAGACAGCGGAGAAGGAAATGCTGTGTTTTTCCCAGTTTTTACAACAGTTTACAACTAGAAGAGGGGGGGTACCCCCTCTTCCAGATTCAAGGTTTAGAAACCTCTCCTCTATTCCGACTTAGTGGTACCGCTCGACGGCTCCTCGGCCAACAAGCGTCTGAGGCAGTTTTCTACTGGTTTATTGTTTAGAACGCGTTCTAAATGGCTACGGAAAGGCATCCAGTATGAAACTCTAAGTACTCGAGCCTCAAGTTACTGTAAGCTATTCTCGGTGACGTAAGCGTCTACGAATCGCGGATAGAACCAGATAGAACCCTCGGACTCGTCGGACTAGCGGTGGGGTTGCTTTCACATCGCCACTATGTTCGTTTTCTATTTTTTCTTTGCTCTCATCGATATTCTCAAGCAATCGAAAGCTTCTGATATGTATGCAGGGTCTCAGCATCCCTGTCACGATGATATCTTGCGCAGCCGGTACCATGACCGAATGCCTTTCCACTGCCTTTCCACTGCCTTCCTGACCCAAGTATAGTCACACTGCTAGCTGAGTTCATCATACTCATGTCAGAAAAACTGTCTCTGGGAGCGCTCGGATATCTTGTTTCCCTATCCCTGGGCCTGGTGCCGTACCGCCGTCTCCTGATAGTCAAGTCCCGGTTCAAACCTGAAGACGAGATTCAAAGCATGACTCCTGCCCAAGGTCAGTCATTGGATGTCACATATTTCTCACTATTCTATAAGATACCAACGACGATGACTTTGGAACTTAGGTCACGTATGTCATTCAACGTTTGGCATATTGTACGTAGTTCGAGTACAATGCGCTGAATTTGCAGAGGCCATTGGTTCCTAGTCAGTCTTCTATTGCAAAGATTAGTATCTCTCGAATGCTGGGGCACTTGCAAGTTCCCATGAATCCCTGGGCACTGAATTTTGAACCTCCACCCTGCCTGAAGGAGACTAACTGGATTGCTTGTTGTCGTACAGCTGTTGTTGTAGAATTGTTTTACAAACTGGCATCCCACTCGCTCTGTGTCTCACAAGCATCAGTGCAGGTTTCGGCTCTGGGGTAAGCTTGCATGACGAGGAAACGTATAAAACATTGATCCTCACAGATCCTCCCGAAGCTATCGCAATCGCAAGCGTCGATTCGTCATACGGTAAGTACTCAATTGCACGGTCGTCGATGCACGTTGATGACAATCGCCATAGCCTTGCTTTGTTCGTGCTGATTATCGGGACTGTACTGCGCGTTTCGGCTGGTGAAGTTTCAGTACCGTGGAACAGCAGGCGTTCTATGTGGTTTGGATGGAGATCGGCTTGCCTTGACTTCCAGCCTGTAGGTCGGGTTTAGAGTGATTCTTCACAGGGTGCGTGATATTTTTGAAAACCTCAGGGATATAAGGTGGTCTCGTGCCCCCGTTACAGTCCGGTTGGTGTTCTTCGATCCAGACCAGATCCCTTCTACAGACATTCTTGTCATCTCCAATTCCTTAACAAGCAGGATATGTGGAGACCCAGACGAGGCGGCCGGTGTAGTGGTATCTGCGTATGCATAATGGAAGCGTACGTCGACTCAAAAAGCTGCTTGGACGTAATACAGTATAAGTCCCGAGACGGTATTGGAACTTGTTCGGACGAGCTGCTTAAAATGAATGACATGTCGTATGCAAGAGACTCGATAGGTCTTTTCCGAATTACTTCTCACTGTCACTATTGCTCCAAATGTGTGGGGGTATTGAGCACACGAGGTACGACCGTTTCTATCGTTCACCTTCGCATTCTGATACTTTGTGCAAGAAAGTCAGGTTACGAGCTATCTCTGACCTACACCATCGATAGCTGCCTTCGTTTTCGCATTGCGTGGAGATAGAGGTCTGGAGGTGCGGCCTCATGTTACAGCTACTCCAAAATGGCGCTTGTGCCCAGCATATAAAAGCCCACAAAAGTCCTGCTTAGACTTAACGCAATTTCAGCGCCCATTGAAATTACAGTACACTAGAATGAGTCTTGAATCCGGCCTCTACATCATCTCCTCTCAGGTTGAGAACCGTTACGTCGGTCAGAATCTCGCCGAGGGCCCTCCCCTAGTCCCCAAGGATATCTTTGCCTTACCCGAAGGTGTTCGAGCTCCAAGGGTGCGTAGACGTAGACTGACTCTGCGTTCGGGTTGCTCAATCCGATTATGTCTAGTGGATCGTCGAGCGCAATGACAAGGGCTACCGGTTGGTGGCCGATAGAGCTCCTACCGGTGTTTTGGAGGATCGAGTTGTCGCACTCGTCATCGACAGGGCCACTGGGATCGAGGATTGGATCCTCACTGCCCAGCCTCAACATGGCGAGAACGTCTACATGTACGCATGATTTCATTTATTGCTTTGTGCTCTGTCATTGACGATGTCTCCCAGAATCGAGAGACAGGACCGCAGCTCGGGTTGGGTTGTGAAGGAGGACGGTGATTCCACGTTTGGCGATCCTGTGAGCGTGCTTCCTCTATGCTACAGTTAGGTTCAAGTTATTGATTGGATCCTTGAACAACTTGACAGATCCTGGCTAAGCCGTTGATTGCGACAATGAGTTTGCCTCCTCAGTATCTTCCCACTGAGCTCTTCACATTCGTTCGCATCGACAGGGAGGACTAAGAGATTCACCAATGGATTCAGTTATAAACTTTCTGCCAGGCTTGGAATGTATTTAGATGTCACAGTTGGGCTGAAACCTTTGAATGACGTTTGCCCTTCTTGATTCAAAACCCCACCAGGGGTTGAGCCTGCAAGTCCAATGAGTCAGGATGCATCTCTGTACCCAAGCATCCTCAAAATTATTTGGTAAATGACTCCTTTCGGTTATGCGCTGGTCGGACGAGAACACAAATGCTGATACGCATCATGTCACGCGTCTACATCTGGCACCAGCCATTTTCCTCTGCCACGTAATTTGAATGTATATCATTGGAAAATCATGTATGAGAGGAGTGCCATTCAATTCCCTGAAATGAAAACCAATGCGAAAATGAAAGTAAGCTTCGAGTTCAAGAATACAGCGAGAATTGTGTTCAGTCGAACGAGCCTGAAAGATCATATACGCTTACAGTAATTGGACAGATATCATCCACGAGGCAGATTGTGTTTGAATATTTACACATCTCCGCAGCTTTAGACGAGCCTGTCAAACAAGGTCAGATGTCCGATTAATGTAGTTGGACATCCATGGCGCATGGCTACATCGTAGATATGCAGAACAATGGACGAGCATGAAAACCCTGCAAACTTCTTGGCAGTACGTGTATCACTGATCCGCAAAGACATACCGAATGTAGCACTCGCAAGGCACCTCAATCTACCGTTGCTACCGGATGACAACAGCTGGGCGAGGCGCGACAAGCAGCGCCAGGACAAATCCGTGACCATCGCAAGAAACAATCATTGATTCCGTTGCACCAGGAACCGTCATTCGATCTCTCTGAAGTGCTAAAAGGCTTGGACACAGGTGTGAAGGCACTGTAAATTGACAAAATAAAGCAAAGCGACGGATTCGAACATGGGGGCAATTGCAAAGCAAGGTTGACTACTGGACAACCATGGCTGCAAGTCTAAAACCGATTGTCTAAGGCACATTACAAGCGTGAGAACTGTGAGCCTAATGCAGACAAGCAGCGCAGGTCACCTCGAGACTTGGACAACTTGGAGGTGCCCAGCTTGGCGAATTGGCGAATACCTCTTCCTCTCTACCTTTCTGCGGCTTCGGTCCCTCCTCGACAATCCTGGCTATCACCATCTACACCATACGCCGTTGTTAGTGTCTTTTTGCTGCTGTTGGATCCCGAATTTGGTTGATCTGTTGCCCAGCTCAATATGCAGCCCTCTGAGTTCGAGATCCAGCGAGAAGTTGAAACCTTGCGAGATATTAGAAGACGGTCAACAGCTCAGGGTGGTCCAGGAGCTTTGCTCATAGACCCAGATCTTCCAGGTGCTTCATCACAGGGCACATCGGCCGCTTACTGGTCGGCAACCTCGGACGATGCAAGCAGCAGCAGCACACACGAAGACAACAGCGACGGCGATTCCGTCGTGAGCGAAGACGACCCGGCACACCTCTTCTGGGTCCCCGCCCGTCTTCACCCTGAGATTGCACCCGCAGAGTTCAGGGCTTTCCTCAAGGAACATGCACGCGCCCCAGCAGATGGCTCGCTTAGCCGTTCCAGCTCCGTCAGCTCGACTGGGCTCGGGAGGAAAAAGTCGATGTTGAGCAGGCAATACAAGCCATCTGCCAATGATGGCATAGAGGACGAGCAAATCGTGCCGATACGCAGGAACAGATCAAGCGTGTATTCACACCCTGGTCCACAACTCACCATCAGCGATCTCCAGAAGCTTGAGGAACTGGCAGAAGAGGCATCGCAAAGTGATGATCCTACGAAGCTCAGAACCATGCTCAGACGCAGTTTAAGTCTCAATCTCGCGCCCACAGGTGGGTTTCTGTGCTTGCCCAAATAAGTCATGTATTCACGCTCGTGCAGCACTCGAACACATGGAGGACACAGATCTGGGCGACGAGGCTGATTCGCCGATTATTGTCCCTCGTCCTGGACAGATCTTGCGACGTGCTGCGCGCACGAAAATCCGAAAGCCCGGCCAAACAGGGGAGGGTCCGCATCGGTTTACGACTCGATCGCGTCGTGGTTCGACCCGCACGGCCTCTCACGAAGGATATATTCCAAGTGACAGGTCCTCGAGTGATCATGGTGATGGTGAAAGTACACCTCGACTCAGTGGCGACTCAGATTTGGGTGAAGTTCCTGGCACGTCAAGACCAGAATCATACAGCGAGGAATCCTCAATATACGATTCCTATGTGAGAGAGGAGTCTGAGGAGCCTGAACAATCACCTCCTGTGCTTGTCAATACTCCTGACTTTACGACAGAGTTTGCTCCTGTTCAATTTGAGCCTATTCTCTCCTCTCAACCACAACCACCTGAACCTTCAGAGCCCCAAGCTACTTCGCCGCCTCCAATTTTGCATCACCCTCAACCGCAGCGACTAGTGTCTTCGACGGTTGCAGATGCCGAACCTGTTCGCTCGCCTTCACCAGAGTCTACGTCGTCTCAAGCCGAGATGCCGGCCTCCCCGCGTCCAACGCTCTCAGAAGTTCCCGGGTATCTTCCGCCTACTTCTCCCAGTCCGTCAGAATCCAGCCGACGAGAGAAGGACAAGAAAGGTCTATTTGGCAAATGGGGCGGCGACAAGGGCGGAAAGAAGGTCGGTAAAGAAAGCCGAGAGAAAGATAGTGGATTTTTTGGATCGTTATTTGGTGGCAAGAAGAAACAGGAGGATCCTACTCCGCCTATCGGAGGACTTGGGCATGCTGGAAGGGAGGCCGCCGCTGCACTTTTAGGTGCATCGAAGTCATCAAAGAATCACACCCCTTCGCCGTCTCCTCAGCCCATCCAGGGGTACGCACGGTATCCGATCCACGTCGAGCGCGCGATATATCGACTCAGTCACATTAAACTTGCGAACCCCCGACGGCCGCTGTATGAGCAAGTGCTTATCAGTAACCTCATGTTTTGGTACTTGGGTGTCATCAACAAAACCACCCCTGCATCTCCTGGTCAGGTCAACACTCCAAATTCGGCCGAAGCACAGACCAATAATGCAGAAAAGGAACAGGCTGAGCGGGAAAAGAAGGAACGTGAGGAGCGTGAGCGGGCAGAGAAGGAACGAGCGGAGAAGGAGCGTGCTGAGAAAAAGGATTCATCACGGAGAGGTAGTCTCACCAAGACTCCAGCAGCAGGTACTCCTGGATCGAGGCGGGCGGAGATGCCAGTTCGTGGTCCTCAGTACGACATGCAGCATCGTGCCATGGAACAAGAGTACGGTTATGGACAACCAGGCGCACCTTCAACAGGTCGTACTACATCAGCACCTCCGATATCTGCAGGACTTCAGCCTAGGTCTTCTGGGAGTCAGCCTCATCCATATCAACCTTCCTCACAACAAGGATATTCTTCTGCCCAAGTCGTTCAACCGCAACCTCAAGTTCCTCATGGCCGGCACCATAACGGTATGGCGAACCCTTCATCACAACATCCTATGACTTCAATGGGTGCACCGCAACTACCGCCAGGTGCCATGCCTCCCGTGAACGTTGAAGCTGGGGGTTGGATGTCACCGCCACCGGGGTCTTCTTCCATTAGAGGCCATACATCACCTTCGCCGCCCCCACGGGGAACTTCACCGCCTTCAGCAGGCTTACCTTCAAATCCTGGTCCTCGAAGGGCGAAATCGCCTCCTGTGAGGTATTCGCCTGCTCAGGAGAAGCAACCACATAGTGGGGGTGGTAGAACGCCAGGTCGATCCTTATCTGCCACTGCTGCTGCACCAATGCCATCCATTCCTCAAGTGAATGGTATACGGAAAGGCAATAGCGTGCATGCTGTCCCGCATAGAACGGCTAGCGAGGAAGAAGACGTCCCGCTAGGTCTATATCACCAAAGACGAAAGTGAAGTCTATGAACATCTTTGTTTTCTTCCCATTCCTTCGTATTATTATGTATCTCTGTCCTCCCTCGTATTTCTGCCTTTTCATCCTTTTATGTTTCGCTCATCCATCCCATCTAGATATCCCTGCAATTTATGTTGTCCTGGGTTGCGTTCCGTTATTCCTCACTCACTGGTACTGCATTACCTTTAGCACCTTACCCCGACCCTGCCCACACTCGCACTCTTGCATATTCTGCCGCATCATTTCTCATCCATTGGACATCCATGCTCCCGCCTTCCCTCGCCGTCTTATTTCTCCACCCTCGGCTGCTCGAGTTGTCCTCACCGGCGCCTTCCTTTAACTACTTCGTGACGCTTCATAATCCATCTCCTTACGTGTTCAGGACTTCGAGCTTCAGTAGGTAGCCAATTTCGGTGTGCGCTGCGTCTTTCTGGACACTCTTTCTTTACCTCACCGGATGCCAGCCCAATTCTCGTAGCGTACAAATCGGACTGCATAGTACATTCGCCTGGCAGGGCAGCTTCTAAATCTGTATTCGCATAGCACTAACTAACCGGCACGAAAAAAAGCCTATTTCTATTGCCTAGGGTTCGTGATTTGTCTAGCCAGCTGCTGAAGCCCTGCACTAGCCATTCCAGCAATACCCTCCCCAAACGATCGAGCAGAACCGATGCTTCTTGCGACACTTTCAACGCCTTTCGCAGCAAGTCCCCAGCTTAACTGGCCCGCGTTTGTCTGTGTGCGACTTCCCGCTGACATCATTAGAGCCGTCTTGATTGTGTCCAATTCGTTGATCACTTCTAACCCTACTGAACGTGCCCAGACGACAGGCTCGGCAGTGGTAGAGTACAACTTGTGTAGTTTGTCCACTGCTGCAAGCATCTTGTGATTCTCTAGGTAACGATTGCGAGAATAAGGCAGTAGAGCGGTGTAAGAACCTAAATAGCACGGTTATGAATCTATTTGCTCGCATTTTGACTAGGAAATGAATGTACTTGCCTAAATCAAGTCCGCGAGAAACTGCCTGGCTAATACAATCAGCAAGAGCCCGAACGTCAGCCAATCCCATGTTTAAACCTTGGCCGGCAAGAGGGTGAGTAGTATGTGCAGCATCTCCGACAAGCACAGTACGAGCTCCTGCTCCTTCGCCAATGTAGGATTCGGCATGAGAGAATCGAAGTGGGAAGGATGCAATAGTACCAGGTTGAATGGACGTGACAAGAGGGGGTAGGCCATCAGCGCCTTCCGGTGGGATGCCAGATGTATCTTGTTGGACCACAAGAGATGAATAGGCTGAATGAGAATCGATTGCATGCGATCTCTCGCGGAAAGCAATCTCTTCGCGCAATTCGTCGAGAGTGATTGGAGAACCCCTTTCTTGAGCTTCTACAATACGAGAATGCAAATAACGCATTGAGACTTCGGGTAAACGGAAGGCTGCGTTGATCATCGCAGCTAGGACCGACGGATCAACAGCTTTAAGGGCAGCGGCAAGGGGTGGTTTCGTTGACCACACCAAGGAAGACGCTGTTTCAGACAGCGGGAGGAATGCTATAGGGCCAGTAGGGAGAAAACGCTGATAGGCTGTTGTGTTGGGAGATGAATATGGACCACGAGGTGCATGGTAAAGTGTTCCGACAATGGCGTGGGTATCGTAGGCCCAACCATAGGATTTGATTCCTGCGTATGTACGCACAGGAGAATTGGGACCATCGGCACCGACCTATCAAAGATATAGATGAGAAATGAAGACGGTCAATGAAGCTTCGTACTCACAAGAAGTCGAGTGCGAATAACTCGGCCGTCAGAAAGATGCACGAGCGGCCAAGTAGACCCTTCAGTATTTTCCTGAATAATGGATTGGACCTTAACGCGATCTACAAGTTCCACAGCGCCAAGGGAGGAAAGCCTGTGTAGAAGGGCCCTTTGCAAGTTTAGGTTCTCCGTGAGTCGTGATAGTTCCACAGTTGACTGAGCAGGAAGCATTTCTGAAGCAGAGAAAGTGATTCGCGCGTCCGAGACACCGTCCCATACCTATCATATTCAGATGATTATGCGCTGCGCGGACAAAGTGACTGACGAACCTGAATCTCCTCTACTGGCCCAGTTCGACTCACTTCTACCATTGGCCATGCTCCAATATCTTGATAACAAGTTAGGCCTCCTGGGATTAAAATGGGTAGCAAAAACTCTGTACCTTGCAAGAAACCTCGAGACGCGTTCGTAATTGAACTAACACGGTTGGAATAACCTTCAGGTAATGACCATTGCTTCACTTTGGACAAGTCACTTGCTTCTACCAAAACCACGCGCAGTGATGCTTGGATATTTCGACACGAGCCTGTATACAGAGATCTAAGTACATTAGGTTAAACGCGAATCTACGCCGTACATTGCTATACATACCAAGTGCTGTTGCAAGCGCAAGGCCAGCTGGGCCTCCTCCCACGATGACGATATCACAGTGGTCCGAGATGCTATGCGAGAACCGCTTTGGAGATACTGCTAGACATCGTTGAGGTTTAAGTGCTTTCGTAGAGCGTAAAAGAGGAAGCATATCAACAATGCACACTCGTTCTGGTCCCGAATTCAAACTAAAGAGTACAGTATGAAGCAAGCCTGAACTCAGTAGACGCACGACGGGAAGTACCTATGCCCAGAATGCCTCTGGCTCGATCCCGAGTCGACACATTTTTGTAGATTCTGCCTAATACGGGTCCCTCCTCCCCTCCATAGACTCGTATCAAAGTCTGCCTGTGGGAGACTAGATTCTGCCATCATGATCCGACTTTGTTGTAGAATTACAGACAAACTCTAGCGTCCAGCGTGTTCACGAAATGTATGTATCAAACTTGGTAAAATTTCATTCAAATCATTCAGCGCAACGACTATTGTTACAAACCAATTTCTGAGATGTATTCCTTGACTTCCACGAAGAATCAGAATTATCGGTGTAAATTCATTCCAAGGCGGCCGGAAAAGTTTGTAACCGAATCGACCGGTAAATCCTCTAGTGGTCCCTGTCGATACGAACGAATGTGAAGAGCTCAGTGGGAAGATACTGAGGAGGCAAACTCTTCGTTGCAATCAACGGCTTGGCCAGGATCTTTGTTTAACGATCCAATCAATGACTTGAATCTAACCGTAGCATAGAGGAGGTACGCTCACAGGATCGCCGAACGTGCCATCACCCTCCTCCTTCACAACCCAACCCGAGCTGCGGTCCTGTCTCTCGATTCTGGGAGACGTCGTCAATGACAGAGCCCAAAGCAATAAATGAAGTCATGCGTACATGTAGACGTTCTTGCCATGTTGAGGCTGCGCAGTAATGATCCAATCCTCGGGCCCAGTCGCCCGGTCTATGAGGAATGCAACAACCCGATCTCCTTCAACGCCGGTAGGGGCTTCATGAGCCTTCAACCGATAGCCCTTGTCCTTGCGCTCGACGATCCACTAGACATAATCGGATTGAGCAACGCAGAGGCAGAGTCAGTCTACGTCTACATACCCTTGGGGAGTAGGCTACGATCCTCGGTGAGATTCCGACCAATGTAACGGTTCTGAACGTGAGAAGAGATGATGTAGATGCCGGTTTCGAGACTCATTCTGATAGACTGTTATTGAAATGGGTGGTGAAATTGCGTTGAGTTTATGCAGCACTTTGTGGTCTTTTATACGCCAGACCCAGGTGTCGTTCGGGAATAGCTGTAACATGAGGCCGTACCTCTAGACCTCCGTCTCCACGCAATGTGACAATGAGGAGGTCAGGTGTGGGTGATGTAGGTCAGTGATTGCTCGTAATCTGACTTTCTTGGACAAAGCGTCAGAGGGCGAAGCTCAATAATACAGATGGTCGTACCTCATGTGATAGATATTTTTATGCCTCTAGAGCAATAATGACAGTGAGGAGGAACTTGGAAAGGACATATCGAGTTTCTTGCATACGACATGTCATTCATTTAAACCAGCGCATCCGAACAAGGTGTTAGTAATGCCTGGGGGCCTACACGACATTACGTCGAGGGAGCCTTTGGTGGCAATGTAATGGTGCTTCCATTCGGTATTTTCAGATACCGAGGCACTGGTGGCCTCGCCCCGGACGCCACACATTCTGCTTCTAAGAAATTGGAGGCCAGATGACAAGGATGTCTGTGCCAGTGGAAGGATTCTTCATCAAAGAATGGCAGCTGGAGTGTAACGACCTCCCTAGACCACTTTACGTCTCTGAAGCATTCGGAAAGGTCATGCAGCCTGCCACGAAGAATGGTTCTCAGCTCCACTGATCCCTCCGGACCGATAGCCAAAGGAAGACAAGACCTGGGCAATGCGCCTAATATCGCAGGCTTTGGGTGTATATAGTCAACGATGGAGCAAAAAAAAAACCGCAAAGAGTGAGTGAAGACCATTAAATGGATTCGCAAGCAGATCCATAACATGGTATAGAGCTTTCCCATGACACTGACTTCCGGCCACTTAATGACCACGGTCCCTTGACAGGGCCGCCCTGAATCTCCCCAGCCACTCCAATCATCTCATCATGTCCCTCTAGAAAATAGCGCCGTAAGTAAACGCACTTGGAAAATGAGAACTGATACAAACGGTATTCAGACCAGGGAACATAGACCGGCGGAAGGATCAAAGTGTTAAGTAGCGGGCAGCCGCCACGGTATGTCACGATCGTGGCAAGGAAGGAGACGAATGCATACGTGACCTCTAAGTCGGGGACGTGGGGTTGGTCGGACACCATTATCAAAGCCATGATCAACGTACCTTCAAGTAAGACTTGTGCCTTCCTGAATGGGCTCGAATGCTGGATCTGATGCTCAACTTTGTAAAGAAGCAACCAAGACCCGTGCAAGTTGTTTGGTGGTCTCTGTATGAATATCGTGTCTCATTAGCGTTCAGCCTGTACACAAGGTAACAATCGTAGTGCTCACTAAATATGGTTATCATCCAGGGATGGTTTCCCTTGTTTCTAGCCTGATTCTTCGAAAATACCCAAATCGCGTACCGCTGGCTCCACAGATTCTCGGTAAATGTTCGGTCCAACGATAAGCGTTCCTGATTCTCTTCCCATGCCTTGCCCTGCAATCCTCAATCTCCAGTATGTTTCTCGTATCCAACTCGCATGCTCGACCCAGTTTGTCCTGCCGCCACAAACCGTCTCATGGAACTTCAAATAATACGGCGCGTCGGCAAACAACGTCGCATGTGCCAAGTCTGTGTCTCCATGTTTCCTGTGTAACTCCTCCGCGTAGCACGCACTAAAGTATGTACGTAGGTAAAACCTTCGTACCATCTCGTGCGCGCGTATTGTGAGGTCGACTGGGTCGCCTGGGCCGCGGAACGCCTGCGGCCATTGTGAGGTATCCCCAAGGGAGGTCCAGTCACAGGGGACGGATCGCCAGTCTTCATCTGGATATTCCGGGCGTGCACAGGGGTCGTCGCCCGTGGACATGATGTCGTCCGGGTACACGGCAGTCAGCATGAGAGGGAGGATCTGTGCACCTCCCCAGTCAATCACGCCCGTTATTTTCGGGAGACCGTCAGGAAGCGAGGATATGTCGAAGAAAACATTACGGAGAGCAAGGTCTGGATGGTGCAGACATAGAGGAAGATATGGGCTCGGTGGTTTGAATTGGGGGATGAGTGAAGAGAGTAGTTGAAAGAGCTCCGCGAATGTCTGGGGAGTGCACGTCGGCTCAGAGAGAGACTGGGAGAGTTCGTCCGTCTCGATGCCACTCCATTCTTGGAGGGCGTGTAGTATTTCATGCTCCAGCCGAGCACGCCACAGTTCGTCTACGGACTTGTAAGGGCCGCCTAGACATTTCTGCGTCAGCGTCATAAGCGGACCTACAGCGAACTTTCCCTTTGCATTGGTCGTGATACTCCCTGTTTCATCAAAGGGCACAGGCCTTGAAAGCGATGCCTGCAGCTTTGCCAGCGACTTCACGATGTGAAGCTTCTGTGTGGGGGGTAGAGTGTCTAGACCACGTAGACCGTGATCATCCCGTAAATCATCTAGAGTTGTTCCTGGCATAACTTCCATTAAGACATAGGGGGCCCGCGCGGGATTAGTGAATGTGAAATCCCATGCATATACTTTCGGTACTGGAATGTCGGGATATAGCCCTGACTCGCGCACAAATCTCATGGTTTCAATCTCGGATCGCTTTGCCTGGGGATTGAAGTGTTCTTCGTCATGATTGGAGACACTAGCAGCTATACAAGTGCCATCGCTGAACACGAGTTTGTAGACACTGTTATAGCTACCTCGACCAAGAAGTGAAATGGAAAGGCAACTCAGGCTGGGGTGTGCGTGTGGGCCGATAGTGGAAAGGTGAGTGGTCGCGCAAGTGATCAGACCATGCAGGTCAACCCATTTTTTCTTTCTGAGCTGAGCTATTTGCTCTTCCAGTTCTTGAGACATCTAGAATTACAGCTTGCCAGCCTACGGCGTTACCGAAGCCTGAAGGTGGAATAGAGAAAGACCGATTTTGCCACTTACCTTATTTGGACATACATCAGGGCCCCGGGGTGGCAGTGCAACGTGGCGCGGCACTTTAATGACTTGAATATGTATCTTTTCTGCTTCAGCACTACACCATGTTCATGAACTTTCAAAATAGGCTACGGCCTTCTGACCACCTCTGTCATGTTTGTTATACCCCTTAGCCGTTGGTAGTGCATGGCTACTGTTTTCGTGGTCAGGAAAACGGAATGCCAAGCAACTTGAAGATGATGCAGCCATAGCCGATTCTCATAAAGTCACGATGTGCATGACCAATTGGTTGGCTGGCCAGTTGGTTCTGATGACGGTACACGCTCTGGAGCATGATAATTGTGAGTGTGACGAACCAAATCTGCTGTTTCTTGCGCAATCTGATGCTTTCGGTGGCCATCGTCCGAATGGATCACCATATTCTCCTCAGCACATATGGCTGGGTCTACTCTGTGTCTCGAATGCATTAATTCTTCCTCTTGGAAGGATTTGGACGTTAACGATTTCACGTCTAAAAGTAGGTCACATTCCCTTTTGCGTGCCAGACGTGCTTTACCATCACTGGAATCCCTTTCTTGCGACTTCAGATTGTCCGGAGTTTCCACGCACCTAAACATATCCCTGGAACTGGTTCATTTCATTCCTTCATCCTTCCATACCGGACCGTTGATTTATAGAGAAAACCATAGTGGATCAATTGTTCTCTCATGCTGTCATTGAGAGTGATTCACACCCGTTCTTCTCGCCTTCTCCGTCCCGTTTACGTTGTATCGTAATGAAATCTGACTTCTCTTTTCCCATGCACTTCCTAGTCACTTAGAGTTGAATCGCGGCCATCGATCTTCACTCAGGTTGAGTCATGAGTCATTCTCGAACTCCAGACGTCGCAGATCGGTGCAGCGCGAATACGTTCTGAACGAATGCGAACGAGCGCAGATTCTTCGGGTTCACCACGGAAATGCTCATACCACTATTTCAGAGCGTTCCACCATCCTTTCTTTCATCATAGTACCGTCCCAATGACCCACCATGCAACTGACACTCAACTAGAAGGCTCGCACTCGACTTGCGTGCTTGTTCATTTCCACGCCTTAATCCCGCCCTTTGACTCCTTTCCCCCTGTCTATGCCCTCGGACAGTCTATCCCGCTTTCAGTGCTATACATATTCCACACCGCTTACCCGCAGCCTTAGGAGCAGCACTCTATCCTCGCATTCATTAGCCCAGGGAAGCTCTCCTATCGTCACATCTTTACCTTTATCAGACGATTCGAATTCCCATCGCTCGCCCAACACAGGGGTACTGGAAACTCATTTGCTACTACTGCCAACTTTTTACGTCCATCCAAATTCCAGACGAAGTATTATTGTATTAGCATCGTGGCGTATAGTTCTATGATTGGCCTCATATGCACTTTGGACTTCGAAGGCTGCACGGTCTGTCACCCTTCTTATGACCGTTAATGGACTGTGCATTTCCTAGACTGGTGCGCGTGGAATAATCTTTTGCACTATCCTGCAATAGGATCTTGTGAATACCAGCGGTGTTACGATCCGAAATGATTCATGAACTCTCGATATTGACGTGCTTCTACGGTGAAATATCGCTTCATTGTCCTTTCGATCTCTTACGCTTTAACATGGGAAGCATATTCGATGTATATGGTGGTGCTGGGGGATGGGGGGTCCAATCGAATGCGTATTGGTACGTTTTCACTCCTTTGAGTTGATTCTGAGCAAGTCTGGATATGGGCACAGTGCCACCCTAGTGTGAGATCATCCCTGCCGATGAGATCTTCATTGCCGATGTGGCGCAAGTCTCGTAACCTCGTGGCCTACAGCGGCATCAAATGCGGACCTCGCTATTTCGATGACCGGTACGCCTGAAGAGAGGCTAGCTCGACACCACCACTGGTCATAGTAATGATACAAGAACAAGTACGCATATATATAATGTACTCATGCTAAGATGTTAGCTATTAGCGAAACGCTAAACAAAAGCACAACGAACGAGCAACACCATGCCAAGCATTTAAAGCAAGAGATAGAGCAAGAGGAATGCATCCTATTGTATTGTAATGTGTACTATAGGTCCAACGTTATGATCGTGAGATAAATGTGCTGCTGTCTACGATGATGGGAAGACATCTACAGATGCGAAAGACATGCAAGGGAACTGAAGGAGGCCATGGTCAGTTATGATATAAAGAGGAAAAAATGTAGGAGAATACGCGTAAATGAATAAACCATGTGATGTAAGAATAAAATGTATGAAAGAGACGAACAATAACATGGAATGTATAAGTCACCCGCCTCACAAACATCAACTCAAAACCCCATCATCAACGCCCTTCCTTCTGCTAAAACTTGGCTCCAACTCAACCTCCAAACTCAAGTCCAACGATGGTGGGATAGGTATCGAAGACAAAGACAAAGCCGACCTAGTCCGACACGCCGTGAACGCTCTCTTCGACATCACAGTCCGACTCTGCCCATATTGCCCATTCGACATAGTCGTACGAGTGAACCGCTGCTCTTCAATCACGCTCATAGTATCCGATGGTGGGTAAAGTGAGAATGGGGATGGAGGGGCTAAACAGGGACTCGGAATCGCCTGAAGGGTCACTTTATTCACCAAAGTAGATAACGTGACATCTGGGGGATTTGTTACCGACGGAGTTGGTACACTACCACTGTCACACGAAGACTGAGTCATCGAGAGCGGTGGCGTTTGTCCTGGTCGCGCCGTCGTACGCAAGGCTCCAATATTTGGATTCGTGGGCAGGCATGAGCGCCTTGGACTTTCCGATTCAACTATGGGAAAGTATGGGTTTACCGGCTCGTGATCTGAATTCTCTTCGGACGGTAAAGTGGAGTGAAAGTACGACGAGGAGGCCATATCGGTAATCCCGGGTTCAGAAGGGGACGGTGGGTCGCTCGTACTTGGCGCCTCGCTCTCAGTATCCGTATCACTAGCGGACGAGAGAGCTGGAGTCGATGTTGGAGAGGGAGCGCGAAAAAAAGAGCTCGAATATGAAATGTCTGGTTCCACTTGACCTTCAAGCTGAGTGTCAGGATACGACTCAGGAGTCGCTTCATTTGCAGCTTCGCCCATATCGGGCTGCTTCTCAGGTTCTTCCGGAGGCACCAAAGATGAGGTGGACGCGGAAGGTGACAAAGGTTGTGGGAGGGGCATGAGGGGAACGAAAGTCATATTGAACCTTCTCTTCGGTTCCGGGGGCTTCTGCACAGCTGGCTGCGGAGCAGGTATTGATTGCTCTTGTACGGGCAAGAGGGGGACGAATGTGAAATTAGCCGTGCGTCTAGGTGAGGATGTTGGCGTGGTCGCGGGGGAGTCTACAGACGGTGAAGAAATGTCTGGCGACTTTGGGGAAGGTGATTGGATAGATATCGGGGGAAGAATGGCAGGTGGACTAGAGCATTGAGGTGGACTTTGTGCTATAGGTGTAGGGTATGATGGTGTAGCTTGAGATGAAGATGAAGCGCATTCGTTATGTGGTGTCTCTGACTCCGGTGAAGCCGGCGAGTCCAGTAGAGGAAGCAACTGTATAGGCACTGCCTCTAGGTAAGGTAGGATTTCAGGATCTACGTTCATTCGCGAATCGTCACGGTTCTTCCACTTTGAAGGTGTCAGAGAACGTGCAGTTGCAAATCGTGAAATGGGGAAAGGTTGAATAGATGTCGATGGACTCGAGGATGTATATGTAGATCGCGGTGCTGAGGTTGTGAATGGTTGACGATAGTTTGGACTGGGAGGTGCCCTAGGGAGATTTAGCTGCAATTGCTTGAGCTCGAGAATGTCTCTGTAAAGCGGGGCATTAGCATTAGAACACCGTCATTTATAACATAATGCTTTGTTGAAGGCCATCAATCCGGGTCTTGCACCAGCCAATGAAACGGTTAGCTACAAGCCCGGCATCCGGCGATGACATACCACTGCCCGCCCCGCCCCACCAGCGGAGACATCAGGCATGACGACTGCAGGGTGGAGAAACCCTTTCGGACAGTCTCGGGCGTGCGGTGGTCGGCATCCGGAAGATTGGAGCGGGGAATTTCCCGAATAGGAAGGTGCATACATGACTCGGCCGACATTGTAGGAGGTGCACACGACCACCGACGGACGCGCACAACGCATGCGACGACGACGAGCACGTAGAGCGTAATCAATTAAAAACGTACTGGTAGGATAAACGCGGGGTCATTGGGATAGGAGATCGATCCCAGTCGTCCGCCTCGAACACCTCTTCCAGACCCTCGTCTTCCGAGCAGAAAGATACCGCTTTGCGTATCGATGGTCTAGTATCTGGTCCAGGCGACCCGCTCCTCGATTCGTTAGGTGTGCCCGCCGCACTGACCATAGGGGTCACGGGCGGTGTCAGCTTCAAGCAGCTCCTCATGGTGGTTGGTGGAATAAAGCGTAGTCTGTTTCAGAGCAAGAGCGAAGCTGAGTGATGAATACAGCCAGGTTGGGCAATGATGTTGAAGTAGCGAGGTAAGTGACAAGGACAGCGTTATCGATATAGTTGAGGTCGACGTCGGGATGGACAGAACACCCTGAAAGTTTTTACCAGACGGTATCACGGCTACCCGCCGGATGAAAGTGGGAAAACTCGGAGCCATTCGCGCGCCAATGGGCGCTCAGTTTCCTGTTATGTCCTTCTTTCCGAAAGTGGTCATGCCCTGACAACAGGTGCATTATGGCCAATAATATTAGTTGTGAGTCCCTCCGGATGTCCCTCTTGCGAGTATCGTGCGGCTCTATGCCCGACGACGTCCGCATTATTCACAAACCGTGCCTTCGTGCGGAAGGAGCTTTGCAGTAAAAGAAAACATCGTCAGTATTGTCTTCAACCGGTGAGAAAGTAATGGAGCTCACGTCCGCCTGACCTCCATCATGACGTTTATCCTGTCAAACAGGTTCAACTTGGAGACCCCTACGGTGCAATAATGTAACGACTCACTCACTGGTTCCTCGGATGGCGTGTGTCGAATGCACGAACTGGAATGAGTACAAAGCAAGTGAGGGAACAGGACGTTCACTCCATGCTTTCTCGAGATCTCGCCTGGGAGAAGTGTACTGAGCTGACAGCCCTTTGAAATCATCCAAGCTTCTCCGTTGGCCGCATAATTAACTTGGATCCGTCCGTCACCCATTCGAAGGTTCACAGGCTAGCGAAAGACCTTCCAAGGCTTCTAATGCACTCCCATCCATTCTCACAGATGGAGCACCGAGGTTGAAGAAGCCCTACTCTGAATACACTCTACAGCCCGAATGAATTGACATGCACACATACGTAACTGCTTGCATGTGTGCTCCTTAGATGTTAACCTTGGCTTCCCCAAGTCATTCCCAGGAATGCACCACAGGGAAGATTTCCGCATACACTGCGAAACACGAGGTGAGTTTCAAAATGGGTATTAGCGATGGTGAGATACTTTCGTTTCGACTTGCCAGATGAAAAACTGAAGAGACTATGATGGCACGACAAAGCTCTGCAATGGGATGATGTGAAGCATGAGAACGCGGGTTCATGTTGTGTAGCATTCTCATTGAAAATTGCACAAGCCAAGAAGCTGGACCGGATGTAGCATTGCCAACAGGTCATAGCTTCTTTCGTCATCTGGGTCTTGTCAAGACCATTCTCGTCTTGCTCTCCATTTGTCATGTTCAGCACCTCGACCTCGTTACGCTCGATTTAGAATTCCGTTCAGAGTCGGAACGGATGTTGCAGCTCAATACTCATCGTTTGAAGCATCAAGCATTATCCACGTTCAAAGCCATTCCCACCCAATTTCTTAGTGCCAAAGGTAGCCGAGGACTCGCACCGATGTTTATTTTTTTAGTTCCCGCCGCGCTTGTCTCAAGACCAGAAGGTCGTGACAATATGGGAGCGGGAAGGTGATACAAACTCCAAGCCTGCGAAGGACGCTTAGGATGCTTGAAGCCTTGAGGATCCGCGCAGTTCATCAAAGGGCTTAATTATAATGACTGAAATTCCCATCGGGACACCACACATTTTGCGCATTCATGATTGTGGCTTCTAGACGCTCACAGCGTTGTACATCGTGACGGAAGTGGCGGGCATCAAATGGTAGGAGCTGGTGAGCATCGGACGGCCATGATATGTGTGCTGTACAAGCAAGAGTCCTTTCGATGCATGCATCAGGGTCGACTCATCTACAGATTTTTGTTGTCACCAAACATCGCTCAACCGCACCGTCATCCGTGTCGTATTGCAGCTTCAAATGATTCACCTTCCACTGATCGATCGCTCGTGGATCAAGCGAAAGGCGGTGAGTAGTCATATCTCTGAAATCATGTTCATGCTACAACCCGGCCTTCATGTTCAAGCCGTCGGTCATCTGTCACAAAGCGCGGTGGTTGCGGTATGATAACGTTTATCAGGAAAGTCCGAATGATCGTGTTTCTCTTTACTGTGTCCGTGGAGTTGCGGCGCCCTACTCGATTGATGACCGATATACTTTATTGCTGTATCGATGCATTTCTGAAACCTATTGCATTTATGATAACCCGCCATGCGAAACGGTACGATTACTGTGTTGGCCTGTCTCACGGAGCTCTACTGACGCCTTTGAATAGCGCTCCGGTCGTTGGCACGGAAGCACACACGACACAAACGAGTCCGAAATCGTATCCCCTTTGGTCGTCTTTATGACATGTGGCATGTATAGCACTCAACGGGGATCCTACGGTTGCTTCTATTGAAGGCTGTTCTCCTAGGTTCGAATATCCAACGTCCAGGGTTTGATTCACATTGCCTTTTAATGACTCGCCGTGCTTCCTCAACTATCTGATTTTGACGAACGCGCAAATGAACTGACATCCCTTCAACTCACGTCAAGTTGGTCATTCTACAGGACGCCCCGAATGATCGTCGAAACGCTGCCTCCTTGCCTTCTTACCCATTTTCGAGTCCCCCGTTCACACTCGTTCAAAGAAGTTCACAGCGCTTTTTTATCCTGGACCCTGTCCGGCGTCTTTCTGATGTGAACGAAGAGACCAGCTGAGCTGGTCTACACTTCCAAACCCTGTTTCCCTGAAGGTTGCCAGGTCATATCATTCGGACAATGTTCTTTGACGATGCCCTTCTCAATCCAGCCCCGTGGTCTTCGGTTCATAATGGTACGACTTGAATTCGGAATACGCAAACCCTTGGTCTCACGCTAATGCTTCTCAAGATGCTATGAAAATGTGTACCAGGTCCGCGTCATTTTGATTTCTTCGTGTTGGGCCGGGGACATGGGTCTTGTACGCCATGCCCGTTGATTCCCCATGTGGAGGTGCCAACTACAGTTCCCTTCTGTAGTCTTTTCGAATCTTATCAAATGTTGAAACTCGAGAAGTTGACTTGTCTTTGGGACGCTCAAGGGTGATTGTAGTCATCCCGAGATGGCCAATCCAATATGTTGAGGCGAGCATCCAACTTGACGAACAAACCATCTCGATGACATCCCTGAATGAGATGCTACGGCGCGAGTCGCTGAAATGTCCAACAGTTTTCTAAATATCATCCGTAGATTGCTGTTGATCATACTTATGCGACCGTTTCTTTGCCGATCGTGACGATTATTTCCAAAGCGTAGCTCTTCGATTGTTGGTCGTAGCCTGTCTTACATCAAAGCGGCTACGGCCCGTGCTTGGTACCTAGCCGAGGAAAGAAACCCACCAAGAATTTCTCTTCGTTGAGATCCGTACAGAAAACAGTTCTAACGGCTCGATTAACCCGTAACTTGAATGTCTCGGGAAATCTGGCCAAACGTCCAACCGCCAGCTCAACTAATTACGGAACAGGGGCACTTGCGACACACAAAGACTAGTTTCGAACCTGAATGGTGCACATAAACTAAAAAATAATCTAGCAGTTCGCACAATCTCCGCCACCGCCCTGCCGCGTTAAGTGCCTTTATATCGCTCGCGCCGCTGTAAGGCTCGCCATAGCTCATCCGAAGTTCTCCATGACATCGTGGGCAGTTGAGGGGGAAAATGGCCCGGCGGAATGTGTCCAATCGCGTCTTCATCGAGCAAGATTGGGAAGGTACGGAGCATCAAGCCACAAAGCGTCTCTAAAGTGAAGCTGGGAAAATATCGTGAGCTGAGCTGCTAACGCCTATGGCGTGAAAATAGATCAATTGTCCCTTTCGCTGTGACTACCATAATAATAGAATGGCCAAGATCCAGCCCTCCGAGCAAAGATGTCTGGTCGATAGCGATGTAGTAGTTACCTCAGGTTGCTGATCTTGGATGTGAAGATGAACACACGCGAGCAGAGCCTATGCGCAAGATGAAGGGCCGGAGTGTAGGCTCAGGCCCCAGATAGAGTTGTGCACTCATTCATGCAGATCAACACGGGGTTGCCTGCAGGCTAAACCTAATACAGAGCGGATAGCTTGAAGCGGTGAAGGGAAGTGGAGGTGTGAAGTTGTCTATTGAAAGGTACTCAGGCACGTGTTTAACAGGTGGGCTGCATTCAACGAATCTGTATACGTTTCATAGAGAATATTGACTGAACCTTGAATTACGAGCTCGCTCGTCGATATCACGATCGAGGTTTCCGCTTATTCATAGAAGGTGCGATACATCGAGACTCCACGATCTCGAGGCGCAATCAAGTGGGTCAGCAGGATAGATGTTCCTGCCCAGGGCTGCGTGTCAATGTGTTTTTATCACACGAAAGGTCTGTAGATATATCGATGTCAGTTAATAGAATAGAGATACGAACTTTCCTTCGAAGTCAGACGCGACTTCACGCGAACATCGCATATTGCGACTATCCAGTTCATCTAAATGAAGCTCCGTTGAACTACTGCTGCCATTTTCGTCTTGTTGCTATTGCACTGCGCACTGCGCATCAATCGAGCCTCGAAGAAGACGTCAGTACTAGTGGATCGGGTGTGGGTGAATTCGGCATGAGTGACCCGCAAGGGAAAACGATACCTGATCAAGAATAAACATGATGTTAGCTATCTTTGGCATGTGTGATACGAGAAAGGATAGCCCCATGGATTGCTCGAGGTTCCCGCGTCTGTCTCGAGGCTCTTGGTATTGTGGATACAGGGCGCAATCGGCCCTGGCGCTGCTGTTATTTCTCATCTATTCTTGTCTAAACGCCTCTCATCTAGCTCCGAGCTTAAGGTCTCAGTTAAAATCTCGGATCATTAGAATGTTGAACACACACAGCTGGTTGAAAGAAATGGAGTAGACGCTCTCACCGGTAGCCCGCTTTCTTCGTAACCCAAAAGCTTTCCTGGCGTCACGGAACAAGAAGAACGCGCTGCAGAATTCCTCCGTTGATGTCTGCAGGATCTCTCACCTTGTAGCCAGGGTTTCAGTTAAACGTTGCACTGTATCAAAGGAGAATATGTTTTCGCTGTGTGAAAGGATCACAAAGGAAGACATGTCCACCCTCAAATGGAGGAAATCCCACACCGTCCATCCTTTCAACAAGGGTGGCCAAGCCATGAGCTAGCTCGGCGAAGCAGATAAGCACAGACTTTTCCATTCATAGACAGCTTCGAAGTGTGTGGATGTGGTTCTCTTTCTCATGCAAACCGCACGAATATGAATATTGCCATTGTCGAGCAATGAACTTCATCTAAGCCAAATGTGGACATCGAGTATCGATCGGATTTCGAATAAGCCTTTTCTATGATGTTGCAATAAAGGCCGCGACCGTTGGACCCGAATCGTTAGACCAGTCCGGAATTGGCATACCGTATTGATGCCGCAATAGCAGGAACGCACTCCGATAGATGTTTCGTAGGACGCAGATCTTGTCGGAATCTCGGAGCGAGTATAAGCGTGCACATGTCAGGAAAAGGAAAAAGATGAAGACAAATATGAACCCACGCGTCCGAGGACTGTCGTTCACATTCGCAAAAATCTCGGTGTGGGGTGAGAACCTCTGGCATTTTACCCCGCACGTTGTAACATCCAGGCAGCTTAGAGATGTCATGCGAATTGTCGTGCGACAAGCTCAGGCTCGTGAGAGGACTCTCAGATATTTCATCACAGTGCGATGGTCCTATGCATCATAAAACGATGTCAGCGATGCTTCTAGCCATTTTCAGTGCCGAGACATTTCAACAAGATGGACATGATGCTTTACATACCTTTTTCGGTGATTACGGTGGATGAACAGGCCTGGTTCTCATGCTGATCGGTGTGCCCATTTTGTCCAATAGGTTCCATGGGGAGAATGCAGCAAAGCTGCGGCTAAGCGGATACTCTTCGGAGACTTGCCAATAGTAATCGTCAGGTTTTCTAGACGCCAAACATCAATAGCATAACCATATTGTTGATTCAGCAAGAAGGCTCCAGGTCCTTCCTTAAATTCCTCTTGCTTTGTTACCCTATGGTGACCATGGTCGCCGAGACACGCCGTGCATCAAGGTGTGGAGCCGTAGTAGGGTGATGTGAGAATGGTATCCAATTCAGTGACTGCATCATGAGACATAAGAACTGCCATGACACTTAGCATCGACCATAAGGATCCTTGTCCGTACATCGTGTGTGCTTCAATGGGTGCATACTGTGATGAGAAAGTTGTGTCGTCAGCCAAGCAAAACATATAACTACCAAGCGGGTGCTCCAATATCCTTCGATATGGGTGCTATAAGCTATAACATTCGAAGTAGACTAGCAATGGGTCGTGCGACAAGTTCGAAATGGAGGCAGGATGAACTGGTTCAACACAAGCTAGTTTTCGAATCACAAACCTTTCAAGCTGCATTCAAGCCATCCTAATTAGGATCGACACCTTTGCTTACGTAAGCCATTTCTTCGTGCAACGTGCAACACCGCCGCCAACGACGAGAACATCGCCAACGTCGCTCTTTACTGCATCTTACGACCTCAAATCACGGTTAGCGATGCCCATTAAACATCTGGACAGTGAGTGAATACGAAAGAACTGACTCCGAACGAAAGTCTGATGAATTTCTATCGAATTTCGCCCAAATTATCAGACTACCTGGTTGACCGTAAACACCTACAGACTCAACCCCTCCATTTTCTTACTGATTCACGCTTGGGTATCGATGCTTCTTACTACTTGACTCAACTCACAGAGACCCCTCCGTCTCGTGAACCCCTTCTTGCTGCCACTGGTGGTTTGCCCCTCGCTCTCACTTCGCGCATTGAGTCTGACCTCCGTACTCTTGAAAAACTCCGCATCAAGCCCGTCTTTGTCTTCCCGGGACTTCTCCCCAACCGCCGCTGGAAGCAGCAACAGCACCAGCAACATGAGCTAAATGAGGCTATGCGCGATAGGCGGGAGGCGTGGTCGAAATACGAAGCCGGTCAGGAAGACGCCGCTACGAAACTCTTCGAAGCGAGGAGCGGTCTGCAACAGTGGGATTTGTGGAGGATGGTTCTCAGGATTTTTAGGCACCGCAATGTTGAATTCATTGTCGCGCCGTATGTTGCGTGGGCACAAGTACGTTCACTCAAGTGATGTGGTTCGGCGTCTGCATACTCTTCTGTTCAAGCTCTCATACGATTCACCTGCTTTCTAGCTCATTTACCTTCAACGACACCAGAAGGCCTATATTCACGCGATTTATGGGCCGACTGACACGCTTCTTTACCCAGGAGTGGACAAGGTTATCACGTCCCTGGACCTGACGTCCAACAACAACCCTACCTTCAATTATGTCGTGAAACGCTCTATCCTAAATGACCTTGGGCTTACGGAGGATCAGTTCCTTGACGTCGGCATCTTGCTCGGCTCAGATCACTCGCAGACTTTCCCTCCGTCAATGCATCAGGAGGCATTGAAGCAGACGGTGGATATGGTGAAATATTACAAGAACGGACATACCGCTGTCTCCGCATTCGCAGACCAACCTCAAGTCAAAGGAATCCAATATCCCGATCATTTCGCTCGGACGCGTTGCATGATCAAGTATTCCCTCATCCTCTCCTCTGATGGTGTCGTTGTCCCACTCCCTATCGCCAGCCCAAGTCCCGCAACACATAGCCACTCAAACCACCATCCTCACCACCCAACCGCCGCGGACATACCTTCTGACCTGCATGAGATCTTCACTCATCGACTTCCAGATGAAATCTACTTTTATCTCTCACGTGGACTTTTGGGTCCTCAGGCCTTGGTGTGGCTGACGTCTGGACAGATCATCGAAAACCCACCATTGGACAATGGTGAGATAAACGAATACAGACGGTTTATCAAAGAGGTTATCACAGAGGGCCAGACTGGTCCTCGGGCGACGGGCCTTGCGTTAGTTTCAAGTGTCGCTCACAATTTCTGGAGCAAGCGACCCGTGACCGCACATTTCTGGTTTGAGCAGTCAACGCCGCAGAAGACCATTCTGCATAATTCCCAGCAGACCGTGCAGTTGACCGAGAGGGTGTCCAGCTGGACGGTGCCCTATGCTATCGTGGAGGAGGAGCTTAGAATGCAGAACGTAAGTCAAACATTATTTGGTGTTATCAGATTTATTGCTTCATTATACACGACCGGTCTTCCTTTGTGTGGGATTTTCGCTAATGTCTTTTACTTCCATTCTATCGGCACTTTCGCGAAATGTCTAGTCTTCCACTATCGACTTCGCGCTATGTTTAGGAGCAACGGCATCCGAGAAGCTCGCAGCTCGCACAAGACCCAAAAATGGACAAACGATCACGCTGGACAAGAAAGATGAAGTCGTTGCTAATGTCATTTGGCGTTTCCTGGAATTACGAGGGTATGTTTTAATCCTGATGTTCACTTGGCTGTCACTCTTGAGAAAAGCTCACGTCTTGAAACATCTGTTCCATCGGACCCGTGTTTGGTCTGGCCCTTGCCTCGCCCCCTTTCTCCGCTTTGTCTGATTAGGTTCCTGTTGAACTCGCATTCTCACTCGTCGCTGGCAAGGGCCATGTTCGTGGCGATACGAACAGCCCGTGTGAATGACAAGTTCCAAGACTCGCTGTACTTGTTCCTGGAGCTTGTACGTGCAGGGGTTATGCATGGCCATTTGTGGTCTGGTCGCGCATTTAGTGGCGGACCGAGCTTCGGTACCGGTAAGGCAATTCTTCTCACGCTCGCTCTCACCGACGTTTTATGCTAAACTCTCTATCTTGGGTGTGCCCTCCCCGTGTGACGCTATTACTGTGCCACAGATGATGAGAAGAGTTGCATGTTGCTCGTGATGCGAGTGTTGAGCATCGTTCCGTTGAGCTTCAAGGTACGTTATTCCGCATTACACCACTTGATTGTTTCATCAAGCAACGACGCCCTGTTACTCCTTTCTGTGTCTATCGATGAGAGTTTTTCTCCTTTTTCTCATCGTTTCCCTGCATTTTTTTCGGGTGAACGTCCGCGTCTAACTACGACTATACTTATCTTTAGCCCCAACCGTGGTCCGCGCCTCTATCACGAGAATTGCTCGTGTTCAACTCGTTTGTGCGTTCGCTCACACGGGCGTTGCGGACGTTACTGGAGGTGACTTCCCTGAACATGCTCCTGCGCCACGACGCGCGGCAAAATCGGGAAGATCTACTGGATATCAACTTATCCCTGCCATTCCAGAGCGAGGTGAACACAGGATTTGGGGTGCTTGCGAAAGTCTACCTGGATGCGCTGACGCACATCAACAATCGACAACGGGTCCGGGATCCTAACGCTGAAGGGGTGAAGGAAGCGAAAGCCATGGCCCTTGAAATTTGTGAGGAAACATTCCCTGGTGTGAAGAACCCGAAGCAGGAAGTCGAACGGGGGTTCCGATTCTGGGACGTGGTAAGCATAGCCCCTCTCCCTTAGTGTTGGGTTCACTTGCGAACTTGGACCCTTGGGTTCGGTTCGTTCGTGAGGACAAGGTTTTGCAGGTTTACTGACTGGGACTTCTTTTTTCTCCGTCATTTCCGCTTGACTTGCAGGCGCTGACCGCCATGCGGCAGCTGCATTCTGAAGGCGCTGTTCTTCGTGAGCTGATTGACCAGTTTGAGGCAGCTGAGGCTTGGTTGGCTCCGATGAGACCGTGAGGAGGGGTCAGACAGACTGGTATGTTGCTCTGCAATGTTTACTTTCTCTTACGCGGGTGTGGGCATGGAAGAGGGGTGCGAGGGGTGCGAAGCATCGGATTGTTGGGGCGGTATGTTTGTGTAGCATACGACTGTGACAGGGAGTATACTATGTGCTATACAATTCTGTGCATATGACTTGGGGAAGTGCGAGGGCTATGTGGGTTCAGACAGGGGAGAAAGGACGAGTCGGAGGTGCGTAGCCCCGGGCAGTAGTTCAGAGGACGATGGGAAAGGGCGGCTCGCAGTTGGCATGAGAACATTGAGAGATGTTCCCAGCAGGAGCAGCAGCCAGACTGAGCCAAGTCCAAGCGCAGACCTCTGCGTTCCCACTGCCCAAAACACGTGGGCATCCGATGCTTACCTCTCCGCTGAATCTCCGACAAATGCGGGCGCCTGCGCTGCCTGCCTAATTGGGCAGATCTGAGATGGATCTCGATCCCCGTCTGACAAGAATTTCGGCCCTAGACGCCGGTTGGGCGATCGTAGCTCACTGGGCGTGTCAACTCGCGACAAGCTATATACCCCCAAAGCCACCCATGCCTCTCATCCCTCCCCCGCTGCCTCCCAACCCTCTCCTCATCGCCGTCCACGACGACAAGCATGTTCGCGACGCAACACAACGTCGCCCTCCCACTGTCTGACAAGGACGCCACCACCGGCCCCCTCTATGTGCGCCAGTACCATGGCATTGAGGTCATCCAACTCGTTGAAGTCGATGCTCCCCCGCCGCCACAACACTCATCCTCGTCAGGCTCCCTCCCTGCGTCCTCTGACTACTCCAGCTCCTACGACTCCGAGTCCTCTGATTCCGAGGACGAGTCCGAGTGCTCTTCCTACTGCTCCTCCGACGAGGAGGAAATGCAGGAGAAGAACATCACTTTCTTCGATGATACATACGGTACTCGATTGGACCGTGTCCTCGCTTGGCGAGACAACTTTGCAAAGGCCATGGGCGTTGTCACAGATGACAGTGAGTCTCTTCCCCTCGCCTCACCTGTCCGACACCAAAATGAACCAATTTACCAGGCCATATTATGTCCCACGCGCCACACCCAATGAAACGCAAGATCGACTATGAAGACGTCTTTGATGACTCTGTAAGTCAACCTCCCTTCCTTTTGGGCTAATCTGAGCGCGAGTTCTCACCGTACGCCCCACCTTTCGTTAGACTTCATCATCCTCGAAACGTTCGCGCTCCACCTCACCCGAGCCCTTCTCTCCGTCTCACCTTCCTGAGACACCTTCTACTTGGACACATCGGCGTCTGAGCGCGCATTCGTGTCCCGCTTGCGACGAGGGCTTCAACACCCGACAGAGTCTACAGCAGCACGGGCAGGACCCAAAGCTTAGTGACGCATGTCGAGTCGCTGTCATGTATGGGCTTGAAGCGTGATGTTTCGCGCTTCCCCCTCTAGTCGAGACAGGGTCGTGCTACGCCCCACGCCACTTTCCCTCCTGAGCCGCCACACCTCCCTCGACGCTCAAAATTCCTCTTCGCTTTGTTCTTCGGGTACCGCTTCCAGTCCAAGCTTCATTCCGCGCCTCAATTCACTCGCACACTGGTTCGAGAACTGTATCAACCAACCATCGCATCATCCTCTCACGCCTCGTCTCATCCATCATCATCATTTTGCTTTCAACTCTCTTCGCCCCAACGATATCTTCTCCCTTGTTCTTCTCTCTCTGTTTCTCACACATTCATGTTTCGAGCCCCAAGCTGCAATTTACGGTAGAGTCCGCCCCTAGTTCCAATCACGACGCCACAATCATCCCTTCCCACCATTTCACATCAACAACATCCGCCTTTTCCGACGTTCGATCTTCTCCTAGCCTTATACCTCGCATAATGCTTTCCCCTTCTTCCGCTAAAATACGCTTTTCGAACTCTCCTAAAAGTCATCTTGTTACACTATGTGTCCATGATAATGGAGTTCCACGCTGTTCCTACGTTATATTATCACTTTATCACTGCCTATACATATCATACCAAGAGATCCCTCGCTCTCGTCACCCGCCCCCACACTTGTCAGCTTCTAGTTCATTAGTGCGGTTAATTATAATAAAATTACATCCAAGCTTCATTCTACATCTAAGCGTCCGGCGTTGAATTTCTTTTGGGAAGCCGTAATGTGTGACTGCCAGCTTACGCAGCTTGGAGCTTCCCCGCTATCATGATTCACTGCACCGGAAGAATGTCAGACCATATGCATGCGGGGGTCGTGCAAATGGGCACATGCGCCCCCTTTAACATTTAAATAACAACCTTAAAAGAAATTTCCGAGTAACAGCGTCAGTGGCTGGCAGTTGTGCGTGCTGCTGCAGGTCACGGTGAGAAGACTCGGACGCATGACCGCGGGCTCTTCGCCTGATCTTCCCCTATACCCCATATACTTCCCCAGAGTTACTTCGCATTCCTGAGCTGTATGCATTGTACATCATGCCAGGCGTGACTAACAACCCCTTCGTTTCTTCTCGCCGATTGTCAACCTTGAGAGATATTTCCTCTCGGGTTCTGCTGCTTCAACTCGGGTGTATCACGCTGCATGCTCGTCTTTCTTCGGATGGGTCGGGTGCGAGCCGACTTGCCAGTGACAAGTATAAGTATACTTGTACGTTACTCGTTTAGTAGGCCGTTATCATCGACGTCAGGCTTCAGTGATATCTTCCCTTTTCGCTGTTCGGCTTGTCCTTCCCGTTCAATGCGATTAAATTGCAATTGCAAACGCATCTTTTTTGGATAATCAAGCTTTTTTTTCAAGCGGCGAAGAGGAAGGAGTACGTATGGTAGGCGAGAGCTGTCCACGACCACGACGATCATGCGTGGTTTGTTGACGTGCAACTTGGAGCTTTCACATGCATATTCACGCATTCGGGCTCTTGACAAATTGAACAACAGGCCCAAGGAAACGGTAAAACGGTAAAAACTTCAAGTGAAAACGCAGGGTGGAGCAGGAGGGGGAAAGGTGCGCAAACATGAAGGCCTGTGTCTTGAGGTAATAAAGATTCCAATCACCGTGGGTGTTTTTTTCTTGATTTTCTTGCTCTTTTCTTTCTTTATTCTTGTTGCCTTTCCCTTTTCTCTTCCTTGTTCTTCACGAGGCAGTTCGGTAGGGAGTCCGCGAGTGATAACTGATGCCGATAATGGGTGGCGTCCCGTACTGATACGGATCTCCTAATATTTCTTGTGTGGACGCCATTTCTGACTAGAACTTACCGCTTGATAGCCTCGTGTTTCTGCGACATACTGGCCATGGCTTTATCGTCCCCTTGGAGCGGAACACAAGGAACAGACAAGAAGAAATGTGAAGCGGATGTGAAGAGCTTGGGAGTAAATGTCCTAGCAGTATGTGTGTGTCACGATAAAGCAACCATGCGTTTCGTTGTCGTTGCTTGTCTTCGTGACTAACTCAGTGGCCAGTGGCCACGCAGGTGTTTCGTATTGATCTCGTTGGAGTTGAAGTCTTGTTAGAGTTCACGATGGATCGATGATCATATGTGTTGACAGCGATTTTGCCTTCTCTTTGTGTTGGTAACTCGAGCAACATGGCCGCACTGCTACTCCAGCTTGTCTATTCACCATTATTCACATACGAGCGGCCTTTTGTTTCGCTTGTACTCTTTTTTTCTCACTTACACGCGTTTTCAGTTCCTGGGCCATGCGAAAAAATGAATACTTACTGACTACACTCGCAACCAATGGACCGTTTCCAGGTGAGTCGCGACTGATCGCCCTTGGCTGTGATTGCTACTCATTATTTTTTGTGTTATTTCATTGCAGGTGTGTATGTTCCTATGCGAACCAACATATTCCGTTATAGCTTGGATTTTACTGGATTTTGCTTCACGCGATGCTCGGTGGAATAACCGCTTCTACTACTTCTAAAGGTTAGAAGTGGGCAAATGAGCCTGCTAATGTGTTATATGCTATGGGAGAAAGATTGCCTACACTGCATCGAGAGTGGTCTCGATGGTTTTGAAATGGCATATCTTATCTTTGCTTGCACTGAGCTAGGGAAGTTGACGACAATTTAAGGGGGGAGTGTCGTAAGTACCATGGAAATTCAATTGTCTTCGTTGTATTTGCTGAGATCCCGTTTACCTATGACGACCATTTTCACTCACAGATCTCAAAGGTATTTCAAGTATCATTCAACCTTAAGCTTCGATCATGGCCTTCTTAGGATTACTCCGAAAACTCTCCACTCCCAACGCACACTTCCAACATAGTTTCATTATCGTCGTACGGCATGCATACAACCAGACAAATATCACTCAAGGCCTCGAGAAACCTCGGCCAAACTATACCATTCAAGTTTCCACACTGTACTCTGAAGAATTTCCCAATTCGTAACCGACCTGCGAAAATATGGCTTTTCCTTCTCACCGTACCTAGGATACAGGGATACGTTGGTCTAGGGCGCGTTGTGATCATGATCATGATCTTATGTGCTCCCGCCGGTTTCTCCACGTCTGCATGTATAAACGGCAGTTTCGGACCTAGGGCCTATGCCTCAAGCCTCAAGGCCTCAAGGATCGATTGCTAACAAAGGCTAGCAGTCATGCTGTGCGAGTCAAACGCGGGTGGAAATTACATGCAACATATCTCATAACTCACGGGCAACGCCAAGAATTACTCACAACACAGGTCAAACCCACCTACCATGTTTCTCAAACAGATACATTTCTCGAAAGTCATGCGACCGGGCCCTTACCTCCGTCTCGTATTCTCATCAAGCCTCACACGCACCCCTCTTCATCTCTGATGAACAGAATTCAACAATTAACAACTGCCAAAGCTCGGTGGTATGCTACATATCTGTCCCAATCCTCTCGCGAAGTTATCCCGTCTATGTACCCCTTCAAACACCCCCTGATCAACATATTGGCGGCTCCGAGTTCCCTAGCCTGTGCGCATTTCAATTCAGCGATTTCGATAATCTATAATCTGCCCTCTTGACACTTGTCAACCTTTCGATCCGTAGATATCCCGCCCACCGCTCAAGCATTCAATGGACATGACAAAGATCAATGTGGGGTATCTTTATGGAGGCAATATGACAAGGTTGGGACCTTCCCCACATAGACGATCAAGTCTTCTTTCGAACCCATTACTCAGGATGATCGCTATGATCGATGCATCTCTTACGCTTTGGTTGCATTGGATGTGTAAAACGGCGCTCTGGATGCTTCCTGCATAGTTTTCTTCAACCTATCGGATGCTGTAGACGTGCCGGTTACCGGAGGTACAACGATGGTTTTGCGTGTACGTCGTTGGCCGTTCGGTCTATAGCTCCGTTTATGATGCTTATGATGATTTCCCAAGTTGATGCAAGGATCGATCTGACGCAGCGCCGGGTCCGTCGTGAGTGAGCTGTTGGAGGCAGGGCTTGTTAACAAGATGAACTCTCTACCTCGTACACGCTCGTGCGAGGACGAGAGGCCGAGCGGTTGCTAAGTGTCGCGATTCCTGCACAGTCCCGTGTAGTCTTGTTGAGCGATTCTTCAGGTATCCGTGAGAGGCCAAGACAAAAGACACTCCAAGTCCGCAGCAACTCAGAGAAACTGCCGTTGGAGAATTCGCAATGTCCAAGAAACATGCCTGGGACAGCGAGTGATTATTTACAGCGCCTCTTGTTTTTGAGCCGCAGCGTTTGCGAAAGATACACACGCTAACCAGATACGGCTTGGAGTCGCGGGCAACAAAATGAAAGCCAAGAACAAGAATATCTTGGGTTGCGTTCAGAAGTTGGACGATGGCATGAGAATCCGATATGTTTCGGCTTTCACAGCGACTAAATGATAATAACCTCTAAGAATACATTTCACTTTCCGTAGCCATAGGATTGCGTGCTGGTGCTGAGCTGAGCTTCAATGTATATGACCATGGGGATATCGATATTACCCACGAGCGTCAACGGTCGAAGACAATAGACTGATTCGTTGACTAGTGAGTAACTAGGAATAGAACCCAAGTTTAGGATGAGCTGACTTGAAGCTGACTGTAGGCGTCCAAAGAAGATGGATAAACGCCAGGAGCTTGCAAAGCATTGTACGTAGGAAACCCGGAAGACATGGATCATGTAATATCTTCAGTGCTGACATGGGAGCGTAGTTCATTGAAAGCACCGGCCGTGGACTGGCCATCCACTCAGCAACAGGTTTCCCCGCAACTATAGCGAAATTACCCACGTCGTCGTCTTCAGGACTAATTCTATGACACACAGAAAGGGCACACATCATGGTACCTAGCAAGTCACTGTCAGGCACGATGGCGTAGCTGTGATGTTTGAAGGTCCTAAGACCAACGGGCGGAGACAGATCGTCTGTATGACCTTGAATTGATGAAGAACGTGACCCTCACCAGATGAGTAAATGATTGACTGTGGAGTCTGAGGGCTATGAATATCTCACAAACTTCGTAGAATATTCACAGCAACGGCCGTGTCTTCTCCGTAACGTACTGTGGGCTGACCCATGGGTAGATCGTCCGGGAATTTCTATGTTTAGCACATTAATGCAACAGCATTCTTCTGCACTGGCGTTGAGGCAGAGTGAGAGAAAAGATGTAAGGCGCCCGGGCCGTCGTGACAGGACGCAAAGCCAACTTGAAATAGCTGCAGGTGATCCTCCTGTTGTCTTTCCACCATGTCCTATCCGGTGGGGCGGGAGAAGGATCCTGGTTGTAAAGTTGGGAAGCTTGACTGTAGGAAGATAGGTCTGCACAAAATCTACACGCTGCGTGATGTATTAAACAACATCGGATTGATTGAGGATTCGAATACATGATCTTCCCAGCTCCAGCTGAGCTCAAAGCCACTGCCACTGTCCGAACGAGAGGTAAGGAGTGATGTGATAGCAATCATGACGACCTGCCAGCTTGACCATTGCGGAATAGCGTGTGTGCTTTAGTTCACCTCACCGGAAGAATCGCATGAGCAGCCACACGTTCGTACGGCACCGACCTGTCGGGAGATCCACCCAAGAAGTCTTCCCTGCTCGACGTCCAATAGAACGGAACGGAGGCGGACAATTCAAGAATAGTGATCTCCGAACGTAGGCGCGGGAGTGCGCAAGACTATAACAGGTAGGATGAAGAACGAAAGGAGATTCTCATCCCATGACCTTTCACCTCCGTCACCGACGTGGATCAGCCCGTCCACCTTTCTGTATCAGCTCGACGTTGGTGGGAACAGTGCTGGGTGAGAACGAGACAACAGTGTGTGACGGTGGTCGGGGAGGTGGGAAGGACTGTGAAGAAGCGTCAGAGTAGGAAAGACATCGGTCAAGGTGAGACAGGTTCACCGGTGTTCATACCATATACGAATGCGAATAGAAGTTTGGAGTCTCAGTAGATACTGTGATAATACACGACTGTCAGAGGGCATTTGGCTGGGCCGAAGTCGAAGATAAGGCAATGTCGTTGACTCCTTGCCCCGCAGAAGTCGAGACAAGGAGCATATAGACGGGTTGGTATGATTCGCGGCCACCTTCAGTTATGAAATATTTTTTGTAGTTCCGACGGTCAGCGCTCACGGAACCCTGAGACTCAGAATCAATTCGGCGTTAGCGAGAATAAAACTACTGTACAGCGTGGTCTGCTAGCTTCATGGAAGCCAAAGCGGGAGAAGACTTGGCGGACCTCTTCGGAGTGAGAGTTCTTATGGTCATCCTCTCACATTGGCCACATTGCTGGTTGCAAATTGGCCTTCATAATGGAAAAGCAAGGGGCTCACCTGTGGGGGTACTGACAACGATATCCGTGAATATACCGAGGTCTCAGATGAGAAATTCAAATCTTACATGGTGTCAAATCAGACCGCAAAGGACTGCGGTGAGAAGACTATGCAGCACATAGTTTGTCTTTCTAAGTCCATTTGAAGCCTTTCAATAGAGGTCTGAAGCAATCGGTGAGAACTCCTTTGAGATTCAAACAGAGAGGTTACTGCGGAGTACTTCAATTAGCAGCAGTAATACTGCCAGAAAAGGGAGACTGAGCGAGAGGTGGCTGTACCAACAGCAAAAAGTCCATAAACTCCACTCAAGATACAATCACATTGTCAAAACATCAGATGTGGTGCCGTTTGTTCTGCGTTGCGACACAGAGCGGGTATACTTCTCGTTCAAGGATGTGCGATGATTCGGAGAGGTAGCCACAGCCGTTAGCCTCCCACGAGGTCAGTGTACTTTGAAATAGAAATGAATGGGTGCAAGTTCGTTGCATGATGGTTTCTGGCCAACGTAGATGCTTCGCAATGGTAACAATTAGCGTAAGTGGCGAGTATGCAGAGAGATCGGAATTTCGAGTACATACTTGTCAATGGTGATCCATGTCACATGCCGCGTCTCCGAAGGATATATCCTGAGTGGTTATAGCAGTCCCCGATGTAGACTCAGTTCTTATCGTACCGCCATTCAGAGCCGAAAAAAGAGCGTTCTGCCAGTCTGCCCGAACAATGTTCATACAAATCCATTTGGTTTTGAACTGGGTAGTGGGAAGGTTGCGGTGATCGATTCTAGTTGGAGCGATCGATTCCGGTTTGAGACTGGTTAACGTGGGGACGATTCAGCTGAGAAATAATATCCAAGCAATTTACTCGCCTACAAACGAACCAGGTGGACCATGCGGATGTTGTGAGTGGGAGGAAACGCCAAGGACTGGTCAAAATACCATTTTTCACAGCTGCGGATGTATCCAAGGCCTCGACGAATAGCATGAACGATGGAGCCCTCCAATCACGCGTCTGACAATACGCGTACCCCTAGAGCTTGTACCCAGTCGATGTAGTTGGAACAAAGCAAATGTGACGGTCCGACGCCAAACCAAAAGAATCGGTGAAGGGACCTATCAACGTAGACGTGGAAACACCGGACAGATGAGCAAAAAAACCGTCAGTCTGAAACGCCTAGGTTTTCCCGTTAATTCTGCGATGCGAAATACTGAGTTCAACTTTGTTGTGGAAGTAAACTGATGAGAAGACTCAGAAAATATGTGTTCCGGCAGCTTGATTCAACTGTATTCGTACATGCCTATGCAATTCAAATGATCCCCCGGGCCTGGCAATTCGGTTTCGTCCAGTTACCTTGGCCTTATGGCGAGATCTAGATGAGAATGATCATTCAAGAGAAGGAAATCCATGTATAGAAGTCTTCTTTTGGTAGGTCTTCAAGAACAGGTTGCTCATTCAATGTTATCGCCAGATCGGATTATCTGTTAAGAGCAATACTGCCGTATGATGTAAATTAGTTATGTGGCTCTATAGGGGTCTGGGGGAAGTACAAGACATACCGTAGGAATGAGATACGAAGTAAACCAAACGTCGATAACCAGAAGAAACGCATCGTGGGTTGAGAGCACGGCAAGTAAAAAAAATTAAATCATAGAAGCCATTATACATTTTGGAGACGTTGACGTTGAAGAGGACAGTGATATACATGTTGTGTTTTCGTACAACAGAAGAATCATTGCTACACGATCTAAGAATGGCCGTCAAAGAAGGGAACTAGCAGATATATGGAGTGAGACATACCGTAACGGCAAACCAGCGAGCCAAAGCGAAACCAATCCGTGAAATGATGGAGGAGAAATGTCCAAAGGCGATAGAGAGAAAAGACGGGAATACGACATATTGTAAGGCATCGCGAATAGCGTAACAACAAAGTGGCTGACGGAAGGATAGGAAAACGAGGCTGATAACAGTCGCAAGCGAGGGATCAGAAGAACGTAAAACGTCAGAGAAGACTTGGATGACGTACAGTTTAAAGCACTCTGGGAGCGCAGACGATGTTTTGTTCGCCTGATGGCGTCTGTACTGTGTCCGAGGGTAAGATTTCCGTTGGCGAGTTGGTCATAAGACTGAGTGGGGGAACAGGCACGCCATCGATGCCAACCGACTCGCACACACTGCTCGTCAGTGTGCTTGCGACTGCCCCTCTGGGCTCGCGAGTGGGGCGGTCTGTCGAGGAAAACCTAGATCCCCTCCTAGAGTGCATTGAACTGTCGTTCCATATTTCTTTGAGCGGTATGGGGAGCTCGCGTCTCTTCCGACCGCAATTCGCGGAAACATTTGCGAGAACGACGGCGTTATTGAGAGCAATAGGGATGACTATGTTAGCCTGCCCTTCCTCATCGAAGGGATCATACGGCGGTCGACTGCCTGGGTCAGGCTTAGACATCCATTCGTAAAACGACTTGAAGAATGAGAGGGGTGTCATAAATTGGATAGCTCTACGATGGTAATATCGATAGTGACAGAGTGAGGAATGGCGGTTGGTTGAAAGACGTACTAGATGACCAGTGCCTCGAGGACATAGAGAAAGACGGTTCTGGAATCCAAACCATCGGAATAGGGGGCGAGTTGAATAACGTCACTAGTGGGTTGCGGCTAAATGTCTGTTTGCGGAACGCCAAGTCTGGATAAAACAATAGCCACGTGGAGGCGCTCCTATCAATGCTTTATCCTCCGTGACTGCTCTTGACCGCTCTACAGCCAAAAACACATGTCTCGTACCTCGAGCGGAAGTTATGATACTGAGCCTATTCTCGTCTGCAACATGCCATGACTTTCCACTTGATATCTTGTGTCCAATTACGGTACTTCCCAAAAGCACCATGTTGGCTGGTTCCAAAAGTTACTAGTGATCTACAAAGCTAATCGCAATCGCCCCGTCGACCGGAAGCCTCGATGAACGTTGGAGGATCAGCAGAACTGAGTCTCGTCCTCATTTGGCCCTCGTCCTATGGGAACAACAGTGATCAGCATCGAAGGAAACAGCACAGATGTACTGACGTTCTCTTAGATCTGGTGTTGCATTGCATCGAACTGGTGGCAAATGCTACGCCCATCTTGCCTCAGTTGCCAACTTCATGGCAAGATCAATTCCCTAAGGCAGTCTGCGGCGTCATTCTTCTACCTTCGCTCCTCGTCGTGAGATCTGAGGAGTAGTTCATGACATCCTTTTTCGTTATTCAATTCCTATTCTCACCATTAGCTCTCTTTCTTTATCTAACTGCTCGGTTTCAGCAGAAACAATTACAACGGCGTGATAGGTATATTCGTCGCTGAATTGTACGACTGCTAACGCTGTCTAATCTGGAGCAGGACAGTACTCCACTAAATACAGGATGAACGGTAGTGGTCAACGAACTGTGTCAGCTGGATGAAGCCAACTTGGAGGACACAAAGAAGGACGTTATACAGCTTCAACGCTCAGAACCAAGGTACCGCACAGTGTCTTCGAGGACCTTCAGGTATTTGAGCCATCAGCTGTAGGACCTAAGTAGGATGAATCGAATAGCTCACTGTTCCAAGCAAAAAAATACTAGGAATCATTCGTCATAAATAGGTCAGGTCGCCTATCCACTGTATATACTATTATATGCAACTTCGCTCGTTAACATTATGAAAAGAGCTTCACCATATGTAGAACTATCGACGAAAGGTCTAAGTACGCAAGTTGCGTAAATGAAAGTGTATTTCAGAATGAAATCATCGTGTGGGCGCTTCTATGATAACTTTGTACCATCGCCAACAACGACCTAAGGGCGAAGCAGATCCGTATTCGCTGTCCATTTATCGCTCCGCCTCTCAACTGGCCAGTAATTAATCTGCCTAAGGGATACGGAGGTAGGCCAAGCATCAGCTTGTAACTGTAACACACCGGACCAGCAAGACATGTCTACTCAGGATGCGCCTCCATGGCCATCCCTTTATAACTTTATAATTGAAATCGTGCCTATTATGAACAGGGATCCTGTTCAGCCTGCAGGGAAATATCTCTACGATCCAGGCGGTACGAAACACTGCCTTTCTTGGGAGACGGACGCTGATGATTTCCATTAGATATATACCGGTTCACGTTGTACTGGACAATCATATTCTACACTCCTGCATTCATCTTGGGTGGATTATATGCGTTTCTGAACCTCACATTTCCCCCTTCCCGTCCTCGCCGACGGTCGCATAAGAACCGGCCCTCGTTTCCATTCCAGTACAACTCCTCTTCCTACTCCGCTATTCCTACGACGGCCGAGATCCCTATGCAGTACTTCGGTTCGAATCTGAGTCCGGAAACAAGTCGTCGGCCTACTCCTTTGAAACCTCGGCCAAAGTTGAACGAACGTCGATCCCGCTTTGCTTTCGCCTTGCTTGTGTTGTTCGCGTTCCTGTTTTGCGCTATTGCTGGAGCGGTGGTGGGTTCCGCAATCATTGGATATGTTTTGGCAGGCTTGTTCAAGACGGCAAATTATAACATGTCGACGTGAGCCTCCCATTCACTTCGACAGTATCTTTCGCTCATCTTTGATATGTAGATGGGTACCATTCTTCTTTGGTCTGATCCAAGCCCTTGTAGGGTTCATTGCGTAAGTGCGATACTACGTTGATCGACTGAAAATCCTGATGGCACTTCTAGCCTCTGGCCTTCCGTCATCGACATTGTATAACTTCCCCTCCCCGTGATACCATGTTCAGACGATACCCTTTTCCACATACAGGTGGAGCCAATCACATTGCTATAATTGTATGCATACAACAGAGAATTCCATCAGGATCTTCCGTACTTCAGAATCTAGTAGCCAGGCATCGCAAGAGACAAATCACAGGAAACATAGGACATTCTATTCATTCAGTCACTCTCCTTGAACCACTTCAACTGAATTGCTACAAGCACCACTGGGACAACACTGACGACCTCCCCAAGACCTGCATATGCAGGGGCAATCCTAGCCCCAACAAATGCACCTGCAGCGAACAGGATTGCCACCAAGTTATACACCGCAGACCAAGCGAAGTTCAACACGATCCTCCTGTTCACCACCTTAGAGAGTTCCATCAAGGTCAGGATACCGCTGAGCGAAGGGCGGATGAGGACGACATCTGCGGCCGAAGATGCAGCAATGCCAGCACCCGAGCCAGTTTCTTCGTGCATATGCACTCCTATGTCGGCTTGCGCAAGGGCAATGGCGTCATTTGTACCATCTCCACAGAAGAGGACCTTCCTTCCGCCCTTAGTGAGCTCTCGGATGTAAGCTTGCTTGTCGACAGGGAGGCAACCTGCGCGAACGTTTTCTGACGAGATACCTAGCTCTGTGGCGATGTGGTTCACCGCAGCTGGATGGTCACCGCTAAGAATGGAGACCTCGATTCCGCGAGCGAGTAATTTGGATATCACAGTAGGCGTTTCAGGACGAAGAGCGTCCGAGAGCGCGAAGACAGCCAGAAGTTGCCCATGGTAGGTGACGCAAAACGTTGTGAGGCCCTTCGCGATGAAAGGCTGGACGTGCGGGTCCTGTTCGACTCCGAGCCAGCGAGCGTTACCTCCAGAAATAGCCTCTCCTTTCCAAGATCCGATGATACCCTTGCCAACAAGAACTTCTACGTTCCCAACTTCAGTACTGGATATGAATTTCTCGCTTTGAAGTTTCTCTGCGACTGCACGAGCTACGGGATGTTTGCTGGAGCTCGTGAGGCTTAGAATGGCAGAGCAAACGTCCGTTTCGCTCTCGTTCAAAAGCGTAGACTCCACAACCGTCAACTGCCCTTTAGTCAAAGTGCCAGTCTTGTCGAAAACAACGTGATCGATCTTCCTCGCCAACTCGATGGTCGTAGCAGATTTAAAGACAAGCCCATGTTTAGCTGCGACACCTGAAGCAATCAAAATAACCATCGGGACCGCCAGTCCAATTGCGCAGGGACAGGAAACGGCCAAGACGGCGATAGCGTATGTGATAGCAGTTACAGCTGCTTCCCCTGCACTTTGAGATCGTACCTTCACGCCAACGATGATCCATACGATGAATGTGACGATAGTCAGAGCAAGGACAATGGGGACAAACCACCCGCAAACAACATCGACGACTTCTTGGACTTTCGCTCGGGAGAACCGAGCATCGTCCACCATCTCCGCAATGTCCGTAATAGTGTTATCTCCAGGTAAACGAGTCACTTTGATAAGGAGCACGCTAGGTCCGTTGGAAGTTCCAGCAACGACAGTGCTTCCGACTTGCTTGAATACGGGAAGTGCTTCACCCGTCATCATGGATTCATCTGCCTCACTTTGTCCTTGGGTTACAATGCCATCGGTGATAATTGAAGAGTCAGGAAGAACCTTGAATGTGTCACGAAATTGCAATAGTCGAGCGTCGATTTCTTCCTCCATTCCCTCCTTGTGGACCAGGATAGCAGTGTTCTGTTGCAGAGAGCGCAGGGAGATGGCCTCGATAGCTCGGTGACGTGCAAATGCGCTGACGAGTTGACCGAGCATGATCAATGTCACTAACAAGGTGCTCGTTTCAAAGAATTCTCCACTCTGCAGCGGCCGATCCAACATGTCGAAAGTGAAAGCGACGACAGAGTACACATAAGCTGTCGTGGTACTGAGAACGATAAGCAGGTCCGTCTCAATGACCTTGGAGAAGAAAAGACTCTTGAAAGCGCTGAAGTAGAACGGCCCTGCAATAGCAGTTTGAACAATGGTAGCGAGGATGAGAGAAGCGATTGAATAGGCTTTTGCGTGGTCCGGAAGTGGAGCCCAGGTCATAACAAGGACTGGAATAGTGAGCAGCGCTGAGAGTACAGTACGGAAAGCGAGATAACGAAGATGCTTGAGTCCTGCCGCTAAGGCTGCGTTCTTCGGTACTGGTGCAAGCTTGGGCGAAAAAGTAGCATAGGCAGAGATGATGTCTCGTGCACCGATAAGATGCGGGTCATGCGAAATTCTAACCGTGTTCTTGTTGATGCGCACGACTTCTTCAACACCGTCAGGGCGTGCAATCAGGCAAATCTTCTCAAGCAGGGCAGGATCAACGGTCAGATCCAACGTATGGCTGGAGATAGGGACGACTTCTTCGGCTGAAAATCCGGTACGTTTCTCGATGACTCCAATGAGTACCCGCAAATCCTCCTCAGCACCACTGTAATCAAATTCAGCTCGGGCCAGGACGAGACTTGTCTTGATATGGTGAATGGTTGGGATAGCTTGTAAGGCTCGGATCAGTTTGTTCTCGCATCCGGTGCAAGTCATGCCTTTGATCGCTAAAATTGTGTGGTTCAACGAGGACGAATGAATACTGGAAGATATTCCGGCAGTATGCTTCTCGATGTCGATGTCTTGCTCTTGCAAGGATTCCTTGTCGCAGCATGAATTGCCGCAGACAGAAGGAGAAGTGGGGCGATTCCCACAACAATCTCCTCCATTGCAGCAAGACTGAACCTCAACATCGCGAGAAGACCTTACTTCTGATCCTCCGTTACCACAGCAGGAATTGCCGCAGCAAGAGTCTAAGGACTGACGACTTGCAGACTTTCGAGACCTAGTGTCGTTCTCGTGCTGGACGCTTCGAATACTGCGATTCCCGGCACAGCAGGAGTCTCCGCAGCAGGAATCGACTGAGCCTGTGGAAGCATTCCGAGACTCGATTCTCAGGGAAACGTGAGAGTGACTAGATTTGGAACCATCAGAATGGTGACTACGCTCGGAGTCGCAGGATCCTCGCCGATTGTCTTTCTTTAGCAGGGAAGCTCGACTGGAGGAGGATGAGTGAGAATGTTTATTGGTGGATTGAGTCACGCAGCACGATTCCAATCCTCGAGCGAGCAAGGCCTTACAGACACAGCCAAATAATGCCAATGTCTCCCGTTGACGGCTGAGAGCGAGGGACTTGTGCTCCCCGCAAGCCACCTGAGGAAGGCCTTCAGGCTTTGCAATATTCTTTCGCTTGCGAAGCCCACAAGAATGCAAGTCTCCGTCAACGGAAGCAGTAGAACTGATGGTTGAAGCGATTGGAACGTCACGACCGTCCTCAGCGACTGAATTGACCTCTGTATCTAGGAGCTAGCATTCAGATACGGAGTCCAAAGCACACCAAAATTCCACCATACCTTCACACTTGCATGTCTCTATATTCTTATCAATATTATCATCTTTCACTTCATCGTGTATATGACCATCGTCATCGGCACAGATCGCTCTGGCTAACTGATCCAAGCAGGAATCTGTAGCAATATTACGGTACTTTAGAAATAAATCCGTAGCATCCCAGAGAAGAACCTACCATCGCATCCGCAGGCAGTGCCGTCACAACAGGATGAGCCCTGCTTGCTTTCGGCTATCTTCGGTGTATCCTCTCGAGACTCTGGAGATACGACGGAAATATTCGTATCGTCACTTTGGATAGCGTCCGTTGAGGAACGTGATGGGGCAACCATTGTAGTGGAGGATGTGAACACACAGACCTTGAGAATAAGACCTTATAGCTGCCCTGTACGTTGAGGCGATATACGCAGAATCTGGACACGGCCGATCACACCCCGGCTCCGACTCTACCCGTGCGCCGAAGAGAAGAAAAGCCTCTCGATCCCTGTTCATTGCCATTGTCCATGAAGCAATGATAGTATATCGGGCCTAACGGTTGTGAAAACGATACACGCTTGAAGCATGCGGTGAGTAATCCTGATAGTATCCTAGAATTTGTAAATGTAGAGAGCACACGAAAGCCTCATGCAGTGCTGATAACGTTTCTAGTTTTCAATACGAGACCAAGGACTTGAACGACGAGGAGCACTTTTGGAATGTAGAACGAGAAGATGATGGAAGTATAGTAAGTACGGTGGCTGTCAAGCCTGCAGTTTGAAATGACCTGTGCGGTACTCAACACGGCGGGACTGGAGCGGTACTCGCCCGCCATGCCAAACTGTTTTTTAAAACTCAAGGTCAGAGTTCATATATTGCACAATAGGGTTCATGGATAAGATAGCGGAATAAACAACTGATACATAATCTTTCGTGTGCTACATTCCTAGTTAGGGTAATCTATGAGAGAAGATCTGTGCGGACTGTCTGCGGCGACGGCATACGAATTCCACGGTTTGGAGACGACGGCTTCAATGCATGTTGACGGTGCGAATGATGTCTACAGTCAGGAGGGCCCGCCGCAATGATGTAGACGGGCTGAACTTGTGTTATATCTGGCTTTGCCATCGCGCCCTCCTCTCCCCCCGGAGCCTTAGGAGCCACCGCCGAGGGATAGAGATATAACGGCCGAGGTCCATCATGATTATAATAATAACTGCATGTGTATGAATGGTGTCCGTGACCATGCGATGAAGCACCTGGAGATGTCGGCACCATTCCTGCGCTGGTTGCGGTCATTGGGGTTCGAGTGGGTCTAATAGCGGTCACAGCGTCAATGCTCGTCGGAGAACGGTGGTGCCGGTGATGCCGTGAATGCGAAGCAGCGCGAGATTGCAAACGTGATGGACGTGGTGGACGTTGCGACATAGAACGTGGAGGGCGTTGTGCCTTAGGGCGTGGTGGAGGTCTCGATGTTTTTGGGGTGGCTAGCAAGTCAACCTTCTCTTGTCCTGGCTTAGTATACCATGACTTAGCAGGTTTACCCAAACGTGCTCGTGAAGACTGTCTAGGATCGTAGTTCACCGTGGCAGGTTTAGCCATCCACGGCAGATGAATCAAATCCATCACGAATTGTCCAAATCGATACATTTGTGTCCCAAAGGAATCATCACGAGAGTCTTCCTCAGGTAGCGACATTTGGTCATAATCTGGTGCGTGTTGTGGATGCACCTGGATAGGTTCCGCGATGGTGTCGGGATCTGCTGTGACGAGCTGCGACTCGTGAGGGTTGGGGAGATCTAAGGGGGGTTCCGGCGCGGGCCTCGGAATAGGCATAACCTGCGATGACCTTGTAGATGTACTGACGGATCCAGTAGGCGTATTAGACTTTGGTAGTTCTATTCTCTCTTGTAGGATTGGTGGGCTGCGAACGTCCTCCTGATGAGATGTATACCAATTCTGACGTTGCCTTTGGTTCTGAGATGGAGTGCGCTGCGGAGCATTTGTCGGCTGGAGCGGGGTGATCGCAGGTTTCTTAGGCGGTGATGAAGGCATACGAACTGGACGGGAAGGACTCCCAAGGGGAGATTTCGTAAGTGGTGTACTAGTATAGGGGGGACCTGCAAGGGGAGGAGATGGAGGGTTCTGAGGCTCAAACGGCGCATTCTTTGGTTTCTTCCTCAACTTTGACATGAATCCCCCGAAGGGGAACCCTCTACTCTTCTTTGCTTTTTCCGGCGGCGTCCAGACGTTTCCTTCCATCTGGTACATGGAATCGACGATTGGATTCGTATGCGGGGTCGGGTACTCTTCCCTTGCATCGCGATCAATCGTCATATTCTCCGCTACTTCCCCATCTGAACCGCTCTCCGGTTCCTCCCCAACTGAACCCTCCTCCGTTTCCCAGTGAGAAGGGTGAGAAAGGGCCTGGGACTGTGTATTATACTCTCCTTGTGAAGAGCGAGGCACCCCATCCATCTCTGAGGTACGGTGACCGGATTCCGTTTGCGGGGCGGGAATATCAATGCGAAGGGGCGCATTACCTCGAGGTGCATTTGGATGAACTGAAACCCAGCTTTGATCATTGGCGTATTGGCTGGGCGGCTCGATGTACGTCGGTGCTTGAATACTTGGACGAAGACGTGCGGGATCTGGGAAGTTGGTGTCAAAACTCTGCTTTGCCGCCCAAGGTCGCGGTGGAGGATTACCACCAGGCGGAGGTGGAGATTGAGAAGACGCGGGGCCAGAAACCGAAGAGGATACCTGACGAGGACCAAGAGGTTGTGAAGGCGGTCGATTTGTAGAAGGGAAGAAGTTTGAATTCCAGCTGGGTCGATTCCCCATTGTCGACCCATAGCTCACTCGAGTGACATGAGGTGCAGGTGCATTTGTTGGGTATGGACCATCGTCGCGTCTGCCATACGAAGAAGAGGGTACACGGAGTTTCTGAAGGTCGCGAGGTATGTCGATATACTCTGACATAGAAGGGAGTGACTAAAGTTGGTCGATTGACAGTTGTGTTCAGAAGGAGAGTGTGCTTGGTGAGATACAAAGATGCACCTTGTAATCATTGAATGGATAAGAAGCGATGCTTCTGGGCACGAGCAGCGTGCATGGTTAATGAATGCACAGCGCTTTCGGTGCAAACAGAGATAGTATAATTCTGAGGATCTAATCAAAACGAAAGGTTAGACATCTCAGAAAACCTTAGATGGAAGGATGATTTCAAGAGCGAGACATGCTAGTGTAAGATCGTCATCGAGAGATATCGATAGGCTTTATATCGAAACTTGAAAACGAAAGCCATGGACCACAAGGTTCGATGCGTGTCATACAGACACTGGCATCGAGTATCTAGCCATGCACAAACCGTGTGAGAGCTGTCGATTACTATTACCGTCCACGACTTTCAGGCCAGTTGCTTGATAAGCTTCATTTTATTGCCGTAAACATGACCAGCCGACGACGCGTAACTTTGCTACACTTTAGTAAGAGTGAATGCAATGAATGTGAAGTGGATATAGTCAGTATAACGCACCGGACATTGAAATTACAACATAACCTACACATATGTCATGTAGTACCTCGTCTATCTGAGGACGAAGCTCTAGCTATATATGCTCGTAGACAGAATGGACCGGTGGTTCATATACATATCCGAGGAAAGTAACACTCGTAGAAAACAACATCTGAAAGAGAGATTGCTTTTCGTGGTATGACAGTCCAAACATGAGCACATAACACGCTTTCAGACTCCGCTCCAAAGCGTGATTTCTCCGACATGCGCGTCCAATGATTTCCACGCGTTCTCTTGACCTCCACGCTGCTCACTTGCTTCATAAACGTGAAATCCTCCACACGCCTCAAACTGTTTTAGATATCTGGCCTAAGTAGAGGTATATGGCAGATAGAGCAAGGCGCGAGAGAAAGTCCAAACTGGACAAACTCGTTGAATACAAACGCGCCAGAGAAGGAGGTGGACGCAGCTACAAGGTCAGAGACGTATCGACCAGTTACAGTTTTGTGACACTAACCAATTACTGATCTCTCTGCAAGGTTGAGGATGATACCGATATTTACGATGAGGTGACAGAGGAACAATATAAGTCGATCGTTCGCGGTCGCTTGGCGAAGGATGACTTCGTGGTCGATGATGGTATCGGGGGATATATGGACAATGGTATGGACGACTTTGAGGATCAAGGACAGTACGAAGAAAGTGATGAAGACGACCGGAGCTCAAAAGGTACGTCCATCCGTGTAACTTGCGTCTCTAGTGCTCAATTTGGGCGCGTTGTAGCCAAGAAGAAGGGCAAGTCTGAGCCCAAGCCAAAGCCAAAGGCGAAACCTAAACCGCCTCCAGCAGTTGTACCTTCAATCAGCGCATATCGACCAACAGTGTCGGCTGAACAAGAAACGGACTTCATGGCGTCGCTGCTGGGAGATATGGATTGCATTGCGGCAAAGCCTGCAACTCGCCCGCGGAAACGCAAACCAGAACCTGACACGGATTTCCAAGAGGGCAGTTCGTCTCCACATCTCCCCAGTTCCTCCAAGCACCCTACTCACACCAGCAAGAATGGGTACCGTAATTCATATTCTGACCCAGACATGTCTTCTGATGGTCCCTTCGACACTGGTCTGCTAAGTGGTCCGCCTAGTGAAGATGATCTCTTCATGAGTCCTAAGAAAAAGCTCAAAACCGAACCAGCTGGTCTTATGCCTGCTATCGAGAGGATGGGGAAGATGGAAGTTCACAGCGATCATTCATTCGACGACGTGGACATGGATGCGTTCATGACTGTATCCGATGACGATCTAGGCGACGATTTCAAGACGCCTTCCAAGGTCAAGAAAGAGGAGAATACGGACGCTGATCTCAACAAACCGTTCAAACCAGTGAATGGGCAGAAGGCGGCGGCGGAAGATAAGAAGAAATTTGACGGCACCCCTGCATGGCTATCTGTCTACGACTCTTTAAGCGTGGCAAACGACGACACTCTGGGGCCTCTTTGTGGGGTTGCCTCCAAGGTTCCCACGTCTAACTTGTCTATATTGGAGGCAGATGGATCCCTCCGATTCTTTTGGCTCGATTACCTGGAACACGACGGGAAGCTTTACTTTGTGGGGAAAACTCAAGATAAAAACAGCAAAGCTTGGGTATCCTGCTGTGTCGCGGTCGAAAACCTTGAGCGTAATTTGTTCATCTTACCGAGGGAGCGTCAGTTAGATCTGGACGAGGAGACTGGGGAGACATATGAGACTGACGTGGTTCCCGAGCCATCCGAAGTCTATGCCGACTTTGACACAATCAGGAAGAAGGTCGGAATCAAGAGCTTCAAAGCCAAGTTCGTCAAGAGGCGATATGCCTTTGGAGAACGCGATGTTCCCAGAGGCGAGGCTCAATGGCTCAAGGTCGTGTATGGCTTCGATGGTAATATTCTGCTACTCGCACGAGACACCTGACTGATCCTGAACCTATAGAACCACAGATACCGAGCAATGCCGCAAGTCCAAACTTCTCTCGCATATTTGGCACGAATACCAATGCGTTCGAGCTGCTTGTGATGAAGCGTAAAATTATGGGACCTTGTTGGCTTCAAGTCAAGAAGCCTATCATTGACAACAGAGGGGTCAGTAATGACTAGTCGAAAACGTGCGATTGAGGCTGACAATTTCTCCTCAGGTCTCGTGGTGCAAGATTGAGGCGGTTGTGTCGGACCCGAAGGATATCAACCCATTCTCTGAAACAGAACCCAATGCTCCGAAAGAGATTCCTCCATTGACGGTTGCCAGCCTAGCCATTCGGACTATCGTTAACCACAAGGAGAACAAACGAGAGATCGTTTGTGCTACCGCACGAATATGGTCGAATAGTAGGTCCTTGAACATGCCTTGAATTTTTTTTTGTTTACTGACTCGAAACAGTACAAATTGAAGATCCTACTCCTCCTGACAAGCTTCCCTGTTCCGTACATACACTCGTCCGGCCACTGGATCGCTTCCCAACAAACTTTGAGAACAAGGCGAAGTCTAATAGCAAAGGCGTTATCTCCCCTATGAAGAATGAACGGATGCTTCTGAACAATCTCCTTGGTATGACCCTGTCTGACTATTCCTGGACGCGGAAAAACTTACGTCATGTCAGTGACTTTACACAAGGCGGATCCGGACGTTATCCTTGGACATGAATTCCTCGGTGTCTCACTGGATGTCTTATTACACCGTATGCGCGAGCTAAAAGCTGACCACTGGTCTCGTATTGGCCGTTTCCGTCGATCGAAGTGGCCTCCAATCGGTCGTCAAGGTAGCAACCTTAGATTCCTGAACGGCCGACTTCTCTGTGACCTTGCGAGCGATGGTGCGAAGGACATGATCGCGTCTACCACATGGTCTCTGACAGAAATGTGCAAAACTCACCTGAACATGGACAGACAGGACATCGACCCTGACGATACAGCCAGCTACTTCGATGGTAGCGTCAGTTCACCGGACAGGCTCTTAACGTTCGTACGACATTGCGAACTTGACGCGCACTATCAAATGGCTCTTGCGGATAAAGTGCAAATTTTGCCTTTGACTAGACAGCTCACCAATCTGGCCGGAAACTCCTGGTATGCCATGTGTTCTCAGTCGCACATCTATCTTTACTGATGAACGCCACATGTAGGAATAAGACTCTGAATGGTGGACGCGCAGAGCGTAATGAATACATTCTCTTACACGAGTTCCACCGTCTGAAGTACATATGTCCTGACAAACAATGGGGCAAGAAAGCTGAAGCAGCGGTCAAGAACGAGAACGATGAGGAGGAAGGAGCCAAGCCAACAAAGGGCAAAAAAGACAAGTACAAGGGAGGTCTTGTGTTTGAGCCGAAGCGTGGACTTTGGGATAAATTCATCCTTGTGATGGACTTCAACTCGCTTTACCCAAGTATCATCCAGGAGTATAATATCGACTTTACCACAGTCGAGCCCGTCGAACAGGATGAGGTTGGTACTTCCTTTGATTCTCGATAGTCACTTTTAACGCGGGACACAGGACGGAGAGGAGAAGATACCTGAACCTCCAGATTCCTCGGTCGAGCAGGGAGTGCTCCCAAGACTTATTGCCACTCTTGTCAATCGTCGCCGACAAGTGAAATCGCTTCTCAAGACTCGCAAAGCCACAGAAGCTCAACTCATGCAGGTACGTAGCGGTCATCTGAGTCTGGCATGGTAATGTAGTTGACCATGTTACTGCAGTGGGATATCAAGCAAATGGCCTTGAAGCTGACCGCAAACAGTATGTATGGTTGTCTCGGATTCGAGTACTCGAGGTTCTACGCTAGACCTCTTGCGGCGCTTACAACGTTCAAGGGTCGTGAGATTCTCACTCATACCAGAGAATTAGCAGAGAGTCTTCAGCTCGATGTATGTCTATCTGCTCATGTCTACATGCTGTATTTTCATTGCTCTGTTTATAGGTGGTATACGGAGACACCGATTCTGTCTTCGTCAACTCGAACGTGACTGATCTGAAGAGAGCCCTCCAGATCTCTGCTGAGTTCAAGAAGGCGGTCAATGACCGGTATAAACTCCTTGAGATCGATCTCGATGGAATATTCAAGCGATTGCTGTTGCTGCAAAAGAAGAAGTATGCTGCTATCAAGGTCGAAGAGGGTGGTCGCACATCAACGGAGGTGAAGGGTCTGGATATGAAGCGCCGAGAGTATTGTGTACTCTCGAAGAATGTTTCACAGTAAGTTCATACCATCTAGGAGTCAATGACGTACGATGTTGATTCAGTCTTCAGGTATGTTTTGGAACAGATTCTCTCTGGAGAAGCCACAGAGATCGTGGTGGAAAAGATCCACGAATATCTCTCAACTATGGGTGAAAATGTCCGCGCCGGCAAGGTCAAACTAGAGGAATTCATTATCCATAAGGTGAGTCAAATGCGGGTTCGCTCTTTCTCCATCTTATGTTTCCTTCAGCGATTGGGTAAAAACCCTGAAGACTACCCAGATGCTAAGAGTCAGCCCCATGTTCAAGTCGCCTTACGAATGAAGGCTAAGGGAGGTACTCCGCGATCTGGCGACGTTATTCCATACGTCTTCTGCTTAGGCGAGACGGAGGAAACAACGAAGACTGCGCAAGCCATGCGAGCCAAACATCCTGATGAAGTCCGAAGGGCCGGTAGCGACTTGAAGATAGGTATGCAGACTTGTCACGTACTACAAGGCTATTCCTCACCCTGTTTCAGACTACGAGTTCTACCTTTCTCAACAAATTCTACCACCTATCGAGCGTCTGTGCGAACCAATTGAAGGCACAGATCGTTCAAGACTTGCCGAGTGCCTAGGATTGGATCCAAACAGGTACAAAACTAACGTTGGCGAATCCGAAGGTCGTTCATTTGGGACTTTGGAATCCATGCTGCCGGAAAGCGAACGATACAAGGAAGCCGATCCGTTTCTTGTTCGATGTCGTTCTTGTCATGGAGAGGTCGCTTTTGCACAGATTGGGGATCGAGATGTAAGTCGCAGTGGCCCTTGACCGATGAATTGCGCTCATCGTTATATCTAGTCTTCACTTCTCCTGCCATCAGGTGCTGCATGTCCCGCTTGCCAGGCAACACTTAGTACCGCCAGTCTGCAAGCACAGTTGGAGGCGCAACTCAGAGAGCACATCAGTAGATACTATGAACACTGGATGGTTTGTGACGACCCAACTTGCGGGAATCGTACACGGAGTATGGGTGTGTACGGGCGACGATGTCTTCGACAAGGTTGCCGCGGAACAGTCACATTCGAGGTAGGTGAAACGATAATGGCTCTGCGACGATAATCTCATACTCCACTTTCGACCTAGTACTCTGACGCACAACTGTATAATCAGTTGAAGTATTATTCCTACCTCTTCAGCATGGAAGCTGCCTTGAAGGCTGCTGCTGGTCCTAGACGATCCGGTGAGTCCTCCGCACATGCCATGGATCTGTGGTCTGACCAGACCATAGATGAAATCAAGGCCTTGGCTGATGTACAGGCCGAGTTCCTTGGTACCATGATAGACACAGTAGATAAGTATCTGAACCAATGTGGTCGAAGATGGGTTGAGCTTGGGCAGCTGTTCTCCTTCATGAAACTGTAGATCGCATTATACCGGACATTCTTCGCTTTACGCGATAATCTGTATTGATATTAAGGGCACTGTATGAGTAGATTCGCACATATCGTAATGCTATCATTGCTTCTCTCCTGGATTCGTCGTGGGTGAAGGTGCTAATGGTTGCGTTGTCGAATACGCTCGTCGATGGTACAAAAGAGGTAATGTGTGTGACATCTCGTCTCCTTTGAGTGGCTTGGGAGACTCTACTCTGATCACCTCTGCAATAAAGAGCTCCGACGCGATTCCGTCTCCTTCCCATTCGGCATCAGGTTTTGTCTGACCTGCACTAAGTGACTTCAGGTCATGTAGAGGCCACGAAGATGCGACCAGTTTGCATGACAGAGCCCCCAAGGAACCATGGATCAAAGGTAGACCCTCCTCCGTCAAGGAATATGAAATGGATGAGAACGGGTGAGGGTGGATGTCTACTCTTGAGAATTGGAGTGCGACATTTTCTTGAACAGCCGAAAGGATATTGATCACCATATGCGAAGGCCAATCAATGTGTGCGTTTTTCAACGAAGTCGCCATACGTGATGGTATTCGAAGTGAGAAGGCGACTAGCGGGTGGGGGTCCATTGCAATTGAACTGAACGACGACAAAGTTGCACCATGAAAACGAGTGTGAGGGGATGATGCCTGAGGAGGCATCAAAGAGGTAACGACTGCAACGGGTTGGGCTGTTTCGCGCAGTAGTGCACGGAGTTCTGCGCGTACTGTGGGACTGGCGGCGCTATGTTTATCCCGCCTTGCAAATCGGTTGGGACCAAGACCTCTACGAAGACATGGGAGTCTCCAAGCACTCATACCATATACATCAGCAAATGAAAGTCTGACAGTTGACATTCTGTTACTACTTGATGGGGACATATGGACAGATTGCGTTACCTGACACAGTTATGTATATTTCTGCGCGGTGTAACACGTGGTGTGGGAGCAATATATTAGAACCTAATCTACCAAAGTGTGAACGTTTGTATAGCGAGAGAAAATAACGCGTTCTCACTGTTCAGCTCGAAGACTCAGTCGTCCTAACGTTGCCAGAGTGAATATCAACAGATTCGAGTTGACAGCCTGTTTCACCAACACCTTATTGGTTATTTGGTTCTGTTTAATCCAGAAGCTATTGGACAACATGTACAAATACACCTTTCGCCTCTTGAGGCTCCTTTTTTCCCTGTCCACACATTTCAACCGTGGAAGATGCCTTCACCGCACCAGGATCGAATCGAGTCAGCGAGCAACCAACTTTCAATATGCGTGCGCCCTGGATTCGATCTTCAGATGTTCCCGCACAACGCGACAGTTCTACTGTCGTCGGCTCTTCACGAGACTTGCAAACTGTTCCTGTTCGATGCGAATCTCCAGAACAACACACTGGCATACTCTCGGACTCGCACGTTGAAACGGCTGAACAAACATCCGAGCTCTCTAGCCGTACTACCAGTTCTGTTCCGCGCTCTGGCCAGTCTCTTCCTTCTGTCGATCCCAATAGCCAAGCCCGCATTTCAGGAAGTTCCACTGCAACGTCCGAACATTCTTCAAGAGGCAACGATCGTCGCTCTCGTCGCTCTTCTGTCAGCACGGTCAAGTCTGGTTCTCGACATACGACCTTCAAGATAGTTGATGCTCCTGCGCTTCCAACTCCGAAGGCACCTTCCGTCTCGAGCAGTCACCATTTCGCAAAGGAAGAGAAGACATCATTAAATGAAAGAAGGACGTCATCCAATGAAGGAAAGGTGCCTCAAAGGAAGACACCTTCAAAGTCTGGTTCTAGTTCTACGGCACGCTCTCAACGTAGACGATGAACTCAATACACACCGGCATCTCCTCCGGCATCTCCTTCCTCGTCTTTCGACTCTGTTCCATCTAGCTACGAGTTTCGGTTGGATTCTTCTTTGTCAGATTCCGATTCGGGACCCAGTCTCGTCCATCTTTGAAGATGAGCAAGACACCCATTTGAACCAATTCTCAATTCATAATTGGGAGCAAGAAGCACGATTTAGCGTCCAAGAAATCTTTCTCTTCTCTTAATACTCTTCCTGGCGACGGAACTTTCTCTGTCTTGGTCAACAGCCTCGAGCTTGGTATCAGAGAGAATCTCATCTTGTTCAGCGATGATGGAGATTTCTACCAACATGAACTGCTTGATGGTATCCTTTTCTTGGCTCAACAATTAGTTATGATTTGCAACTGAATACCAATGGAGGTGTTTTTGGTGCTAGTATAATTGCTCTGGTTCATCTCCTCGCTCAACCAGCTGGTGTGCTAGAAAATTGCAAGGCAGATATTCTTGACACATTCCTTATTTTCTTTCGATCTATCACTATCTTAGCATACTTCTTTAAGCTACTCATAGAGCAATACAATGCAACTCATTCTGCTGGCTTATCTGAAGAGGGGACACGGGCTTGGAATCAGAAGATCATTCTCACTAAGATTAATGCTGTCGTCATTCTTCAGACTTGGCTGAAGCATCACTGAATTGAAGTGCAAGATGGCCATCTCCTCTATCAGACCAAAATCTTTGCATATGACAAAGTGACTAAAAACTCTGATCTACCTGTTCAAGTCTCTGAGGTTCTTGCCAATTCTTTGATCGAGTACACTGCTGGCCGTCACACTAAGTATGCTCTATGAGTAGAGAAATGCATTAGACGAGAACAACAGAATCAGTGTGACTACTCACTGACTGCATTTGAGCCCCATCTCGCTTCGCTACAAGGGATCTCTGATAAATGCTTGGCTAAGATCAGTATTACATTCTTCTTGAAGGATGGTGGTGCTGAGAAGCTTGTGAGAGTGATTATGAAATTGGAGTAGACATACTTCTATTTCTTCCCACTGAAGAAAATTTCACTCCTTCGTAAGAAAGACCATTCACAAAGCCTAGCTAATTGGGAGAAGTTTACAGAATGATAAAGATAGTGTCACTAATTGAGCAAAAAGCTATGAGCTATTTGCAAAGATTGCTATGATCAGTCATTCTTACTTTCATAAAATCTATCACACTGAATGTGCTCTTTCAGCTTTACAAGAATATGAGAAACATTTGTATATTGCAGTATACATGAGGGTAGTACATGTTGCAGTTGATAAATAATATCATCTGCCTTCAAAGAATCAATTTCACATCAGAAAAAGATGCATTGCTTCTGAGAGCTACTGAGATAGCTCTCAGAAGCCTCAGAACTAGTTACAGAGTCTTCAGTGGCTTAGTCCTTAGTGAAGTTTGATTCTGGGCTGGTGCATTCTCAGAGACAATTTTATTAATCATGCTACTTTGGCATTCTTTATCTATATCTCAAAGATTTTTTGTATATATATTTTTACATTCTAAATATATTTTTTGAGCTATCAATTAGGCCATTTATCTACAAGATGTGCTCACTATGAATTTCAGAAAGTTGACCATATTTGGGCTTTATACTCAGAGTGCCAGAATATGTATAATTTTCTGATGCTCAAAATATTCTGATCTATTATATAACTCTCAGCTTGCTTCACTCTTTTGGAATCATCTAACACAGATTATCCAAACTGCACTTCTGGCTTCTGATTGATCCTATATGTGCTCAACTTTCTCAAATACTTCTTTGTGGGCCCACACATGTCTCAGAACCCTCTATTGTTCTTGCTCAATAGCTATGAGAATTATGACTCACATTGATATAAATATTTATAGTCAGTGATAGTTATCTTGAATAACAGCAGTAGCAATTACTAGCTATATTGTCTTTAATTTAAAGTATTTATACTATCACATGTCTTGACAATGATGACTGAATGTAACTACAAAAAACAAACTCTATAGCAAAGGCAAGTTCCTAGATTATGATATATAGCAGAATGGCCCTAATATTATTTGAGTTTTTCCGCCAGTATGAAACCTCAAATAAGCCACAGCCTGATCTAGTTCATGCTTTATCATTTGATGATAAGAAACTCCTCTCATTAAAAAAGCTCTATAAGATGAGGCATCATTGAGAGCATGAGGTCAATATTGGGAAATCTCAAAATCTTCCTCGAGCTTTCTCATCTGCATATACTTAGCTATCAAATAGGACTCTACTGCCTCTATCAGGTTATCATGGTCTAGCTTATATATGCAAGTCTGCAGGAATTTGAGTCAATATATGATCAAATCTGTAGCAATAGCATAATCTATATTGTCAAATATGATACCCTTCATATTTCATATCACAAAAGCAAAGCCTGAGTTCATTTTCTTGAGTGCTGAAAGGTTTGCCTCAATATCAGAGATATTGCCTTGTGCGATATCAGAAGTCAAATTAGTTTAGCATTTAAGATATCAACTTTAGATAGAAAGTAGCTTGAAATATATTATTAGGGACTCAAACTTATATGCAGAAGAACCAAGGATCTAAGAAGAATGATTCAGAAGAATAGAAGGTGATAGAAGCTTCAAGAAGCTTCTGAAACATTTCAAGAACACTCAGCAGACTCAGAATGACTAGGAATGAGTCATCAAGAGTCATCAAGAGTCAAGTAACTCGGCAGAGAGCAGAATGACTAGAACAGAGTCACTTTCAAATACTAAGTGACTTGGCAGAAACTAAATGACTAGAGATGAGTCAGAATAACTGAAATTAGTCAGAGTGAGTTAATATAACTTAGAACTGAGGAAAACTAGTTATAGCTTTAGTAACTCTGATTAGCTAGAGATATTTAGATCTCAGTAGTCAGAAATATATATAAGGACCCAGTTTTTACTTGTAGAAATCAATCAACTTCCCTTCAGAAGCAAGATAAGTCTTCTGTTTAATTTAGCCAGGGCACTTAGAAGTCTAACTTGCATCACTCAAATGAAGTAGTAGTTCTGAGCAAGCTTAGTATTAGAATTGTAGACTAACTTGCACCACTCAACTGGACCAGTTCTAAGCAAGATTCAGTATTGTTACAACTGAAAGCTATTGAAAAATTATGAACTCTGTTATGAGACTACAAGTTACAAGTATTACTACTATGACTATCTATCCTCTTTGACTGACTCAACTGAGAGTTGTTGACTGACTCAACTAAGAGTTGTTGATAAAGTATTGTTGCTACAAGAAAGCAAGAAGCCTACCTAAGAATAACAGCATATAATAAGAAGAAAAAACCAATATTTATTATTTTCAATTCTATCAACTTTATATACAACAAATTATCTCTAAGCATAACTATGACTACAAAGAAGTGAAAGGAGACTTGCATACTTGCAGAACTTAAGTATATAGAGAAAGACAAGCACACTCTTCTATACAAAAGCTAAGTATCTGGACCAGTAGAGAAAGGCTAATTGTCTATAGATTTAGTCTAGCCTAGTCTAGTTAAAATGGACAACTGAGATAACCTTATCAAAATGACACCTAGTCACTGACTGACCAGCAACCTCAGTGAATTTTGGTTTTAAGTCATAGTAACCTAGAGTTCTGGCTTGCTATGCCAACTAAACTTTAAACAATAGTGACACACATGTAGACTATGTTCAATAGAGCATATACAATATCACTACCTTTTTTCAGTCCATGCATAGTGAGTGATCTATATAGATTAGATATGTGTACAGGTGAGAATGAACTGGAGTCGAGTCTGTACTATCAAAGATATAGATGATGAAGTTGCTTCCAAATGGCTATAAATATATTAGAGAATACTATTCTATAATATGAGCTTTGAGTCATGACAACAATGTATGAGAGTACTTACTCTTGGAACCACTTTGTTTCATCTGTAGAATGACAAGTTCTAAACTGCAGAGCTTCTAATAGTCAGCAAGAACCTGTATGAGAATTATAGTAGAGACAGATCTGGCTTCTAGAGTTCTGCTAAGAAATGATTGTAAGTCTGCATCATTTTCAACATCTGAACTGAGGTGAAGGAGGAAGCTCAATGCCTCAAATATTAGCACAAAGATTTATCCCAGCGCTGGGAGTATGGAATCACAGTTGATCACTATGTTCAGTTTCTTGATCAGCAACTTGCTTAGGAATGTCCTGACAGGCATACTGAGAAATATTTAAAGACACTCTATAGAAAACTCTCATTCATCTCAGCATAGTTTATTAGCCAGAGGAGGTAAACTGAGCAGACTTATGACAAGATTCACAACCACTTCATAATCTATGGAGTTATCAACTATGAGACACTGTAGCACATTGAGGAGAAATTTGTTATCTTGAAAAAGGACAGATGATGTCACTAGCCATCTGTAATCTCACTCACTTTTCTTCTGAAAGTCTTCTTCCTCAGGCAGTCAGAGGTATGGTAGAATAATGGGCCACTGACAGTGGGTTTCTATATGAAAGCCATCTCTTGGCAGTTCCAAAGGAGAGAATTATTGTATAATTTTTTATAGCAAAGTTAAACATTGATGAAGTTTGAACTTCACAAGTATCATGGCTTGCCAACAAGATTTCTACAATTAGTCAAGCCATCATGCACCAACTCCATAAAAGTCATCTATATAGAGATAATAATAGACAGATATGATCCAAATTCTGAGCTTTTGTAGTGCAGAATTAAGCAGTGATATTTTGTAAGGACACTTTGCTGAGAATACTGAAGATAGAGTTATTAGAAGGACAAGGAGTGTTCACATATAAATGAGTATAATAATGATCACACCAAAATAAGGGGCAGGATAAGAAGAAACTTGCTTAGGCCAAGAAAAAAGAGGAGAATAAAAAATTGTAGCAGTAATGGTAGCACTGCAGTGAATTCAAAAATGCATCATTTGTTGAGGCCCTCAAAATGAAAGAAGCAGATATAAAACTGCATCTCAGAAAAACAGGTCTGTAGAAGCATATACTCTCTAAGCCATTACTTTATAAACACATCAAAGGAAGTAGTAGCAAGACTGCACA